GCCCACTCCCTCCCTCCTCCTCTTCGACGCTGAACCCTACTTCTACAGGGTCTGCGTCGACTACAAAGACACGGACAACCTGCGCGCCGAGGCGCGCGAGGCGCGCCAGCTGGGCATGACGGGCAAGCAGGCCATTCATCCGGCGCAGGTCGCGCACATCAATGCCACCTTCTTGCCGAGTGCCAAAGGTACGTTTCTGCCTTCCTCCCACCCAACCCCTCCCTCTCTCTTTACCCCCCCCCCCTTCTCCCGGCCCTCCTCTTTCCCCTTCTCTCTTGCCTTTTCCCCCCTCGCTTCTTTTCCCTTCTTCGTCGTACGCAGTTCGGCGTATCCTCTCCATCCATTCTTCCATTCTCCGCTCTCCGCTCTCCCGCTCTCGGTTCTCCACTCCACGGCCTCCCTTCCATTGCTGACCCCCCGCGCCCTCTTTCCTGCACACACTCTCCACAGACATCGCACGCGCGGCCAAGATCCGCGCCGCGTACCTTGCCAGCGTCGCCGCACAGGCGGGCGCGGTGGGCATGGAGGAGAATGGCAGCATGGTCATGATTGATGCGCCTATGCTCAAGCAGGTGAGTCGAGCTTGCGAAGGCGGTGCTGCTCTCCATCTCCCTCGAGGGCGTGATAGCGAGCACAGGCAGTCGAGCTCGTGTTGAGGGGAAACGAAGACTGAATCGCCCTTCTCCACGTTCAGGCGGACGCGACGCTGGCGAAGGCACGAGCTGCGGGATTGGACATTCCGGATGTCTGAAACGGAGCCCGAGCGCGGCGATACCCGCAGGGAGAAAGAGGCCGCTTCGTCCCGTCACGGGTGTCCACGCGCGCCTGGAAACGACCAAGATCGGAATGTCACGCATCTCATTGCCATATCGTAGGTTCAGCCTCTCTTCCCGCTTGTCCGGGATGAGGGACTAGGCTCCCGCTCGGAAGGAGAAGGTACGGATGCGTGATACTCAGAGTCAGCCCGAGCACGGCGAGGAGAGAAGCTGATCAGAAGGTAGACGGTGAACGAGTGGGCCATCTCGTGTGACGGTGGCTGCATCAGTACGAGCCGCCGTGGCCGTGCGGGCACCGTCCGCGGCGCGCCGGGGCGTTGAGTCCGTCGCAGGCGTAGCAGAAACCAGTGCCGCAGCTGAGGAGCCAGACACTCAGACTCAAGCCAGATGATGTGAGATGAGGGTGGACGCACCTGCATCGCATCGATAGACAGCCGCCGTTGCGCTCCACTGCCGTCTTGCACGACGGACAGCGGGCCCAATCCTTGTTCTTCATGAGACTGTGCAGCGCCACATCCTCCGGACTGCGCTCGTTGATTGGAAGCGACTGAGAGAATGGAAGTCAGCCTGACGCAGGACGAAGTGTGCACGTCAAGCCTACGCACTTGATACCTCGTGCACGACATGCCTACATGCTCTTGAGAGCTACACGTGACGCAGATTTGAATGCCGCACCCCTTGGCAGGGCATAGCTGCACCCTGTCGGGCCTACGGACGACGAAGATGGCGTTGCAGCGCTTCGACGGACACCAGAAACGCGCCAGCTTCTCGTCGTGGCGGAGCTCGTTGTACCGCCAGAAGGACGGAGCCGAAGTGACAGCATCGACGAGGTCGTCGCGAAGCGCAGACTCCGGCGCAGTCACGTCGCACTCCGGGCAGCGAACAGGGAAGACTTTGCTCCTTCGGGTTCTTTTCGGCCTCGCCCATGCGCAGCTCAATGTGCTGCCGAAGACAGCTGCAGTCTAGATGTGAGCAGCGCACCCTGGAAAGGGTGCGTTGGACTCACTCGGCACAGAAAACGTGTGAGCAGAAGTGCGTGAAGGCATGGGGCACTCCACCCTCTGCATCCCGGCGTATGAAGTTGCCTCTCACGCTGGCGTTGACATCGGCGGAGCAAGCTTGACATTCTACAGCCGTCATCTGCGTCAAACTCAGCAGCACAGGGCAGGTATGTCCAAGCAACTCACCGGTGCGTGTGAGGCGTCTGCGTCTGATGGTCAACTCGTTGGCGTCAGGCAAGCCCTTCACCTTGCTCGCCGTGCTAAGCCAGAGCGCGGACGATGTGAGCTTGCACACTACAAAGCCGCGGACAGGACTCACGAAGACGTCGTCTTGCGACAGGTCGGGAAACGTCTGCTCGTCAGGCCCATGCTGCGGTGGTTGAGGAGAGGAAGATGGACGAGTGCATCAACTCTCACGGACGCGATGGTCTCGAAGGGCTGGCAAGTGTTGCCCGCTGTCCACGCTACCGCTTCCTTGGGTTGCGAGCTGTCAATCTGGACTGAGCGGGAGTGGGGCTCGCCAGTCATCATGCGCCTTCGATTCCATCGGACCCGACTCTGAGACCTATGACGAAGCAATCAGTCGGAGAATGGCAATCTCGCCTCCGTATTCTGCCTCCCCTTCGGCGGATGCAAAGCAGCCCCAAATCAAGCGAAGAAGCCGGAGGGGTGCCCGACCGCCTGCTGCCTTCTGCGTGCGCGCCCATGCTCTATCCAAAGCAAGAAACGAAACAGACGTATGGCAGAGCTTTGTGATGGTATATGCTCTCGGGCTCTCGGCTACGGTCGTGGACGGGAGACTGGCCTCATCAGAGACGGCAAACATGCGTATAACGCCAGCGCGTGATGTGGCTCGAGCAGCTTGGCTGAGCTAGTAGTCGGTGCCGTGAACGCACCGTCCCGATCCAGTCGCCTTCTTTCCGGCGCATGCGTAGCAGAAATGACGACCGCACCTGAGGTCGCAGGTGAGGGCGTGCATGAGTGGTGGTGCACAGGCAAACATACCGGCACTGCATGTGCATGCAGCCTGACACCCGCTCGACAACTGCCGTGCACTCGGGGCATCGGGCCCACTGACGCTCTTGCATCAGACGCCGGAGAGCCAAGTCCCCCACGCTTCGCTCCGTCAGCGGGAGTGCCTGAGACGTGCGCATCTGTGAACAATGTCTGTCGGCCGGCCGCCCAGCACAAGACTCACTTGATACTGCTGGCAAGTCAACCCATGATGCGCAAGGACCTTGCAGCGGATGCACACCTCCGCGCGACAGGTTGCTTCGGCGCAGAAATGCTGAGCAGCACCAGCGTCGCGTGCCACAACCATCTTGCCGCAGGTTGGCGCCGGACACCAGAGGCGAGGCAGCTTCTCCTCCTCCCTCAGTTCGTGCAGACGTACAAAGCTTGCCGGCTCCAGTACGGCATCTATCACCTCCTCGCGCAGCGTCCGGTATCTGCCGTGCGGACCGCATTCGGGACATCGCAGAGGGAAACACTTGCTGTCCGGACTCTCGGAAACGGCATCCATTGAGTGCTCGATGTACTCGGCTAGACATCTGATCTCTTCGGTCAGAGTGTTGCGTGCCTCGAGTCGTCCAGGTCGACTCACGCATGACAGTACGTGTGGCCGCAGGACAGTCTCGAGCCGAGGACGGTCTGACTGCCGTCGGCTGGCTGCTGAAACGTGATGTTGCCCCTGCCGCTTGCGTTTGTTACCGAGCCGCAGACACAGCACTCTGCGTCCTCACATGAGCTCAGAGGCAAGCTTCTGCAGCGAAGGACACTGACCGATAGCGTTGCGAGCTCGCTGTACTCTCAAGCTGCGGCGGGCGGCCTTGGTGTACGCCCTCACGACAGGCAACGCCCCAGGGTGAGAACGACGTCTAGCGCGCCCGGACATGCTCAAGTGGATGGTGCGATGTGTGTGGGGGGACGGTGAGCTGCTGCAGACGTCATGGGAGAGCCGTGTCCACACTTATCGCAGCGTCGTTCACCGTGACGCTGCCCTCGCTTCATCATCGCAAGCTGATCTGAGGATGTCCAGCGCAAGAGCAAAAGTGCCCTTGCCTTGCCCCACCTCATGCTTGCCGCCCGCGAGGGCCTCCACTCTCGACCCACCGCCTGCACGGACGGCGCCTCATCCAGCTTAGGAGACTACCGAGGCGAGGCCCCTGTACCTCTTGCCGCTATCTCGTCTGTCGCACGCGGCCCATCAGTGCTTCCGCTCAAGCTAGAAGGTGAGCGAGCATGTCTCATTGCCCGGCTTGCCCCTGTTCCGCCCTCTGCGCCGCCATCATCGCCGCCGCCTGCTCCCTAGCGATCTCGCTCTCCTCTTTGAAGACGCGGATGGCCTCTTCCGGCGCCTCGGGGAAGCGGATGAACAGTCCTTGAAGCTCGGCCATGCTGACGCCGCCCTGAGCCGCCGGCGGATGAGCGTTGGTGCGAGCGCCGAGCGCCGCTAGCGGTGGGCGGCCCGAGGCATCGAGACCGAGCAATGTCCGTCGACGGGCCGTCTCTTGCTCTACCGCCGTCGCCAGTTGATCTCCCAGGCGCGAGAGCTCGGCATCGGAGAGTGCGTGGCTGTGCTCGATCGGTGCCTTCTCTTCCACTCTTGAAGCGTCGCGCGAGGCTTGTTGGGGCCCATAGAAGCGCCGCAGCAGCTCGCGCACCTGATGTCCGTCCGCATCGCCCAGCTCCAGCGCCAGATCCACGCGTCCGGGCCGGATGAGTGCCGGATCCAGGCGCTCGACGTGGTTCGTCGTCATGAAGACGACGCGACTCTCTGCGCTTGCTACGCCGTCGAGGGCATTGAGCAGGCCGGAGAAAGTGACGCCAGGCACGAAGCCATCCTCGCTTGCGGGCGCGGAGCGGCCGTGAAAGGCGGCGTCGATGTCCTCGAGGAGCAGCAGAGAGGAGTCGGGCAAGTGCGCCAGCAGATGCGTGAGCTTCGAGTCGGTGAGTCCACGCTCGGAGAGGTTCAGCAGACAGATGCCTTGGTCGAGAGCGCCGGCTAGGGCAGTGATGAAGCTGCTCTTGCCCGAGCCGGGTGCGCCGTGCAGCAGGTAGCCTCGTCGGTATGGGATGCCTGTGCGCCCAAAGTCAGTCGAAAGCTCGTCTGCTTCTAAGGCGTCAGCAACTCACCACGCTGGCGGTACCAGTCTCCTCTAGCCTTGAAGGCCCGCACGTCCTGCTCAATGCGCTCTCCCACTCCCTCCTTGAGCACGACGCTCTGCACATCTCGCGCGCGGCGCGGCTTGCCAAACGGCCGCCACTCGGCGCCCCATGCCGTGTAGATGACCGTCTTGCCCTCCACCGAGCGTTCTGCGAGCGCGCGCGCCTCGCTCAGCAGTTGCGGGAAGAGAGCGCGCGAGGAACGCAATGTCGTGAGCGTGATCGTCTCCCAGGGAGCGCCCGTCGTGAGGTCGACGACCTTGGCGTTGCGCTCGCGTTGCAGCTGGGATCGCTGTGTGAGCACTGAAGAGAAGGCAGGTGCCGCATTTGCACACTCACGCGCATCCAGTTGCCCTTGTATCGGAACCAGTGCGTGCCCGGGCCGGGCACGAGGCTGAAACGCGCCTCGCCGCGCTGGTCGCCGCCCTGCGCGGCCTGCTCGCTCTTGGGCTTGAAGCTCGTCTCGACGGCCAGCTCGTGACTCCAGATGCGTGTAGGCTGCACCATGGCCTCCTGCTCTCCGCTGAGCCCCGCCAGCGCACGCAGGCCCTCTTTGCGCAGAGCCGGGTTCGAGGCCTGTGCCTGCGCCTGTGCGCCCAGCCATGCGAGCAGCCAGGGATGGGCACGGTCCTTGGAGGCGATCTCGAGCGAGACGAGCAGACGTCGCTGCGCCAGGCCTGCGACTGAAGAGGCACCGCGTCGCCCGACGGCCAGTGCACTGCCGAAGAGCATGAGGCCGAAGCCGGCGGAGAAGTAGGGGTTCGAGGAGAGCGAGAGGCCGAGGAACGTCGGGCCTGCGTCAGCGGCGCCTGGCAGCGCCTCGGGCGAGAGAGCGGGCGGCGACGCTGGTGCCAGAGGCACGGCGCTGGACGAGGCGCCCGAGGGCCCGGCAGTTGCCATTGCTGCGCTGCGGAATGGGGATGGTGGAGGTGGGAAGACAGCAGCGAGGAGCGCTGTGCACGGGACTCGGGCGCAAGACCGGACCTTCTCGGCGCGCCACGGCCGCCCTGCGCCGACGGCTGTGCGGAATATCCGGCACGAGAGGCGGATGCGCCGTGCAGGGCGGACCGAGCTCCGCGGCTCCAGCCCCGCTTGCTGCGCCCCTCGGCTCGGGTGCGTGAGGCGTGCCTGAGCCGGCCGGCCAACGCTGCCTTGGCGCAGTGCGGGGTGCGGGGGCGCGCGGCCAGCCATCAGCATGGCGCCTGCCCTGCCCTCCTTCCTTCCCCCTCCATCCCTCACCCATCAAGCACATCCGCCATGCTGCCCACGCTGCGCCGTCTCAGCGTGCGCGTCCCCTCGCGCGCTGCTGCGCTTCGCAGCCGCACCCTCGTCGCTACCACGACGACGCCGGCGAGAGGAGCAGCGCAGCCTGCTGCGCTCGCCCGTCCAAGCAGTGTGCGTCTGCTGCACTCCGATGTCAGTGCTCCCTCCTCTGCCTCCCCTACGTCCATCGCACGTCCACCACTGCCCGCCAAGATCCTCATCGCGAACCGCGGCGAGATCAGCTGCCGCATCATGCGCACCTGCCGCCGCCTCGGCATCCGCACCGTCGCCGTCTACTCCGAGGCCGATGCTCGCAGCATGCACGTACAGCTCGCAGACGAGGCGTACTGCATCGGCCCTGCTGCCAGTGCTGAGTCGTACCTGCGCTCGGACCGCGTCATTGATGTGGCTCTCAAGACGGGCGCAACGGTGAGGAGAGGGCAGAGCTGGTGGCAGAGCAGCGCTGACGCGCGGCGCACAGATGGTCCACCCGGGCTACGGCTTCCTTTCCGAGAATGCAGAGTTCTCCGCAGCGCTGCATGCCGCTGGCCTGACGTTCATCGGCCCACCGGCATCCGCCATCACCTCGATGGGCTCCAAGTCGGCCTCCAAGGCCATCATGCTTGCCGCCGGCGTGCCCTGCGTGCCCGGCTACCACGGCGACGACCAGAGCGTCGAGACGCTGAAGCGCGAGGCCAAGAAGGTCGGCTTCCCCGTGCTCATCAAGGCTGTCAAGGGAGGAGGTGGAAAGGGAATGAAGATTGTCTGGAAGGAGGAGAACTTTGAGGAGGAGCTGGGCAGCGCCAGACGAGAGGCGCAGAAGGTGAGCTGTAGATGCGGAGCTGGTTGAGTCTCACCTGCTGACGAGTCTGCTACAGTCCTTTGGCGATACCGACGTTCTGATCGAGAAGTACCTGCAGCGGCCTCGGCACGTCGAGGTGCAGGTGTGTGTGCAGCGAGGCAAATTGCAGCCCATCAGATCCTGACGCCCGCTTGCAGATCATCTCCTCTGCCCCGCCGCATTCGCAGCATCTCGCCATCTCCTCGCGCGACTGCAGTGTGCAGCGCCGGCACCAGAAGATCATCGAAGAGGCACCTGCGCCGGGCCTGTCTGACGAGCTGCGCAAGGATCTGGAGGACAAGGCTGTGGAGGCGGCGCGCGCTGTTGGATACGTCGGTGCTGGCACAGTCGAGTTCATCATGGACGCCGAGACGGGCGAGTTGTGAGTGCTTTGCGCAGGCTATGCTGCAGGGGATCGAACTGACATGGCGACGCAGCTTCTTCATGGAGATGAACACGCGCCTGCAGGTCGAGCATCCCGTGTCGGAGATGATCAGCGGCAGTGCGTTAGCCCTCTCGTGCTCCCACTGAGAGCTCAGCTGATGTCCCGATGTTCAGTCGACCTCGTCGAGTGGCAGCTCCTCGTAGCCTCCGGCGGCGCTCTGCCGTTGACTCAGGCCGAGGTGCCATGCGTGGGGCACTCCTTCGAGGCGCGTCTCTATGCCGAGGACCCCGCCTCCAACTTCCTCCCCGACGTCGGCCATCTCGAGCATCTCTCCTTCCCGCCCGATCTTGCCTCGCCCAGCGCCACGCCCGCAGAGAGCCGCGGTCTTGTGCGCGTCGACACGGGCGTGCGCACTGGAGACGACGTCAGGTGAGAATGACGTGGGCCGACGCCCCCGCACAGAAGGCTGACTCGCGTTCGCAGCGTCTTCTATGACCCGATGATCGCCAAGCTCATCGTGCACGGCAGCGACCGAGCCGATGCGCTGCGGCGCATGCGTCGAGCACTCGAGCAGACGCACATCGTGGGCCCACGCACGAACGTCGACTTCCTACAGCGGCTCTGCGAGCATCCTGCCTTTGTCTCGGCCGATGACCTCGACACGGGCTTCATTGCGGTATGCGTCGTTGCCCCTTGTGACACTTGACCTTGCTGATCAAGGAGATTCACAGCGCTACAAGCCTGACCTGCTCCCGTCGCCTCCGGCACCTGCCGCATCGACGTTCGCCTCCGCCGCGCTCTTCCTCGCGCTGCGCGAGCAGACGACATCGGCCAGCGGCGCATTCGCCTCGCCCGCATTCGCCGCGTTCCGCCTCAACACCGCCCAGCCCGTCGCGCGCAGCTACTCGCTGCGAGCGCGTGCGGCAGCCGCTCAAGATGGCGCAGAGGCGAGCGAGGAGAAGGTGGTGCAAGTTTCGGTGCAACCTGCGGGAGAAGCGGGAGTGTTCCACGTGCGCGTGCTTGCCGAGGACAAGACGACATTCTTCCCTGCCGTCTCTGCAAGTCTGCTAGAGTCCGACCTGCTCACGCAAGGTCTGGTCGCCTCCGAGTCCGACGAAGCAGTCGTGCCGGCCCCACGTACGCGCACGACGGTCGTGGCGCGCGCACCTGGTGCTTCGACGCTTGGCGCACAAGAGAGAATGGACGTGTTTGCCGAGGGCAGACAGGTCGAGCTCGAGCTCGTGGCGCCCGAATGGCTCAAGGAGCTCAAGGGCGGTGCAGCGGCGACGAAGGGCAGCGTCCGGAGTCCGATGCCTAGCAAGGTGAGGGCTCGACTCACATAGGCAGACAGTGCCGAGACTGATCTTGTCTGCACCAGGTCGTGGAAGTGCGTGTCTCGGTCGGACAGCACGTCGAGGAGGGTGACGTCGTCGTGGTGCTCGAGGCGATGAAGGTACGTTTCCAATTCGCTCGGCTTTCTTCTTGCCGCTCCTTCCTGACGTTTCGCACTCGCACTGCAGACCGAGCAAGTGCTGCGTGCTCCCCGCGCCGGCGTTGTCGCCAAGATCGCGGCCAGTGCGGGCGAGATGGTCGGCGAAGGCGTGGAGCTCGTCACGTTCGAGGAGACGGCTGAGGAAGCACCTGTCGACGGTGCCGCACAAGCACAGCCATCGCCATAGATGCAAGCAGACGGCAGTGCGGTAACGAGTGAATGTCATTGATGCCCCTCTCGTTCCCTGCGCGACGGAGCGATCAGTCGAGATCAAGCTCGTCCGCATCCCGACCCAATGCTCCCGGCATGCGCGCCTCGTCTGGCCTCGCAGCGCGAGTCTCTGCTGCCCTGCGTGCGCGCTCCCTTCGCATCTCCGGCGTCTCCTCCTCCTGCTCTTCCTCCTCATCCGTGTCTTCGCCCGTCACGCCACTGCCGTCATGCATGCCTCTGCTCGACGTCGCTGCGCCAGACTGCGCAGCTGTGCCGGCAGAAGCACTGCCGGATGCGCCCGTCGCCGCTGCTGCTTCGCCAGAGGCAGCAGGCGACGTCTTGCCGACGATTGAGAGGCGGCAGACGGGGCATGTGCCGCTGCGCTTGAGCCACGGCACGAGACAGTCGGCGTGGAAGAGATGCTGGCACGGCACTGTCGAGGCGCGTCAGATCAGCTTGCAGCGAGAGCAGAAGAGCGAAGGGGAACGCACTGAGGAGCAGCTCGTCCTGCTGCATGTCCTCGTCGCTGGGCACGACCTCTGGCGGATCGTCGGCTGGCGCCTCGGCAGCCTTTGGCGCCGGCGACGCGCTGCGCGAAGAGCTGGCTTCGGGTACGAAGACGTCCATGCACGTCGGGCACTCGCGATTCCTCGCCGAAGCTGCGCGGTAGCTGTCAGCGACGGACTCAGTGGCATGCCGAGGGTCGACGAACGCTCACCGAACGTGTCCGGCTGTCGTCGAGAGCGCTTCTCAAGCTTGCCGATCGTCTCCTCATCAGCCGGCGGCGGCGCCGAGCTTCCGTTCGTCTGATTCATCAGATCCGAGATCACATCATCAAGTCCCTGCTGTCCCCACACATAGTCGCCAGCCCTTCCGCCCATGCCCATCAGTGCGCCGCCGAACATGTCCAGCATGCCCGCCGCACCGGGGCCGAGGATGTTGGTGAACATCTGGCGCAGCGCCTGCAGCTCCGGCGGCAGGTCTGCCGGCTCTGCATCCTCGCGCGGCGCACCGGGCCGCGGTGGAGGAGGACCGGGCGCCCAGCCTTGCGCGCGGCCAAGGCCTGCCAGACCCGAGCCGCCGAGAAAGACTGGCTCGCGACGGCCGCTGTTGGAGCCGTCGGCGCCGAACGCGCCCGGCATGGGTGCGGAAGGCCCAGCGCGGTTCGGGTTGTCGTGGTTGAAGTGCCGGCCGTCTGCGGCGCCGCCTGCACCGCCCATGCCGTCGTCGAAGGGCTCTTCGTCGCCTTCGGATGACGGTGGGCGAGCGCGCCGGCCGCCAGCCATCAGTCTGTACCGTAGCGGTATCAGCTGCAAGCGCTTCCACACACCTCCACCTGGGCCGTCTTTGCCGAGCCTACTCACTCGCTTAACGTCAAGGGCATCTCTCCCTCTCCGCGCTGCACGTTCCAGTTGAGCTCCCAGCCGCCGCCAAACGCAGGCATGCTACCGCTGGCCTGCACGCGCTGCATCGGCTGCTGCTGTCCTCCCGCCGCCGCGCCGCCAAACAGAGCCGAGAGCCAGTGTGCCGCGCCCGCTCCGATGCCCGCTCCGATGCCCGCGCCCGCCTGCTGTTCCTCCTGCCGCCGCTGCTGCGGCGGCTGGTTGCCGAGAAACGGCCAGGCACGGGCATCCTCGTCGTCCTCCTCCTCCTCCTCGCCATCGTCGTCGACGTGCTCCTCGGTGCCGTCGAGCTCCTCGATGAAGGAGCCGCGGCAGCGCGGGCAGGCAAGCTCGGGGATACGCAGCGGCTGGATCTCCATCTGGCACTCGTGGCACCACATCCAGGCCGGCGGGGCGGCGGAGGAGGAGGACATGGTGCGCGCGCGGTGCCGGCAGGTGAAGCGAGGCAAAGAGAAGCAGAGATGGAGGAGGCGGTGGTTGTGAAGCAAGGATGTGGCGTCGCACGCCGCGCGTGATGAGACGCCCGTGCGCCGCGGAGCGCCAGCCACACGCGACGCCGGCTTTGGTGTCGCGTGCAGCTCGCCGCGCCGCTGTGGAGGCAAGCCGCTCTCCATCACTTCCCGCTCGGCAGAAGCAGACATCGAAGAGGCACCTCCCATTGCTGCACTTCAGACTCTCGCACTCCTCGGCGCTTCATCACGTGCTGACGCTTCATGTCTCGTGATGCGAGCAGCGGCATCTCTGCACACGACACTCGTCGTGCCGTACTGACGGCGCCGCGCCGCCGGAGAGCGCACCGGCGAGCTCGTCTCCTTCCTTCCTTCTCGCCCTGAGCGGCGAGGCCCGCCTTCTTATACGGAGATCGCTATCATTATGTCGTAGCTCGGTCTCCCGGCCGCGTCTCCGCGGAAGCAGCACCGGCTCTGCGGCCGAGCCAATGACGCAGGCGCGCTCAAGCGTGCCAGCTTAGCATCTCACGCACCGATGCCGCCGCCGGTGAGCGTACCACAGCAAGCAGGCAAGACGTGGGGCTACGCTGCATGCTGAGTCAAAGCGAACTGTCCGCATGACGAGGCGGAGCACCTCGGTGGCAGAGCTTGGTGTCCGCGCAGTCGAGAGAGTCGAGCATCTCGGCCGTTGGCGGCCGCTGCGGCAGGCGCGCATGGCGGACGCGCGCGCTCGCGTCTCAAGGGGCAATTCGCAGGTCTGCGCCAAGGGGCGTCCGCTGGGCAGCCCTGCTGCTCGAGCCGGCAGCGCAGCCGTGCTGTACCTGCTAGCCCACCGTCGGCTGCACAGCGCACAATGCTGCAGCGCAGCAGCGTTACCAGCGCCTCCGCCTTGCCGATCTCGTCGCGACCGCGGAAATGAGAGCGAGCGAGCGACCTCCGAGCCGCAAGAGCGCAAGTTGAGGCATGCTTCGCCCTGCCCGGGTGCCCGGGACACGCCTCCGCCGCCGGCTGCAACCGCAGCCGCGCTCGGCATCGAGACAAAGGAGAGCAACACGCCGCAGCCGCTGCCATGTGCCCGCTGCCGTTCACGGCGGCCGCTGCGTCTCGCCGTTCGCGTGTGCGTGACTGCTCTGGACCGCCGCCCATGGCAGCGCTCCATCTTTGAGCAGCCAGCTCGACGCTAGGCCGGCTATTTCTCAGCTCTGCAGCCCTCTAGAGACTGTGCGCAGCCGCACTATGTACTCTCATGCAGCTGACCAATGCGACCGGCGAACATCCGCCTCCCATGCAGCGCTGCCGCTCAACGGCCGTCTCCGGCACCACCCGCCGTGTCTCATGCGCAGGCATGTTCCTCGGCCACGACACCTGCATGCATTGGCCCAAGGTAGCGCATCAGTCCTGCCTGCGCCCTGTCCGGTAGCGAGCAAGTCGACCTAGATTCTCGCCTGCGTCCGTCGGGGACAGAGGAGCTCGTCGCCGAGGCGCAGAGCGAGCATGTGCCAGTGACCCTCAAAAGCAAGCTCGCCCAGCGCCCTCTCCCACTCGCACTCCCTCGTCACTCTGTCCACCTGACCAGCCCCCACCCTTTCTCGTCTTTCTTCTTCCTCCGGTCCTGGCGACCTCTTGCTCTCACTTTATTCACCTCATCCACTCATTTCACACCTCCGCGAGTTGATCTCGTCGTCCTCTACACACTCTTTCGAGCTTCTCTCGCATCACAGTCTCTCCTCTCCTCTCTCTCCACCCTCTCTCAGCATGGTCGCCATCAACCAGCTCAGCACGTTTGCCGCCTCGGTTGTGCTCCTCTCCCTCGCCGCGCCGCAAGCCGGCGTCGAGGCGGCTCCGGCACTGCGTGCGCGTGAGCCTTCGGCGTCGGCGCTCGCCGGTGCCGGCCGGCGCATGGAGCGCATGATGCTGCGCTCGACGTCGCCGCCGGCGCTGCCCAAGAACGTGCAGTTTGCGCCGCAGGCTCGCCGTGGCCGCCCGGCGACGAAGCGTGCCAGCGCCGGCAGCAAGCGCTCGAATGTGCACGAGCACATCCACGAGCACATCCACGAGCACGACCACGACCACAAGCACGGGCACCGCCACCACGGCAAGCACTCGAAGGACGAAAAGTCGCACCACTCCAAGCACTGGGCCATCCACCACGGCCTCGCCAAGCGCGAGGGCGACGAGGCGAAGCGCGACTACATCACCCTCGGCGGCGACTTTGTCGGCTACCGGCCGCAGGCGGCGCACCACACGGCCGACGACGGCCTGCTGCAGGTGCTCGTCGGCCGCTCGGGCGAGGTGGAGCTGGATGCGCGCCGCCACTCGGGCCACTCGGACCACTGGTGGAAGCACCACAAGGGCGACCGCAAGGGCCACGGCCACGACCACGACCACGAGCATGTGCACATCCACGAGCACATCCACTCGCGCGACCCGCGCCACAGCGACCGCCACGGCGACCGCCACCGCCACGAGCACGACCACGACCACGAGCACGTGCACGAGCACATCCACTCGCACGAGCACCGTCGCTCGGCGGGCATTTCGCGCGAGAACGACGGCGTGGCGGCTCGCGCGCCGTCCAAGAGCCGTCCGTTCCGCTACCACCCGCGCGACGTGCTCGCCCAGCAGCAGGAGCGCGGCCTGATCGGCGACGTCGTCAAGCCGCTGCTGGCGCCGCTGAACGCCATTCCCGGCTTCGTCACCATCAGCGACCTGCTCTTCGGCGACGCCGGCCTCGTCAAGAAGCTCGGCGGCCTCGTGCTGCACGCCGAGCCGGCCGGCGGTGCGCGCACGCTCGCGGCGCAGAGCACGGCCTCGGCCTACAACTACTCGCTCATGGCGAGCAAGGGCGAGCGCACGCAGGTCTGGCTCATGGCCACCGACGCCAACAGCACGACGGTCAAGTCGGACGCCACCAACGCGACGTTTGCCCCGTCGCCGACGTTCAACAACGACACGACCACGGTGCGTGTCGCGCTGCCCATTGTCAACGACAAGGGCGAGCCGGTGCTTTACTGCGCCACCTTTGCCAAGCTGCCGCCCTCGACGCTCGACTTGACGCCGTGCGCCGAGGACGCCAGCGAGAGCCAGCCGGAGGCGGCCAATGCGCCGACCAGCCAGCGTGAGCATCCAGTGTGGCGAGCCTACCCTGCACCGTCTCTGATCCCTTCTTCTCTCCCCAGGCTTCACGTACACGGCCAGCTCCGGCGTCCTGGCACCCATCTACGCCGCCGTCCCGCCAACGGCGGCGTCTGATGCTGCCTCTTCGTCGTCGAGCCCGGCCTCGTCGGCTGCTGTCTCGAGCAGCAGCAGCGTCGACTCCGCCGCTGCCTCGAGCTCCTCGAGCGCTGCACCGGCTAGCACGGCGACGCCCGTGTCGTACTTCCGCATCCTCGCCGTCAACGGCTCCGCCTCCGCTCTTCCCGCCGCTGCTGCTGCCACAGCGCTGCCCGCGAGCAACGGCACCGCCACCGACGGCAAGGTCTCGCTGCGCTTCGTCCCCGCTGGCGCAGCCGCCGCGGCCGAGTTCAACACCCAGGCCACGCAGGACACGCAGGATGCCTCGGACGACGTCCCTGCCGCCGCCGGCGATGCTGCCACATCGTCGACGGATGAGATCGGCTCGGGCTCGGACGACTTTCCTGCCTCGACTGCCTCTGCCCTCCCGGCCGCCGGCAACGACGACGACAGCCAGATGGACGCATCTGACTCCGACGTCGCTGCTACGACTGGCAGCGTGATCGACGGCGCCAACCGTGTCGCTGCCGCTCCCGATGCCGAGGCCGCCGACCCCAGCATGGACGAGGACCTCCCCGCTCCCCCGGCGGGCACGGACAGCGCCGATGCCGTCACCTCTGCCGCCGCAGAGGCGACTTCGTCGCCCGCTGCCTCCACGCCCGTTGGTGCCGCGGACCCGAGCGCTCTCGATGCGCCGACGGACGAGTCGGACCTCGACGAGTCGCCCGCCGCCGCTCCGACTGCCGCCGCTGCCGGTCTCGTCGGTGCCGTCACGGGCGCAGCTGGCGCCGTGACGGACGCTGCTTCGGACGTCGCTGCCGATGCCACGGCCGCTGCTGCGCCCGCCAGCGCCAACGCTCGTCTCACCCTCGCTGAGAACAACGCCGAGGCCGAGGCGTCGCAGCAGCAGCCCGGCTGCTCGTGCGCTCCTTCGCGCCGCTAAGCGCACCACACCTTCTTGTTTCCCTGCTGCGCTGTGGACCCTTGAGAGAAACGATAGAGAGTCGAATAGCCACTGTTTTGCGTCTGGCATCATCTTGCGTGTCATGAGAGCGTTACGTCTCAGGGGGCGAGCCGGCGATTTAGTCTCACGCCCGTGCCCCGCGCTGGAGCCAGCGCTGTCGTTCGCCGCGCGGCGGCGCGACTTGCGCCTCTCTTCCCCACCACATCAACCGCACCATGGTCAACATTTACCGCAAGCCAGTCAAGGACAACGCACCTGCGATAATGCGCCACAGACCTGAAGGGTCGCGTATCGGTGTCACCACTGTGGGCAAGGCGCTCAGTAAGGCGCAACGTAAGAAGCAGCGGGAGCAGCGAGAGCAGGCCGCCCGAGGTGAGTCGAGTGCAGCACGCCTTCTCCGACGTCGTCTGCCGCTTTGCAGCCGCTCCGCATCAGAACTGACTGCCCGCTGTGCATAGAGTGCCGCAGCTGCCTGGCAGCAACCAATGCCGGCGCAAAAGGGCACGTCACGCTCGCAAAATCCGAAGACGGCTCAGTGACTGGCTCGAAGCTGCTGTGTCGGCACACGTGGTGCCACGAGTGAGTCCGACTCCGCCTCTGCTCTTCGGATGCGTGCTGACTGCGTACCTGATGTAGCTGCCTGCGCGAGTTCGTCGAGCGAGAGATCAGTCAGGTGGATAACAACCCGCACAGCGACTGCTTTCCCCTCTGCTGCCCGGAGTGCGACGCCGACGCCACACACCGTCAGCTGCCCGACGACCTCCTCGCTGCGGTGCTGCGCCGGCCTGCTCTCGAGCGGCTCAAGGCCATGCGAGACCTCGAGCTGCGCACACGCTTCTGGTGCCCGGCGCCGCGGTGCAGCGCACTCGTCGTGCTCTACAAGGCCGAGGATGGGCAAGATCACCAGTGCCCCAGCTGTCACGCTCAGCTGTGCGCCATGTGCCGGGAGATTGCACATCCGGACGTCAAGTGCCAGGCCAAGACGTGCGTCGAGTGCCTCGACGCCGCACACGAGGGCCTCAGCTGCGACCAGTTCCGCGACGTGCCGCTGAACGAGCGCAACGAGATGGACCTTGCGCTGTGGCGCCTCATCGCGGCGCACAAGTGGGCACGCTGCCGCTCCTGCCGCGCCGTCGTGGAGCGCGTGTCGGGCTGCGACACCATGGACTGCATCTGCGGCAAGAGCTTCTGCTACAGCTGCGGCGGCGACGGCAAGGTGCCATGTGTCGAGCCGTGCCCGCACGCGGGCAAGACGTAGCCGCAAGCTCCTCTCTCAGCGCCATGCGTCGTGGCTGATACTCGTTACATTGAAGCGTCGTCTGCCTAGTCGTCCTCATCATCCTCCTCCGAGCTCTCCTCCTGTAGCGTTCTGTCAGATCGCGAACCACACTGCCACGTCACTGTCACTCACCGGCTCGCTCTGCCCTGAGTCGTCCTCCTCCGAGTCGCCGAACGACGAGCCGTCGTCGTCTGTCTCGTCCTCGAACTGCGCGCGGCAGCATGAGCAAGCGACAAGGAGGGCACAGCGTGCGACTCACCATGACGTCGCTCTCGACCTCGTTGCCAAAGTCGCTGCCGCTCTCGCTGTCCGAGGCGTCCGAGTCGCTGTCGCTGCTCTTGAGGAAAGCTGCGAGGGAGATGTCAGCACGCTGGAAAGGACGATGGAGAGGCTGCTACGCACAGAAGCCGCCGTCCACCTGCTCGAGCGAAAAGGGGTGAAAGATGGTCAGCAGGGCTCAGCAGGCGCGTTGCTGGTGCATTCTCGTCTCACGAAGAAGGCGTAAGGATCTGATGGGCAAAGATGTCAGCGCGAGACGATGGGCCATGCAGCGCGGCCAGCACTCACCCTCGCGAATCGTCTTCATGATCTGGCCCCAGTTCAAGTTGACGGCGCCGTCGGTGACGCAGATGTCCACGGAGCTGCGAGGCGTGTCAGCGCAACCCTACGCACCGCTCTGCAGTGCCACTCACTCGAGCCACTCGCGCACGTGGTCCAACGACGCAATGGGCACGCTGCGGATGACGAGCGGCACCTGGCTGAAGTCGGAGAAGACGAAGACGACGTCGAACGACGACGAGGTGCTTGTGCTCAGCGTGACACGCTCGAGGTGCACGATCTCGACCTCGGACAGCGTGATGACGGTGAACGGCGGGTCGGTGAGGTACACGAGACAGTCCGTCGTCGGCTGCAGCAGCACGTTTGTCCGGTGGCCCACGCCGTTGAAGCCGAGCTGCGAGAGATGTTAGCACACGGGAGGGCAGCAGCGGCGAGCGATGCGCACCTCGCTGCAGGAAGGGTCAGCTGACGGCCACTGGCTATGCACACCGGCACAACTCACCGGAAGGGAATGTCGACGGTCACGCGCCCGTCGCTCGCATCGGCAATCTTCTGCGCAAAGCCCTTGAACTCTTTGTTCAGCGCCGAGCGCCGCCGCCGCTCCTCCTGCTCGAGCTCGATCTCGTCCTCGTCGCCGCCGCGCGTCTTGCGCTTGCGCGCGCCCGTCTCGTCGAAGTTGACGTCCGACGCCTCGCGGTAGAACTGCACGTCCTTCGTCTTCTTCTTGCCCACGAGGATGGGCGCCTTGAGGTGGATGTGCACGAGCACGACGAGCTCCTTGTCGCACGGCTGGAAGAAGAGGTGCTTCATGTTGTTGAAGAGCACGTCGATGCTCTGGTTGTTGCGCGCCGTGTAGCGCAGGCCGTTCTGGTGGATCTCGACGTCGCCGGGCAGCCGCTTGCCCTCGAGCACGGGCCGCGGGTACACGTCGCGCAGCATCTGCGTGCGGCCCTTGGCGAGCACGAGCTTGTCCTGCTCCACGACGTCGGCCATCTCCTTCTTCTCCGTCTCGCGCTTCGTCGCCTCCTTGCGCAGGTCCGAGATCTCGCGGAAGAGCTCGGCAAAGTGCGTGCTGCTGTCGCTGCGGAAGCTCATGCTGCGCACGAACGTCGCGTCCGGGTCCTCGAACGGCACGTCCTCCTTCTTGCCGACGATCTGGCCCGGCGTGACAAAGTTGAAGCGCAGATACGTCACGTCGCCCTCCTCCGACTTGGAGACGTTCTTGATCGTGTTGATGTGGAACGGCACCGCGTAGCCGTAGATCGGCAGGAAGACGGTCTGTGCGCGCTGGTCGACGAAGATCTGGCGCAGAGAGCGTCAGCTGAAATGGCGCACAGCGCGCATCGCATCGCTCACCCGCAGGTCCTGCGTCTTGGACGGGAAGTCGACGATGCGCTTGTACGACTCGAACTTCTTGAACGTCTTGCCCGCCTGCCCGCCGTCGGCGCCATCAGCGTCAGCAAAGCGCGCCAAGCCGTCCTCCTGCTTCTGCTGCGCCAGGTCGCGCTGGTGCTCGCGGATCTTGTTGGCCGTCGTTGCGTCCATGGCGTCCTTGCGCGACTTGTTGCGCAGCACCTTGCCGCCAGCGGTGACGTTGGCCGGCTCGGCCTTCTTCTTCGGCGACGCCTTCTTGCCGGCGTCCTCCTCCTCATCGTCGTCGTCCTTGTAGAAGATGCAGTCGGTCGCCGACTTCAGCCGGTCGGTCAGGTACGACGCCGGCCCGTCGCTGACGCGCACAGTGTCGATGAGAAGCAGCGAGTACGTCTTGCCCTCATTGTTTGGGTCGTCGATGCCGTCAAAGCCGAGCGACAGGTTGAAGGCCATGTCCTTGCGGATGGCGCGGCTGTTCTTTGCCGAGAGCGTGTAGCTGCCGTCGCGGAACTCAATGCCCGTGGCGAAGCCGATGTTCTTGACGAGCCGCTGCGCCAGCGAGCTGTTCTTCGCCGCCACAAACTTCTGCGCCTGCTCGTACACATCACGGCACGTCGCGCCCGCACGCAGATACTTCTCCACAATCTCCGTCTGCAGCTCGAGCAGCAGCGCGAGGTTCTTCGCTTGCGACTGGACGGGACGGCATGAGCAGGCTGGCGATGTGGTGAGCCCTGACGCAAACACACCTTGTGCGGGTCAACAAGGTAGCTGCGGCCGATGTTGGAGCAGTAGCTCTTGTACTTCATGCCCATGCTCGCGAGGATCACACCGCCGCCGTCGGCGCCCTCGAGGCGCGCATCGTTCGACTGCGCCGACGTGCGCAGGTCATAGTCGCCGCCCGACTGGATGATCGGCGAGTAGCAAAAGTCGGCCAGCGTGATGTCGACCTGCCGCAGCTGTCAGCGCGCAGTCGCGATGCGATAGGCCGGCAGACTCACGCCCTCGGCACCCTTGACCTTCTTCCAGAACGCCCGGTTCTCCAGCTGATCCTCCACCTTCGCCGCCAGCTTCTCGTGCGTCACTTTCTTTCCCTCGTCGAGCACGCTGCTCATTTCGTCGACGAAGTATCGGGTGATGATGCCCGTGCTGAGCTTGGCCGCCGTGCGGGTGAGTTTCTGCGGCAGATTGTCAGCACGCCAGCTCTGTCTGAAGCGAGCCAGAGGGTAGTCGGCATCGGCAGGTAGCCTGGGCTCGGACCGGCGCTGCGCCAGTCGCTGGCCTGACGTGGCCGCAGTTCCTCTCGGCGCGAGCCAAGCGGCCCGCACTGACGCATCGCTGCCCGTTCCGCCTGGTATGCCTGCGCTCGCCGCTCGGCGCAACTCCTGCCTCTCATTGCCGCCGCACTCACGAGCTCGTCCTCGTCCTTGCTCGCCACCGCCACACTGAAAGGCGTCGAGGCGTCGACCGTCTCCAGCTTCTGCGCATCGATGCGCTTCTGCAGCGCAGCCTGCCACTCCACTGCCACCTTGCCAATCGGCTTCTCCTTGGGGAATACGCCCACGCGCTTCTGCAGAGCGGCCGTGAGCTGAGCGCTGCGCAAGGCGAGTGGGCGGCACGCACCCCGTTGCCCTCTAGCCGGTCCAGCACCTCCTCCCAGACACGTGCGTTGTGCGCCTCGTCCTTGGTGCGCTTCAGCACCTTGACTTCCACGTCGCTCGAGTGCAGGCCCTCGATGTACTTGGCTGCAGCAGACGTCAGCGCTCAGGCACTTGCAATGCGACGCGGTGCAGCACTCACTCTTGCTTTCTGAGGAGACGAACAGCAGGCCCTTGGCGTCGAAGAGGATCAGGGTGGAGGGGAACTCGTAGCCGAGCAGCCAGGTCTGCAGCGGCGGTCAGCAAAAGCCGAATGGGTAATGAGCGGCAGCGCGCGCCTGCCGCCAGGCCGCCAGCAGCGCCGGGGCAGTCTCCACTCCACGCCGCGCTGGCATTCGCTGCCCACCATTCGACCACAGCCAGCCCACTCACGTGCAGCGCCTGCGTCTTGCTGTACGCCACGTCTTGGTTCTGGCCGCCCATCAGAATCGCGACCGAGTCTGCGTTGGCGAATGTCTCGTCCGCCGGGCCCGCATCGGCCTGCCGCTGTGCGTCAGCAGACATCCTTCTCAGGCACTGAGCAGCGTCGACGCACCTTGAAGCGCGCGAGCAGCTGCTTTGCGCGCCGCGTGAAGGCGACACGGTCGACTTTGATCTCCTCGGACATGGTGCAGGGGTGGAGGGACGTCGTCGTGGCGGGAGGCAGGTGCTGCCCGGCTGGTGCGCACCTCAACACCTTCCTGAGATCACCTCTCGCACGGCGCACGTCGCCCATCACATCCATCACGCGGCGACGCGTAGATTGACGCGTCGGCGGGGGAGTCGCGCGCGCGTTCTGTCCCATGCTCCTGTCGCCTGACAAGCCGGCAAGGTCCTGCCCTGAGTGACAGAGCCTACTCCTCCGCTGACCGGCGGTAGCCAGCACATACTTCGGGGCTTGAGCGAGCAGGAACAGCAATCTTGTGCAGCAGCATCTGACAGGCTGACTGTGCTCGCCTTGCGCGCTCGCTCCTCTCAGGCTGCCCGGCGCTGTGGCGTGCATCGCATCCTCCAGAGCAACTTGGCTTCGTCGATATTGACGCACGCGCGTGCACCCACGTGCAGCTGAGAAGGCATGGTCGTGGACGGGCCAAGTCTCGTTGCGCTGCGCCATGTCAAGCGTGCTCAGCCTGCGCAGCGGCGTCGAGAGGCAAAACCTCAATTTTACGCTGTCTGAGCCCCTGGGCCTGAGTCATGCTTCGACTGCACCGCTCCGCTGCGGCACACATGGCGTACAAGGTCCTCACACCACCTATCAGATCACAATATGTCATGACTCCACAGACGTTCCGCTCTACACCCCGCTTCCCTCCTTGCTCGACGTCTTGCCGCCGACGTCTGTGGCCCCCGGTGCAGACGCCCGGGCGCGTGCGAGAGCCAGCTGATGGCCAATGTCGAGGGGACCGACGTAGTTGCGGCGTCCATCGACGAGGTACCTGCGAGTCCAGCCAGGCGTGAGCGCAGATCGGGCCGACCGACAGCGTCCGACTCACGAGATGACGGCAATGAGCGTCACAACAGCGCACACGACGACGACGTAGTTCATGTTGCTGCCCGACACCGGTAGCTGTCGAGGTGCGTCAGTGACTGAACGCAGCGTGAGCTCTGCTCAGCCACGCACCTCGGACGGGAAGAAGAAGAAGACAGTCGTCAGGAGCATGAACGCAACGCCCTGTCGGTGAATCTGGTGAGCTAGGCGCAAGGCGCCCTGAAGCAAGAGCACGTACGTATGCGTTGACTGCGGCGTGTGAGCGTCAGCATTGCCTTGTCAGATGTGAGCTGCGAACGCGACTCACCAGCATAGCCCCAGCGCCCGAGATCGAACGTCCGCGGCTCGCCTTCAGCAAGCTCATCGAGCAGTCGCCGTCCGCGAATAAGCAGCAGGATGACCGGGATGCAGTACGACACCTGCACAACGCGTAAGCCAGATCGTGCTGAGCTGTTCTGCGCTGTGCCTCACCTGTAGCAGCACGACACTCGCGCTCAAGATAGAGTTGAGGGCAGTCGAGGAGCCCAGGAACTGCACAGGCCTCAGGTCAGCGCGCTTAGAAACCCCCTCTTTCGAGCTGACGCACCACCAGGCCGAAGATGCAGACCCAGATTGTCGAGAAGGTGATGGCAGGCACCGGCACGCCGAGCCGCTCATTCTCGCTCGCGAAGAAGCTCGAGAAGATAATGCCGCGGTCGCGCGCGAACGCCTGCGTCTGGCGCGAGCTGGCGCATAGGATACTGCGAGAAGGCGTGAGAGGCAGACACCCTGGACGCTGGCGGCATGCTCACGCGATGGCGGCGAATGCCATAGAAGCGACCGGGAAGACGTAGAGGCAGATCGCGCCAGCGCGATTGTCTGCAGGCAGAGCGTCAGCCTGAGCAGCGACGTGTGCGGCTAGGCATCACGCACTGGTCGCCTGATACAGAATCGTGAGCAACGGCCCAGCAGAGCCGGTCGTGACCTCCGCAAAGTCGGAGAGGACAAAGAGGAACGTGATGAGCAGGATGATCGCAGAGCTGCGGAGCGACTGTTAGCAAGGAGTCCAGGTTGCTGCAGGCTGAGACCTCACCCTGCGCCGATGATCGGAGCGAGGATCATTGCACGCGGTGCGTTCAACGCTGGGTTCGGCAGTTCGTGTACCTGGAGCGCGTGTGAGCGCAGCGCAAGGCATGACTAGCAGGGGACGCACCATGTGCGTGACGCCATCGACGCCGACGAGACCGCTGCGAGCGTGCTAGTCAGCAAAGCGCACCACCGGTGACATCGAAAGAGACGCACAATGTGCTCTGCAGCAGTCCGAGAATCCACGCCACGCCGTCAGGCCAGCCGGTTGAGTTGACGAACTGCCGAAAGACAAAGTCGCCCGACTGGAACGTCGGCGAGGCGCAGGCGAGCGTCGTGATCATGATGACGGCGACGCCTGCGAGCGACCAGAAGAGGGCGGCGCGGTTGATTGGGTCGAGCAGCGAGGCGCCGAACACATTGACCAGCCAGCCGAGGATCGCAAAGCCAACATAGATGAGAAAGACGTGCCACGCCTTCTCCTCGTAGTCCGGGTGCATGAGCGCGATCGCGCCGACGATGAGGGTGCCCGCAAGCGAGCTGGTCGTGGCAGTGAGGCAGACCCAGCCTGCGACGGCGATCCAGCCCGTGATGAAGGCCGTGGCCTTCTGGTACGAGCGGCCGGAGAGCATGAAGGCCCAGTGATATGGCCCACCCGACGTTGGCGCGACAGCACAGCACTCGGCCAGACTGGCAGCAATCGCCAGCACGCCGGTTGCGGACACGACGACGCCCCAGATGACGCTGACGGGCCCGCCGCTGCTGAGCACGACGCTGAGACTGGCGCTCATGGCGGTGGGCGAGTTCTGTGCACAGAAGGGTCAGCAGTGCGGGCGAATGCGCCACACTGTCCGCCACGCAAGCGCCACTCCGTCTGGCACGCACAAGGATGGCATAGCTGAGCCCGATGATGCTCAGCAGGCCAAAGCGGTTCTGGTGCGCGCCCTGCTCGAGCGGCGTGCTGGCGGCGGCGGCGACCTGCTCGTCGAGCGCATGCAGCGTCGGCGCCACGGCCTTCTCGCCCGACGGCGGCGCGTGCGTGGACATTGTGGGGCTTGAGGTGGTGGTGAGAAGGCAGCAAGTGCCGCCGTTCACAGTGGCGCGATAGCAGCCGGCCGAGGCACGGCCTCGCTCTCGGCGGTGCGGTGGGACCAGCGGCGTCTCAACAGACGTGCCGCGGCAGCTCAGCCGCCGCTGCCGATGCCGCGCCGCCGGCACGCGAGGCGCAACATCGGGCCGCGGCACAACGAGGCGCTATCTCTGGCCCCACAGAGCGCGGCCGCGGCAGCGACAGCGCTCGAGTCGAGGCTCACGAGGCTGGACGAGCCATGCGAGGTGGTGGCCGCGGTGGTGTTGAGGCGTCTGCACTGAGGGGAGCGCAGCATCCACTTTCCAGCTGCAGGTGCTCGCTCGACTCGAGGTGCATGCACGCGCAGGCAGCGTGGGAACGGCATGTGGAGTGGAGCGCGATGCGTGCGGCATGCGGGGACGGGCCCCAAGCGCGCGTGGCCCGCGCCAGCCAGCGCGGGAGGAGCAGCGACAGCACTGGCGGCGCACGGCATCCGCTCTTCGCTCACCACCACATCCACCCGCACACACGCACACACCATGTCCTACGCCAACAACCTCGCGCCCATCGCCTGCCTCTCGGGCGCCACCGCTGTCGCGCTCGGCGCGTTTGGCGCACACAGCCTCAAGGACCGCCTCTCGTGCGTGTGGCCGCGCAGCCAGCGCGCTTCTCACACTCACTCAGCCCTCTCCTGCGCAGCTCGTACCAGCAGGAGTCGTGGAAGACGGCCGTCTCCTACCAACTCGTCCACTCCGGCGTGCTGCTCCTCGTCGCCACGCTCCCCGCGCTGCCCAGCTCGTCGCAGGCCGGCGGCGCGCGCAGCTTTGCCGCCGCGGCCCTCGGCTCGGGCATTGCCCTCTTCTCCGGCTCGGTGAGTGGCAGAGCAGTGGAGGAGAAGGCAGGGCGCAGCGGATGGGTCACACAAGGTGGGGCACGTGGGCGAGACAAGTGGCGCGAAGGGCCAGACGATGAGCGCAGCGGGGCGAGAAAGGAGAGATGAAGCATGGCGGCCTCGCCCGCCCGCCGCAGCGGCCCCACATGCGCCTTCGGCCTGTCCAGGGCTCAACATGCTTCCCACGTGCAGATCTACGGCCTCTGCCTCACCAAGGAGGGCGACGGCATCCGCAAGGTGAGCTGGGAGAGCGCGGCGCTTCGCACTTGCCCTTCTCACACGCTCCGCAGGCTCTGGGCCCCGCGACGCCCATCGGCGGCCTCGCGCTCATCGCCGGCTGGGTCAGCCTGGCCGTCAGCTTCCGTGGCGGCATTGCGCCGCGCCTGCGCTGAGCCGGCGCTGCAGACCCGCCATACCCTGCTCCGTATGCCACCCCTCCCTTTCCCCAGCAATGCAGCTGCTCTCACACAGGTGCGGTGCGGAGCGAATAGTGACACAGACGAGAACTAGAGTACAGGCGCGCGCCGGCGACGGCCGCGGCAGGGCGAGAGCGACGAGCGAGAGGGATGCGAGGGGACCGAGGACAGAGATTGCGGCTAGCCGTCGACGCGGCCACTGATGTCTGTATGAGACGGCTGTCAGCGAGAGCGAGCGACGTCGCGTGTGGGACGCACAGTCTGGCCCTTCTGCTGCCCGGTACTCTGTAAACGTGCATGGTCAGCTGCTGCCGTGCAGAGGCACACGCGCCACAACGCACCGGCCATGAGCTCGGTGACCGTCTCGTACGACTCGTCGCTGTTGGGCTACGTCAGCTGGCGCTCTGCCCACTCACGCTGCCGCACTTACAACTCGGACAGGTCGTTGGCGAACATCGGCTCGCGCTTGTACATGTCCAGAAAGGCGTTGCGTTTCCGCAGGCGGTCGTACTGGTCGAGCGTGCGCTTGAAGATGCCGGCGATGCCCGTGTGGTTGGCAAGCATGAGGCCGTTGACGCGGTGCGTGGCCGCCGTGTACGGGCCGCGCTTCGCCAGCGCCACCTGAATGCTCGCCGGGCCCCAGGGGATGAAGCTGGCGAGGTGCTTCTCGCGGATGCGCACGAGCGACTTGTGCACGTCGCGCGGGTCGATCGAGTCGCCCTGCAGGATGTTGAGGATGCTGATGTAGCACGCCTTCTTCGACGCGCCCTGTGTCGAGACCATGCGGTTCTTGGGCTGCAGCAGCCGCCGCATCACGTCGAGCACCGACGTCTTCGTCGTCGCCTTGCCGCGCTCAATCGTGTCCGAGGTGAAGGGCGTGTACGACGTCATGAGGAAGTGGGCGCGCGGCGTCGGGATGAGCGAGGCGAGCATGCCGACCTGAGCGGAGGTGAGCGATTTTCCGGGCCGGCAGGTGCAGGGCGCTCACCAGGTCGTTGTTCATGTAGCCCGGGTAGCGCAGCGTCAGCGTCGAGGCGCCCATCACCGTGCTGACGAGCTGATTTGTTTGTCTGAGGCCGGTGTGTGAGCGTCACCCTCTCCGCACCAACAGCGCTAGCCACGCAGCACTCACGAGTAGCTCGGGTTGCTCAGGTGCAGCCGGTCCGCCGCAATGCGCGCTAGCTGCGCATTGTCCAGCACCACGACGCTGTCTGCATGGTCGACGAGCCGCCGCATGGCCAGCACACTGTTATACGGCTGCACGACCACGTCGGACGTCTCTTCCGAGTTCGGGAACACCGAGTACGTCTGGATCAGCTTCTTCGGATACGCGTCCGAGAGCTTCTCCAGCAGAAAGGAGCCGAGACCCGAGCCTGTGCCGCCGGCAATCGAGTGCAGCAGCATGAAGCCCTGTGCAGAGGTGTGAGCAAGTTGGCAGGGCCTCGGGCGCAGCTGTGGCTCCTGACGCGTGCGTCTGAGACCTTCCAGCGCCAGTCGCAGCCGCATCGGACGTCTGCTTGGACACGCTCCTGGCACGCCGGCTCTCAGTGCACGATACACTCTCGTGCGCCCGTCCGCCAGCGCTCCTCCCACCTGCCCACCACGCCTATGCAGTCTGCATCACTCCACCCCCCGTCTCACTCACCTCGAGGCTGTCGCTGCCGTCGGCCTCGCGGTCGATCATCTCGATTAGCTCGTCCTGGATCTTCTCTCCCGCGCCGTAGCCCTGGCCCCAGTTGTTGCCTGCGCCGCCGCCGTTCTTCGACACGTGGATGTTCTCGGGGTTGTAGAGCTTGCCGTACGGCCCGTTCATGATGCCGCCGATGACGCGCGGCTCCGTGTCGACGAGGATGGCGCGCGGAACGTAGTGCTCATCGTCGGCCTGGTAGAAGAAGACGTCCTTGCGGTCGCCGGCACTGCCCTCGCTCGCGTACTCCTCGAGCGTGCCGTCCTGGCTGATGCCGTGGTCCTTGCAGAGGTGCTCCCAGAACTGCGAGCCGATCTGGTTGCCGCACTGGCCCGCCTGGAGCGTGATGAGCTCGCGCGGCATGGTGCGCGGGGTGATGCGCCGGGGCTGCGGCGGTGCGAGGGGCGAGGTGAGGGTGTGGAGATGGGCGACGCCGCAAAGTGTTGCTCGACGCGCGGCGGGAATCGAATAGACGCGTCGCGGCGCGCGCCGCCGCATTGCCGCCGCACAGCCAGCCTCTGGAGCGGCGCCTTCTGCCCCACGTGACGCCGCCCTCAGGTGGAGCAGCTGCTCACCCTCCCACCACCACCATGCCCAAGGCCAAGGCAGGCAAGGCGGCCGCACCTGCCGCCGCCGCCGTGCGCACTGCTCCCAGCGACGCCAATCCGCCGGCCTGGCCCACTGTACCCGTGCCGCGCAGCCTGGCGCCCGAGACGCTGCTCGAGCAGCAGATCGTGCTGCTGCCGGCACTCCTCTCGCCCGCCGCGTGCGCCGCCATCGTCGCCCTCTTCACGCCGCCCTCGCCGCACGCCGCTCAGCTGCTGCCGTCGCCCGCAGCGCGCCGCGGCGAGGCGCAGCGCACCAATGCGCGCTTCCAGGTCAACGACGCCGTCTTTGCCGCTGCCCTCTACGCCGCCCTCGCACCCGCTGTCGCGCAGTGGAGTGAGGCCGGGCTGCCCGCCGCAGGCCTGCATCCCAAGATCCGCGTGTACCGCTACTCGCCCGGCGACATCTTCGGCGCACACTACGACGGCCACATCGACGACGACGCCCACCCGCAGCGCCGCTCTGGCTGGACCGTGCTCGTGTACCTCACCGGCGAGGAGGACGGTGTGCTGGGCGGACAGACGGTCTTCTACACCAAGCACAAGAAGAACGACAAGGACAGAGTCGTGGCACCGCTGAAGCGCGGCATGGCGCTGCTGCACCGCCACGGACAGGTGAGTGTGGCTGTGATAGGGCGCAGCGACAGCTGGCGGGCTCTGCCTGCCGTCGAGCTGAGGCTGATGGGCGCCTGGCGCAGGCCTGCATGCTGCACGAGGCACTGCCGCCGACGCGCGGCACCAAGTGGGTCCTCAGGTCGGACCTGATGTTCGGCGCCGCCTAGGGCCAGGCCAGCGGGCATCTCCACGAACACACCTCTGGCGGGCGCGAGGCTTGCATTGCCCCGGCACACGTTCTGCCTGCCACGATGCTGCAAAGCCGGGCATGCACAACGGCATGCGCGCTCACTTGGCCAGGTTCGGCCGGTGGTTGTGGTCTGCGCAGAAGCGTCAGCCGCTCGCATCTTCGCACTCGCGACTCGCGCGGACGCACATGGTGACGCTTGCTGCGAGGGGCCGATCGAAAGGCAAAGGTCAGCGCGCCGCACAGTCGGCGTGGTCTTACGCACATTGACTGGGAAGATGAGAGACTATGAGGGCACACATCAGCTGCGGTCCGTCCAACACTGCCGCTCTCACTCACCTCGGCGACGTTGACATGCGCCGGCCGTGACGCGCACCAGACGATCTCCTCCGCAATGTCCTGCTCGCAATACATCAGTGCTGCCACACTTCCACCTTCGTGCTCTCCTCACCTCGGGCGTGAGCGGTTGCAGACCCTCGTACACCTTGTCCGCGGCGCCCTTGTCGCCGCGGAAGCGCGTGACGGAGAAGTTGGTCTCGACCATGCCCGGCTGGATCTCCGAGACGCGGATCGGCGTGCTGACGAGCTCCTTGAGCAGCGCCGACGTGAAGGCGTTGACGGCAAACTTGGAGGCGCAGTAGATGGCGCCGCCCGGGTACGCCTCGCGCCCAGCAATCGAGCCGAGCGTGATGATGTGGCCGGCGCTTCGCGCCTTGAACTCTGACGGCGCGGGTCTGAGCCGCAGCCCCGCCTCACACGCGCAGCCAACTCACCCCGCACGAAGAGCTGCACCGTGGCGATGAGACCCACGACGTTGGTCTGGATCATCGTGTCGATCTCGTCGCCGCTGATGTCGCCCACCTTGTCGGTGCCGAGCACGAGGCCGGCGTTGGCGAGGAGCACGTCGACGTTCTTCGCCCAGTCAGGCAGGCGCGGCAGCAGATTCGTCTCGATGGCCTTGCGGTCCTGCATGTCGAGCACGAGCGAGGCATACTTGCCGCCCGCGCCGCTGCCGCCCTCTTTGTTGGCGGCCGTGCACTGCTCGACGACGGCATCGAGCGCGTCCTGGCGGCGCGCCGAGACGACGACGTTGGCGCCGGCGCGGGCGAAGAGCCCGGCCGTGGCGGCGCCAATGCCGCCCGAAGCGCCGGTGATGCTGCGGAAGGGCGTGAGCCGGCGGGCGCGGCATGTGGCCGCTGCAGCGCGACGCACAAGACGGTCTTGTTGTGCAGGCGGTCGCTGCGGAAGACGGACATGCTGGGCGCGGGCGAGGCGGAGAAGCGGCGGGCGGCGGCGGGTGCGGTGCGGAGGATGGGTGCGAGACGGAGGAGCGGGCAGCGGAGCATCGAGCGTCGCGCCGGCTGCAGTCGAGAGGGATGGAGGAGGAGAGGGAAGCGCTGGCGTGACTCGCGCCTCGCTGCTCGCCATCGCCGCTGGTGGAGCGTGCGCCGCTGGAGCGGAGCAAGCGGCACTCCACACGGCGAGGCCGCGTTCCCACGCCCAGCGAGCGGTCTGCGAGCCGAGCCGGCGCGCGCAGCTTGCCGTCTTACCTCAACCTCCTCGACCCGCACTCGTTCAGCCGCCGTCTCGCAACCTGCAGTACCCCGCGCACCCGACCATGGCCTCAACATTGCGCGCACTCGCTCGCGCACCGCTCCGCACCGCCTTCGCCTCGTCCAGCCGCGCCGCCTGCGCCGTGCGGCAACACGCCACTCCCCGAGCACTGCCGGCTGCCGCGCGCGCCTTCGGCCACTCGCCATCGCACCGCTCAGCCGCCGCCTCGACGTCCGCAGCCGCAGCTTCACCTTCCGCGCCACCGCCATCAGCAGGTGGAGTGCGTCTCTCGCGCGCGCCTTCCGCACCAGAAGAGGAGCGCGTGGGCATGCAGACGCCGCCCGTGCAGCTCACCGAGCGCGCCGCCGAGCGCCTCGCTGCGCTGGCCAAGCGCGAGAAGCGCGAAGGCATCGCGCTGCGAGTCGAGGTCACACCGGGTGGTTGTCACGGATATCAGTACCGCATGGATGTGGAGGAGGACGTCAATGGAGAGGAGGATGACTTGTGAGTGCCGCACAAGACGTGGCGGGTGGAGAAGGATGAGATCTGGCGACCTGGACGGGTGCAGGGACGAGGCTGTCCCGCGAGAAGGGCAGTGCGAGAGAGCATACAATCTCAGAACAGGCTTCGGCAAGCGCAGGCTCGCTCTGCTCGGTGCCGATGTGGATCGGACGCGACGCGACGGCAGTCTGCTGCGGCAAACCGGGCTCCGTGCGCACCAGTGCTGTCGTGCTGAAGGCGCCGTAAAGCCATCTCCGGCTGCGAAGGACGTTCGCTGCACGTTGCGCAGACTATTGAGGCTGACATCCAAACGCGTTTCACAGCCGCTTCACGCCCGCGTCGCACTCCAATACGCACCTGCTCGTCGACTCGCACTCGCTCTGGCTGCTCAAGGGCTCGACGATCGACTACGCCACGGAGCTGATTGTGCGGGTGCCAGAGAGACAACTTGAAGTCAGCTACTGACCTGTTCGTCTCCTTGCAGGGCTCGCAGTTTGTCGTGCAGGACAGTGAGCATCATCGCGAGACAGCCGCTCAGCTCGCCGCTGACGTGCCCCTCCCAGACCCGCAAGTAGCCGGCGCCGGCTGCGGCTGCGGCGTCAGCTTCGACTTGAACGTCGATGCGATCTGAGCGCGCAGACACACAGGACTGCTCTTCTCTTCACGCGACAATGTCAGAGCAATCGTTGCATTCGTCGCGGTGTCGTTATACTGCGTCGTGGCGCAACAGTCGTTAAGGGTGCGGGAAGAACAGGGCGGCGAAGAAAACAGGCGCCTCGGACACAGGCCACGTGAGAGGGGACGGGGCGAGGCGCAGGTATCGACAGGTAGGACTAAGAGATGCGAGACGAACAGGGATAGACGTGGAGATGAGGAGAGGGGAGCGCTTCGGGCACGTCGAGCGACGGCGAGCGAGGAAAGAGGATTATAAGGAGCCTAGTGAGACGGTGCAGACTTTTCCCGAGGTGCAGGCTTAGTAGCCGACCCAACGGCTGCGCAGGCCCTCGATCCAGCGGCCGTAGAGCAGGTCGACGATGGGCGAGCTGCGCTCCTGCTCCGCCGCTGCCGGCTGCACGGGCGACGTGGGCTGCAGCTTGGCGCGGAACGTCGTCGAGATGTTGGCCCGCGCCTGCTCGTTTTCGCTCATGCCGATGAGCAGGTCGACGATCGTCGTGTACGCGAGCTTTGGGTTCGAGGCGCCCAGGTTCTCGAAGCCCTTGGCGATCATCGAGAGCGCCTCGATCTCGTGCGCCGGCATGTTCTCGGCCTTGGCACGCTCCAGCACCGGCAGCACGACGTCGGAGATGAGCGCCTGGCCGGCTTGCTCCAGGTTCTCCTCCGAGACGCCGCCGGAGCCGCTTCGCGACTTGCTATGTCCCACGCGTGGGCTGCCGGGCGTGCGCTGTGCGCTGGCAGTGTCGAGCACGGGTGCGGCGAGGCCGCTGCCCGATGGACTGCCCGCAGAAGCAGTGCGCGGGCTGCCGATGTACTCTGAGCTGATGCGCGCGCTGCCGCCGGCATCCAGTCGCTTGACTGGCCGAATCGTGTCCATGCCCGTTGCCACGTCTGCCTCGCGCAGCACCGTACCGTTGATGTCGTGGCGCTCGTTCCAGCTGCTGCGCCGTGCGCGGCTACTGCCACCGCCACGCGCCCAGCTGGCCGTCGCCTCAGACGTGCTCGGGCGGCCGCGGCCGAGTGGGCTCGGCGGCTCCTCCTCGACTGCGCCGGCGGCTCCGGCGCCGCCCGGAGGCGGTGCCAGGCGCGAGGCAGCGAGACTGGGCCGCGAAGGCGACTCGAGGTGCTCAGTGTCGGGGCCGCCCGGCCGCATGCCGCGGAACGAATTCTTGAGGGCGTTGATGTGCACAGACGAAGACGAAGCGTCCTCACGCATCGGCGTCGACGCAGCGCTCGTCGCCGGCGTGCTGCCGCCGGCGCGCGACGTGTTGTCGCTTGTGCCGCTGTGGATGCTAGACGCGTCGTCGTCGATGGGCGCCGCGTCTGCGAGCAGACGGCTGCGGGACATCACGTTGCTCTCCATCGCGCCCATGAGCTCGCCGACGGGGCGCATGTCCTTCTTCACCGTCGCATAGCCCGGACGGTCCTCGCCGACGCTCGGCGGGCCGCGTCCGCTCGTCTGCCACACGTCGACGCTCTCGAAGCTGTCGTCGAGCGACGAGTCCATGGCCGAGCGCATCGTGTCGAACTGCCAGGCGCTCATCACCGTGCCGTTGGGGTCCATCGACGAGTCGCCGTCGCGGTTGCTCATCTGCGTGCCGTTCTGCAGGTGGTCGCGCACGATGTTGCCGCCGCGGTTGGCGCCGCGTGCCTTGTACTCCTGGTGCCGCTCGATGAGGTCCGTCAGCACGCTCGTCTTGCGCGCGCCCTTGATGAAGCGGTGGTTGATCAGCTCCTTGACCGACGGGCGCTGCTTGGGCTCCTTGATGAGACACAGATCGACAAAGTCCTTGAACTCGCGGCTGAAGTTGCCCTCGAGCGTCGGCGGCTTGGCCTTGGGGATCAGGAAGAGCACGCGCATCGGGTGGTACTCGGCCAGCGGCGGCTCGCCCTTGGCCATCTCGATGGCGGTGATGCCGAGCGACCAGATGTCCGCCTTGGCGTCGTAGCCCGCCTGGCGGATCACCTCGGGCGCCATCCAGAAGGGGGTGCCCACGAATGTGTTGCGGCGCGACTTGTTGCTCGACAGCTGCGCAGCCACGCCAAAGTCGGCTGTAGAGAGTGTGTGTTCAGTGCGGCTCTTCGCATACGCTGCGCAAGGTGCACTCACCCAGCTTGACCTTGCCTGAGGCGCTCAGCAGCACGTTGGCGGCCTTGATGTCGCGGTGGATCTTGCCCTCGTTGTGCAGATATTCGAGGCCGAGCAGCAGCTCACGCACGACGATGGCGATGTGCTCCTCGCGGAACGGACCGGCCTTGAGCAGGTCGAGACACGAGCCACCAGCCAGATACTCCATGACTGCGACGGCAATGTCAGCAAGAGGCGCTTGCTCCCCTGCCGCAGCCGATCGTCGGGTCCCGCGCAGCTCAGGGGCCAGTCCGGCATGGGGCTCAGGAAGGACGCCCCTGTCGATCACTCGCCGGCCGTCGCGGTCCGGCGCTTGCTCGGACCGCCTCGCGCCCAGCACAATCTGCCCAGCCCCACCGCCGCCTAATGCGACACTCACCGATCCAGAGCTTGTAGCCCTTGACGAAGCTGCCGTAGTAGCGCGTGACCCACTCGCTATCGCACTGCGCCAGGTGCGCAATCTCCATCTGGATCTCGCTGATGTCGTCGTCCGAGTCCTCGAGGTCGATCTGCTTGATGGCGACGATCTGGCGCGTCTCGCGGTGCATGCCCTTGTACACGGTGCCGAACGAGCCCGTGCCGAGCTTCTCCAGCAGCTGGTACTGCTCGCTGAGCGCCAGGCCCGAGACGACGGGCGACGTCGGCGCATGGGTCACGGACGCCAGTGCGCCGGCCGACGTGGGCACGGCGGCGACGGGCACATCGCCGCTGCTCGTGCGCGTGCGCGAGAAGCCGTGCGAGCTGCGCCGCGGCGTCAGCAGCGGCGAGCGCGACGGCAGGATGTTGGGCTGCGGGCAGAATGTGAGCATCGGTTGATCAAGGCTCCAGAAATGCCACGCCGAGCAGCACATCCTCCAGCGATGCGCATACATGCGGCCTGGCAGGCCCGCAGCGGCCAATGCGCGGCGCAAACACTCGGACGAGCAGCACGCACCATGGTGCTGGGTGACTCTCAGACAAGAAGCACGCTTGTGCAGGTGCAGAGCGCAGGCGCAGGTTCGACAGCACCAGCGGCGTCAGATGCAGCGGTGTGCGGACGACGGCGCGGCTCAGCGAGTGGCGGCGATAGGGTCCTGGCGCGCGCGGCAGCAACGGCGGCAGCGTAGATGGGGCAAAGTCGTTAGTCGTGAGGCGTCGTGAGGATGCGTGAGTGCGAGTAGGCGGAGGGTGTCGTGAGGGTGGTGCGGCGAGGTGAGCGCGGATGCGGTGGAGAGGAGGCAGGGGCGGGCGAGGACAGAGTGCGAGGGCTGGATGCAGCGTGTGTGTTTCCAAGGCACTTTCTGGCGGGCGCGGGCGGCGGCGAGGGCGGGCACGGCGCCTGCACCGCGCCCGCTGCTGCGCCGCGCGCCCGTCGGCCTCGCGCACCACGCCGCCCGCCCGCAGCCCCGCGCGCTCGCAGATGAGCAGGCACACCCGGTCGTCGGTCGCACCTGCCCGCGCTCACGCTCGTCTGACCCGCCCAAGCGCAGCGCAGCAGCACGATTGCGCCGCATCTCGAGAATGAAGAGGCACAGCCGCGAGCGGTTGCGTCTCGCGCTCAGGGACGAGCTGACGAGGCCGCCGCCCCTAGGGCCCGCGCAGAGTGCACTTCCCAGCCAGAGACGCGCCCATCAGCCGATGATGACGGCCTCGCCGAGCACTCGCCGCCGGCCTAGCGGATGTGCTGCAGCCACACGCTCTCTCTGCTCCCGCGGCTGCAGCACGCCGGCGAGCACGAGGCTCCGATCTCGCTCTCTGGCGGCTGATGCGCGCAAGCATCATCACAGCCTGCTCAGGGGCAGCAGGGCTCTCGCGCGATAGAGCGTGGCCGAGGCTGCGGCTGCTCCCGCTCCTCCTCCGCACGCCGCCTCCCAACGGCTCGCCTGCAGCCCTTCCCCATACGGCAAGCGCCTCCTCTCCCGCGGTCGCTCGGCTGCAGTATCTGCCGCAGGCAGTAAGAGTCGAGTCGCCGCAGCACAGCCGCAGCACGCAGCTCAGCCGGCGCCACCGTTCGCTCGCGTGGCTGGCCGAGGCGGGGCCGAGCGGCGTGCTCGCGTGCCCGCAACGCTGCTGCGGCAGCGGCCGCCGCAAGCCGTGCCGGTCGCAGACTAGGCGAAGCATCCGGGCAGACCGCTTCTTTGACAGCATCGGCTTCACTCTTCCTGACTGACAGAGCAAGCTCTGCTGCTGGCAGCTGTGAGCGCGCCAACGTGGCCTCGAAGCTCTGCACGCTGCCCCTGCCGAGCTGTCAGGTTCAGTGAGGGCGTAGAAGCAGCACAGCCGCTCCCGCTCATCAGGAGCAGTCCGTCGTTCGCCTCACTCAATTCCCTCACTGAGCTCTGAATCAAGCCTCGAATAGACGCTTGTTCCTGCCCTGTGACGTCGCAGCACCCAGCTCACGCTGATGCTGCGGCAAGGCCCCTGCTTCCTCATCTCTCTCGCGCTTGCGGAGACAACTCGCCCTAGCCTGGCTTGGCTCGCATCACAGCCTCGGAGCATCGACAACATCCAGCTCGCACCCGACCTTCCATGCACGCTCAGCTGGGCTCCGAAGACGGGCACCAAGGCGGCACAGGCGGCATGACATGCCCCGCCCCCGGCGCGGTGATCGGAGGCTCGCGGCGCGTCGGTAGCCCCTGAGCGCACAAACGCGCGAGAACAATCGGCGGCCTGGCCGGGCAACGCGGGCACCTGGCTGCAGCAGCGACGCACACCCATAGCATGGGCCTCTCTTCTCTTGCTGCCCCCTGGTCACCAACATGCAGCGGCTGACTATGCAATGCATTGCGAGAGAGGAAGCACACACACATACACGTCGCAGCGGTCCCGTCACGGCGGATCAGATGGCGGACAGAGGCACGCGCGGGTCACGCGTCCGCCTCGCCGCCGAAGAGCATGCCGCGCGGGCCGTCCGCGGGCTCGGCGCTGCGCTCGCGCGGCTCGGCACTCTCGCTGCGGCTGGGCGAGGCGTCGGCGTCCAGCCCGCCCTCGCGGCCTTCCTCGCGCGGCTGCTTCGTCGGCGTGCCGTCGCTGCGGCGGCCGGCGACGTACGAGAGGAACGGGTCGGCTGCGCCTGGCGTGCTGGACGCCGGCGCGTCGGCGGCGCGTTCGGGCGACGTCAGCCAGCCCTCGTCGCTCGGCGGCAGCGGGCGGCGCGCCTGCTCGGGCGAGTCGGGCCCGCCGACGTTGAGCAGGTGGTGCGGCTGCTCCTCGCGCTCCTCGTCGTCGTCCTCCTCCTCAAACATGCTCGCGTCGGGGTCGACGTGCGACGGGTCGCGCGCGGCGTCCTGCATGTTGACATCGGGGATGGCGCGTGCCGCCGCCGCCTCGTCCATGTCGAACATCGGCTCGCCCTCCGAGCGCGCCGGCTTGTGCGGGCCGCCGCCGGCCGGGCCAAGCACCAGCTCGCGGCGCTCGTCGAGTGTCGGCGCCGGGTCCGCTGCGGGCAGCGCTTCGACGTCCTCGGGTGCGAGGACGGCGAGGATCGGGTCACGGACCTCGGGACATGTATCGCGATGCAGGCGCGCGAGGATGCCGAGCAGCGCAGTGGAGCGCGAGTGCGGCGAGGCGTAGAGCACATCTGCAGCACAACAGTCAGCGCCGCCGAGCAGGCCTGGGCCGCCGCACTCACCCAGCCGGCACATCAGCGCGACGGCTCGCGCGAGATAGATGCGCACGTCGATGACGCGGTCCTGCGCCAGCTCGACGAGCCGCTCCATCAGCGACAGCTCGACCGACGAGCGCTCGACGTGCGCCTCGAAGAGCGCCTGCATCGCGAGCACACACGCAACGCGCGAGCGGTAGCCCTCGGCGGCGCCCATGTCCGCGAGCATGCCGAGGAAGCCGTCGGCGACCTCTTGGTCGTGCGCGCTAAAGATGCGATACAGCGCGGGGACCTGTGCAGAGCGTCAGCGCTAGTCATGCCAGGCAGTACACCCTACTCACTGAGGCGACACCGGCATCCCGCACGGCGCTGATCGGATCCGCGAGCGCGAGCTGCATCAGCGTGACAAGATTGCCCGACTCGTCCTCCAGCAGGTAGCGCTCGGCCAGCGCAGGAATGTGCTGCGCTAGGCGCTCGCGCAGGCGCCACTCGCGTTCAAAGTGCGCCGACCAGAACGAGTGCAGCTTCTGCAGCTGGCCCTCGGCGTCGGCCGCCGGCAGGCAGCCGAGGAACACATCGAGGTGCTCGATCGCCGCGCCCTTGACCTCGGCGTCCGTGTCCGCCGACCACATCGAGTGCTCGAACAGCTCGACTAGGTCCTCGTGCGCGCGCTGCGGGCCAATGATCTTGGCGACCTCGTGCAGCGATGCGGCGAGACTGCGGCGCACCTTGGGCGACTGCGACGACAGCACCAGCCCGCGGTGCGCCTCGCGCAGGCGCGGCCAATTGTCGGCACCCAGCGTCAGCACGACGGCGGGGAAGTTGTACGCCATGACAAGCGGGCGCTCGGCGTCGAAGCCGAGGCTCGGCCGCGACGTCATTTCGTCGAGCCAGTTCTCCGAGTCAAAGCCGCTGAATGGGTCAGACGCGCGTGCGCCAGCGGACTCGCCGCCATCGCCCGTGCCGTCAAACGGCTCGCCGAGGAAGTGCCGCACGAGCTCGTCGGGCACGCCCGCCGGGTCCTCATGGAAGAGGTAGATGGCCTCGCCGATGATCTCCAGCGCCGCCGAGCGCACGTTGCGCGAGACGTCGGCGCTAAAGGTGCGCAGCGCGTCGATGAGGTACTGCCGCTTGACGTCTCGCTCGACTTGGGCGAAGAGCGCGGGGATCGACAGGCAGATCGCCTGGCGGACGTGCCAGATGTCGTCGCCGACAAAGGCGTGGAAGGCCGGCATGAGCGAGCTCATCACTACGCCAGCCGGCACGTGCTTGGCCAGCGCGCCAATCGCAATGGCGACCTCCTTGCGCACGAAGAACGCCGCGTCCGTCTGCAGCTGGACGATCTCGGGCACGACGCGCTGCTCGAGGAGCTCGACAGAGACGAGCGCTTCAGCTGCGAGCGCCGCAAGCAGGCTGACCGAGGCCATCCGGCCCACGGCGGCCTCCTCGTCGACGTCGGCCTTGTCGTAGGCGCTCGTGACGGGCGAGCTCGGGTGGAAGGTGCTCGACGATGGGTCGGCAATCTCCATGTCCGAGTCCTCGCGCTCGGACATGTCGACGTCGGCGTCGCGTTCCGGCGCGTCCTCTGCCAAGCTGTCCTGCTCCGGCTGCTCAGTGGCCGGCGCCGAGGATGCGTCTTCCGCTTGCGCCGCTGCCTGCCGGGCTGTGTCCGTGTGTAGCTTGCCGATCGCGAAGGCGACGTTCTCCAACAGCTCGGCCTCGACGGCATCCCGCTCGCGCTTGCCAAAGTCGTACGGCCGCAGCTCGACGCGCTGGCCCTCACGACCGGAGGCGTCACGCACGAGGCTCGTGTCGAACTGCCACTCGGCCGCCTGCCGCTCGTCCTCGATCGGGTCGCCCGCGGCATCGCTCAGCGTGGCGCCGCGAATGCGCGCAAAGAACTGCACGAGGGCCATCTGCGCCGCGCTCGCGATGCTGTTGTTCGAGTTGAGCAGCAGCGCGCAGAGCAGCGGCGTGAAGACCTCGACGGAGAGCACCGGCCGCGTGGCGTGCTCCTGCGCATCGTCCTCCTCGGGCGGTGCAGGAGCGTCGCTCGCCGGCGGCAGGTCGAGCGGGCAGTTGCGAAAGAAGTACCACATGAGCCGATGCAGCTCGGGCGTGAAGGCAGCGCAGACGTCGAGTTCTGGCAGCGTGTCAGTCGAGACTAGGCATCGCCGCACCGCTCGCACTCACCGTCCGTGCCGAGGCCATTCAGCAGGGGAATGACGTACTCGACGGCGTCGCTGAGGTCGATCTCGTAGATCCAGTCGGCGAGCGAGCGCGCGACGAGGACGCTGTGGAGATGTTAGCGAGGCATCGCACACGTCGTCATGCACACTCACCGATGGAAGGTCATCTCGCTCTTGGCGAACAGGAACATGCGCTCCAGCGTGCTCAGGCCCTCGTCTGCCGCTTCCTCCTCCATCGGCACGTCGCTCTGCGCCTGCTGACCATCTAGCAGCGCGGGATCGACCGAGTCCACGCCGCCCGGAATCTCGCCGCCTGCCCGCCCGCCTGGCGGCGCATTGTCGCGGTCGGGCGAGAGCCAGTCCATCTGCTCCGAGCCCATGCTGCGCCAGTCGGTCGGCTCGTTGCCGTCGCCGCCGCCGTAGAAGCCCAGCATGCTGTCGCGCTGGCTCGTCAGCGGCCAGCCGCGCTCAGACGTCTGTCCGGGGCCGGCGCCGGGAGGCAGGCTGTTCTCTAGCAGCAGCAGTGGCGGCACGACGGGCGAGCGCGTCAGGCTCGGCCGCTTCGGCATATGCGGGCGCGCGGCTGAGCCGGCGGCGGGAGAAGCGCTACTTTCGTCTGCAGCGGACTCGCTCGACTCGGCATGCGGCTCGCCGCCCATCTCGTCGTCGCGCGCGTCATCATCGCTGTCCACGTCGCGGTCACGCTCTTCCGTGTCGCGGTCGTCGTCCTCGTTGATGCTGCCCGAGCGCGAGCCGTTCGAGCCATCTTCAGAGCCAACGTCGTCCGGATCATCGCTGAGCTCATAGCCCGAGCGCGGCGGCATGCCGATGAAGGAGCGCACCTTCGGCGGGCTCTCGCCCATGCCAGGATCAAGGTGTGGCGGCGGCGTCCGTGACGGCGATGGCACCGCGACTGGGCTGCGACTGCGGAACGGGGCGTACGTGCCCATGCCCGACGAGCTCAGGAAGTCTGCCGGCATCGTGGCAGCAAGCGGCGCCGGCGAGGCATTCAGCGCAGAGCGCGCTGCCTCTAATGTCGACGAGAGCGTCTCGCCGCCGCTGTTGCGCCGCTCCAGATTCGACGCAAGGTCCGCAGCCCGCAGCGGCTCGCCGATCGAGATGCCCGCGATCACATTCTGTGCATCGACTTGCGTCTGCGGCCCGCTCGGCGGACTGAGTGCCTTTGCCGTCGGGCTCTCCTCCACCGAGCCGCCGCTCGATGAACTCGAGCTGGAGCTGGAGCGCGAGTGCATGGCCAGCGCCTCCATCACGTTTTTGTGCCCTGTGCGCGCAAAGCTCATCGCCTGCGGCGGCGAGGGCGGCGTCGCGAGGCCCAGCAGCGGGTCCTCTGCTCCGCGCGACATGCGCCGACCCTGCACGGGCGACGAAGAGAGACCTCTTGACGAGCCGCTGCGCTGCCGCGCGTGGGTGCCGCCTCCGTTGACCACAGGCGGCGGTGGCGTGCGCGTGCGCAGCACGGGCGACGAGAAGGAGTGGCGCACCTCGCGCGGCGAGTGCGACAGCTGCCTTGTCATCGAGCTGCTGCCATTCTGCAGCGGATCTACGCCCGCGCCGAAGCGGTGGGGACTTGGTATTGAGATGCCGTCGAGGTTGTGCGGCGACGTCGACGGCGAGGCGGAGCTGGACGAGGACGGAGACGACTCTGCGGGCCAGACCGAGTCGAAGGGATGATTCGGATCTGGGTTCACGGGAATCGCGCGCGGCGACGCTGGCCGGATGATCGGCGAGCGGGTGCCGGGATCGATGGAGCGTCGCCGGGCCGCAGCGACAGGCGAGCTCGTGCCAAAGGCCTGCAATCGCGGCGAGACGGGCACGCCGAATGCGCGCGCAGGCGAGGCAGCACGAATGCTGGCCGAGCCCGCGGCGCCGGACAGGCGCAGGCCGCGCTCGCTCTGCCGCCCTGCGGCACGCTGCTCATCGGACGCATACGCTCCGCTGTCCGAGCCATTGCTCGACGACGAGCGAGACCGCCGCATCTCGGCTCCAGCGCCCTCATCCGGCACCGGCAACACGTCTGGCGACTTGCGCGCGAGCGCAGAGCGGGCCTGCGGCGGAAAGAGCGGCGTCGAGAGACGGTGTGCGGCGTTGGGCGCCGAGGGCCCGGCACGCTCAGATGCCGCTGCGCTGGGCGCCATGGCGCCGCCCATGCTCGGGAACGTCCCAGCACCGGCGCGCGGGCCCTCCCATCCCGCACCGAGGCCCTGCGGGAAGCCAGAGTGGGCCATGACGGGGCTCAGGTTGACGGAGCGCGAGCGCTGGTGCGAGTGCTTCGGCTTGTCGCTGCTGCCGCCGCCGCCGCTCAGCGACGGCCATGCACTTGCCGGGCTAGGGCTGCTGCCGGGAGCGGCATCGTCTCGCTGTGGAGCCGACGAGACATCGGAGGACTCCGCAGCCTCTGTGACGCGTGCGGCGCATCAGTCAGTGGGCTCTGCGGTTGCGCTAGCGGGCAGCCGACCTTCCATGACAAGTGACGCCCTGCCGCCAGCGAAAGCTCGAGACTCACCAGTGCTGTTGGTGTCCGGCATGCTGCTCCAAGCAAGGCGCGATACCGCTCCTCCACCGCGCAGCGCAGAGGGCTAGAGAGAGGCGCGAGAGACGCTGCAGAGGCAGTGCAGACGCAGCGCTTGGTAGGCCGTAGAGCAGCAGAGCAGTGCTGCTCGAGCTGCGGCTGCGCCGGGTGCTACTGCTGTCTGCCGCAAGGCAGAGCTGTGCGGCACGGCAGCCGGGAGACTGAGGCGCCTAGGCACGCGCTGACGGCGCGCGATGCGCAGAAGAGGAGACGACGGCGCCGAGCTCGCGCAGCACAGCAGAGCCAGGACGCAGAGGTGCTGTGGCTGGGCGCAGGCTCGAGAGCGAGCGCGGGTGGAGAGAGAACGGAGCAGGTGGAGCAGACGAGAGAGCAGAGGCCTCGGCGTGGAAGCGAGCGGCCGCGCGCCGTGATGTGCCGTTCGCTGCTGCTCCCGCGCCTGCGGTGCTGCCCAAGGTCACGCGGCGCATGCGGCGCTCGCCCGGCCTGCACCGCACCGCACCCGAGCGCCTTCTTGGGCTCCTGCCGCGGATGCTCGCCATCTCACTCAGCAGACACAAGGAATGCAGTGACGTACGTCTCACCATCATGCTCCCGCGGCCCGGAGAGTCGCCGCGCAGTGCTGTTGCGAGCTGTGCGCGCTCACGAGGGCCGGCCGCGAGGGCGAGCGAGATGCGCGACGCGAGAGATGTGCCGGGTCGGCCCGGCGCTCTCCTCTCGTTTAGCAGCGAGCACAAAGAACAGATGGCACCGCAGACGGCCCGCCTCGGCTTGCTCAGGTCCACGGCTATGCGCTTGAGGGCCTTCCCGGCCTCTTGTTGCCAGATCTCGTGTACCTCGCCGTCCCTCGGAGCCGCAGAGAGCTGAGGGCGGCGCAGGGTGCACGCCGGCCGCGTCTTCTTTTTTTCGCGCGGCCCAACGCGCTCCGCCTGTGGCTGCTGCTCGTGCTGCTGCTGCGGCGGTTGCAGGCCGCAGCGCCGGCGCAGGTGCGGGCATGATTTCCGTGAGACGCGCCCTCGAGCTTCCTTCGGCGATCTCCTGCTCAGCTGCCATCCTCGTCTGCGAGCATCAACCATCGCATAGCATCAGGCCTGGCGAACCTGGAGCATACGCAGCCGTGCGGTTCGTCTGGGCCATTGCTCTGCAGCGGCCGCCTTGAGCTGCTCTGTCACATCTGGCACCCGACGTCTGGCATAGGGACGCGCGCGCGATGGCGGCGGCCGGCTTGGATTTTGGCTGCTTCCCCCAGGTGCGAGGCCGCAGGGAGGCAGTGTTCTATATACAACAGGAGCGGAGCCCGGGGTGGAGAAGGTAGAGGGTGGGAGGGTGGCACGGGAGAAAGGCAGCAGCGTCACTGCAGAGGCGATCTGCAGCGCTCCTTCGTCGGTGTGGATGATGGCGTCGAGGCAGCCGCCGTGGCGTGCACGCAGAGCATGGTGGGGCGAGTGAGAAACGTGTGCATGGCGCCTTGCGGGCAAGGAGAGCATACGTGCAGCGCGGCGGGTCAGGCTGAGGTGGCGGAGGCGCGCGCAGGATGCGCCGCTGGTGGCGACGGAGTGACGATGTCATGTCGAGAGACGAAGAGTTGCAAGACGGCCGCTAGAGCGTGCTGGTGCGGCGGGTGAAGGGACGAGATGGGAATAGGTGACGGGAACAGCAGGCGCCGGTGCAGCGGAGGGCAGCGGCGCCGACAAGCGGGGCGCGCACGCGCCGCTTAGATGAGGTCGGCGACATCGTGGGGCATCTCCTCGACGACGGTCGAGTAGAACTGCTCAATGTCGCGCAGCATGCGGATGTCGTCGGAGGTGACGAAGTTGATGGCCACACCCTTGCGTCCGAAACGACCGCCACGGCCGATGCGGTGGATGTAGTTCTCGCGGTTCGAGGGCAGGTCGTAGTTGATGACGAGCGACACCTGCTGCACGTCGATGCCACGGGCGAGCAGGTCCGTGGTGATGAGAACGCGCGACGAGCCCGAGCGGAACTCGCGCATGATGACCTCGCGCTGGCCCTGCTCCATGTCGCCGTGCATGGCCGACACGGTGAACTCGCGCGCGTGCAGCTTGTCGGTGAGCCAGTCGACCTTGCGGCGCGTGTTGCAGAAGATGACGGCCTGCGTGATGGTGACCGTCTCGTACAGGTCGCAGAGCGTGTCGAGCTTCCACTCCTCCTTGTCGACGGCAATGTAGAACTGCTTGATGCCCTCGAGCGTGAGCTCGTCGCGCTTGACGAGGATGCGCACGGGGTCGCGCATGAACTTCTTCGTCACCTCGAGCACGTCGGTGGGCATCGTGGCCGAGAGCAGGTTGACCTGCGTGTCCTGCGGCAGCAGCTGGAAGATCTCGTACATCTGGTCCTTGAAGCCGCGCGACAGCATCTCGTCGGCCTCGTCGAGGCAGAACATCTTGAGGTGGTCCGTCTTGAAGGCGCGGCGGTTGATCATATCGTACACACGGCCGGGCGTGCCGACGACGACCTGGCAGCCCTCGTTGAGCTTGCCCATGTCCTCGCGCACGTTGGTGCCGCCGATGCAGGCGTGGCAGTAGATGTTCATGTAGTCGCCGAGGGCGATGACGACCTTCTGGATCTGCTGCGCCAGCTCACGCGTCGGCGCCAGGATGAGGGCCTGCACGTTCTTGATCGACGGGTCGATGCGCTGCAGGATGGCAATCGAGTACGTCGCCGTCTTGCCGGTACCCGACTGGGCCTGGGCAATGACGTCGTGGCCCTTGATCACGGGCACGACGGCGCGCGCCTGAATGGCCGAGGGGCGCTCGAAGCTGGGGGTGGACGCGGCGTCAGCGCCGTGGCTCGCACCTGGCACGCCCACGCGCCGCACTCACCCGTAGGCGTAGATGCCTCTCAGCAGCTCGGGCTTGAGCTCCATGTCATCGAAGTTGTCGGTGACCGTGTCCCAGTTGGACTCGATCTCGCTCTCGTTGATGTTAAGACCGCCATCAGGCTGCGTCGTCTCCTCGGGCCTGGCGGATGGCTGTCAGTGGCGGGTCCAAAGGGCATCGTCGGCGACGCCGCATGAGCTGCCCGACCCATCCGCAGCACACGCCTCGCAGTGGCAGCCCTTCTGCGAGCTGCTGTTCCCTGCCCGCTGCTGCACCCTGCCCTCTCGTGCCGCGCCCTGCTGCGCCACCCGTGCATCCGGCCCGGCATGCTCACTTGGACATGATTGCGGTAGGGTGCAAGTGGTCGATCAAGGAGTCGCACTAAGCCGACGCCTTGAAAGATGAGAGTGGTGGTGGGTGCGGTGGCGGGGGTGAGGAAGCTCGGCTGAAGCTTCCGTGTGTGCTTGGTGGGGTGCAGGGAGAGGCGAGAAGGAAGGAAGCGCCTCGTCTCGCCGTCGAGCAGCGCAGCGCCCGCCGCCGCCCGCCTCGCTCGTCGCAGCGCACGGCACGGCAGCATCAGCGCCCATCGATCAGCGCAGCGTGGCAGCCGGGCGCGAAAAAAGCGCGCGGCCGGCCGGGCACAAGAGCAGCGGCGGCTCCGATCTCGGCCAGGCACGCAGACGGCGGCAGCCGAGCCGCGACAAGAGTTTCTTCGCGCCGCTCCGCGCGTCAACGGCGCTATTAGGCGGCCTGCAGGTTGAAACCGCCGCTTCAAAGCTGGCCGCGGAAGTTGAAGTCGGCGACAGGCACGTAAGCGCGAAGTGTACTCAGCCGGTGAGCCGCTCGCTCTCCCTCCAGCATGGTGATGGGTGGAGCCCCATCGCCTGCGCCTTCTGACCGTTTGTGCTGCGTGGCTCGAGGTCATCGTGGGACATGCTCGCCGCTGAAGGGCAGCAGCCGTGCGAGCAGCCATGCTCGAGAGGCAGCACGACGCGCACAGCGTGTGCCGGAGTCGCACGCGCGCGCGGTGTCGCTCGACACTCGCACCTGACATGACGGCCCGTGGCGCGCGCATGGAGCAGCTGCAGCCTCCACTCGGCCAGCGTGTTGGTCACCCCACTACAGCCCCCCATTCCTAGCCCCTCTCTATGAGCGCACCCCGAGGCAGAGGCGCACACGGCGGCCGCGGCGGCGCAGGCGGGCGAGGCGGCCGCGGCGGCGGTGCTGGCGGCTCGAGCGCACGCCAGGCGGCCTTCGGCGGCGCCCTGACGGGCAACGGCGAGTCCTCGTCCGGCGCGCCCAGGGGCCCTCGCGGCTCTCGCGGCCGCGGCTCTGTCCGGGTCGCACCGGAGCGCCACGCAGACGTGACAACAGATCGTGCAGCGGTGGGTGCAGCTGCCGCCGCGGCCGCTGCGGCTGCCGACGCGGCAGGCAAGACCGACGCCGACGAGGCGGACCTGTGCTTCATCTGCGCCGAGCCGATCAAGCTGTACAGCATCGCCGCGTGCAACCACCGGACGTGCCACATCTGCGCCATCCGGCTGCGCGCGCTGTACAAGAAGAAGGAGTGCACGTTCTGCAAGGTGTGTGCGCGTCTGAGCACGTCTCGCGATGCCCGCCAGGCTCACCTCCGTGCGCCTCGCAGTCGCCGATCGAGCGTCTCATCTTCACCTCCTCGCCGGACCGGGACTTTGAGACCTTCGAGCCCTCCGAGCTGCCATACAGCGATGCGAAGCTCGCAATCCGCTTCGAGACGCAGGCGGCGATGGAGGAGACGCTCATCCTGCTGCGCTTCAACTGTCCGGAGGAGAGCTGCGAGGTCGCGAGCGCAGGCTGGTCAGACTTGAAGGGTCATGTGCGGCGCGAGCACCAGAAGATGATGTGGTGAGTGGCCTCAGAGCGGTGCAGTCCATATGCTCTGCGGCGGTAGACGCTGACGCTGGCGATCAGCGACCTGTGCATCCGCAACAAGAAGATCTTCTCGCACGAGCACACACTGCACACGCACGCATCGCTGAACGCGCACATCGCCGAGGAGCACGGGCACTGCGACTTCTGCCGTGAGCACTTCTACTCCGAGGACGAGCTCTTCATCCACATGCGCGACCGGCACGAGCAGTGCCATCTGTGCAAGGCCAAGGGCGGCGAGGAGGAGCGCTGGCGCTACTACAAGGACTACAACATGCTTGTGAGTGGCACACGAGGGATGCGCTAGCTGCTGTGCTGATCGGGAATGTGCGCCGCAGGAGAAGCACTTCCGCGACAGCCACTACCTCTGCCCCGCGCAGGAGTGCATGGAGAAGAAGTTCATCGTCTTTGACAGCGAGATGGACTTCAACTCGCACCGCGTGCAGGAGCACGGCAACGAGCTCACACAGCGCGAGCGGAGAGACTTGACGCGCGTCGAGGCCAACTTCACGTACGACGATGCCACGCCCGCTGCCGGCGCTGCCGGTGGCTCGAGCAGCCGTGGTGGTCGGGCGCGTCGCGGCGGACGAGGTGGCGCCGTGGTGCCAGACGGGCCCTCGAACGTGGCAGGACGAGCGCAAGTGCCGGGCTCGGGACCGTCGCGGCGCGCTGCGTTCGGCGGCAACCTGACCGGCGCGAATGGCTCGGCACCGCCCTCGGGGACACAGACTCCGCGCGAGGATCCAGTGACGGGCCTGAGCACGAGCAATGATCCGGCGATGGTCGAGTGAGTGCTCTGCTTCAGCGAATGCGACGTGCCTTGCTCATGCCTCTCGCACAGACGTCATCAGATGTTCATCGCGCGCGTCTCATCGATTCTCAACGACTCTGCCTCACGCCTTGCCTCATTCCGCTCGGCCGTCAAGACGTATAGGGCGGGCGAGATGTCCGGCAGGGACCTGGCCGACTCGCTGCACAACATCATCGGCGAGGTGGACGATGGCACTGTGGTTGTGAACGGCCTGGTGGACCTGCTCGACGACGAGGGCAAGAAGCGCGAGCTGCTGAGCGCATGGAACTCGCTGCGCATCGAGGTGAGCACAAAAGTGTCGCTTTGTCGGGGTCGCTGCTGATCCGCATGTCTCTGCAGCGCACGCAGTTCCCCTCACTCACCCCGCAGGCCCACGATGGCCGATATGCGGGCATCGCCGGCGGGCAAGTGCGCAGCGCCAAGGCGAGCTCAGCCGCGCACGGCCAGATCTGGGCGAACGTCGAGCGCGCTGCCTCGGCTTCCTCAGGGCACCGCGCCGGCAAACCACCAGCCCTGCGCGAGTTCCCCACGCTGCGTCCTGGCGGAGGCGGCTCGGCGGCCATCCCCGGCTCGGCGGTACATGCGCGCCTGGCGAACAGCAGCCTTGCTCGCGCAGCTGGCAACCGCACGCCGTGGGCCGGCGCGCCCGTGTCGATGCCGTCGGTCACCTCGCCCGGCACCGGCTCGGCGCCGCGGCCATACACGGTACAAGGGCGCAGCGTAGCAGGCGCTGCTGGAGCGAGCAGCTCTGGCAAGGCGCCGCCGAAGCCGAGTGCCAGCGCCTTTCCGGACCTGCCGACGAATGCCAGCGTCGCTGCGCTTGCGGCGCACAAGCGGGCTGTGCTGGCGAAGGGCAAGGCGCGCGCCAACGGCTCGGCCGGCTCGACGCCATCAGGCAGCGGCACCTCGACGCCGTGGGGCACGGCCGGCGGTCCGCCGAGCCCGCCCGTGGAGCGCCTCGACGAGCTGTACGCCTCGCCCGAGATTGAGAAGGCGTCGCCCTTGGCTCGCGCCGGCATGAACCAGCGCGCTGCCGAGGGTGCCGGCGGCGGCGGCGGCGGCGGCAAGAAGAAGCAGAAGCAGATCGTCATGTCGTTTGGCGGCGTGCACCGCGGCTAGGCGGGCTGTCTCAATGCATAGCCCTTGGCCCCTGAGGAGTGCTGTGCGGGAGGAGGGAGAGCGGGCGCGTGGGAGCGTTGCACCATGGCGCGCGCCAGCACGTGACATCACGCCATCCGCGCGAGGGCACGGACCAAGTCACGCCGGACGGCACGCCGCGAGTGTGCGGCGCGTGCGCTAGGAAGAAGTGCGGGTGAAACGGCGGCGTGCTTGCAGGGACGTGCCCCTCTCGCACCTCCGCTCCGCCTCGACAGTGCCCAGGTGCCCGCACACGGCCTGATGATGATGTTCTCCTCGCTGCCCCGGCAGGCGCACGCACTCCGACCGGCCGCAGCTGGTGATCATCTCTTCGCTCCTCACCACGTCCTCCTCCGTGCGCAACCCCAGACACCCTCACCATGCCCTCCAACTTCGACACGCTGCGTGAGCATGCGTCGTGCGGCCGCATGTGCTGCTCCTGCTGACTGTTTCCGTCTGCTCTCCTCCACAGAGCTCCACGCCGGTGAGCATCGCGAGCGATGTTCGTCTGTGGCCCAGCGCTGACAGCGCATCGTACAGGCCAGGAGCCCGACCCGGGATCCAATGCTCGCGCCGTGCCCATCTTTGCGACCACGTGAGTGCCGGCCCACGGTCTCAGCAGCTAGCAGGCGATGCAGCGGCATGCCGCGGCCTCGCGCCTGCAGCGCAGCTGGAGAGCAGTGCCGAAGCATAGCGAGCGCGGAGATGTTGTAGAAATCCAGGCTGACCCTCCACACTCCAGGTCGTTCACGTTCAACAACTCGCAGCACGGCGCCGACCTGTTCGGCCTGCGCGCGTTCGGCAACATGTGAGTGCCGAGCTCCTGTGCTGCTGCAAGATGCACGCTGACAGCCTGCCCGCGCCAGCTACTCGCGTCTCATGAACCCGACGACTGATGTGTTCGAGAAGCGCATTGCTGCTCTCGAGGGCGGTGCTGCTGCCGTGGCTGCGTCCAGTGGCCAGAGCGCCCAGGCCATGGCCATCATGGCTCTCTGCGCTGCCGGCGACAACGTGAGGCGACCAGAGCCTGCATGCGCTGCACTGCATGTTCTGACGCACGAGCACGCAACAGATCGTCTCGGCTACGCAGCTCTACGGCGGCACCTACAACCAGCTCAAGGTGCGCTGCAGCGCGCTCGTGCGCTTAGCGAGCCTCGCTCACTCCGGCGACCCGCTCTAGGTCATGTTCCCGCGCCTCGGCATCAACACGAAGTGGGTCAAGGACTTCAGCGCCGAGGCCATTGACGCCGCCATCGACGACAAGACCAAGGCCGTGTACCTCGAGTCGATCTCGAACCCCGGCTACAACGTGAGCCTGCCTGTGCGCGTGCTGCAGCGCGCTCCGTGCTGAACACGCCGCCATTTCAGGTGCCCGACTTTGAGGCCATCGCCAAGGTCGCCCACGCCAAGGGCGTCCCGGTCATTGTCGACAACACGTTCGGCGCCGGCGGCTACCTCGTGCGCCCGATTGACCACGGAGCGGACATTGTCGTGCACTCGGCCACCAAGGTGCGTCAGCGCGCGCTCAAGCGTACTCTGAGCTCTGCTGATGCAGCGCGCAGTGGATTGGCGGCCACGGCACCACCATTGCCGGTGTGATCGTCGACTCCGGCAGTGAGTGCCAATCTGGACTTTCACAGGGGCGCCATGGCTGACAGCGCGCGCAGAGTTCGACTGGGAGAAGAGCGGCCGCTTCCCGCAGTTCACCGAGGTGCGTGCCTCGTGCCTTGCCGTGTTGACTGCTCCTCACACCACCCCCACTCCAGCCGGCTGAGGGCTACCACGGCCTCAAGTTCTACGAGACGTTCAAGGCCATCACGTTCGCCATCTACACGCGCGTCGTGGTGCTGCGCGACCTCGGCCCGGCGATTAACCCCTTCGGCTCGTTCCTGCTGCTGCAGGGCATCGAGACGCTCTCGCTGCGCGTGCAGCGCCACGTCGAGAACGCGCTCGCCGTCGCGCAGTACCTCGAGAAGCACCCCAAGGTCTCGTGGGTCTCGTACCCGGGCCTGGCCAACCACCCGTCGCACGCGCTGGCGAAGAAGTACCTGAAGAACGGCTTCGGCGCCGTGCTCTCCTTCGGCGTCAAGGGCGACGAGAAGGCCGGCCCGGCGTTCGTCGACCAGCTCAAGCTCGCCTCGCACCTCGCCAACGTCGGCGACATGAAGACGCTCGTCATCAGCCCCTCGGCGACGACGCACCAGCAGCTCACCGACGACGAGCAGCTCGCGGCCGGCGTCACAAAAGACCTCATCCGCCTCAGCGTCGGCTGCGAGTTCATCGACGACATCATCGCCGACCTCGAGCAGGCCTTCAACACGGTTGTCTAAGCCGAAGTCTCAACGTGAACCCAGCCTGCGCGGTGTGGTAGCTGTAGCCTCAGACAGCGAACACGTGTGCGGTGCAATGGGATGTATTATGCGGTGCTGCTGCGGTGCGATGCTCGACGGGAAGATGTTGCAGGGTGGGCGGTGCTGGGAGAATATGTGAGGAGGCGGAGTGTGCGAGCAGCTAGGCGCTGCCTTGCTCCCAGGGACTGCCCGTGCGCTTGTCGCCGCACAGGGCGCGAATCGCCACGGACGGCGTGGTGCTGATCCAGGCGCTGACGCGGTCCTGCGGGTCGTCGGGCTCGTGCTGGTTCGTGCCGTCGATGCGCGGGTCCTCGCCGACGTTGAAGAGCGAGCCGACGTTGGCGAGGCCGTTGCGGATGAGCGAGCGGCAGATCTGGTGGTTGGCGCGCGACTTCTTCGTGTTGAAGCTGCGCGGCAGCGACGGCGTGAAGGGCCGCGTGTCGTAGCACACGGCACTCGCCGCCCAGTTGTCGAGCTGGCTGAGCAGCTCGCGCGCCCACGACTCGCGCAGATGCGTGTCGTGCACCTGCTGCTCGTTCTCGAACGCCTTGCCCGTCGTCATCGGCGGCGCGGCGAGCGGCGAGTCGAGCACGCTGGCGAGAATGACGTCCACGCGCAGCTCCGACACCCACGCCTCGAGCGCGGGCTCATTTTCGATCGAGGGGTGCAGGTGGATTGGCACGTCTGTACGAGCGGAACGTCAGCGAGAGAATGAAGGACCCTGGCATGTGAAGACTCACCCAGCTGCGACACCTCCTCGGCGGCAGGGTACACGCCCTTGCGCTGCTCTGCAGCGGCAAGGCGCACCATCTGCAGCATCATGAAGCAGGCCCACATGGAGCGCTTCAGCATCTCGCGGTCGACGTCGTCGCAGCGGCGCGGGTCCGATGCCGCGAAGCTGCGGCTGCGGTGCGCGTCGATGGACCGTCCGAGGTCCCAGCCCATGCGCAGCACCTCGCGCGTGTTCTCGCGCGAGGCCTCGTTCGCCAGGTAGATGCCCATGAGGGCGAGGCCCTGAATGCGCTCCAGCTGCGCGTTCTCCTGGCCGCCGAGCGCATCGTGGCCGAGACTCGGCCAGCCGCCCATGCTGGACGTGGGCGAGAGCAAGTCGCGCGCGAGGTGGAAGCAGCCGTGGCCGTACTCCCACGCCAGCGCGGCGCCGCCGCCCTGCAGCGGCAGACCGTCGGACGTGCAGGACGTCATGGCCAGGATGCCGAGGATGAGAGCCTGACGGTGGCGGAGCTGCAGCGGGCTCCATGAGCGCGCACTAGAGTTGCCGCTGACGCGGCCGTCGAGGCGCTCGACAGCGAGCTCTTGCAGCGCGTAGAAGATGCTGCGCACGCGCGGCTCGTAGAGGAAGGGGTGGATGTGGTTCTGGTACGAGAAGTACTCCTCCAGGAGCACGGTGGCGAGCTCGTGCGAGATGAGGCGGTCGACCTGCCAGCGCGAGCGTGGCGTCTCTGCCTGCGCGTTCGCCCACACCGACACGCCCGAGGGGCCTGGCGCCACAACTCGCGGGTCGGGATCCATGCTGGGCGCGGGGCCGTCGGGCCACTGCCGCATGATGTCGCTCACGCTGCGGTAGTACAGTGCCGGGTCGCGCTGACGCAACTCTCTGCAAAGGCGAGGCCGTGAGTGAGAGCCGAAGATAGACCGAGCTCGGCAGACTCACCCTTCAGCATCGATGACGTAAAGAGGGCCGGACGTGTTCGTCATGCTGTTGCGCCCGGAGGTCCACGACTGCGCCATGTCTGGCGAAGTCTGAGTCTGCCAGCGCTGCTCGTCGCGCGACCACGTCGGCGGCGTGGAGGTGCCGGTAACGGGCAGCAAAGGAGCAGGCACGGAGCTGCGCACGCCGGCCGAGAGCACACTGGCGTTGCTGGGGAAGGGACCGCTGGCGGTGCTGGCGTTCCGCGCGTGCGCCCAGTCTACCGACGAGGCGTCGACGCTGGGCGACTGGCCGCCGTAGGCGTCGTCGGGACGGCTCGGGTCCCATGTGTGCACGCTGCTGGCAGAGCGCATGCTGCTGGCAGTCTGCGGCGGGCGCATGCCCACAGCGCCGTGTGGGAAGAGACGGCGTCCAGAGTCGCCGTGACCGGGAGAGGCGGGGCGCGAGCGCGCGTGGTTGTCCCAGGACGACGGTGCCTGCGGGTAGCCGTGCTGTCCGGCGTCGAGGTCCAGCGAACGCGACGGCTGGTGCTGTTGCTGCTGCTGTTGCTGCCAAGATGAGGTGGCGACGTGGCTCAGCGGGCGAGACGGCTCCGTCATGTTGGCGAGAATGTCGTTCCAGCTCTCCCGCGCCGGTGCCGTTCCCTGAGTGCCGCCCGCCGGCGCTGCAAAGCCGCTCGGCGCAAGGCCGCCACGTGCGCCAGTGGGCACGCCCGAGCTGCTGCCAGGTGCAGATCTGGCTGCCGGCTTTGGGCCCTTCTTCTGCTTCGGCCGTGCGCCGTGGAAGACGATGCCGGCTGCCTCCATGAGCTCGCGCTCCTTCTTGCTGGGCGGGCCACGCTTGCGCAGCACATCGTCGGTGGTGCACTCGCGTCCACTCTGCACACAGTTGCCGCATGTCGGCTTTTCACGATCACACTGAGCAGAGCTGTCAGCCAAGGTCAGAAGGAACAGTGCCAGGCGGCCACTTACTCGAATCTTTCGCCGGCGGCAGCGATCGCAGCTCGGCGCGGGCTCCGAGCTGTCGGGGTGACGCGCTCGCAGGGTGCGCAGGACCTCCTTGGCGTGCTCGGGATCGGCAGCGGAGGAAATGTCTGTGCGACCAAGCGGCGGCTTCTTCGGCGGCTTCGGTCGCGGAGCGCCATTGAGACTGCCGCTGCGCACTGGCCCGAGGTGCGAGACCGAATTTGACAGCGGCGGAGCGCCGTTCAAAATGGATGCACGCGCAGTCGAGGGGTCTGCAAAGGACAGGCCAGGCTCAAACTTGTGCGTCGGGCCGCCGTTGGTCGAGGAAGAGTGCATCGGGTAGGGCGCAGCTGCGACAGGCTCAAAGGCGGTGCTGGAGAACGGCGCCGGCTCTTGTGGGTAGCCGGCGAGGCCTTGCCGGCTGTAGATGTCGTTGTGGCCGCTGCTGGGCGCCGCGAACTCGCTGCCATACGAGCTGACGCCGGCGATGTTGTCCGTCGACTGGTTGCCGGGCAGCGAGGCTGCGCCGCTGCCCTGCGAGGGGGCGTAGTCGGAGGCATGGCCCCACGAGGCGGAGCCGTGGCCGAAGCCGTGGCCGCTGCCGGCGTGCGATGCGGCAAAGTGGTGCGAGCCCTGCTGCATGGGAGGCAGCACCTGGTGATGCTGCTGCTGCTGCACGGGGTGCGCAAAACCTTGGTCATGGGCACCGCGGTAGTTCAGCACATGCTGAGGGCCGGACATGGTTGCGTGGACGGTACCTCGGATGCGCTCCGAAGAACGTCTGCAGGAGCTACTTGGGCACGAGCAGCGGCACGAGACGGGCGCGCACGAAGGGTGTCCGTTGAAGCGTGCTCAACGAGGGCCTAGAGAGCAGGAGCGTTCGGATGCGTGGTGTGCTGGTCGACGGACGCAGCCGGCGCCGAGTCGAGGCCGGACGGCAAGGTGGAGAGGCGCTGCCCGTGGGAAGAAGAGCGACGGCGCCGCGGCGGCGGTCGCGCGAGCGGGCGCAGGGAGCGCAGAGGCAGGGTTCAGCGCGGCGCAGCACGCAGCCGTGCGCGTGGATCGGAAGACTGCGACGCTGGAAGAGCGCTCCAGGCACGCTGGGCACGGTGTCTCCTCGCCGGCTAGTCTAGTGGGCCCCGAGGTGCGGCTAGGGCGCGCGGACGGCCGTGCAGCGGGCCAATGCAGCGGGAGCTCGGGGCGGCAGCAGCGGCGCGTGGAGACGAGAAGGCGCGCTCACGAGGTCGGCGCCGGCGGTGCTGGGCGTGCTGGAGGGGCGAGTCGGGCGCGAGGAGCGGCGTGCGGAGGAGTGGGTGGTAGGAGAGGAAGAGCGAGCCGGGCGGCGGGCGGTGTGAACAACGCAGCAGCGAGCAGCAGCCGCAGGCAGCAGCAGCGGCGGGCGGCCCTGGGCGGGCGCGCGGACGAGTGCGGCAAGTGGAGCAGCGCCGGCCGGCAGCGATCTCACTCGACGCCTCCTGCGGCTGCTGCAGGTGGCAAGCGCGACGCCGGCCCCCAGGAGGCAGCAGCAGCGTCGCAGCCTCCGCTGATGCCGCCGTCCTTCTTGCATCAGCCTCGACGCTGCATGTTGCGGAGCCGCGATCCGCCCTCTGCCCTTGAGACTCTGCTGCTGCTCCTGCGCCCGCCTGGCTGCTCGCGGCCGGCAATGTGGCGCTCTCGGCGCTGCCGCTGCCACCTGCGTGTGCTGCCGCGCGGTGGACGCAGACGCAGCCCTCGACTCTTCTTCTCGGCACCGCACCCCGGACTCGAGCGGGCAGCAGTCCGCGAGTGCGTGCGCAGGGACATTCGACTCCGCCCGGCTGCGATGAATCACAGCGTGCAGGAGGTGCATCGGTCGCCTGCAGCGCGCAGACGAGAGGTGCAGCACGCCGCAGGCTGCTCGCCGGTGCCGCATGCGCGACGGCGACGCAGCGAAGGGCGGCGACGGCGGCGCCAGGTGCAGGCAGCGGCGGCGGGTGCAGCAGCCGATCACTTCAGCGCGCAGCGGCAGCCCGCGTGGAGGTGCACGGCGAGGCGGCGGCCGCGAACGGCTTGCTGCCGCTTGCTGTCGGCGCCTGCATCTGGGCAGCATGCAGCAAGCTCAGCAGCGGCGCCGGCGACCACGCCGCGGCGCGAAGGGCCGGCGCTGCGCCAGAGGCTGCCCCTGCTGCTTCGGCTGGCGGCTGCAGCTGCAGGCTGCGGTGATGCCACGCTGCGGTGCTGCCGCCTGCTCCGCTGCCGCACCTCTCCTGCGCGCCGCACCCCGTCCTCGGCTCCCGGCTGCAGCGCCCGAGGCCGTGGCTGCGGCTGCCCATCGCTGCCGCCTGCCTCCGCTGTGCTGCTGCTGCGCTGCCGCATCGTCACCGCCGTCGTCACTCCGCCACTCGTCGTGCCATGCATGCCCCTCCTGCATGCCTGTCAGCGGCGCCGTGCGAAGAAGTGGGCATCGCTCCTCGTCGATGCGCGGCCGCCGCAGCGCCTTTGCATCGGCAGCGCGCCCCTCGAGGCGCTGTGGCTGCCTCCTGAGACGCTGCCGAGGCGCGCTGCTCGCTTGCCGCGGGCATGCCACGCGCGGCGGGCTCAGCCCTTCCGGCCACGGGCTCTGCGCAGCGCTAGACTTCGCTGTGACATCGGACCTTGATCGGAGAATAGGCGCAAGCGCCTCGCGGCGCCGTGCGGCGGAGTGTGCGGCAGCGGCAGCGCGCGCGAGTCGCGAGAGGCTCGGCAGGGACGCGTATGGAGGCCGTCGAATTGGCGCTTGCTTCTGATTCGCGGCCAGTGCTCGGCGTTCGTCGCTCGTCTGCTGCCGCCGCACCCCGGCGCCGCGCCGACCCGGCTCTTGGCTGCGCAGCACTCTGCTGCGCCGAGGAACGCCAGGCGCCGGTGTCCTCGGCGGGAGCGCCGAGCGCGGCCATTCGCGCGTGCGGCGCAGGCCACGTCTTGCTGCCACGCCATCGCCGGCCGCAACGCCTGCCCGTGCTGCGTTTTCGTCGCAGCCTTGGAGGCCGGCGTGCAGCCGATGCAGACCCCGCTGCGTGCGGCGTGCTGTACACGCGGACGCTGCAGCAGAGTCAAATTGGAATCGATCGCCTCTGGGCCGCGGCAGCGGCAGCCGCGAGTGCGGCTGCGTCATCTTACCCGAGCCACAGTTTGAGGCGCCTGCAGGCGTGCGCAGGGCAGGTGTGGCAGGCGCAGGTGCATGCGTTCTTCGGCTCAGAAGGTGGACCGTGGGAGGCAGGCACCGCTTGAGGCGACACAGGCGCAGGCGCAGGGCGCAGCAGCAGCGCAGCAACAGCAGCGCCAGCATCGGCGCTCCTGCGCGAGGAAGCGTTGGAGGCCTTCACGGGCCGACGCAGCCCCTTCGGCAGTGCCACGGCGACCTGCGACGGGGCACGCGCAGGTGCTGTGGGGGACGAGCGGCGCAGAAGAGCTGCACATGCAGCAGCAGCATGCAGCGCAGCAGCACGCAGCATTCATGCGCGATCCGGCCCAACCGCCGCAGCGCACCGTGCGGCGTGCGGCACCAGCTGGTGGGCTGCCTGTGCTGCGGCGGTCACCGCATGCCGCAGCAGGCGCAGCAGCAGCGGGCGGTGACGTGCGCGTGCTGCCGGCTGCCCGCCCGCACGTCATCCCACGCGGCTGCGGGCGGGCATCGCTCGCATCGGTGCGCGCTCTGTGCGCGCTAGCCGTCGCTTCCGTGCGCTGCCGCTTGCTTAGCAAGGGCACGCAGCGCCGTCCGCAGGGTCCTGCGCATCGCTGCGGTTCGAGGTGCAGAGAACGTGGCGGCATGAAGGCGCGGTGGGCGCACAAAGTGCCAGCGAGGCAAGACGAGGCGGCGGAAGCAGCCGGTATTGCGGCGTCGGCGCCGGATCTTCGCAGCCAGCAGCGCGGCAGCCATGCAGAGGCGCGCTGGCGGAAGGAGCTCGACGTCAGCGGCAGCCGGGAGTCTGCGCAGCGCGCTGGCATCACCAAGCATGCTGGATCGCAGCGGCGCAGCTTCGGCCACCGCAGGCACGCAGAGAGCGTGCTGCCAGGGGGGCAGAGACGCGCTCGGCTCGGCGCTCAGGGGGCAGGACCCAGGACGACCTCTGCCGTTCGGCCGCCACGGGCGTCTTGATCCGTCGAGATCTGGGCGAGCGGCTGTCGCTGTGCATGCTGTGTTCCATGCGCTAGGCAGCGGCCGCAAGCGTGGGCCGGCCGGCACGGCCTCTTGGCGCAGGGCCGCGCCCTTGGAAGGGGTTCCGCAAGCGCGCACCGCCTTCTCGTAGCGCCTTAGCAAATGCCGCAGCCGTCTTTCAACTCGTCGCCCCCATCGCGCGCGCAGGAGAGGACCGGGGCGCCGAGCTGCGGACGGCTGCACGCTACCGCAGCCGTAGCGTACCCTGGCGGCTGCGGTGGTCGCTCGAAACCTCGGGTCGCCGTCTAAAGCACGAAGCAGCGGCCGCGCCGCGCGGCAGGCCCGCACGGGTGCGGATCTCGCTGCGGCTGCTGGCGCCCTCGGCGGCCCTGACTTGCTCCGCCAAGCGAGGCCTCGCTGGAGGACAGCGGCTGCACCCTCTGCGTGCTTCCCGTCGGCTCGGGCCGTCGGCTGCCTGCCTGCTGTGCGGCGTGCTGGCGGCTGATGCTGCAGGATGCAGCTGCGTGTGCATCCGCTCGTCCTTCGCTAAGACTTGCGGGCGAATGCGCGCTCCGACGCCGGGCGGACCTCGCCGTCGCCGGCGTCCGGAGCCGCAACCCAAGGGTGCGTTGCTTACTCATCCGTCCTGCTGCTGACAGGCCATGTGACACACGCTCACCCAGAGGGGGCGCTGGGCCCGGTCCGAGATGCGCGTGCGTACACAGCAGGCGCGCGCAGCGGATCGTCCCGCCGGCGGCCGAGGCAGTCGAGTGAGAAGAGGGACATGAGCAGGAGGATGCGATGAGCTCGAGGCCTCGTCCGTGCTGGCGCGTGGTCGGGCGCGGTCGGGCCATTCGGCCGCGTCGGCCGACGTGCGGCTCGCTGCGCGGCTGGCGCTCCCACGCCGCCGCCGCCCTTGGCGCGTCGCGAGGCTCAGCCCGCACCGCACCGCAGACCAACACCTCCTCTCCACAAGGCGCACTCCACACCCGGCGCAACCCCGCCCTGCCCGGCATGTCGACGCCGCGCGCCACGGGCGCGCAGCCCGCCGTGCTGCGCCTGCACGACCGCTGCCAGATCGCCAAGCTCGGCCTCGGCGAGGTGCTCTTCGTGGGCCAGACGGCCTTCGCCGCCGGCGTTTGGGTCGGCGTGCAGCTCGACGAGCCCAATGGCAAGAACAACGGCGTCGTGCAGGGCAAGCGCTACTTTGACGCCGCCGATGGCCACGGCGTCTTCGTGCGCGCCAGCCAGGTGCACGTCATCGGCCACGTAGAGAGCGACGACGAGGCGCTCGAGGAGCTGTACAGCGAGCACGAGGAGTCGCAGATGGACGAGCAGGAGCTCATGCCGCCGCCGCCCGCGCCTGTGCGCACGCCTGTCAGCCCAGTGAAGCGACCGGCACCTGTGGTGAGTGTCGCAGCCGAGAGTCTCTGATGCCGCTGCTGAGCGGCTGCGCGCGCAGTCCCGCATGTCCTCGGCCACATCGACGACGAGCCGCCCGCGCTCGTCGCTCGCGCCGCCTCGGGTCACATCGCCTCTCAAGCCGGGCGCCGCCCGCGCCGGCTCCACGATAAGCGGCGCGGTCAGTCCGCTGAAGCGCGCGGCCTCTTCCGCTGCCTCGTCCTCGTCGGGAGTGTACCACTCTGGCCAGAGCCGCACCTCGACGCCCTCGGCTGCGACGGCCCGTGCGCTGAGACCTGGCACCCAGCCTGCCGCGGCTCCACGAGCTGCAGCCGGCACCGACAGGACTGCCGCGGCCTCGGCGAGAAGCGTCGATGCGACAACTGCGCGTGCCGCGCTGCGTCCTGTGCCGCGCACTCGCCCGTCGATGGCGCCTGGCGGTGCCTCAGAGATTGCCTCTCCGGCTCGGCCGGCGCTGTCGCGTGCCCACACCGGTGTGCCTGCTGCCAGCACGCCCGTGGCCCGTACACAGAGCCGCGCGGGATCAGCACTGGCCATCGCACCGAGGACGCCGGCTGCACGGCTTGCGGCAGCGACTGCGTCGAGGCAGACGCAGAAGACGCTCTCGGCGCGGCGGCAGAGCCGCGACGAAGACTCCGAGAGTCTGATGGACGCCAGCTTGGACGACGCTTCACCCGGCGCTGTCCTCTCGGACCATGACGACGAGCTGTCGCCGTCGGCTCGTCGCGCAGCTCTCAGCGCGAGCACCAGCGGGATCGGCAAGCGTGACCACATGTCTCTTGCCAGCACGGGCAAGCGACCCGCAGGCGCCGTAGAGGTGGGCGCGCTTCAGCGCGAGGTCGACGAACTCAAGGCGACGGCGCGTGTGCTAGAGAAGCAGCGCGACGAAGACCGGGATCGACTGCGCCAGATGGAAGCTGTGCGTCAGGAGAATGAGGAGCTTGCGTCGCTGAAGGCCAAGATGCTCAGTGAGTACGGCGCTTGATGTGCTCCGCGCTGTCTCACTGACAAGCCCGCTCTGCAGCGAAACAACAAGAGCTTCAGATCCAGGTCAGGGACCTCTACCAGGCAGAGAAGGACTGGGAGTCGGAGCGCGAGTCTCTGGAGCGCCAGCTGCAAGAGTTCACCGACCAGGTCGAGATGTCCATTCTCGACAAGGAGATGGCGGAGGAGCGCGCAGAAGCGCTCAAGGAAGAGCTCGACGCTGAGCGCGAGCGTGTGGAGGAGCTCACGATGGACGTCGAAGTGCTGACCGCCGAGAAAGCGCTGCTCGAGGCCGAGGGCGTGCCAGAGGAGCGTTCCGCCCCTGCTGCAGCTGGCGACACCTCCGAGAGCGGCGAGAAGGTCGGACGTGCGCCGGGCTACGTTCAGCTGGAGAAGCAGAACGAGCGCCTCAAGGAGGCCCTCTGGCGACTGCGCGACCTCACGAGCGAGACGGAGGGCGAGCAGAAGCGCCGCATCTCCGAGCTCGAGAAGGAGCTCTTCCTGCTCGAGGACCTGCAGCAGCGCTTCGAGACCGTCTCGTCGCGTCTCGAGGGCGCCAACGAAGTCATCGAAGACCTCAAGGAGCAGCTCGACGATGCGCTGAGCACCGAGGAGATGCTCGTGCAGCTGACCGATCGCAACCTGACGCTGTCGGAAAAGCTCGAGAAGATGAAGGCCTCGCTGCAGGACGCTGAGGCGCACGAGGAGGTCGCCAACGAGCTGGAAGAGGCACACATCGAGACTGAGCGCCAGCTGCAGGAGGAGGTCGACCTTAAGGACTTTCAGCTGCGCGAGCTGCACGCGCGCAACGAGCTGCTCGAGGCCAACATCGCCGACAACGAGCGCATGCGCCTGCAGTTCCGCGAGCTCATCGTCAGCCTACAGAGCGAGATCGACGCCGTGCGGGCGCAGCAGCGCGCTGCGCAGGAGGAGGGTGGCACGCCCGGCGAGGAGGGCCCGGGCGGCCTGGCGAACCAGAGCCAGGCCATGCTTAACCTCAGCATGAAGCTGCAGTCGTCTGCGCTCAAGTCGCAGGCCAAGACGATCGAGCTCGAGCTGGGCCGCCTCGAGGCCTCGCAGGCCATTGCGCACCTCGACATGACGCGTGCCTACCTGCCGGCGGCGTACTTCGAGGCCGATGCCGACGCCGTCAATGCCCTGCTCTTCTTCCAGCGCATGGCACACAAGTCGGAGTTGATCCGCACGATTGTGGAGGGCAACTACGACATCGCCGGCGCGCTCGCCAGCGTTGTGCCGGAGCACCTCATTGGCATCTGCCAGATGCGCAACAGCCTGGCGCACTTCACGGCCGTGTCGCGCCAGATCGTCGGCGTGCTCAAGCTCGCGCCGGTGCAGACGTTCCTCAAGGCCGGCCGCAGCTACCGCGAGTACGAGCGCATCGAGCGCCGCATCGACCAATTCATCTACTCGCTGCGCCACGAGGACCTCAAGGAGGCCGAGTGCGGCAGCGAGTTCGCGGCCTTCGTCAAGGAGGTGGAGCACTTCTCGCTCAACCTCAGCGGCGAGACCGAGGCGGACCTGGCCGCGCGCGAGGTCGGAGCGGCCCAGCTGATCGACCTCGACCTCGACACTCTGATCGCCGCGCTGGGCTTCACCAAGCAGACGCTCGCCGCGCTGTACAATGAGGAGGAGACCGAGTGGGAGCTCGGTGGCAAGACACTCGACGACGACGTCTTTGCGCCACTGCAAGAGCTGATCAACAACGCGCGTTCTACCAAGGTGCCGACGCGCAAGCTGCTGCGCCGTCTGACGAGCCTGTACGACAACGAGGAGGCCGTGCGGATCGAGGTGATCATGGGCTTGCCGCCGCTCGGCGGCATCGGCTCGGCTCTCGTCGTCTTCGCCAAGGCACTGGCGCGCTCCGTCGCTGCCTACACCTCGGAGGTCCGCACAACCAAGGCGCCCTTCGTGATGAGCACATTCATCGGCTTCGTCGCCGACGCTCTCCGCGACGGCGACATGGAGCCGGGCAGCGACGACCAGATCTGGGACAAGGCACTGTCTTCTTCTGCGCACTTGTCATCCGCCATCCCGCCGATCCTTGCCGCATCTCTGGAGCAGGAGAACGTCAAGAAGGTCCTTGGCTCGCAGCCGTGGCTGCTGCGCGTCGAGGACATCAAGGCCGAGGCTGCGCACAACGTCGACGCCGAGCGCCAGATCGCGAAGCTCAAGGAGGAGCTCCGCGAGGCCCTGCTGCAGATCAACGCGCGAGAGCAGAAGCTGCAGGAGGGCGCCATCAAGCTCGAGCGGCTGCAGAAGCAGGTTGACCGCACGAAGGAGCAGGCAGACGACCTCTCGCGCCTCACGCAGGAGCTCTCCGAGACACAGCGGCGGCTCAAGGAGTACCAGGCAGTGCACGAGTCCCTGCAGGCCGACCTGGAGGCGTCGGAGCGCAAGAACGCCACTCTGACACAGGCCAGCGCCAAGTCGGCCGCGAGCACGGCCGGCGAGGCCCAAAGCGGCGAGCGCGCCGGCGGCGACGAGGACGCTGCAGCCGCCGCAGGACTGCAGCGAGGCTACTCCTCTGCCGCATCGTTCGAGAGTGGCTACCTCGCAGAGCAGCTCGAGGCCACGCGCAACGTCCTGTCGGTGGTCCGCGCTGAGAACTGCTATCTCAAGAGCGCCGGCATGCTGCAGCAGCTCGAGGCACTGCCCGTGCTGCCGAGCGCACCGCTCAAGCCATCAAACGCCGAGGACGACGCCGAGGCCGGCACGCCACGACCGCGCCGGGCCGCAGAGTCCAGCGCACCAGTGTCGGCGGTGCGCGAGAGCAAGACGCTGTACGCCGAATTGCTGCGCCTAGCCGCCTCGCCGCGCGTCATCACGCTCCCTCGCGTTGCCCCAGCACCCGCCGATGGATCGGCAGCAGCTCCAGTGCGCACCTGGCGTCGCCTTGCCGCACAGCCGCGCTCGCAGCTCGCGGCGCAGCAGCGCGAGCGTCTCGAGTTGCAGGCGCGCATCGAGCGTCTCGCCGACTCGGTGCGCAGCGCCCGGCGTGCCCCACGCGGCTCGGACGCGGCCGCCGGCGAGGGCCGCCAAAGCGCCGATCTCCTTGCGCGACTCCCGACCGTTCCCCTGTTGGCCCAGTGACCTTTCTGCGGCCCGAGCGAACATATACCCTATGCCCGCCTCTGTATTTGTACCCGCACCTTCCGCTGAGAACACGCGTTGTGCCATCATGACCCACGTCGCCGTCCGCGTCAGCAGCGCTTGGTATAATTTGCACCTGAGAGAGACAGAAAGTGAGGCGAAAGGAGCGCAGCAGCAGAGGCAGAGTGACGGGGCCGGCCGGAAGCAGTCGAGCGCGCCTTCTTCTAGGCGCCATCCGGCGGCGGCTCTTGACGCAACGGCGAAGAGTGCCATCCGCGGCCCCGCGCGCGCGCGCATGCGCACACGCAGCGCCGGCAGGGCACGCATGAGAACGAATGATAAGCTACGGGCCAGTCTGCTTCTTGACGTTGCTGCTGAGCCAGCTCAGCCCTGCGAGGCGAGTCAGCGACTGGCGAAGGGCGCGGCACGAGCGCCAAGCAGCACTGCCTGACGCCGGCCTCTGCGCGCGTCGCGCGGCGCCAGGACTCACCCTCGAACAGACCCTCTCCAGACGTAGCGCAGCTCGGGTGCACGAACCACGACCGGTCGCGCATCCGGTGCAGGCCCAGCTTCTCTGTCACCTCAGCCGGCGACATGGCTGGCAGAGGGTGAAGGTGTGAGCTCGGCTCTGCATGGGCGGCGAGCGAGGCAGGGCGCATAGCCCAGGCGCCCGCAGCAGACACGCGCTCATCTCTGCGCGGCGCCGGCACCCGGCAGCCTGTGCCCGCCTGCCGCACGCCTGCCGCTCGCTGCACTGCTCTCTCTGTCCTCGTGCTCGCGCGCGACTCACCTCCGCTCAGGTCCTGCTTGTTGGCAAAGACGAGCAGCAGACACTCGCGCATCTCGCGGTCGCCGATGATGCGGTGCAGCTCCTGCCGCGCCTCGTCGATGCGCTCGCGGTCCTGCGAGTCGACGACGAAGACGAGGCCCTGCGTGCCCGTGTAGTAGTGCCGCCAGAGCGGACGAATCTTGTCTTGCCCTCCGACGTCCTGCGGCAGCGCGTGTGAGCCTGCAGTGCCACATACCAGTGTGTCGCAGACGCGAGGGTCAAGCCCGCCATGATTCTTCCGCACCTCCCGCACCGCCCGCATGCGCAGCTTCCCGTGGGTGCAAACACCGCGCTCGCCGTGGAGCGCCGCTTCGCCTCGTGAGGCGAGCACACGCGACCCTACACAGCCAGACACGCACCCAGACGTTGAACTTGACGTTCTTGTACTGCACCGTCTCGACGTTGAAGCCGACGGTGGGGATGGTGGTGACGCTCTGATTGAGCTTGAGCTTGTACAGGATGGCTGCGCAGGCGGGTCAGCACACGTGCGGCATCACCTGCTTGGCAGTGCCGAGCCGCGTGCCCATCACTGGTCGCCGCTCCGCACCACGCCACGCTACGCACTCGTCTTGCCGGCGGCGTCGAGGCCGAGCATGAGGATGCGCATCTCGCGGTTGCCGAAGATCTTGCCCATGGCCTTGGAGAGAGAGCCGCCCATGGTGGGCGCGACGTAGAGGGGTGCGAGAGGGGAGAGAAGGAGTGTGGCGAGAGGCGTGGAGCGGACACGCAGCAGTGACGACGGCGGAGGTGATGGGAGTGGGATGCGGAGCAGCGGCGGCACGGCGAGCAGCAGCAGCACCAACACGCGTCTCTGCGCCGCCAGGGGCTCGCGCATGGCGCGCGGCCTCGGACAACAGCAGGCACGCCGCCAGCCTCCGCGCCGCCGCGCCTGCGTGCCGCGCCAGCCACCGCGGCGTGCAGCGGCAGCCCAGGCGAAGCCGAGCGGCGCAGGCGCAGGCGCAGCTCCATCTTCTCGCCCGGGGTCCCGCTGCACTGGGGCGCATCGCAGGCGCCGCTTCATCTCGCTCGCCCAGCAGGAGGGGTCTGGCAATCTCGCTGCCGCGATCCGAGCACCGGCGGCGGCGGGTGCTCAAGCGAGGGCCGCTGCTGCTGCGAGAGGCGTCGGGCAAGCCGCTCCCCCGGAGGCATGTGTTGTTCCCACGCCCGCCTGCCGCGCGCGCTGCGCTCGGGCCTGCCTTTGCCTCTCATTCTTCTGGCCCGCCTCGAGCAGCCATGCAATGCTTGCGCCAGACCCTCGCACGCTGCCCGCTCGTCTTCGCCAGACTTTGGCAAGCTGGGTGCTGTGACCTCGGAATAGAAGGCGAGATGGTGGAGTGCGGTGCGCGACCCCACGCCGCGCGAGTGAAACAGAGTGGAGACAGGAGGCGCGGCCGAGCTGCATGGCTGCGCCGAGAGGAGCAGCGCCTTCCTTCTCACCCTCAGCACCCTCGCCTCATCGCACAGCGACCACGCATCGAGCGCTCATCCGGCATGGTCCTCGAGCCGCCCGCACACGCTGCCGCCTCGCTCTCTGCCGCCGCGCTGGGCGATGCGTCGCTGCGCGTGCACGGCCGGCACCTGCTCGATGCGCACGGGCGCGTTGTCCAGCTGCGCGGCTTCAACGTCTCGGGCGGCGCCAAGCAGTAAGTACTGCGATGACCAGCTCGTGCGGCACTGGCTGAGTCGAGCATCTGGCAGGCCGGCACACCCGCACACGCTCTCACACGAGTATGCGCCCGCCTTCTGGGAGCACGAGAGTGTCTCCTTCGTCGGGCGGCCCTTCCCGCTGGCCGATGCGCCGCTGCATCTCGCGCGCCTGGCCGAGTGGGGCCATCCGCTCATCCGGCTGCTCGTGACTTGGGAGGCGCTGGCCCACGCTGGTCCGCGCACGGCCGACATCGACCTCGAGTATGTCGAGTACCTGGAGCGTTTGCTCGAGCTGTGCGACGAGCACGGCCTCAAGGTCGTCGTGTGCGCGCACCAGGATGTGTGGAGCCGCTTCTCGGGAGGCAGCGGAGCGCCGGGCTGGGTGAGTGGCACTTGCTCGTTCTCCAGCAGCTGCTGAGCTGACAGATGGACAGACCTTCGCCACTGCGGGCCTGGACATTAGCGCCTTCAAGGACACGGGCGCGGCCTACGTGCACTCGGTCGCGAGCCAGGAGGTGGAGAAAATTCAGCCTAGCCGGGCAGGCAAGGGCAGAGAGGAGCCTTCCGGCCCCTTCGTCTGGCCTTCGTGCGTGCACCGCCGGATTGTGCAGCTCCTGCATCGCTGACGCGCCGTGCTTCTCAGCGGCTACCAGAAACTCGCGGCGTCGAGCATGGCCACGCTCTTTTGGGCGGGCTCCATGCTGGCGTGGAAGCTGCGCGTCACGCGGCAACACCCAGAGACCGGCGACAAGGAGGAAGTCTCGATTCAGGAGTTCCTGCAGGACGCCTACCTTGATGCCTTCGGCCTGCTGGCGGATCGACTGGGCGGCAAGGCGGCGTGCGTTGGCTTTGATGTGAGCTCTCTCGCGCTTGCTATTGCGCGACGTTGCTCACCGGCGACTGCGCAGGTCATGAACGAGCCACATCGAGGTCTGATTGGCCTGCACGGCTGGCACGGCTGGAAGTGTGAGCACGAGCAGCTGCGGTGCCGCGCGCCTAGCTGACTCCACGCTTCCAGACGAAACAGACCTCCATGTGGGCCACTACCCATCGCTCTTGCAGTCTCTGGCGCTCGGCACAGGACATGCGCAGGAGGTGCCCTTGTGAGTGGCATGCATCGCGCTTCAGGCTCAAGTCTCATGCTCTGGACTCAGCTACGTCAAGTCGTTCCCGTTCCCGACACGCAAGACACACGCCTCGCTGATCGACCCGAAAGGACGGAGCGCGTGGCTGTCAGACGCACGAAAGGGCGGGCTCGGCGGCTGTGTCTGGGCAGCGCACGGCGCCTGGGCATGGGACAAGGACCGCAGCTCGCCGGTCGTGCTGCAGGAAAACTTCTTCCACCGCGACCCGCGGCCACCGGCACAGGGCGGCACTGGTGAGGAGATTGAGTGGTACCGCCACTGCTGGGCGCCGTTCGTGGACAAGTTCACCCGCCGGTGAGTTAGCATGCGAGGGCGTCTGGGCCGTGCAGCCTGACACCGCTCTTGAAGAATGCGGAAACGGCACCCTCACTTGCTCGTCTTTGCCGAGCCCATCCCGAACGAGTTCCATCCGCCGTGGCCCGCTGCCGAGGCGATTGACAGCTTCTCAGATGAGGAGAAGCGGGCATTCGAGGAGGCCAGCCGCAGTCAAGCCTACGCGACGCAGACACACATCGAGACCAAGCGGCCAGAACACTTTGTCTATGCGCCTCACTTCTACGACCTGAACGTGAGCCACATGCCCAGGCAGTGCCCCAACGAGCGCTGACACCTCGTCCGCCTGCGCCAGGTCTTGTTCCAGAAGTCGTACTCGTGGTACTCGGTCAACGTGCAGGGCGCGAGCCGCGTGAGTCGCTGTTGCTCTGCCGAGGACGAGCGAGCTGCCGCTGACACCTGAAGCAGGGCATGTTCATCCTGCGCGCTTTGTACTTCGGCGTCGAGGGCCTGCGCAAGAAGTGAGCAGCCGTCGAGATGTCGCATCCCCTCTGCAGAGGCTGACGTGCCGTTCAGCTACCTCCTGCAGCTGCGCAACATCGTCAGCAACGCTCAGCTCTCGCTCGGCGACGTGCCAGTGCTGATCGGCGAGGTTGGCGTGCCGTTCGACATCAACAACCGCAAGGCGTTCCTGACGGGCAACTACGAGAAGCAGGCGCAGCTCATGTTTGCGCTCGTGGAAGCGGTGCGTGTGCTGCAGTCTTCGCTTTTACGCATTGCTCATGGCGGCTGCTGCAGATGGAAAAGAACGGCCTCGGCTACACGCTCTGGAACTACAATCCGGACAACACCGTGGAGCACGGGTCAGTTGTGGCTCATCGAATTGTGCGAGACGCGCGCTGACCCCCTCGCAGCGATAACTGGCTCAGCGAAGACTTCAGCGTCAACTGCTCCTCCGATGCGGAAGCTCTCGACACGCAGAACCACTTGCAGGACGATAAGCTGTATCACGGCGGCCGCTGTCTCGACGCGATCATCGTGCGTGTTGCCCGGGCCTGTGTAGCTCCTCTCACTGACCCGCGAGATACGCAGCGCCCATATGCAGTGAAGGTCGCCGGCGTGCCGCTGAGCAGCGAGTGGGACCCGCAGCAGCTCATGTTCAAGATGCGCTGGAAGAACGCCGGCGAGCCCGGCGAGAAGGAGACGGAGCTCGCGCGCATCACCGAGGTGTACATGCCGCGCTTCTGGTTCGAGAATCAGGACGTCTCGGTGATGCTCACCGACGGCGAGTGGACGTATGACAGCGCGGTGCGTTCGAAGCAAGGAGCAAGAAGATGGTACCCTGGCTGACCTCGTCCTCCTGCAGCGCCAGTCGCTGTTCATCCAGCACGCCGACCTGCGCCTCAACGTCGCGCACGTCCTCATCGTGCGCGGCATGAACCCGCCGCCGCCGCCAGGCCGCTGGTACAACCGCCTCGGCTTCGCGGACTGGCTCGTGCTCGGCATCGTCGCCGCCGCCATGTGGCTCGTGCTGCTCGGCACGCTGTGGCTCATCTCGAGCGAGATCGAGAAGACGACGGAGCGCCGCCGCTTCTGGGAGCACCAAGAGCTCTAATGCACAATCGTCACCGCTTGCACCGTGTGAGGTCAGGGCTTGCACACTCGCGCCGCACACCACGCGTCGGGGCATTGCATACTTGTAGGAGCAGGAGGGAGGCAGGGTAGATCGGGACTGAAAGGGGGACATGACGCTGCAGCGACAGCGCAGGGGGGGCCAAGGGGGACAACTAGCTGCGTCGCGGTGGTGGTACGGGGCCATTAATGGCAAGAAAGTGCTACGTGGGAGGGTGAGGAAGAGGAGAGAGAGAGAGCGCGGCGAGCATTGACCATTGGATGACGAGTGACCGCGATCGCCCCGAGACGTTGTTTGTTGCAAGATGCGTGGCTTGAATATGGAGAACAGAGCCGGCCGGGATCATCGGAAGAAGAGGCTCGGCCGCAAGGAGCGCGCGTCTAGGCGCCGTTGCGCAGCTCGTGCTGCAGGTGCGCCGCGTTGGCGTCTGCAGCAAAGTTCGCAGCGAGCATGTGCTGCGAGCCCGGGCTCGAGGCGCCGCCCTCCGTCGGGCCGCCAGGCGCTCCGCTGTCCGTGGCGCCCGAGACGAGGCCGGCCTTCATGTGCGAGAGCAGGCGCTCGATCTCTGCCGGTGCCTTGGGCAGGATGTAGCGGCGGTTGCGCAGCAGCTCGAACGTCGTCAGCAGCAGCGCCCACGGGTGCGGGCGGTTGACGATGAGGCGCTCCAGCAGCACGCGCGTGATCTGCTCCTTCGTCGAGGCGTCACCCTCGTGACCCTCGCCGTAGAGGTACAGCAGCAGGTAGCTAAAGTACGCCGAGTGGCTGTTGGGGTATCGCAGCTGGTTCGCCGCAGCCGTGAGCAGCAGGTAGCGACCTGTGGGACGTGGAGTGAGCAAAGATTCGGCTGCGGTGCAGGCGCCACGCGCTGGGCTCACCTTCCGCATCCAGGTCGTCGAGGAGCTGCTGGAACACGTCGATGCCCACGTCGACCTGCGCGTTGCCGTTGAGCAGGCCGTCTCGCTGGATCGCCGCGATGCCGACGTAGAGCACGAGGGCGTTGATGAACGTGACATCGTAGCGCGACTCGCCGCGCGCGTAGTCAATCTCGCGCGCAGCGTTGGCTGGGCTAACGACGGCGTCCTTCAGGCTCGTGAGGAACGAGGCAGGGGCACGGTCGCGCAGGTACGCGTCGAGCGCCGCCTTGAACGCCGGGCTGCCGCCGCTGCCGCCGCTCGGCTGCGCGCCGGCAAAGAGCGGCGCCTGCTGCGGCTGCTCGAGAGCCGAGACGTAGTCGGACAGGATGACGGGCGCCTGGCTGATCTCGGGCAGGCGGTCGATTTTGAGGTTGGGCGTGAACGGGTCGGGCAGGCGGTGCTGCCGCGACGGGAACGCCGAGAGCACGAGGTTGCGCAGCTGGATGCACGACGGCGGGATGATGTCGCAGAGGCTGTGGTGGTAGTTGCAGAGGAACTCCGGGAAGTCGTGCAGCAGCACCAGCAGGATGCGCAGCGTGCCGCGGTACAGGCTGCGCGACGTGTCGCGCAGCTCGGCCGTGCGCAGGAACGGCGCAAGGAAGCGCAGCAGGCTGGCAAAGAGGCGGTGGAACGCCGACCAGCCCTCCTGGCGCGCCGTGCTGCCGACGAGCTCGGGCGCACCGAGCAGCTTGGGCATGAAGAGCCGGTGCGACATCAGGCTCATCCACGAGAAGGTGAAGCTCGGGAAGAAGCTCGGCTGCAGCGTGTTGAGCGTGTTGCTGATGGCCAGCAGCGCCTGGAAGTACGTCAGGTGCAGGCTCGACTCGGCCAGGTGCAGGTCGTGCAGCAGGCTGCTGAAGAGGCGGAAGAAGGGCTTCTGCTGGAAGTGCGGGCCGAGCTCCTCGTGCGACTGCGCGAGCACAAGGACGACAATCGAGAGGATCTTGGTCAGGTAGTGCACCTTGGCCTGCTCGTTGTTGGCGCCCGTGGGATCGGCGTGGTACTTGATCATGAGCACGATGAGCTTCGAGAAGGCGTCGATCGGGCTGAAGATGCCCGTGGCGAGCGAGCCGCCGACGGCCTTCTGCTTGATGTAGCTGTCCACGCCGACCTCGGCGCACACGCGGAAGAACATCGACGAGATCTCCTCGCCCTTGAGGATGCCCTGCTGCTGCAGCTGCGTCACAAAGTCGATGAAGCTCTTCTCGGCGTTGGGCGACTGCTGGAAGAGGCGCACCCACTCGGCGAAGCAGTATGCGAGCTGCTCGCGCAGGGCAGAGTTGCCAATGTCCGTCTTTGCCTGGCTCAGCTGGCCGTCCTCGAGCTCCGCGAGGAAGTGGCCGGCGGCATCGGTGGCCTTGCCGCTGCGCGAGGCGCGGCGCAGCGCCTCGATGGTGTGCACGAGCTGGCCGCGCGTGGCGCAGGCCGGCTCGCGCAGGCACTCGAGCGCCAGACGCGCGGCAAAGTCGACGACGCTGGGGCGCAGGTCGCGCGCGATGAACTTGGACAGCTGCATGTCCTGCTCGACGATGTTGATCAGGCCAGCGCGGATGAGGCCGACGGTGACGGGCACGTTGAACTTGCGCTCGTCCTCGGCGTAGATGAGCCAGGCGGTGACCTCCTTGGCGACCTTGATCGACACCTCGCACAGGCGCTCGAGCAGGATCGTGAAGATGTCGCGCGCGATGGCCGTCTCGCTCTTGTACAGCAGCTGCACGACCTTCTGTGAGAAGGCCAGGGCCGTCTCGTCGCGGCTCACCGACGCGGCCGCCAGCATGGGCACCTGGCGCACGACGAGGCGCAGGTCGTCCTCGGGCGACAGCGTGGCGATCGATGCATCGGGCCCAGCCTGCTGCAAGAGGCGCTCGAGGTCCGCAAGGCACTGCGAGAACTTCTCGAGACTCTGCTGCGCACTCAGCGAGCCACTCTCGAGGAGGCCGCCCGGAGGAGCGCCGCCCGCCGAGGCAGGGTAGCCATCAGCACCGGCGATGCCAGGCGGCGCGGCGGCAGCGCCACGCTCGCCGTCGCTGCCGAGCAGGCCGGCCGGTGCCGCGCGCGGGATCTTGCCAAAGTCCTCGTACACGCGCAGCTGCTGGGGCTGCAGGCCATCGGGCTTGAGACGCAGCAGATCGGGCAGCGTGGCGGCATACTGCGACGTCGTGAGCGCCTGGCTGTCCCAGTAGTAGCCTCTGCCGCGCGCGCGGTGGTCGCGGCGGCTGGCAAAGGCACTGGCCAGTCCTTCGTCGACCTCGGGCAGCGCCTTCTCCATGGCGGCACGCTCGATCACCGAGCAGGCCAGCTCCAGGTTGTCGCCCATGATGACGACGAGCGCCTGCTCCGGCAGCGTCTGCTCCGTGAAGCCGCTCTGGAGGAAGAGCGTGCGCGCGTGCGTCACCATGCTGATGCGCAGCGGCTCCTTGCACGTCACGAGCGCCAGGCTGCCGGCGAGGTTCTGCGCCATCTGGTGCGCGCCCTTGCGCATCTTGCCCTCGTCGCCCTCCATGGCAAAGTCCTTCGTGACGAGCTCGCGCGTCGAGATCGAGGCGATCGTGACGGAGCGCTCGACGACGGGCGCGATGATCTCGCGAATCGCGCGGTCGATTGCGACGTACACCATGCGCTTGAGCGTCGCGTTGTTCGCGAACAGCGTCAGCTGCGGGCTGATGACCACGTAGTGCGCCAGGCTCTGCAGCATCAGCGCCAGCGAGTCGGAGTACGCGTGCGCCGGCGCAGCGCCGCTGGACGGCGGACCATTCTGCGGCGGGCCAGCGCGAGCGCGCTGAGCGGCGCCGGGCCCGTAGCCCGCGCCGCCGGCGCCCATCGACAGACGCTCGAGGTCGTGCGCAAGGCCGCCAGCGCCGCTCTGCTGCTGGTGCTGGCCCATCTGTCCGTGCGAGGCCTGCTGCGCGAGCTGCTGCTGGTGCGCGTGCTGCTGCGGGAACTGCTGCTGCTGTTGCTGCTGCTGCATCTGCTGCTGTTGCTGCATCTGCTGTTGCTGGTGCTGCTGCTGCGCTGCGGCCTGCGCGGCAGCCTGCGCCTGCTGCTGAGCCTGCTGGTGCGCAGCGTGCTGGGCCTGCTGCTGCTGCTGTTGCTGCTGCTGGAGTTGCTGCTGCTGTTGCTGCTGCTGCTGAAGCTGCGCCTGCTGCGCGGCGGCGGCAGCGGCTGCCAGCTCCTGCGGACGGTTGCGCAGGATCGTCGTGGCCTGCACCTGCTTGAGGTCGATGCTCAGGCTCTTGCACAGCACCTCGATCTCGAACTTGAGGTTCAGCTTGAGCTCGGCGTAGTGGTAGAGCTCCACGAGCAGGCGCAGCACCGCCATGAGCCACGGGTTCGGCGGCACAAAGACCGTCGAGCGCGCGCACTGCTCCAGGACCTTGCAGACGAACGGAATGGCGACGATGAGGCGGTTGCTGTCGTAGCCCTGGATGAGCAGCTCCTTGAAGGCAATGTTGCGATGGCGCACAGGCTTGTTGCGCGCGAGCGTCAGGCCGCCGAGCCAGGAGCCGAGGTTCTTGAGCAGCGTGCGCTCCGTCGTCGACTGCACCGTCTTGTCCGAGTTGAGCAGCGCCTTGACCTTGACGAACGTCTCGTGCAGCACGTGGTGCAGCAGCGTCGCAGCATCCAGGCCATCGAGGAACTGCGTGTAGAGGCCGTGGTTGTTCGGCTCGATCGACACGCGCTGCAGCACGAGGTACGAACTGAACCAGTGGTGCAGGTCGGGCGTGATCAGACGACGAGCTTCGACCAGCTTCGCGTCCAGGTTGCTGGGCGACAGATTGTTCAGGAGGAAGAGGATGCGGTCCGACGTGTCCTCGGCCGGCTCGCGCTGCTCCTCGGCGTCGAGGATGGGGTCGACGTTCAGCGCCGTGAAGGGCACCTTCTCCTCCTCGGGCGCCGCCGACAGCTCGCGTCCGTCGCCGCCGCCGTTCTGCTGCTGCTGCGGAGCCTGGCCGGACATTGCCGCGCGCACCATGCGCGCGATGTCTGGGTGCGACTGCTGCACGTGCGGCAGCGCCAGGAGCGCCTGGCCGAGCTGCGGCCACTCTGGCAGGCGGTCCTGGAAGCGGAGCAGCGCCTGCAGGCCGAACTTGAACATGTTCGACTCGGGCGCCTCGCGCAGCGCGTCGAGCACGTAGCGGATGGCGATGCCGAGAGGGATGTAGTCGATCAGCTGGTGCTGGATGAGCGAGCCAAAGACGACGGCCGTCATCGCCAGCTCGCGCGGCGGGTAGTAGAGGTCGAACCAGCGGTACTCGTCGAAGAGCGTGTGCACCATGCAGGCAAAGATCTGGTGGTCGCGCGGGTCGTCCGACGCCTTGGTGCGCTGCAGCAGCGAGACGACGTCGCTGATGCTGATCTCCTCCTCGTACATCTGCCGGTACCACGAATCCGCCTGCAGGAAAGGGCGTCAGCAGCTGGCAGCGAGTAGGGCAGCGGCACACACGCACCTCTTCGTGGATGTCCTGCGGGAAGGTGACGACGTGCAGGCCGGGCTCCTGCGCCTCGGCGCCGGGCGCAAGGTTCATCAGGCGCGGGTGCAGCTGCAGGCAGAGGTTCCGCACGACCTTGAAGTAGTCGATCTCCTCTGCGCTCAGGCTGTCTCCATGCGCACGCAGCACCCGCAGAAAGACCGCGACGGTCTGCACGGTGAGGGGCATGAAGTTCTGCTCGGCCTGCGGGTCCTGCTTGGCCAGGTCGTCCTTGGCCTTGGCGTCGAGGAACTCGAGGCAGGCGCGCACAAAGACGCTGCCGTGCGCCTGCATGCTGTCCTGCAGCCACTTCTCAAGGTTGAGGTACTCGCGGCGCGAGGCCAGCGCGGCCACGTCGAGCGCAAAGTAGAACGGCCGCGCGTCGAGCAGCGCATCGAGGATCTTGAGGTCCTGTGCGACATCGAGCAGGCGCGTGATGTTCATCGCGTTCTCGACGTAGAAGCCGCGGAACGCGTTCAGCAGGTAGCCCCGGTTCGTCTGCCAGATGCGCAGGAACACGAGCTGGTGCGACGGGTGCCCGGCGAAGAACATCGACAGCAGCTTGGAGGCGAGCTCGGCATGCACCGTCGTCCAGGGTTGCTGCGCGAGGGCGAGAGGGGTGAGCAGCGCATCGCGAGAGGCAAGGCAAGGAGACCCACCGGAATCTGCACCAGCGCCATGAGCACGAGCTCCGCGCTCGACTTGACGGCCTTCTCGAGGATCTCCGTCACGGCGATCCGCACGTCGTGCTCGTCGGTATCGGCGATCTGCGTCAGGCTCTCGATGAGGTCGAGCGAGTTCCACGAGCTGTTCTGGACCTGCGCAGCCAGGCTCTTGACGGTCTGGCTTGCATTAGCCACGTCGTCGACCGAGACAATGCGGCGGCCCGGAAGCGCCAGGAAGGAGAAGGCATCGGCCGGCAGGGCCACAAGGCCGCCAAGGATCTGCAGCTGGCGGAAGCGATGGGCCCACGCGCCCCAAAGGCCAGCCACGGCCGGCGACTGCTGTGCGTCACGAGGAGCGGCCAGCAGCGCTGCGGCGAAGCCGTTCCAGTTCGAGCCTGGCGCAAGCGTCAGGCCTTCCGGCACGTCGAGCAGGCGCACGGCGCGCGACCAATTGAGGTAGCGCGGCGCGATGCTGCAGATGGCGCGCACGACGCAGGCATAGTCCGTAGCGATGCCGCCTTCGAGCTCGTCCGGCGTGACGCTCAGCAGTCCGCCGAGAATGTCCGACACGGTGCCCTCGTCTGGCGGCGCGTTCTCGGACATGCCGAAGCGCGACAGCACGGCGCGTGCGACATCGACGCTGGGCACGCCGTCGGGGCCGAGGTCTGCGAGCAGGTCTGCCACGCTGCGCATCGGCGAGAAGCTGAAAGAAGCGAAGATCAGTGTCAGCCGCTCAGGGCGTGGTCTTGACGCCTGACTCACCGCACGTTCGGCAGGGTCTGCGGCAGCACCTGCGCAACGCCCTCGGGCCCGACATGCTCGGCCACAGCGCGCACAAGTGCGCGGCGATGACGGCGCTCGAGCAGGGGCGCTTCGGACCCGTTCGAGCCGTCGGAGAGAAGGGGCACCAGGAAGGCGGCGAGCTGGCTCGGAGAGAGGGCGCCGTCGCCAGAGCGCGGAGCGCGCTGTCTCAGCGCGTCAAGTGCAGACTCGAGCACGGCAGCCGACGACGGAGCCGAGCCGCCGCCGTTGCCAGAGATGCCCGGCGGCGCGCCCGAGCCATCGTGCATGCTGAGCGCCGGCGCCGCAAGCTCTGCGCGGCCGGGGGCGCCGCTGCTGCCCGCACGCGGCTGCTGCTGCTGCGGAGGCGGCGGCGGCAGCTGCGAGCGCGGCAGCGAGGGCACGTCTGGGCGTGCAGGCGCGGCGAGGCCGGCGACGAGAGGCTTGAGGCGCGCTAGGAGCGCCTCGACGCCAGCGAGAGCGGGTGCGGACGAGGCGGACGAGGCAGCGAGCTGCTGGACGCGCAGACGCTCGTGCTGCACAGCCGGGACGAGGATGTCGTCGCGGAAGGCAGCGCCGTGCTGAGAGCAGAGCTGTGCGCAGCGTGTCAGAAGCCAGGCGGCGATGGGTGCGGCGGCTGCCACTCACGAGAGCGAACTCGTCGAGGGTGCGCTGGAAGACGGGCTCGGCGAGCGAGGCGAGGCGGAAGTGCACGTGTGCAGCAAGCACAGCCGGGAGCTCGGCAGCCACCGTCGCCGCAAGAGCAGCGGAGAGGGGCGTGCGGCTGCGGCTGGCGCTGCGGCTGTGGCTCGTGCTGCGCTGGCGGCTGGGCTGCGGCAGCACGGCGGCAGCAGCGGCGGGCTGCGAGGCGTTGCGCAGCGCGGCGGCTGGCGGCGGCGGCGTGGACGGCGGACGGCGCACGCACGCAGGAGGAGGAGAAGCGCGGCGGCTGCGTGCTGCGCAGGGGAGCAGTGCGCAGGCGCAGGCAGCGAGACGGAGCGGAGACGCGGGGAGGGTGAGGGTGGTGCGAGCGGAAGAGGGTGTCGCGGCTCGCGCTGACGGCTCGACGCGCGGCGGCGACGCCGTGCGAGACGAGCGCGGCCGCGTGGAGTGCCCGCGTCCGCCTCTGCCCTGCGCCTGCCCGCCGGGTCACGAGCCGCCCGCACCGCTGGCGCTCCGCCGCGCAAGCGCCCCGGTCATGCGCGTCCGTCCCCTCCGTCAGCGGTAAGGCCCGAGCCCGCTGCCGAGCCTCGATGCCTCTTCGTCGCCGCGAGCTGTGTCTCTGTTTGGCATGAAAATACGAACCATCAGGCCTGCGCCGCGTAGGCAAGGGTGCCGCCTATCTCGGCAGCTGGCTCCGTATGCTGGCCCTCCGCGATCACGAGCCGGCTCCGACCGTGCGCCGGACATCGATGTCACCCTGTCGCACGACTTCAGAAGCAAGAGCAGAGCGAGCCGCGAGCGCCTGTCTCGCACCAGAGACAGCTCGCTCCAACCGCTCCGTTGCGACCGACATCGGGTCCGGGCGATATGCCTCGCCTTCGCCTTGCTACGGAGGTCGCCGGCTGATGCTGCCCCTCTCGCTGCTGCTGGCTGTGCTGGCGCTGGCCGTGCGCCGCAGCGCAAGACGTGGCAGTCCGCTTCTCTGAGCGACGGCTGGCGGGGAGTCGCACGCGCGCGCTGCCCGGTCTGCCAGCCAAGAGTGTTCCCACGCTGGCGCTGTCAATTCCGCGGTGCGCGTTGCTGTACCTGCGCGCGACGCGTTCGCTGTTGGGCTCGAGCGATGCTCGATGCGCTGCACCCTCGCCTCCACAGCGTCTGCCTCTCTACCCTCACCGCAGCCCCGCCATGTCACGCACCTCGGCGCACACGCCCCTGCCGGCGCTCTCGGCGCCGCTCACGCTGCCGCTCAAGGCGCGCGTGTATGCGCGCCAGTACGCCGCCCTCTACCACTTCCGCCTGCGCCGCCTCGCCCACGCCAACGGCCGCCTGCGCAAGCGCGCCACGCAGGGCTGGCGCCTCGGCAGCGGCGCCGCAGAGGGCAAGAGCAAGAGCACGAGCAAGCGCAAGGATGACGCCGACGACGAGGGCGAGGGCTCGGCGGCCGGCGCGCACATGCTCGAGCGCCTCCTCGACATCCGCCCGGGCCAGATGGTGGCCGTGTGCGGCGTCGTGTACTGCAACATGCGCCTCAAGCCCGACGTGCTCGAGGACCTCACGCGCGAGGTGCGTGCTGCAGATGGGTGTGCCTGTCTAGTCCTGGTGCTCACGCTTCCTGGTGCAGCAATACCTGCCGCCCATGCCTACGCGGACAACGTACGCCGATGCTGCGACCGACGAGGTGTTCCTGGAGGACGAGAGTGGACGGGTGCGGCTTGTGGGCGATGGCGAATGGCGTGCGATGCTCGTCACAGGTCAGTGCTTCCAGCAGGTCTCTTCTTGGGTGCGCGACTGAGGCGCCTCCCACTCAGGCATCGTGTGCGCCGTGCTCGGCACCGAGACGCGAGCCGGGGACTTTGACGTGGCCGATGTCATTTTTCCCGGCCTGCCTCCGCCGACTGCAGGCCCGAGCACAAGCTCGGCAGACAAGGTGAAGACAGAGGCTGGCAGCAGCAGCGAGGGGCCCGAGGCCGGCGGCTGGGTCGCCCTCGTGTCTGGCCTCGAGGTGGGCGATGGCACCGGGCAGGAGGAGATCGGCGAGGACTGGACGACGAACGCGCTGCGGGGCGAGATGCTCGCCGAGTGGCTGCGCGGCGAGATTGGCGATGAGGAGGTGAGTGGGCCTTGAACTTTGCAGCAAGGCCGCCGTCTCACCAGACCTCGTCCAGGAACGCGAGCTTGCGTCTCAAGTGAGCGCACTCGTCATTGCTGGCAACTCGTGCGCGGCACCGGCAGCGCCGAAGACCGTCGAGAACAAGGCTGTGAGTCGCGCAGAGCCGGCGATCTTGCAGGCACATGCTGAAGTGCTCGCCATGCTGCTGCAGGGCAAAGCCCGCGTCATCTCTACCACTGCCCTCGACGCACTCCTCGCCGAGCTCGCGAGCGCCATGGACGTCTTCATCCTGCCCGGGCCCAACGACCCGGCCTCGCTCTCGCTGCCTCAGCAGGCTCTGCATTCCGCGCTGCTGCCGCGCGCCTCACGATGGAGCGGCCTGCACCGCGAGACGAACCCGGCGTGGTGCGGCGTCGGCGGCTGCACGTGAGTCGCATCACGCATGCTGTACAGACCGCATCGCTCACGCCTGGCTCCAGACTGCTCGGCACCGCCGGGCAGAACGTCAACGACCTGTTCAAGTACGTCGAGCAGGCTGAGGAGAGCGACCGGCTGCGGATGGCCGAGCGCACGCTCGAGTGGGGCCACGTCGCGCCGACAGCGCCCGACACGCTGTGTGAGTACCGCTGCCTCGCGCGCGCTTGCTCATGATGCTGACGTTGCGGCGCAACAGGGTGCTTCCCATTCACCGACCGCGACCCGTTCCTCATCGAGGCAGCGCCGCACATCTACTTTATCGGCGACCAGCCGAGCTTCCAGACCAGCCTCGTCTCCCGTTCGTCGCTCTGTGCATATCGTGCCCACGCCTCACGCTGACGTCGCTTCCCGTCCAGATGCCGAGGGCCATGATACCCGCGTCGTGCTGCTGCCCAGCTTCCGCGAGACGGGCACCGTCGTGCTCGTGCACACCAGCACGCTCGAGGTGCGCTGCGTCCAGCTGGACCTGCAGCTGTGATGACATACCTGCACAACACTGTCGACGGCTTCCAAGGGGGCGGCCACTCTGCTCTGGTCTGTCGAGGCGCAGCCGCTCGCGCAGTCATCCCGTCGTCAAAGGAGCGCAGAGGGCCGTGCTTGTCCTGCGCTTCCGCTTCACCCAGCGCTCCTGTCTGTCCTGCATCTCCCGCTTCTTCTGCCTCGCACCTGTCTCGCGTACCGTGTCGCGTTCAGCAGCTGGCATTGCTGTGCTGCTCGAGCACAGATCCCCTGAGCTCCCTCCGCATCTAGTCCCTTCCCGCCGGTATCCTCCTCCATCCTTGCCTTTAGAAGGGCTTGTCGGAGTCCGGCGTCTTGTCTGCAAGCACGAGCGCGTCAGCGGTGAGCGTGACGAGGCACAGGCAGGCGACGCACCGGCGTAGAAGTCGCTGTTGGTGGGTGCGCAAGAGCAGACAGAGTCCAGATCAGCGCTGTAACCCTCTCGCAGGTCAGTGCACAGCCTCAGACGCACCTGAGGATCGGGAACTTCTTCAGCACGTCCTCCTGGAAGAGCGGCACGCCGCTCAGGAAGAGCGTGGCGGCACCGCCGGCGCCGACACCCCAGAAGGCGAGCGACGGGATCCACCTGCGCGGACGCGTGTCAGCTTGAGGGGCCTCAACTCGCAAGCAGGACACATGTCGTCCAACGCTCTGCTTTGCAGCACCGCTGCTCGGCCGGTGCGCTGCATCTGTGTGGCCATCGTGGCTAACGCTTTGGCTGTGCTATCCCTACTGCTGGGCAGCACTCACTTGACGCAGTTCTCCACCGAGAAGCGCGCAACGTGCGGCTGGAACACGGGCTTGACGGGCGCACGGGCCGGCGCCGAGGCGCGGAGAGCGGCACGGACGGCGAGCGTGGGGATCATGGTGCAGCGGCGGGAGAGGGTATGGTGGGAAAGGAAGGTGAGGCTGACGGCGCCGCGAGTGTTGCCGATTCGCTGTCCGGCTTCCCGCGGGCGCAGCGGCGCAGGCACGCACACAGCCAGCCGCACGAGGCGCATCTGCGATGGGCGCAGTGCCGCGGCACGTGCCGCGCTGGCCCGGCCGCTCCCGTGCGGTGCGCTGCGCCGCGCCGCCGCCGCGCCTCCCTCTCGACCCCTCTTGATCCACGCCAGCATCAATCGAGCGAACGAGGCATCGACGGGCCACCAGCGAATGTCGAAGGTGCTCAGTGTCCGTTCACAGGCGCAAACGGGCTATTCAGCGCCTTGAGAGGCTAGCCAGGAAGTGGCGCAGGAGAATGCATCAGGCATGCTTCTCGACCCCGCCGCTCAATGCCCTCTCCTCGCACTGCTCAGCACGGCGACGAGGCTCAGGCGAGATGGTGTGTGCGGAGATCATGATATTGTCACAAAAAAGTCAGGCCCTCTACAAGACGGAATCGAATGCCGAGTCACTGCTTAGTCGAGCTCCTCCACCGACGGCTCCGAGGCGCCGGCACCGGGTGCGCCGCCGGGCATGCCGCCCGGAGCGCCGCCGGGTGCGCCGCCGGCCTGGCCGTAGAGTGCCGAGAAGATGGGGCTGGTGACGCTCTCGAGCTCCTTCTGGCGCTCGTCGTACTCCTCCTTGGACGCGCTCTGCGAGCTCTCGAGGAACTCAATGGCAGAGTCGACGGCCTTGGTGACCTTCTCCTTGTCCTCGGCCGAGATCTTCGACGCGATGGCCTCCTCGTTGAGGCTGTTTTTCGTGCGGAAGGCGAACGACTCGAAGTTGTTGCGCGCAGCGATGCGGTCAACCTCCTTCTTGTCCTCCTCGGCGTACTTCTCGGCGTCGGAGACCATGCGCTCGATGTCGTCCTTCGACAGACGGCCCTTGTCGTTGGTGATGGTGATCTTCTCGGCCTTGCCCGACGACTTGTCGGACGCCGACACGTTGAGAATGGCGTTGGCGTCGACGTCGAAGGTGACCTCGATCTGCGGCACGCCGCGCGGCGCCGGCGGGATGCCGGAGAGCTCGAACTTGCCGAGCAGGTTGTTGTCCTTCGTGCGGGCACTGGGGAGGAGGTGTGAGCATCGCGTCGGCTGCGCATCTGCACTCCATCAAAGACTCACCGCTCGCCCTCGTAGACCTGGATGAGCACGCCGGGCTGGTTGTCGGCGTACGTCGAGAAGACCTCGGACTTCTTGGTGGGCACCGTCGTGTTGCGCTTGATCAGCGCCGTGAAGACACCACCGGCCGTCTCAATGCCCATCGACAGCGGCGCGACGTCGAGAAGGAGCAGGTCCTGCGTCTTCTCCGACGTGTCGCCGGAGAGAATGGCGGCCTGCACGGCGGCGCCGTACGCGACGGCCTCGTCGGGGTTGATCGACTTGTTGGGCTCGCGGCCGTTGAAGAAGTCGCGGAGCAGCTTCTGCACACGCGGGATACGCGTCGAACCGCCGACGAGCACGATCTCGTTGACGCTCGCCTTGTCGATCTTCGAGTCGCGCAGCACCTTCTCGACGGGCTCGATGGTGTGCGAGAAGAGGTCGCCGCACAGCTCCTCGAAGCGCGCGCGCGTGATCGACGTGTAGAAGTCGACGCCCTCGAAGAGCGAGTCGATCTCGATGCTCGTCTGGGCGGCCGACGAGAGCGTGCGCTTAGCGCGCTCGCACGCCGTGCGCAGACGGCGGAGCGCGCGTGCGTTCGTCGTCAGGTCCTTCTTGTTCTTGCGCTTGAACTCCTGCACGAAGTGCGTCACGAGGCGGTTGTCGAAGTCCTCGCCGCCGAGGTGGGTGTCGCCCGCAGTGGCCTTGACCTCGAAGATACCCTCCTCGATGGTCAGCAGCGACACGTCGAAGGTGCCGCCGCCGAGGTCGAAGATCAGCACGTTCTTCTCGCCCTCGCCCTTCTTGTCGAGGCCGTACGCGATGGCGGCGGCCGTCGGCTCGTTGATGATGCGCATGACGTTGAGGCCCGAGATGACACCGGCGTCCTTGGTGGCCTGGCGCTGCGAGTCGTTGAAGTAGGCGGGCACCGTCACCACGGCGTCCTTGACGGTGCCACCGAGGTACGCCTCGGCCGTCTCGCGCATCTTGAGCAGCACCATCGACGAGATCTCCTCGGGCGTGAACGTCTTCTCCTCGCCCTTGTACTCGATGGTGATGTTCGGCTTGCCGTCCTTGCTCACGATCTTGAACGGCCAGTGCTTGGCGTCGCTCTGCACCTCGGCGTCGTCGAACTTGCGGCCGATGAGGCGCTTGGCGTCGAAGACGGTGTTGTGCGGGTTCATCGCCACCTGGTTCTTGGCGGCATCGCCGATGAGGCGCTCCGAGTCGGTGAAGGCGACGTACGACGGCGTCGTGCGGTTGCCCTGGTCGTTGGCAATGACCTCGACGCGGTCGTTCTGCCAGACGGCGACGCACGAGTACGTCGTGCCGAGATCGATACCTGCGTGAGGGTCAGCAGATGCGCGGTGGCGGCGTGGGCGCGGCGCTGCTCACCGACGGCCTTGGTCATGATGGCGATTAGGTGTGGGGCTCTATGTGATCAGGGTATGGGATGCGCGAGAGCGAATGCGATGTGTGTGTGTGTGATGCAGGCGTGAGGAGTGAGAGGCGCTGCTGGTGGGGGTGGTGTGCGAGAAGTGGATGTGTTGTCGAGCGCGAAGGACGTCCGGCCGCCGCCGTCTTGAGCGTCGTGCGCCGCCTGCGCACAGACGGCGATCGTCGCCGGTGGAAGCACGGCACGCGAGCAGTGTGCGCGCCATTACGCGCGCCTGCAGCGTGGATGCGAAGCTTCCACTCGGCGCCGCGTCGCGCCGCCTGCTGAATTTTCTCGGCCCGGCCGCGCGGCGCTCGCCACCGCGAGCCTTCGCGCAGACGCGAGAAGCGCCTCGACGAGTCCAGCGCCGCCTCGCTGCGCCTGCATCTGGCAAAGCAGTCGAGGGCGGCACTGCCGGAGACCGGCAGAGAGCGTCGGACCGTGCCGCAGCCGTTGCGAGGTGACGGCGCTGAGGTGTGAGAAAGGCAGAGTGGCTGATGAGCTTGACTGCGCAGCCGGAGGACACCCCGCGGCTCCTGCGCGCCGTTCGCACGTCTTGTCGCCGAGCTGGTCAAGGGGCGACGCAGGATGCACGGTGAGGCTGCGAGAGGTGCTCTGACAGCAGTCTAGTAGCCAGCCCTCAGCTCGCACCTGCAACTGCGGCCTCACGGGCGAGCAGAGGCGGCGGATGGCTAGGCTGAGGGCGCTGCAGAGCCGCGCGGCTCGACGTTCCCACGCTCAGGCGTTGGGTGGAGGTGCCATGCCGCCCCCCCCTTCTTCTTGCTCTTGACGCTGCTGCAGTGAGCCCAAGGGCGCCTCGCGGGCAGCGGACTGTTTATGCATGGGCCTCAAAATGCAGCAGTACTGTAGAAGCTGCCCCAGGCCATCTTCTCGCTTCTCGCTGAGGAAGAGATGGCCGTGTGCGGTGACGAGGCAGATGCCGAAATGGCCGTGCTGCCTAACTCCCATTCCCGTCTCTTCTCCTCATCACCAGCACCGACGATTGCCGCAGGGCCTGCAATCTGCGAGCCACTCTTTGCTCACCTGCACATCTTCTACCTCGTCATCACTGGACTCGGAGGTGAGAGTGGAAGTACAGCAGAAAGGACTCGCTGTGGCAGCCGGCCGGCCCGTCATTACGTAAGGCGGATGCACCCTGACGCGCCGGGCGCGGCGTGGGGCGACGTGCGCTGCGCAGCCTCGCGTGGCTCCACCTTGTGCTCGCTGCACCTGCGCTCCCGTCTCCATCCGCACCCACCGCCGCAAGCCATGGCGCCCCACCCGCTGCCGCACCGCAGCAGCAGCAATGCCGGCGCACTCGCCGCCGCCCTCGTCTTTCCCATCGGCGTGCTCGTGTGCGGCGTCGTGACGCTGGCACACTCGGCCGAGGGCCTGCTGCGTGCGCTGGCCGCCGTCGCGCGCCGCGCCAAGGTCGACGAGGCGCTCGTCGCGCTGCTCACGGCCGGTGCCGAGTGGGAGGAGGTGAGTGCACGTGAGATGCGTCTGTAATGCGGGCGTGCAGCTGCGGGTGGCAGGGTGAAGGTAGTCGGGGCGCCTCTCTTCGCGCAGGCCGCCTCTGAGCGGTTATACTTACGCCGGGCGGGCCGCTGGACGAAGGAGTGGCAGCCGTGAGCGTGCGAGCTCTTGCTCCGCTTGCTATGCTCTGGCTCCACTTGCTATGCTCTTGCTCCACTTGCTATGCTATTGCGTCAGGACCGTTTGCCATCACGCCTGCGTAGCAAGCTCGCTGATCGCTGCGTCCCGCATGGACTGACCCTCCTGTCCAGCTCGCGATCGTCATCGCCTCGCTCATCCAGCACCGCCCGGCGCTGGCACTCGGCAACATTCTCGGCTCGGCGCTGGCCAACATCGGCATCGGCTTCTCGCTCGGCCTGCTGTGCCTGCCGCGCTCGCGCCTGCCGCGCGTCTTCTCGCACTCGGCGCGCGTCTACACGCGCGTGCAGTTTGTGCTCACGCTGCTTGTCGTCGGCGTACTCGGCGCCTTCCTCGGCGTGGCGCCGGCGGTGCCGCAGAAGTGGACGCACGTGCTGCAGGGCCAGCAGCAGATCATCGGCGGCGCGCTCATCGCCGTCTTTGTCGCCTACGTCGGCATCACGGCGCGCGCCATCTACCGCGGCGCGCTCGATGCGCCCGAGGACAGCGACGCCGACAGCGACAGCGACTCGGCCGGCTCGGATGCCGACAGCGACGACGACCGCAGCGAGCACTCCTTCGTGCCGCCGGGCCTGGCTGCGGCCGCCTCGGGCAGCGCCGTCAACCCCACCACACCGCTGCTGGCGCGTGTGCGCGCCCGTCCGCGCGTCTCGATCTTCTCGCACATCGCGCGGCTGCTCTTCTCGCTGCTGCTGCTGTGCCTCTCGAGCTTCATCGTCTCGCGCGCCGTGTCGCAGCTCGGCGACCTGCTGCGCCTCGGCGACACGCTCGCCGGCCTGACGCTGCTCTCGCTCGCCACAACGCTGCCCGAGGCGCTGCTCGGCCTCGTCGCTGGCAAGCTGGGCCGGATAGACGTGCTGGCTGCCGCGGCCGCCGGCGCCAACATCTTCCTGCTCGGCGGCTGCCTCGGCGTCGTGCTCGTCTTCCCCTCGCCGGCCTACCCGAGCGAGTCGGCCGGCGAGCTGGCGGCCATGCGCGGCGGCCACGTCTCGGCGGGCGCCGTGCACGCGCGCGACCTGCTCGCGCTGCTCATCGCTAGCGGCCTGCTCATGGCCATCGTGCACACGCGCGCCTCGCGCGCCTTTGGCGCCGTGCTATTCGCCAGCTACGCCGCCTACCTCGTCTGCGAGGTCGTCGTCTGGAGCCGAGGTGTGGCGCACTGACAGGAGGAACGCCGGAGAAGCAATTTATGTGTCTGACTTACGCCCACGCTGCGCCGTCACCTTATTGTTGCCCCTGATCAGGGCGCCGCGTGCCGCAAAGCGGGGCCTGCGCCTCACAGTGTGGACCTGGCGCATGATCCATGAACCCCCGCTCGCCTCAAGAAGGGCGGAGCAGCCGTGCCAGATCCTAGCTCCTCACATCCATCTCTCTCTCCCAGGCCGGTCCTTGACTCTCTCGCTCTGCAGCTCGCATCCCAAGACCGTGTCCCTCTCGCTCGCCTCACACATCGCATCTCACCCTGCTCTCCCCCTTCGCTTCACTCAGCCGGACTGCCTTTCTTTACACTCCACTCTCTTTGCCTCTCATCCCCCACTGCACCTCTCCGCCATGCAGATCACCTCTCTCATGCCCGCGCTGCTGCTGCTGCTCGGCGCCGCACGCCCGACTCGCGCCGCACCTGTGCCGCGCACGCAAGACCTCGTCTTCGCACACGCCGAGCCCAAGGAGCTCGACGACGGTCCCACCGCCGCCGAGGCTGCGTCTCGCGACGACGAGAACGACGCCGCGCTCGCGGAGCGCAAGCAAGCTCGCGCCGCGCAGGACGAGGAGGAGCAGGAGAAGCTGCCGCGCCGCTCGCTCCTCGAGCCGGCTGCTGCTCCGGCCTCGCAGCCGCGCAACCGCATCACCTACTACACGCCCGACGCCCGCGACGTCGCCGAGGCGGCCGCCCGCCGCGCCCGCATGCAAGAGACGGCGCAGCGCGCCCTGTCGGGCACCGTCGAGGCTGCCGAGGTCGTCAATGCCGAGCGTGAGTCTTCGCCACGTGGAAGCGCGAGCAGCATCCCCTGATAGCCGTCGTCCGCAGTGCGCGTCGATCCCGTGGCGCTCAAAGCAGCGCCGCTCGGCCGCCGCAACCTGGCTCGCGCCTAATGTCGTCCTGATTGAGTCGTGACCAGTCACTCTTCGCCGATGTCGTGAACTAATTGTGGCGGGGTATGAAAGATGTGTGTGTGTGGGGTGACTTGGTGTTGTCTCGTCATGCCGGCGGGTCGTCGGCGGCTACTGAAAGGGCGTCATGCCCGTGCGCGGGGCGTTCATCTCTTCATCGTCCTCGCTGGGGGCATGTCAGTCGAGGTCCACATCATGCCAGCGAGGGCCTGGCGACTCACTCGTCCATCTCCCGCTTCCGTCGCGAGGAGACAGCATCAGACATATCGGCACCCGCGTAGGAGTGCTGAGCGCGACTGAGCGCCTCGAACTCCTGTATCTGGCGTCAGCCGCGTGCGACATCGAGACGTGCAGCCATGCGCACCTTGATCTGATTCAAGAAGCCCTGTGGAGGACGCGTGAGCACGTATAGCACGAAGCACTGCTGCAAGACTTACAGGATTGATGTGCATGCAGTAGCGCCTCGCTTGGACGTGTGCCAGCGCGGCGTCGAACGTGACTTGATACCGGTCCATCAGGTACCTGCGGAGGACACGGCGTGAATATGCTGCGAGGCGACTGGACGTAGATCGCAGGGGCACAAGCCTCGCCCTTGCGAGGCCACGCCGCCAGCCTTGCCCCACTGCCGCACCACGTGCCCTCCCACATCTGCCGCACACTCACATGACGACCACCGCCGGCGCCCTGCTGATGCCGCCGTCGTCGTGCACAAGCACTTGGCCGCCGCGCGCCAGCTGTTCGTCGATGAAGGCGCGGGCGCGCGGCAGGAGGCGGATGAGGTTCTGCGTGTCCTGGTCGGCGACGTCGTCGAGGACGAGATAGACGAAGTGCTCGGGAAAGCGCGGGCGCACAAAGGGCGTCCTGCAGCGCTTGCATCAGACCGAGACGCCCGACACGCATGTCCCCGCCCAGCGGCACTCACTCGTGCGGCGAGCGCAGCAGCAGCAGCGCCGTGATGCCGGCGGCAGTGAGGCGCTGCAGATCCTTGCCCGCCTCTGCGGGCCCGAGATAGAGGGCGGGTGCGACGGCCTGCATCGAGTGGCGCATCTCGTACCTGCGCATGCGTGAGCGTCGGCAGCGCCAGGTGCGCTGAGCACGCGCAAGCAGCCACGCACCTCCACTCGGCCGGCTCGAGGGCGAGGCTCTGGGGAAAGGCGGCGGCGCCGGCAGCAGCAGCGGCGGCGGCGGCGGCGGACATGCCGCACGGTGGGTACGCGGCTGGCGCGTGTGTGCTGGCTGAGGAGCGTGCTGCGGGTGTTGAGGAGCGAAGGCAAGGGCAGAGCAGCCAGCGAGGCGCAGCGTGCAGGTGGCCCCTTGTCCGGGGCGCCGCAGAGCCGCGGCGTGCGTGCCGCGGCATCCGGCGCGCCCCAGCCAGGCGCGCATCTCGGGTGCGCCGTGCGCGTTGCCAGACGGCCCAACGCAGCCTCCTCGCCCGCCCGCCTCTTGCGTCCCGACCGTGACAGCGCCCGGCGCAGCAAGCTCCTCGACGCCGCCGCACCGCACCGCACACGCCGTCCTCCGCTGCCTCTTCCTCGCCCTCCTGCCGCCATGGCGCTCCTGCTGCGCGGCGCGCGCCTGCGCCTCGCCGCCGCCGCGCTGCCCGGGCCGGCGCGGCACATGAGCCTGCTGCCGGCACAGGCGCGCGCCCTGCTCCACGCAGAGGTCCCCGCCCTGTACACGCCCGCCGAGCCGCCGCTAGCCAAGCGCTCCCGGCGTGCCGATGCCTATCTGCCGCCGCTCGAGTCGCGCGAGCCGGCCGAGCTGGAGCAGCGCTACGTCAAGATGAGCCCGACGGGGCGCCATGCCTTCCTGCGCGCCCAGGGCGGCGCCGATGAGAGGTCACTCCAGCCAGAGCTCGTCGTCGCCTCGCTCGCCGAGCTGCGTGCCGGCATCCAGTGGCTCAGCGCGCAGGCCCACGTGGACGGGCGGCCGCCCGTGCGCCTCGCAGCCTCGCAGCCGCCGCTGCTGCGCCTCTCGCGCTTCACGCGCCCCAGCTTCTTCGACGTGCGCCTCGACATCGACGCCGCTCGCGCGCCCAACAACGGCGTGCTCGGGCCCGAGATGCGCCTTTCGCCGGTGTACCAGCGCCTGGCCGATGAGCCGCCGCGGCAGGTGACGCTGCCGCCGCTCGTGCTGCGCGTGCCGATCGACGTCTCGCCGCTCCTGGCTCATCCCGTCCGCTCCTTTGCGCCGCTCGGCGAGGCGCCCGCCGAGCCCAGCGGCAGCGATGCAGCGCTGCAACAGGTCGCCACGGCCGCGGCCGAGCGCGCATTGGAGGCCCTGACGGCCAGCGACTGGGCGCGCTCCTTTCCGGAGACTGCGTACCGCGCCTTCAAGGCGTGCGTCCAGCAGCTCGTGACGCTGTACTGGAAGGCCGACGGCGAGCGCTTCACGATCAACCTCGGCTTTGCGCTAAAGACACCCGACGGGGCCAAGATCGATGACAAGAATGTGGTGCAGAGCAAAGGCACGGTTCTTCTGAACAGCGCACAGCTCGACTTTGACGACTTCGCCGCAAACCGGCAGCCAAAGATCAAGGCGCTCTCGCGCGACGCCAATGAGGTGTGGCCGCCTGTGTATGCGGAGGCGAAGAAGCGCGGCGAGAAGGCGGCACGCGCGCAGGAGCGGCGCGAGAGAGAGCAGATCAGCACGCCGCCCGAGGAGCCCCTCTCCGAGGCGCGCCAGTCGCGGCCATCGCTGCGTCGGTCGGCGTACGGACAGGCCAATTCGTTCCTCGAGCGGCTCGCCGACGAACAGGGTCTCGTGTACCGGCAGCACATGGGCAACATCGGACTCTTTGGCTACGGTGCTGGCATGGGCATGGGCACCTTTGATGGCGTGGTCGACGAGGGCGGGCATGTGAGTGGACGGGCGCAAGCAGCGACTGGCACTGCCTCGACAACTGACGCCTGTGCAGCCGGCAAACTTCTTCGACGGCGGTGGCGGTGCGTCGATCCAGAACTCCAAGGCGGCGATGGAAATCCTGAGTCTGGACAGAAGCGTGCGCTGCATCTTCGTCAATAGTGAGTCATTGCAAGCCCTGCGAGCCCGGGCCTCGCTCATGTGACTTGCGCCTAGTCTTTGGCGGCATCACGCGCTCCGATCTGGTCGCGCAGGGCATCCTGCAGGCGTATGCTGAGTTCGGCATGCGCCGCATTCCGCTCGTCGCACGCTTCCGCGGCAACATGGCCGAGGAGGCAAAGGCGACTCTGGCCGCCGCCGCTGAGCGGGGCGAGATTGACGCGACGCTCATCGACGACTTCCGGTCAGCGGCACGAGAGGCGGTGCGGCGAGCTGGGCCGTTCATCGAAAAGCCTCCCGCCAAGGCGCCCAACGGCCAGCTTCGCTATGTGCGATATGGCGAAGAGAAGAGGCTGATGTCTGCGGTATGGCGGGCCGCGAAGCGGCCAACTGCCACTGCGCGCATGGCGCCGCCCGAGTCACGCACGTTCGTGTCGTCTGCAGCGTACCGGCAACCTCTGGCGCCGTTCCACTTCCTCACCGGCTACGCCTTTGCCGGCAAGCCGCGCGGCGCCGCGGCGCAGGAGCGCGACGAGGACCAGGATCTTGATCCGGAGGAGCGGGCCGAGGCGGAGGCGGAGGCTGCAGAGGCCCGCGCGGCGCTCATGGGCGAGGACGTGCCGCCGCTGCCGCAGCAGGGCTTCCCGTCGGACTCGGACATCGGGCGATGGCGCGACGGCCTGCTGAGAGAAGGTGACGCCGGCGAGGACGCGCTCACGGTCTCGCGCATGCGCGGCACGGAGGGCGAGACTGACGGCGGCGGAGACGTGCTCATCGCCGTCGCCGACGGTGTCGGTGGCTGGGCTGAGAACGGCATCGACCCGGCACTGTTCAGGTGAGTGAACGTGTGCTCGTGGTCGCCAAACGCACAGCTGACACCATTGCCTCCTCGTGCAGTCAGTCGCTCATGTACCACGCAACGGCATATGCTCAGCAGCACGTCGCGTGCCCTGACCGGCTTGACATCGACTCGGGCTCGCTTGGTTCGTCGAGCTCGAGCGCCTCTTCCGATAGCACGCCGCCTACCACGCCCGGCTCTTCCGCCGACGGCGCCTCGCACGGCGGCGCGCCGCTGTCGATCCTGGAGTACGCGTACGAGCGCACGCTCGAGCAGCCCGAGGTGCCGGCCGGCAGCTCCACAGCCACGGTCATCACGCTGGACTCGACCAAGGGCATCCTGCGCTCGGCCAATGTGGGCGACTCTGGCTTCCTGGTACTGCGCACGAGCGGGCGCTCCGGCAAGGCGGGCGCCAGCGGCTCAGCAGCAAGCAGCACCGAGGCGCGCGAGGGCGTCTTCTACGCCTCTGCGCCGCTGCAGCACGGCTTCAACACGCCGCTTCAGCTCGCCAAGCTGCCGCCGGCCATGCGGCGCTCCGGCTCCATCGACTCGTCGCCGCGCGACGCGCACCTCTGGCAGGCCCAGCTGCGTGCCGGCGACCTCGTCATCGTGGCCACCGACGGGTTCTTCGACAACGTCAGCACGCCAGAGACGACGCAGCTCGTGCGCTTCGTCAAGGAGAAGCACCACCAGACCTGGGTCGCCGCGCGTGAGAAGGGCACCGTCAGCGGAGACGCGGCCGCAGAGGAGCGCAGCCTGACGCAGGCCGTGGCGCACAAGTGAGTGCCGCCGATGCAGTGGACCACTGGCTTGCGGCGCTGACAACCGCCATCACACAGCCTCGTCCAGTATGCCGTACGTCTGAGCTGGTGATGTCGCAAGTGCTTCGCATTGCTCACGCCCCCTTTCCTCCTCTAGATCATGTGCATGCGCTCGCCGAACAAGCAGAGTCCGTTCGAGCGCGAGGCCGCGCGCCACGGCATCCGCTTCCCAGGCGGCAAGGTTGACGGTGAGCCCGAGTTGTAGCGTCGCAGCATATCGGCATCGCTGACTTGTTGTTGTCCGCCAGATGTGGCCGTGGTGACTGCGCTCGTTGTAGAGCGGTGAGGCTGCGTTGCGAAGACGACGGGCCCTTATTTGCGTCTCCGTCGTGTCATCCTACACTGTTGCATAGCTGCTCTAATCCACTGCACGTGTCGAGAGACTGCAGGATGCGCAGCGGATGCTCGTTCGGGCGCGCGCGAGCCAAACACCCGGCTGCGCGTGTAGCGCAGCACCAAGCGATGCGCTATGGGCCCGCAGTCTTGACGTGGTGGCACTTCTGCTGCTCCGGCGGCGGCGATGCCGCTCAGAAGAAGAAGTGCCAGAAGAGGAAGAGGCCCACGACGCCGGCGACGATGTACAGCGTGGTGCGGTGTCCGCGCGCGCCGTTGACGACCGAGCGCGTGAAGCGGGTGCTGGTGTGCGAGAGGCGGTCGGAGAAGGCATCGAAGGACTCGGACTGGGTGCGCATGGGTCAGCACTTGCACGGAATGCGGCGATGTGGCGCCGTGACAGCATGCAGCCCTGTAAGCCAGCCCATGGCCGCGCACGCCCTTCCTCGCAGACGCATGACTTCGAACCGTTCTGACGCAGCGCCGCGCAACACATGCCTCCGCGCCGCTCGCGTCACTCACAGCATCTGCCAGCAGGCCTGTTCGCTGCGACTCGGCGTCGTCGTGGATGTCGTTGGTCACGCCGCGCTGCGGCAGATGCGTCAGTGTGCGTGCAGCGGATGCGGTGGCCGGGCCGGCGGGGCACGCACCAGGGCCTTGACCTTGTCGAGCAGCTTGCCGAGCTGGTCGTCGTTCTGCGACTCGTACGTCTGTGCGGCGGAGCGGGACATGGCGGCGACGACGGCGAGCAGGTGGAGGTGGTGGAGAGACAACGTGCGAGGCGCAGCCAGAGCCAGCCGGGCCGGGGGGCGTGGGACCGGCGCGAGCGCGTCTGTCACGTGCCGCCGCGTCGCTGGCAGCGAAGCTCGAGGCCAAGCTCAGGCCGCGCCGCACCGTGCCGATTCTTCCTCCGCCCCTCCCATCTCGCTGCCCGGGCCTGCCCTGCTCGCCGGCGCTCCTCAAGACTCCCCGTCCGGCGCTCTCCGTCGCACATCATGCAGCACGAGTCGCCCCTGCCGACGCGCCGCAGCGCCCGCGGCCCGGCGCGCGCCTCGCGCCTCGAGGCCAACCGGCCGTACGCGCGGCGCAGCGGCACCGGCCTCGCTGCCTCGGCGTCGGCACAGAGCCTGACAGCGTCGGCCTCGACACCCTCGCTGCACGCCTCGCCCTCGGCGCGCACCGGCGGCGACGCAGAGGCCGGCTCGCCGCCGCAGCCGCAGCGCTCCGCCGGCCTGCTCGGCTCGCTGGGCCGCGCCATCTCGCGCCCGCTCGGCTGGCTCGGCGTCGCCGGCGGCTCCTCGAGCCAGGCAGGCGCCGGCCCCGCTGCGTCGACACGCGGCGCCCGCTCCGACGACCGCAGCCTCGCACTGCCGTCGTCGGCCTCGATGGGCTCTCTCACGCGCCGCTCGCAGCGGCGGACGGGCGCGGCCTCCACCGACGAGCCCGACGTCGACCGCTACGGCAGCCTGGGCCGCGGCTCGCTGCGCGCCATCGGCGGCCGCCTCGCCTCGTCGGCGCACGCATCCAGCGGCGACCTCGAGTCGCAGGCCAGCGGAGGGGCGCCGCCGAGGCGCCGCGGTGCCGGCGGTGCTGGTGCTCCTCCGCCGCCTCCACCCATGTCGTGGACGGGCTCGCTGGGCGCCCGCTCGCGGCTGTCGCAGCCGCCCATCAACGCAGGTGGTGCTGGAGGTGCGGCCGCCACTCCGCTCACGCGTTCCACGTCCTCGTGGCTGGCGCCCGGCGTGCCTGCCAATGACGCTCGCATGGCTACGCGCAGTCCCTCGCCGGCGCGCTCGAATGCCAGCGCTGCCGTGCAGACCTACGGGCGCGCCCGTCTCTCAGCGGCGCCCACGCCACGGCCCTCTTCGCTCTACGCTACTACGCCTCAGCGCGGAGGCACGCCGGGCGCATCGCCCTCCACGCCCTCCTTTGCCTTCGGCTACGGCTCAGAGCGACGCCTCGCGGGCCTGGCCGATGCTCCTCTGCAGACCGCAGCCGCAGCGCTGCCTTCGCGTTCGCCATTCGCTCGCCGTGCGCGCGCCTCGACTGGCGCAGTCACTGCCGGATCTGATGCAGGCCGCTCGTCGCTGCTTGGCCAGTCTCGCGGTGTGTACCCGCCGACCACGTCGCTCTCGCGACCGGCCTCGCTGTACGCAGGGTCCAGCATCAGCGCGAGCCCGAGCGCCAGCCGCCTGGGCTCAGGCCAGGTGGCGCGCACACGGACCTGGAGCTCGCTCGGCCTTGCGCCGCCAGCGGCCCGAGAGTCGGCGGGCGAGAGCCTGCTGCGCGAGTACGCTGTGCGCCGCCGCGAGGGCTCCATGAGCATCAGCAGAGCCGGCAGCGCCGCGCCGGGCATGGATGTTGACAATGCCAGCGTCGCGAGCGGCACGCCGGGCAAGAGGAAAGAGCGAGAACGTGAGGACGAGGAGATGAGTGCTGTTGTGAGTGCCAGAGTGGGAACATGGCAGCAGTCCGCACCGCTGATCACCGGGCTTTAGTCGCAGAGCGCAAAGAAGAGGCGTATGGTCTGGGATCAGGAGTTGGGATTCGTTTCGCGCGACGAGCTCAAGGCAAGACGTGAGTCAGAGGAGACCTGTGCGCGCTTGCGCTCTGTCTCATGCGCCTCTCTCGCCAGAACCGGTGCCGCCGCCGCCTCAAAACGAGGCCGAGCGTGTGCTCAACTTCCTTGAGGGCATGCGGACGCCCTTAGGCGACATTCGGAGAGCTGGCAGCGCCACACCTAGCCTTGTGAGTGCCTTGCTTGCTTTCCAATGAACCAGCGCTAATCCTCCGCACAGCCTCCGTCACACAGCCTGTCTCGCGTGCACGTGCCGCTGCCTCTGCGCGACGCCGAGGTGCGGCGTCCGGCTGCGGAGGCGAGCGGTAGCCTGTCGAGGTCCGTCGCGCCGTACTCGCGCGCCCAGCGCGCCAACCGCGCAGCTGGTCCGAGCGAGGGTGGCATGCGGGCGCGCACAAAGCGTGCGCAGCCCCTGCGCGAGCCACGCGCGGACGACGCCATGAGCACGGGCTCTCATGCCGACGAGCAGTCGAACGACGAGATGGAAGGCACGACAGATGAGGAGGCTGAGCAGGAAGAGGAAGAGGAGATCATCGAGCCTCCGCGTCGTCGCGGCGTCTCGACGCGCACAGCAGCGCGCAAGGAGGCTCCCGCGAAGGAGACGCAGCCGCAGGAGGACAACGAGCCGTCGCCGCGACGCCTGCGTTCCGGCCGCGCGCTCTCGCCCGTCAAGGCGGCACCCGTCAAGCAGACACCGGCCAAGGCAAGCTTGGCGGCGCCTGCAAAGAAGCCTCAGCCTTCCACGGGCGCTGCAGGCGGTGTCAGTGCTCCGGCGGCTTCGGCCTCGAGCTCGCGCGCTGCTGCCTCTGCTGCTCTTGCTGTGCCGGAGTCCAACGCCGCATCGCGCGCCTCCTCGGTCGCTCCCGACGTCTTCTCTGTTCGCTCGGACTCCGACTCAGGCTCCGTGCGCCGCGAGCGCTCCTCGCTGCGGCAAGGTGCACAGAAGCAGATCTCGGCGCACCGTCGCGGCGGCAAGTCGAACCGCGTGGGCCTCGAGGAGGACGATGACGAGGACGGCGACGCAGAGGAGGAACGCCTGGAGCTAGAGAAGGTCAAGATGCCCGAGGTGGTCTTCCCAAGCGGCTTTGCGTTCGGCAAGACGAGCTCGGCGTCGACAGCTCCCGCCACCAAGCCTGTGTCCACCGAGCAGACGAAGCCGACCGAGCAGAAGGATGCTGGTGCAGACAAGCCGGCATCTTCCACTCCTGCCTTCTCTTTCGGCGCGCCGGCTTCGGCCGACAAGCCGGCGTCCGCAGAGGGCGCGGGCGGCTCGCTCCTGAGCCGCTTCGGCGGCTTTGCTGCGCCAGCGCAGGAGTCGACGACGCCAAAGAAGTCTCCTCCGCCAAGCTCAAAGTTCTTCCCTGCCGCTCAGGCGGCGCCGCCAGCGTCGTCTGCCAGCAGCGAGCCTCCCAAGCCTCTCTTCTCCTTCGCACCTGCGGCTGTGACCGAGGCCGCGAAGAAGAGCGACGAGGCAAAGGCTACGCCCGCGGCCGGCGCTTCCAGCTTCTTCAGCATGCCGGCCGCCGCTCCCGCGGCGGCACCGGCGCGCGACGAGAAGAAGTCCGGACCCGTGCCGAACTTCTTCGGCAGTGCCGCCACGGCAGAGGCGCCGAAGCCGCCTGCATCTTCCACTGCGGCGCCGACGTTCAGCTTTGGCGCACCTGCATCCGCTTCAAGCTCGGCACCTGCAGCGACTCCCGCGTTCGGCGGATTCGGCGCGCCCAAGAAGCGCTCTGCCGATGACGATGAGGAGGCGAAGAGCCAGAGCGCCGATCCGCCAGCCAAGAAGGCGGCCGCGGATGCCAACGGCGCGGCAGAGGCGCCCAAGGCTGCATTCAGCTTCGGAGGCTTCGGCGCCGCACCTGCCAGCTCGGCAGCGCCTGCCTCGGGCACGCCGGCCTTCAGCTTCGGCGCAAAGCCCGCGGCAGCCAGCGGCGGCTCTTTGTTCGGAGCGCCTGCTGCAGACAAGCCTGCAGCGTCCGTTGCGCCTGCGACGCCTGCCTTCGGCGGCTTCGGCACGCCGAGCGCGTCCCCGAAGAACCTGTTTGGAGCAGCCACGCCTGCGACACCGGCGCCGGCTGCTGCAACTAGCGACGCTGCAGGCGCAGGGAACAGCATGCAGGAGTCCCCGTCGACGAGCACGACCGAGGCTGCCAGTGCGCCTGCTCCGGCCGCCACGCCGTTCACGTTCGGCAGCCAGACCAGCAGCGGCACGTCGGCTGCGAGCACCACGATTGGCTCGTCGCTCTTCGGCGGATCGGCGAAGGCTTCGACACCCGCGTCGGGCACGGACAGCGCACCGAGTGGCTTCACGTTCAAGCCGGCGGGCGCAGCTTCGACTGCGTCTGCTGCAAGCAGCACGTCCACACCTTTCGGCGCTGCTGCGCCTGCAGCGTCCTCCGGCTTTACGTTCGGCGCACCGGCCGCGTCTTCGACAGGCATGTTCGGTAGCTCAGCGCCGGCTGCGTCGTCTCAGCCGCCGCAGCAGGCACCCTCGCCGGCCTTCACGTTCGGAGCCGGCAGCGCCTCGCCAGCGCCTACGTCGCCTGCAGCGCAGCCCGCGCAGCCGCCATCATCGGGCACCTTCACCTTCGGCCAGCCTGCCGCCTCGTCGTCAAGCTTCGGCGCCTTTGGCAGCGGCGCACCTGCAGCGGCGGCACCGTCATTTGGCGCCTTTGGCGCTGGCACCGCCAGCAACGCAAGCTCGCGCGCCGCCTCGCCGTTCGGCGCGCCTGCACCGCAGTCGACGAGCACGTTCGGCGGCTTCGGGAATCCGTCTGCACCCGGCACGCCTGCCGCATCGTCGGCCGGCACGGGCTTCACCTTTGGCGCTCCGGCCGCCTCCGCGCCTGCTCCGGCTGCCAACGGCTCTGCGCCTGCTGGCTTCACCTTCGGCATGCCCAGCAGCGCAGGTGCGGCTCCGGCAGCCGGCGGCTTCGGCCAGCAGCAGGCGTCGTCGCAGTCGTCGGCGTCGCCGTTCGTCTTCGGTGCGAGCCAGCCGACCACGCCGTCGGGCTCGGCGCCGTTCCATTTCGGCGCACCGCCAGATGCCAACGCGCCGCAGACGCCTCCAGCCACAGGCGCCCCCGCGGCCGGCGGCGGAGGCTTCTTCAACCTCGGCGCCGCGCCGACGCCCGGAGCGGGCAGCCCGGCGGGCGGGCGGCCGATCAAGGGCGTGCCGAGGGCGCGGCGGGGCCGCTAAGTGCGCCTGCTGGCTCTCCTTGCTCCGTCTTCGCGCCGCTCTCCACACCTAACCCATTCCTCGTCTCTGCATGTGTCCCCTACTGCAATCAAGCCACGCCAGCGACACTTATTGAATGACTCATGCATCACATGTGCACGTCGTACGCCAGCACCTCTGGGGACACGTGCGTGAGAAGGTGGCGAACCTCCGCGTCGGCGTGACTCACCATCGACATTGGGCGCCATGTGCTCCTTGACGAACCTGCGTACAGCGCATCAGTCTGTGCATGGCTCTGGCGTTCGTTATGCAGCGACTCACTCCTTGTGCCCCGGGCAGTCGCGGTACTCGATGAACGTCTGCTCGCTCTCGAACTTGGAGTACAGCGCTGGCATGCGTTGCGGCTCAGCGGCCGCTCGCAGCTGCACTGGCGGACAGCGGTCACTCACCGTAGTTGTAGCCCCGGGCGCGGTCGGCGTACACGGGCGGGCCCCATGCATGCTCGACGAGCAGCTGCTTCGGGCCCTCGTAGGTGGCCAGCGTGCGGAACTTGGCCTCGAGCTCGGCCATGCGCGCCGAGTCGTCGGCGATGGCGGGCTTGACCTGTGTGCGAGGGTCTTGTGAGCTTGAGTAGACAGCGCACCCTGCCACATGCACGCACCTTGACGAGGACGATGTGGATGAAGGGCATGGCTGCGGCGGGATGGGATTGAGAGTGGCAGGTGGAGGTGGGAGGGAAGCCGCTCCGCCAGCCGAGCGCCGCGATGAGCCGTGCGCGCGGCGAGCGCGCCGGCCGAAGCGGCCGAAGCGCCCTCACCTGCCTTGAGCTGCTCCTCGGTCGCTGCTGCCTCGCTTCTGACCGAGCGCACAAGTCTGAGCCGCTGAGGGTTGATATAACGCTGCTGGAAGGCTGATCCGCAGCGAGAATTGGCAAGGGCTGCAAGCGCCGGCAGGCGACGACGACTTTGGCCTCTGGTCGAGGCAGCGGTGCGCGTCGCGTGACGCCAAAGAGGTGCGCCGCGCGTTGCCGCGCCGCGCCAAGGCTGCGAGAGCTTCGCGCCGAGAGCAAGGCGTACCGCACCCTCCTCTCCTCCACAACCCGCTCTCTCCTTCTCCCGTCGCCGCGAGCCCGCCATGGCGCTGCCGCAGATGCTGCGCGCCGGTCTCGTGCCGTCCGAGGCCGAGTACCTCTCCGCCACGGCCACGCACGTCGCCATCGTGCCGCTGCAGCGCATGGACCGCGTGCGTCTCTTCCAGGGCGTCTACGGGCCCTTCCGCCCGCCGACGCAGGCGCAGGTGCCGCTCTGGCTGGCCGTGAACCTCAAGGGCAAGCGCAAGGCGCGCATCGTCGCGCCCGAGTGGCTCAGCGTCGGTGAGTCGCGGCAGGCCGTCGGGCGACATGGAGGGATGGGAGAGCGCCGGCGATGCGGCCGGGCACGCACGCCAGGCAGCACAGCAGGGCATGAGCGTCAGACAGATGCCGTGGTGCCGGAGCTTGAGCTGCTGCCTGCTTGCCTCTCTATGTGCAAGCCGGCTCTGTACTGACTCACTCCACAGAGGGCCTCAGGGCGCTGCTCAAAGCGGAGACATCGGAGCAAGTCTTCGCCGCGGTGCCGCTGCACTACGTCGGCGTCTCGACGCTACTGCTCGAAGCGTGAGTGAGCAGAGCATGCGCTCGTATCGTACCGACGCTGACAAGCATTGCAGAGCTGCGGACGACATCCCCGACTCGGACCTCGTGCGCTCGCTGCTCAAGGACCTGCGCGAGGCGCGGCAGGCAAAGGTGCTGCAGGGTTTGAACAGCGTGAACCCGTTCCATCTCGAGGTGAGCTATCTCAGACTGCTGGCCGCGCCTGATAGCTCACACTTTCTGCCTGCAGATGACGAACATCTCGCTCTCCGAGATTGCAGAGCTGCGGCCCTTCTTCATCCGCGCCTTCAATGACCTGCGCTTCCTGCTGCCGCCTGGCGCTGAGGCTGACGAGGCTGGACTGGGCGACGTGACGAACGAGGCACAGGTGGGCGACAGCACGCGTGCGAGCACGCGCGGCAACGAGAGCGGCTACGACGGCGGCGAGAGCTTTGCCGCTGGCGCCATGGGCTCGTCGTTCGCCGACGAGAGCCTGCAGTCGCTCGACAGTCAGGACTTGGACGTCGGTGCCTGGGCGGCACCCAACGCTGGCAGGAGCCGCGCAAGTGCTGCCGCCGCTGATCAAGATGCATCGACGAGCACGCAGCAACGGCAGGAACAGCAACACCTCGCGGCCAACGAGAGCATGACGGACATGGATCTCTTCTGAGCTCGCCCCTCCGCACGATACCCGGCTACATGCAGGCCTTCGCCACCCATCATACCCAGCATCGATCGAGCACTTGCATTAGCTCTCGCTCAGCGGCCGCGACATGACGATCCGACGATTGCCTCACTTGGACTCGCCCTTTGCGTCCTCGGCCGCGAGAGCGACGAGCTCCGGCCTGACCGACTTCTTCCACATCGCTGCACGGCAGGTCGCATCAGCGCTGGTAAGCGCGGCACGGGCGCCTCAGCCTACTCACTGCGAATGCTGCCTTCGGTGCGGTGCGGCATCGACTCGGCGAGCTGCGCGGCGCACGACATCATGAGGGAGAGAAACGGACTCGGCCTCAGCCGACTCACGCGCGTGACGTCCTTGGCTGTGAGGGTCAGCTGGCCCTTGGCTGCAAGCAGCTTGTAGATCGAAGCGACTGCGCATATACGCCCTCGTCAGCCTAGAGCGATTCGACGGTGACGGCAGCAGCACTCACTCTCCTCGGGCGTCCAGGCGATCAGCTTCTTCGGAGCGCGGTCATCCTCATCAGTGGTGGCGGCACGCTTGGGCGGCATTGTGGTGCGACGACAACAAGATGGAGAATGAAGGAGGAAGGAGGGCAAGGGCAGGGATCGGGTCGTTGCGGACGTGCAGAACGGCGCGCAGACGCCTATATGGCAAGGCGAACGCCTCGCAATGCCCCGAAAGGACCCGCGCTCCCTGCCTGGCGACTTCTTTGGCGCTCCGTGCATACTCTGCCGCTGCTCGAGCACACCTCATCGGAGCGGCAGTGGGGCAGGCGCGCTACGCGACGGCACGGGCCGTGCATCACGGCTTGCCCCTGAAAGGTCCGACGCACGCACACTACCATTGACTGCGGTCCGCGACGAGCACCAGATGGGCTATCATCTCGCCGGCAGAGCGCTCGTGCAATGGCAATCTACATTGCCCCACACTCATCAAAGCGAGACTAGCGGCTGGCAGCGGCGGCGGGACACTGGAGGCATGAGCGAGCACCGGCGAAGCACGGGAGCAGGCGAGCGCTGACTTGATGGCAGAGGGTCTCTGCTGCTCGGCTCCTGGAGGCGCCTGCGCAGGCTCGAGCATCGAGGCCCAGTGCTCCGGGACGCTTTGTTTGCGAGCGGTGTGCCATATCATGCCTTCTCGTCCCTCCATCACCCCAAGTCGCGCCGCAGCATGCCACCCATCCGCTCCGAGAGCCAGACGCCGTCGCCCACGCGCCCCAAGGCCAGCAGCAGCACTGCCTGGACGGGCGAGGAGCGTGAGTCCCGCACGTGCCCGGCGCTCGGCGGCCCGAGCTCACTCGCTCACTGATGCGCAGTGCAGACGATGATGCTCTACCTCATCGGCAAGAACGTCGTCACGCTCAGCAAGGCCGACGTCGAGCGCCTCCAGGAGCTGCTGCCTGGCAGGTCGCCCGACAGCGTGCGCCGTGAGTAGCTCGCTTCTTGACTTGTCGGCCATGCGCTGACGCCCCAGCCAGACACGTGGAAGAACCGCATCAAGCAGCAGTCGGCGGAGCTGCAGATCGGTGCTGCGTCCGCTCCTCCGCCCAAGAAGCGCGCCATCAAGAAGTCCTCCCCTGAAGCAGCAAGCGGCGTCAAGAACGAGTAGTCGCGGCTGCGAGGCCACGCGCTACCGAGCTGGGCTGTTCTCTCCCTCTTCCGCGCCGTGAATGCCATCTGTCTCTCCCACTCTGCCTCTTGGTGCCAATCTCTAAGCTGAGGGTCTGACCTGTGCCAGACGAGACGGAGAGGGGTCATGCCGGCTGGTCCGCCGTCTCACTGCCGGAGACATCATGGTCCGCCGCGGTCTGCGGCGGTCGAGCCGGCGAGAGCTCATCAAGAGCTGTCCCGCGCTCCGCGGGCCCCCTTGACTTGCCACCTCTCTCCACTACCCTCACTGCACCACCCGTCATGCCCAAGCGCAAGTCCAGCTCCTCGCCCGGGCCCGGCTCGCACGCTCGGCGCACGGGACCCACTGTGGCGTGGACGCCCGAAGAGCGTGAGTCTGCAGGCTTTCTGCTTCCGACGCAGGCAAGCTGAGCATGGCCACGACCGCAGTCAATACCGTGCTGCTCTACCTCGTCGCCAAGAGCCAGCTGACTCTCAGCAAGACGGATCTAGAGAGGCTGCAGGAGCTGCTGCCCGGCAGGACTGCCGAGGGAATCCGCTGTGAGTCAGCCCGCGAAGCTTGCAAGCTCTTGCTGCTGACGCTTCACGGTCCGTGCAGTGACGTGGAAGAACAAGCTCAAGCCGCAGTGCGCAGGCCTGCTGGCCGGCGATGTTGCCGGCGACGAGAAGAAGCCAGCAAGTCCTGCGAAGAAGGCCTGCAAGGCGGAAGCGAAGCCGAGCGCGGCGAAGAAGGCCAAGGCTGAGGCTTCCGATTCGGGCTCCGAGTGACTGCCGCTCTCGCGCTCGACGCTTCGTCCACAAGCCTCTCGTCCACACACCTCGTCGTTGCGTCCTCCAATCAACTCTATTCCTGCCCGCCTGGCATACGGAAATAAGGGCGAGGGCGCTGCAGCGGGCACTGTTGAAAGAGGCTGGGATGTGATGATGAGAGCATGGCGGTGCAGGGATGACTAGTACGGGATGTGTGTGACACGACTGGCGGAGCTGGAAGCGCTTTGGCTGTGGAGAGCGAATAATAGGAAGCGAGAGGAGGGGAGCATATTACCAGCCGCGCTGGGCCATCTTGCCGCCCTTCATGTTCTGTTGGGCGAGACGTGAGCAGATGTGTGAGCAGCGGGATCTCGCACCACTCACGTCGGAGATCGTGAGGCCGACCATGGCCTCGCCGAGGTCCGTCGAGACCTCGGCCAGCTTCTCCGGGTTGTCGTAGTGCGCGACAGCCTCGACGATGGCGCGGGCGCGCTCGGCCTGGTTCTGGCCCTTGCTGGAAGAGTGGAGCGCCCTTTCAGCGCATGCGCATGGAGCGGAGCCTGAAAGCGCAACTTACAAGATGCCAGAGCCGACGAACACACCGTCCGAGCCGAGCTGCATCATGAGCGCAGCGTCGGCGGGCGTGGCAACACCGCCAGCGGCGAAGTTGACGACGGGCAGGCGCTTCAGGCGGGCGGTCTCCTTGAGCAGGTGGTACGGCGCCTGCAGGTGGAGTGTAAGCACGCAGCAGATGCAGCGAACACACCGCAGCACGCACAGAAATCTCCTTGGCGTACGTGTAGAGCTCCTCGTCGCTCATGCCGGCGGCGCGGCGGATCTCAGCCTGCACCGTGCGCTGGTGGTGCACGGCCTCGACGACGTTGCCCGTGCCGGCCTCGCCCTTGGTGCGGATCATGGCCGCGCCCTCGGAGATGCGGCGCAGCGCCTCGCCGAGGTTGCGGCAGCCGCAGACGAAGGGGATCTTGAAGCTGTGCTTGGCAATGTGGTGGTAGTCGTCGGCGGGCGTGAGCACCTCGGACTCGTCGATGTAGTCGACGTTGAGGGCCTGGGCAGGAGTCAGCGCTGCTGCAGGAGCTGCTCGCTAGGAGCTACACACCTGCAGGATCTGCGCCTCGACAAAGTGGCCAATGCGGCACTTGGCCATGACGGGGATCGTGACGGCAGCCATGATCTCGCGGATCATCTTGGGGTCGCTCATGCGTGCCACGCCGCCCTCGACGCGGATGTCGGCGGGCACACGCTCGAGGGCCATGACGGCGCAGGCGCCGGCCTCCTCGGCGATGCGGGCCTGCTCGACATTGACGACGTCCTGATGGAACAAGGGATGAGCTGCTGCAGCCACAATCGAGGGTGTGCCTCGCCAGCACGCACCATGATGACGCCGCCCTTGAGCATCTGCGCGAGGCCGCTCTTGACGCCGAACGTGCCGCTGGGGCCGTGGGCGGACGAGGCGGGCGCGGCGGCGGCAGGTGCCGCGCGCGAGATGCCGTTGGACGCGGCAGCGCCGTTGCCGTTGGTGATGGGAGCCTCGGACGACATGGTGTGTGTGCTGAGTGGGGTGTGGTGGTGAGGAGACGAGGAGAGCAGGCCTGAGTGCGCGAGTCACGCCGGCTTGACTGAGAAGCGGAGTCGCCGTGACAGCGGCGGCTGCAGCGCCGCGCCGGCCTCCCAAGCGCAAGCTTCTTCCAGCCGCGCCACGGCCCGCGGCCGCACCACCAAAAATCGATCACGTCAGCACGGACGCCTGCGTGTCAGCAGCGCTGCCCTCGCCGGCTGCGCCAGAGTCTGCCTGCGCAAGCCCGTGCAGCGCTCTGTCAGCGGCCAAGCCACCCGTATGCAGTCCCTCATGCTCAGCTTCAGAGCGCATCGTGCTCACTCGGAGCTGCAGCGCGGACGGAGCGCGAGGCCGAGGCGTCAGCGTCAGCGTGTGCCGGTGCGGGGTGCAGGCGCAAGCAAGGCGCGGCCGTGTTCCCACGCTCTGTGGCAAGGCAGCGGTGGTCACGTGTCAGCGCCGGGCCGCTCCGGCCGTCGCGCGGCGCTCACCACGCCTGCGCCCACGGCGCCGCGCCAGCAGGCACGGCTCGCCCGTCGCGCGCCAGCCAGCAGCGAGCGGGCAGTTTGTGGCAGCGCCGGCCGGCCAGCGCCAGCTGCGAGCTCGTCGTCGTCGTCGCCGGCGCCGTCGTCGTCTCCACGCCCTCCCTCCTCCTCACCCCGTCCCGTCGCCCAGCATGTCCGCCGCCCTGCGCACCCGCACCTTCATCAACCTGGCGTGCGTCTGCCGTTGCCATGCTGCGGCCTGCGCCCGCGCTGTGCGCCGCGCGCAGCCGATCTTCCTGCGCTGACGCCCGCTCTCTCGCCCGCAGCCCGACGACGCGCGTCTCGGCCGCCGGCGCGCCCATCTCGGCCGCCAACTTCGCTGCTCGTGCGCTTGTCGACGAGCACGACGCCCACGGCCACGGTGGCCCGGGCGTGCGCGCTGACGCCGGCGCCGTGCCGCGCTGGGCCGTTAGCCGCGCTGGCGCTGCTGGTGTGGTCCGCACGGGTGTGAACGGTGAGTAGCGCGGCGAGCAGGAGCCGGTGTGGTGATGTCAGGGCATGGAGGGATGTTGCTTGGTATCGCGCAGAGAGACTGCACCTAGAAGCGCAAGGCTGCACGCTGTGAGCCCTCTGGTGGGCAGGACAGGCAGCGCGGCAGTGGCGCTCGAGCGGCGGCTCCGCGAGAGCCTATTCGGCGGCTGCGAAGCGCTGCGCAGAGGGCTCAATGCTCTTGCTCGACGCTTCAACAAAGGAGGATGCCGCCTCTCCGCTCGCGCCCGCGCAGCTGCTGCGGGAATCTTCCGAGGGCCAGGGGTACCCCCCAACGGGCGAATTCGCGTGAAGCTCGAAGCGCAGCGCAGAGCAGCACCAGTTGTCTGTCGCTTGAGAGCGCTGGCTAGGCCTGCACAGAGCTCGAGCACGCGTGCCGAATCACTGCGGCAGGTTGCGATGCGGGCTTGAGCAGCGCCAAGAGCGCGGACTCGCCGCGCACAAAGGCCGGTAGAGCGCTCCGCCGACTGGCCGACTGGCTGGCAGCGCAAGGCTAGCACGTTGCGGCCCTTCAGAAGGCGAACACGCCTCGGCGCTGGCAGTATGCCCTGCAGCCTCGGCACGCTTCCCAGCGCTCGCTCAATTGCTCCTGCTGGACCAACGCACTTGGGCACGCGCTGACAGCAGACCTCTCAGCCAACCCCACGATTGGCCAGCCGCGCTTCATGTCGACGTCGTCGCGCAAGCTGCAGGCCGTGCCCGACTTTGGCGCGTACCGCACGTCGAACGTCAACAGCAACAAGGCCTTCTCGTACTTCATGGTCGGCTCCATGGGCCTGATCGCCGCCTCGGGCGCGCGTGCCACGGTGTCTGACTTCCTCGCCTCGATGAGCGCGTCGGCCGACGTGCTTGCGCTCGCCAAGGTGGAGGTCGAGATGGCATCGATCCCCGAGGGCAAGAACGCCATCATCAAGTGGCGCGGCAAGCCCGTGTTCGTGCGCCACCGCACCGCCGACGAGATCGACGAGGCCAACGCCGTCGACATCTCCAAGCTGCGCGACCCGCAGAAGGACAGCGACCGTGCCCAGCGCCCGGAGTGGCTGGTCATGCTCGGCGTCTGCACACACCTTGGGTGAGTCTCGGCGTGTGCCAAGAGCGCTGTGCCTATGCTGACGCCCTCTTCCCTCCGCAGCGTAAGTCGCGCAACTGACTTCGAGTGACACCGACGCTGCAGATCACTGACGCTTGCTCCTGCAGTGTGTGCCGATCGGCGAGGCTGGCGACTACGGAGGTGAGCCCGGCTGAGACACGCCGACGCACGCTCCGATGCTCACTGCCTCTCGCAGGCTGGTACTGCCCGTGCCACGGCTCGCACTACGACATCAGCGGCCGCGCACGCAAGGGCCCGGCCCCGCTCAACCTGGAGGTGCCGGCACACAGCTTCAACGACGACGAGAACAAGATCGTCATCGGCTAAGCTAAGCGCCTTGGAGTCACGGATGCTGGGACTGAGAGAGGAGGACAGGGTGCGGCGCAGCGAGGGCGCCGCACGTCTGTGGCGGCCTCTGTAGATTGACGCTTTCGCAATGGAACTTGTGTGGCCTCAACGCACGTCTGCGGGCAGCTGTCAGGGGTCTGCCGGTGCGATGCGGTCAGGCAGCGCTTTGTGCGAGCTGAGCAGCTGCGCACAGGGGCATGGATCGGACTGAATGAGGCCTGGCGCTCCTCTGCCTCGACTCTGCGTTAACTCAATGGAGTCCAGCTGGCGACTGCGCACAAGCGCCCGTTGGTCGTGCAGCGTGCAACAATCGTCCGGCGAGGCATCTGAAGCGAGTCTATGACATTGCGAAGCCCTGGTGCCGCTCAGCTCAGATCACCTCATCAAAGTCCTCTCCATCGTCGTCATCATCGTCATCGTCGTCTGCTCCATCGTCTTCCGCCGCAGACTTGGCAGGCGTAGCCGCTGCTGGCTGCGTGCTGCCCGACGCCTGCACAGGCGGCGCCGCCTTCTCGCGCGGCGCATCGCGGAACTCTGACTTCAGCGACCAGTTGCCGGTGTAGGGGCCGCGCTTGTGCAGGTCGCCGATGGTGCTCAGCACGTCCTTGAGGTATGCCTCGGGCTGCTGCGTCTCCTGCCGCAGCGCCTTGAGGGACCAGTACGGGTAGCGGTCGAAGCTCGTCATGAGCAGGTCGAGCAGCTCGTTCTTGGGCATGCGCGCGAACTTCTCCGTCGACTTGGTCGGCTTCTGCTTCGTGGCCTGAGGTTCGAGAGGTCAGCCACGGCACACTCATCAAGCCAGCTGCGGTGACTCACGATGAACGCCTCGCGCTTGCCCTTGGCGTGTCCCGTCACACCGGCCGCGAGCATGTTGTTCTCGGCCGTGTTGTTCGGGTTGAGCATCACGACGCTGCTCTTCGGCTTGGCCGCGTCGATGCGGCGCTGGCGCAGCAGCGCACGGTACTCGGGCGTGATGCCTGCCGGACCGCTGCCCGCAGCCGCCACAGCGCCTGTTGGCCGCGCCACGATGGACGGCCGCGCAAAGACCTCGTTGATGACGCCGCCAGCAAGGGCAGTCCGCCCTGTGAGAGCTGGCATGAGCTGAGGGCCAGTGTCGCCTCCACCTTCGCCTCACTCACGCCGTGACTTGCGCTCGCTCTCCTCCGTTGTCTCGTCGTCGCTGTCCTCATCCAGGTCCTTCACCGAGCCGCCGTCGCGCTTCTCCTCCCACTCCCGGAACGCAAACACGTTCTGCGTCTGCCGCGGCTGCTCGTCGGCGTCGCGCGCCATGTGCAGCTCGTACTGCTGCGGGATGCTCGAGAAGCGCCCGCCGCTGCCCTTCGACTCGACGGCAGACTTGTCAAGGTGCAGCTCCATGCGCTGGTGCCCGCGCTCGTCTTGGCTGCAGCGCGATGGACTGTCAGAGCTCTGCTGTGCACAGCAATCACTCCACTTGGGCATCGGGCATGTACTCTGCCCCTCTAGCAACCCGCCTGAACATGCACGCCGGCGCGGCATAGTCCGTTCCACCAGTGGCGCTGCTCCGAGCGCACACTCACTCGTACACACGCACGAAGCCGAGCTTCGCATCGGGCTCGCTGACGCTGCTCCACGTCTCCTTGAGGAAGCGCGGCACGCGCACCAGCCACATCTGCGTGTCTGCGTCGCGCATGTCGATGTCCTCGTCGGGCTCGGGCGTGCGTGGCCGCACCGGCGCCGCCGCACCGCCACCGCCACTGGTGCTGCCTGAGGGCCCCGGCGTGCCGGCCGCCGAGCCCGTGCCGCGCAGCGACGAGGCGCCGAGGCCGGGCGAGTCGGTGCGCGTGCGCTTGCCGAGCGACGAGGTGGAGCCGGAGCGCGCCCAGGCGCCGCCGCCTGCGCCGGGGCCCGACACGGCGATGGGCTCGACGTCGTCCATGTAGCCACTCATGGTGCAGAGATGTGTGGTGGGCGTGGAGGAGGAAGCGGTGGAGCATGCACGGCGCTGCGGGTCGGCCGCTCGCAGCGTGCCGCGCGCGCTTCCGTGCGAGCGGCACCGGCGGCCGCGGCGCGCGTCTGGCGCATCTCCACGACTCGCTCCTCTCTTCCGACCACCATCTCCCTCCTCACCGCGGCGCCCACGCTGCGCATATCACCACACACACCTGGAGATCTGGACTTGTCACCATGGCGGTGAGCAGGCAGCACCACGAGGCTCTGCGCACTGCTGATGCGGCGGACACAGGACCTGATGGCCGATCTGGCGCCCGACTCGCCGCTGCGCGAGCCCGACAGCCCGGGCGTTTCGGCGTCCATGTTTGGCGCACACGATGCGCCCGACGGCGAGGCAACGGGCGATAGCCGCGGCGCAGACGTCGAGGGCAACCTCGAGGCAGCGGGCATCGTCGGCGCGGGCAAGGCGGCAGGTGGAGCGTCGACTGTGCTCGACTCCGAGGGCCCTGAGCCGCAGGGCGAGCAGGAGGAGCAGGACGCACGCGAGGCGATGGACGCAGAGATGAATGCAGGTGCGCGGGACGGCGAGCCAGGGCATGTTCGCCAGGCGTCGGCTGTGGAGGACATGGACGAGGACAACGAGAGCTCGGCCAAGCGGCCGCAGCCCGTGGAGGAGGAGGATGAGGAGGAGTACCAGGAGCGCGAGGCTGAGCGGCCAAAGAAGTGAGTCATCAGATGCAGCTGGAGGCCCGCGTGACGCGCCAGCGGCGGCCAGAGGTGCTACATGCTGATGCAGTGCATCGCTCGTCGCAGAAAGAAGTCTCGGGCGGTGTCGCCGGAGCGCTCAGCATCCCCAGTGGAGCAAAGAGCGCCCGACGCGGAGCTTGGCCAGGCTGAGCAAGCCGAGCGTGAGTGCTCCGTCTCCGTCTCGTTTGCGCCTCGCGCTGAGTGCATGTCGCAGGCCGGCGCCGGGAGCTCGACCTGGCGATCCAGGCGGCGACGCGGCCAACGAAGAAGCGGCCACGCAAGAAGAAGGACGACGAGGTGGTGAGTCTCGCGCCGTTGCCGTGTGCTGCTCGCCCTGACACTCGTGCAGGACCTCGACCAAGCTGCCGATGACGAAGTGGCTCAGATTCGGGACCGCATGATCGCAGCGGCCAATGACGACCACACTGCAAATGACGAAAAGCGGCCGGCGACGAACAAGCTGCGCATGCTGGGCGTTGTCGTCGACACGCTGCAAAAGTGAGTGGTACATGCCGAACCGAAGCTGCAGCACAAGCTGACTCCGCCTGTGCAGATCTCATCTGCAGCAGTCGATCCTGGACAACAACCTGCTCGACGGCGTGCGGCGATGGCTCGAGCCGCTGCCCGACAAGTCGCTGCCCTCGCTCAACATCCAGCGCGCCTTCTTCCCTATCCTGCTCGGCATGGAGATCGACACGATCTCGCTGAAGATGAGCGGGCTCGGCAAGGTGGTGCTCTTCTACTCGATGTGCGGGCGCGTCGAGGCTGGCATTCGCCGCATTGCAGACCGCCTCATCGGTGAGTGCCCTCGAAGCGGCGCCATGGCCCCTGTTCTGACTCTGTTGCTGCAGAGAACTGGTCGCGGCCGATCCTGAAGCGCTCCGCCTCGTACCGCGACCGCCAGCAGCAGACGAAGGCCATGTCGTACGAGCGGCCAATCGCGATGGAGTTCATCCCCGAGACGATGAACGCCGCGTCGCAGAGCCGCCGCAACGCCCAGCCGCCGCCGCCGGTGACGGGCCGCGACTTCCTCTACGCGCCTGTGTCGCAGGTGGCCGGCAGCCAGGACGACAGCCATCGGGCACGGGCAGCCAACCACGACAGGTGCGTCCGTAAGATGTGTGCATTGGCTGACCGCACGCTGACTCTGCCGAGTACAGGCTCAACAAGTTCAAGCGGTCCTTGCGGGAGAAGAAGTGAGGGCGTACGGCGAGAGCGAGCAATGCGAGCATGCATCATCGCGCCATCTGGAGTGACCCTGTGCAAGAGGCGCGCGGAGCCTAGATATCGCACACGAGCGAGTACGGCGTCTGCACGCCGCCCATGAACAGCTTGCGCTTGTCCGTGTCGTGAACGACGACGGTGATGCCGGACTGTCGCGGGCGCGTCAGCACAGGAGCCGCTGGGCATGGGCGGGCGACTCACGGCGATCTTTCCATCGTCCTCGAAGACGTGGTCGACGGAGTACTTCTGGCCGAAGAAGGCGTCCTTGCCCTCGTTGAGGCGCAGGCGCATGGCGTGCGCGGGCGAGTGCGTGTTGACGGGGTCCTCGAAGTCTGCGGCAGGGTCAGCGATGCACGTCACGGGCGCAAGTTGAGCGCCACTCACGCGGCAGAAGCTTGAGTAGCTTCGGGAAGCTGGCCGCCCAGACGTGGCCGTTGCTGTCGGTGCGCAGGTTGTCCATCGGGTAGCCGGTCTGTAGTAGGAAAATGTCAGCTGAGTGGGTGCGCCCGCGTTCGCGAGGGAGGTCCTCACCGCAACCTCGTCCAGCTGGGAGAGCAGCGTCAGCGAAAGTCTGTTGCTGCAGCGTGGCTCTACTCACAAGAACGAGCGAGCCATCGGCCTGCAGCTCAACCTGGCGAAGCTTGCCGTCCGAGGTGGATGCGATCCAGTCTGCGACAAGCATCAGTAGGCAAGCGACTGCCTGACGCACGCCTCACTCACACTCCTTGTCCTTGGCACCCTGCAGACGTGGCAAGAGTCAGCAACTCCTCTACTCTGGGACATTGCCAGCACTCACGTTCGTGATGCCGTTCGGGAACGGCAGGGGGCTCAATGCGTTCTTGCATCCCTTCTTGTCGCAGTAGCCGGCATCTGCGATTGTCGTGAGCTTCGGTCGCATGGCGGCGCCACACATCACGTACTGGAGCGCGCAAGAAGCAGGTCGAGGGCGCGGCCGTGGCCCACCTTGGCGCCGTGGTCATTCGTAAAGATGAACGAGTCCTTGCCGGTCGCAGCAAGCGAGTTGGGCGTGCGGATCTCCGGGTGCGCGAACGTGTGCTCGTACTCGAACTCGTCGCTGCCGACGGTGGTGGTGAAGAGCTCGACGGTCGAGTTGGCGCCGGACTTGAGGGCAGCGGCGGCGTCGATGCGGCCCTGTGCATCCACCGGCGGGCGGTGGTTGACGATGAAGAACTTGAGCGTCGGCTTGCTGCCCGGCAGCACCGAGTCGGCGACGTGCACCGAGATGCCGTGCAGGTTGTAGATCGGCTGGCCGTTGACCTGCACGCCGGGGAAGTTCTTGGGCGTCACCTTGCGGATGCGCTCGGACCACGGCCCGCTGCCCCGCGTGTCCACGACGGCGATGTAGTCGGTCGTCGCCGGATACTTGTTCCAGTCAAGGCGGTCTTGGCTAGCCAGAAGTAAGACTGTCAGTCAAGCTGCCTGGCACTGCTCTGCACATTCGGGCACTCACCAGGGCAGCCACGACATGCGCGACGTGAGCGGGTCGGAGCAGGCGGCGTAGAGGTAGCCGGTGTCCTGGTGCAGCCACATGTCCTCGCAGCCCTGGAGCTCTGCATCGCGGATGAATGATCAGTGAAATAACCTCACAGCGGAACATCCGCTGCGCTGCACTCACGAGGGATGATCTCGCAGCGGCCATTGCTCTTGTTCTCGAGCGAGCGGCTGAGCACGCCAAAGACGGTGAGGCGCGGCAGCAGCGCGAACTGGAAGACGACGCCCAGCAGCGCCAGGACGGCGCCGGCGATAGGAATAACGGCCATGTCGACAAGGCTGCTCCGTGGGGTAAGGATGATGGGGGGCGAGAAGGAGGCCGGCGGCCGGAAGCGGCTGCTTGGGGGAGCCGGTCCGTGCCCCGCATCCGCCTCCACACCCGTGTTCCGGGTGCGTGCCCTCGCCGCTTACGTCAGCAAGCGCATGCCGCACCTCTCTCTTGCTCGCGCTCGCGGGTCCACCGCATTCCTTCCCGTCCCTCACTCCCCCATCATGGCACCCAAGAAGAGTGCCAAGGCGCCCGGCGGCGGCGCAGACAAGGACGGCGCGCAAGAGGAGCCGCTCGCCGCCGTCATCCTGGCCGACACGTTCTCGCGCGCCTTTGCGCCGCTCGACGTCAGCGCTGCCGCCTCCTCCTCCGCCGAGAGCATCGAGAGCTGCGCGCTGCTGCGGCCTTTCCTCAATGTGCCGCTGCTCTCGCTGCACCTGCGCGCCCTCTCGCTCGCGCGCGTCGAGCAGGTGTACATCCTCAGCATCTCTCACGCCGATGTCCTGCGTGAGCACCTCACCGCCCACCCGGCACCTCCCGGCATGGAGGTGACGACGGTGCGCACGCCCGAGGCCCGCTCTGTCGGCGACTCGCTGCGCGAAATCGATGCGCGCCAGGTCATCCGCGGCGAGTTCCTGCTCGTGCAGCCCGATGCCATCGTGGGCATGGACCTTGCCGCCATCGTCGAGGCCCACCGCGCACGCAAGCTGAAGGACAAGGACACGGCCATGACGCTGTGCGCCATGCAGGTCGGCGAGAATGCGCGGAGCAGGTGCGTGCAAGTGAGGACATCTATGCTGCGCGTAGCTGATGATTGCTCCATCAGAGGCCTTCATGCCCCCCTGCACGTCCTCAACGGCAACTCGCAGCTGCTGCACTACGCCGCTCATGGCGTCGGCAAGGCTGTCGAGATCCCGAACGAGGTGCTCTTCCTGGAGGAGAAGGAGGGCGGCGATGGCGAGCTGGAGGTGCGCGCTGACCTGGTGGAGGCGGGCATCGACGTTTGCGGCGCCGAGGTGAGTGCAGCTCTCTCTAGGACTGCCGCTACTGGCTGACGCTTGTGTTCAGGTGCCGCCGCTGTTCTCCGAGAACTTCGACTATCAGTCGCTGCGCGGCGACTTTGTGCCCGGCATCCTCACGTCCGACCTGCTTGACTCCAAGATCTTCATGCACGTCTGCGGCTCGTCGTCGGGCGCAGCAGCTGGCCCGTCGGTGCAGAAGAACGGCTACGGCGCACGCGCAAGCTCTACGCGCGCCTACGACGCCATCACGCGCGACGTGCTGGCAGGCGCGGCCCACCCGCTCGTGCCTTCGAGCAACATCTGGCCGGGCGAGAGACTGGAGAAGAGGGGACGCGCGCTGGTTGGCGCTGGTGTTGCGCTGGACGAGTGAGTTGCATCAGGCTGTGCCGCGCTGGGCATGAGCTGAAGGCAGACCGCGCTCTTTCAGCACCACTGTGCTCGGCCCGGGCACGCTCGTTGCAGGCGGCGCCAAGCTCGGTGCAGACGTCCGGCTTGCTCGCTCCGTCATTGGCCCAAGCGTCAGCGTCGGTGCGCACACGGCCATCAGAGGCTCGCACGTCTGGCACTCGGTCACAATCGGCGAACGCTGCTCGCTCGACCGCAGCATCGTTGCGTCCGGAGCTACTCTGCTCGACGGCGTCGTGCTTGGGCGCGGCTGCCTGATCGGCCCGGGCTGCGTCGTCGGGCCCAACGTCACGCTGCCGCCCTTCTCGCGCGTTGGCGCAAGGGAGCACGGGGATGACGATGACGAGGAGTGGTCCGGAAACGCTGCCACGCCGAAAACAGCTGCAGCAGTCGACCCAGCGCTGGGCGCACAAGGGAAGGGCTTCCTGTGGCCCCGCGCTGGCGAGGGCCGCGCAGCGGAGGACGACGATGACGACGACGAAGAGGAGCTCGATGCTCCGCTTCACGACTATCTCGGCGCAGAGGCAGGCGACATTGACGACGATGCCAGCGACGACGCCAGCTCCATCGGCGGCGACTCTGAGCTGCTCGACGAGTGGGATGGCTCGAGCATGTCGAGCGTGGAGGACGCAGACATGCACGAGGGCGCCGTCGGTGCCTCGCTCATCATTGGAGGCGACGGTGCCAACGGCGATGAGACTGCCGCCGACAGAGCAGAGGCCAACGCCCGCCTGGCAGACTTCAAGACGGAGGCCGTTGCATCACTCAAGCGCGCCTTTGAGGAGGGCCACACGACGGACAATGCGGCCATCGAGCTCAAGACGCTGCGCATGGCGAGCAACGTGCCGCTCTCGGAGGTGCGTCAGGTGGCCATCAGCTTCATCCTGGACCGCTGCGATGCCAAGGACGGCAAGCAGACGGGTGCCATCCTCGACCGCTGGGGCCCGCTCATTGAGACGGTTGCCAGCGACGATGAGATCGAGGCGGTGGCCATGATGCAGGTGAGCGGCCTGGTGGCAGTTCGCCGCAGCTCTGCGACTGACTAGCACCTCTCTCAGACATACTGTGCGCTGCACACCTCGCACGCGGCGCTCTTCGTGCCGCTGCTCAAGAAGCTCTACAACGACGACCTCGTGTCGGACGAGGCGATCGTGGCGTGGTGGCGCTCGCCGGCGGCGCGCGACGGCAGCGAGGCCCGTGGCGGCGAGGCAGCGCTGGAGCTGCGCCGGCGCGCCGAGCCCATCGTGCGCTTCATCCTCGAGAGCGCCGAGGACAGTGAGGAGGAGAGCGACGAGGAATAGATGTGCTCTGTGCTTGCTCTGACTTCGATGTGGCTTGTGAACATGTCCGCGTCCCGAGTGCCGATCTCCGAGAAGCGGTCGGCTTCGGAGGGTGGATGTGCGCCGGAGCCGAGGCTGTGGCGGCGTGCGGAGGCATCGCGCGTGGCCAGATGCCTGCACGCCGACCGCATGACGTGGGGCAGACGCGCTGTGGGGAAAGGGATGCGAGAGGCACCAGAGGAGTGACACGGCTCGCCGGACATGGCGGACCGGCGCTCGGCCTGCGGGCACTCCGCCTGCGCTTGACTGCCCGTCGGCCGGCCGGCGCTGGCGCCCCTGGGCGAGAAGGCCGATCGCCTTCGCACTCTCTCTCATCCACCTCACCCACCACTACCACTGCTCCATCCGCACCATGGCTCAGATCATCAAGTCGCCCTACGGCGAGGCGCCTAGCGCAGAGGGCCGTGCAACGAACATCTTCGAGTTCCTGCAGAGCAACCCGAACAAGGTGGCTGGCAGTGCGCCCGCCTTCATCCGTGCTCATGATGGCTGGGAGCTCTCGCGCGACCAGGTGTGTAGTGCTCCTCAGTGTGCACGTACGCCGACTGACGACCCCATCCACAGCTCTTCAGCGACGCCCGCAAGCTGGCGCACGTGCTGCGGCACAAGCTCAAGCTGCAGCCCGGCGCCCGCGTCGCCATCTTCTCGCCCAACTCGACGATGTATCCGCGCATCGTGCTTGCCGGCCTCTGTGCCGGCGTCGTGCTGGTGCCCATGAACCCCGCCTACTCGGGCGAGGAGTTCACGCACCCGCTGCTCGACGCCGAGGTGCAGTACGTCTTTGCGCACCCCGCCGTCGCGCCCGTCGCGCGCAAGGGCATCGCGCTCGCCAAGGTGTCGGAGACGTGCGGCGACCTGCCGCGGCTGTGGCTGCTCGACGATGCAGACAAGTTCGTCGAGGGCGAGAACGGCGAGAAGGACCTGCGCACGCTCCTGAGCGACGAGAAGCTCGAGTCGGTCAAGGTGTCGAACCCCAAGGACACAGACGCGTTCATCGTCTACTCCAGCGGCACGAGCGGCAAGCCAAAGGGTGTGCAGCTGACGCAGTGAGTTCAGCGGTGTTTTGTGTTGTCCACCAGCACCCGCTTCACCAGCACCCGCTAATCTTTCTGCGCGCAGCAACAACATGATTTGCGTCACGTCCGCCGTCAGCCCTGGCCTCTGCGGCGACTTCACGCCAAAGGACCGGCACTTGGCTGTCCTGCCGATGCAACACATCTTCGCGCTCTGCAAGGTACGCAGCATCGTGCGGGAGTAAGCGGCATGCAGCGCACGAGCTCATCGTTTGCCGCGCGCAGTTCATCCACCACGCCGTCTGGTGGGGCGTCACCACGGTGGTCCTCCCCAAGTTCGACCTCGACGACTGGTGCGGAGCCGTTCAGAAGTACAAGGTCACCGTGGCGATTGTCGTGCCGCCGCTGCTCGTGCTCATCGCCAAGAGTCCCGTCGTCAACAAGTACGACCTCTCTTCGATCAAGATGTTCATGTCTGGTGCCGCGCCCCTCAGCGCAGAGCTCGGCGACCAGGTCGAGAAGCGGCTCCCAGGCAAAGTAACGCAGGGCTACGGATTATCTGAGACGAGTCCGGTGGCTACGTACTGCCCATACAAGCAATATCAGAAGGTGAAGGGGTCATGCGGTCTCCTGCTGCCGGGCGTCGAGGCGCGTATCGTCGACGCGGAGTCCGGCGAGGACTACGGTCACGTGCAAGGCAAGGACGGCCGCCCGGGCGAGCTGTGGCTGCGTGGACCTACTGTGAGTAATCTGGAGGTCGTTTGGGGTTCATCGGGTGGCTGGCGGCTGAGATGTGAGTCGGCGCGCAGATCATGAAGGGGTACCTCAACCGCCCCGACGCCACGGCCGAGTGCATCGACAAGGACGGCTGGTTCCACACGGGCGACGTTGCCATCTGCCCCGACGGCAAGAACTTCTACATCGTCGACCGTATCAAGGAGCTCATCAAGTACAAGGGCTTCCAGGGTGGGTTGCGCGTGGTCGCCCCTACGCACGCGCGCCCGGACTGACGCGTCGCACGCAGTCGCGCCGGCTGAGCTCGAGGCTCTGCTGCTGGAGCACCCCGCGGTGGCAGACAGCGCCGTCATCGGCGTGTACTCCGAGGAGCAGGCCTCAGAAATGCCACGGGCATACGTTGTGCCTGCCGATGCGAGCATCCTCAAGGACAAGGCAGCGTCGGAGAAGTTCTCCAAGGAGGTGAGTGCCGCGCCAGGCCCTCCGACGCCCGAATGCCTGCTCACTGTCGTCGCTCGCGCAGGTCATCGACTGGGTCAATGCCAAGGTGGCAAACCACAAGAAGCTGCGCGGCGGCTGCCGCGTCATGGAGGCGATCCCCAAGTCGCCCAGCGGCAAGATCCTGCGGCGCGTGCTGCGCGACCAGGTCAAGGACGAGCTGGCCGCGGCCAAGAAGGGCAAGCTCTAGGCAGCACCGTTTCTCTCTCTCTTCATGCTCCGCTCAGCTCATGCTTCCCTCTGGTGACTCGAGACCACGCTAATGACATTGCTGCTCAAGCACAGCGCACGACTGCTGGCGTCACGAGGCCGAGGCTTGCTGCTGGCGAGGCGCCGTTCGCTCGACGAAGCAGACATCGCTGCCGATGCCGCACATGGCCACCCGCGCCTCACTTGTCGAGCTCCTCGAGCTCCTTGCGCGCGGCGTTCACGTTCTTTGTGAGCTTGCCGTAGAACTTCGAGCGCGAGGTGTGAGCCGCATTCTCCAGCGAGACAGGGCACGCAGGTCTGACTCACCCAGTGACCGACCGCGTTCACATCGCGTCCGACCTTCTCTCCCACGAGCTTCTGCTGCTCTCTCGTCAGCTTGACAGGAGCGTTGAGAGCGAGCGTGTACTGCGCATGCTCGCGTCAATGGCAGCGACACGGTTCAAGAATGCACGGACAATCGTTGCCAGTCGATCTGTCCCCGCGCAGGTGTAAGCCACTCATTGACGTCGCATTGTACCCTTCCTCCGCATCTCGTCGTCACACGCACCTTCTTCGGCCGACCAAGGGCCGGTGTTGAAGCCAGCCTTGCGCGCGGCACCAACATTGCGCGGCTTCTTGGGCGAAGGCGATTTGGAGGGCGAGCCCTGCTTCACGGAACGCTTTGCAGGCGCACACTCCGAGTCGGACGAGTCGTCGCGCTCGCGCTTGGTCTGCTTCGCGGAGCTCTTGCCTCCGGGCGAGTACTCGGAGCCGGAGTCAGACTCGTCACGTATGGGAGCCATCATCGGCAAGTGGAGGTGCGAGAGGGTAAAGCGAGTGCGGAGATGGTGGACGAAGCTGATGAAGGTGCGCTCAGGAACACTGATACAGAGGGTCACGGAGCGGCGGCGCCGCGTGGCTCTGCGCTTCATCACCTCGCAGCCTCGATCGCCTCGCCAGCTCATCGGCGGTGCGGAGGTAGCCCCTGACTTGCACCGCCGCTCTCCTGCACGCGTGCTGCACACAAGCTGAACACGTCAAGCACACTGGAGCAGTGCGGTAATCAGGGAAGCGATTTCATTGGAAGCCCGTCAATGCAGCGCGGCCCGTCAAGGCTATCCCAGGCTGGCCTTTACGTCCTCGACTTCCTTCTTGAGGCGCATGAGCCACATGTTCTGCGAGATGCGTAAGCGGTCTGCGTGTTCGACGCGTGCATGGCCACTACCCACCTTGACGCTCTTGGGCGACCGGCCGAGGCGCGCTCCGACCTGGTCGTACATGGTCTGGCCCGTCGAGAAGCTCGCGTTTGCGAGGACGCAGATGAGCAGCTCGTGGACTGGCCGAGCAGATGTCAGTTTTTCAGTCAGCGTCGTCAGACTCTGCAGCACTCACTCTCAGCCTCGCTCCAAGCTCCTGTGCGCTCAGCCGTGCTTGACGTGCGCGGCTTCTTAGGCTTCTTCTCATCCTTCGTGTCGACCTGCGCGACCTTCTTGTCGTCCTCCTCGCCGTCGCTGTGAGAGCGCTTGGGCATGTTTGCAGCGGATGATGTGGTGGAAGAGACGCAAGTAGACACTACTCGGACACGTCAGGCTCGAGGCAGGACACGAAGGCACGCGATGGTAGAGGCAGAATAGAGATTACGAGCGAGTGCCAGGTGATGAGGCCGGCGGGCCGCGTCGGCGTCGGCGGAGGCCCCACAATCACCGCCTGCGGCGGCAGCCTGGCCCGGCACTTCTACTCCTCCTTAGCCGGCTGGCTATCGCCGCCGCGCGCCTGCTCGATCTGCTTCTTGATCTTGCCGAGCCACCAGTTCTGCAAACCCGAGCCTGCGTCAGTCCAGGCATCCTAGAACACGACAGTGCAGTACACACCTCGATGGACTTGGGCGTGCGGCCAAGCTTCTCGCCCATGGTGCGATAGAGGCCGGCGCCGGTCTTGACGTCCGAGTGGGCCAGGACGAGGATGAGGGCCTCCATCTCTGCGAGGCCGTGTCAGTGTGTGCCGTGCCGTCGCCTCCGTCAGACCCACGCTCTGCCTCAGTCCACGGCTTCGGAGGCGCAGCAGATGCTCTCTTCTTCACTTTCTTCTCATCAGCGTCAGGCGAGGAGGAGGAAGAACGCTTTTTGGGCATTGTTGAGCTGAAGCGAGGGTGTAACAGTAGGAGGAGGTGATGGAGATGTCAGAGGGAGCGGCGGAGCTGCGGCGGCGGCGCGCGTGGCCAATTTACTGCTCCTTGGGCGCCTTGTACAGGTCGCGTATCTGCGCGCTGACCGTCCTGTTCCACCACGTCCTGGCAGGAGGCGAGGCACAGGAGCAGTCAGCGGCATTCGACGCTAGGCACCGCTGATGCGACTCACTGCACGGCAGACGGCGTGCGGCCCAGCAGCTTGGCCAGCTCCGCCTGCTCCTCCGCGCTCAGCTTGACGTTGTTGCGCGAGACGGCATAGAGAAGGCCGCGGTACTGCTCCGCGTCCGACCAGCGAGAGACGGCGGTGCGCTTAGGTGCCGGCGACTGGGCGTTCTCGAGCTTGCGCTTCGCGGGCTTGACGTCCGGAGGAGGCGTGGAGGCGTCGGACTTGATTTTCTGAGGCATCTTGATGCGGAGGAGGTCGTGGTTGCGAAATGAGATGCACGGGTGTGGGGCACCCGCCGCCTGACTCCGTCGGCGCACTTATATGGCGACGTACCGCCACGCTCAGCCATGCTCTCTCACTTCCTTCCACCGCCATCCCCGCATCAGCATGCCGCCGAAGCGCAAGGCAGACGAGAGCAACGGCGAAGCGAAGCCCAGAGTCAAGAAGGCGAAGAGCGAGGCAAGCGGAGACTCGGCCGCTCTGAAGAAAGGACCGTGGAGTCCGGAGGACCGTGAGTATCTTCATCCACGCGCCGCGAGCTCTACTGCAAGCGCCCTGCTAGACGAGCTCGCAATCACCTGCATCCTCTCGCTCAATCCGCCCAAGATGTCCAAGGAGCAGCTCACTGCCATCGGACAAGTCGTCGGTCGCGACGCTACTGCCATGAGTGTAAGTTCTTCGCTGCGCATTTTCCTGACCTTCGCTCACACAGCCCTGCAGAACTGGTGGCGAGTACGCAACCGCTCGATGATGCTGGCTCTGCTGACCTCGGACGCAGGCACAAGCGCGTGGGCAAGTCCATGAAGGACGCCGAGGCCATGCTCGCGAAGGGCACAAAGGGCGAGCAGTGACGCTGTCGATGCGAGAATGCATCTTTGACCAGACTGCCTCTGCTTCCGATCGAGAACGGCTGCGGCGCTCCACGCGCTAGTCGAGTCCGCGCGTCCGGCTGATGAGCGCCGGCATGTACTCGCCGCAGATGGTGCGGAGCTGGCGGAGCACCTGCATGTGAATGAACAGCAGGTATATCGCAGTAGATGAGCCTGGCACTTTGATTCAGCAGGTCCGGGCCTTGAATGAGTCCTCGCGTGCGGCCCGCTTCAGTCTCGCGGCGAGCGAACGGGATTGTGCGCGACACGGCGCCGCCGCGCACACGCCATGCCCGCCGCCGCGCGCCCGCGAGCGCGGCCCTCAGGGGCGAATCCGTGACATGCCCTCCACGCGGCCCGCCGCGAGACCGCCGTGGGCCCGTCTTCCCTCTTCCACGCAGCATTCTGGTCTCATCAGTCTACTGAGATGCAGGCTCAGAGCGCAGCACAGCGATCTCGATTACGGCGAGAGCGGGTGACCTACTCCTCGTCCTTCTTCGGGCCCGCCGGTAGCGCATCGAGCTCGAGACCAACGGCCTTGACCGTCTCCTTGACTGTCGTGTACCTGGGGTGCGATCAGCCTGCGAGCAAAGCGGTCGTCGTGCTCTCGGACGCACCAAAAGGCCTGAGCATAGCAAGGTCAGCTGTGCGTCGAGCCAGACCTGCACGTTACTCACGTTCACGCTGCCTTTGCTGCGGCCCGTGTAGCGCTCGAGCGTCTGGCGCTCCACCTCGGTGAGCGTCATGATGCCCTTGAGATGCAGAATGGCGCACAGAGCGCGGAGCTCTGCGCGTCCGGAGTCAGGAGCTGCATCTTCGCCCGCCGCAACCGGAGCTCGAGCTTGACTCACGCTCGCCCTCCGACCAAGGGCCTCGCACGCTCACGTCCGGCACCACGCGCTTGCCCGTCTCAGCCTTGCGCGCTCTCTTCTTCTTCGCCTCGGGCTTGGCCTCGGACGCAGCCTTGTCGGTCTTGACTTTCGGCATCGTGGAACGTCGAAAGAGATGTCAGTGTGATGAGGGAAGTGGGGCCGGACTCGCGGCGGTTCGTGTCGCGCACTCCGTGATCGAGCGGCCCGCCGTTCCCTCTGCCGTTTGATTGGCTTCTGCGCCGGAAGAGACAGTTACCTCTTGCCTCCACACCCTCTCTCCCGCACACCATCCTCGAGAGCTCGATGGCACCCAAGCGCAAGCCGAAAGACGAGACGCCCACCGATGGCGAGTCTGCGCCGAAGCAGCCGAAGAAGCCGCGCGGAACGGGCGCAGAGAAGGGTGCATGGACTGATCCCGAAGTACGGAGCGAAGACACGGCAACAACAGCGAGCGCTGCACTGACTGTTTCATCGCTCAGATCATCACTGCGCTGTTCAGCGTGCTGGCGTATCAGGACGTGAAGTTGACCAAACCGCAGCAGGTGCGTCTCCACCGGCGGCTTGCTAGGTGCCACAGGCTGATCGAGCGTGACAGCAAGCCATCGGCGAGAAGCTAGGGCGCAGCGCGAACTCAGTCGGATGCTGGTGGTGAGTGTAGCGCCTCATACCTGTCGACTGCAGCTCATGCTCGCCCGCCGCCGCTAGGTACCAGAAGGCACAGACGCAGATCAACGCCGCGCGCGCTGAGCTCACCGGCGACGCCAAGTCCGCGGGCGACACCAAGCCCTCGTCGTCGTGATGTGCGTGACCCATGGAATAACATCGCGCGTCTCGTGCGCTCTCCCATCCGCATCATGCCCTGGGTATGGAAGGCAGCAGTGGCGGTACCTCATCGTCGGGCGTCGTGATGAGCAGCCGGTCAGTGTCGGCCTCGCCCTCCTCTGAGCCGCGCCGTGCCTCTTCGGTCTCGTAGGCGCGCAGGATGGACTGCGTCTCGCGCCACACGTACCAGCCCGTGCCGAAGCCGACGAGGCTGCCTGTGGGCAGCACAGTCTCAGAGCGGTGAAGCGTCGGACGATGCGAGCGCGACTCACCGATGACGATGTACGCAGCGTTCAGCAGCCGCCCGCGCCAGTCGAGGTGGTCTCGCGCATTCGAGTCGAGCAGCTCGAACATGCGGGCGCCGATGTAGACGTGGATCGCGAGCTTCGGCGTGATGAGCGCCGTCGCGAGCATGAACTGCAGCAGCGACACAGAGCTCATGGCCTGCACAGGGGTGAGAGGGTGCCACTCGCAGCTGCAGCGCGGCGAGACTCACCGCGAAGAAGAGATTCGAGTAGCAGAACGGGAAAGGACAGAAGCTGAGCAGGATCCGTCAGCACGCCATGCCTCGCTTCTCCATTGCTGCAAGCTGCACTCACCGGATGAGGACCACCATGCCCGTGCCACGCCCCCGCACTGCTGCCTCCATGGCGACCCAACGCCGGTCATCGCGGATGCCCTTAACCCAGAGCCAATGCCGTCCCGGGCCCCGCAGCATGCCGCGCATGATGAGGAACGACATCGTCGCGCCGCCAAGGCAGCCGGCAGCGGCCAGGCTCCACGCCTCGAAGAGCCCGTGCGTGCCCACGGGCGGCGACGCCGGCGAGCCGTACGCCAGGCCGCAGAGCGTAATGGCGGTGCCGTAGCCGGGCAGCGGCGGCAGCGCAGTGAGGAAGAGGCCGAGCAGCAGGCCGAGCTTGCCGTGCGGCGACGAGGAGATGTACGTGCCGGCGCTGGCGAGCATCTGCGCGGTGCGCTGCGGGCCGAGAATGACAAACGCGAGCGTGAGGCCGCCGTAGAGCAGCGCGAGCACGACGACGCCGAAGCGCGCGGCACGCGAGGCGGTGCGCCAGCGGTAGAGCAGCCAGCGCAGCACGTTGCCCATGGCGTGCGGCCACAGCGCCGGCTGCTGCAGCAGTGTGGCGAGCGGCGGCAGCGAGAGCGTCACCTCGCCGGCGGTGTTGGCGGCCACGCTGGACGGCATGCTGCTGCGGGCGCGCGTGCCGCCAGTCGATGCGAGGGTGTGGAGCTGCTGCGAGGGGGTTCCAGGGGATACGTGAGAGCGTGGTGCTGTCGAGGAGAGAGAGGCAGCAACGCGCACGGCCGAGCGAGCCGGGAGGTGTTGGTCCCCCGCACCGCACGCCCGAGCCCCCGCCGCGCGCCAAGACGAGGGCCGTGGAAGCCTTGCGCCGCGCCTCGCCCGACAGCGCCAGCACGAGAGACTGGACCTCGTTCGCTCGCAGCTGGCACTGGCCCATTCTTCAGCTGCGCAAGACATGTGAAGACAGATGATGCTGTAAGAAGAAGATTCTGACAGCAACCTGCACCCAACACTCCGCCTCTAGGCAGAGCTGGCAAGCAGGCAAGGCTGAGGGCACGGCCCAGCCTGCGTCACGTGGGCCGCCGCGCGGCTCGATCTTGTGCGGCCGCGATGGAGGCAGGCCGGCTGAGGCGTCACGGCAGCGCCGCCGCGCTAAACTTCGCCGCGCAGCCGAATCCTCGTCTCGTCCACATCCTCGCGTCGTCCCCTCCAGCGCTCCCTGCTCCCCGCCTACTCTTGTTCTGTGCTCGCACTGCACCCGCAGCACTCTTTCCCGAGTCAGCAGCGACTGCTCCTCTGCGCACGCCGCCAATCGCCACTCCAGCGCGCACCCTTGCGTGCTCCACCTCGTCGGCTCTTAGCCTCGACGCTCCCTCCTCGGCGTAGCACACGCTCGGGAGACCGCGGCTCGAGACTCAGTCTCGCCGCACCACGCCTCCGCAGGCCATCATGGCAGACCTCGGCAGCGATGCGGCCGGGCCCTCGCGCCCGCCGCTGTCGCGCGCCTCGCAGCTTGCCCCACCTCCACGCTCGCAGGAGCTCAGCTTCTCACTCGCCTCGGCTGCCTCGGAGGGCGGCCTGCTGCTCGCTCCTCCGAGCGACGCAGCACCTGCCGCCTCTTCTTCGTCTGCCTTTCCCTCCGCTGCGCCGCCTGCCCGCTCGCGCGCCTCAAAATCGCCACTGCCCGCTTCCGAGGCACAGCCTCAGCGCGCAGCACCTCCATCCGCAACGCACTCCGAGCTCGGGCCGCTGCCTCGCTCGCCTCGGCCGCCACCATCAGCCAGCGCCGGCGCACTGACGCTCGCTGCGCGACTGAGATTGCCGCCGCGTGTCTTCCCGCGGTCAACGAAGCCGGCAGCCGCTGCCGCCAAGGACGTCGCAGTGGCGCCGAGCGCTTCGTCAGACGCGGCGCCGCATGCTTTGACGACGGAGAACTTGCAGCGAGCAGAGAAGAGCCAGGGAGCCAGTGCCAGCGGACCTCCTACGGAGAGCCGCAATGGCGAGGCGACAGGCCGCGGCTTCATGCCGCCGTCTGACGGCACGGCGGTCGTCTCGCCGCCTGCCTCCACAGCAGGTGCCTCGACGTCTGGCATGCGCTCCCCTCGCATGCCGAGTGTGCCAGCGTGGGGTGCGCCGCGCTCCTGGGCCAACCTTGCCTCCACCTCCAACGGCATCTCGATCTCTGTGCCGGCGTCGGGCTCCGCATCGGCTGCTGCCTCTGCGTCCGCTTCTCCTTCGGCGCCGCTGTCGCCGGCATCGCGACGGAAGAAGTCGTCGCGCTCGGATCAGCAGGCGCAGAAGCGACCGAAGCTCTCGCTCAAGGAGCAACTGCGCGCGGCAGAGCGCTCCTTCGTTGCGCCGCTGACGCGGCCTCGCGGCATGATCAACACTGGCAACTTTTGCTTCGCCAACGCTGTGAGTCGTGCCTCTTTGCTCTTGCTCTGCAGATACTCAGACGCCGCGCGCAGATCCTGCAAGTGCTTGTGTACTGCGCGCCCTTCACGAACCTGTTCTCCTTGATCGGAAGCTCCATACCCGCGGATCTGTCCAACTCGACGCCGCTGATGGAGGCAGTGTGAGTGCGCCGAGCCTCGCTGCTGTGCCTGTGTCTGACGCCAGAGCTTTCAGCATCCACTTCCTGCGCGAGTTCCACCCCGCGGACGCTGAGCGCTCGGGTAACGAGACTCCGGACGAGCCCTTCGCGCCGGAGTTCGTGTACGACGCCATGCGGCTGACGAAGCGCTTTGACACCATGCGCGTGAGTGCCATCGTGTGCTAGCCGACCGCTGCTGTGCTCAGCTCACACGTCTCCCTTCCAGCGCGGCCACCAGGAGGACGCAGAAGAGTTCCTGGGCTTCCTGCTCGACACGCTGCACGAAGAGCTGCTCGTTGCGCTTCGTCGTCTCGCGGCTCGCTCTGGCACAGAAGAGGAGGCAGAGGAGGGAGCAGAGGGCGTGGTCGCAGAGGATGATGAGGCAGAGGAGCAGCGCATCGTGCGTCGCCCGAGCTCGCCAGAGGCAGAGGGCTGGATGGAGGTCGGGACGAAGGGCCGCGTGGCACACACGCGTACTGTGAGTCTCATTGCCCTGCCGCTGGCTCCCGGCTTCGGTGCTGACCGCATCCGCAGACGGCCACGTCCGACTCGCCCATCACGCGCATCTTCGGCGGCAAGCTGCGTTCCGTCCTGCGCACGCCCGGCGCGAAGGACAGCGTCACGCTCGAGCCATACCAGCCGCTGCAGCTCGATGTCGGCCCGCCCAGCGTGCGCTCCGTCTCTGACGCGCTGCGCAACCTCTGCGTGCCAGAGGTGATCCCCGGCGTGTGGAGCCCGTCGCGCGGCGCTGCTGTGGACGCGACCAAGACGGTGCTCGTCGAGAGCCTGCCGCCTGTGCTCGTGCTGCACCTCAAGCGCTTCGTCTACGACGGCGGCGAGGTGCTCAAGGACTCCAAGGAGCTCGCTTTCTCGCAGGAGCTCGAGATCGACGAGAGCGTCATTGCGCCTGCTCGGCGCGCCGAGGCACAGAGGCACTACCGCCTGTTCGGAGGTGAGCGTCCCGCATGGTTGAGCTCTGCCGCGTGTGCTGACTCCTGTCTCCAGTCGTGTACCACCACGGCCGCTTTGCGTCTGGCGGTCACTACACGGTCGACGTCCTGCGGCAGGACGGCCAGCAGTGGCTCCACATCGACGACACGAATTGGCAGATCTGCCCGCCGCCGGGCACGCCGTCTGCCTCGGCGCCGATTGGCCAGCTGAACAGCTCGATCCCGCCGCGCACGCACAACGGCGTGGCGTATCTGCTCTTCTTTGCGCGCACCGATGCGCTGCAGGCTGCGACGGGCGCGACAGCAAGCGCCACCCCCGCGGCTGCAGCTCCGGCACTGGCGACGCCTGCGCCTCAGAAACCGAAGGCCAACGGCGTCAATGGCCACGCGAAGCCTGCCACGCCGGTCGCAGCCGCTTCGGCAACGCTCCCCAGCGCTGCCAACACGCCGCTGTCACCCGCTGCTGGCGCTGCGGCCGGAGGCGCTGCTCCGCGCCCAAAACGCGTCGTGCCAGGCGCGGCGCCGCCTGCGCCGACGAAGAAGGAAAAAGCTGCTGCTGCCGCGGCAGCGCAGCACCGGATGGGCACGCATGTGGTTGCGTGAGGAGTGCTCATCCGCTAGGTGAAAGGTGGCTGGCTGTCCTCAAGCTCTTGGTCACTTCGCCGTCTCGTCGCTACTGCAACATACCGCCTTCTTCATTCTGACGTACGTTCCCCGACCCGCTTGCTCCCACACATCACACATCTGTACGCGTCCGTCCACGCTACGCCCGCAATGCATGCTCCGATTTCCGGATGGAGAGTGTGCGACGATGACATTGGCGCCCTGAGCTAGACCTTCTTGCCCTTGCCGCCCTGCGCGCCCTTGCCCTTCGGCTTGCCCTTGCCGCCCAGGCCACGCTTGCCCTCCTTCTTCTTCTTCTCCTTGCCGCCGGACATGCGCCGGTTGCGCTCCGTCGCCACGCGCTTCTCCTTCATCTTCTGCCGCTTCTCGCGGATCTTAGTGCGCTCCTGCGCGCGCTCCGCCTTGGTCTCGTAGTGGAACGTTGCGCCGGCTGCTGCTGCCTCTGCACCGCCGCCACCGAGGATCTCCGGCTGCATCAACGGCTCGGCTTTCCGCTTGGACGCCGGCTCGAGAAGCTCGACGATGCGCTCCGGCTCCAGGCCGGCGGGTACCCGAGGCGCGCGTGACCGTCCGCCGCTGTTGTTCGCTGCTGCGCTCGACGTTGCGTTCTTGGCACGCTTAGCCGCACGAGCAGAAGACGGAGGCAGCTCGGTGCCGCCGAGAGCGGCGAGCGAGCGGATGCGCCGCGGTGCTGATGACGAAGATGCTTCGCCTTCAGCTCTGCTCGCCTTGACGGTCTTGACAGGTGCCGGTGCGGGGGTCGGAGCACTCGCATCGAACGTGAGCGCATCGGATGGGTCGAAAGATGAGACTGTCACGCTTGTGAAGTGCTCCGGCGTGTCGTATGAGGCAGGCGCAGCAATGACTGAGGAGCAGAGACGTGAGACGCTGCGCCGCGAGCCACTGCCTGCGCCACTCACTGTCGTCTTCTTCGCCGTCAGACTCAAGCCCTGCACCCTCCACACCCAAGGCGCCTAATGCGGGCATCGGCCCGTACGCCTCCTCCTCCATGCGCACATTTTCGGCAGCCTTTTGCTTGCGCGCCTCTCGTGTCTGAGGGGAGAAGAGGGTCAGCACGGTAGAGCCGAACGCACCGTCATGCTCCTCCGCCTCAGCGCCTCTGCTCGCAACCCAATCCTGCTGCCTCCTGCTGGGTCACACTCTCCGGCCGCACTCACCTCCTTGCGCGCAGCCTTCAGCTCCTCCTTTGCGCGCTCGGCGTACTTTGCCTTTGTCTTTGCAATGCGCTCGTTCTTGCGCTTGCGGAAGCCGGTGAGGAAGTCTCTGCGGTTGTCGTCGTCGAAGGCGATGACGGGCGCATCCTTGCTGCGGCGGAAGCGCTGGGCGTGCAGCGAGGCGGCCGACTTGGACTTGGTCTTTGGCTTGGCGCGCAGTGCGCGGCGGGCGTCGCGCGACGAGCCGCCCTTTGCGTCCTTTGCGGCGCGCGAGGCCTGGCCGGACTGCGTGTAGGCCTGCAGCGGCGCCTCCATGGTGTGATGCGAGTGTGGTGAGGTGCGGTGCGGTGTGAGGCGGCGAGTGGCCAGGTCAGGCGAGGATGCGGCCGAGGTGGAGTGAGGGCGGTGAGGGCCAGAAGGATGGCGGCCGGCGCAGCAGGTGCAGCTCGCGCACCGCCACGCCCAAAAAGGTTGGTCGGCGTTGGCCGGGCGCGTATCGCCGCAGCGCCGCACCGCACCGGAAGCCACACGCCCGGCGTATTGCGTGACTCCACGGCGGAGCCCCTCGCCTTCCTCACTTCCACCCTCACACACCTCACACCGCCATGGCATCGAGCGCTCCCGACTCGGGGCCCGGCAGCGGCGCACTGCCGTCGCTCAGCTCCTCGCTCGCCTCGTCTGTCGCCTCCCTCTCCCTCTCCCACTCGACCGCCTCGATTGACGGCGATGCGCTCCTCGCAACGGGCGGCGACGTCGCCGGCTCGCGGGCCCTCGCGGCGCGCGCCAGCGGCATGATCAGCGCACAGGACCGCCGCAGCATGAACGGCCACCGCTTCGCCACGACGTGCGCCACCGTCGACGACCCCAACCACAAGGACCAGTACGGCGCCAGCAGCACGCCGCTGTACATGAGGTGAGCCCGAGCGGGAGGGATCAGCCGACAGCACGGCTCTGGCAATACATCGAGCCTCTGCTCACACCTCCATCATAGCGCCACATTCAAGGGCCTGCCCGGCTCCGAGTTTGACTACTCGCGCTCCGGCAACCCGACGCGCTCCATGCTGCAGCACCACCTCTGCCAGCTGCAGTCGTGCCGCTACTCCTTTGCCGTCTCGTCGGGCATGGCCTGCCTCGACGTGGTGACGCGGATGCTCAAGCCCGGAGAGCGCATCATCGCCGGTGACGACCTCTACGGCGGCACCAACCGCCTGCTGACCTACCTCGCCTCGCACGGCGGCATCGAGACGGACCACGTCGACACGACTGACGCCTCCAAGGTCGAGGCACTGCTGGAGCAGCGTGCCCAGGACGCCAAGGAGGGCAAGTGCGGCCCCGTAAAGATGCTGCTGCTCGAGACGCCCACAAACCCGCTGCTGAAGGTGTGCGACCTGCAGCGGTGCGCGCGGGCAGCCAAGGACTTCGCTCCTGACGCCGTGGTGGTCGTGTGAGTGTGGTTGCTTGTAAGGGCGCTCCAGCTGGCGGCTGACAGGGGGCACCAGCGACAACACGATGATGTCGCCGTACCTCATGCGCCCGCTGGAGCTGGGCGCAGATGTGGTGTACGACAGTGGCACCAAGTACCTGTCCGGCCACCACGACCTGATGGCGGGTGTGATCGCGTGCGACCGAGAGGACGTGGGCAAGGTGAGTTGACGCGGGACGATGCCTCTCGCGTGTCCCAGCTGACAGCCAAATCCAGCAAATCGCCTTCACGATCAACTCGATCGGCAATGCGCTCACGCCGATGGACTCGTTCCTGCTGCTGCGCGGCATCAAGACGCTCGCCGTGCGCATGGACCGGCAGCAGGCGTCTGCACGGCTCGTGGCGCGCTACCTCGACTCGCTGGGCTTCAAGGTCAACTACCCTGGCCTTGACTCGCACCCGAACAAGGCGATCCACGACATGCAGGCTGCTGGCCCGGGCGCTGTGCTCAGCTTTGAGACGGGCGACAAGAACCTCTCCGAGCGCATCGTTGGCGCCACGCGCCTGTGGGGCATCAGTGTCAGCTTTGGCTGCGTCAACTCGCTGATCAGCATGCCGTGCCTCATGTCGTGCGTAGGCAGAGATCCTAGATCCCGCTTCTCCAGCTGACAGCCTCTCGTCGGGCAGACACGCTTCCATCGACCCCAAGGTCCGCGCCGCGCGCAATCTGCCAGAGGACCTGATCCGCCTCTGCGTCGGCATCGAGGACTGCCGGGACCTGATCGAGGACCTCGAGAGCGCTCTGCTGCAGGCTGGCGCCATCCGGCCACACGGACAGCGCCTCGCCATCGAGGCACCAGCACCGAAGGCCGTCGAGACGGCAGAGGACCAAGTCGAGTCGGCAAGCCGCTTTGAGCGCCTTGCGGCTGTGGCCGCTGCAGATGATGCCGTTGTGGACATTGGCGGCGTCGACTCGTCAAAATCGCAGACGCGTGGCGGCGACCCTGCCGAAGCAGCAGTGGCTGCGGCGACGAACGGCGAGCTGGGCGGCGGAGAGCCGGCGCCGACCAAGATGGTGGTCTCTGCGCCGGGCAAGGTCATCCTCTTCGGCGAGCACGCGGTCGTCCACGGCGTTACCGCCATCGCCGCGAGCGTGGCACTGCGGTGCTACGCGCACGTCGAGCCGCGGGCAGACGCGAAGATCAGCATCGCGCTGCCAGACTTGAAGGTCGAGCACGAGTGGGAGCTGGAGGGGCTGCCGTGGGACTCCGCGCCGGCACGGTCTGCCAAGGCGCCGGACGCGCTCGACGCAGGCCTGCTGAAGGCGCTCGAGGCGACTGTTGGCACTGTGGCCAACGAGAGCGAGCGGAGCCATGCTGCCAGCGTTGCGTTCCTGTACCTGTACATGAGCATCGCTCAGGCCGACGACCGGTGAGTGCCTCTGCGAGAAGCGCGAGAGACGCCTGCTGACCCTTTCGCTCGCTCCAGCGCCGGTCAGGCCTACGTCGTGCGGTCTGGTCTGCCGATCGGTGCTGGCCTCGGCTCTTCAGCTGCGCTCTCCTCGGCGCTCTCGGCTGCGCTGCTCTTCACCAAGGGCCGCATCGAGTTCGACGAGCGCATCTCTGCCGCTGCCGCCGAGCAGATCAACGCCTACGCCTTCCTCGCCGAGAAGGTCATCCACGGCAACCCATCCGGCGTGGACAACGCCGTCGCCGTGCACGGCGGCGCCCTCTCCTTCGCGCGCGCCCACGAGCGGACCGGCCGCGCCAGCAGCGAGATGCGCACGATGCGCGGCTTCGCAGCAGTGCGCTTCCTGCTCACCGACACGCGCGTCGGCCGCGACACGAAGAGCCTCGTCGCCGGCGTCGGCGCCAAGCTGCAGGCGGACCCGCAGGGCGTCGGCGCTGCGCTGCAGGACATCCAGAACATCGCGGACGAGGCTGCCGTCGTCCTCGCGGGCGACTCGTCGATCAGCCGCGCCAAGCAGCTGCAGACGCTGCAGGCGCTCATCGTGCGCAACCACGCGCTGCTGGTGGGCCTCGGCGTCTCGCACCCATCGCTCGAGGCAGTGCGCCACACGACGGAGGCCGCCGGACTCGCCACGAAGCTGACGGGCGCCGGCGGAGGCGGCTGCGCTGTGACGCTGATCCCCGACGAGACGGACGAGCAGACGCTGCAGCGTCTCGTCGCCGACCTCGAGAAGCAGGGCTTTGCGTGCTACCAGACCAAGGTCGGCGGCCCCGGCGTGGGTGCCATGCTGGCGCACGAGCAGCACCGGCGCCGCTTCAAGAACGCGGAGACGAGCGCGCTGGTGGAGGGCCTGGAGCGTGGAGACTGGGTCTTTGCCTAGACGTACACCAACCTAATTAGAAGGAATGCCGCAGTCACGGATGCTCAGAGATGAATGATTGACTTCGGAAGGCGAGGCTACAAAGGATCGTGTGTGGGAGCGCGGATGTGGGAACGGGGCGGCGTCGCTGTGGGAAGGTTCGCGTTCACTGGCGCAGGTCGTCGACGTGCGTGACCTGGCTGCGGATGATGTGGATGCCGCCGTCGAGCGCCACCTCCTCGACGATGGGCGGGCTGCCCATCGACTGCGGCGACTCGGGCTGCTGCGGGTGGCCGGGGCCGTACAGCGCCGGAATGCGGCCGCTGGGCCACGCGCCGAAGGGGTGCGTCGAGCGAGGCGCCGTCGGAGACTCGTAGCCGACGACGGGCATGACGAGCTGGCGCGTCGAGCCGTCTTTGCTCTCGAGATCGAGCGGCATCGCAGAGCTGATGGGGAAGTGCTCCTTGTGGTGCATCTCGAGGTCGGTGCGAGCAGCCGCGGCGGCAGCGAGGGGAGCAGCAGGGTCTGGACGAGGCGTCAGCGGGTGCACCTGTGCGAGCGTGTCGAGCAGGACTCACCCATCTCGACGATGCCGGTGGCGGGCAGGCGCAGCGACAGAATGATGTTGCACGCGCTGGCGCTAGTGAGCGTGAGGCCGACGGGCAGGGGCACGAGCGAGTAGTAGCCGTTGATAGCCGAGACACACTGCATCACGCCGGTGACGCTCGTGCAGGCAACAAGACAGGCATAGTAGAGCAGCTGGCCGCGGAAGATCTTCGAGGCCACCAGCTCGCCGCGCTGCACGCGCATGCCGCGGCTAGGCTGCATGCGGAGCATCTCTTGGGTGCTGTGGAGAAGAGTGAGCTTGCGGACGAGCTGGTAAGGTGGTGGAATCACTTACGTGAGGAGAGGCGTGCCGCGGCGGGAGCCGTAGAACGTCAAGATGGTCTGGCGAGTGGTTCAGCGCGAGCCATGCTGCTCCCTGGTCATCCAATCTCACCATGGCAGTCTCGAAGGCAAGGCTGACGAAATAGGGCCAGACGCGGAGCAGGCCTCCGCGTGTCACAGGCCGGAAGACTGCAGCAAAGTCAGCACCGAACTAGTCGACGATCGGCCGCACTGGCTCACTGGTTAGGCCCGGAATGGGGTTCGCCGTCGCCGAAAACGTCCAGCAGTTGATGAAATGAAAGCCTGACGCCACAAACCAGGCAAGAACACAAGACAATCGGACCGCGGTATGATTCTGGTAGAGGGCGAGCGTTCGGAGGCTGGAAGATGCCTGCGTCAGCGCAGCGCTCGCATCACGTCGCGAAGAGACGCACAGAAGGACTGCCTTGACGGCGGCGTAGACAACAGCCTCGAGGAAGAAGTAGATCTTGGTCCCGGCGTTTGCAAAGGTGTCGTTGCTGCCGCCCAGAGGTATGGTGAGGCTAAAGAGCACGAGGGCGGTGAACTTGGCGATGCTGTGGACAGAAGATGAGCAAGCGACGCGGCCATAGAAGGCTGCGCGGTGCGCACCGGATGGTGACTGCGCAGACGAAGTGTCAGCCGATGCATGGCTCGCCGACGTCGAGTGACTCACAGTAGCAGTATGTGGCCGGGCGCATGTTCTTGAGCAGGTTCTTTTCACGATTGGCTTGGGTGAAGGAGTCGCCGACGCAGAAGCCGACGCAGAGGAATGTCGTCCCTGTTGCAGGAGCGTCGTCAGCGCGAGTACAGCGGCATGGCAAAGCTCGACGAAGCTGACACACAGATCAGCGGGTTCGCGCCATTGACTGTGCGAGCATGTGTCAACGATAGCGAAGCAGAGATGCGGCTGCGAGACTCACTGAAGGCGATGGTGAACTTGCGCAGCTCCTCCGGATCGGTCGGAATGCTCGCGATGTTAAGAGAAGAGAGACCCATCGCGGAGAGTGAGAGCGGACGCGGAGAGAAGGAGAGGGGCGGTAGCGATCGGAGGGAGTTGGGGTGAGAGCCGTCCCGACGGGGCAGCCCTTGCTTATGAAGGTCAGACGGTCAAGTGCCAGGCAGCGGCGCCCACACGGCGCCATGTGAGCCACTCCCGCCTTGCTGCGCCTTTCGCCGAGCCGCTGGCCGACAGACACACCACCTCGAAGGGTCGGACAGCACGACGAGAGCCTAGCTGCTGTACCTGCGCTCGCAGCGCTCGCAGCGCTCCTTGGGGTGCGTGTGCGTGTCCCGCGCCTGCGCCGCATGACAGCAAAGGCGGAGAGCTGGTCTGAGCGTCCATCTCGAGCACTTAGGCGTGCTCAGACGGCACCTGCAGCTCCGCCGGCTCGGCAATGCGTGAGTGCGGCCTCCAGGTGCGGCGATGCGTCGTGACAGCAGGGTGCGCCGGGAAGAGCGGCATGAAACGCATTCTGCGCGGAGGAACAACGCCAATGTCACGCTCGTGCCAGCTCTGGTGCTCTCTGGGTTGCCCAGACGGCCTGGGCCGGTGCCGTCGTCGGCGGGCCGAGGCGCGCTTGCGGCGGTGTCCTGCAGCTTCATCAGCGCCTCTTTGCTCTCCGGGGCTGGCGTGGCCTGCGCCAGAGCACGACAGTTGGATACACCGGTCTGGCTTTGCATCGAGCGTATGGCTGCTGTCTGTTCGCACGCATGCGAATCGGCGCTGAGGGGGGTCGAGCGCCGCCACGTGTTGGCGGTCCGAGCTCAACTCCGCGCTGCCATGCTGCGCCGGCCCGAGCCAGCTTCTGCCGGGCGCTCGCACCAGCGTACGATGAATACAGCGCTAGCAGAAGTCTGGGCCCGATCTGCTCGGCTCGGCCACCTCCATCGAAGGCCGGACGGAGCGTGCCTGGACGGCAGAGCCTCGTTCCCTGCGAAGCGTATTCATGCGAGCACCGCCCTCGAGCGTCGAGAGGCTCGTGCGGCCTGCGCACTGCTGTCCCGCACGCGATCGTGAGCGCAGCGCCTCTGGCTCCATGCGTCTTGCCGTCGTCATCGCTGGACAAAGGGCCTGAGCGCGGACTGGTGGTGGAAGTAGAGAGCGAAAGAGGTGAAGCGGCGCTGACCTCCACACAGAGCATCACGCGCGCAGGGCAGGCGTGGGCGCGTCGCGCGCAGGACATCTTGCGGGACTTTCTCCGAGGAATGGAGTAGCGCTCACGCGACGCCTGCTCGGACAACAGCGCGCGCGACCGCTAATGGCTTTGCTCGTCAGCTTATATTATCGCATTCCTATGTATCAGATGCACAGGATGCTGAAATGATTTTGGCTCTGGCCGGTTGTGGGTTCGAATCCCACCGTGCGCATTTTTCGCGCCCCCTGATGATGAAACCTCCAATTTTTTTGCAGATCCTGGTAGCTGACCTCCTTCCGAATGCTCACCCTTGATTTCAGACGCTCACGCGACATGACACTCGGACGACGAGGAGCAATGCGACGGGCGTGGGCGAGCGAGCTCGGCGTCGACTCGCTGTCGTAGCTCTGCGGCAGCCGCCGAGTCGAAGGGCGTTGTGCGCGCTCATCGGCTGCAGCTGCTCAGCTGCCGCTGCTGCAGCCTCTCAAGCTAGGATCAGCTGATGCGCAGCAGCAGACATGTCTGAGTACGCCTCAAGGCCCGGAGGAAGCAGTCGTGCGGCGGCAAAACTGCTCGCGCCCGATCTGCCAAGTCGCGGACAATCCGCTGCTTTTGCCGCCTCGCCGGCGCCCGGAAGAACGGCGCCCTCTGCCAGCCCTTCACCTCATCTCGCAGCGCGGCACGCCAGCTACAGACAGCAAGCAGAGATTTCCGAAGCCGGTGCCGTCACCTCGGCCCGAGCGCTCCGATGATCAGGCGGGCGGCGAAAGTCCGTGAGGCACGGCCGCTTTGCTGGGGTGCGGCGGCGGCATGCTCCCTGCAAGTGCCGTCGGCGAGACCCGAGCCTTGGGCACGGCCTGATCTTCCGGCGCTGAGCACGCAAGCGGCCGCCTTCGTGCGAGCTAGAGTCTAGTGCTGCGCCGCCACTTCTACGGCTCTGCTCACGAGCCGCTCGGAAGGCGCAGCACGCTTGCGCACGCCGACCCTCCGACCCGACCGGATCCGAGAAATGCTCCTGATCCTGCACGGCTGAAGCAGACTAGCTGCGCCAAGCCCGGTCTTGCAGCTCTGTGCTGGACGCACCTCCGGCACCCGCTTGCTGCTGCGCCTTCGATCGCCCACCAACTAGGGCGAGGAAGCGGCCCGCCCGCTGGCTTGCGAGAGCCGTGCTCTCAACTGCCGGCTGGACTTCACAATGTGCAGCGATGGCGGAATGAGCACGCCTCAAACTGAAGGTGCTGAGGTTAGGCAGACCCTCCCAAAGCGTCGGGCAAAGCAAGCCGTGGCCGCAAACCTCAAGCCATCCGGCAGCTTCGGCAAGGTCCAGCACAAAACGGGCGGCCCGCAGCAGGCCCGCAGGCAGAGCGCTGCACAAGCGTCGGAGCCGGAGCTGAGCTTCATGAAGCAAACTTCGTAGCCATCTGCATACGGAGCTGCGCCGTGCGGCAACGATCAGATGGGATCAGGCTGAACGAGGCGGCGGGATGGTCAGCAGCAGGCTCGCGGCGCCTTGGCCGGCGAGCAAAGCTCCGCCGTGCTGCTCCCGCGCCTAGCTCCGCTCGGCCGCAAGCCGCGGCGCGCACGGCCGGCGGCCCGAGCGCAGCCGCAGGCACAAAGCAACAGCGGCAGGCACCGGCGCCGGCTCGGGTGCCTGCCTGAGCGGCTGCTGCCTCTTGAACCTCAGCCCTCACCTCGATGTGATGCGCCGAGCAGAGCAAGCTGCGGTACAGCTTGCGGAAGTGTCTCAGCAGCGTGCACGTCTGCCGCCAGCGCAGCGCCTTGCGAGGCATGGCGGCATGGGCCTGCGCCGATGCGTGCGTGTGCTTCTCGGCGGCACGCGCGCGCGCTCAGGAGCCGGTGCCGGTCTCCTTCTCTCTCGCAGCGCTTCTCGCCGGCCAGCGAGTCGATCAACCGCTTTTCTGGGCTTTGGACTCAGACACAGTGCTCTTCCCAGCACAGGCAGGCCGCCTGCGCTGACTCGCGATAGGAGTCCGGGCCCGCCGCACCCAGCGATCAGGGGCGCACTTCCGCGGAGCTCCCGACGAGGCCGCCAGCTGAAGAGAGCTAAAGCGCGGCACTCTGACTCTTGGTGCCCGTCGGCTACTTGCTCGCGCCTTTGCTCCTCTCCACCACCTCGTCTTCTCGTGCCCCGTCCAGGCCAGCGGCTTCTTCTCTTTCACTCCACCATCCCGCTCCGCCTGCCCGCCATGGCGCCGCACAACGTCCTCATCCTCGGCGGCATGCAGCACCTGGCGCGCCCGCTGCTCGTCTGGCTCCTCGCGCTGCTGCACGGCAACGGCTCGGCGCCCGAGGCCAGCAGTGCCGCCGGCGCCGGCGCACAGCAGGCGCTGGGCAGCGTGCGTCTCGTCGACAAGTTCTTCGTCAGCTCAGAGGGCAGCAGCACGTGAGTGACCCGTGAGGCCGTGTGCAGCTCGTCCGCTCGCGGCACTCTCCCGGCTTGTGCGCAGCTCCTGCGTGGGCCTCGAGTCCCATCGCTGAGCCATTCGGGCGGTGTGAGATAGCGCCTGTAAGGCAGTCACAAAACATCAGCTCGGCAATGTGTCGGCGCTGCGAGCCAGCCTCGCTGATCTTCTCGCAAGGCCCGAGCGTCAGCGAGGAGATCGAGACACGTCGTCGAGTCCGCCGCACTGCAGGCCAGACGAGGCGGCCTGAGCGTGAGAATAGCCCAAGACGCTTGCTGTTGTGTACCGCTGCACGCCGTGTCTTTTGGCCGAGGCCCGTGCGCAGTCGTCAGCAGGCGTGTGCTGACCTGCCGACCCGCAGCTTCGTCGACCCGCCCGTGCTCGCGGCGCTGAAGGACCCTCGGGTGGAGTACCGGCAAGCGAATTTGACTATCCCTGGTGCGTCCCGAAAGAGCGTGGCAGAGCGTGTGCTACACGCATGGCTGACAGTTGGCCTGCAGCGACGGCAGCAAGCGTCTTCGAGCCGGGGCCGAACGGGCCGTGGGACATCGTGTTTGACCTGACAGGCGAGGGAGTGCTCTCAGCTGGTACGTCTCGACTGCACTCTCTGTTTCGCCTAGTCGCTGACAGGTACTTCGCAGACGTGCCCGCGCAACTACTGCTCGAGCGCACTACCAAGCTGGCGGGCATGCTCGCGGCCGAGGCGGCACGGCGAGGCGTCAAGGCATACGTGCGCGACACGCCGCCATTCTGGAAGAGCAAGATGGACGAGGGCCTGATCCGCGAGAGCACGAGCCCGGCACAGCGCTCAATGCAGAAGGGTCCGCGTTCGTACTTCTGGTACGAGGCGGAGCGGGCAGTGGCGAACGTCGAGGAGTGAGTCAAGCTGCAGGTCGCAGCAGACGCTGTTGCTGATGCTGTCACTACCGCAGCCTGCCGGTTGCGATTCTGCGCTCGGCAGGCATCTGGGGCCCGACACAGTACCATGGAGAGCGTGCGTAGCAGTGCCATGTGCTGCAGGGCGCATCACTCATACACCCCTTCAGTGCCGCCACGCATCGCCTTCGGAGAGATCTATCGCTCGCTGAAGGAGCCAGTAAAGATCTTGTGAGCTGTGCCGCGAACGAGAATCCTGCTAGTCAGGCTGACGTCCCGCACAGGTGGTCTGCCGATCTGCGGCTGAACAGCCTGCACTCGACCGACTGGTGCTCGGCAGCCTGGGCGACGGCACAGTGGCTCGTGACGCGGTCGCGCGCCGAGGCCAACGAGCTCGCCGGCGAGCTGCTGCCGGCCGTGGCGCCCAAGGACAAGGGCAAGGGTCTGGGCGTCGACTGGAACAAGGACATCGAGCTGTGCTGCCCGCGCGCCAAGACGCCCAAGGCGCCCGTGTTCAACGTCACCGACGGCCGCGACACGGACCAGGGCAAGCTGCTCGACGTCATTGGCCGGCGTGAGTGGCAGTCTGCTACGTAGCGGCGCTGAGTACTGAGCGCAGCACTGCAGACTACAACGTCGAGACCGGCTTCGTCAACGCGGCCATCAACGCGTGGGCAAGGCTGAACCTGGCCTCGGTCGTTGACGAGATGAACGAGAAGGTGAGCAGTACCATGCTTCAGCTGTGCCTCACCGCTGACACGCCTCGCACAGCACATGGAGGAGGCGACGAAGCTCAAGGCCAATGCCGTGCCGCCCATCACCTACACGCCCTTCACGCTCTTCCTCGACCAAGAAGCTGTGGCGCAGCGCTGCATTGCGCTCGACAGCTCCAAGATCGAGCGCGTGATTGGCTGGACGCCGCGGCGCACCTTTGCGCCGCAAGGCGTACAGGAGATGGTCGAGAGCTTCCAGAAGGCCGGGGTTTGGGGTGCGTCCATGCGCGCGGCTCACACTCGCCCGCCGCTGACGTTCTCTGTCTCGCAGGTCACTTTGATTGAGCGAGCTTGCACAGATCTGTCACTAAGCTGTGGGCCACGGGGCGCGAATAAGATTGACCGAGCGACGCGGCTGCTACGCCAGATCCTTGACCTTGCCCAGATCCCACTCGCGCGTGGCGCGCACCGGCTGCGGAGCTGACGCCTCTGCAGGCTCCTCGTCGCTGCTCAGTGCCGAAGAGCGAGCCAAGCGACCCTCCTTGCGCAGCTCCTTCCGCCGCCGCTTGTCGTCCTTCTCCCGCCGCCGCTCGTCCTTGGCGCGCCGCTTGGCATCCTCGCGCTCGCGCACCACATCCAGCATGCGGTCCCAGCCGCCGTCGGCCACCAGGCCGTTCTCGTCCGTCGTGGCCTCCAGACTCACGTCGAGCGCCGGGTCGTAGGCCGGATCGAAGTACTTGTCCATCTTCGACGAGTACAGCGACGGGTCGGGCAGCGGCGCCGGTGACTCTCCAGAGTCGTGTGGCACGCGCTCGGCGGCATGTGCACGCGAAGAGCTCGCTGTGCGATGAGAGGCCGGAGAAGAGCGCCGAGAAGGACTGCGTGTGCGGGGAGAAGCAGTGTGCTGCGAGCGGCGCTCGTCTTCTCGCCTGCGCGCTTCGTCGTGCTCGCGCTCGAGCCGCCTTCGCCTTCGCCGCCGCTCTGCTTCCTCCTCGTCCTCTTCCTCGTACCGAGAGCGCCGTGATCGGTCCCGATCCCTGCTGCGCCCGTCGTGCTCGGGACTGCGGCTTCGGCGCCGCGATGAGCTTGAAGCAGAGCTCGAGCGCTCGGCGTCGAGATGCCGGCCGCCCAGCAAGCGTTTGCGCAGGTCTGCCTCCTTCTCGCGAGCACGACGGGCCTCGCGGGCGCGCTCGTCTGCCGCAGCATCATCTCTCCGCCTCGCATCGTGCTCTCTACGGTCTTCGCGATCGTCCGTGCGGCTGCTTGGCCGGCTCGGCTCTCGGCTGCTCGACGCGCTGCCTCGAATGCTCACGCTGCGCGGCTCGGCAGCGCTCCACGCCCGAGTGCCCTCGCCGGCACGCCAGGCCTCGCGGTACTGGCGCCGAGCCTCAGCGCGCAGCTCTGCCTCCTCAGCGGCACGCGCTCGCTGTGCCGACTCGGCCTCGGCGGCCTGCGCAGCGATGACGGCCTGGTTGTGCGTGTCGACGCTGCGGATCATCGAGGCGAGGAAGCGCTTGTTTGTCGGCGCCGCTCGTGTGGGTGAGGGCCTGTGCAGCGAGTCAGCTGCGTACTTGAAGTGCTGCAGAGGTGTTCCTAGCATGTGAAGGTCGGTGCATCGCGCTACTCGCGGTTGCTCCCGCTCCCTGCGTCTCTGTTCACACCCCTCCCTAAACTGCTCGGGCGACCTCCACTTCGCACCTGCCAGCCTCTGTCACTCACGCTCGCGAGCGGCCGCTGCTGCCACTGCCGCCGCCACTTCCAGGCCGAACGGCGGCAGCGTTCTTCTCGCGCGCCTCGCGCAGGATCATCTCTGCGATGTACTTGTCCAGCTCGTCGTCGCCGACGTCTGCAGCCGGCGCGTCGGCACCCATGGCGGCGCGCGTGAGCGAGGCGACGGTGCGCGAGAGGGCTGACGGCGGCGGCATGACGTGCGCTGCGGTCGTAGCAGAGAGGTGGCGGCGATGATGAAGCGGTGACCAGGCGCTGGTGCCGGTGAGCCGGCAGGTGGTGGTAGGAAGCAAGAGGCACGCGCGGCGCGGCGGCCTGCTGTGCTGCGCCTCGTGCTTCGCGCGCTTCCTCACGCCGCGGCTCCAAGCCACACGATCTTCGCTCCCACCACCACCATCCCTCGTGTGTCACCGCATCAGCGCCGGCTGCGCCTCGCTCGGTCATGTCGCTGCTCAATCCGCTGGCGTCGGCAGCGCAGGCAAGCCACTCTCCGTCGCGCGCCGACGGCATCCCGCGTGCGCTGGAGGACGAGCTGCGCGTCTGGGGCTGCCGCCTCATCCAGGACGCCGGCACGCTGCTGCGCCTGCCGCAGGCCGTCATGGCCAGTGCGCAGCTGCTCTTCCAGCGTTTCTGGTATGTCTCGAGCTTCCGCGACTTCAGCACAAGGGTGAGTGGCGCTGTCTGTGCGAAGGGCAAAGGCCGTGTGGAGGGACATGATAGCGGTGCACGAGGCGGCGGGAAGGTCTAGCAGCATCACTGGATGGCAGCACGTCCGCGGACTGCTCGACTTCGCCTCCGCACTGGAAGCTGCCGTGTGTGCCCTTGCATCCTCGCATCTCACACCGCGTTGCAGGAGATCGTCCCTGGCGTGCTCTTCCTCGCCTCGAAGCTCGAGGAGTCGCCGGTGCGCATCCGCGACCTGCTCAACGTCATGAGCTATCTGCTGGCACGCGCCTCGCATGCCTCTTCCATGTCGCCGTCATCTCGCAGTCTCGAGCTGCCGCGTGCGCCTGGCAAGCCTGCGTCATCGCGCTTCTCGCATGCGCCGGTGGGCTACTTTGATGCCTCCTTCTACGAGGCAAAGGACGCACTGGTTGTGGCGGAGATGCAGGTGCTCAAGCGGCTCGGCTTCAACACCAGCCTCTCGCTGCCGTACGCCACGCTTGTCAACTATCTGCAGATGCTCGGCGCCACGGGCGGCGAGCGTTGGGACGGCTTTGCGCAGAGGTGTTGGGGCACGCTGAACGATGCGTGAGTGTCGCTCAGGTTGCGGTGTGTTTGGCAGAGCTGACTTGCGCTCGCAGGCTGCAAACGCCAGTGTACTGTCTCTTCGCCCCGCACGTCCTGGCAGCTGCGAGCATCTACTACAACCTGCTGCACGCGCCCGGCCCTGCGGAGAAGCGGCCAGCGCTGCCGCTGGACCCGCCGTGGTGGGCGCTGCTAGACGTGACCGAGGCAGAGCTGCGCTGCGTCTGCGCCCACATCGCATGGCTCTACCATCCCAGCGGCGGCGGGCGCGTGCGCGACGAGCACGGCGGCATGGTCGAGTTTGCCGATCGCACGAGCGTGCGAGAATGGCTCGAAGCGAACCAGGCGAAGGAGCGGCGCAGCTCAGAGAATGGCTCGCGGGCAGCAGACACGGGCACGCGGATAGCGGAGGACAGGGACAAGCAATGAAGTACGTCTAATGTCGAGTCACTACGGCGTGCGCTACAGACAGACCGCTACTTGCTGCTGCTCTCGGCCGGCTGTGCGTTGCTCGCTGGCTCGCCATCCGACGCAGCATCTCCGTTGTCCCACTCGTACAGCACGACCGCATCGGCACACGGTCGCTCCCACAGGTCGAGCTCCTCCCAGCCGCTCATGGCAGCTGCCGCCGGCTTGCTGGGCTCGGGCTTCTCCGTGCCCCAGACAGCGGAGTCTTCGGGCTTGGTGACGACGAGCAGCTGGTGCATCTCCTCGGTCTCGCTCCGCTCGCCCTCTTGCGCCCGTTGCATGGCACGCAGGCGCTCGGGTGCGCCGGCGTAGTACTCGACGTGTCCGGCGCCAGCGACGGCCAGGACGATGTCGTCTGGATGTCGGACGAGGATAGAGTGGATGACGTGCGCGAAGTACGTGTCCTTGACTGCTTGCGCTGGGCCGAAGCCCTTCTCTTGCACTTGTGGCGCAACGAGATGCGGTGCGAACTCAGTGGACGGCGGCGTGGCGGCGCGCCATCGTCGATCCGCGGCCTCCCAGTGCGCCATGGCGGCCGTGTCCTTGAGATGCGCCACGGCTGCCTGCGCAGTCTCGCGCGAGACCATCGACGGGAACGCTGGCGGTGCGTCGGGCTTGAAGAGCGACGAGAGATAGGTGCGGTGCGGCGTGGTGAGGGTATAGATGAGCCGATGCGCTGCTGCGCCCAGCGGAGGGGTATGGAGAGACGGGCGAAGGCCGAGCTGTGTGTACGCAGCACCCGAGCGGCATGGATCTGGTGCGCCTCCCTCTGCATCTGGAGCGTCGAATGTGCCCTCTGCGCGTGCCCGGTTCCAGGCGGTCAGATCGCGCATGGCATCAGCTCGCTCCTGCTTGAAGACGGCGCGAGCCCAGCTTCTTGGCGGGAAGCCAGCCCACACCTTGACCTTGAGGTCGCGCGCGAGCACGAGCAGCGGCGCATAGTGCGCCAAGCCGAAGCCCTCTTCCGAGTGCTCGTTGTACAGGCCCGCCAGCTTGCCGAGTGGCAGCTCTCGGCGAGCAAAGGCATCTAGCAGTGCTTGATCGGGCAGCGCAAAGGGCTCGAGCACGAGGTGTACCTGTCGCCCTGCGCTGGCGTCGTGCACAGCCGCGAGCAGCTGCAGCTGCGCCGAGAGCACGGCCGGCTGGTGGTGCTGCTCGCCAAACCACGTCACGCGCGGCAGCGGTGATAGCAGCGCCGCGAAGTCATGGGCCTGTCGAGAGATGCCGGCTGCGCCGGCGTAGCTCGCCCAGGTGCGCAGTGGCCGCTCTGGCGCTGGAGGCTCGCCTGCGGACGGGCCTGCCTCGCTACTGCCGCTTGCCGGTGGCGCAGCTGCAGGCGGCACGCACGAGGCTCGCAGCGACGGATGCGGCCCGAGGAAGAGCGAAGGCCGTGCGAGCCTGCTGAGCAGAGGGTGCGCCATGGCGCGCTCGGGCGAGGAGCTGCCTGGCGAGGCCATGCACGGGCAAGTGGAGGGCGCTGCGGAACTGGTCGCTGCACCGCCCGCTACGTGCGCTCCAGATTGACGGAGAAGCGTGAGGTGCCCGGGCAAGGATCAGACTACTGCTGCTCGATGCTCGATGCTCTTGACTGTGCTTGAAGGTGGTGGCGGGAAAGAGGCACGGCCTTGCACGGCTGCTGAGCTGATGCAGGATCAGGGCCAAGCTGCGGCCGCGATTCCCGCGGCTCCGCTCTCACCTGCACGCGCGGGCGGGGTGTTTGGCTCGCTCCGCCTCGCGCACGGCCTTCTTCCTCCGCACCACAAGCACGTCCTTCTCCCTGCCCACCCTCGCGCTCGCCCGCCGCATGCCCGAGTGCTGCCGGTGACGCCGCCTGCCGCACGCCATGTCTGTCCGCAGCGTGCCCACGTGGGCGCGCGACGTGCTGCTCCTCTCCTTCGCCCTCAAGCTGCTCCTCGTGCCCGCCTACCACTCGACCGACTTTGAGGTGCACCGCCACTGGCTGGCCCTCACGCGCAGCCTGCCGCTGGCGCAGTGGTACTTCGACGAGACGTCGCCGTGGACGCTCGACTATCCGCCCTTCTTCGCCTACTTCTCGCGCCTCCTCGCCGCGCCCGCCGCGCTCGCCGACCCGCGCATCACGGCACTGCAGGCCGGCCTCGAGTATGCCTCGGCCCCGGCGCGCCTCGTGATGCGCAGCAGCGTGCTGCTCACCGAGCTCGTGCTCGCTGCCGCACTGCTGGCCCTCGCTGCGCCGCCAGCGGGCCGCGTGCTCAGCGCCGAGCGAACTCAGGCGGCGCGACTCGTCGCTGCGGCTGTGCTGCTGCATCCGGGCCTCGTCATCGTCGACCACATGCACTTCCAGTACAATGGCTTCCTGACGGGTGTGCTGTTCTGGAGCATCTGGGCAGCGCGAGAAGTGAGTGTTCGTAAGCCATCGCCTCTGCTGCGTGCTCACGTCCGCCTCAGCAACGGCCGCTGCTGTGTGCCTTCCTTTTCTCATCGCTGCTCATGCTCAAGCACATCTACATCTACCTCGCGCCAGCTTACTTCGTCTTTCTGCTGCGCACCTACGTCTTGCCGACTAGCGCCTCCGCTGCCGATGCCGGTCCGCTGGCGCGCCTCTTCACGCTCGGCACCATCACGCTGCTGCCGCCAGTGCTCGGCTTTGCACCGCTCCTGCTTGCCGGCCTCGCGCCCTCTGCCCCCGCCGGGCCCATCGGCATTATGCAGCAGATCTGCTCGCGCCTCTTTCCCTTCGCCCGCGGTCTCAATCACGCCTACTGGGCGGCGAACTTCTGGGCGCTCTACACATTCGCTGACCGCGTACTTCTGCGCGTTGCCTCGCTGCGCCCTCAGCTGTTCGCCAGCTTCATCGACGGGCATGCGGCACGCAACGGCCTCTCGTCTGCCTCGCGCGGCCTCATTGGCGACACCAGCTTCGGAGTACTGCCGACGATCACCGCCGGCCACTGCTTCCTGCTCACGGCACTGCCACTTCTGGCCTTCTCGCTGCGCCTCTGGACTCGGCCGACGTACGCCTCCTTCGTCATGGCCATCACGCTCTCCGGCCTCACGTCCTTCATCTTTGGCTACCACGTGCACGAGAAGGCCATCCTGCTGCCTCTGCTACCACTGACGCTGCTCGCGCCTCTCTCGCACGCACACGCGCGCCTCACGCTCGTCCTCTCCGTCGCTGGCGTCGTCGGCCTCTTCCCGTTGCTTTTCTCGGCTCGCGAAAGCATCGTCAAGATCGCCTACTCTATCGTCTGGGCGCTCTGCGTCTTCGTGCCGCTCAACCGCAACGTGTTTCGGCCAGTGCCGACCAACCTGGGCGTTTTGGCACACTTCGCAGAGCACGCCTATCTGCTCGGCTTCGCCGGCCTGCTAGCGTACACCAGTCTGCTCCACCCGCTGCTCTTTCCGTCGCCGAGCCAGCCGCTGGCGGACGTGACTCCTCCGAGCGCGCTCAGCGAAGCCATCAGCAAGGCCTCATCGCTCGTCGCTCCAGCTGCGACGCTCGTGGCCGCTGCGGTCACGCCGGTCGTGACTGCCATCAACAGCCAGACCATCCTTCCAGGTGTGCAGGCAGAGAACGTCCTTCCATCGTCGCTGGCAGAGTCCGCAAGCAGTCTGCTCGCCCCAGCAACGCCCGCAGCTACTAGCACCCCCCTCGAGGATGCCGAGGAGCCTTTTGCGGAGACCGACATAATCAAGGCAGAGGCCACTGTCGAGGCACCACAGGCCGTCAGCGAAGCTGCGTCAGAAGCAAGTGTCAGCGCCGTCCCTGGCGCCAGCGAGGAGGTCACGGGCATCTTGCAAAGCGCCAGCAGCATCGCGTCGGAGGCCAGCGAGAGTGCAGTCGCGGCGCTGTCGCATCTGACAGGCAGCGTTGCAGGTGTATTCTCACAGACGAGCGAGGTCTCGCCTGTCTCCACGATCTCGGCGGCTGCGGCTTCAGCCACAGAAGCCGCAGCCGACGCAGTGCTTCCAACATCCGCGCCTGCCTCTGCGCCGATATCCGTCTCTACTCAAGCTTCGCCGCCAGTCAAGGAGGCCAGCCTTGAGTTCCTGCCGCTGATGCTCACGAGCGTGTACTGCGCTCTGGGCGTCATGTGGGTCTGGGCACGCCTCTCTCTCGTCTTCTGGACGGGCGAGGGCGAGGAGGTGGAGGAGAGCACACCGGCGAAGCCTGCTGTGCCTCGTGCTGCCAGCACTGTCGTCGCGAACGGGCGGTGAACATCGTAATTGAAGCAAAGTCACTAGTCTAATTGCACGCCATCAACCGGACATCCGCGTCAGTCCTCGAGCGTGCCTCTGAAGAGCGCGCTGCCGATGGCCTCCATCGCCGCGCCAGGTGTCTGTGTGCCGTCTTGCGGGTATGCGTGCAGCTGCGGCGCTCCAAACGTCTCTTCATCGGACGCGTCGGTGGCCATATGGTGAGCGGGCATGTTGCGAAGGCTCAGCGCGTCCTTCGACGAGCGAGCGTTGCTCGCCGGCTTTGCGGCCGCGTCTTCGCCCGGAGTGGTGGGCTGCGACACGGCCAGCGCGTCGAAGAGCTCGGCAGCCGAGACGGTCTCGCCAGCATGCACGCCCGGCGACGGCGGAGGGTGGTAGGCGTCGAAGTCGGACGCCAGAGCGCCATTAGCTGCCATGCTTGCACCTAGCAGGCCGCCGCTCGAGCGCCGGCGCGACCGCAGCGAAGAGCGGCTCGTCGTCCGCGTCGCGCCGTTCGCATTCGTCGTCTCGCTGCTCTGTCGGCGCGACTTGACGCCCGAGTACGCACGCTTCGAGCGCACGATGGACGAGCGCGACGGCGGCGGTGCGTCGCCCGGTGCGTACGTCGGAGAGGGCAGCGGCATGCTGTCGCTCCACTCGGGCGAGAGGACCTCTGGCTCCTCGCTGACGCTGGCCGGCACCGGCGCGTCTTCTAGGGTATACTTGCGCCGCAGCGACGGCACCTCCTCGCCAGTCGAGTGAAGAGACAGCGGTCGCGGGCCGTCTGCATCGGCACCTCGGCCGCTGGAGCGTCGGCGCGAGCTCGCAGACGTGACACTGCTGCGGCTGGACAGGCGCTGCGTGCTCCGCATGCTGCTCTCTGCCTCGTCTTCCGTGCTGCCATCGGCGAACGTCGCGGTGCTCGCGATCGTCACCGAGCCGGAGCCTGCCTGCGAGCTGTTGCTCTCGCGGCGCCGGGTGGCTCGAGGGCGCATCAGAGTAGACGCTGCGACCAGAGGGGCATCGGCGCTGCTCGACGCGTCGCCAAATGCAAGCTGCGCTGGCATCACTGCCTCAGCACGAGAGTCGGCGCGCTCGCTGCGCGGACGTCCGTCGCTGCTGACGCTGCCCGTATCAGACATGCGCGACGGCAACGCCTGCGGTGCGTGATCGGCCCCGTTGACGGCGCGCAGGCGAGCGAACGCAGATGCGGGAGCCGTTCCGTTGCCGCTGCCCTGGTAGCCCAGAGGCGGAGCGCTGGAGGGCATACCCGCAGGCATGGGCACGCTGCGCCCAGCTAGCAGACTGGGCAGCGGCGGCAACGAGTCGAGCGGATCGTCGGGCTCGGCGAGGCGAGAGGCATAGTCGTCGCCGGCGTCCGATGTTGGGCGCGAGCTGTAGCCGCTGGCGACCGAGCTGCTGTATGCGCTGTCTCGTCGAGCCATGCGCGCCGCACGATCGGCAGCGCCACGAGGACTGGCACTGGCCATCGGTCCGCTCGAGACTTTGCGGCTGCTCGGCTCCGACAAGTGCTCGCCAGGAGAGCTGCCTTCGCGCGGCGGACGCGCAGAGCGAGTCAGCAGCAAGGGCTTCGGACCTGCGTTGCGCGAAGCGCCGCGAGCCTGAGCGGATGGCGAGCTCGCGAGCGACGGCAGGTTCTGAAAGCGGCTCGACGGCGCCAGACTCGGGCTGTCTGCCGGGCTATCTACGCCGTGCAGGCTCGGACTGCTGGGCGAAAAGTTGCGGCCAAGGCTGCCGGTCCACGTGTAGTCCTCGCGACCGGCAGGGCTGTCGAGCACGTTCGGCACCGGCAGATGCGGCATCTCGCGCGACCAGCGCAGTGCGGGATGGATCGTAGAGCTCGGTCCGAGGACCGGCGATGAAGCCGATGCGGCCGTGCTATTGCTGACGCTTCTGGCGCGAAAGAAGGACGAGCCAAGGCCGGCAAGCGAGCGTGCGCTGGCCGGTGGCGTCTCAGTCGCGGGCGACGCATCGCGAGACCGCGGCGAAGCGCTCCATGTCGCCATTGCCTTGGCTGTCCAGTTGGTGCTCGCCTTCGACAGAGTGGCCGCGGCATCGCTGCTCTGGAACGCCTCAGCGTAGCGTGTGAGCGCGCTGCGGGTGTTGCGCAGCGGCGACAGCGCCGGCTCGCTGCCTTCCTCGTCGATCGCGGATGGCGGAGGCGGCAAGGACGACAGCGCAGCAGGCGCCGATGCCAGAGGTGCCGAGACAGAGCGCATGCTTGTTCTGGCAGAAGCCAGCCACTTTGGCGCTGAAGGCCCACTTGCGGCTTGCGTCCAGCCTCGGAGCGTGTCGGCTGCGCGCTGCCGCACCGTGTTGGTGCTCGAGCGCGCCTCGGCCTCCTGGTGCGTCTCGGGCGGCCCATCGCCTGTCAGAGGCGCTGCCATGCGGCGCTGGCGGAAGAGATTCGCCTGCTCCAGCACCGGCGCAACCTCGATCTCCTCGAAGTTCTGCAGCACCTTCATGCCCTCGGCGAACGCGTCAGAGTTCTCCGGCGGCGCAAGCAGAGCTGCGAGGAGCCGCGCGCGCTGCGAGACGAGCAGCGCGCAGCATAGGTCGATCATGAAGTCGATCTTGGGGCTTGCAGAGACCTCGCTTGGCTCGGACGACTCGGCCAGCAGAGCGTCCCAGATCTGCACCATGGACGGCAGCGCGAGCTCCGTGCTGAGCAGGCATGCGAGCCACCGGAACGAGTAGTACGGCAGCCTAGGGTCAAGGCCGCTCACGGACTGAATGCGCGAGGTCAGCGAGCTGGTAATCTTTGCATGCGCTCTCGCAGGACTCACCAACGCGCGCCACAGCTCCTCGTCTAGCCATCGCAGCCGCAGGCTCGTGCGCAGCAGTGCTGTAGCCATGCCTCCCAGATCCGTGCGCGGACGCACAGGCATGGCCTGTTCCAGGCCGTTGCGCACGCGTAGTCCAGCAGCGTCGTAGTCTAGGCCTTCGAACTCGTACAGTTCGCGCACCTGGCCGAGAAGATTGGAGAAGAGCCAGAACGCGTCTGCCTCTGCATGACAGGCAGGCGGGTCCAGCTCATGATCTCGGTATGCGCTTGCCGGCTCGTCGCGAGACGAACTGCTCGCCTGCGGCGCGCGACCGGCGGTGCCGAGCACGTACAGCAGGACGAAAGCTGTCTCGCCCATGCCCTGCACGTAGCCGGTTGAAGGATGCAGTGTCGCATATACGAACAGGATGCGAAGCAGCGAATGCCACTGGCGATCGACGATCGGCAGTGGTGCGGGTAAAGCTGTGCGCTGGCCGCTCAGCAGTGCAGCAGCCTGATCCAGGGCACGGCGATGACCCTCCGAGTCGCCCTCGTCTGCGCTGGCAAAGTCGACTTCGCCCTCGCTCGCGTCCGACAGGCCGGAGTTGGAGCCGCGCCGCCCTTGCGGGCTGGGAGGCTCGAGGAAGATGGGCGGCGACGACGTTGCGCTCTCATACGCGGGGTCCACCGACAGCTGGCGTCGCAATGCAACCGAGGGAGCACCAGTCGGTCCTGCCGCAGCGGAAGCCTCGGCGCTCGGCGCTTCTGTCCGAATGATCGGTCGCGTGGCGCTCGGGTCGTCTTCCGCCACAAGCGAGAGCGCGTAGTCCGTGTTGATGTCGCGCAGGCGCTCGAGCAGAGCATGACGGCCCTTTGTGCGCGGCACTGGCTGCGCCGTGCTCGACGAGGCCTCTGGCTCGGGCGCAAGTGGGCAGGCATACGATGCCGGCACGGGCGCGCGGTAGAAAGCAAAGGCGTTGCGACGAGAGCGCGAGAGGTCGCGCCAGATCTGCTCCAGCAGTGCGTCTCGCTCGGCGGGCGTGGTGCCGCCCGCGGCACCAGGCCCTTCTTGCGATTCAGACGTCGTAGCCACGAAGCTCTGTGGGGAGCGGGTCAGATTGTGCTCTGCACGCCGCAGTTGTGACAGACGCCAGTCTCGGCAACGAGCTGCCACGTGTCCGCCTCTCCGGCATCTCGTTGCCTCTTCGGACTTGCAGCTTTAAGCACACCCTATCAATCCTTCCTCTCTGACACTCACGTAGTACTCTGCGCGGCTGCGCGCCATCGCCGCGGGCCACTCGCGCTTCTCGGGCGGCAGCTGCGCCAGCAGCACGCGCCAGGCATGCGCGCGCAGCCAGGGGGCGTCGGCGGGCACGCCGCCGGGCTGGCGGCACAGCTGGCGCAGCTGGTACACGTCGGCGACGGCATGTCCCGGCAGCACGTCGGTGGCGTCGAGGAGCTGCGCAAAGGCGCGCTGCCGCTGCCGCTGCTCGGCCGCGGCGGCGCCGGCGGGCGGCGGCATGGCGCCAGGCGCGGCTCTTGCAGCGACGCTGGACAGGCAAGGCACAGAGCTGTCGGCGTGTGGGCGCGGTGTGAGGCGGCGGGTGCGAGCGCGCCTGCAGCTGCGACGCAGGGACAGTGCAGTGCGGGCAGGTGCGATGCGGGTGTGCTTGTGGTGATGGAGCAAGAGGCGAGCTATGCATCTCGAGGCGCGCGTCCTTGTCACGCCTTGCTTAGCGTCGTTTCGCGGCAGGCGTCTGTGCGCTCGGCGCGCCGAGAGAGGGGCTCCCACGCATGCCATGCTCGCTGGCCGCCGGCTGGCCTCCTCACTCGTCCACTCGCCCTTCTTGTCCTCGGCACGCCGCTTGGCACAGCGTCTGCATGAAGGAGAGCAGCTGCTGAAAACTCAGCAAGACGAGAACAAAGATCGGACGCTGTTTCGTTGTTGAGGGCGGGGTGCGGCGCTCGTCCAGCCTCGCCAAGCGCCTGCTTCTACCGCCTGTCACCCGATCATGCTTTGTGACCGTGCTGTGCGCTCAGCTGTAAGGCCTCTGTAGATCTGCTCTCGCTCTCCATCCAGCCGTTCATGGGCCAGATCACAGGCCGCGGGGCCGGCAGGAGGAGCTGAGGCGGCACTGCCCGGTGTGAGAGCGACTGCCGCGACTCCGCTCAGGCCTCGCGAGCTTGCGCCCGTGCGCATCTGGCAGGAGATTGGCGGCTCGCTGGCCGCCGCCCTCACCTCAGCTCCACCTCGCTCTCATCACTCGCATCGCTCCGTCTCGTGGCCCGCTCTTCCGCCCTCACTCGCTCGCACCAGTCGCAGGCCACACCTTCACCTCTGGCTTCGCGCCGCCGTCCGTCCGGCCCACCGCCGGCCCCTTCTCCCGCACCTCGCGCCCGCGCCCCGCTGCCCACCATGGTCGAGGCCAACGGCTCCACGCAGGCCTCGTCGTCGGCGCCCGAGAAGGTGCCCACGCCGCCGCTCGTGCATCTCAACAACACCTGGCTCTCCGAGCTCTCGGCGCGCATCCGTGCGCGCCCGATCCCGTGGGAGGGCTACCAGCGCGCCGACCTCGTCTCGCAGCCCGAGCTGCGCATGATCCGCGCCGTCGACGCCAAGCCGCGCGCCGCCGTCGACGGCGTCATTGACGCCGAGGGCCCCGCCTACGCGCGCCTCTACCTCACGCTCCTCGGCAAGCTCAGCCGCACCGACACGCTGCAGCAGGTGCTGGTGCTCGTCGCCGACATGCTCGACGGCCGCGACGACCGCGCCGCGCTCTTCCTCCACGTGCCCGAGTCGGGCGATGCGCCCTCGTCGCAGGGCAGCGATGCATGGCCGTGGGCGCCGCTTGTCAAGTGAGTGTGCTGCGATGGGTGCTGCTGCGTATGACGAGACCGTCAGCGCCGGCCAGCTACAGCGACTGATCCTGTTGCCTTGCTGCCCAGGCTGCTCGATCTCTCCGACGACTTTGCGCAAGTCAAGGCGGCGACGGTCCTCACTGCGCTGCTTGTCTCGCCCGCTACTTCTGCCGCGACGACCCCTCCGTCGTCGGTGACGCTGCGCCTGCTCTCCTTCCTCGCCGCGCTGCTCAACAACGGCGCGCCGCGGAATGCCAGCAGCGGCGTGGGCGGCTTTGCCGACGGCAACGGCACCGACATTGCCATTCAGCTGCTGCAGGCACTGCTGCGCAACCACCGGTTGCGCGCTGTTGTGTGGAAGGAGGAGCTGCGCCTTGCTTCGCAGTCGCAGGAGGGTCACGCCGATGGCTCCATCAAGGCGCTCGCCTCCATCCTGCGCCAGAGCCAGGCGCCGCAGAGCCAGGACTCCAACGGCACGGCCACGCCCAGCGGCGCCGTCGGCCCGCAGATGGTGTACCACGCCGTCTTCTCGATCTGGCTGCTCAGTTTCGACAAGGAGATCGCAGAGGACCTGAATGCGTGAGTGCCGTGTAAGGAGCCGCAAGGCTTGCTGACTGACAGTTCGCAGCAAATTTGGCGTCATCACACTCCTGGCCGATGTGGCGCGCACGGCCGTCAAGGAGAAGGTTGTGCGCATTGTGCTGGCGACGTTCCGCGTGAGTCGCCGCTGCCGCGTCTCCTCATTCATCACACGCTGAGACGGCCCTGCCAGAACCTGCTCGCCAAGGCGCCAGACGCCAACGCGCCGGCCATGCTCGGCGCGCGCTGCCTGCCGCTCGTCGAGGCGCTCTCGACGCGCAAGTGGACAGACGAGGAGATCTCGGAGGACGTTGCGGCCGTGCAGGAGGTGCTGGCCGAGAAGCTCAAGGGCATGAGGTGCGTCGTTAGCACGTGCAGTGCCTGTCCGTATCGCTCATCACCCCTCGCGCAGCTCGTACGACGAATACACGTCTGAGCTCTCGTCGGGCAAGCTCTCGTGGGAGAATCCGGCGCACGAGCTCGATGCCTTCTGGACGGAGAATGCCGCGCGCCTCGTCAACGAGGACGAGGGCAGCGGCCTCAAGCAGCTCGTCAAGATCCTGCAGGACGACGACAGCGAGGCGCTGTCGCTCGCCGTGGCGTGCCACGACATTGCGCGGCTGGTGCGCGCGCACGAGAGCTCCAAGAAGTGCGTGCCAAGCAGACGGCCGTCACTGGAGAATGAGCTGACCCTTGTGCTCGAACGACAGGCAGATCGCAGCGGCCGGCGCCAAGCAGCGCATCATGGAGCTCACGTCGCACCCGGACGCCGACGTGCGTGTGCACGCCCTCGCCGCCGTCTCGCGTCTCGTCTCTGCCAGCTGGCGATAGACGAGCCGTCGAAGAGCGAGTCCCGTGAGGCAACCCTTCCCGTACATGACAGAGCAGATTCAATTTCACCAGCATCACTTCGATCGCGAGGATGCGACGCTGTCACTGCTGATGCTGGCTGCGAGGTCACTGCCATGAGGAGGCAAGCGGACTGTTGGCTATCGAGTGCCTCGGGAGCACTGCGCGGCTTGGCTTTGCACCCCACGGATCGGCTCAGAGGCAAAGCGCCGCCTAAGCACATGCCAACGCCGACCGGCAGTGGCATGGTCCTTTGTCTGCGGCTCGGTGCCGGCTTGCAGGCAGCAGCCGTCACGCCCGCTGCACTCGGAGCAGCCAGGTCTGAGAGAGAGTGTGCCGTGGTACAGCCTCGCAGCGAGGGCTCCCGATCTTCGCGGCGCACCTTGTGCGTGCTGTGCGTGCTGGACGCTGCCTGGACCCACAGGCACTGGAGCAGTGTGCGCGCGCAGGCGGGCTCGGCGCTCGGCATCCGCGCAGCACAGGCCATGCGCCGCCCGCACCCCGCGCCGCCCTCCTTCGTCTCCACATCCACACCTCCTTCATCGCAGCGACCAGCCACCGCCTTCGCAGCGTCCTGGCTCACAGCTCTTGTCTATCGCTCCACAACGCATCGCCCGCCGGCCTCGCCTGCCGCCGCTGCCGCCATGGCCGCGCCTGCTGCTGCGCCCGGCGCGCCTCTGGCACCCCTCACCCTCGCGCCGCTGGAGCGTCCCGCCTTTGCCGCCCTCTTCGCCGCCGCCGACCCGACGGGCAGCGGCATCATCACCGGCGCCGCGGCCGTCGAGTTCTTCGGCCGCTCGCGCCCGCCGCTCGCGCCCACGCTGCTCGGCGCCATCTGGAGCATCGCCGACCGCGCCAACAACGGCTTCCTCGGCAAGGCCGAGTGGGCTGCCGCCATGCGCCTCATCGGCCACGCCCAGCGCGGCACGCCGCTCGAGCGTCTCGAGGCCATGCTCAGCCAGCCCGGCCCGCCGCCGGCCTTTGAGGGTGTCGTGCTGCCCGGCGGCGCCTCGGCGCCCGGCACGCCGGTGCGCAACGGCTCCATCAGCGGGCCGCCCGGCGCCCTGGCCACCATCACGCCCGCCGACCGTGCTCGCTACACGCGCATCTTCGCCAGCGCCGGTCCGCAGAATGGCATGATTGATGGTGAGCGTGCCTAGCGAGCTGCGCCTCTCCCAGTCGCTCACGTCCTCACCCAGGCGAGAAGGCCAAGGGCATCTTTGTGCGCTCCAAGCTGCCCTTTGAGCAGCTCGGCGCCATCTGGAACCTGGCCGACACGCGTGCTCGCGGCGCTCTCGACCTGACCGACTTTATCATCGGCATGCACTTCCTGCAGGCGACGATGAACGGCTCGCTGGCCACGCTGCCGGCGCAGCTGCCGCCGGGCCTGTACGAGCAGGCCTCGGGCGGGACTTCGCTGCCGCTGACGGCGCAGAACACGGGCGGCAGCGCCAGCGGAGCCCTGCCACGGCAGCTCACCGGTTCGGGTGGCTACCTGCCGCGCCAGCTCACTGGACAGCAGGGCTACGGCACGCCCGTGTCGCCGCAGGCATCGGGCATCCGTGCGCCAGGCACGGCGAGCTTCCTGTCGCCACAGCGAACCGGCTTTGCTGCGCAGCAGGCGGCCGGCGGCGACTGGAGCGTCTCGGCTGCCGACAAGGCCAAGGCGGACCGCTTCTTCGACGGCCTCGACACGGAGCGCAAGGGCACGCTCGAGGGCCAGGCTGCCGTGCCGTTCTTCATGCAGAGCGGCCTGCCCGAGGCGACGCTGGCGCACGTCTGGGACCTCTCCGACATCACCCAGTCCGGCTCGCTCAGCCGCGAGGAGTTTGCCGTCGCTATGCACCTCATCAATGGCGCCCTCGCGGGCCAGCAGATGCCGCAGGAGCTGCCAGAGGCGCTTATCCCGCCGACATTGCGGGGCCAGAACCTGCCGGCTGCCGTCAACCCGCAGGGTGAGCAGAAGCGCTACGACGCATGCTGTTTCTGTGCTGACGCCGCTCGCAGAGTCCGACACACAGCGCGATCTGTTCAGCCTGATGGACGACGACCCGGCGCCGCTGCCGGTCAATACGGCGTCTGCATTCATCACGCCCGCTGCCTCGGCGCCGGCTCGTGCAGCTGCGCCCAAATCCTCGGGTCCCTTCGACGACGACTTCTTCGGTCAGCCTTCGAACTTCGCCGCGCCGCAATCCGTCACCTCGCCTGTGCTCTCGCCGGCACCGACTGGCACCGCTGCCGCCCGTGCGGCGGCCAGTGCTGCGCCGGCCACGCCGATCAACGATGCTGGCGCCGAGGCGGGCAACAAGCGTCTGGCGATCGACAGCACGCAGAAGAGCGTCAAGGATCTGCAGGCCAAGCGCACCAACCTCGAAGGCAGTGTGGCGTCCAGCGCTAGCAGTATCGCCGAGCTCGAGTCGCGGCTCGCCAGCCTGCGCACGACGCACGAGGCCGAGACGTCGGCCGTGCGTGCGCTCGAGGAGCGTGCGTCCAAGCAGGCGGCAGAGCTCAAGACGCTGCGCGAGGACGTGATCCGCAACGAGAGCGAGCTCAGCGCGCTGCGGGCCGAGAAGGACGAGGTGGAGCAGACGGTGATGCGCGACCGCGAGGATGTGCGCGACATGAAGAAGCGCATGGGCGAGGTGCAGAACGAGACGATTGGCCTCAAGAGCCAGCTGGAGAAGCTGCGCAAGGAGGCGCGCCAGCAGAAGGGCCTCGTCGCCATTTCGAAGAAGCAGCTTGCGACGGCCGAGGGCGAGAGCGAGAAGCTCCGCAGCGACATTGCTGCCGTTGAGGCTGGCGAGACGGCCGCCGAAGAGGTCAAGTCGCCGACCATTGAGCCGATCGGCATCAAGTCGCCCGAGGCCGTGCTGAGCCCGGCGGCAAGCGTCCGCAGCACGAACCCGTTCGACCGCTTCAACCCCGTCTCGTCGCCCTCGTCGCCCGCCACGCACAACAACGCAGCGCTTGCGCTCGGCGGTGCCGCCGCTGGCGGCGCGCTCGGCCTCGGCGCGGCTGCCGCTGTGCACTCGCACGAGGAGGCTTCCTCTACGCGTGCAGTCGGTGCGCCCGAGGGTGCCGATCCTTTCGGTGTGCCGCAGACGTCTCAGGATGCACAGCCCGACTCTCAGGCGCCCGCTGCGCCGTCCGCCGCAATGTTCGACGACAGCTTCGGCAACGACTTTGACGCGCCGGCCGCTGCGCCGCCTGCAAGTAGCCAGGCTGCAGCTCCGGCCGGCTCGGCGTTCGACGATGCCTTTGCCGACTTTGACGACAAGCCGGCCGAGTCTGCTGCTGCGCCGGCGACGAACGACGACACGCTAGCGGTCAGCCGGCCCGATGCGACGCGCCAGCAGTCGTTTGACGACTTTGAGGCCAGCTTTGCGCCGCCTGGAGCCCTTGACAGCTCTGTGGTGCAAGCGCCGGCTGCGGCAACGGCACCGCAGGACGAGGCAAGCGTACCTGCGCCGACTGCCGACGAGATCGCGACCGACGCTGACGTGATCGACGAGGCTCCGACGGCCGACAAGGGCAAGGGACCGGCTACAGCCGACGACGACGACGACAGCTCGGATGAAGACGAGGGCCCTGAAGACCTCGAGGCGCCGCGCACCGCAAGCCCGGACGAGGACGGCTTTGGCAAGAGCACCGACACCAGCACCACCACCGGCGCCGGCGCTGCGGCTGCGCTGCCAGCTGCGCAGAACGTCAACGTCGCGGCGGAGCGCTTCCCGGAGCTAGACGACGCCGACGCGGCTGCCGTCATTGCCGGCTCGACTGCGGGCCAGCCGCAGCCTGCCTCTTCGACTGGCTCGGACGCATTCCTGGCCGCGACGGCGCCGGTCAGCTCGCAGCACACTGGCGCATCGGGCAGCGGCGATGCGTTTGAGGATGCGCTGACTGGCGATGCCACGGCTGGCTTCGGTGCCGCTGCTCCGGCGTCGTCTGCGCCCAGCGGATCCGCAGCACTTGGCGCACCCAGCGCTGCCGACCGCTCCGTCAGCCCGAACAAGACGCGGCGCGCCCCGCCGCCGGCACCAGTGCGCCAGAACAGCATCGCAGCCGGCAGTCCCTTTGACGCGCCAGCCACGCTGCCGCCGACGACTGCTGCGCCGACGCACGCGCCGCAGACGGCCTCGTTCGACGACTTTGATGCGGCTTTCGAGGATCTCGGACCGGTGTCCAGCGCCGCGCCGACGAGCAGTGCGCCGGCCGCAGCGATGCCCGGCTTCGACGATGCGTTTGGCGACGCCGACGATTTTGACTTTGTGCCGAGCTTCGACGCCGCCAAGGCCAGCGCGCCGGTTGCACCGGCGGACGCCTTCAACAGCGCCTTTCCGCCGGCTGCAGGCGGGGCCGACGCACAGACGGGCGGCTTTGGCTTCGACGACTTTGCCGCGTCGTTTGGCGACCCGCCGGCGGGCGCCTCGACGGCCGCAGCAGGCGGCAGCGGCGCCGGCTCGGGCTTCTCGTTTGCCGACGAGTTCAACCCCAGCCAGCCGGCTGCGGCCAGTGCGGCACCGCCGATTCCGGCACGCTCGCAGACGTCGGGCCACAAGGCGACGCCCTCGGGTGCCGAGCCGGACGACGCGGGGCCCGTCAAGAGCCTCACGTCGATGGGCTTTGACCGCGAGAAGGTCATCCGCGCGCTCGAGGCGAGCAACTACAAGGTGAGCAGCAGCGAGCGAAGCGTGTGCGGCGTGGCTGACATGTCCCTGCCCAGGTCGACCGGGCTCTGGAGAAGCTCCTCGCCTCTGCCTAGCCGCCGCCATCTTAGAGACCTGCCTGCTCTGAATGATACTAGATTACAGTGACATGACCGGCCGCATCCCCCGTACGCTCTAGACGACCTTTGGTGCGAGGGCGAGAATCTTGCTCCAGCCGGCCTGGCGCAGCTCGGCGGCGACGACGCCGTTGATGCGCGTGCCCGCCGGCTCGCGCTTGTTGTTGAGCAGCACACAGGCATTGTCGTCGAAGCGCACCGTGCGCCCGTCGGGGCGCGTCATCTCCTTCTTGGTGCGCACCACGACGGCGTGCCGCACGTCGCCGCGCCGCACCTTGTTGCCGCCGGCCGACGACTGGCCGGCGACGTTGGTGATGGGCCGTGCCTTTTGCACGACGACGACGATCTCGTCGCCTGTAAGATGTCGCCTCAGCATGTGGTGCGCGCCAGCACTGGCGGTGTGCGTTTGCTCTGCTCCGCTCTGTCTCCTGCGACAGCACTCTGCCTGGAGAAGCCGCACCCTCGCCGTCCCCATCGCACTAGCCTCCGCCCTGTCCACTGCACTCACCGACGCGCGCCAGGCCATGCCGTGTCGGGTTCTTCAGCACATTCACACACTCGGCCACCAGGGCGCCGGTGTTGTCGATGACCTGCGGGCAGGCGGGCAGGTGAGCTCCAGCACGGCTGCGCTGCGAAGGGCCGGCGCCGAGCAGAGCGCTCGCTGCCCTGCGGCATACGCACTGCCATCGTCGCCTTGAGTCCGAGCATGCTGGGCGGGAGGATGATGTGGAGTAGAGGAGAGCAGCGGCGAGAAGACGGCTCATCGTGAGCGCGGCGGCAGGCTGCAGCCGCGGGACGCGTCACGTGACGCAACTCCGCCGGCGCGCGCGCGTGATGCCCTCACTGCACCCCTCTCGCTTGCCTGCTGGACCGTATTCTGAGCCTTCTGACAACATGATGGATCTGCAGGACAGTCAGCGTGCAGCGGCGCTGCTCACTCTTTGGGCCTGTGCCTGCCGCAGCCTGTGCCAGGCCCTGCTCAGTGGCAGTGCACGCTAGTGCCTGCTCAAGGGCAGCCTGCACCACTGATGGCTTGGCGGCAGCCTATGCCAGCGCCTGCTTGGTGGCAGCGCATGCCACTGCCTGCTTGATGGCTGGCAGGTGCTGACTGACCTGCCGCTGCTCTCACAGCTGCCTGGGAGCTGGTTGCCTCTGGCAGCCATGTTGCAGTGCAGCGCAAGTGCAGAGAGCTCTTGCCATGATGCAATGCCAATGTACAGCACAGTGATGTAGATGTCAGGCAGCAGCGCCTCAAGCATGTGTGATAGGAGTGGGCTGTGCTGCTGCACCCAGCTGTGCAGGCGCAGTGGCATGCTGCCAGTGAGAGGCACACGCTCTGCTGCAGGCGGCAGATGTGCATGCCTGTGCGTGCACTGACAGCAGTGCCAGGCATGGCTGCAGCAGTCTTGCCATGCGTGCACACCGCCTATGTGTGCATGTGCTGCTTCCCACACCATCCGAGGGCCGCATAACTCAGTTGGCCAGAGTGTGGAGCTAATATAAGGTGTTCCTGTGTATTACTCCAAAGCCGGCGGTTCGAGCCCGCCTGTGGTCATTTTTGCCGGTCCGGGGCCGGGAGGGTGCTTTTTTTTCAGCTGAGGAGCATCAGCAGCTCCTTGGCCCTGCGCCTGCTGAGTTTCAGACGCTCCGGGGTGCGGGCAGGCGAGAGAGGCGGCTTAGAAGGTGAAGGCATGCCTCATCCACTCCAGGCGCGCGCGCCGCACGGCCCTCCACCTACGCGCCGCGCGACCCTCGAGCCTGGCTCAGCACCGCCATCTCCCGCATGCTCGTCACATCGTCCAGCTCGCTGCGGTGCGCAGCGCCGAGCCGCCTGCCGTTCCTGGCGCCGGTGTGGCGGCGCTGCGCCTCGACGGTGACGGGCCCCGGCGGCGTGCGCAGCACCATCCCCTCGAGCTCGCGCCCCGCCCGCTCCGGCGACGGCACGCGGCACAAGCACCTCGACGGCGACCGCGGGTGAGTGCTGAATGGTGGTGACTTCTGTGCACACACTGACCCACACACAGCTACCTGGCCTTCACCAAGGCGTCGCTCTTCAAGCTCACACTGCCGCTCGCGCCGCCGTCGGGCGACCCCGAGTCGCCGGCGAGCAAGTCGAGCTCGGCGTCGGCACAGGCCGAGCACGCGGGCAGCACCGACAAGGGCAAAAGCACCTCGGCGACCACGCCCTGGGAGCAGCGCGTCGACGAGGGCCACATCGTCTCGCAGGTCGCCAAGCGCGCCGAGCCGCGCCGCGACGACCGCCGCTCGCAGGACTCGGCCGTCGAGGAGCGCGGCTCGGACCGTGCCGAGGATGAGTTTGATGCCGATGCGCCGGCGCACAGCGTCGTGTTCCTGCTGCATGCCGGGCAGCCGCTGAGCTACGTCTCCAGCTGTGAGTCGCCCGCACGAGGCGTGTCCGGCTTGGCTAACCCACCACAGTGATCCGCGCCGAGGGACCGTCTGCCCGGCCGATCCGCTCAGACAAGCACGGCGAGCACGAGCCCGGCACGCCGCCCAACGACACGCTCGACCGCGGCCTGCCGCCGATCACATTCCACACCCGCCCGCGCGACCCCAAGCGCTGGTCGCCGGCGACGGGCTTCGGCGACTATCTGCGCGACGCCAGCCGGCTGGGCAGCTTCACGATCCGCGTCGGCGAGCGCGAGATCCTCGTCGACGTGCCGAGCTTCGAGGACCGCACGCGCTTCCTGCGCGGCAACCTGTATGCCAAGATGGAGGAAATCGAGCGCATGAGCCGCATCAAGGCCGAGTGCGACAAGCTCGCGCACGTCGGCACGCGCCGCTTCGCCCTCGCCGGTGTCGGCGTGCTCGGCGCGTGGTGGGTCGGCGTGTGCTATGCGACGTTCTTCACCGAGCTGGGCTGGGATGCGATGGAGCCGACCAGTGAGTGGACTGGAGTGAGTGCAGAGTTGCGGAGCTGACTCGCCCCTGCGCCGCAGCCTACCTCGTGTACGTCTCGATGAGCCAGCACGGTCCTCCCTTGCTGACACGCCCTCTGTAGTGGACTGGGCACACTCATGGGCGGCTACATCTGGTTCCTCACCCACAACCGCGAGGTGCGCATGCAGGAAGCATGTCCTATACGCAGCACTGACTGTTGCTGCAGGTCTCGTACCGCGCCGTGCTCAACGAGACGACGTCGAAGCGGCAGCAGTCGCTGTACATCACCCGCGGCCTGAACCTGAATCGCTACGAAGAGCTGAGTGAGTGGACAGCGGCAGCTCGCTGCTAGAGCTTTGCTGACCCTTCTGCAGTCGATGACGCCAAGGAGCTGCGCAAGCAGATCAAGCGTGTGGCCGGCGACGTGAGCGCTGCCGTCTGGCGTGTGCCTGCATTGCGCTGACGCTCTGCTCGGCAGTACGACCTCGAGTGGGACCAGGGCGAGACAGCCTCGGCTGAGAAGTCGAAGCGGGCGCTGGACGTCGTGCGCAAGCGCGAGGCAGCAGATCAGAACGGCAAGAAGAAGGTCAGCCTGCCGTGGCGCCCTCTGCCTTATCACTGCTCACTCGCTGCACCAGGACGACGACGAAGAGGACGAGGATCACGACGACCACGACGACGACACGCACGAGGACAAGGACGCCGACGGCCAGCCCGACGCCACGCAGCGCCCGCAGCGGCAGAAGAAGGACGCGCGTGCGGCGCTCAAGGAGAAGAAGAGGGACGACTAGGGCTCGCGCGACGGCAGCACTTCACACATTCATACACATCCCGCACATCAATACACTCATACATCTGTCCACACTGTGAAGTGAGCTGGCTGACTTCAGACTAGATGGGTGAGGGATGAGGTCAAGGCGCACGGCTGTGGTGCGGAAGCCCAATCACTGCAGCGACACTCCGCATGATGGCGATCTGATCGCATTTGGGGCCGCGAGACTTGACACGCGGAACGGAAAGTGAGGCTGCATCGTCCAGACGGCGAGAGGTCGGACGACGGAAGTAGAGGTACAGCTGCGGAACATGTGTGGTGGCGCCTTCGGAGGCTCGAGATGAGTGGTGTCGGATCAGAGACGTATGCACATGCGAGAACGGGAAGATGGTGACGGCGGAGGTTAGAGGCGTGACTGGAAGCGTGCGAGGGCAGTAGAGCGACTCTCGATGACGCGGAGACGTCAAGAGCAGTCTTGCCGCACCGCGGAGGGCGACAGTGCTTTCTGCGAAGGCTAGTCAGCGCGGAATCAGGGCAGCACATTGAGAATCAGGCTCACACGAAGTCTAGCTGCTGCCGCTGGCCGTCGAGGTGATGGCCGTGGCGAGGAGGTGCGCGGCGACGCCGTTGGCGTCCTCGATGCCGAGCGGCGCCAGCTCGAGCCAGCGACCGGCCAGGTACGCCTTGACGGTGGCAGAGCGCCAGGTGTCGACGTTGGTGGAGGCGCCGAGCGACTTGACTGCCTCGACGAGCTGCTCTTGGCGCACCGTGATCATGATGTCGTTGATGCCCTCGCGGCGCGCCTGGTTGAGCTGGGCGCGCTCGCTGGAGCTGATCGACGCCGGCGCTGAAGCGTTCTCTGCCTGTGCCGACGCCTGCGCGGTGAGAACTCGAGCTTGCTGCGCTTTGCTGGCCCGAGCAGCGCGCTCCTGGACGGCCTTGGCCTGTCCTTCCTCCTTCTGCGCCTTTGCAGCTTGCTTCTCGGAGGCGAGCGCCGCGCGCTGCTGAGCGGCCTTGGCCAGCGCGTCTTCCTTCTGCATCTTGATGCGTGTGCGCGCGGCTTGCTTCTCATCTGCGAGGCGCTGCACATCTTTGATCCAGTAGACCTTTTGACCCCTCGTCAGCCCTTGCACGCTCTCTGGCCTGTACTAGTGGAACGCACGGCCACGTTGCGCACATATCCGAACATGTACATCACCGTGTTGTGTGAAGGACGCAGCGCACGCATCTCTTGCCAGTTGAGTGCGAACTTCTTCTGCGCCTGGCTAGCTGAGAGGTACGACTAGAAAGAGCGTCAGGAGACCATGATGAGCTGAGCTGCGTGGCTGTCTCACATATATCGGCTTGTTCGTGCAGACGTAGCAGAGCATGCGCTTCGAAGCGTTGTGATGGTGGCGCCCGCCCCAATACTGAGTAGCCAACGACAGACCCACCTCTGGCACGTGGAGGAGTGCACTACACTCGTAGCAGGCGAGGCCGCGCTTGATCAAGACAGCCAGACGATCGGAGACGTTGGTTCTGCGAGTGTAGGTCTTCTTCAAACGGTCGTCGCGCAGGCAGCAGCGCTCCAGCACGCGGCCATCCTGTCGCGACAGGAGCTAGATGAGATGGCGTAGACCAGCACACGGACGCGGCGCCAACTCACGATAGCACTGTTGAAAGTGCGGCAGGTATGCGCCAGGCGCAGCGCCGCGGGAAGGCTGAGCGAGTCGTAGATGCGGTCGTAGAGCTCGACGGGTCTGTTGCGCAGGTGTGAGACGGCGGGTGGTGGCAGCGCGAGGCTACAGCAGCGATACGCACAGGTCCAGAAAGGCGCACGGCGGGGCCTCTACGACGGGCTCTTCGACGAAGGCCTTGGAGCGGGACTCCTTGGGCGCCGTCTTCTTGCGCTTAGCGGTGCGCGCCATCGCTGTGGGCGCGAGAGAGGCGAGGTGGCAGGCGCGTGACGTGACGAGGACTAGCGAGAGAGAGGGACAGCTCAGGCAGGCAGGCAGGTGGGGATGGTGGAGGACGGGAAGCAGGAGCGCTGGTTGTCTGTCAGCGCCCACTCGGGCGCAGCGGCGGGCGGCGCAGCGCACGGCCGCCAGCGCAGCGTCGGCACGCCTCCTGAGGCACCGATTCGGGCAAGGCGCCCTCGCGCGCGGCCTGCCCGATAGAGCAGCGCGCCAGACGCGCCACTTAACGCGCTCTCGCAGCGACACGCGTGCGCCAGCCCCCGTCTTCGCTGTCCTCCTTCTCGCTCGCACACGCGCGGCCTCGCAAGGGCAAGCACGGCAGTGCCATCAGCCTCAGCGACACACCGGCACGCCAGTCAAAGTCTCGTTGTTCTATTTGGCTTCGTTTCGTGCTGGCGGCCGAGAAGGACCGCGTCGGGAGGAGGGTAGGGGTGGGGTTTCGTGCATGAGCCACGGCGTGCGTGCATCGTTTTCGAGGGAGGGAGGGGCAAGGGACGTAGGGGCAAGGGAAGAGCGAGGCAGCGACACGGACGACAGCGGCCAGTGCGGGCTGGCCTGCTGGTCGTCGCGGCGGACCTCCGAGTCGTCCGGGAGATGGACAGGATGGCGCGAGGAAGGGGCGTGGAAGAAGCGAAGCCGGGACTAGAGGGGACGCGGGCCGAGATGAAAGAGGTCGTAGGCGGTGCTGTGGCGAGGTATAGGCGGAGTGCTCGTCGAAAGGGCGGTGCGAAGCGGTTGATGAAGCAGAGGCGGAGGGCGCAGTCGCATCACGCCTAGCCGTAGAGCCGCACGATGCCGTCGGCGCCCGCACTGGCAAAGTACGGCGCCGAGGGATGGTAGAGCACGGCCAGCACGCCCTCGCCCGACTTCTTGCGGTGCGAGCTGATCTCCTGCACGCACACGGCGCCCACGTTCTGCCGTGTCTCGCCCGCCTCGCCGCCCTCGCCAGCGCTGGCCTTCGTCTCGCCGCTGCTGACGCCCGTGATGCCGATGATGTCCCAGAAGCGCACGCTGCAGTCGTGCCCGCCCGACACGAGCGTCAGGCCGGCCGGATCGATGTCGAGCGCCGTGACGGCGTCGAGGTGCGCCTGCATGGACAGCACACAATCGCCTGTTGGAGAGTGTCAGTCTGCTGCAGTGCACACGTGTACCTTCGAGCACTCACCCGACTCGAGGTCGAACATCCGGATGTACTTGTCCTCGTGCGCCGTGACAAGCAGCGGCAGCGTCGGGTGGCTGACGCACTTGTTGATCTGCGTCGACGGTGTGCCGTCTGTGGTAGGGTCAGCCACGTGCTGTGCGCGCAACATCGTCACCGCTCCTCACCGTACGTCTCGGTGCTCTTCAGCACGAGCAGCTCGCGGCCCGTCTCAATCTCGAAGAGCTTCACCACCGAGTCCGAGTACGACACGGCGCACGCGCGCAGGTTCGAGTGACAGATGCTGACCGACGTCGGCACAGGCAGCGGGCCAGCGGCGCGCGCGGCGTCAGCGTCGGCCGAGCCCTCGGTGCCGTAGTAGTCCCAGCTGAGGCGCAGGCCCGGCGTGTCCGTGTTCCAAATCTTGACCGAGCCGTCCGCCGAGACGGTGGCGAGCACGTGCGTGTCGTCGCTGAGCGGCAGCAGCGCCATGTCCCACACCGCCTGCGTGTGCCCGGCGAGCGTGGCAATCTCCATGTCCTCAAACGGCGGGTACGGGCCCGTGGTGCGCTCAGGCAGGCGCCACACGCGCACGCTGGCGTCCATGCTGCCGCTGTACATGCGGCGCTTCGCCGACGAGACGGCCACGCACGTCACGGGCTCAGAGTGCCCGCGATATGTGAGGATCGGCTCCGTGTCGGCGCCAGAGCGCCCGGCTGGCTGCTCCAGCGTCGCGGGGTCGAGCCGCCAGAACTTGATCGTGTTGTCGTCCGAGGCGGAGATGGCGTCGGGCCCATCAAAGGCGATAGCGCGCACGGCGTCGAGGTGGTTGCGCAGGACACGCTTGGCCTTCCACATTTGGCTCGAGTTGTCCTCAACTGCGCGCGACGAGGCCGCGGCGTCCTCCTCCGGCTCCATGCTGAGGCTGGCGAGCTCATCTTCGTCCGAGCGCGGCTTGCCGCTAGCCTTCATCAGCTGCGTGACGCGCTCCGACGTCAGGGCCAGAGCGGCAGCGTCCGGAGCGCTGGCATCGTCGCCGTCCTCGCGTGCCCGCCGGGCTTCGCGCTTCTCGCGTTCCCGCTGGCCGACCTCCTTGAGCTTCGCCCAGTCGGACGCGCTGCCGCTGGACGTGTTGCCGGGCGCGCCAGGGCCCCGGTAGACGGCAGTAACCTGGTCCTGCTCCTCGTCGTGCGGCGCGTCGTCCGATGGCAGAGCCGCCACGCCGACAGAGGGCGCCGGCGGAGGCGCGCTGGGCTGGTCGTCCGTCAGGTACGGCGTGACCTCATCGCCGGGCTGCGAGGCGGCATCTTCGCTGAGAGCGGGCGAGGCGCCCAGCGGGTCGCTGCCAGCTGCGCTCTGCGGCGCCGCCTGCTCGTCCTCAATGGTCTCTGACTCGTGCAGCGGGCTCTCGCCCGCCTTGCGGCCCAGCTCGGCGCCCTGCTGCGCCGGCCGAGTCGCCGTCAAGGCGCTGGCCCGCGGCATGCCCTTGGCCTGCGCAGTACCGATGTTGGCAATCGGCCGCTGCAGAATGCCCGTCGGCTGCAGCGCCGGCGCCTGCGGAGCAGCTGCGCTTATGGTCTCTGGCGCAGCTGCCTGGCTCGCCGGCACGTTGTCAGGCAAGATCTTGCGCGGACGCTGCAGCATGCCAGCGGCGCCAGAGGCGGGCCGGTCCGGCAGCGGGTTCAGCGTCGACGCGCTGGTGAGGTACGAGATCTCCTGCAGGCACCTGTGACAAAGGTGTCAGCTTCAGCAGCAGCACCAGTCGCCAGACGACGCACTGCTTCAGGTAGTCGCGGCTCTTGGCCCGCGCGCGCGGGTCCTTGGAGTTGGTCGTCGGCTGCCGCGACAGGGAGCTGGAGCCGTTCATCGTGGCGCCGGGGCCCATGACCGTCGATGAGGCAAAGCCAGCGTTGAAGGTGGATGCACCTCGCGGCTCGGGACCTGCACAAGAAGGTCAGCCTCGGCAGCCGGCTCTTGCGAAGCCGCGTGACGCACCCTCGGACTCTGCCCGCGCAGGCGAGCTGCGGCCGCTGGACGACGTAGCCCGCTCCAGGCCCTGCAGCGTCGCAAACTTGGACGCCGGAATGCCAGTGATGGCGCCAGCGCTCGGTGCGCCTGCGGTCTGCTGACCCGCACCAGAGAGGTACTTGTTCCTGAGGCGACGAATCAGCTCTGCAGACTGAACAGCTATGCAAGCGGCTCACCTCTCCTGGCGCAGCGCATACTCGAGCATCTTGACGCGTCGCATCAGGTCCGTCTTGAGGTTCTCGACGCCGCGCCGCTCGCCCTCGAGCAGCGCAATGCGTGCCTGCAGGTACCGCTGTGAGCACATTCTGCCGAGCAGCACACAGCACTCAGCACTGACCCTCATCTCGGCGCGCTCAATCTCCCACTCGTTGCGGTCGCGCTCGTAGCGGCGCCACTCGCTCTGCAGGAAGTGCAGGATGCCGGCGAGCGTGTACTCGGGCTGCGGCGGCGCGCCGTTGTCGCTCGTGCCCGCCGGCGCGCCCGACGTCTGGCTGCCGCCGCCCGCGGCCGAGCCCTGCGCCTGCTGTTGCTGCTGCTGCATATTCTGTGCGTGCATGCCGTTGGAGAGGAGCGAGCCGGTGGCGCCCGAGTTCATCGCGGCGCCGCCGAAGCCAGCGCCGTTGCTGCCGTACGTGCCGAGGGCGCCCGCGAAGCCGGCAGACATCTGCTCGGGCGTGGGGCACGCCCTGGCTGCGGAGAGGCCGTGCGTGCACGAGCGGTGCGCGACGGCGGGTGTGCGAGGCGCTGCTGCTGCGGATGCGGATGCGAAGAGCACGCGAGTGCGGAGAAGGGAGGAGCTGCCTGAGGGCCGGTGGATGGAGAGATGAGAAGGCCAGTGCGCAAGCGCGCGCGAGATCGCGACTCTCGGCCAGCGGCGCGCGGCGGGCGGCGGGCGACGACGGCACGGCGCCGCTGTCGTACGGGCGGCGCGCCCCGCCGGCGTCTCATCACGCCGCGCATCACGCTGCAGCGCTGCCAGCGGCGACCGCAAAAGGCTTTGCGGGGACGACACGGCGCACACGACCGCGCCGCCAGCGTGAGAGCGAGCACGCTGAGCGGCTGCGACGGCCTTCGCTGCCATCCGCCGTCTCAAACGCTGTAGAGCGAGCATGTGGCGGATGAGAACGGCTCAAAATAATGGACAGGCAAGCACAATGCTAGCTAGCTGCTTTCCGACTGGCATCGGCCGCTCGTCGGCTGGGAGAGCGGCAAAAGCGAGGCCTGATGTGGTCTCCGTCTCATACATAGCCCGGCTGCTGGAGGCTCCAAACTGGCGCCTGCACACGACTTGCGCTAGTTGTCGAGCGCACACGTCTCTATAAAGAGGACACTGCCTTCTTCTGCTGTAGACCTATGACACTCAGGTGCTGCCGTCGAAGCTGCGGCGAGCGTCGGCATGAGTCTCAACGAGCGAGCCGCAGCCAGGCTGAGGGCCGCTCCAGCCAGCCTCAGGCTTCCGCTTCAAGCTGCAGGCTCCTCTGCTGCTGCCACTCGCCCGATTCTCAGGCTGGCCCTTCCTCCAAAGATCTGCTCTCTCAGATCTGTCCTGCACTGAAGTCGGACCCATAGCACACGACGCGAAGTCGCTGCTGCGGCGAACTCATCTCGGGCGCAGAGCGCTCCCCGGGCCGCCGATCCGAGGCCCGAGCGCCCCACATCGGTCTCGCGCCGCATTTTCTTCCCGTCCGAGGTCATGCTCAGCGCCGTCGTGCTTCGAAGCGTGCTCAGCTCGCAGCGGCAGCCGGCCATGAGAAGGAGGCTGCACTGCAGGCAAGGGTCCTGCGGCGGATGGCGTACCTGCGGCGGCGGCGGAGAGCGTGACGCCTGTGGCGCTGCGGCTGCCCGCTGCGAGGGACGCGGCGAGATGCCCTGTGTGGCGCTTGCTGCCCTGCATGCTGCATAGGCGCGAGAGGCGCCGAGCGATCCTGCCGCTGCGGCTGCTCGGCCCGCTGCGGTGCGGTGCGGTGCGGTGTGGAGCGGCGGATGCAGCCATCGTCGTCGCTGCGCCGCCGACGTGCGTGCGAGACCTTGCTGCCTGCTGCTCGCCTGCCCTCGGCTTGCCTCGGCCCCGCCTCTCGGCGCTGCGGCACTCTCGACGCCCGCTGCCATCTGTGCCTGCCGCGGCAATGGCCACTTTGCTGCCTAGGCTCTGCACCGTCGGCGTGCCGCGTGGACGTCTGTCGAGTGTTCGGGCAGAGGAGCGGCGGAGCAGGCCGCTCGAGTTCTTTGAGTTGAGAGGCTCCGCCCCGGCGCGGCACGGCAGCTGCGGGTGCCGAGGGCGCCGCATGGCACGAAGGCGAGGAGGGAGAGAGGGCGGCAGCGGAGGCTTGCGGCGTGCGGCGCGCTCTCTCTCCGCTCCGCCGCGCCGCGTCCCACGGCAAAGGCGCGCTCCAGTCCAGGCCGCCGGGCTGCGCCTTGCGCACTCACCACCACCATCCACCAGCAGCCCGCCATGCCCAAGCGTCCACGCACGCAGGACAGCGCCGGCTCGCGCGCCTCGTTCGTCGCCGCCATGCCGCGCCGCCCGGGCACGAGCAGCAGCGCGCGCAGCTTCGCCAGCGGCCTCTCCTTCCGCAGCGACGCCGCCAGCAGCAGCAGCGCCGCCGCCAGCACCGCCGCCAGCACGGCGCCGTCCAGCGCCGCCGAGCACGCCAGTGGTGCCGAGCCCACGTCGCCGTCGGGCAGCCGCCTGAGCCGCACCGGCAGCCGCGCCCGCCACTTCGTCCACGGCCTCCAGACCTTCGTCGGCGGCCTCACCATGTCGCAGCCGCGCGGCAGCAGCAGCGGCGCACACTCGCAGCAGCCGGCAACGGCGCCGGCTGCGAGCACATCGATGCGCTCTGTTGCCGCCGCTGTGCCCTTGTCCGATGCACCCTCGTCGCCCTCGTCGTCCGGCACGCCCTCGTGGGACGCCACGACCTCCACAAACGCCTCGTCGCCGGCGCCTGCCTCGGCCAGCGGCAGCAGAGGGCGTGCGGTAGCGCCCGCAGCTCCACCTGGTGTGTCGCCTGGCTGGCAGGTCGGCGACGAAAAGTGCATGCAGGCGTGGACAGCCACTGGCCCGCTGCGCGACGACAGCGGCTGGAACCCGCTGCAGTCGTACCCAGGCAAGCGGCTGCCGTCGCTCGTCGCCAGCGACGCCACGCCGTCGCGCCACAGCGCCGAGATGAAGGACGCCACGCCGGCGCCGCCATCGCGCGGCGCCAGCATGGAGATGCGCGACGCTGCGGCGCCCGAGCCGCCAAGCAAGGCGCCGACGCCACGCACGCCGCAGCTGCCGCAGATGGCGTCGCGGCGAGAGAGCGCCATCTCCGTCGACAGCATCGCTGCCGAGTCATCCGCCATCCCGCAGTCTGCACCGCCGGCTCCACTCTCCAAGCCTCTGCCGAATCCGCACGCCGATCCGCCTGCCGCACCAGCGCGCCCGCCTCCCAGCGCACCGCCAACAGGCGCCGCGCCGGCGTACCGAGCCGCGCCGCAGAGTGCCGTGTCTGCTCCGCACACATTCGATCCGGATGCCCAGTACTCACTGGAAGATTACGAGATCCTCGATACGCTTGGTGAGTCGCGCAGCCCGCTCTGCGGCTTCCCACTGCTCACTACGCCTCAGGCACGGGCACCTTTGGCCGCGTGCAGCTCGTGCGCCTTAAGCACCTGCCGGCCAGCCGGCCGGACGCATACTTCGCGATGAAGATCCTCGCCAAGTCCGAAGTGGTGCGGCTGAAGCAAGTCGAGCACATCAACTCGGAGCGCGCAATCCTGAGCGAGGTGCAGCACCCGTTCATCGTCAATCTGCGCCACACGCTGCAGGACAGCCGCAACGTGTACATGATCATGGACTACGTGCCCGGCGGCGAGATCTTCTCGCACCTGCGCCGCGCCGGACGCTTCCCGACGGACGTGACGCGCTTCTACATCGCCACGCTCGTCCTCGCCATCGACTACATGCACCGCCAGAAGGTCATCTACCGCGACCTGAAGCCCGAGAACCTGCTGCTCGACTCGCGCGGATACACGAAGATCACCGGTGCGTCGTTGCGGCTAGAGATGCTCTGCTGCGGCTGACACGCGCCTCGCAGACTTCGGCTTCGCTAAGCACGTCGAGGGCCGCACCTGGACGCTCTGCGGCACGCCCGAGTACCTGGCGCCGGAGATCATCGAGTCGAAAGGCCACGGGCAGGCCGTCGACTGGTGGGCGCTCGGCATTCTGGCGTACGAGATGCTGGCTGGGTGAGCAGTGCCGAGTGCAGCTCTCTTTTGCTAGACTGACACGCGGCGACGCAGCTTCCCGCCGTACTTTGACGACCATCCATTCGGCACGTACGAGAAGATCCTCAAGGGCAACCTTGCCTTTCCCTCGCACGTCGGTGAGTGGCGCTGCCAGCCATGCCGCCAGGATCCGCACTCACGCCACGACAGACTCGGTCTCGCGCGATCTCATCCGCAGCCTGCTCAACAAGGACGTCTCGAAGCGCCTCGGCAACCTGCGTGGCGGCGCCGAGGACGTCAAGAACCACTTCTGGTTCCACGGCGTCGACTGGCGGGCGCTCGAGGCGGGCCACCTGCAGGCTCCCATCATCCCGCGGCGAGGCGCGCCGGGCACGACGGAGAACTTCTCCAAGTACGCAGCGCCTGAAGCCAACTCGATGCCCGGCCTCCGCGGCCGCGAGGCGGACGCTGCGGCGATGGCCGCCGACCAGTACGCGCATCTCTTCCGCGCCTTCTAGGGCGCACACTTCCCGATCCCTTCTCATCTCGCTCTCGTCTCTTTCCTGCCTCACCTCCTGTATCCGCCTCTCTCGTCGATTCCCCCGGTGCCTCTGACCTTCTGCCACCCCCGATGCGCTCGCGTCTCCTTGTTCCCTAACATATCCGCATCGCTACAGATCACCACCGCCTCCATCACCCGCTCCAGCTAATGATCGCCTCCATCCCAGCCCCACTCCTCTCCACACTTGCACGGAATGGCACACACTGAGTCTCATACGCGGGTGACATTTCTCTATGCTGTGGGTGCCTTTGCCGCGTCTCCGTCTTCTGCCAGCTCCACGGCCGCGAGCTTCTCCGTCAGCGCGGCCAGGTCGGTCCTGAGCGAGGACGAGCGTCAATATGTGCACCGCGTGCCGGCGATCCGCGGCAAGACTCACTTCAGCCGCATCAGCGCCGCGAGCTCGCCGTCGACATTGGCAGTCGCCGCCTCCTCCTCGCCCTTCTTGGCCGTCTCCTTGGCCTTGCGCACCACCTCGCTCTGTTTCCGCATCTCCTCGTCGAGCGCCTTCCACTCTGCCGTCGGGCGCTTGAGCTGCGGCGCCTGCGGCGCGGCCTTCTTCGCCGCCTTGGCCTGCTTCATCGCCTGCTTCTTGCTCAGCGTCGGCGCTGCGTCGGCCTTGGACGGCTCGCCGCCGAACTGCTTGCGCCACTCCTCCTCCTTCTTGGCGTCGATCGGCTTGAAGAGGTGCGCCGGCTTGCCGATGCGGTGGCCCGGCAGCAGGTCGAGGGAGAAGCGCGCCTTTGGCGGGTTGGCCGCGGCGGACGAGACCTGGTCGCCGGGCACCACCTTGCCGTTCGTCGTGTCCTCGACGGGCACCGTGCGCGGCGGAGCGTTGAGCTGCGCGCAGATCGCGTCGGCTGTGTCGGGCATGAAGGGGTGCACGAGCGCGCTGAGCACCCAGATGAGGTTGACAGCCACGAGCATCGTGGCGTCGCACTCTGCACGCGAGTTGGCAAACAGGCTGTTGTCCACGCCGGCCTCGACGAGGAAGACGTTGCCGCGCGCCGAGATCTGCATCATCGTCTGCAGGCCCAGGCGCACCTTGACGGCGTCCATGGCGACGGCGTACTGCGAGAGCAGCGTGTTCACATCGCGCACGACGCGCGCAAAGAGCGGCGCACCTCGCTCTGGCGCAGCCTCTTCGCCGCCCGAGTGCGGCGCAGCGCCCTCCAGTGCCTCCGGACCGACGCGCAGGCCCATGCCCTCCGGCAGCTCCGGCAGTACGCCGTCGTACTGCGCCACGAGAAAGCGCAGCACACGGTTGACAAAGTTGCCGAGGTTTGCCAGCAGCTCCGAGTTGTTGCGCAGGATGAACTCGTGCCAGCTGAACTGCGTGTCGCCCGTCTCGGGCCGGTTGGCGAGCAGGTAGTAGCGCCACACGCTGTTGCTGACGCCGATCTGGCCCGCCTTGTCGCCGAAGACGCCGATGTTGCGCGACTTGCTGAACTTGCCCTGCTCGTAGTTGAGGTACTCGGTCGTCGAGATGTGGTGCAGCATCGTCCACTTGTCCTTCGTGCCGAGCAGGCAGGACGGGAAGATGACCGTGTGGAAGCGCACGTTGTCCTGCGAGCGATTGATGAGCTCTCATGGGCCCACCTCGGCATTGCCGACTTCACTCACCTTGCCCATGAACTGGTACAGCTTGACATCCTCCGGCGCATGCCACCACTGCCGCCACTCGTCGGTGTAGTTGGCCGTGATGCTCGGGTAGCCAATCGGCGCGTCGAACCAGACGTACAGCACCTTTCCCTCCATGCCCTCAACCGGCACAGGCACGCCCCACGAGAGGTCACGCGTGAGGCTGAACGGCCGCAGGCCCTCGCGGAACCAGCTCTCGGTGATCTGCCGCGAGTTGGCCGTCCAGGCGCCAGCGTTGGCCGCCTCGCGCGACCACGCCTCCGTCAGCGGCTGCAGCTTGTCGGCGCGCAGGAAGAGGTGCGACGAGTCGCGCGGCACCGGCGAGCTCTTGCAAAGCTTGCAGTGCGGCTTGATGAGCTCGATGGCGTCGAGCAGCTGGCCGCAGCCGTCGCACTGGTCGCCCCGTGCGTCCTGTCCAGGTACTCGCCATCAGCGTCACCAACGGCAGTCGCTGCGCCCGCACTCACGTCATAGTTGCACTTCGGACACGTGCCCTCCACGAAGCGGTCTGCCAGGAAGCGCTGGTCCTTCTCGCAGAAGAGCTGCGTCATGGAGCGCTTCTCGAGGTAGCCGTTGTCGTACAGCTTGAGGAAGATGGCCTGGGCGACTTCCGTCTGCTTGGGCGTGCTGGTGCGGCCGAAGTGGTCGAAGCCGATGTTGAACCACTCGTACACGCTGGCGTGCAGCGCGTGGTACTTGTCGCACAGCTCGCGCGGCGTCACCTTGTCCTCGAGCGCCTTGGTCTCGGTCGCCGTGCCGTACTCGTCGGTGCCGCAGATGTAGAGCGTGTTGCGGGCGCGCGAGCGCGAGTAGCGCGCATACACGTCGGCGGAGAGGGTGCTGCCGATGATGTTGCCGAGGTGCGGCACGTTGTTGACGTAGGGCAGGGCGCTCGTGATGAGCACGTTGCCCTCGCCGGCGCGCGGCAGGATGACGGGCGCCTTCTCGCCATTCGCCGGGCGTGTCGTCTTGAAGAGAAGCGCCGGCGCCTCGGCGATGCGGCGCGAGCCCGCGGCGTCTGGCGCAGGGGCGGCGGGGAACGGCGAGGCCATGGGTGCGCAGCGGGTGGGTGGTGGTGGGTGCGAGGCGAGGTGTGGGGCCGGCACACGACCACGGACGTGCACGAGTCAGGCAGAGCAGGCGAGGGCGCAAGAGAGAGGAGCCGCGGCACTTGCACGTGCGGGACTACAAGTGCTGGCGGATTCTTGTATTGCCGGCACGCTGTCGACTTCAACTGAACGATGAGAAGTTGTAGTCGCGCTGCACAAAAAAGTTGCCGCGAGGGGCTCGGCTCGAAGAAGCCTCGCCCCGCTTCCTGTTCCTGTTCATCTCTCACTCCACCCATCACCACGTTCCACACTCGCCCAGCATGGCCAAGCGCAGGAAGAAGACGCGCACGCACCTCAAGGGCGTGAGTGCTGCCGTGTACGCTGCGCTTCTTGCACCACTCACCCTGCCACACAGCCGAACAACTCGGCCAACACCGCCACGAATGCGCCCAAGAGCTTCGTCGTGCGCGCCGGCAAGGTCGGCCGCAGCGCCGCCGCCCTCGTCGCCGACGTGCGCAAGACGATGGAGCCCAACACGGCGTCGCGTCTGCGGGTGCGTGTGGTCGCACTCTTGCTGGCCTGACCAGCTCAGCTGACACCGCCTCTCCCTCAGGAACGGCTGAGCAACCGGCTGCGCGACTTCGTCGCCATGGCCGGCCCGCTCGGCGTCACGCACCTGCTGCTCCTCAGCCAGCCGGACAAGGCAACGAGCCAGGCACACCTGAATCTGCGCATTGCGCGTGCGCCGCGCGGCCCGACGTGCACCTTCCGCGTCAACAAGTTTGCGCTGGCGCGCGACGTGGCGGCGGCGCAGAAGCGGCCGCGCGCGCCGGGTGGAGAGTTTGGCACACCGCCGCTGGTGAGTAGAGGTGGGAGCGAGAAGCCAGGCGCTGCAGGATGGAGAAGTCTCTTGGGCGCGAGCCGTACTTATGACTCTGCCCCACTGCTGACCCGCGCTTCTCAGCTCGTGCTGAACAACTTTGGCAGCCAAGAGAAGCACGTGAAGCTGCTGGTCACCGTCTTCCAGGGCCTCTTTCCGCCGATTCAGGTTCAGTCTGTGAGTGTGATGCTTCGCTGCAGCTAGAACTCGCCTGACGCAGATGCGCAACTAGATGCCGCTCTCGCAAGCACGCCGCATCGTGCTGCTCTCCTACGACAGCGCGACGGGCACCATCGACTGGCGCCACTACCTCATCACTGTGCGCCCCGTCGGCGTCACGCGGAGAGTGCGGCGAGTCATCGAGGGCGCGCACAGCGGGGCACGCGGACGCGTGCCAAATCTGGCAGACGCCGCCGACATCTCGGCGTACGTGCTCGGTCGGACAAGCGGCGGCGACGGCTTCGAGACCGATGCGTCCAGTGCGTCGGAGGCTGAGAGCGACGTGGAGGGCGTGCCGAGCAACCAGGTGGAGCTGCCGGCCAGCTACGTCGGCCGCGGCAACGTGGGCGGCGAGAAGCGCGCCGTGCGGCTGCGTGAGCTGGGCCCGCGCATGGAGCTGCGCTGCATCAAGATTCAGGAGGGCATTCCGGGCGCGGGCAAGAAGGGCGAGGCGCCGGGCGAGGTGCTCTGGCACGACTATGGTGAGTGGCGCTGTGCGTGTCGCCTGCTCGACGCTGCTGACGCGCTCATCGCTGTGCAGTCAAGAAGACGCGCGCCGAGGTCAACGAGATGTCGCGCGCCGCCGCATCGCGCAACAAGGTCAAGGCCGAGCGGCGCAGCGAGCAGGAGGCCAACGTAGAGCGCAAGGCCGCCGAGGCTGCTGCCCGCAAGACAGGCGGCAAGCGTGGCAAGCGCGATGAGCCGCAGCCTGGCGACGAGGCGGACAGCGAGGAGGGCGATGAGGCGCTTGACGCGATCGAGAGTGATGAGGAGGATGAGTTCGCGTACGAGGACCGCATTGCCGGAGGAGGAGAGCCAGGCGACGGCGACCTGTTCGACGATGAGGGAGCTGCGGAGGATGAGGATGAGGACCTCTCCATCGGCGGCTCAGAGGACGAGGATGAGGATGAGGACGACTCGGACCTCTCGCCAATCGAGGTCACGGGCCAGGACTACGACGAGTCCGACTCGGACGACGCACAAGAAGCGCCGCGCAAGATGCCGCGCGACGGCAGTGCAGCGCGTGGGCGAGGCCGGGGCGGCTTCCGTGGCCGGGGCGGCATCGCGAGGGCACACGTCGGGCGTGGAGATCGGCCTGGCAGCGGCCGGGGCGGCGCAGGAGCGCGGGGCGGCAGGCGATAGATGTAATGTAACGGTCCGTTCACTCAGTCACACTCGCGAGGAGGGGCCCAGACTGAGCTGGCAAGGGGTAAATTGGTGGGACGCAGACGCGCGACAAATATGGGGCAGGTATGGCGGGAGGGAGCAGCGAGCAGGAGAGCGGTATGGAGCATGAGGTGTGATGGGTCTCTAGCGGCGCAGCCCCTCGCGAATCGTAGCGGAGCGCAGCTGGGTGCGCAGAAAGGCGGCACGCTCGTCGTAGCGCAGGCGCACATCTTCTCGTCGTCGCGCAATGCTCGCCAGCTCAGCCGCGAGCTGGCTCACCTCGGCGTCCGCCTCTGCATCGTCGCTCGTCGCGCTCGTGCCGTCGTCCGAGACGAGGCTGTGAACGGAGTTGCGATGCGCCATCGGCGGCGCAGTGAGCAGGTTGCCGATGCTGCTGCGGCGCGGAGCCGCTGGAGGCGTGGTGACGAAGCCAGCTTGCTTGCGCAGTGCCGGCTGGCTCGCTGTGCCGTGCAACATCGAGCGTGCGCCGTTGCTCTCGCCTGCGACTGAGCGCTGGCTTGCTGCGTACGCGCGCTGCAGCTGAGCATGCGTGAGGGTATACTGGCTGATGGCCTTGTGTTCGAGCGCGGCAAAGGAGCCTAGCAACCGTTTGCCTTCCTCCTCGACGATGGCCACCTCAGCCTTGAGCTCGGCGGCGGAGCGGTCGGCATTCTCGACGCCCAGCATCATCGCTGCGCCGTTGCTGGACGAGAAACCCGAGTCGCCGGAGCGCGAGCGCATCGCAGAGCCTGGCCGCGCAACAGCGCTCCTGGGGCCAGGCTGCGGCGATGCAGCGTTATGTATCGAGCGTGCATAGCGTGCAGAGGCCACCTCCGCCTCGAGCTCCTTTTGGCTCGCGCGCGTGCGTGAGCTGTTCGAGCGCCCGAGAGTCGTCGCCGTCTGCCAAAGACTGCGCGAGTCGGAGCGTGCAGATGACGGCAACATGAGGCTGTCGCCGCTGCGCATCGATGAGCTGCCGTGGCCGTCGGTGCTCTGTGCTCCGGCCCAGCTCGATGGCCCGCTCGTGGGCGGCGCAGAGCGCGGATGTGGGTGCGACGTGGTGCGGCCGCGCATCGACAAGACCGACGACTTGCGGAAGATGGTGGCGAAGTTGCTCAGCGATGAGCGCGTCGAGCGCATGGAGCGGTGCGAGGATTCAAGATGCAGCGGTGGCGGCGGCTCCGCGGCAGCTGAGTGAAGGGTGAGCAACACACCGCAGCAGCAGACCCGCAAGACTCACGCTCCGATTTCCGTGCGGCCGTCACGCCGCTCACTCGATGCTCTCGCGGCATCTCCAGTGCGCCTTCGCCCTGCGCTCCCTCGAACACGGCCTGCCGCAGCTGACGATAGTCTTCGTCTGCGAGCAGCCCGTCGCCATGCGCCACAGCCAGCTCGTTCAGGCGCGCCGCGAGCGACAGGCCGTCCCCGCTGCTGCTCTGCGCATGGCTGACGCGCGGCTTCGGCGACCGCCCGGGCGTCGAGGCCGTGGCAGGGCGTGGTGTCTTGCCCGACGCTCGCACAGTGCCGCCAGCAGCGGGGAAGCGCTGCGACATAGACGCATCTGTGCCGCTGCCGTAGCTCTCTGTGCTGCGATGCGACGTGCTGGGCGTCATGAAAGCGCGAGAGGAGCTCGACGGAGCCCGCGGCGTCGATGTCGGCGAGGAGAGGGCCGAGCTGATGCCCGTGCGCAGGTGCGAGTCGCCAGAGAAGGAGTACGAGACGGAGTTGTTGCGCGAAGGCGACCGCGGCATCAAGTCTTCGAAGGCGTACGACGAGCCGCTCGCGCTGTGACTGTGCGCTGTGGAGAGGGACGGCAGGCCGTCGCGCGAGCGAACCACGGACGAGCTGGCCTCCCACGCCGACGCCAGCAGCGAGCCGCCCGTGGGCGACAGCGCGCCTTGCCGCGAAGCTGGACGTGATGGTGGCCGAGCCGGCGAGCTGGAACGCTCGCCTCGCGGCCGCGGCGACGCGGGCATGATGCGCACGGGCGCGCCGTCGTCGAGCGGTGCGACGGCGACGCGGTTCGGCCGCCAGGTCAGCGCCTCGTCTGCCGGGTCGGACTGCTCGCGCGGCCGGATGAAGGACGAAGGCGGCGGCACTGATGACGGCGCATCAGACGAGATGCCCTAGCTTGCCACTCGCACTGCGCACACTCACTGGTCGTCTTGCTGCTCGACGCCGGCCGCCGCGGCTGCGGCTCCTCGCGGCCCGGCAGCTCTGCGCGCCGCTTGCTCCGCTCGCGGAAGCTCAGCAGTGCCCCTCGCTTGCTCTCCGTCGGGCTGATGCCGGCCGTGCTCGACGGCAGCGGTGCGCCCTGGATGCCCACCGCATCGCCAGCGCCGGCACGCCTACGCCGCGCCGCGCCGTCCGAGTACGAGACATCCTCGGGCGACGCGTACGACGTGCTGCCGCTGGGATACGCCTCGGAGCCCGACGGCGACGAGGAGACGGAGCCGCGGCGGAAGAAGGCGCGCATGCGGGCAGCGCCGGCCGGCCCGCTGCGCAGGCGAGGCTCCTAGAGGCCGAGCGGGACGAGATGCGGCCTGGACGCGCTGCAGTGCCGCACTACGACGAATGACCGCAAGGCGAGGTGCGAGAGTGGACGCAAGCCGCTGGCGCCGCTGCGACTGATGCGATGAGATGAGCAGCGGCCGAGAGGAGCGATGGTGGATGGGACACAGGAAGCAGCGGAGAGGAAGCAGGATCGCCGCCTGCGCCTTGCGCTGCTCGGCCACGCCACGCGACGCTCGCGCCGCCGCGCGCGGCGCGCCATCCGCTCACCGCATCCGTGCGCGCACCGCAGCGGGACGCCTTTGTCTCAGCTCTCGGCTCAGCCACAGAACTCTGGAACTGCTACAGCTGCAGCTTGCAGCATGAGGATCTCGCTCGGCTCTGTGCGTCTGGATCAGCTCCCCGGACCAGCCAGCGAGCGGCCGTTGCGGGTACATCCGACGCCTCGGTCCGCTGCACTTTTCGCGCGCTGCGCCCGCACGTCAAAGGAAGGCTCGGCCACTGAGCCTTGAGAGTGCGGCTTGCACCCCTCGCCCAGTTCCGCGGCCTGTGGACACCTCGCAATCGTCCCGAGGCTCCCCTCCTTGACGGCGGCTCTGATTCTCACAGCGAGCTGGTGCTGGCGCTTGCAATCCGGAGCAGCGTCGAGTCAGCCTAGTGATAGAACGGCACATAGACCAACTCACAGCGCCACTCGCTGCCTCCTGAGCCTCATCACGCAGACGGGCCGGCTGTTGACAGCGCCAGCCACGGCGTAGCACCTCACATCTCCTGTCCTTTCCGGTCTGCTTCAGCGCTGCTGCCGAGAGCTGCGGCCGCAGCGGCCATCCTTTTGAGGTGGAGCAAACGCGAAATGCCCCTTCCTTGCGGCCGGAGCGCGGATGCAGCATCGGGCGTCTGCGCGCCCGATGCGCTGCGGCCGAAAGCACACGCTGCGGTACGGCACATGGCCTGCCTCTGCACCACATCCGCCTCGCCTGCGCAGCTGCAGAGCATCAAGACGCGCATCGGACCGGACCGGAGACGAGCGGAGAGAAGCAGACGAAGCGGCAAGGACGAGCTCGGGATACTCGCACCGTCTCCTCGGCAGCCGCAGGTCGATGCGCTGCCGCATCACGTTGGCGCGCCGCGATTTCTCCTCGAGCATGAGACGCCCTGCGGCGTGCCGGGCCGGCGCCGGCGGCAGCAGATGAGGCGGCGGGTCGTGCGGCCGCTAACGATGGAATAGCGGCACGACGAGCTGCAGCACATGCAAGCGGAGATTTTGCTTTTGTCGTCCGTGCTGACGAGCGCATGCTCTCCACAGCACCAGCGAGGCCATGCGCGGCATCGGCCACCGGCGTGCTGCTCGGCCACTAAAGTCGCAATCTACATCTCAGGGCGCCGTCCGCACTGACGGGCGTACTTATTCAGGGCACCGCCCGCCCGCCGGCCGCGCCTTGCGCCCTCTCGCACTTACCCCTCAACGACGACGACGAGCAGCGGCCCGGATCATCGGCCCGGCACAGCCTGCGCAGGCAGAGAGGAGCACATTGGCTTGCGCCCGAGCAGCGTATAAGAGGACGAGCAGCGCCAAGTGCAGCTGGGCCATCTCACCACCAACCGCCAGCATGTCACCCACCGCCGTTCCTCCCACGCCCGGCCTGCAGCCGCCGCCGACGCCGGGCCTCGAGGCGCCGCCGACGCCGCGCCTGCTCTCGGGCATGGCGCGCATCCAGGGCGACGAGCTGCCCACGTTTGCGCCGCCCGAGCTCGAGGGCAGCATGGATGTGTGTGCCATCGTCGACAGCCACGTGCGCCACTCACCCGAGCAGCCGTTCGTCGTGTGGAGCGGCGCCGACGGCCGCGACTGCGTGCTCAAGGGCAAGGAGTGGTTCCCCGCCATCTTCTATGCCGCGCGTGTCATCGGCCGCGAGTTTGGCGTCGACCTCGACGCCGGCGAGCGCTTCCCGCTGCACGAGCGGCCTATCATCGCCATGCTCACCTCGGCGGAGCATCAGCGCTACTACACGATGGGTCAGTGCTGCAGCGCTGCGAGTCCAGACCGTTCGCTGACTCTCTCACAGCGATGGGCATCATCCGCGCCGGCGCCGTCGTCTTTCCAATTGCCAACGGCAACTCTGCGCCGGCCATCGCGAGCCTGCTCCGCGCGCGCAAGGTCGCAGCGCTCATCGTCGATCCCGACGGCCAGGCGCCGGAGCTCGCCGCCACGCTTGAGCGCGCGCTGGCCGAGGTCAAGGCCGACGACCCGCAGCACGAGATCAAGCGCATCGTGATGCCGCCGTGGGACGACATGTTCTCGCCGAAGCACCTCGATGCACCCTTCCTGCCTCCCATGCCGGTGCTGCCGATGGACGCGCTCATCCTCACGCTTCACTCGTCCGGCACCACGGCGTTCCCCAAGCCCGTCGACCTCAGTCTGCACAGCTGGCTGTGCGCCTCGCGCGCGCGCAACTGGCTCTCGATGCCGTTCGGCGGCCGGCGCACCTTCCTCGGCGCCATGCCGCCGTATCATGCGCTCGGCGTGCTGCTCTCGCAGTCCGTCACCATGACGGCGGGCTCCACCGTTGCGCTCTCGCCGCCGAGCCAGGCCTGGGTGAGTCTGCTGCGAGAAGCCAGCGAAAGCGCAGTCCTGACGGTCTCCTGTGTCCCAGCCGCCCTCGCCGGTGACCACCCTCAAGACAATGGCGCAGCTCAGATCGGACGTGACAGTCGTCGCGCCCATCTTCTTGCAGCTCTGGGCGCAGGACGACCGCGCTATCGAGGTGCTCAAGCGGATGGACTCGGTGGGCTACGGCGGCGGGCCGTTGAGCGAGGCCGCAGTGAGTCGCTCGTCAGCCGCTTCTCGCGCCACTTGCTGAGCGTGCATCGCAGGGCAACAAGCTCGCCGAGCGTGGCGTTCGGCTGGCGAACATCTACGGCTCGACGGAGGCCATGGTCTTCACCATCCTGTGAGCTCGCTGATACGCTTGCTTGAGCTCGCCTGCTGACGCGCACTTGCAGCGAGCCTCTTGAAGGCGGCAAGATGTGGGCGTGGAGCAAGCGTGCACCCGCTGCAGACGTCATCTACCGACCGACGGGCGTGGAGGGCGAATACGAGATCGTGCTCGCCGTGAGTGTCGGAGCGCTGCGTGACGCAGGGTGCGCCGCTGACTGGCGCGGCAGGGAAACGAAAACTACCGGCCCTCGATGTTCAACGACACGTACATGGGCAAGAAGGTGTGGGCGATGGGCGACATCGTCGTGCTGCACCCCAAGGACGAGAACTACTTTAAGATCATCGGCCGCATGGACGACCAGATCATGCTCTCCTCGGGCGAGAAGGTAAGTGTCAGACGGCGCATGCCAGAGCGAAAGCACGCTCACGCCTCGCCCAGATCAACCCTGCGCCGCTCCTGACGATGATCCAGGCCCACCCGTCGATCTCCGGCGCCGTCTTCTTCGGCCGCGGCCGACCGTTCGCCGGCGTCATCGTGGAGCCAGCGGGCGGCAAGACCATCGATCCCGAGGACGACGCCGCCATCGCTGCCTTCCGCCGCGAGATCTGGCCGGTTATCGAGCGTGTCAACGCCTATGCGCCCGCACACGCGCACATCTGGCGCGAGATGATCGTCGTCGCCAGCCCGTCGAAGGCGTTCACGCGCACGGGCAAGGGCTCGCTGCGCAACGGCGCCATCAGCAAGGAATACGTGCCGGAGATTGAGCGCGCCTATGAACGCTTCGAGGAGGCCAGCGTCGCCGGCGCCGTCAGCGTGCCCGCATATTGGGATGAGACGTCGGCGTACACGTACATGCAGCAGGTCGTGGCTGGCGCTCTCGAGCGCGATGTGTCGTCGCTCTCAGACGAGGCCGACATCTTCCAGGTGCTCGGCGCAGACTCGCTGCGCGCCACGGTCATCCGCAACACCGTGCACTCTGCGCTGTCGAGCAACACCGCGACCAAGGGCCTCCGCGTGCCTGCTAACTTCGTCTACGACCACCCGAACATCCGCTCGATGGCCGCCGCCCTGCTGAGCATTGTCAAGGGCGACGACGACGGCAAGGACGCGGTGCAGCGCAAGCTGACGGCCATGACTGAGCTGATCGGCAAGTACACGGCGGCTTGGCCCAAGCACGTAGGCACGAAGCCGACGCCGCAGCGCGAGACTCTGCTCGTTACTGGTGTGAGTCCTGGCGAACTGTGTCTGCTGCATGTGCTGATCCTCTGCCACAGACGACCGGTGGTGTCGGCGCCCACATCCTCGAGCAGGCGCTGAAGAGCGAGTCGATCGAGAAGGTCTTTGCCGTCAACCGCCCAAGCCAGGCGCAGTCGATCAAGGCGCGCCACCAGGCCACCTTCACCGACCGCGGCCTCGACGTCGCGCTGCTGGACAGCCCCAAGCTCTCGTTGCTCGAGGCACGCCTCGAGGACGGCCAGACCTTTGGCCTGCGGGACGACGTGTACGCCGCCCTGCGAGACGAGACGACTTGCATCTATCACGTGCGCCGCCCGTACCCCGCTCCTCGCCCTCTCTGCTGACGCTCCTGTGCAGGTCGCATGGCGCCTTGACTTCAACCTCAGCCTGTCGAGCTTCGAGGGCAGCATCGCCGCGACGCGCAGCCTCATCGATCTTTCGCTTGCCAGCCCGCTAGCGCGTCCGCCGCCCCTCATCTTCACGTCCAGCATTGGCACTCTCGCCGGCTGGAAGGATCCGGCCATCGCCGTACCGGAGGAGCCCCTGAACGATCTCAGCATCTCGCTCGGCGCCGGCTATGGCGAGTCGAAGGCCGTCACCGAGCGCATCCTCCTCGCCGCCGCCGAGCAGACGCCGATCGACACGCTTTCCGTGCGTCTGGGACAGATGAGCGGCTCCACCACTTCCGGCTGCTGGGCAGTGACCGACTGGTGAGTGAAGAATTTTCTCCATCGAGCGTCCATCAGACTCACACCTCCGCGCCAGGCTGCCGCTCATCGTCAAGACTGGCAGCGTGCCCGAGGTCGCCTGCCTGCCCGAGGCCTCCGACAGCATCGCGTGGCTGCCTTCCGACGTCGCCGCCACGGCGCTGCTCGACTTCCGCTCCTCCATCGGCTCTGAGCGCGTGCTGAACCTCGTGCACCCGCGCCCGGTGCCCTGGACCGCCGTGATGAGTCCGATCGCCGAGGCCTTGAAGGTGCCGCTCGTGCCGTTCGCCGAGTGGCTCGCGCGCCTCAATCGCTCGCCCGAGACGCCCGAGGCGATGGAGCGCAACCCGGCGCTCAAGCTGCGCGGCTTCTTTGCCGGCTCGCACGCCAAGGCACAGCGTACCGCTGCACTGCTGAAGAGCGCCGGATCGACGGCTCAGCCCGAGGCCTTCACAGGCGTCACGCTCAGCACGACGAAGGCGCAGCAGCAGAGCAGCGTGCTGCGCCAGGCGCCGCAGCTCGGCCCCAAGGCGGCGCTGGCGTGGCTCCACTTCTGGCGCCGGAAGCAGTTTGTTCTCTAGCGTCTCGATTCGTCTCAATTAATGCCTATAGTCTATTGTGTGTGCATCGTGCAACGGGCAACTCGAGGAGCATGTCGCGCCGAGCGCGCGGAAGCGGTGAGAGGCCCTTGATGAGGACGAGCCAGCCAGGTTAAAGCGCCCAGCTACGCACGCGACACTCACGCACCCCTCAGCTCCTGATCACCAACTACCAACGTCGATCCTTCGTGGCTCGACTCCCCGAGTGAGCGCTCATTTCTCAGCGTGTAGTCGCTATTTGGTGGCCTACTCACGTTCTCTGTCGGACGCAGGCGTGGAGCCTTCGCACCGTCGCTCTTGGTGTCTGTCCTCGAGCTCGAAGCACCGAAGGTCGAAAATAGCGTATCGCAATGTCATCCTCGCCACATGGCTCCGCGGGCATCGCGGAGCAGATCTCGCAGCACTTTCGACAGTTTCGAGACTCTCGGTGCCCAGACTGGGAGTTCGACGACTTCCTGATGCGAATCATGAGCGGTCCGAACGCTCCTTACATGCGCCCGATCAAGCTACCGCCAGGCGTGGTGAACGGCTTCATGCGGCTGTGAGTCAGTCTTTCGCTTGCCACCCATATGACTGACAGGACAAGTCCGCCTGAGGTGCACTCGGTCATCTTTCAGGAGTTCGTCGACAACGAGTACGACGGTAATGTAGACCCCTGCAGGCTGACGCATGTCTGTCGATACTTGTTCTACGGTCTTGTGCGTTTTCTGGCACCTTCAGACTTGCCGGGGTGATGCGTGCTTACTTCAAGCGATGCTCGGCAGCCAGACATGGTGAGGCCGCCATCGCCCAAGGTGACCATAGTTCCTAGGGAACTGGTCCATACGGAAGTCAACCCGGAGAGACACATCGTACTGGACATCCCGCTGCGCGATGACAAACGCCAGCAATGGCTTCATCGCATGCAGAGAGCGTGCTTCGGGTGTCCGAGCGTGCTTCGTGACTTGCACCACGACAAGGTGTGGTGCGACGACGACGATCCTATCCCGCCATACAAGAACACAGAAGAGCCGTACTATAACGAGGTCGATGTAGATCCCGGAATGGGTTATGTTCACGAGGCGTCACGGAGGATCCTCTGCATGAAGTGCTTACTGAAGCGTCACTATGTCAGTCGTCTCTTCGATACTGCCCCCAGCAGGTCACAGCTAAGGTCAACTACTGATATTTCAACCATTACTCGCAGGCCCATGTGCCACTGGACTATGCCAAGTCATCGTATCGACTCACTGATGATGAGATCGAGCAACTACAGCGTTCCAGCACGGTGTCCATGCGGGCCGCTGTCCACAGAAAACATGATTATCCTGTGCCAGTACGTCTCAAGCAACGTCCGAGCCGTGCACAGCGACTGAATCTTCGGCAGTGGTACTGGATCGGAGATGTCGTACGTGTGCGTAAGGTCCGCGAAGCAAAAATGACGGCTGCGCAGAAGCGTGCCCACGATAAGCGCGAGGCCGTCAAAGAAGCTGATCGAGAGGCGAAGTACCGAGCGCGATGCCACGAGAGGAGCAAGGCGTTGTTACAGTGTGCGTGTCGCTGAGCGTACAGAGGGCTCAGAAGGTGGCTTACTGAGATGTACTCATACGATCTCAAGAATGTAGGAGCTGCTCGAGCCGTGCGCTTCCATGTAATGAAGTCTTGTCGTTTCCATATCTTCTGCTGTGAACGAGTGTTCAGAGAGCGTCGCTCAATGCAGTACGCGCAACTCCTCGTTTCGAAACGACACGCGCCCGTTTTGCAGTCACAGCACGCACACGTCGCTCTCGAGGACCTCGCCGCCTTGTGATTCAGCAGGCGAAGCGACTTCGCTGCGCGGTGCACTTCTGCTCATGGCCAGACATCACCATGCCGCTCAGCAGTGCTCCGCTGTTCGCTTTGTCGCCTCCCTCTGGCACCGCTTCTCTCTCTCTAAGCAAGCGCGACACATCCCAACAGCACGCTATGCATCGCCTGTGGGGACTGTCAAGGCAGGCGAAAGTGCCGTCGTTCATTGCCTGTTGGGACAGGAGCATTCCGTGCCACTCTGTTTCCTAGCTCGATACCACTCAGCGCGGACGACCGAGGCCGGCGGGACTCTGGTTGATGAGGCGTCGGCAGCAGTGGCGCGTGCAGCCAACGAACAGAGCGCCGACTTGACATGCGTTGCCTCTCGCCACCACAATCGCTCCCCAGCTCATCCCATCTTCTCTCCAAGGTAAGCGCTCTCTTGTCGACCTTGTCGTCTCGCGCTGGCTGACGCTATTCGACACAGCCATGAAGAGACCTCATTCAGCGTCGCAACACGCGCTGAAAAAGGCAAAGAAGCTCGCCTACCGTCCAACCGTCGCAAGCATCTCGGAGCTGATTTCGCAGTTGTTTGAGAGACAATCTTGCTCGCCGAAGACTCGACCTGCGTTCAACGACGAGCTGAGCGAGCTGATGAGGCATCCGAGGGCTTCCTACATGAAACCATGTCTGGTGCCGCAAGGCAGGACGAACGGCTTTTCGCTGCTGTGAGAGCGAGACATGCTCTTGATGTCAGCGCGCATGCCTGACCCCAACAGCCCGTTCGAGCTGTACGCCAAGATCCTCAGACTGCTACCAAGAGAAAATCACATGCGCCTCCTCTACGTAAGCCGCTACTTCTTCTACACTGTTGTGCGATGAAATTGCATCCTCTAGTTGCCGCAAATGCTGACGCAATGCCATCCTCGGCAGCCCATCATGCTCCCAATGCCAAGGCCGCGAGCAATGGAGTACCGGAAGGGAAGCTTGCGCGTTGATGGGCCGGTCGATCTCAGAGTGCCGGAGCACCAGGACACGCGAGTGAGATACCTCATCGCCGCGGCAAAGGCTTGTTTTGCGTGCTTCAAGATTCTCTCCCGCGTAGCGCATCAGTCTCTGGAAAGCTATCGCTGGGTGGCAGAGGCAGAGGAGCCTTTTGTTCGCGCAGTACCTGCCAGTGCGCACCTCGGACACGTCCATGTACCGTCCCGACAAATCCTCTGCGGATCGTGCGCCACGCATCGCCAGTGGGTGAGTTCGAATCGCAAGCGAAGAATTCGGCGCTCTGCTGCACGCGAACGGGCGCATAGTCGTCAATCCGCTCACCGAGCCCCCGTTCGCTCAGGCCATCGTGACCGTCGCGTATGCCAAGGCATCCCACGGTCTCACTGCTAAGGATGCCAAAAGGCTGCAGGACTCCAGCGCAGTTTCGACGATGGCTTATGTCCATGGCAGGGCCAGACAGAGACCTGTACGTCGGTGGAAGTACGGGACTTGAGCGCGGACTGAAACAACTCCTGCAGTGCTACTGGATTGGAGACGTCGTACGAGTCCGAGAAGAAGGCGAAGCCGAGAAAGAAGCAAAGCGAAAGGGAAGACGCGAGGGCAAAGCAATCAGCAAGGCAGTTGCTCGGACTATGGAGAAGGAAGTCGCTGCCAAAAGGGAACGCCAGCAGCGCGAAGCTCAGGAGGAAGCTGCTCGTGCAGAGAAGTATCAGAGGCGTTGGGGCTGTGCCACAGCTCAAATTTTCGGTCAGTGTTGCATCAGCACTAGCAAGTGAGGTGGCGCCCGCATACGTGCTAAGCTGATGTCTTTGCCATCGCTTGGTATTGGCTCAGCCGAGTGGAGCGGCGCAAGCCCTGCTCTCCTGCCTGCTTGCGAGCAAGAAGAATGCTACGTACATGAGTCAAACAGGCACTCGCACACCGTAGTTGCCCTGCCCCACTCTGATTCAGAGTGACGGCACGAAGAGTAGAGGAACGCACGTGGTGAGCTATACCGGCGCAATACCTACTCCCAAGCGCATCGCTCACTGCCACCCGCCTTTCGACAATCGAAAGCCACACCTGAGCACTCTGCTGCAATTAACCGAACCTCGAAGCAGCACGTCTTCCACTGCGATGTAGGATACGACTGAAGAATGATACATTCTGCCCTGTGAAGGGTCAAGGGTGCAGCGTTGAGCAGACGAGTTGGCGCGCGCCGGCTGCCAATTCGAGATGACACGCGCCCGAACCAGGTGATGCGCACAGACCCTCGCCTCGCTTTCAGGACGCAGGCTGCGCCGTGGCTGACGCAGGCGCCTAAGAGAGATGAGCGCGCTGCTACGGCTGGACTACTGACAAGAGATGCTTTTCCGTTCTCGATTGCGCGCGCACGATGCGCCGGCGAGTAGAGACGAGCCTGAGATGCCTTCGTCGATCAGGCGTGGGAGACACGCCATGCGCGCCGCGCGGCCGCGGCCTGCTCCTGACCAGCTACCACCACACCCTACTCATTCAGTGCCGCTCTCATCATCCTCGCGCTGCTCCTTTCGCCATCTGCATCGATCACGTCGTGTCTGCTCGCACGCCGTCATGTCTCGCGTGATTGACTAGTGAGTCGCGCAGCTGCTCCACGACGAGGCATGTGCGACGACACTGCACCTGCGTTGCACGTGCTGTGCCGTGCGCCCGGATCCGCGCTATCGCTGCCTCATCTGACCCGACTCACTCCCAGCACGGAGGAGAGGCTCCGCGAGAATGAGTTCTCGCACGCGTGCTGGAGCAACTGCCCCGCCGGCTGCCAGCGCCAGCTGGTGCTCGAGCTGCAGCGCCAAGTTCAGTCCTTTGCGCTGTACATGACGCCGAGCTCCTCTCCTACGGGAGGCGTCACCGGCATTCTGCGTCTGTGGGTAGCTCCCGCTCTACGTCTCAGGCTTGCTGTTACTGACTCCCGGTGCAGTCCGACAGAGGTCTTCTGCATGATCGTGCAGCGCCTTGCTCCGCTGCATCTGGTGGCGCTCATGCTCACCTGTCGTTCTTTCTACGACATGCTCGTGAGTGGTCAGGATGTAGCACGCAGTCAGCGGACCGAGGAGCGACCGCTGACGCGCGCTGTGATGCAGGACTTTCATATGCTCTTTCGATGCGCTCCCGTGCCGAATGAAGACACTTACTCTGGAGAGCCCTAGTTCTAAATGGACACAGCAGTGGAGTCTTCGAGCCGGCAGTTCTGGCTGATCGAGCATGGCTTTGCCTGTCCCTTGTGCTTCACAACGTTCTGCGGATCGCCATCGTCCTGGCGCGAGGACTGGCAACGCAGCAGCACACGCCAGAAAGCTTCTGTACCAGCCTCGCTCATACTGTCCTGCGAAGATGAGTGCCCCTATCTTCGCCAAGAGGACTGCGCAGACATTGCCGAGAGACGCATCTTTCACGAGCCGTCAGGCTTGTTCGTGTGTCCGACGTGTATTGCGTCGCGTATCTTTGTAGGTTGCTCGGGGTCTGGTCCGAATTGAGCTGACCGACACATGCCACCACAGTGCGACGTCTCCATTCTCTACGCTCAGAACATCCTGCGTCTCGATCAGGCGGATCTCCAGCGGCTCAAGCACCAGAAGCCGTCCTTCAAATGCCGCGTAGAGGGCAAAGCGAATCGAATCCAGGTGCGTCGAATCACAGAGGCAGACCCTACTCCAGCTTCCTACAGCTGATCCATTTATATTTTCTAGTTCTTCTGGATCGGCAAGCTCAAGGACGTCCAGCTCGCCAGATGGACCGAGGACGAGGCGGTCCGGCAGCGCGCGTACGAGGAAAAGTTTGGCCGAGTGCCATAGCCAACGTGACGGCAAGCACGGGATCAGTGATGAGTTCAGATGAATGAGAGAACTTCCGCCGCAGCTGTGCGATGTCCGATTCGAGGCCCCACCCGACTTTGTGCCACGACTCGCGCATCACAGATTGGGAGCGTGTTCTAGACCACGTCATCCGTCGCAGCGGCATCTCGGACCTGCCACGAACCGGCACAGCTGCCGTCGAGAGGCGACGCACCTTCGCCTTCTCCACTTCTCTATGTGCTACTGCCTTTCTCATGACACGAACTCACGCATATCCCGCTCTGCTTCAGCCGTGCTTCCTGGCGGGCGAGACGCGCCACGGCGGCCCCCAGGCGCAGCTCAGGGTGCAGCACCCGGCCGCAGCAGCAGAGCCTTGGCGCGCGCGCGCCGCGCGTCGTGCTGGGGGCGCGCGCGGCCGCCTCGGTCTTCGGGCTCTGCGCGCGCCGCGGGTTGGGTGCGCGCGGGCTTCTCGCGGCGCTTGCGCCGCGGCGCCGGCCGCTCCTTCGCGTCCCACCACATCCTCCTCACACACCGCGCTGGTCAGCGGTCCGTCCTGGCCAGCTCCACCTCGCACGCGCACCCGCCAGCCTGGCGCTGAGCACCGGCGCACGTCCAGCCAGCCGCCCCGTGCGGCCGAGCTGCCGGCCCTCCTAGCGTGCTCAGACGCTCCGCCAGAGCGCCGGCATGGCGTCCTCGTCCGACGCCGCTCGGGCCAGCAGCGAGGATGCCTCGGCAGTCGCGTCCGACGCGGCGCAGTCGGCAGCGTCGGGCTCCAGGCCGGGCGCGCGTCGCGGCCGCCGCAGCGAGCTCGACGGCCTGAGCTTCGACAATCCCGGCCCGCGCCTGCTGGCGTCGCTGCGCCTCGACGGCACCAGCTCGGGCTCAGAGGGCCGCAGAAGCCGCCGCAGCGCCTCGAGCGCCAGCACGAGCGCAGCGCCGACGCCGCGGCCTAGCTCGCCTCCGTCCGGCCTCGTGCCTCGCGCGGCTGCCGCAGCGGGCAGCACGCCGGGTGCCAATGGCGCTCGCGCTGCAGACTGGACCGGTCGCGCGTCCGCTGCCAAGTACGGCAGCTCTTCGCGCGTCAGAGCTTACTCTGTGAGCCCGTCGCCCATGTCGTCCGAGACCGAGGTCGAAGAGCAGGCAGCAGCGGGCGGCTCGAGCGTCCGGACCAACGGCCACGCCTCGCCGCCTGCGCCAATTGCACTCACACGGCCTGCACGAGAACGTCGCCCTTCTCATCGCACCCGCGACCTGGAGGACACACTCCTCTCGCCCACACGCCCACGCGCCACTTCGAGCGCCGGCGCCTCGCCTCGCAAGCGCCAGCGCGCTGGGCCCTCGGCGGCCATGACGCTCGAGGACTTGCGCGGCATGTGCGTGCGTGACGCGCAGCTGGACCTGGAGGGCGTGCACACGGAGCACGACACGCATCTGCGCGAGCTATTCCATCTGGAGAAGTTCGTGACGTACATCGGCTTCGATCCTGAGGTAAGTGCATGGCGCAGTGCGTGGCTGAGGTGGTGTCGTCAGGCGCTGACGCGCTACTCGTCGCAGGAGGCGGCACGCGACCGCAGCGCCGTCTGGCAGCAGTTCCAGGCGCTGCACGATCTCGCTCTCAAGGAGCCGAGCGGCTCCACCTCTCGCGCCGGGCGCACCACACGTCGCATCGTCTCGAGCCGCCTCGAGACGCTGGCGCTGCGCAAGCCAACGCCGACGCGCGCAAAGGGCTCAGACCAAGACGAGTCCTCTGCGCGCAAGTCGAAGGGCAAGGGTCGGCAGACAGACGAGGGCGCCTCGAGCTCGAATGGCTGGCCGGACACGGCGGCCGACGACGCATCAGAGCCACGCTCTCGGCAGCGTGCACCCCGCAGAAGCGCACCAGGCGACTCGTCCTCCGAGTCCGAGCCCGAAGATTCGCACGCGAACTCGGACACGCCATCTCGAGGTGGCAAGCGATCCGGACCCTCAGCCAGCACGCTGTGGCGGCAGAAGCGAGCCGCCGAGCTTGCAGCCCGCGGCACGCCTCGGCGAGGGCCCGGCCGTCCGCGCAAGGCCGCACCGGGCCGCCACGTCTACCTCAATCCTGCGCAGCTGCCTGCGCGGCCGCACTTCGCTGGCGACCTGCAGTCCTACTGGGACAGCTTCAACACGGCAGGCGGCAGCGCAGAGGGCTGGGAAGAGGTGCCGCACGAGCGACGAGCTGCAGCCGAGGAAGCCGCCATCGCGACCTGGGTCTTGGCGGACCGGCTGCGCGGCGAAGGCGTCATGTCGTCGTTTGGCAGCTCCGGCTCGGCGCTGCGGCCGGCTCGCGAGCCTGCGCGGCCAGAAGACGCCTACAGCGTCGTCGTGGCCGCTGCGGCCGCAAGAGCCTCGAAAATGCGCGCAGAGACGCGCACGCACATCGCCGCCGCGCGCAAGATCTCGCGCGCAGTGCAGACCTACTGGGAGGAGCGCTTGGGCACCGGTCAGCGGCAGCTGCGAGCCGAGGAGCGCCGTCTGCGCGCGCTGGCCAAGTGGACGATCCGCGAGGTGCTCGGGCAGTGGAAGCTCGCGCAGGCGGTCGTGCGCGCGCGCAAAGAGCAGGAGGAGAAGGAGAGCGCCGACAAGGCGAAGCGCGCGCAGCTGAAGTCGATCATTGAGGAGAGCGCACTGCGGCTGGGCAAGCAGCAGGACGCGCTGGAGCAGGCCCTGAGCGAGGAGGACGAGGATGGCAGTCCTAGCGAGGAGGAGGACAGCAGCTCCGCCGACGAGTCTTCCGACGAGCAGCAGCTCGACACTGCGAGCGAAGGCGAGCTCGAGCCCGAGACGGCCACCCTCGTTCGCCGCGTCTCGAGCGGCACGCACAGCGACGACGAGAGCATCGTCTCTGGCCCCTCGCGCAGCCAGAGCCATCGCTCCAGCCGCGAGCCTGAAGACGCAGATCTGTCACAAAGCAGCGCTGTCTCAAACGGCCACGTGCACGAGGATGCGCCAGTCTCGGCGCCGCAGACCAATGGCCATCACGCCTCACCCGAGGCACCGGAGCCGATAGCCGCCGACGAGCCACCTGTCGTGACCAAACGGTCGCGCTCGCCGTCCCCCGTGCGCAAGCCGAAGCGTGCACGCGTCGAGGCGCCGCAGCAGCCGGATCCTGACGCAGACGACGTCGAGTTCTCCAAGCCGCAGGACGCCGATGCCGCTGAGGCGGAAGACGCCGAGCTTGAGCGCACGATGTGGGACGAGGACGAGGAGGACGACAGCGAGGAGGACGGCCTGGCGGCAGACGCCGATCTGCCCATCGAGGAGCTCATGCGCCGTTACGGCTACGGCGCGGCAGAGGAGAAGGAGGAGGTCACGCCGGACTTCGAGCCGCCCAACTCAGGCACCAGCGACGCTTCCGACGCCGACGACAGCTCGCCGCACCCGCTCATCGTCGAGCTGGACGAAGACGGCCAGCCGATGGCCTCTAGTCACGCCACGAGTCCAGATGAGACTCCGCGCGAGCCGAGCGAGGACCAGGCGCAAGCCGAGGGCCAAGAAGTCGAGAAGCGCTCGCGCTCCGCGACTCGTGCGTCGTCGGCTGTCTCTGTCGCCGAGCAGGACGCCGTGCCAGAGATCAAGATCCGCCCGCCGTTCCTGCTGCGTGCCAACCTGCGCGCCTATCAGCAGATCGGCTTCGAGTGGCTCGCCGGTCTGTACGCAAACGATGTGAATGGCATCCTCGCCGACGAGATGGGCCTCGGCAAGACGATCCAGACGATCACGCTGCTGGCGCATCTCGCGTGCGACAAGGGCATCTGGGGCCCGCATCTCGTCGTGGCGCCGACGAGCGTCATGCTCAACTGGGAGGTCGAGTTCAAGAAGTTCCTGCCGAGTTTCAAGATCCTCTCGTACTACGGCTCGCAGAAGGAGCGCAAGGAGAAGCGCCGCGGCTGGAACACCGAGGGCAGCTTCAACGTCTGCATCACGTCGTACCAGCTCGTGCTCGCCGACCAGCACATCTTCCGGCGCAAGCCGTGGGTCTACCTCGTGCTCGACGAGGCGCACCACATCAAGAACTTCCGCTCGCAGCGCTGGCAGACGCTGCTCGGCTTCAACACGCAGCGCCGGCTGCTGCTGACCGGCACGCCGCTGCAGAACAACCTCATGGACCTGTGGTCGCTGATGCACTTCCTGATGCCGAACGGCATGGCCGGCGAGGGCGAGGGCGCGGGCTTCGCGAGCATGAAGGACTTTCAGGCCTGGTTCTCGAACCCGCTCGACCGCGCCGTCGAGAGCGGCGAGCGCATGGACGCCGAGACGCGCGACATGGTCTCGAAGCTGCACACGCTGCTGCGGCCGTACCTGCTGCGGCGCCTCAAGAAGGACGTCGAGAAGGAGCTTCCGAGCAAGGTGGAGCATGTCGTCTACTGCCGCCTCTCGAAGCGCCAGCGCTTCCTTTACAACGACTTCATGTCGCGCACCAAGACGCGCGAGAGCCTGGCGAGCGGCAACTACCTCAGCGTCATCAACGTGCTCATGCAGCTGCGCAAGGTGTGCAACCACCCGGATCTATTCGAGGTGCGGCCCATCGTCACTAGCTTCGCTACCTCTCGCTCAGTCGTGGCCGACTTCGAGGTCAAGGACCTTCTCGTGCGGCGCGAGCTCCTCGCGCACAGCGACCGTGAGCGAGTCGACCTGTCGGTCTTGAACCTCGATGTGTCCGGACGCGAGCGCTCGCTCTCATCCATCCTCACGCGCGACATCGAGGAGCTCGACGCGTCGCCGATGCTGCCGCACGTCGATGAGCCGACGCCAGCGCGCGAGCCGCTCGACACCTGGACCATCGACGGGCTCAACCGCGGCCTCGAGCAGCACCGCCACGTCGAGCGCGTCGAGAAGTGGAAGCACATCGCCTACGTCAACGCGCTGCGCTGCTCACGTCACGCTGTCTACGGCTCGGGCCTCATCGACCTGGCCGAGCAGCTCGGCAACCAAAAGCGCCTGCTGCCGGCCGAGTGCACTGAGCACGACCGGCGTGCGTATCTCACGCGCTGCGATGCCGTCGGCGGGATGGTGCAGTCGCTTGAGGCGCGCAGGACGGTCATGCAGGACTACATCGACCGCTTCGCCTTCGTCACGCCGCGAGCTGTGGCCGTGGACATGCCGCGCTGGGCGCTGCCGGGCGTGTCGCGCGAGAGCCTGCCGCCCGCCGTCATGGAGCCGGGCTTCGACACTCTGCACGCGCCCGCCGTCAAGCTGCACATTGCCTTCCCCGACGCCTCGCTGCTGCAGTACGACTGCGGCAAGCTGCAGCAGCTCGACGTGCTCATGCGCCAGTTCAAGGCCACTGGACAGCGCGTCCTGATCTTCACGCAGATGACCAAGGTGCTCGACATCCTCGAGTCGTTCCTCAACTGGCGCGGCTACCGCTACTTCCGCCTCGACGGCACGACCAAGGTCGAGCAGCGCCAGGTGCTGACGGAGCGCTTCAATCGCGATCCTCGCATCACAGCGTTCATCCTGAGCACACGCTCAGGCGGTCTCGGCCTGAACCTGACGGGCGCGTCGAACGTCGTCTTCTTCGACCTCGACTGGTCGAATGCGTCGATGAGCCAGGCCATCGACCGCGCGCACCGCATCGGCCAGCAGCGCGAGGTGCACATCTACAGTCTCGTATCGGAGCACACCATCGAGGAGAACATGCTGCGCCGCGTGCGCCAGAAGCGCCAGCTCGACGACCTCGTCGTGCAGGAGGGCGACTTCACGACGGACCATCTGGCGCGTGTGCAGTGGCGCGACCTGCTGGATGAGGGCGGGACTACGCTTGCCGGAGTGCGTGTCGGTGCGGCTGAGGACGAGGAGGCCAGCGGCACGGCCAGTGGTCCGCGCGACGTCGAGAGCGCGCTGCTCGCCGTCGAGGACGAGGACGACGCCAACGCGGCGCGAGTGGTGCAGGAGGAGACCAGCCTCACGGCCGACTTTGCCGAGGAGGAGCCTCAACCCGCGCGCGAGCCCTCCGCGCCAGCAGAGCCTGCACCGCCTGCTGCGGACGCGTCAGAGGTGCTCGAGGAGGCAGAAGAGGAGGGCGGGTCTGTCGACGACTACATTCTCAAGTTAGTGGGCGCTGGCTTCGCCGCTCTTGGACTTCACGCTGACACTTGTCCGCATCAGAATGGTGGAAGACGAGTGGGAGACGCACTTCAAATGGGTCCGCTTTGCGTAGCCGGGCCCTCGGCTCAGGCCACCACTAATGCAACTGTCACACACGAGAGCACTGAGTGAGACGGTTCGTTCCATTGCTATGCGTCGCAGCGTCCGTCTGGCGGCCCATCGCGCCATCGCGCCTGCAGCACCTCCTCGGTGCACGGCACCTTCTTCTTGCCAAGCCGCTCGTTGACCTCGTTGTGCACGCCGCACAGCCAGCGGCGCAGGCTGGGCCCATCGTGCACGGCATCGGCCAGCGCGGGCCCGCCCTCGTGAGAGCGGCCCGCACGTGCTTCCCGCTCCAGCTCCTCGCCCAGACTCTCGGCGCACGGAGCGCAGGGGTAGACGTGCGGCAGGGCGCGCAGCAGCGCCAGCATGCTCTCGCGCTGGATCGGCGACGGCGTGGCGGGATAGTAGGCGGCGGCGCTGTGCAGGAAAGCCCAGGTGCCGCGGCCGAGCGCCTCGCCGTCAGGCGGGCACTCATCTGCAGCCTCAGCCATCGCCATAGCGGCGGCGGCACCGGCAGCAGCTGCGCCACCGGCTGAGGGTCCTGCCGACGGCGAAGATGCCGGCGCTTTTGCGGTCGCGCCTGTGCCTTTCATGGCCTGCGCAAAGGCCAGCTTCGAGTTGCAGGCGCGGCATGGCTTGCCGTCTGGGCCCAGCACCACACCCGGCTTTTTCGTCGAGCTTCCACTACGCGCTGTCTTGGCCGTCTGCCCAGCGAACGGGTCCGGCGTGTCCGCAGGCCGCTCGTCGGCGTGCAGGACGCCGCGACGCGAGCTCTCGGGTGCCACGCCCCACTCGGGCGTGCCTGCTGGCCGCTCGATGCGCTTCGGCTCCCAGTCTTCGATCTGCCCGTCCTGTGCCGACTCGAGACGCTGTGTAGACATGTGTGAGACCAGTGTGGAGTGCTGGGCCGTGTGCTCCCTCCTGTGCCCTGCAGCTTCTCTGCTGCGCCGACACTGCAAGCTGCTTCGCCACTTCTGCTCCGCCACCTCTGCTGCGCCACGTCCGCCACTCACAAAGTACTCCTCGCGAATGTCAATCCTGCGCCTGTCCTTGCGCATGCCGAGTTCCTCGGCCTTGTCCATGCTGCGCACCTTCGTGGCGTTGTAGTCGAACTTGGTCTGCGTCAGGTACGAGAGGCCGTACGAGCCGCCGGCGATGGTGAGCAGGAAGGGCAGGCCGAAGACGAGGAACGGCCGGCGCCGCAGCAGGCCCTGCACGGTGCCTGCGAGGCCGCCGCGGCCGCGTGGCCGGATGGGCCGGGAGGAGAAGGTCGGCATTGTGCTGGGTGATGGCGAGAGAGAAACCTGAAAGAGGCGGCAGGTGCGCAGCCCGGACTTAGTGGAGGCGAGCGCTGCGCGTCACGTGCCATCGATCGTGGGAGCAGACGACAGAGCCGCGGCTCAACGAGGGCTGCTCCCATCCCATGGGGTACATCGCCTCGTCCTCGACTGATGCTTGGCCGGGTGCAGCGCAAGGTGCTGTGCAGGCTCAGACGCCACGAAGCTCTGCCTCCATCGCAAGCCTGCAAGCTGCCATCAAGACGTGGGTCCGGCGGAAGCAGCGCGGCGGCGAGAGGGAGTCTGCCGTCTGGGTGTCTGAAGACGAGAGCAGCATCGGAGGCCCTCGCGCACCCGAGATGTCGCCTTGGCGGCACCGGCGCCTTACTCGACGGTCATGTGGCCTGCATCGGCACTCCTTCGCTTGTGCACGATATCACGCAGCGTGCGGTGCGGCCCGAGGCTCTTGGCGGCGTCTCGTGCCACAAGCAGCGCGCTGCGCCCATGCACGCGGCGGGCTTGGGAGGGGCTTGGCCTGGACGAGGCAATGGTTGGGGCCACGCGTTGCGCGGTGCCTGGCCTGGATGAGCGGAAGGTCATCGCCGGGCCGTAAGAAGGCACAGACGCTGCGGAGGCGGCGCTGCGCCGGCGTCGGAGGCGGCGATGCCAAGAGGCCAGCCGGCGTGCTGCGTCGGCGCGGAGCTGCGCGTGCAGCTCAAGCATGCGCGCTGTTCCTCCGGCACCGCGTGCTGGCCAGACGCAGCGCGGCGTTCCAGCAGCGTCTCTGGGCTGTGATGAGGTGCTTCGCTCAGCAGTAGAGGAGAGGAGCGGCGAGTCGCCGCACGCCTGGGCGCAGGCTGGGCGGTGCGGCGAGCGGTGCGGCGGCGGCGCATGACGCGTGTGCGGTGTGTTGGTGTGTTGCTCTCTGCGGCGCGCGTGGATGTTGGCGCCGCGCCGCAACTGCGCCGCCGTCCACCGCCGCACCCGGCGCTCCTCTGAGCGCATCCCGGCAGCACAGCACACGCCCTGGCCTCATCGAGCAGGCCATGCGGCGTCCTCGCCTGGCGTCCGATGCAGGTTCGCCGCTGGCGCTGCGGCGCTAGGCGCGGTGCGGCACCTGCCCGCTGAGATGCCCGCTCGCTCACGCTTTAACCGTCGCCTTCGCTGGCGCATCGCTCCCTGCCTCCCACCACCATCATCCCTAGCCCGTCTGCGTCACTGCCGGCCCGCTCCGCCCTTCTCCCGTTCCCGTTTCTCCTTCCCTCGGCCCGGTGCCACCCTTGAGCTCGCTCCTTCCTTGACGGAAGCCGTCGTCTCTCGCGTCCTTCTTTTGCCCTATCCTTACTCACCGCCGGCCGGTCGATCCACACACTCTCTTATCCACCTTCTCTTCGTCTCCTCCACGCGCCCAGCATGCGCTTCGTTCCGCGCGACCTCGACTTTACGTCGCTCGCCTCGTCGCTCTCGCTCGTCGTCGCCAACTACAAGCCCATCCCGCAGCTGCCGAGCGTGTCGAGCGCCATCAGCGCCGGCGGCGCGCACTCGTTCCAGGTGCAGGCGCCCGGTGCGGCCAACAACCACTCGGACGTGGCCGACTGGGGCATCCCCTCGGTGCTCTACGTGCCCAAGACGGGCGAGCGCGTGCTTGCCAGCACGCAGAAGATCGGCCCGGGCAACTGCCCCGTGCAGCAGCCCTACACGCCCAACGGCGGCGCATCGGCGCTGCCCGACCCCGTCTTCCCGGCCTTTGACCCCGTCAAGGCCAACGTGATGCGCTACCGCCAGCAGCAGGGCGTGAACCTCGGCGCCTGGTGAGTTCGAAGCATTCGCAGCGCCGTGCTGCAGACTGACCCCTTCGCCGCAGGTTCATGCTCGAGGGCTGGATGCAGTCCAACTTCTTCTCGTGCGCCACGGGCAACCGCCAGGCCGAGTACGACGTGCTCGACGGCTTCGGCCAGAGCGCCGCGGGCGTGCAGAGCGCCAAGGCGTACATGGAGAAGCACTGGGTGAGTGCCTCGCGCGTGCCGCCCCTGCGACTCCACTCACACCGGCCCTCAGGACACGTGGATCACGGAGGATGACTTCAAGCGCATGGCCGCGCAGGGCATCAACACCGTGCGCCTGCCCATCGGCTACTTCTCCGTCGGCCCATGGTTTACGCGCAACTCGCCGTTTGCGGCGTACGCGCCCGTGTACGAGAACACGTGGCGCTACATCGCCCGCTCGATCAACTGGGCGGCCAAGTACGACATCGGCGTCATCGTCGACCTGCACGGCGCCTACGGCTCGCAGAACGGACAGCTGCACTCGGGCCTCTCCGACGGCAACATTGAGTTCTACAACGACTACAACATGGGCCTCACGACGGACCTGCTCGTCTGGCTGGCGGCAGAGATCTCGGACGTGACCAACGTCGTCGGCATCCAGCTGCTCAACGAGCCGCAGGACCGCACGAGCCTGTGGCCGTGGTACACCAAGACGATGAACGCCATGCGCAAGGCCTCGGCCGCCGCCGCAACGGTGCCGCTGTACTTCCACGACGCCTTCAACCTGAACAAGGGCGCGGCCTTCGTCGCCAAGCGCCAGGACTTCATCGTGCAGGACCACCACGCCTACTACGTCTACACGCCCGCCGACACGTCGCTCTCCGCCAAGGGCCACACCAAGGCGATCAGCGGCGCCATCAACGCCAACATGAACGCCCAGTCCAAGATCGCACGCCGCAACCTCATCATCGGCGAGTGGTCGTGCGCGCTGAACCCCAACTCGCTCAGCAAGAGCACGGACCGCGACGGCGACCAGAAGCGCTTCTGCCAGGCCCAGGCCGACGTCTACTCGACGGCCACCGCCGGCTGGACGTTCTGGTCGTGGAAGCTCGAGGGCTGCAGCAACAACGGCGGCTGGTGCTTCCAGCAGGCGGCCAAGCAGTACCTGCCCAGCACGTACGACTCGTGGGGCCTGCAGACGATCACCTCGGCGCTGCTCAAGGCCGCCAGCGGCACTGACGCTGCGGCCAAGAAGAAGGTCACCACGCTCCTCGCCACCATCGCCGCCATCCCGCTGCCGTCGGCCGCGTCGCTGAACCTCAAGGCGCTCGTCAACTCCGACGACGACAGCAAGTCGGGCGTGCTGAGCATCGACGAGTCGGGCTCTGACGACGACGACGTCGCCACGTCCACCGAGCTGCCGCGCATCGGCAAGGTCGTCTCGACTGCGGCGCCGGAGACGTCCACCGTCAATGTCGAATCGGCCACCAAGGAGGGCGCGCGCGTGGGCATGGTCGTCAAGAGCCGCTCCGGCTCGCTGGCCGCCCGTGCCGCCGCCATCGTCAAGTCCGAGCTGGCGCAGCTCTCGCGCCGCCAGGCGACGTCGCGCTCGGCGCTCGCCTCGCGCGCCGGCTACTCGGACGGCTTCAAGACGGCGCGCTACTTTGCCGCCAACGGCGGCCTCTCGCGCCTCGGCTTCGCGCAGCAGTACATGCAGGACTCGTGGCAGGCGCGCCTCGCCACGGGCAAGGTCGACGCCGATGACTCGGCCGGCTACCTCTCGCAGTTCAAGGCCGGCCTGCTCGCCGCCGAGACTGCGATCGTGAAGAGCATCCAGAGCGCTGCCTAAGCGCCTGGGTGCGTCGAACAAGCGGCGGTGGGGGTGCGGTGCACGACCAGGGTCGAGCTCATTCCTCTTGGCTTGCTCCCCTGACCAAGCCCTCTCCGCTCGCGCGTTCGACACTCCTCCTGTGCATCCCTGCCCCTTCCTGTCACCTAGTCCCAGCCCTACTGCTAGCCCCCCTTCTATTCGAGTAATGGATCGCATCGCGCCACACTGAGCCCGAGAATGAGAGCAAGACTGAGTGAATTCTATGAGGACGTGCCGTCCCAAGGGAGGTGACGATGGAAGCAGAGATAGTGTACAGTGAGAGGGAGCGTCAAGATCATGGGTCATGTCGTCCATGGCGCGGCGACGGTGCGCCAGGAGAGAGGTCGTGTGTGTCGAAGGCAGTGCCCTCGGCACGGTCAGCACTGCGCGTCGCCTCCATGTTGGCGCCGCGCGAGAGCCACGTCGGAGAGGGCGCAGGCGACGGCGACGCTGAGCGCGACCGGCCGTACGTGCTGTTGCCGTCACGGCCCCACGAGCGGGCAGGCGACACATCGCGCGAGCGCGTGTAGAACGGCTCGTGCACCTCGCGCGAGAGGCGCCGGGCCAGGTCGGCCCAGGCAGTCTGCTGGAAGCTGTCGGCGCTCGGCGAGGCGCGGCGCTCGCCGTCTCGCATGAAGGGGTCGGCGGAGCTGACGGTGATGGCCGGCGTGGCGGCGTCGTGCGCAGAGCTGCCGCGAGGAGAGTCGTGTGGCGAGAGGTGCACAGCAGAGCCACTTGGCGTCAGCGCCCCTTCGCCGGGGCCAGTATTCGTGTGCAACGGCGCTGCACGCCGCTGCTGTGCATAATCGCTGTCGATGTCGGCGATGTTGAGCCGCAACGGCGGGCGCTGTCGCGGCGCGGAGACTCCGGTTGGGTCCTGCACGTTGATGGTGGGTAGCGAGGCGTCCGTCCGCATGGGCGGCGACTCGACCTCGTCGCGAGCCGCACGCATGGCATGCAGGCGGTGGCGCAGGTGCAAGCCGCTGAGCGCGAGACGCACCCGCTCGAGCTCGATGTTTGTCTCGATGCGCTCGAGCAGCATGCGTCGCTCGATGAGCTCCTCGAGGCCCAGCGCCGCCTCATCGTCGATCAGCTTGTGGTGCGCAAGAATGTAGAGCAGCTCGGTGAATGCGATGCCGCCCTTCTCAGGCTCCTCTCTGAGGCAGGCCTCCTGGTAGATGCGCTCGAATCTGCGCCGTCGCCGCTTGATGTCCTCCGAGTCCAGGCGGCCAAGCGCGGCGCGCAGCTTGCCAACGTCGAGACCGGCGAGGCGGTCCATGCGCTGCGAGGAGGGCGGCCACGCGAAAGAGGTCTTGCTTTCGTCGCCGACCGGCAGCGGACTGGGTGAGCCGCCGCGCAAGCGGGTGAGAGCTTCCGATGCGGCGGCTGCCACGCGGCCCTTCGTTGGCGTCGACGGGCTCGGCAGAGGCGCCTCGCGGCTGGAAGCAGCGCGCAGTGCGCTGATTCTGCCCTCTGGCGGATAGACCCGCACGTCGAAGACGCCAGTGAGGCGGTTGAGGAGCGGCACGATCTTGTCGCGCGCCACGTAGCCCTTGCGCGAGGTGTCGAACTCGGCCCAGACCTTCTTGTACGAGCGCAGCTGCTCGCGCGACAGCATCGGCTTGCCGCCGAGCTGGAAGACGTAGGAGAAGTTCTCGACGACCTGACCCGTGAGCAAGTTGAGGAAGAGGTACATGCCTGGCAGAAGTGTGAGCGGCTGTGCGCGAGGAGGCGCAGGCACGACTCACTGATGACGTTCCAGGCGATGAAGAGCCCCAGCGCCCACGACTTGCTGCCGCAGTCCGTCTCGAGATAGTTGTTCGCCGGCGTGCAGTTTGGCGGCTCGATCATGTAGTCGTGCATGTACTGGTTCCAGCCCTCGCCCGTGCTCGTCATGCTGAGGAAGACGAGCGAGCCGAAGAAGGTGCTGAAGTTCTTGGCGTACGTCTCATTGGCGCCCCAGCGCGTCAGCCCGAAGATCTCGACGTTCATGATGGCGAAAGTACTAGGCCGGGTTTTCAGCATGGGCTGTGCCTTTCGCTTTCTGTCCTGAGACTTGACTCACCAGAAGAGAACAAGCCAGAGGGCGAACGTCGAGCCGATGGCCGGCAGCGAGGCGACGGCCGTGCGGAAGAGCTGATTGAGCGCATTCGACTTCTGTACGAGTTTGAATGCGACCCCGACGAGCAGGACCTTCTGTAGCTGCACATTCACCACCGAGTCGCGGTCCGGCGCCAGCAGGGGGATGGTCGTGGCGAACGTGCCCGTGACAACGACGAGGTCGTAGAGGTTCCACCAGTTGTCTTTGTACGCGCGCCAGCCGAGGCCGGCAAGGCGGATGATGATGTCCGCCGCGTAGAAGGACGCCAAGGTCAGGAAGATCACGTTGCGCGTCAGCTCGGTGCTCGGGCTGTCCTGGAAGCGCTGCGTGGCCATCACGACGATGTTGCCAAAGTAGAGGAATGTCAGGAGGCGCGACCACCAGCCGTGCTTCCGGGTGGCACGCTCGTAGCACCAGGCGCGCAGCGGGTCGCGCGGCTTGACCTTAGGCCGCTTCGAGGGCCGCTGACGGCCTATGAGCCGCTGCAGATCGACCCACTGCCGCTGCTCGGTGGTCTGGTACGCGGCGCCCGAGAAGGCGCGGAACTGCTCGAGCAGGACGGAGACGAAGAGCGTGAGGACGACTGCAGGCCGGTGTCAGCGATCGAGTCTGACACTGCGCGCCGCAAGCAAACCCACAGACGGCGCCGATGAGGTTGTAGATCACAAAGAAGAGCGCGTTGACCTGCGTGGCGTCAGGCGAGGCCTGCATGTCGCGGCCAACGATGGCCATTGCCGCCGTCATGACGTCGACCCATCCCTCGAGCGAGACAATCTCGAAGAGGATGAGCAGGGCCGAGCGGAAGTCGTCGAACGAGTACTGCGAGCCTTCGGTAGGATTCTGCCACACGCGCGGCGCGAGAAAGGTCCACTGCGACGGGGAAGCCGCGAACTCGCCGACGCAGTCGACGCGGCTGCTGATGCCCGCGCCTCCGTCGTTGCACGAGTAGAGCAGGCCGCCGAAGAGATTCTGGCCCCAGACGGCGTACGGCACGATGTACAGCAGCGCGAGCAGCGATGCGTCGAGGAAGCGGCCGCTGCCGGCAACGATGCCGTGGAACGTGTTGCGCATCAAGGCCGACAGGCTTGGGCAGCGTCAGCTGCTGACGACAGGCACAGCCGCGTAACACTCACTTGATCAGGCGAAGCGCGCGGAACGCCTTGATGGCACGCGTGAAGCGGCTCACGCCGCCGATGACCACGAGCTCGGCAGTCGTGTTGATGATCAGCGAGGCAAGCACGAAGAGATCGAGTGCGTTCCAAGGCGACAGCAGGTAGGCGTTCGGCGTGAAGGCGAGGCCATCGGCCACCACCTTGAGCAGGAACTCGAGGACGAAGATCGCACTCAGCGACGCCTCAACCAGCGAGAACCACGAGTCGCGTCGAAGGCCGTGCACACGGTACCATTCGCGCCTGCGGGAGACTGTCAGCTGTGTGCCGCACAGCGTCTGATTTCGCAGCACTCACCGGTATGTGGGCGTGGCGAATGCCGCACTCGCGATCGAGCCGGCGATGGCCATGAAGACGACGACTTGCACGACGCGGTGCCGATTCCTGCTGACCTGCCGGCCGAAGATACGCTCGCCGTGGCTCGACGGCACGCAGCTCTGGCAGAAGCGGCGGAACGGATGCATGTTGCTGAAGAGAAAGATGCTCCGCTCGTACGAGGGGTGCGAGTTGACGAGATGCGCCTGCGCCATGCGTGGGTCGTTGCGGTAGCGCGCAATGTGCTCGGCGTTGATCTGCGACTGCGCCGGCTCGTCACCAGAGAGCCCGAGGTCCGACCTCATGCGAGTGAGCTGACGCTCGCGAGCGAAGAGACGCGCGGCGTCGTTCGGCTCGCCCGAGTGCTCGTACATCGACATGCCGCGCGACGGGTCGCGCAGCATGGCCTCGCCCGAGATCGAGCTGCGGAACTGGCGCGCGCGGATCGTGTCGAGAGGCACATGCTCATCTGGGCGGTCCAGACGGAGCAGACGTGCTGTGCGATCGAGGATGCGCTTCCATCGCGAAGGATTGACCACCTGGTTCAAACCCATGCGCCGCCGCTTCTCGTCGTTCGTGACGTGGTGTGCGCCGCCCTGCGAGCCGGCCGCCAAGGCATCGCGCTTCTCGTTGCGCTCGCGCAGCCAGCGGTACGGGCTGAGCTTGTGCAGGATCTTCTGCGAGAGCGTCGGCGCCGGAGGCTCCATGCGCTGCAAGTAGATCTCGAGCTGTTGCTGCCGCTTCTGGCCCTCGGCGACTTGCAGATTCTCGTTGAGCGCAGCGATGAACATCTGCAGCAGGACGACTGATGCAGGGCGTCAGTGAGGTGCCGCACTGCTGGGCCTCCGCACTCACAGTTGGCGAAGAGGAACCAGCCGCAGAGCAGGATGCCGGCGAAGACGGCCTGCTTGTACTGCTCCTCGTTCGAGATGGCCGAGTAGAGCACGTCGGTCCAGTTCTCCGATGTGAACACCTGGCGCACGCGCAAAGTCAGCGCCTCGCAGCGGAGTATCTTGCGCAGCCTGCTCACCTGGTACATGCCGAGGAAGCCGTTGTAGACCTGCTTGAAGTTGGCCTGGATGTGCTCGCCGTTCTCCTCCTGCGGAATGTCGCCGCGCAGCAGCTGCACGGCGACAAGCGCTGCCAGACCGACGCTGAGCAGCAGAAACAGGATCATGTTGGAGAGACCGGCGAGGTTGCCGAGCACCTGGCTCAGCAGCGCCTCCATGCGCGGCACAGCAGCGATGACGCGGTAGAAGCGCGCGAGCTGGAACGCCGTGAGCCAGTCGTACGTGCGCGTGCCCTTGATGCCTGGGATCTGGATGATGGACGTGACGACGGCGAGCAGCAGGTCGACGCGGTTGCGCTTCTCGGCAAAGAAGCTGCGCCAGTCGCCGTCGAGGACAAAGGCGATCCAGCGCATCATGATCTCGACGTCGAACGCGACGGTGAAGGCCAGCTCGATCGTGTCTGCGCAGGCACCGGGTCAGCGAGGCGGAGAGACATGCGCTGGGCCTGCGGCTGCTCACCGAGCTTCGTCTTGTCCTGAGCCGAGCTGTACGACGCCTGCTGTGCCTGCGCACCGAGGTCGGCGACGATGGCGAGCAGCCAGATGAACGTGGTCCATCCCCACAGGCGTCGGTACACGCTGGCGATGCGACGCCTGTTGCGCTTCCGAGCGCTCTCCTCCTTCTCCGAGACTGCTTCTGCCGGCGCCTCGATCCTGTCGAGAGCGTGTCAGCAACGTCTCCGCGCAACGCTGCGTACTGACTCACTTCTGCGCGGCAAAGGCCGAATGGCGCGTCGACGCAGTGAGGCTGGCGAACGTGTTCGTCACGACGGCGACGAACAAATTTGCCATCCAGAAGTTGAGCACGAGGAGGCCGATGATGAAGTACAAGCACGAGGCGAAAGGCTCGGCATCGACCATGTCGTACAGCGTTTGCGACCAGTTGTTCGAGGAGATGACGACGACGACCTGCATCAGCGCCGCGAAGATGTTGTCGAAGCTCAGCGTGCCACCCTCGGGATTCTCCCCCTGCACGCAGACGAGGCCGGCAGGGCAGATGTAGCCCTTGGGCTCGCCGCGCAACAGGTTGCCAGCCGTGTCCGTAAAGCCGAGCCGCCGGCCCTGCGACGGGTCGAAGTAGCCGCCGCAGATCTGGGTTAGGGTGTAGTTGGTGCCGGGCGACGCCGCTGGACCAGCCACTGCGTCGCCGAGCCAGACGCACTGCCGCCGGTAGCTGCCGCGGAACGACTGGATGCCGATGATGGAGAAGAGCAGCATCGCGAAAGCGGTAAAGTACGTCACGTTGACCAGAAGCGGCGCCGCGCTCTTGAGGCTCTCCAGGATGATCGTCGTGCCGCTCGTGATCGTCAGCAGGCGGGCCGCGCGGAGCACGCTGAGCGCGCGGAAGATGTAGATGTGGTGATCGCTCGTCTGCTCCTGGCGCGCCACGCAGAGCACAAAGGCAGCCCAGAAGCTCACGACGGCCAGGAAGTCGATGCGGTTCCAGCTGTGACGCAGATATGCATAGTGCGCCGTCTGTGAGCGCTGCGCCAGGATGGCCTGCGCGAACGGCAGCGGACGCTTGCGCATGAACGAGGCGTCGTGGTCGCTGTCGAGCAGCATGTTTGTGCCCTGGCGCCGCAGCGTGCGTGCGTCGGCTGAGCTGAGCGTGTCTTGGCGCGACGACCACGTCGGGCCGCTGAAGCCGCCGACAGGATGCGAGACGCCCAATGGCTTATCAGGTGCGAAGCCGTGACGAAACGCAGCGTCGTTGCCTCGCACGGGACTGCGCGATTTTGCGTCGCTCGCGTTGAGGCTCGGCTTCAGCGCCTGCGACGCCTTGTTGCGCAGCGACCCGCCGAGCTCGGAAAAGGCGTCGAGCGTGTTGGAACGAGACATGCGCCGCCGCTGTTCCGCGAGCACTTCGGGGGCGGGCTCGCGTGAGGCCGCGACGTCCTCGGATCCGTCGACGCGCCCGCTGACGCCCGCAGCGGGGTTGGTGTAGACCAGCGGCGGCGGGTTGATGAACAGGCCGGACACGACGACGCGGGCGAGCACCTCGATGGTGAAGATGACGAACACGGCCAGCAGCGCGTAGTCCTCCCAGTAGTCAAAGTAGCCGGGCGAGCGTGGGTGCTTGAAGACGTTGCGCGCCGACTGCAGGACGAGAAGCACAACGTTGAACACGATGAGCACCAGGATCAGCGGCTCGATCCACAGCTGCGCGAGCAGCTTGGCCATCGCCAGCCGGAAGCCATTGTCCGGCCCAAAGAGCCCGAGACTGCGCCCGCGGAGAAGCGTCTCGGTCCGCGGCGCGTCGTTCGTCGTCTGCGGCGCAGAGGCCGGCGGCACGAAGCTGTCTGGCTCGTCGTCGCTGTCCTCGTCGTGGTCGGGCAGCCGCAGATGGGCATCTCGTCCCGCACCTTCGGCGTCGTGGTCGCCCAGATTCACGACCCGCCGGCTGATGCGGCGCAGCGACTTGCCGACGCGCTGCATGCCGGTGCGAGCCGCGTGGACTGCATCGCCTCCAGCCATGGCGTTGAGCTCTGCGCTTGTGCGCTGCGTCGGCCGGGCAGCGGGATCGAAGCCGTCCTCTAGCTGAAGCGGCGAGTCGTTCCGCAGCACGCCGCCGTCGTCGACAAAGCCCACGCGCGGCAGATCTGCGTCTGAGTAGTCTCGCTCGCCGTAGCGGTTCCAGCCCGCGTACGCCTGGTTCGACGTCAGAATCGCGCCTTCGCTGCTGAGGCGACTCGATGGCTCGGCATCGTGCCCAAAGTCGATGGGCGTGTCAAGGACGGAGCCGCCGGGCCCCGCACGAGGCGCGCCGTAATCGACGTACGAGCCCGCGATCGTCGGCAGCGTGGGCGTGCTCGCGTACGCCTCGTCGGCGCTGTGCAGCTGATGCCGCCGATAGCGCCCCATGTCGCCCGACCAGCTGGAGCCGTGGCTCTCGTCTCTTCTGTGGCCTGCCTCTTGCCCCACCACGCGCAGCGATGGGTTGAGCTGCATCGCGGCGACCGGTGAGTCCTCAAAGGAGAAGTCCAGCGGGTTGTACAGCGAGCCGTCTGCGCTGCCGAGCGACGTGTCGCCTGACCGCGAATGGCCCAGCGAGCCGCTGCTACCAGCCATCTGCCCATCTCGCAGCGCTGCTCTATGCCGCTGCGCATGCTCCTCAGACGCTGACCCGCGGCTGAGACGGCGCACCAGCCCGGGCGCTCCGTCGGTGCTGCGCCCAGGCGAGCCAGGCGGCGTGCGCCCTCGGCCGTCCCAGGCGCCGGTGGAGCGCGGACTGGTCGAGGTACTCGCGCCATACGACTCGCTCTCGTCCTCATAGCGGCCCTGGTAGTACGATGCGATGGTGAAGCCGCCCGTCGAGATGTGAGCTGCTCTGCTCGCCGCGCTGCCGCTCGACGCACTCGCGCCGCTGCCGTCGTCGGGCGGCCGCAGCGAGCCCGACGTTGACGCGCTGACGGCACCAGCGCCAAGCGGCGGCGGCGTGTGCGGGCGCGAGGTAGGCTGCGACATGACGGAACCCCCTGCGCCAGCACCGCCCGTGCAGCGAAGCGGATCGCGGCTCGGCCCAGCAGGCTAGAGGGTATGAGCAGCGAGGCGATGCGGCGAGGAGCGGAAGCAGCGCGTGCTCCTGCGGCGGAGTGATCGTGAGGTCGTGCGTGCGTGGTGAGGGCGTGTCGTGGCCACTGCCGGTGATGCTGAGAGGGTAGGTTGTGGATGGTGGAGGAGGCGGATGTGCAGCAGCAGCGCCAAGGAACAGCCGCATCCCTGGATGCGCGAGGCACTAATCTGCAATGTGGCGAGGCGGTGCATGACTACAACGAGCCGGCGCCAGGCTATTGCGCGGCCGGCCCATTGTTGTATTGTCGCGCGCCTTCTTGCGCGGCGCAGGCTGGCAATCCCACGAGATGGTCGTCACTCCGCCTCGCTGCCGCACCCTGTCGGAGGCTGGGGCGCGTCTACCGTTACGCACATCTCGCCTTTTCCTAGACGTGCCACTTTTCGCGCCCCGCTCTACGCCTTCTGTCGACTCTTTCATCCACCTTTCGATCCTCCGCCCTGAGGGCAGAGGGTTAGCTTTTTGCGTTCTGCAGATCAGGGTCACTCGTCGCGCAGCACCTCAGCCAGCCCATGTGGCTCGTTCGTGGCTCGAGCGAGATGTGCGGCCTTGCGAAATCGGCGATGCTGTCGCGCGGCGGCGCTAAATTTGGCAGGCGCACCACCGCGAGAAGGCGCTCACGGGCGGTGTAGCCGCCGCGCCACCGAACAGCGGCTCGCGCGCTAGCGTGGCCCAGCTTCGCACCTCACCACCACCCGCACCGGCGTTGCACCCCTGACGACTGGCTCCTGCTTCCTCGCTCACCTCTCTGAGAGAGACCACCACAGTGAGAGCTACCCTGGAGGTACTGCTCAGCCCTGCTCGGCACCGCTCGGCTCCACGCTCCGCCGCCCGACCTGCTCTCGCACAGCATGTCGCTCGACATTACGCCCGCTCGGCCCGGCGCCGACCCGGCTCGCCCGCACTGCGACCTGCGCCTGCCGCCGCTCTCGCAGGCCTCGCGCGCCGTCGGCGCTCCGTCGTGGACGGCCGAGGCGGCGCTGCTCATCGCCAGCCTGCACCGCGCCGCCGAGGTCGCCTTCTTCACCTGGCGCGCACAGCAGCCCGACGGCGGCGTGGCGCCGCCGCCCGCGCCGTCAGCGCAGCCCGAGCCCGACGCTGCCTCGCGCACCGCCGTCTCCTCGCTGCAGGCAGCACAGGCACTCGATGCTGCTGCCGTGCGCCGCCGCGCCATCTCTGCTGCTCTGCAGCACGACCTCGCCACGGCGATGCCACTCCGTGACGCTGCCACGAGCCGCTCGACCGGCGTGGGCATCATCCACCTTTCTGATGACGATGCCGAGACGCGCAGCACCTTCCAGCTGCCGCCTGGCCTGGCGTCGGACTGGCTGAGCCACCTGATCGCCGAGGCCGACGACGACGAGAGCGACGAAGGCGACGATGCAGACGAGAGCGTGGTGCGCGCTGCGATGGGCGGAGCTTCAGAGAGCACGCGAGAGCGCAACACCACCCGCGGCTCTAGCACACGGCACGACGTCGTCGATGCAGCGTTCCGCGCACTCAGCGGCCTCTCGACTGGCGAGAGCGAGCACGACGTGTGGCAGCGCATGATCCGCGACCTGGCGCTGCCCTCGTCGTACCCGCCCGCGCCGCTCGCCCGCATGGCCAGTGCTCGAGCTCGAGAGCTTACAATCCCGCGCCAACTGCCGCACCCCGTGTGGGCTCGCCGATACCCTGGAGCTGCCGGCGACTGGCTCCGCGCAGAGCTCTCACGCCGGGCCGCAGGCCACCGCGAGCGCACGCAGACTGGCCCGCGCCGCGTGAATCAGCACAGCGAGAGCCGCGCGCACCGGGCGCCCGACAACGAGGTGCGCTCAGCTGTGGAGTTCTTGCAGGAGACGACGCTGCCGCTCGATGAGCGTGGTGCAGTCACCATTCGCACCACGACAGTCGGCAACGTCTTGCGAGCGCGAGCTCAAGCATCGGCACCAGCCACGCGCGTGACGCGCGGACCCAACTACACCTCTTCATCTCGACCTGCTCGTCGCAGCATCGAGAGCATGACCGCCTCGCTGGGCCTGGACCGGTTCGAGCAACGTCGCGGTGCGGACCAGGTCACTTCGTCGCCGCCGACGTCCGACCGGACGGAGGAGATCGCGAGGTTGGAGCGCTCCGCTGCGGCCGCTGCCCGTGTAGCAGATCTGGTGCAGCAGCAGCGCGTGCGCAGAGGCCAGGCGCTGTCTGAGGCTCGTGCCGGCGTCGCAAGCGCGCGCTCGGAAGCACCGGCGCGCAGCCGAGCTGTGCGCGGCGGTCTCGACTTCCTCGCGCGTCTGCGCGAGCTCGACGGCTCGTCGTCGTCGGCGTCAGCACCCGCCGAGGACCGAGCGCAGTCTGCCGTGTATGCCAATGCGCGGCCTGTGTTCCCATGGTACTCGGGGTCTGCGCACGAGGAGCCGCCAGTCGCCTCTTCCTCGAGCTGGTTCGAGGCCGCACGCGAGCGCCAAGATGCTCAGGCCGGCGAGGAGCGCCGCGCCGCTGAGGCACGCGAAGCTGCTCGCCAGCGCTACGGCTTCATGCCTCCCGACGACGTCGACGAGCCGGCACCGTTCCCGCGACTGCGGACAGAAGAGTCGCAGTCGAACCACGCGCAGCGCCAGCGCAACCGCATCGCGACCGTGGTCGCCGAGCGGGACAGCGAGGTGCCTTCGATGCGTCTGGCGGCTGAGGGCTGGACGCTCATCGGTGAGTCTGGCTGTATCGCGCACGGCTGCGCAGGCACTGACGTTCCCTCAGATCCCGCGGCAAACACAGTTCCCTCCGCCGCCGACGAAGCCGCCAGCTCGCGAGACGACGGCCGCTGGCTCTTCGACGGGCCTGCGCAGCCGTCACGCCGCTTCAGCGCCAGCCCGATGGCGCTCGAGCCAACTCTCTCGCCGCCTCCCATCATCTCAGCTGCTCAGTGGGCGGCTGAGCACAACGGCGCGCGCACGGCCTCGTTGGACGACCCGCGCGCTCTGCGCCGGCCGAGACGCCTCGCCAGCCTCACGACGGAGGACGTCACTGCAGCGGCGCGCTCGAGCGCATCGTCGCCGATCACAGCCAGTCCGACTGCAGGCTCTCCCTTCGGACTGGACCGCGCGGGCCCGGGCGTCTTCCCAGCCCTGCGACGTGCCGAGTACCACGGCGCGGGCACTCCTCGACAAGCTGTGAGCTCTCCTCCGCCATCGGCCGACGCTTTTCTGCGCCTCAACGCCGCTGATGCCTGGGCAAACAGTGAGGCGGAGCGCGACTTTCAGAGCCGCCTGGACGGCTCGGACGTCAGACAGCCCGCCGCAGCTGGTGCAGCCACGCCTTCTTCGCTGCGTATCGAGCGCGCTTCGCAAGCCGTCTCATCGGCGAGTGACGAAGATCGCGACATGCAGCAGCTGCGCGATCTCAGCTCGCGCTTCAATCGCGAGATGGCGGAAAGGCGCGAGGAACTGCGCGAAGCAGAGACACGTCTGCGGATCGCAGTCGCTCAGCGACGTCAAGAGCTGGACCAGCTGCGCTTCAGGCAAGGACGCATCGGTCGCGTCGTCGAGTCTCCAGCCGTCGCCTCGCAGCAGGCACTCCAACACGGCTCGACCGAGGAGGGTGCGTTCGCGCCAGGATCAAGTCCTGAGCAGCGTGTGGCAAGCGGCACCACGCCAGCTGCCTCGACCCTCGTCCAACGCCGAGCGAGTCGCGACGCCAACCCTGTGCTGCGTCCGTATCATCGTCACGAGCGTCGCGAGGCCGCTGCTCATGCCGCAAGCGAGTCCTCCCTGACGGCTCCTGACGCCGAGGCGGAGCACCTCATCCCGTCCGTCCGGCACGCGAGCATGACTGCGCAGTCGTCGCCGACGCTCGCGGTAGAGACAGCGCCCGAGGCGGACGACAAGGAGACGTCTGCTGTCGACGAGCAGCGAGACGTGGAGGGCTTCGGCAGTTCGAGCGCACCCTCGCGCGCCGCTCCGTCGCTCGTCGTGGAGCAGTCTTGAGGGCTCACGAGCTTCATGTTCTAACTTAGTGTCACCCATTTCCATGCGCTTCATGCTGTGTCAAGAGACCCTGCTTCTGCGACGTGGGAACTCGAAGATGGAGCGGGCCTCGGCTGCCCTCGCCGTTCGAGAGCATACGGTGCCGGCTGAACCCCTGACGCTGGCGCTGGCGCCGGCGCCGCTAGGCGCGCAAGCAGCGCGGCCGCAGCGCGAGTTCATGCCTCACTCCTCACCACCACCGTCTCACAACATGTCAGACCGCGCCGGCAGTGCTGCGCCTCTCGAGGACACAAAGCGCAGAGCGGTCTCTTCTCTGCAGCGCAAGCGCCACGGCAGCGCAGCCAGCTCTCACGCTGCTCCGGTGAAGCGGCCAAGGAGCGGCGGGCCGGACGCGGCAGAAGCTGCGTCGGAGGAAGTGGATGAGCTCAAGGAAGAGGAGGAGGAGCAAGGCGGCGCAGGAGGAGGAGAGGAAGGTGCACCTGCCTCTGATGAGGAGCAGTCAGAAGGTGCGTCGCAGCGCTGTACACGGGAGAAGACAGCAGTGTGCTGACATGATCATGTGCAGAGGCTCCCAAGGCTGATCAAGACGCTGAGCTGCTGCTGAACGCTAAAGACGACAGGGAGATTGTGCGCTGGCTGGGTCAGTACATGGCCGCGGGCGGCGCTCCCATTGCGGTGCCGCATCACCGCCTCGAGGTGCTGGCAGAGCAGCTTGATGCAGCGCGGCACCCATATGGTGCTCGCTCCCAGCAAGCCGGCACCAGATGGCTGGCAGCCAAGCTGCAGCGCATCAGCCGGTCCTTCTATAAGAGTGCTGAGAAGCACTTTGCCCGGCGTCTGCTGGAGAAGCCGGTGGACGACTGGCCAACAGCGTCACGACGCCGTCTGCTTGACGACGTGACCACGATCCGGCCGTGGTGGCGCCTCTACCATGACCACTTTGCCCGCGTCAAGCATGGGCGCTACTACATCGAGCCGGAACCGACAGCCGCCTCGAGCACCGCAGCAAGCAGCGCCGTCGCAGAGACCGCGTCCTCCGACAGCAAGCATGTGAAGCGTAAAGAGCAAGCGGCGCGCGAAGCAACGCCCGAGGCCGTGGACGACGCCGTGGACGTCAAGCCGGCGTCGCTGTCGGCCGCAAGCTGAGCCGGTGCGTCGGCGCGGAGATGCGCCGTCGGAGCGAGGTGCCGACTGCAACGCTCATCCTCTGCTCAGCCTGAAGTCCAGGCCGCGCCGCGCTTCCTCCTCATCATGGCATACCCTTGAGCAGAGCGATGAAGTTTACCCGGCGAGCGCGTCGACGTCGGCGAGGACGTGTGGCTTGCGAGCGGCTTGCAGCGGCGTGGCGCAGCGGCGCGTCAGCCAGGACACCGAGCCGCTCGCTCGTCCGCCTCCTCCGCTTGCGACAGCGAAACTGCCTGTTAAGAAGGGCAGGATCAGCCGTGTGGCAGCTTGCGCTCTCTGTCAGAGATGTGTCTCCGCGCTGTACGGCTTGGTCGTGGCATGGAGGAGAGAGCACGGCGCATGTGCCGGCATGCCGGCACTTCCAGCGGCCGGCGCGGCGGATGTGGAGCAGCCGCGGCGGCGTCTGCCCCGCACCCTCCTTCACCACCACCACGTCTCGTCTCGCTCTCTTCCGTCAGGTGCTTCCAGGCTTCGCTCTTCCCTTTCCGCTCCCCCCATTCTTCCTTCTTCTGCCACTCGTCCACCGCCGTGCCGCGCCATGTCCGAGTCCACGCCGCTCCTCTCGCGCCGGCCGTCGTGGAAGAGCGCGCTGCGGCAGGAGGTCGCCGTCGACTCGCCCGCCGCACGCCTCGCCCTCACGACGCAGTGCTTCATCGCTGGCTTTGGTGATGCGGCCGTTTATGCGCCAGTGAAGACGTGGATCGCCTTCATGGTGAGTGGCTCGCCCGGCCGCCTCTGGCTGCGTGTCTCGTGCGTCGCGCTGACGCCGCTGCGCAGACGGGCAACTTGACGCAGCTGATGATCTCGAGCGTGGCGCTGCTGTTCCTGCGGGTGCGCCCGTCCACCTCGGCGTCGTCCGAGGAGAGCAGCATGCACTCCTCGCGCGTCATCCTCTCTGCCGGCTCGGTGGTGGGCTTCGCGCTGGGTGCCTTTCTCTCGCAGCAGGCCGTGCTGCGCTTCGGCGCCGCACAGCGGGCACGTCTGGCGGGCACGCACCTCGTCGGCGCACTCATCGTGCTCGCCGTGGCAGGCATCATGTCACGCGGCTACGACTTGCAGAGCGACGTGGCGCCGTACCTCATTGGCGCGCTGGCGTGCACGATGGGTGCCCAGGCCGTCGTGGGCCAGCGCAGCGGCAACGCGCCGTACGCGACGACGGTCGTCTTCACTGGTGAGTCATATCCGAGGTGCTGGGTCTGCGCGGGCGGCTGACCATCTCTCGTGTAAACAGCGACGCTCACGCAGGTCTTTGCCGACCCGCTCTTCCCGTACCTCGGCGCACCGGGCCGCCGGCGTGTCGTCACGATCCTGGCGCTGCTGCTTGGCTCGGGCTCCGCGCAGTGCGTGCTCGAGCTGCTGAAGGACTCGCGAGCGGCCACGTATGCCCTGCCACTCGTGCTCTGCGCCCTGGCAACCGTGCAGTGCGCCGTCGCTGCGATCTGGGCGCTCGTGCCGGCGGCGCAGGCGGCAGAAGCGGACGCCTGAGGATCGCTTGCCCGCCATTGCTCGCATCTGGACTGCACACCTAATATCAGCACTCGCAAAGTCACATGAGGATGAATGAGTGAGCTGTCAATGGTACAAATAAAGCAAGTCGGAGCCAGTGCGAGAGAGAGTGTGTGTATGGGGTAGCGCGGCAGAGACGTGCTGCACGCTCGCAAGGCGAGCAGAGCAAGATGGAAGCAAAGAGGCCGGGCTCGGCTACCGGTGCACGGGCGGCGGCGGCGGAGCGAAGCCGTCGGGGCCCGTCGGCAGATACGGCGTGCGCTGCGAGTCGATGTTGTTGCCCACGACGTTGTTGCCCCACCAGTTGACGTACAGCTCGCCGTTGCGCGGCAGCGCGAGGGTGAGGAACATGAAGATGAACTGTGGGGATGAGAGAGTCAGCAGCTGCAGCACATAAACAGCACACGGCACACGCACCGAAGCGACCGTGCCCAGGTCGAGCGCGGCACTCGTGACGAAGTTGTACTTGGACCACCAGCGGAAGTTGCGGCGGCGGATGAGGTACTGGAAGATGAAGCCCGTGAGGAACCACGACGCGTAGTTGAGACCGCTCGCCGGCGGGATGAAGGAGAGGCCGTTGAAGAAGATGGGCGTGCTGATGAACTTGATGGGCGTGCGCGGGAAGCGGCGCGCCAGCAGCCAGATGGGAATGGGCAGCACGGCGCCGACGAGCAGGCCGAGGTAGATGGGGTGGTAGATGCTGTCGCGGCCGAAGAGCAGGTCGGGCCCCACGGCGCCCCAGATGATGCTGCTCGTGAAGAAGACGTTGGCGTGCGGACAGGTGAAGCGCTGCGGCTGCGCCGGGTCGCACACGCGCTCGACGTGCCCGAAGATGAACTGCTTCACCGCCCACTGCACGACGGCGGTCCAGCCCGTGGCGATGAGCTGCATCGCGAATGTGGCGCGCGGGTTGACCTTCATGTAGTGGCCCACCTTGAGGTCCTGCACGAAGTTGAGGCCGCTCGACAGCGCCTGCACGCAGTACACCTTGAACACCATGTTCGGCACGGCGCGCCGCGGCATCATGTAGCCGGCGACGAGCTCGCCGATGATGTTCGTCGCCGGCAGCGAGCCCGTCATGGCGTAGATGAAGCCAGCGGGCAGCGCGTACACGGCGGCGACGAGGATGGCGATGAGCAGCGCCCACACGGGCAGGTCCGTGTCCCACACCTCGACGACGACGACGGAGATGGCAAACGTGATGAGCAGCACCAGCGCGTACCACCAGTCGGGCACGGTCGGATAGCGGCGCATGAACTTGGCGTGGATGTCGTCCTCCTCGGTGCGGATGCGGCGGATGCCCTTCCACAGCGTCTTGCCGTGGTAGAGCACCGTGTGCACGAGCACCGACGTGGCGGCCGCGAAGCCGGTCCAGTAGGCAAAGTACAGCGACACGGAGAGGTAGAGCGGCGAGTAGGCCTCGTACTCGGCGACGTTGAGGTCCGAGCGCGAGCCCAGCACGCGCAGCACGTCGTAGCGCTCGCCGAAGCGGTCCCATGTGCTCGAGCTGTTGAACGGCAGGCGCGCAAAGTTGAACACGTTCTTGTAGTACAGGATCGGCGCGGCGATCCAGTAGAAGAAGACGAAGCCGGCGAACACGTTGCACTCGGCCCACCACGGCGCCACGAGCGGCGAGCCGATGTAGGCGATCTGCGACCAGTCGAACGTGAGGATCGACATGCCGAGGCCGGACGTCGTGCCGAACACGGTGTTGACGACGTGGCTGTTCGGCCAGATCCAGCAGACCCAGTTGAAGTAGCTGAGCGCGCTGAAGATGAAGTTCGGGAAGAAGAACCACAGGAACGCGGCGCCGGCGAGGATGTTGAAGTAGCGGAAGCGCGTCATCGTGCCGTCCAGGCCGTCCTCCTCAGCGTGCAGCGTGTTGAGCACCGTGGCGGTGACCAGGTTCTGCGGCCAGATCATGCTCGCCGGCGTCACGAGGAAGGGCACGCAGAAGCCCGAGAAGCCAAAGCCGATGAGCTGGCTGCTGAGCATGTACAGCACCTGGAACGACTGCGGCTTCGGCGCGTTGTAGAACACGGCCGAGTCGAGCGAGATGAGCGAGCTGAACGCGTACGCCTGCCCGATGGCGACGTTGGCGGTGAGCGTGATGAGCGCGTGCTCCTTGATGTTGAAGCTGCCCGGGTTCATGCTCCACGCGCCGCCGCCGAGGAAGCGCGGCAGGTGGAAGACGCGGATCGGCAGGATGCGCGCCAGCAGCTTGCCGAGCGGATACGCGACCAGCTGGACGATAATCGGCGACACCTGCGGCGACGGGATGCGCAGGTTGAAGAGGATGTTCGCCGTCGCGGCGCACGTGTTGAGCAGAATGGCGAGGACGAACATGCGGAGCGTGAAGGCAGGCATGTCCGGGTCGTCGATATTTGACACGGACGCGCGGACCTGAGCAGCAAGGGTGAGCACAGGCAGCACGCATGCTTGCGCGGCAGACGCACCTCGGGGTACGGCGAGTCCTCCTCCATCTCCATCTCGAGCTCAACCATGCGCATGCCCATCGCGCCAACCTCGACGCCGTCCATGACGGGGTGCGCGAGGCCCTCGCCGCGGCCGAGCTGCGAGCTGGGCCGGCCGTACGCCAGCTTGTCCGGGTCGTCGTCGTACGGGAAGCCGTACTCGTCGACGAGGTTGAACTTGCGCTCCGAGTCGGGCGAGCGCCCAAAGTCGGCGCCGATGGACATGCGGTTGCCGCGCTGCCGCAGCGAGTTGGCCGTGTTGCCGCGCGCGCCGTCCTGCGACGGCTGCGAGGCGCGCCGCGGCGACGAGACGGGGATGTTGTTGTCGACCATGCTGGCGCCCTTGGCCGTCGTGCCTATTGACCGTGCGCCGTGCCGCGACGAGAGACCGTCGCGGCTCGTCGGCAGGTAGTCGACCTCGTCGAGCACGCCCATGGCGGGCAGCGCATGCGTCGAGCGCGCATGGTTCAGCGGCACCTCGCCACGCAGGCTCGACGCGTTGGAGCTCTTGCGGTCCATCGACATGCGCGGCTCCTGCATGTACGCGGTGCGCCGCATGCCCTCGGACGGCAGCAGCGGCGACGCGCCCGTTCCAGCTGAGGGCATGGCGATGCTGGAGTGCATCTCGTCCAGCCGTGCCGCACTACCGCCGGCGCCGCGCATGCTCTCGTACGGGCCCTGCTGCGACGCATCGAGTGCCGTAGAGCCCGACAGCTGTGGCGACGCCGGCTCGACCATGCCGACGGCCACGGACTCATCGCCGACCTCCTCGCGGTGGTGCGACGCGCTCGTGCCCGCAATCTGCGAGGCGTCGAAGCCGGCCGGCATCTCGACGAGGCGGCCCTGTGCATCGTACACGGCGCCCGTCGCCTCGTCAAAGTAGAACGTCTCCTCTTCCTCCTCGGCGACGGCGCCCGGCAACGAGAGCATGCCGGCAGCGCTGCCGCCCATGTCGGATGCGACGGACATGTCGGCCGCGCCGCTGGCCTGCGGCGCCTGCGGCTGGCCGTACACGTCTGTGCCGCTCGAGGTCAAGGTTGCCGGCTCGCCGAGGTCCGCTGCCGTGCAGTGTCAGCGAATGAGAGGGTGCTCCTGAGGCATGCAGCAGCAGCCAATCAGCCTCGCCCTCGCTCATGCGACTCACGTGGCACGAATGCAAACACATCGCCGTCATCCTCGCTCTCATAGTCCTCCTCGTCCCACTCGTCGAGATACTCCTGCTGCTCGTGCCCGTGCTGCTGGTGCTGCTGCTGCAGGTCGGCCGCGCCGGTGCCGCGCGTCGTCGGGCGGGCGCCGCCGGAGGTGAGCGGGCGGCCCGTGGTGGGCCGGCCGGACGAGGTGCCGGTGCGCAGACGGGCGCCGCCGCGCCCGGAGCGCGTCGTGGGCCGCGAGCCGTCGGCGGAGCCCGGCGGCTGGGACATGGCGCGCGCAGGTGGCGCTCAGAGAAGGAGATTCAGAGTGGTGGAGGTGACGGTGACGCGTGTGTGTGTGATGGATGGTCCGGAGTGCGAGATGGAGACGGATGGATGGAAGGAGAGGCGAGGGCGAGGGATGGAGAGAGAGAGAGGAGTTGCTGCTGCAGGGAGAAGCGGCGCCTCGGCGTGCCTGCCTCGCCTGCTGCTGTCGCTGCTGCCGTGCCGCCTCGGCGTCAGGCCACCCGAAGCACAACAGGCACGCGTCGAGAGCGGAGCAGCGCACGGCAGGCGCCCAGCATGAAGCGCCAGGCACACGCCCGCTGCCTGCTGGGTGCTGCTGCCTCTCCGCGCTCTCCCCTCCTTCGCCTCATCAACTTCAGCGGCTCGGCCTTAGCGCAGACAGCGGCCACACGCGCGGCGCGCCGCCAGTGCGCTCGATGGCGCTACGCCTCCTCGCGCAAGTTGGGTTAGTGCCTGATGCGCAGAGGGGTGCCGCTGCCGACGGCCGCTCTGCCTCTGGCCGCACCCACGAGGACGTCTCAAGGCGCAGACAGCAGACAGACGATGCCTATGCTTCACCGGGCAGCACCAGCGCCGCAGCGTGCAGCTTGCAGAGCGCAGAAAGCGTGGCAGCAGGCAGAAGCACACCCGCACCCCCGCCCCTCGTCTGCGCTCTGCGCTCCCCGTGGCGCCTCCGCCGCGCCACGGCACGCCGCTGAGGCCGCTGCCCTGACGCCGCGGCGGCTGCTCTCATGCGCAGCTGCACGCCCCCTGCGTCTTCGCCCGCCGTGCGTCGCAGGACGCCGCACGCCTCGGCGCCGGCAGAGCGAGAGACGTGGAAAAGTGCTCGAGCGAGCCGCATGCTTGGTTTCTGGCGCAGCGGCGGCGGCCCGTGGGCTCTGAGCATGCACGAGGCGCGACCTCGGGAGGGGCGGGCGAAGCGTGAAGCTGGCGGTGCGGTGAGCCGACATCGCGCTCCGAGCATGCTTCTTTGCCCCTCTTCATCGTCGATGTACCTCGCATCCGTCGCTCCGGCACCTCATTTGGACACAAAGTGCTGCGGGGGCAAACCGTCTCGTCTTGTAACACGCTGCGGCGCGCGCAAGAGAAGCATTTCGGCACAGGCACTTGACGCCACCGCGTCGGAGCGTCCCCTGAGATCAGACAAGGCTCTCGCGGGCCGCGAGAAGCAGCTGACAGCACAACAGGAGGTAGCAGCTGCGTCTGGCTTGTGGTGACTGGCTGCGCCCAGAAACGGGAACGATCGCGGGACTATCAGCTCCTCATCACGGCGGTGCCGATCCGGTACCTCGGAGCAGCGCCAGAAGCCCACGTCGGGATCCGCAAGGGCGATGTCGTGCCTCCGCGCCGCTGTCGTCGCTCTCGGACGCAGGCAGCTGACCATCCGCACTTATGAAGACGTGCAGCCGACTCGAGCACCACGCACGTGGCACAGCGGCGTCGACTCGGAGCGCAATCCTGAGGCGCTGCACGGCCCATGTGCGGCTGCCAGCGCTGCAGGTGCGTCCTTGCCGCAGCAGCCGCAGCAGGCCGTTTTCAGACTCTGCAGCGCTAAGAGTCGAGTGCGAGTATAAGGGCTTCACTTGTGCTTGAGACACCTCGTCTTGCTTGTCAGCATGCAGCGGTGATCGGCAAGGCGCGGAGGTCGGCATGCGGCGTCGGGCAGAGCAAGGCCGGCTCAGGGGCCTGCGCCACGTGCGGGCAGCACATGCGTTCGCTTCCTCGCTGCCCGTCGCGGCTCGGCGGCAACCCGTCGACTGGCCCATCTCTGGCTCTCAACGACTGCTGCTGAGGCTATGCTCAAGGGTCAGCACGCAGACTAGGCTGCTTGTGCTATGGCCCAGCTCGCGCGTGAGAGGCTGGCTCGCGGCTGCATCTGTGTCGCGTGGGCAGGCCGCGCGCCTGCTACCCGATGCGGGCGGAGGTGTGCGGCAGCGAAAGGCCACAGCGAGTGAAGAGGAGGTCAAATCAGGATCAGCCTGCCGAAGCATCCGAGATCACCGCAGTCAAGCGCTTACCTGGCTGGTGAAAGCCCGCGCTGCCGATGCAGAGAGGGAGCAGCAGAAGCAGCATCGGCGATGGCGCCGAGAGCAACACCGGCCCGCCGCGCGCCGGCCGCATGCGAGCGTTGCCGGCGGCTCCCCGCACCGCGACGCGTCTGGCTGGCGGTCCGGTGCGTGCCCCTGTCGCGCCTCCTGCCCCTCTGCGCTATCAGCCCGCCTGCTCCACCCGTCCGGCGCTCCCTCGCACCTCGATGCGGCCGGCCGCTGTGCCCGCTGCCTCGTCCCCTCCACCGCCGCCGCGCCTATAGATACGCTGGCCAGCGTCTGCGCCCGCCCTCGGTCTCGCCCACCTCCACCCTGCTCCTTATTCGTCGGTGCTCGCGTCTCTCCTCGTCCTCGCCTCTGCGTCTCCTATGTATTCACCGCGCACCCGCCCCTCTCGCCGGCGCACCGCCGACTCTGCGAGCATGCTGCTCTACGCCCTCTACCTCGCGCTGCGCTGTCTCGCCTTCGTCATCCACGCGCTCCTCGCGGCGCTGCACGCGCTGCACGCCCGCCTGCTCTCGCTCTGCGCACGCCTGCTCGCGCCGCTGCCGCTCCTCTCGCTGCTGCTCGAAGCGGCGCTGCACCCGCGCAACACCCTCGCCATCCTCTGGCACGCACCCGCCGCACCGGCGCTGCATGTCTTCTACAGCCCCTCGGCCACGCTCGAGGCGCAGCGCACGGCCCTGGCGCTCGCCTGCTGGATCGCCGGTGAGCAGCGCGGCAGCGTGCTGCTCCTGCTGCCGGACGCATCACCAGCTCCAGTCGAGGCAGCACCTGCTCTGAAGCCGTCGAGCTCCAAGGCCGCGCAGCTCGAGGCCCGCAAAGAGGCCCCGCCTACGCTCTCCGTGGCAGATGTATACGCCGCCTGGGCGCGTGCACGCAAGGAGCGTGCCCGCGCCGACGACGAGGCCGCTGCGTCGCTCACGCTGGGCTCCGTCGTAGATGCCACGCGGCGACTCGGCGGCTGGCTGCGAGGCGAGGTGCGCACGCCCGCAAGGGCGCAGGAGGGCTATCAGACGATCGGCGCACAGGCCGCGGGCAGGAGGCGCTTCTCGTTTCCCTGGACGCGCGCCATTGGCAAGGAGCGCGGTCGTGGTGCAGTGAGTGTAGCGTGCGTGGCCCTGATGCTTGCAGGCTGACGTCCACAAAAGGTGATCCCTCTGAGCATGTCGCTCTCGTCTGCCGACTCGCGCGCACACATCAAGAGCACCATTGCCTCGTACTCCAAGTCGCACGCCCTGCCCTTCCACACGCTCTTCCTGCTGCCCTCGAGCGCGCCCTCCACACTCGAGGCGCTGCAAGAATGCGCGCAGGCCGTCGAGATGCAGGAGCTGCTGCTGCCGCTGCTGCAGACGCATGGCCGCACCGCGCTGCTCATGCCTACCAGCGCCACGCCGACGGCTGGCGGCAGCGTAGCGAACGCGGCATGGCAGAGCGCCTTTGCCGAGACGCAGCATGCGCAGATCTGCTTTACTGAGCCTCTGACGGCAACTCGCTCGTTCCGTGCCCTCCTCACCGCTGCGCTCTTCCCTGCACCGCTTGCTCCGATCGCGAAAGAAGGCGCAAAGGCCAGCGCCGCACCGCCAGTGCCTAGCCTGACGATGCAGGTGGCGCTGGCACGCGTGCTGGCGCGCCCGGCACAGAGTGTGCGGACAGTGCTCGGGCTCGGAGCGAGGATAGCTCAGCTTCCTGGAGGAGCTGCCCTGCTGCGAGGCACTGCGCCGCGATAGACGCCCGCTGCGCAATATCATTATCCTAGACGCTGCTCTCCCCTGCACGCGACTGTCTCTGTCTGCTTCCATCTCCCGCACCTGAATCATCTGCCACGCACGAACACGCACCGCACGTCATGGCACCATACAAGGAGCAGCGTCTGGTCATTAATGCTCCCCCTGTTTTGTCCCTGGTCTATGCCGCCCTGCTTCCGTGCACCACCTCGCTCCGCCCCAGCGGCTGTGCCACGTACGCCGGCCGTGGCTCTGCTGCGCCCTCTGCAGAGGCGCCGGCAAACTCTGCGTCGAGCGTCGAGGACGGCATCGTCGCGAGCGAGGACTGGCCGGGTGTGGCGAGGTAGAAGCGCCGCATCGCGTCCTCTGCTGCCTGCCAGAGGCAAAGAGCATGCGTCAGCCGCGAGTCTCGAGGCCTAATGCAAGGCAGGCGCACTCACCCGGTACTCTGCCATCTTCAGTGCGCTGCCCGTGCCCTCGCCCAGCTTCGTCGCGCCGCTCCACACGCCGACGACAAAGATGGGCGCAATGCTCGTGCGGCCCGTCTCGGCGATCAGCCGGCTGACCGGCGGCTCGAGGCTGTACTTGGCGCACGTCTGGCTCAGCACCCGCTTTGGGTCGGTGAACTTGAGCAGCTGCTCGAGTGGCAGCTGGCGCGAGAGGATGAGCGAGTGCAGCTGCTTGCGCAGCGCCGGCAGGCCGTTCATGGAGAGCACAAGTGCGAAGAGCGCACGCAGCGCATCGGTCGAGGCCCCTCGTGCGTTGACCTTCCGTGCCTCGGCCTTGCCGCGCGAGAGCTTCAGCGACGACGGCTCCACCTTGTTCGAGGGATCGAAGCGCAGCAGCGATGCGCTCGTGACGCCCAGCTCGGCGGCCACGTCGGCCAGCGTCTGCGGGCCGACGTACGCCGACACGGCGGCCTTGAGGGCGCGCACGGGCAGGTGCGGGAAGCGCAGGTGCAGCGCCTCGGACATGAGCATGCCGAGCCAGGCGTTGCCCTCGGCCGCCAGCGCCGCGTTGTCCTTCTCCGGCAGCGGCAGGTACTGCTCGCGCGCCTGGTCGTCGCCTGACATGCGCTGCAGCTCGTCGTTGCTCAGTGCCCGGGCGCGCGCCAGCTGAGGCAGCAGGCTCGGGTGCACCAGCGCCTGCGCCACGGCCTCCAGACGTGCTTTCCGCTCCGGCGCAGAGAGGCTGGCGGGCAGCAGATGGAAGCGCGTCGCGAGAGCCGAGAGCGACGAGAGCGGCAGCGGCGCAGTGAGGGCGTAGAGCTGCGGGTCTGCCCGTGCGAGTGGTGGCAGGTGCCGTGCGGGGCCGGCAGAGGGGGAAGCGGTGGAGGACGAGGCAGCAGCGCGAGAGGACGAGGCGAGGCCGCGGGCCACGGACGGCGTGGCGGCCACTGGCAGCGCACAGAGGCGCTGCCGCAGCGCTGTCCGCAGAGGCGAGAGGGCAGCCATGACTGGAGCGCTGCTGCTGCAGACGGCCAGAGGAACGGGCGAGTGGAGTGAGAGATGTGCGGAGGATGGAGAGCAGCAGGAAGGAGGGCGGGTGCAGCCGGTGGCTTCCGCTGCAGCATAATCTGGCGGGCGCCCCACGTGACCGGCGCTGCAGCCCAGCCAGGCCAGCCCGGCTTGGCTCCACGCTGGCTGAGCGCGACTCCGGCCTCCTGGGGCTCGGGCCGCGACCTCCACGCCGCGCGCCGCACCGAGCTCCTGTTCCCGACCCCGCACCGCCTCCCACTGCTCTCACTGCTCCGCTCCGTGCTTGTCTCTGTGCTCCGTATCGCCGCTGTTAGCACCCAAACACCATGTCGCGCGCCGCGACGTTGCAGGGCGCCACGCGCTCGCCCGGCTCGTCGGTGCCGCTGGCGTCGGCACGCACCCGCTCGCCCACGCCGCCGGCGCACGACGCCCTCTCCGTCATCCTCTGCACCGCCGGCTACGACCACAGCATCCGCTTCTGGGAGGCGTGGAGCGGCGTGTGCGCGCGCACCGTGCAGCACCCCGACAGCCAGGTCAACCGCCTCGCCATCAGCCCCGACAAGCGCTGGCTCGCCGCCGCGGCCATGTGTCAGGTGCGCCTGTACGACTGCACCCTCGGCCAGGGCATGGGCCAGGTCGGGCACAACGGCGGCGGCGGCAATCCCGTGAGTCGCGCAGGAGGAGCGTGAGCTGTGGCTGCTGTGACTGTCGAGTGCTGCGCGCCTGCGCAGAGAGCTGCCACTCGCGCACGGGGGTCGCTGGTCAGCCCGGCAATCGCGAGACGGCATGACAGCTGCGCCTGCAGGCCATCGCAAGCTCAGCGGCAGCTCTTGGCCACCTGCTGATCTGGTCTCTCGCACTCAGGTGGCCACATTTGACGGACACTCCGGGAATATCACCTCGCTCGCATGGCACTGCGATGCGAAGTGGCTTGTGACGGGCAGCGAGGACGGCACGCTGAAGATCTGGGACACGCGGTGCGTAGAGACTCTGTTCGGCGCGGCGCCATAGCTGGCAGAGCATGCATGCCTACAAGGATCTGAGCGCCGACGTCGCTCGCTGACTCGCGCCTCTCGCCGCAGGACATCACGGCCACAGCGCATCTACGACCATCGCGCACCCGTGAACGACGTCGTCATTCACCCGAATCAGGGCGAGCTGGTCTCGTGCGATCAGGCGGGCAGCGTCAAGGTGTGGGATCTGGGCGAGAATGGCTGCAGCCATGAACTGGTGAGTGCGGCGACTTGGCGACGAGAATGGTGCAAGCGAGCGATCGACTGCGGTGCGCTTGCAGAGCAGCGCTGCTCGTGCCCAACGCAGTGCTTTCACTTTGCCGACAGCTGTCAGGAGAGAGCTTCACCGGTCCGGGCGGTCGCCTAGAGTCGTTTGCTGACCGCATCTCACAGGTGCCAGAAGAGGAGGTACCCATTCGGTCGGTCACTGTCGCTTCCGACGGCTCATGTCTGGTGGCAGGCAACAACAAGGTGAGTCTGCCAGTCTTCGTGCCCGGCAATCGCTCACGCCGGTGTCTTGACAGGGCAACGTGTACGTCTGGCGCATCCAATCAGGCGGCTACGAGGGTGCCAACTCGATGCCGGGCGGCAGTGGTGGAGAGGCAGGCGCGTCATCAGACGGGTCATCAGGCGCTGCACCGGCTCCACCAACACCGCCAGCAGGCGCCGGTGACTTTACGGACCTGCAGCCCGTGACCAAGTTCCGGGCGCACGACAAGTACCTCACCAAGTGCCTGCTCTCGCCAGACGTGCGGTGAGTGTCGCTGCGACTCTGTAGCTGCTGCACATGCTGAGCCTCCTTTGATGCGATGCCAGGCATCTGGCGACCTGCTCGGCCGACACCACCGTCAAGATCTGGAGCACGGCGCGCTACGAGTTCACGCTCGAGAAGACGCTCGTGGGCCACCAGCGATGGGTGTGGGATGCGGCGTTCAGCGCCGACAGCGCCTACCTTGTCACCGCATCGTCAGATCACGTCGCACGGTTATGGGAGCTCGCCAGCGGCGAGACGGTGCGGCAATACAACGGCCACAACAAGGCCGTCGTGTGCTGCGCGCTCAACGACTCGCACCTCGAGAGCTGAGCGCGAATGCATCATTATATCACGTCGGTGCAGCGCAGGTGGAGATACAGAAGAGGTGATGAGGCGGCGCAAAGAGGCGACGAAAGGCGCAACAAGCAGCGAATAGGAGGGCAGAGTAGGTGTCCGGGTTAGATAGAGGAGCGGCGCGAGAGTCGTAGAGGATATGGCCGGGCGCGAATGTGTTATGATGGCGCGCAGGCGGCCGAGGATTGCGCAGGAACGAGGCAGATGAATAGGAGAGATGAAGGAGAAGATGCAGGAGAATACTGGGGTCATTCGAGGCATCACGGGCCGCCACGCACGGACGGCAGCAGCGGTGCGTGGTGCTGCAGCGGCGAAATGCCGCTCGGGCGCGCATACGGGTGCGCATGGCCGAGGTCAGGGCGCGCGTGCTGGTCGTGCCAGGCCTCGGCGCTCGGGAGGTCGGGACGGTGGCCATGCGGCGGCGGCAGGGCGTGCGCGTAGGCATGGTGAGGCGGCGCATGCGACATGGGAGGTCCGTAGGCGGGGTGCGCGTGGCCGGGCGCGTGCGCGTGGAGCGGCGGAAGGTGCGTCGGCGGCATCGGGTACTGGTAGGCGCCGGCCTGCGGCGGCAGAGGAGGAAGGTAGGCGTGCGGCGCAGCAGACGGCATGCGCGGCGACCAGCGCGAGATCGGCGGCAGCGAGCTGCCGTTGCTGGAGCTCCAGCTCGACTGCATCGGCGGTCCGCTGAGGCGAGGAGGCGCAGGTGCAGCGTGCTCAGACGGCGCGCGAGCCTCGGATCCGTAGGGACTGCGCATGCTGTAGGCGGGCGAGGCATAGCCCATCTCAGGCGAGGATGCGCCGCGCCATTGCGGCGCCGGCTGTTGGTGAGCATGCGCTAGAGGCGGCGCACCCGCATGCTGCCCATAGGCGTGAGCAGTCGACGGCGGCGGCGCATGCTGCTGGTAGCGCGCACGCAACGATGCCGCGTCGTGAGGCACGTACTCGCTGCGCGGCGGCTCGTTGTAGGCCCGTCCGTATGCGCCGTTCGACGAGTGGTGGTGCTGATCGCGCAAGTAGGCGTGCTCGTGCGCGTAGAAGGGCGCTGAGGCCGGCGCATGCTGAGCGGAGGCGTGGTGGACAGGCGGCGACGGCATGTGCGGCGCCTGCGCGTGCTGTGCTTGATGCGCGTGCGGCAGCATGGACATGGGCTGCACCTGCGGAGGCGCCGGAGCCGGCGAGGACAGGGGGCTCGACGACGGAATGGCCATGACAGGCTCCGCCTTGACCTTCTTGGCCTTCGGCTTGGCCGTGCCAGGCGCAGATGCGCGCTTCTTCGCCGGCGCTGCGAGGAGCTTCTCGACACTGGGTGCGGCTGGTGGCTGCATCGCTGGCTGCGTGAGCGGCTGAGGCTCAGCCGTGCGAGGCGCAGCCTTGCGGCGAGACTTGCGCGCGCCGGCGGGAGTGTCTGCGTCGAGATCCGTGCTGGCACCTGCACCCTCGGCCGGCACAGCAGGCTTGCTGCTGGCCAGCGACCTGCGCACGCTCGTCGGCCGCTCGGCAGCGGTCTGCGCTTCATCCTCGTCGCGCACGCGCTTCTTCGCCGGCTTCTCCTCGGGCAGTCCGAGCTCCGCACGACGGCGAGCCTCCGCTGCGTTCCACTTTTCCTCCTCCGCGCGCACCTGCTCGGGCGAGAAGACGAGCTTGGCCCACTTGATGAAGCGCTCGGCGCCAGCCTCCATGATGACGATGGAGCCAGGAACGTCGGGCTCTGCCGCGTCTTCGCGCACGACTCGCACGACCGGAGCGCACCACTGTGCGCCGCCGAGGTGAATTGTGGCGAGGTCCTGCGGCCGCAGCGCGAGTGCAAGAGCGCGCTGGACAGCTTCGCGCCGTGCCGCCTCCGGCGAGATGGGCTTCGCTCGATTGGGATTGTGGAGCGTGCAGAGGACGACGTTGCGCGTCTCGACGTCCTCGTCCTCGTTCTCCTCTGCCGCCGCATTGCCATCAGATGCGGATGCCGCCTCTGTACCACTGGAAGCGCCGGCTGCAGCAGTGCCCGGTGCCTTGCGCGAGCGCGCCTTGCCGCCGGCCTTCTTCTTGCGGCCTTCGATGGCGTCCGCCGCGTCGAGCGGGAGCACATCGAGAAGCCAGCCGGTCTCTTCGACGAACGCGCATGCAACGTGCGCCGCGCGCGCACAGGTACCGAAGGTGCACTGCACCTTGGCGCCCTGCTTTGCCCACTGCGGCTTCGGGCAGAGCGTGCATTTCTGTGCCGCAAAGCATCAGCATCTGCAAACGTATCTGTGCGCGCTGATCACTCACGAGCTGCCAGCGCGCCTTTGGGATGTTCTCGAAGCCAATGACAGTGTCGACGCCGTCCTCGCGCTCCTCGCCAGGCTGCACGAACGTCTCGGGCACGAAGAGCGAGCAGAGCCGGTGGCCGTGGCGCACCGGCTCGTCTGGCGAGTCGCTGGGAATGACGACGAGGTCGTCGTGGTTGTTCGACACGCAGAAGGCGCAGAAGGGCTCGTCCTCGGAGCCTGACGACGAGCCAGAGGCCGACTGCTCGAGCTCGTCCTCCTGCTGCGCTTCCGCAGCCTCCGACGCACGCCCACGCGCAGGCGCAGCTTGATCGGCTACCTGTTGGCCTGCGTCCAATGACACGTCTGCCTCCCTCGCATCCGGCGTGGCGAGGCCTGCCTCACGCGCAAGCAGCTTCTCCTCGCGCTGGCGGTCGCGGCGTGCCTTGTCGCGCAGCCGACGAGCCTCGAGCTTGGCCATGCGTGCTGCCTCGTCATCGGGCAGCTGTGCATCCTTCTCCGCGCGCAGAGCAGCACGCTCCTCCTTGCGTCGCTCGTGCTCCTCCTTCTTGCGCTCGGCCTCCTCGATCTCCTCGCTCTCCTGCAGGATCGCGTCGATGTCCATGCGCACCGAATCCGGCTCGCACTCGCACCAGCCGGCGCGGCGGCCGATCTCGAGCCACGAGGGCAGCGCAAAGTTGACACTCTCGGCGCAGTTGAAGCCGAGGTTGAAGCCCGAGTGGTAGCCATAGGGGTACGTGATGACGAACTCGCCGGCGTGGTGCACGAGGCGCAGCGGCTGGATGTTGTGCGCCGCCAGGAACGCCGGCGAGGCGAGGTACGACTTGTGCCGCAGGAAGTGGCGGCAGCGCCGCGAGTCGGCGGGGAACGCCGACGCCATGGCGAGCTCGAAGCGCGTGCGGTCGGCCTGGCGGATCGAGTACCACTGCTTCGGCGCGCCAAAGTGGATGTAGTTGATGGAGTAGAGGTCCACGTCCTCGACGTGCCAGGCGAACGTGGCGCGCCAGCTGCCAAAGTACAGGTACGGCGTCGTGACGCCGGGCAGCTTGCGCTTCAGGCGCAGGCGCGTGAGGATGTTCGGCAGCTTGCCGACGTTCCACGACGTCGTCTCGTCGGTGAAGAGCGTGCCCTGTGGAGGACTTGTCAGCAGGCTTCTCCGGCAGAGGGCTGAACTCTGGCTCACCTTGAGATCGGCGCCGTACATCGGCGGCTGGCCAAACGTGAGGCCGCGCCAGTACTCCTTCTCGATCTCCCTGCACACCTTTGGGTCCCTGAAGTCCTCGGCTGAGGGCACGACCAGGTCATCCTGCGCGGTGCCCTCCTCCGTCTTCTGCGGCTCAGCCGCCGGAGCCTTGGCCGACGCAAACTCGCGCAGCCAGACGTTCTCATGGTCGAACGCCGCCCACTCCTCCGCCGTAGTGAGGTCAGCCGCCTTGACCTTAGGCACCGGCGGTGCGGTGCTGGTCTGCGACGCATGCGGCGTAGGCTCCGCAGCGAGAGGCACTTTGCTAGCACTGCCCGGCGCGGTAGAGAGCGAGCGAGGACGCAGAGTGCGCCCAGGCGGAGTGGCAGCCGGCGCGCCCTCCAGCTTGGGCAGCGGCGATGCCTCGAGCGCCGGCATGTCCGATGTGTCAACCTCGAGCGCCGGCTGCGGCGTCGAGGGTCGCGCGACATCCTGCGAGAGAGACGACGGACCCGGCGAGTCTTTTGCGCCTTGGCTCGCCGCCGGAGAGCCCACGGCCAGGCTCACACGCTTGCGCCTGCGAGCCGCTGCGGCTGCGACAGCGGGAGATGAGGCATGGCCCGCGGCGCCGTTCGAGTCGCGGCCGCGGCCGCTGCGAGTCTTGATGCCTTCGTCCTTGCCGTCCGGCTTGGCACCGTCGATGCCGTCGGCACGCTCAGCGTTGGCCTGCATGCGGCGCAGCTCAGGGCCGCGAGCACCGGGCGCCGCGCAGGCATCGGCCCACATCTTGGCGTTCCACACCTTGCTCGGATGCAAGTGATTCTGCTGCAGCCAGGCGCCGCTGCCGCCGCCCGCCGACTCCCACTTCTGCGAGATGGCGTTGCGGATACGCACCGAGGCAATGCCGCGCGTCGACGGGTCCTCGCCGCGCTCGCCCGTCTGCGGCGGCGGGAAGGAGCGCAGCGAGGGCAGCGCAGCGCGCCACTCGGGCGGCGGCACGATCTTGACGATGCCGCACTGCATGCCCCACGCATCGATGCGCTCGCAGAAGCGCTCAAAGTCACTGAACTGCGCCATCGTCGGCTCGAAGACGGGCACGCCGTCCATGTCGCTGGCGGTGGCGGAGGAAGCGTCGCGCGGGTAGAAGTACGCAGGCGCGATGGGCGTCTCGCGCTCGCGGCACGGCGACGATGCCGACGTGGCCGGCGAGACGGGCTGCGAGGAGAGCGGCGTGGCGCTGCTGCCGGCAGCACGAGTGCCGGCGCCCGACGACCCCGACGAACTCGCCGAGGAGCTGCTCAGCTGCGCGGCGGCGAGGATGCCGGCCGCACGCTTGGGCCGCGCCGGGCTTGCCGCAGGTGTAGCGGCATTGCTCGGCGAGCGGCCAAGGGTAGCGCTCGGCTTGAGCTCACTCATGGTGGCATCGAGAGGTGCCTGAGACGAAGAGCTCGGGCCGACCGCAGCCGGCTGCGACACTGCCTCGGCCTTGACCGCCGGCACGACCGACGGCGCAGCAGGCTCAGGAGCTGGTGCAGCCGGCTGCTGCGCTGCCTCGTTCGCCTCTGCGACCTGCGCAAAGGCAAAGGCGGACGGCGCGACGGGCGGCGCGAAGGACATGGAGGGCAGGCGCGCGCGGAGGAGCGGCGGCGCGCTCGCCGGACGTCGTGTGACGGCTGCGGGGCCGCTGCGAGAGGCACGGCGGCGCGGCTGGAGCGGTGGCGCGGCGGCGCAGGCGCTCGTGAAGGGTGCGCCGTGTGTTTGGAGGCGACCAGCGATGCGGAGCCGGGAAGAAGAGGCGGGGCAAGAGGGCGCGACGAGCAACGGAGCGGGTTTGGAGGAGAAGGGAAGCAGGCGGCGACGTGTGCGGCTCGAGCGGCGAGGAGAAGCAGCGGCGGGCGGAGCGGGCGGCGCTGCGAGAGGGAGGCGGCAGCCCAGCGTGCAGCACGGTGGCGAGGAGGCTTAAGTGCGCAGCAGCAGCACTCTCGCCTAAGCCGGCACTGCAGCAGTGTCGCGCTCCTCCGCCGCGGCCGGCAAAAAGCAAGCAAGGCACGGCACCACGGCACAGGGTGCACCGGCGCAGGCACATGCGCAGTGTGCGCCGCGGCAGGCCGGCGCAAGAGGCGGGCGCGCCGCCGAGTCGCCGCGCTCCGCCCGCCGTGAGCGGCGCGGACACAGCATGTCGCTCACAAATGCACCTCCTCGACCTTTGCAGCAGTCCCTGCTAGCAACACAGAGGGTTCAAAGGCGGATTAAGGATTACTAAAGGGTCGAGAGAATCGCATGCATCCATTCCAAGGCTTCGTATGAGGTCCCACTCCTCGCCTTCGCCCTTGCACTTCAAGCCGTGGCGTACAAGTCTGCCAAGAGCCTGTGCCGCCGCCTCGTCCGCCACGTCTTTGTTGAAGAGCACGCGCTCAGTGCACAGATCCTGCAGCGCAACATGTCAGGAACCGCTTTGCCGTGTTGCCGTACTGTGCTCTCAACTCACTGCAAAGAGCGGCTGGAAGTACGACCACGCGCCCTTGTCTGAAAACGTGTTCAGCTGCGCGAGGAGCTGTTCTGCTGTGAGCAGAACCTTCATCAGGCTCTGTCTGCGCCTTGCAGCCTGGACAATGGGTGTCAGTGTTGATCTGTAGGCTTCTCAAGCTCATGCCATACCTGGAGGTGGCGCGGAGATGGTGATGGCGGAGGCTCAAGACTGAGCGCTGCGGTCCGCGCCGAGAAGCAATGCGACGCGCCCGGCGATGGACCGGACGACGGACCAATTGGCGCAGGAGTAGCAGCTTGCTGATGAACGAAGCTCTCTTGAGATTGAGAGGATGACACACGCGCAGCAGGCTCGTAGTCCAGCCGTGGTCTCTTCTCTGCTTGCCCGACGGCCGCCGAGGAGCGCGGGGAGGTAGGACGAGAGTGTGATCTGCGCGGCAGCTCGCGCTTGACCTCGATCTGAGAGGCAGAGTGCCTAGTGCCTGGGCTGGAAGAGGAAGCTTGGCGGTGATGCCCTTCGTCGCGATGCTGCAGCGCAATGTTGTCGTGCCAGAGAGCGACCCATCCAGGCAGGCAGTTGAGCAGCGCCTTGTCGTCGGATGATGACCAGAGCGCTGTAGGAATGCGTAGAGACTGCGCCTGGAACGCCACAGGCGCTTCCCGGCTGTAGGAGTTGTCAAGTATCTGCATGAACTCCTCGCAATGCGCAGCAAACTCGGCGCTGGCATCTCCCTTGGGGCGAAGCTGCTGCATGATGACGCCAAATCCTCCCTTTTTGTCGCGAGGCATGGGTGACCTGCCGTCAATCAGCCACCTCCTCAGCTCCTCATGCTGCAACGCAAGGCGCAAGAGGGGCTCGTAGATGCGCACTTCCGAGGTCCTTCTCAAGAAGGCCGTACACTGACCCGTCCCAGTCATCCTCGGAGCACGAGGCAGGTTGGGGTTGGCAGAGGAGTACTCCATCCCCATGCTCCACGCTCTGCCGTTGCGCTCGTCTTCGAGGCGATCTCGAGTGATGAAGTAGTCTGTTCCTCATCAGCTCTGTGTATAGCCCAACGCACCGCAGCATGCACACTCACAGAGACACGGTAGCGCCGTTGGCCTTCGCAACCAGATCTTGTTGTACCAGTCCTTCCACCACGCTGGCTCGCGCGGCGGATCTCCAGCTTCTGCGGGCCAGTCGTCGAGCTCGAGGTGCTCCACAGCGTCGCGCATGGGAATCTTGGCTTTTGCTTGGTCAAACGTGTCGCCCAGCGCAGCAAGATGCTTGAGGATTGTGCTGGGCAAGAGCGGGGAGCGCGGACGGTGGCGACGTGCGATCTCCCTCACGTGTGCGTCACTGAACTTGACGTGATGGTCGTACAGCGCGGCGATCGTCCTCTCGCACTCCGAAAAGGCATCAATCAGCTGGCGAATCCGGTTCGTAGACCAGTGGATGAGCGCAACATCATCGGCCTTCTTCCGCTGGGTGCAATCGGTCAGCGGACAGTTTTGGGTGTGCCGGGCTGGCGCCTGCAGACTGGCCATACGCACGCGTTGCTTTGGTCCCTCGACGTAGTCAGAATCGGAGCTGTCTGCCGGCGTGGTTTCCCAATTCTTGCTCTCAATTGAGCAGCTCGACGTGTCACGACGCTGGCGTTGAGCTGCTGCTCTGGCCGAAGCTTGAAGCCGTTCGCTTTGTTCACTGCACGGAGCGGTGTTGCGTGGTTGAGGCAGCGGTGGCGAGGAAGCAGGCGTAGAAGGCGAGGTCTGCCGCGATCCCGATGAGGCCGGTGGTGTGCCAGGAGTATCCAGCCGTCGTCTCTTGCCCGCGGCGACCGAAGAGAGATGAGTACGGCTTCCAGAGACATTGCCTGCCGGCGTGGCTGATGTCTCGGGCGACGCCGAATGGGTGACAGCTCCGTCGTTGCCTTGCTGCGTGTTGTTGTTCGAGGCCTCAAACGGCAGCGTCGATGCTGCGGCGGATGCCTCGGGCGGCGGCGTTGAGGCTGTGGCGGACGCCTCGCCCGGCGCGGCTGCACAGCTCTCTCCTCGGTCTCCTGACAGAATGTCTACGCATGAGAAGCTTGTCTGTTGCTCCCCTCTTCTCTGACTCACCCGTCGATGCTACGTGCCGCGCCAAGGCAATGCGCTGATGGTACGCTTGCCACCACAACGGAAACGAGTGCATCTCAGGCGTCCACAGCAGAACATCGGTGCTTCGAAAATAGCGGGACAACTTCTCTCGATGCTTGAAGTAGCTGTCGCGCAGCCGACACAGACGCTTGCGGACGGCTTGTGAGCCATTGCGCGGACCGCCGGGCCACGCCTTCTCGGCCGCCGCCGTGAGTGCGGAGCCCGCCACCTCGGCATGGCTGTGAAGCCACGCCACGATGGCATCGTCCCTTGCAGCTTCGAGGATGAGCAGCCGGTCTCGATCGGGGCCCCAGCGTTCACCACGCTTCTTGCGTGGCGAGGCCGCAGGCTTGACCTCTGAAGAGTCTCCGCGCGTGACGTGTGTCTCGTCTGCGGTGTCCTCGCCGCCAGACGATGACGAGAGGGTGAGGTCAATGATCTCGTGACTCGACATTGGGCCAGATGGAGAGATGAGAGAGGTAGAAGAGGGATAGAGAGAGCTGTTGGAGTGAGCGTGGTGGAGTGAACGAAAGCAGGGCAAAGCGCGGGAGGATGCACGCGCTCGATGGCGCGGAGCGCGGCGGGCAACCCCGCTGTGGAATCAGGGGCTCGAGCGCAGAGGCTCCTCGGTGGCAAGAGTCGAGTGTGTGGCGCCGAGGAGAACTGACGGACTGCATCATGCGCATATCGCGTCGGGCCCTGATCCAGGCAATCTATGAGAGGGTCGCCCCTCCGCAGAGACGCCTGATGCCGCGTGGCGGCTCCTGTGCCAGCCTCCCGCGGACAAGGCAAGCCAAGCGACGTCTTGAGCCCGCTTTCGCGCTGCTCTCTCCACTTGTGCCCCAGAGGGAGCAGATGACGCTCTAGTCGGAGCGCCCTTGCCGCTGCAGGTGTGCATGAAACGCCGCGGCCGTTGCGAGATGCGCCTTGCGTTCCCTTGTCCTGGAGAACGAGAACAAGAGATCACGTCGCGTCGCGCGCGTGCGCCACGCCGCGCGGCGCCGTGCCCCCTCGCCCCTTGACGCGCGGCGCGCGCGGCGCCCGCGCTGTGCCGCCGAGTCGCCGCGCTCCGCCCAAGTCAGAGTGCCGCACACAGCACGTCGCTCCCGACTACCTCTCCTCGCCAACACAAAACTCGAGCAAACGCAGAGCAGCACAAGAAGACTTGGGATTACTGAGACCACAACGCCTCATGTGCTGCCTTGCTGAGCGCGCGCAGAAGGTCCCACGCCTCGCCGTGGCCCTCGCCGCTGGCCTCGAGACCCAGCTCCACCAGATCTCTCATCGCCTGCTCTGCCGCTTCATCGGGCAGGTTGTCGTCGTCAAAGACTTGTCTCTTGCACAGGTCCTGCAGATCCGCGTCAGAGCTGCTCTCGAGATTCTTAAGAGGAGAGGCAGGCCAAGTGCGCGTCCTCTGGACTCACCCCGTAAAGCGGCATGAAGCGGCGCACGGCGCTCTTGTCGCTGAAGACCCGCAGCTTAGTAGGCAAGTCGGCAGCGAGCTGCAGGACATCGAGCATGCGCTTCTTCTTTGCGGTAGCGGCCTGCTTGAGAGAGCTGAGATGCTCGGGTCCGGACGCTGAAGGAGGCGACATGTTGACATCGAGCACAGTGGTTTGCGCGGACGAGGATCGCGACGGCGTGTTCGGGCCCAAGTGAGAGCGCTGCGTGGCAGAGAGTCGTTGCGAGCTTGAGGCAGTAGTATCAGCTGCATCTTCTGACACTCTCGGCCTCTTGTGCATCGGCTCATCAGGACTCCGCGAGGAGGATGCGAACGAGCTAGCCCTTGCCACTGGCTGAGCGGAAGCAGCGTCGCGGCTTTCCCGGTCGCCTGGCGCAGGAGCGCTGAAGAGAGCCGTCCTTCGGGCGGGAAGCGGCGAGCCAGAGACGGCACTTCGCTCACGACGCGCCAGCGCCACCTGATCGTGCCACAGAGCGAACCAATTCGGGCGATGGGCCAGCTTGTCCTTGTCTTCGCCCTCCCACTGCGCGGTGGGAAGCTGCTGCGAGTGCGCAGACAAGAAGGCCTGCTTACGTTGGTACTTGCTGTCGAGGCTGTTCAGCACCTTTCTGCACCGCTCTGTGACGTAGCCCTGATCGTAGTAGGTCCGACTGCCGCTCAGCAAAAGGCAGAGGAGGCCATTCTTGAAGTCCTTCGGCACTGGCATCGGTGCCACCATACCGTCGACGAGCCACGCTCTCAGCTCCGTAAATCTGAGAAGTCGCTCGAAGACTTCGCCAGCGTTGGCGAAGCCTGGATCCTTGACCGAGCTGGTGTGCGGCGAGGCTGAGATGCGGTCTCTCTCGCCGAGGGAAGAAGGGAGCGCCGAGTCCAGTCGACGAGCTTCTCCATGAGCGGCACTTGCGGGAGGACTATGACCGACTTCTTCATCGCGCGCTTCGGCACTTGACCTGCTAGCTCGAGGCACAGATGACGGCACTGACTGCGTGATGGTCGCCGGACGGATCAATGGCGCTGGCTGAAGACGCTCTCCGGCGGCAGCCGCAGCTGGCTCGTCCGGTGAAGAAGCCTTCCACTGCGGTGGATAGCCCTCGCCGCCGTGGAGTGCTACGTTCTCGTACCACGTGTCCCAGCTTGGCGGCATGCCCTGACACTTCTGCAGCTGCGCAATCGCTTCGCTTGACCACATGGCCAGAGGCTGGCCCAGCAGATTCGCCGGAAGTGTACTGGCGAACTCCTTGCATCGCACGTGAATGAGATCTAGACGAGCGGCAAGCTCGGTACCGATCAGACGAGTGCCCGGAAATTGCTGTATAGCAAAATCCGTAAGGCGATCGTACAGATGGTCCGGGCGTCTGTTCTGCCGATCGCGGAGCCAAGGCGCTAGCACCTCACTGCTTGCGACTGCATTGAGCAGCTTGCCCTCGAGACTGAGGTTCCAGCCCGGAGTTCTCATCTTGCGAATCGGGAACTGCTGAGCGCGCTCCCATCTTGAGGAGAGAAGCGATGTGGTAGGAGAAGAAGCGACTGCTGACGAAGGCTGTGCGTCATGCATCGAAGCGACTGCATAGGCTGACGCGGTCAGTCTTAGTCATGTAGGGCGTGAGTGCTTCGCTCTGGCTACTCACCCGGCTGCGTGCCTGCAGGCGACCGGGACGTGCTCTTCCAGATCTTGGCGTAGAAGTCGGGCCACCAGTATGGGACTTGGTCTGCTCGCTCCGGAGGCCACTCCGAGTACGGAAGCACACGTAGAGACCTCGGCACATGCTCGAGAGCAGTCTTGAACCTCCCGTAGAGCCTGATGAGACGCCTGCGCACGAGGAACGCTTCGTGCTTCTTTCCGGGCCACGCCTCTTGCGCGATTGCCACAAAGGCGGCGTGAGGCGGCCGAGGAGCGCCCCGAACAAGCCAGGCAGCGATGGGCTGGCTGGCCGCACACGCAAGAATGAGTCCGTGGTCGCGCGCGTCGCCCCACGCTTCGCCGCGCAGCCGCTGTCGCTGAGGAGCTGCCTCCTCGTGCTCGCCACTTGACGGCTGGTTGACGCCGGCGTCTTGCTCGAGCCGCCTCGCTAAGCCGAGTCGTAGAGGCTCCGCACCATCAGACTGTTCGTAGTAGTGCATCAGTTGCGTACAGCTGACACCGAGCCGTTCCACCGCATGTCGCGAGGCAAGTACGCACCGAGCTGTCTGACTCATTGCCCACATAGTCGTCGCCGGAGTCATGTGGCGATGGCGAAGTCAGAGGTGAGGGAACGATGCTGTCGGACATGGTTGCAGAGAGTCTGATCAGACGGTATGGAGGTGAGAGATGGGTGTGTAGAGCAAAGAAGCGGGGGCAGCACGCTGAAGCTTGTGAGCGTGCCAGCGGCTGCATCGCGGGCAGGAGATCAGTGCTTTTGCAGAGCTAGGGTCCGAGAGCGCTGGAAGGGTGCCTCTGCTTGGCCCGGCCAGTGGGCGCTGCATCTCCTCACAGAGTGCCTCCGCACGCCGGTCCTCCTCGCCGCCGCAGAGCCTCGCGCGGGGCCCGAGCGTCGTGATGAGGCCGTGCTCGAAGCTGGCAGACCTCTCCTCCAGTGAGGCGCGGTGCCAGCAGCTGCAGCTCTGCCAACGTTGCATCTGAAGACAAGCATCGGTGGCGCTCCTTTGTCACATACGTGCGTTTCCCCCTACCAAGGCTCGCGAGGCACGGGAGCCCTTGACCAGCTGTGCATGGGCGTGATCCGTCGTGCATGGGCGTGCTCAGTCGGAGCTGCCATGCGCCGCACGCGCGGCGACGTCTGCCTTGTCCTCCTGAACTGCGTAGCGCAGGGATGCTGTCTGCACTGCGGCTTTGTGCCTGTGCAGCAGACTCTGCTTCTCCTGCCTTGTTTCTCTCATTTGTGAGCACAAAGGCTCGACCTCGGCCAGACAGCTCTGGCTCTTTGTCCTCGCTGAGTCTGCTTTCATGCACCTCATGCGCGTCGGCGCGCGTCGCGAGGCGGACCGGCTGCGGCGCTTCCGCGCTTGTGCTCCTCCACCAGCGCCGCGCTGATGATGAGCACAAAGAGCACGCCAGCGGGCTGCTCCTTTGTTCTCTTTAGCGTCGTATCCTGCACAGCTGCTCAGCTCCTCCTCTTGTCTCTTCCGTCACCGAACGCGGCTGTGCAGGCTCAGGATGTTGAGGCCAGGACAAGTGCTGATTCTCTGAGCCTCCGTTTCTCCTGAAGAGCGGTGGGTGGGAAGACGGCTGAGGTGAGAGGTGAGGAGCGTGCGGAGCCCGGCCACGGCTGAGCGCCAGGCCGGGCCGCGATGATGTGGTATGAGGTGCTCGCGACGGGAAATGCCCTCGCGCAGCAAAGCTATGTGATACAGTGAGGGGCGTCGGACGACGTCGGGCTCGTCCTTCAAGTCGCCAGAGGCCCGCCTCAGGCCTCGCCCGCCGTCTTCACCGAGGCGCGCCGCGGCGCCTTGCGCGCCTTCTCGTTGGCACGCTCGATGTCCTTGCCCAGCACGCCCTCAAACTCGGGCGGCGGCGCTCGCTTCTTGCGCGTCGTCGTGGGCGGCGTCGCAGCGTCGGGCGTGCCGCCAGCGACGACTGCACCGCCGGCCTTGGCAGCTGCGGCACCAGCGGCAGCGACGGCAGGCGAGACGCCGCGCGACGAGGCGGCGCTCGAGGCCGTGCCGCTCTGCGGGATGACCGGACTGTTGCCGGTGCTGTTGGCCGAGCTCGCCTTGCCCGAGTTCGTCGGCGAGGCGCCCACGCTCTCCGGCGCGATGCGTGCGCCCTGCTGTGTGACGTCGAGCTCCGGCTCGGGGCCTGGCGTCGCGCCGCTGCCGCTCGCAGTGAGCAGCTCGTTGAAGAGCGTATCCATGTCGACGTCCGTGGGCTCGTACGGTGCCGCGCTGTCATAGCCCTGGTACGTCTGCGCTGTCGGCGTCGTCTGGTCGCTGCGCGCCGGCGTCGGCGTCGACTGTTGCTGCTGCTGCTGCTGTTGGGCGAGAGCGTTCGCAGTGCTTTGCGGGTCCAGCCTCAGGCCCTCGACCAGCGCGTTGATGGCGTTCTGCACGGTCGCGGCATCGCCCGAGGCGCCTTGCAGGCTCTGGCTGGCGCGTACGAGTGTGAGCGCCAGCTGAGCCTGAGCTGCTGGCGAGAGCGTGTTGCCGTCTCCGCCCGAGCCGCCAGCAGAGGAGTTGCTAGACGGAAGCGTACGAGAGGAGGGGCCAGGAGACTGCACGAGCGCAGTCGAGGACGCAGCTCGGCGAAGAGGCGACGCGGCGCTTGCCGGATACGGGCCGTTCGCGGACGCCTGTCCCGCCAGGCTGCTCCACGGCGAAGCGGCGGTGTCCTCTACGGGCATGCTGAAGCGCTGCTCTTCCTCGTCGGCGGCGTTGTTGGCAAAGTAGTTCTGCGGCTGCGTCGCGTCCCAATTCGCGTCGTACTGCGGCGCAGACGAAGAGCCGCTGCCGCCGCCTTGCGCAGCTGCGCTGCCGAGCACGCTCTGCAGCGTCGCGAGCGTGTTCTGGTCGAGCTTGAAGCCGCCGCCAGGCGTCGCAGGCTGGCTCGCATTGGTCGCACTGCCCGCTGCAGCACCGCCAGGCGACTCGCCGAACAGGCCGGCCAGCCAGTCGCCGCCCTGTCCCGACGCCAGTGCGTCGAGGATGTTGCGGCCGGCCTGCTGGCTGATCCGGCGGCCTCCGCCAGGCGTTGCTGTGGCTTCTGACACCACATCAGGCAGCTCCGCGTCGCGCTGTGGCGGCGAGTTGTTGAGGTGCACAAAGCGAGACGAGGCGAAAGGCGAGCTTGCGGACTGCGGCGAGGTACTGTGCGCTTCCGTGAAGCGGCCAGCTAGTAGTCGAGGTCAGCCGTGGGCGTCGTGTCGCTTACACATCTGCACTCACCGGCTTCGTCGGCTCGCGCGCCCTCCTCATCGTCCGACGGCAGCTCTAGAATGTCGAGGGTCTCGTGCTTGTCGCCCGGGCTGCTGCCATCTCCGATGAGCAGCCTGCCGCCCTGGCGCATCGGCCGTGTGAAGCGCCGCGGTGAGCCCTGCGAGCTGGCGCCTCTGCCGCCAGGGCTCTGCGCGCGCGTCTGCTCCAAGCCCGCACCCGGTGCCGAGCCGTCCTGCGCGCCAAAGACGCCGGCGAGGAAGCGCAGCATCTTGTTGATAGTGTCCTGCTGCTTCTTGCTGCGCTGGCGCTGCTCGATGGCCTCGCGGCGCAGCTCAGCGTTGGCCGTGTGCAGGTGCCGCAGATTGTCGTTGATGCCGGCCTGCGCGCCCTGAATCGACTGGATGGCCTGCCACACGCTCGCCAGCTGCAGCGCGCCGGCCTCGTCGTGCGGCTGATTGCGCATGAGCGCGCCGTTGATGGGGTTCAGCGAGCCGTCGTCCTTCTCCTTGCCCTTGCCCGCCTTGCCCTCGGGCGCCGCACTGCCCTCCTTGTCCTCGTGCTTGTTGCCCTTCTTGCGCGCCATGAGCATCAGCAGCTCGGGCCGGTCGCGCTGGAAATGCTCGTTCTTGAATTCCCACAGCTCGGCCTCTTGCGGCGAGTCGTGCTTCAGCGCACCCTGCTGTAAATGCGGCACCTTGTGGAAACCGTACATGTTGAGCTGCCGCACGAAGGAGCTGAAGCGATTGTGCTTGAAGAAGCGAGGCAGCACCTCGTCGCCGAAGCGCACATGGTTGGGCACTGCTCGAAGTGTCAGCCTCGAGTGTATGGCACCAAGGAACGATCGCACTCACCGAGGAATGACTCGCCGTGCGGAGCCCACTTGATCAGCTCGTCGGTGTTCGGATCGTCGACCATGCTGTGAACGAGCGCGGTCAGAGACCTGCAGCACGCAGCCGTCGCGCTTCGCGCCTACTCACCTCCTCAACTTGTTCAAGAACGGATTGTTGCGCGCCAGCGGCACGCCTGCTGCGCTCTGCTGCACCGCCTGCGGCGCCTTCTTCTCTTCTGCCGGCGCCGAGCTCGAGCCCGAGCCTGACGCCTTCTGCGCCTGCGGGCCGTTAGCCTGCGGCTGCGGCGCGGGCGGTGCCAGCATCGTCTCGTCCTTCAGCGGTTGCGGCGGCCACGCTGCTGCAGGCGGCGGCGCGGCGCTCGAGATCTGCGAGCCCGAGACGAAAGCCGAGGGCCCGGGTGCGTACACATCGTCGGGGTCGCCCGAGAAGGGATCGAGTCCGAGCCCATACGCCGCCAGCGAGAAGGGAGAGCCGGCTGATGGTTCGCCGCCGGACGTGTAAGGCAGCATGGCCAGCGAGCCGAGCTCAGCGTCGGGCGCAGAGGCGCTGGCGGCGGGCGCGAGCGTCGGAGAGGCTGGGAACGGCGCGGCTGCCCGAGAGCTGGCGGAGCTGCCACCGGGCCCACCGAAGCCGCCGCTCATGAGCGGGCAGAGGAAACTGCGGCGCCGAAGCTAGGCGCGCGCAGCGACGGCAGCGGCAGACGTATTGCGAGGTGGAGTCTCTTCAGCGAGCGCGAGCTGCTGCGAGGACGAGGAGTGCGAGGTGGTGGTGGAGAGGCAGGCGTCGCAGTGCGCAGCGCGGAGCAGACGTGCAAAGACCCTTTGGCGATGCGATCTTCACTGAGCGCAGCTAAGTGCAGACCCTGTGAGAGAGTGCTCGCGCCGACGTCAGGAGGTCTGCCGGCGGCTGGCTGTCACGAGCGCGGCGAGAGACTGGAGAAACAGGCGCCGAGAGGAGGTCGTCGCGGCGCCGAGGCGGGCGTGCGTATGCGTGCAATCTGTACGAGAAAGTGAGAGAGGTGACTGCGGAGAGTGACGGGGTCGGTGCTGCGGGTGTGAGGTGGAGCGTGCTGGTGGTGAGAGCGTGGGAGATGCGACCGTGCCTGCCGCGAGCTCGAGGAGCGGGGCGCAGCGCTGCGCCCGAAAACAGACCGCGCCGGCCCGCAGCCGGTGGAGGCGCGCGCCGCGAGAGGCGCCGCAAAAAATGACGGGCATGCGCCGCGCCACGCCGCCGCCTGCGCTGCGGCTCCGCCGGTGGAGATCGTGCTGCACGCCCCGAATCGCCCGCAGCTGCTGCTGGTGCAGCTCGCTGCCGTGCGACCGGCGTGCCTTGCTGCTGCGGCAAGGCGTCGCACGGATGAGGAGCAGGCAGCACAGCGAGCGTCTGCGATGGACTGCGCAGCAGGGGCTCCCAAGAGGCAGTCAGCAGGGAAATTTCGCGCGCTGCAGGACAGCTGAGCGCCGACGGCCCGGCCACGCTGCTGTCAAGCAGGCCCGCCCCTCCGCACCTGCGACGGTGCCTTGCTTGCTGCTGCGAGCAGCGCTCGAATCAACCCTTTCAGCAGCGCCGCTACTCTTAGCTTCCAAGCCGCAGCCAGTCGAGCACAAGCCTAGCACGGGCGCCACCAAGCATCTTGCTGATGCTACGTCTGTGTCCTCCGCAGCCGTGACACCGAGCTTCGGCCTCGGTGTCCGTCATGCCTCGTCGACGGAGCTAGGCGTCAGCCCTGCCTGGACCTTCAGCGTCGGCGACCTCAGTGCACCTCTCGTCGGCACATCTCCTGGGACAGCGTCCTCGTCTCCAGATCGCCGCACTCGCAGGCTGAGGACCCTTCATCTCGTCTCGGGCGCCGACGATCGCGAGATCGGGACGATCGCGCAAGCAGCTTTGGACATCGAAACGGGGACAGAGACGCGATCGGCTGGCTTTGGCCCGTAAGAGGAGGAAGGGAAGTGCTGTACCGAGAGCTCGGTACTGCGTGGGGTCAACTCAGTCCATCATCGCCTCATGGCCGAGCCGCTCCTGGCAGAGGACAGCGCTGCAGCGCCTCGGACATAATCGACGCCGGTACCTCTGCTCAACCGCCTCTGCTTGATCATTCTGAGGCTATGACTGTAGCACTGCGCAGCTCTTGAGCTGAACGGGCAAGGCGAGCAGCCTTCGTTGGCCTTGACTCGCGTGGGAAGGCGGCCGGGTGAATTCTGGATTACGCGGCGGCGGCGGCGAGCGTGACTCGCGCGAGACGGCCAAAAGCGGCGGCGCGCGCTCAGGCTGCCTTGCCTTCGTTCGCCACGGCGTGCCACCTTTCTTCTCACGACCACCAACACAACACCCTCACACATCACGTCGCAGCCCATGCCCACCACGCTCGACACGTCGCGCCGCGAGCGCACCATCAACCTCGGCGCCGGGCCCTCGTCGCTGCCCACGCCCGTGCTGCTCGAGGCGGCGCAGGGCATCGTCGACTTTGGCGGCAGCGGCATGGGCCTCACGGAGCTGAGCCACCGCAGCGCCACGTTCCAGCGCGTGCTCAGCGCCGCCGAGGCCGACCTGCGCAGCCTGCTCGCCGTGCCCGACGACTACGCCGTGCTCTTCATGCAGGGCGGCGGCACCGAGCAGTTCAGCGCCACGGCGCTCAACCTGCTCGCCGCGCACGCCGTCGCGCACCCGGACTACGTGGCGCAGCACCCGGCCGGCCCGCCGTGCGACTACGCCGTCAGCGGCAGCTGGACGGCCAAGGCCATGAGCGAGGCCAAGCGCCTCGGCGCCAACGCACGCGCCGTCTTCGATGCGCGCAAGCTGCCTGGCGCCGACGGGCGCTTCGGCGCCATCCCGCCCGTCGCCGAGTGGCAGCTCTCGGCCGCCGAGGAGAAGCCGGCGATGCTGTACTACTGCGACAACGAGACGGTCGACGGCGTCGAGTACGCGTCGCCCGGCTTTCCCATCGCCGAGCTGCCGCAGGCGTACCGCGAGAGCGTGCCGCTGGTTGCCGACTGCAGCTCGAACATCCTCTCGCGGCCCATCGACGTCGCCGCGCACGCCATCGTCTTCTTCGGCGCGCAGAAGAACGTCGGGCCGGCCGGCGTGACGGTGGTCATCGTGCGGCGCTCGCTGATCGCCGAGCACCCGGACAAGGGCGTGGCGCACGGCGGCCCGCGCATCCCCACGACGCTCGTGTACAAGCAGCACGCCGACAACGGCTCGCTGTACAACACGCCGCCCATGTTTGCCATCTACGCCTCGGGCCTCGTCTTTGCCGACCTGCTGCGCAACCGCGGCGGCGTCACGGGCGCCGCGTCGCGCGCAGACATGAAGAGCGGCGCGGTGTACGACGTGATTGCGTCGAGCAACGGCCTCTTCCAGCCGACGGTGCGCCAGGCAGACGTGCGCAGCCGCATGAACATCTGCTTCCGCGTGTGCGGCGCCGACGGCGCGCCGAGCGAGGCGCGCGAGACGGCCTTCGTGGCGCGGTGTAAGGAGGCCGGCATCGAGCAGGTCAAGGGGCATCGCAGCGTCGGCGGCATCCGCACCAGCCTCTACAACGCCGTCACGCCCGAGCAGACGCTCGTGCTCGTCGACGTCATGAAGGCCTTCGTCAAGGAGATGCAGGAGCAGAAGTAGAGCGCAAACGCAATAGCATAGATGCAAGGCACTCGTCTGAGGCGCGCGAGAGATGTCGTGGGGACGGGCGTGCACATGGCAAGCCGTCGACCGAGCGCCGTCGTTGATGATACGCTGCGTGCGCTGTCGTTCGCGCGTGCCAGCCAGAGTCACGGCAGCTGCTGAAAGCTGATTCCGTTTGTGAGGTGCTGGCTCGCGCCGGACCGTGTACACTAGCGTCACCGCTTGGACTTGCTCGGGGCATGGCGCGAAAAGTGGCTCGTCTGCTTCGTCCGGCCGTGCCCGCCGCGCGGAGCGAGCTCAGCCTCTTCTCAACACAGCGAGGCTAGCTCTCTGGCTCCCTGCTCGGCCAGGCGATCACGCAGCACACATGAAGGAGAGGTCACGAGTACATTCATGCTAGGACTTAGAGACACGGGAACGGAGCACATGGAACAGGAGACTGAAACGTAACAGAGGCAGAGGCAGGAGACATATGTGAGTGAGGCTTCACGGTGAGAGAAGACCGGTGGCTGTCGCAACCTGCGCCGCGCCGGTGTCAGGGCCCACCGGCGGCGGCCTGAGCGAGGCGTCGTGGCGACGCCGCGCGGAGAAGAGAGGGCTGGTGATGTGGCACCCTCTGTTTTATGCCGCCGAGGCCACCTTCTCGCGCGGCGAGTTGGTGACGAACTTGTCGAAGCGGCGCGCCGGGATGCCACCGGCCCACGGCAGACGCGTGTTGCCCTGCAGCTGCGTGTCGATGACGGCGGCGCAGGCACGGCCCTCCTGGATGCCCCACACGATGAGCGACTGGCCGCGACGGGCGTCGCCGCACGCGTAGACGTTGGGCACCGAGGTGGCGTACGGGCTCTTGCCCTTGTTGTCGTCGGCCTTGATGTTGCCGCGGCCGTCCTGCTCGAGCGAGAGCGAGGCGAAGGCCTCCTTCTCGGGCGACAGGAAGCCGAGCGCGAGGAAGCAGGCCTGGCAGGGCCAGCGCTTCTCGGAGCCGGGCACCTTCTCCATCTTCCAGCGGCCCTGCGCGTCCTTGGTCCACTGCACGGCGGCCGTGTGGAGCGCAGCGAGGTTGCCCTCGTCGTCCTTCTCGAACTTCGTCGTGGTGATCGAGTACGTGCGCGGGTCCTTGCCGAACTTGTCGGCGACCTCCTGGTGGCCGTAGTCGGTCTTGCGCACGCGCGGGAACTGCGGCCACTGGTTGTCGCGCGCACGCGACACCGGCGGCTCGGGCAGCAGCTCGAAGTTGGCCACCGACTTGGCGCCGAGACGGATCGACGAGCCGAGGGCGTCGTTGCCTGTGAGGTGAGGAATGGTGAGCAGAAGTTCAGAAGCACAATCAGCGAGCAGACGCACCGGTGTCACCACCGCCAATGACGATGACGTCCTTGCCCTTCACGAGCGCTTCGACGGCCGAGCCGTTGATCTCGTTGTTGAGCAGCGCGGCCGTCGTGGGGCGCAGGAAGTCCATGGCGAAGTGCACGCCGTTGGCGTCGCGGCCCTCGATGGGCAGGTCGCGCGGCCACGTGGCGCCGGTAGCGTACACGAGGGCGTCGTTCTGCGCCTTGAGCTCCTCGGGCTGCACGTCGGTGCCGACGGAGCAGTTGGGCACGAAGGTGATGCCCTCGTCCTCGAGCAGCTTGACGCGGCGGTCGACGATGGCCTTGTCGAGCTTCATGTTCGGGATGCCGTACATGAGCAGGCCGCCGATGCGGTCAGCACGCTCGTAGACCGTCACCGAGTGGCCGGCCTTGTTGAGCTGGTCGGCGCACGCCAGACCGGCGGGGCCCGAGCCGACGATGGCGACCGTCTTGCCCGTGCGCACCTTGGGCGGGCGCGGCACCATCCAGCCCTCGGCGAAGCCCTTGTCGATGATGGCGCACTCGATCGACTTGATGCCGACGGGCTGCTCCGTGATGCCGAGCACGCACGCGCCCTCGCACGGCGCAGGGCACACGCGGCCCGTGAACTCGGGGAAGTTGTTCGTCATCATCAGACGGTTGAGCGCGTCCTGCCACTGGCCCTTGAACACGAGGTCGTTCCACTTGGGAATGACGTTCGAGATCGGGCAGCCCGTGTCGGACTGGCAGAAGGGCACACCGCAGTCCATGCAGCGCGCCGTCTGGTACTTGAGCTCCGAGTCCGTGAGGCGCGTCGAGAGCTCCTTGAAGTCCTTGACGCGCTTCGTGGGCGTGCGGTAGTGCTCGCCGAGGCGCTTGTACTTCATGAAGCCGCGCACCTTGTCGAGCTTGCTGAGGCGCGCCTTGGCCGTCTCGTCGTCGACCATCGAGTCCTCGACGTCGACGACGCTCGGCTCGCCCTTCTCGTTCTGCTGGTTGAGCTCGGTGCGCTGCTCGCTGAGCGAGACGTCGACCTGGCTGCCGTGGCGCGAGAGTGTGCCGAGCAGGTCGACGTGGCTGCTGCGCTTCTTCTCCGCAGCGGCCTTGGCGGCCTCCTCCTCGAGCACGCGCTTGTAGTCGAGCGGCATGACGCGCACGAAGCGCGGCAGCAGGTGGTGGAAGTCGTGGATGACGTGGTCGGCCACCGTCGAGCCCGTGTAGTGGCGGTGGTTCTCGATGAGGTTGCGCAGCTCGGCAATGTCGTGGGGGTCCTTGACGGGGCCGAGCTCGACCATCTCCTGGTTGCACTTCGACGCAAAGTCGCGCTGCATGTCGAGCACGTAGGCAATGCCGCCCGACATGCCGGCGGCGAAGTTGCGGCCCGTGCTGCCCAGCACGACGACGCGGCCGCCCGTCATGTACTCGCAGCCGTGGTCTCCGACGCCCTCAACGACGGCGTGCGCACCCGAGTTGCGCACAGCGAAGCGCTCGGCAGCGATACCGCGGAAGTAGGCGTTGCCGGTCGTGGCGCCGTACAGGCAGACGTTGCCGACGATGATGTTCTCCTCGGCCTTGAACTGCGAGTTCTTCGGCGGGTAGACGATCAGGCGGCCGCCGGACATGCCCTTGCCGACGTAGTCGTTGGCGTCGCCCTCGAGCTCGAAGGTGATGCCCGGCGCCAGGAAGGCACCGCACGACTGGCCGGCCGAGCCGCGCGCGTTGATGTGGATCGTGTCGCGCGGCAGGCCCTCCTCGCCGTAGAGCTTGGAGACACGGTACGACAGCGTGGCGCCGAGCGCACGGTCCGTGTTGACGACGTCGCACTCGATCTGCACGGGCAGGCCCTCCATGAGCGCCGGCTCGGCCTCCGAGATGAACTTGTTGTCGAGGCGGACGTAGAGACGGTGGTCCTGCTGGCGGACCTTGTACGTCGCCGCGCCCGGGCGCATCTGGTGCGCGGGCTTGAGCAGCGGGCTGAGGTCCAGGTTGGCCGTCTTGGGCGTGCGCAGGCTCTCGTCGACCTTGAGCAGGTCGGCGCGGCCGACCATCTCGTTGATGGTGCGCATGCCGAGCTTCGCCATGATGCCACGCAGCTCCTCGGCAAGCATGTAGAAGAAGTTGACGACGTGCTCGGGCTGGCCGGCGAACTTCTCGCGCAGCTCGGGGTCCTGCGTGGCAATGCCGACGGGGCAGGTGTTCAGGTGGCACTGCGGAGATGAGGTCAGTACAGGAGCAGAGTGGGCGAGACGCAGCGTGGCTCACCTTGCGCATCATGATGCAGCCGAGCGCGATCAGCGGCGTGGTGGCAAAGCCCCACTCCTCGGCACCGAGCAGGCACGCGATGGCGACGTCGCGACCCGTGCGGATCTGGCCGTCGGTCTGGACGGTGACGCGGCCACGCAGGTCGTTGAGCACGAGCGTCTGGTGCGTCTCGGCAAGACCGAGCTCCCAGGGCAGACCGGCGTACTTGATGCCGGTCCAGCGCGAGGCACCGGTGCCGCCGTCGTGGCCCGAGATGAGGATGTGGTCGGCCTTGGCCTTGGCCACACCGGACGCGACGATGCCGACGCCGACCTCGGACACGAGCTTGACACTGACGCGAGCGCGCGGGTTGGCGCACTTCAGGTCGTAGATGAGCTGCTTCAGGTCCTCGATCGAGTAGATGTCGTGGTGCGGCGGCGGGCTGATGAGACCGACACCGGCCGTCGAGTGACGCGTGCGGGCGATCGAGGCCGAGACCTTGTGGCCGGGCAACTCACCGCCCTCTCCGGGCTTGGCGCCCTGCGCCATCTTGATCTGCAGCTCGTCGGAGTCGGCGAGGTAGTTGCTCGTGACACCGAAGCGGCCCGATGCAATCTGCTTGATCTTGGAGCGCAGCGAGTCGCCGTTGGGCAGCGGGATGGAACGCTCGGCGTCCTCACCACCCTCGCCGGTGTTCGACTTGCCGCCGAGACGGTTCATGGCGATGGCGAGCGCCGAGTGCGCCTCCATGGAGATGGAGCCGTACGACATGGCGCCCGTGCAGAAGCGCTGCACGATCTCCGTCCACGGCTCGACCTGGTCGACGGGAATGGGGCGCACCTTGCCGTAGTCGAACTCGAGCAGGCCACGCAGCGACGTCGCCTTGATGGCGTTGTGCGCCGCCTTGGAGTACGTGTCCCAGGCGTTCTGGTTCTTCTCGCGCGCGGCGTCCTGCAGGTTGGCAATCGAGACGGGGTCGTTGATGTGCGCCTCGCCACCGTCGCGCCAGTGGTACTCGCCCGACTCCGGCAAGCCGGCGATGCTGATCGTGTCGCGGCTCGGGTAGCCACGGTCGTGGAACTCGAGCGCGTCCATGGCCAGCAGCAGGAAGTCCGAGCCCTGGATGCGCGACGCCGTGCCGACGAAGCAGCGCTTGATCACGTCCTCGGCGAGGCCGAGCGCCTCGAAGATCTGCGCGCCCTTGTACGACTGCAGCGTCGAGATGCCCATCTTCGACATGACCTTGAGGATGCCCGAGTCGACGGCGTGCTTCCAGTTGTCGACGACCTGGTCGTTGGTGAGCTCGACCTTGAGGAGGCCCTCGCGGGACACCTTCATCATGCTCTCCATGGCGAGCCACGGGCAGATGGCGTCGGCACCGTAGCCGACGAGCACGCACATGTGGTGCACCTCGCGCGCCTCACCGGACTCGACGAGCAGGGCGACACGCGAGCGCTCCTTGCTGCGGATCAGGTGGTGGTGCACGCCGCCGACGGCGATCAGCGAGCTGATCGGCACGCGGTCCTTGTTGACGCCGCGGTCGGAGAGGATCACGACGCGGTAGTTGTCGCGGATCGCCTGCGACGCCTCGGCGCAGATGCGGTTCAGCGTCGCCTCGTAGCCGTCGATGCCCTCGCCCTTGTCGTAGGTGATGTCGATCGTCTTGGCGGGCCAGTCCTCGTGCGCGAGGTCGAGGCGCTTGAGTGCGTTGCACTGCTCAATCGTGAGGATCGGGCTCTCGAGGCGCAGGCGGTGGCACTGGTCGGGGCGCATCTCGAGGATGTTGCCCTCGGGACCGACGTACTGCTCGAGCGACATGACGACGGCCTCGCGGATCGGGTCGATCGGCGGGTTCGTCACCTGCGCGAAGAGCTGGCGGAAGTAGTCGTAGATCAGACGCGGCGCCTGCGCCATGCACGCGAGCGGGCCGTCGTTGCCCATGGAGCCGAGCGGCTCCTTGCCCTCGGCAACCATGGGCATCATCAGCAGGCTGATCTGCTCGGCCGTGTAGCCGAATGCGAGCAGCTTCGGGTCGGTGCTCAGCCGCTCGTCGTCGAGCTTGACGGCAATGTCGTTCTGCGTGGCGTGGCGCACGACGTCGACAATCTCGGGCAGCTGCAGCAGCTGCGCCTCGAGCCAGGCGGCAAAGTCGGCGCGCTGCGACGTCGTGAGCTTGAGCTCGCGGTCGTCGACGACGCGGCCCTCGACGGTGTCGACGAGCAGCATCTTGCCGGGCTGCAGGCGGCCCTTGGCCACGACGCGCGCCGGGTCGATGGTGACGGCACCGACCTCCGAGGCGCAGACCATGATGTCGTCGTCGGTGATCGAGTAGCGGCACGGGCGCAGGCCGTTGCGGTCCAGGTTGGCACCGCAGTAGCGGCCGTCGGAGAAGGTGAAGAGCGCCGGGCCGTCCCACGGCTCCATCAGGCACGCGGCCCACTGGTAGAAGGCGCGCTTCGCCGGGTCCATCTCGGCCTCGTTGCCCTGCCACGCCTCGGGAATCATCATCATGACGGCCTGCGGCAGCGTGAGCACGTTGTTGATCACGAGCAGCTCGAGCACGTTGTCGAACGCGGCCGAGTCGGAGCCGCCGTTCTCGATGATGGGGTACAGCAGGTCGAGCTCGTCCTTGAACGTCTCGGAGCGCAGCTGGCCCTCGCGCGCGTGCATCCAGTTCTTGTTGCCGCGGATCGTGTTGATCTCACCATTGTGCGCGGCCCAGCGCATCGGCTGCGCGCGGTCCCAGGACGGGAACGTGTTCGTCGAGAAGCGCGAGTGCACGAGCGCAAAGTGCGAGGCGTAGCGCTCGTGGTTGAGGTCGTGGTAGTAGTCGTAGACCTGCTTGGGCGAGAGCTGGCCCTTGTAGATGATGTTGGTGTTGGAGAGCGAGCAGACGTAGAACCACTTGGGCAGGCCGATGGCGTGCGTGGCCGACTTGCGCAGCACGTACAGCTGCCGCGAGAAGTACTGGCCGTCGAACGGCTTGCCCTCGCCCTGGCTCTTCTTGCCCTCGCGGCCGTAGTGGTCCGCGAGCACAACGAAGGGCTGCATGATTTTGGGCTCCTTGCTCAGCGCCGCCGGGCCGAGGAGCGAGTTGTCGACGGGCACATCGCGCCAGCCGAGCACGCGCAGGTGCAGGTCCTCGGCCATCTTCTCAACCTGAGCGATGTGCGAGGCGCGCGCCTTGTCGTCGCGCGGGTCGAAGAAGAGGTTGCCCACGGCGTACTGGCCCTGCTCGGGCAGCTCGATGCCGAGGTCCGTCTTGACCTCGCGCCGCAGGAAGGCGTCCGGGATGCCTGTCATGACACCGGCTCCGTCACCGTCGCGCGCGTCGGCGCCAGTGGCGCCGCGGTGCGTCATGTTGCACAGCAGGCTCTTGGCGTCGGTGACGATCTTGTGCGACGGCTTGCCCTTGATGTGGCACATGAAGCCGACACCGCAGGCGTCCTTCTCCTCGTCGGGGTTGTAGAGGCCCTGCGCGGCCGGGAGCGAGCCAGCGCCCCACGTGCTCTCGTCGCGCACGACGCTGGCAAAGCCGTTGGCGTCGAAGTCGTCGGACGTCGTCATCTCCTCGTGCTCCTGGATGGCGGCCATCTCGCGCGTCATCAGGTCGTTGCGCTCACGGCGCGACATGCCGGCCTCGGCGGCGAAGGTGGCGAGCGAGGAGGACATGGCGGAAAGGGAAAGTACAGGTGAAGGCGGTGGCGTGGTATGTATGCGGGGCACAGAAGTCTAGCGGAGGCGCGCGGAACGGGGAATGCAATCTTCTCTCTAGAGGGAACCGGGGTGGTGGTGACGAGCGAGGGTGCGCGCGCGGGCTGGCGAGGCTCTCGAGGCGGAGAGGCTTGCGAGCGGGCGTGCGGCAGGCGGGGGTGCGGGCGTCGGGCGGCGACGGCGGCAGGCGGGTGGCGGGGGGGGGTCGAGATGGGTGGTGGGGATGGTGGTGGGCGGAAGGCGGAGGCGCCGCGCGAAGGACGCCCAGGAGAAAAGCGAGCGGCGGCGGGCAAGCGGGCGGCGCAGCGCAGCAGGCAGGCGAGCAGCAGCAGAACACCCCGGGGCAGCTTACGAGGGGAATGCGCGGCGCGCGGCAGGTGCAGGGCGGCTGAAAGAGACGCAGGCGCGCTGCCTCTCTGCCGCCGTCTGGCTGGCTGGCTGCCGCTGAGCTGCCGCCGCGGCAGCAGCATCCACGCCCCGGCGCGATAGCACGCCCGTGCGCGCCGCAGCCGCAGCCGCCCTTGCAACCTCAACCCGACAGCGCTCCGGATGCTGTAAGGCTTCGACGCAGCACAGATGCGCTGCTGTGCACCATTGGCGACGGCTGGCCCGGCTTTGGCGACAGGCGGTGGCGCGGCGAGTCACGGTGCCCATCGCGACGGCTGAGCTGAGCAGCGGCGACGCCTCTGCGCGACGAGGGCGAACCTCCTCCGAAGCATCTCCCCGCCGCAGCACCACGCCTCGGCGAAGGCTCCTCCGAGCTCGGCCCTCGCTGCGCCGTCGGCCAGACGTGGGCGTGCGCTTCGCTGCTGCGCTGGCCGTGCGCCCAGAAGCGGCATCTCTCATGCGGCGCACGCTGCCCGGCACGGCGCCACGAGCAAGCGGCGTCCTCAGCGGCTCCCAGCATGCAGATTAGGCGCGCCGCCAGCGTGATCCGCGCCGTGTGATTGGCTGGCCCCGGGCGCATTAACCCCGCGCTGCGAGATGTGTAATCGACCAGGCGCCGGCCAATACACTTTCCTCGCAGTACGGCGAGCCGACCTCTGCGGTCGCGCCTCGTCCAGCAGCGGCGCTCGCCACACCCTCTCGGCTGACCATTCAGCGCTGTGCTGCGTGCAGCGTGGGCCAGCAGCGTCCTGAGCTAGTGGCGAGGCTTGTGCTTGTGCTGCGGCGGCGACACGGCCAGCAAAGTCGCAGTCGCGCTGCGGGGATCTCTCTCCCTCGCTCGCGGCAGCGCCGGCATCTGCAGGCCCGAGGGTCCAAAGCTGGGACGGAAGCTTGCGCTGGGCTGCGCGAGTCACGCTCGCCGAGCTCGCCTTTGCCACGCGCGCCACGCTTCGCCGGCGGACGAAGCGGCCTCGCGACAATTTCGGCGGAACTCGTGGCAGGCAAGCTGCCGCTCTGGCGCTCGCTCCGACTTCGCCCGGCTGCTGCCACGTGTGCCGCAGCCCGCAGCGCCGAGGCCACCTCCGCGCCTACCCCGCTGTGATGGCTGCGAGAGCAGGGGGATGACAAAGAGCGGAGCGAGGGAAGTGCCGAGTCAGGGGACATGATGGCGGCGAGGTGTGGGGAACGGCGGCCACCGACGAGCAAGGGGCGACACGTGACCCGGCGAAGACGAGCAGGGCCATCTCTCTGCCGCCAGACTGAAGCGAAAGCATCATGACACCTCAAGGTCTTGCGAGTGGCGCAGCGACGGCCCGGGCAGGCAGGTCATAGATAGCTCCTCGCTTAGGAGGTGCTCAGGGCTGGGACCCATGAGCCACCGTCACGCTGTCGCACGCACCTCGACACCCGTCGAGCCAGCTTGGCTACTATTCCAGAGGCATACGAGGGCGACGAGTGGCGCTTCATGCGACGGCGTAGACCTTCAGCCGAGCAGAAGATGCAGCAAGGCCACGCCGTGGAGCACCACTCACGGCTCGAGCACCGAGCGCAGGGCCACTCTTCGCGTCTCTCAGTCGGCGATCTCGCGGTCTTGCGCAGGCAAGTCGACTTCGCGAACCAGACTCTCCAGCTCGCATCAGTCTGTCAGAGATTTTGAGGCGTATCCAGCACATATCCAGCTGCCACTGCCGTCGGTAGGAGGGGTGGGGAGGCGGAGGGGCCTCCGAGCGGGTTGCTTGGCGGTGCGGCTTTGCTCGGCCGGGACGCGCGATGCGCGGCGTGCGCTCAATCCGGCGCGTGCCGTGCCTGCGCCGCCGAGACTGCTCCCGTGCCTGGGCGCGATCGGCGGCGCATGATGCGACTCGCCTCTTCCGAGTCGCGAGGGCAGCACGGCCATCCTTCTCGACCGCACCCATCTCCCATCCGCCGCGATGGCCTCTCTTCCCAAGCCGTCGGCGTCCAAGCAGGGCGCCAAGGCCAGCGTGCTGCTCGGCGCCCAGTGGGGCGACGAGGGCAAAGGTGAGCGCTGCTCGCACGCCGGAGCTGCTGCTGCTCCTCGCCCTGGCGCGCCTCTGACTCCTGTGCTCTGCGTCTAGGCAAGCTGTCCGACATCCTCTCCGCCGAGATGGACGTGTGCGCTCGCTGCGCCGGCGGCAACAACGCCGGCCACACGATCGTCGTCAACATGCCCGGCGCCAACGGCGAGCCCGTGCGCACCAAGTTCGACTTCCACCTGCTGCCCAGCGGTGAGCCTGCGCTGCCGCCTCGCATAGCATCTCCGCCCTGCTCACACTAGTGTAGGCCTGGTGAACCCGCAGTGCGTCGGCTTCCTCGGCTCCGGCGTCGTCATTCACGTGCCGTCGTTCTTCACTGAGCTCGACAGCCTGGAGAAGAAGGGTGAGCAGGCATGCGGAGACACGCTGCATGCGCGCAGCAGCTGATGCGACTACGGCACAGGCCTCAACTGCGACGGCCGCCTGTTCGTCTCGGACCGCGCGCACCTTGTCTTTGACTTCCACCAGGTCGTGGACGGGCTGAAGGAGGTCGAGCTGGGCGGCAGCAGGTGAGTCATACGTGGGCGCAGGGCATGAGCGAGGGCGGCGCCGCTCGAGGCGCAGCGCTGACGCTGTGCCCACAGCATCGGCACGACGCGCAAGGGCATCGGACCGGCCTACTCGTCCAAGGCGTCGCGCTCCGGCCTGCGTGTGCACCACCTCTACGACCCGGAGCTGTTCGCACGCAAGTTCCGCACGCTCGTTGAGGGCCGCTTCAAGCGCTACGGGCACTTTGAGTACGACACGGAGGGCGAGATTGCACGCTACCGCGCCTTTGCCGAGCGCCTGCGCCCGCACATCGTCGACGGCGTCACGTTCATTCACAAGGCGCTGACGGAGAACAAGCGCGTGCTCGTCGAGGGCGCCAACGCGCTCATGCTCGACCTCGACTTTGGCACGTACCCGTTCGTGACGAGCAGCTCGACGAGCATCGGCGGCGTGTGCACGGGCCTCGGCATCCCGCCGCAGTCGATCGGCGAGGTGTTTGGCGTGGTCAAGGCGTACACGACGCGCGTCGGCGGCGGCCCGTTCCCGACGGAGCAGCTGAACAGCGTCGGCGAGCACCTGCAGGAGGTCGGCGCCGAGTGGGGCGTCACGACCGGCCGGCGGAGACGCTGCGGCTGGCTCGACCTCGTCGTGATGCGCTACTCGTGCCTCGTCAACGGCTACACGAAGCTCAATCTGACGAAGCTCGACGTGCTCGACGGCCTCGGCGAGATCAAGGTGGCGACGTCGTACAAGATCGACGGCGTCGAGCTGCAGAGCTTCCCGGCGGACCTCGAGCGCCTGGCGCAGGTCGAGGTGGGCTACGAGACGCTGCCCGGGTGGAAGGAGGACATCAGCAAGGTGACCAAGTACGACGACCTGCCGCAGCTGTGCAAGCAGTACGTCGAGTTCATTGAGGACTTCCTCGGCGTGCACATTGCCTACATCGGCGTCGGCCCGGCGCGCGAGTCGATGCTCACGCGCTAGGCCGCTGCGAGGGGGGATCAATCGAGGGGGCCGTCTGTCACGCATGGCTGCTCTCGTCTGGAATTAGATGTCTACGTATTGCTGGGCGTGGAGTGCGATGCGCTGCTGGGCGAGCGAGCCTGCGGTCGAGGCGGCATGTGGAGCACCGCGGGTCTGCGCACACGCTGTGCCCTCGTCGCTCGGCGTCGCATGGCAGATGCTGAGCGGTCGTCGCGCCTCAGCTGCTGCTCGACCGAAGCCTGATCATGGCTCATGCTGAGCCTGACACCGTGCGCTGCAAGCCGAGAAGCTTGTCCAGACATGCGCGGCGTTCAGAGATGCTCTGGCTGTGCACGAGGCGAAAAGCGAGGTGGCGCCAGCCCCTGCAGCTCGCCGCGCGTGCCGGAGGCGCAGCAGCAGACGAGAGGCCTGCTGCCGCACGGCTGCTGCGTGCCGCGGCGCGGGAGCGGCGCGCCGACGAACGCGTTGAGACGCTGCCGCCGACAAGGGAGGCGAGCCAGGGGCACGCTCAGGCCGGTCCCACCACCACCATCTCCCGCACCTGCCGCACACGCCTCGTGCACACGTCTCACCCGCCAGCTGCTTCTCTCTTCTCCTCACCTTCGGCCGTCTTCCACTCGCCGCACGCGCGCACCTCTGCTCGCGCACGCGCAGCCATGTTCCGTCGCAAGCGCGCCACGGACGCCGGCGCCGGTGCCGCAGGGCCCGGCGCGGCAGGCAGCGACTCGGCCTCAGCAAAGGAGAGCAGCCGGCCGTACACGCAGCGGAAACCGGCCAGTGCGTACTTGCTATGAAGGGAACGTGGGCCAAGGATGGGAGAGCTGCGATGCGGGAGCGCGTCAAGTCATCTGCGTGGATGCCTCGCGCTGCAGCTAAGCAACGTAGATGAAGGACGCCTCGCACGCGTCGCTGCAGAGCAAGCTTTGCGTGCCATGACGGCGCTGCGTCATTCGCTGACACGAGGCGCCTTACAGACACGGCCTGGCGGCAGCAGCGCCTGAAGGCCTGGCAGCCCGTCTTGACGCCGCGGACAGTGCTGCCGACGTTCTTCCTCGTCGGCCTGCTCTTCGCGCCGATCGGTGCGGTGCTGTACTACTACGCGACCAAGGTGAGCTGCCTTGCCCAGAGCTTCTCGAGCATCCGCTCATGCCTGCGCCCTCCATCAGGTCAGCGAGTTCACCATCGACTACACGGACTGCCGCAACGCCGGCTCCGAGTACGTGGCGGTGCCGTCGGGCAAGTACGACTACCAGCTGCCCGGCTCGACGCCGTCGAACTTCCAGGCGCCGCAGTGGCGCTGGGTCGCGTCCAACACGGCGCCGAACGGCTTCGTGTGCGACGTGCAGTTCTCCGTGCCGCAGAACCTCGAGCCGTCCGTGTTCCTCTACTACAAGCTCACCAACTACTACCAAAACCACCGCCGCTACGTCAAGAGCATCGACACGGACCAGCTGCTCGGCAAGGAGCGCACCGTCAAGGACCTCGGCGACGGCCAGTGCAAGCCGCTGGGCCGCGAGGGCGACCGCGGCATCTGGCCGTGCGGCCTGATCGCCAACAGCATGTTCAATGGTGAGTGGCGCGTGAGCGAGGTGAAGGTGGTGGGTCTGACGCAGGCATGCAGACACGTACTCGCTGCCCGTGCTGGTCGATGGTGGTGCCTCGAACCAGACGTACCAGATGACCGACAAGGGCATCGTGTGGCCGGGCGAGAAGAACAAGTACGCCGCCACGCCGACGCCGCCCGACCAGCTCGTGCCGCCGCCGTTCTGGCGCGGCAGCTTCACGAACGCGCCCGGCGCCTACAACTACCCCAACGGCTACACGGCGGACAACATCTTCAACCCGTCCGAGGATGAGCACTTTATGGTGAGGCGCGCCGCAGCTGAGCAGTGCCGGAGTGGAGCTCACACCCTGCGCCAGGTCTGGATGCGCACGGCGGGCCTGCCCACGTTCCGCAAGCTGTACTACCGCAACGACAACGACGTGATGCTTGCCGGCCGCTACATCATCACCATCACCGACAGTGCGTATCCCTCTCAACCTCTCGCTGCTCCTCTGCTGACCCCTGCCGCTCAGACTACCCGGTGGCCATGTTCAGCGGCACCAAGTCGATTGTGTTCAGCACGGCGACGTGGGTCGGCGGCCGCTCGCTCTTCCTCGGCTCGGCGTACATTGCCGTCGCGGCGCTGTGCGTGCTGCTCGGCCTTATCTTCACCGCGCGGCACCTCATCCGGCCACGCAAGCTCGGCGACCTGAGCCTGCTGAGCTGGAACGAGTGAGGCGTGCGAGCGTCGCCGAGGCATTGCGCTGGATCTGCAATGCCTCGACCTCTGCGTGTGCATGCTCCACCCGACACTGCGTCTTGGTCTCCTTCATACCGTGCCTCGTTCGTCTCCGTCTCTATCCTCTCCACGCCCCCTCCCATTAACGATCGCTGCTGCCTACTCCACACCCTGCCGCTCGCGCACACCCTGTCTTTAGCGCTCGCCTCACTGAAACGATCCGACGACGCCACAGGAGCGGGGTTGTCAGAGTGATGAGAAGAGTTGCGCGCGCACAAGTACAGAGGATGACAGGAGGACCGAGAGACGAGACAGAGGGCGGGCGAACGCTCATGCGTCTCGCCCGTACACGAGGCCACCGCCCGGCGCAACGCCCGGCGGCAGGCCATCTGCTGCGCCACGGCTGCGGTTGAGGCCGCCGTTGTCCTGCTCCTCGTCTCCGTCTGCAGCGGCCGCACGTGCTGGTGCCGACGAGAGGTCGGGCACGCCGGCGGCGCCCATGACGTCGGCGAAGCGGCCCCACAGGCCGGCGATGGGCTCAAACTCGCGCCCGACGGAGATGGACTCCTCCAGCTTGCGGTTCAGCGCGTTGGAGTGGTCGATCATGGTGCCGAGGCCCTGCCGAGGACGTGTGAGCTCATCGCGCAGCGGCCGTGCGCCGCGTCGCTGTCTTTGAGAAGCCAGCGCAGCCTTATGCGCAGCAGCGGTCGTCATACGACCGTCTCGCCCCACAGAAGTGTTCTTGCATGACGCTGTTCGCACGGCAGCACCCACTTTCGCCCAGAGGCCACTGCGGCGTCACCCGACGGGCTGAGCGCGGCTCTATCTGACAAAATCTAGCAGGCACGGCCTCAAGAGGCTGCATGGAAGTTCTTCTCGGCGCCTGTCTGGCAAAGCTGGGCGCTGCTGGGGCTACGTGCAGTCTGCCAGGACCTCGCCGCCTGCCTTCCGCCATCACGAGCGCAGCCGAGCAAGTGCGGCAGCACCACTGCTGCACCTTCACACCCGCGCAGCTCACCCCGCACTGCAGACGATGCTGTACAGACTGCGCTCCTCACCACACTCCTCACCCACACGCCCGCCCGCCCGCGCCGACTCACCTCTGCGATCTCAGCGACCAGCCGCTCGCGCTCGCGCTCAAAGAAGCTCGGTGCGCCCGAGCCCTGCGCCGACGTGTGCGCCGGCAGCGCATCGCCGGGACTTGACGGCGTGGGTGATGACTGCTGTGCATGCGTCAGTCGGTGCGCTGCAGTGCTGCGCAGGTGCTAGACGCACCATGGTAGGTGAGAGATGGTGGTGGTGTGAAGACGCCGACGCTGGCCGACGCGTCGCGCGGTGTTGCTCTCGCCGCGCTGCCGCCACGCGGAGCATCCCGCGGCATCAGCGGAGCGCGCCTCCGCAACCGCGAACGCCTGCACGCCTGCGCAGCGCAGCTCTCGCTTCAGCTCCTTTGCAACGCCTCAACGTCAGGATTGAGCAATGGATGCAGCGGGCAGCTCCAGCGGCTGCATCTGTGGAACAGCAGGGTCCATGTCCCACGCTAGGCGGCCGCCGGATCGCCCGAGCCGCGCCATATCTGGCCGCCCCTGACGCCATCAGCGGCACGGCGCAGCCTCACGCCGTCTGGACGGGATCAAGAGAGATGATCTTGCTGAGAAATCGAGTAGTCACATCGAAGCGAGGAACGGTAGTCAGAGTATGTCGTAGCGGGATCGGGGCACGAAGATGTCGTCAGGACGTGAGCGACCGATGGGCCGCTTGAGTGAGCGCGCGAAGCAGATCCCAGCCTTCGCCGTGGCGGAGCTCGCCCGCCAAGCCAAAAGCGACAAGGGTGAGCATGGCCTTGGTTGCTTGCGTCTCATCCACGGCATCACGGAAGAGTACGCCAGCGACGCACAGTTCCTGTGCAACTCTGAGTGTGAGAGGTGCGCGGGCCTCTACCGGCGCTCAAGACTCACGCCGTAAAGTGGGAGATAGTGTCGCAGCGCATTCTTGTCCTCGAGGATGCGAAGCTGATCATGCAAAGCAGCCGCATTGCGCAGCACCTGCATTTTTCTTTCTTGCGCTCTGCAGCTGCCCATCAGAGGGGCGCATCTGCTGCCCGTTGCCGAGGGTGCCGCAAGTGATGTTGCTGACGCGGAGGTGGTGGACGAGGCAGCCGCAATGCTGCGCGTTGCCGAGGAGTTCCCTGCGCCGGATGCGATTGGTGGCAGCGGTGCAGGATCGAGCCTTCGTCTCTTACCGACCGCTCGTGTAGACTGTACGCTGCCTGCTGCAAGCGCAGCAGGACTGCCTAAAGCCTGGCGAGTCCCGGCGACGGTTGTCGAGCCGCTTGCAATCGATAATGGAGCTTTCCAGCTGATCGCAGCGTAGCAGCCGCCCTGCGCAAGCGCGACACGCTCGTACCAGTCCTGCCACTTGGGCGGTAGACCCTCACATTGCTGGAGTTTTGCTACTGACGATGCAGGCCACGTCCGTATTGGCTTGCCGCGCAGCTGAATCGGAATGCAGCTGGCAAAGTTCCTGCAGCGCACATGCATGTCCCTCAGCCGAATCTTGAGCACGCCCATCGAGTTTGGCTGCTGCTCTTCAGGCCACACCTCGAGCGCTATAGACCTGAGTACGGCGGGCAGCACGTCTGAGCTTGATCCCGTACCGTTAAGCCAAGCCACAATGGCTGCGTGGCGAGTGGCAGCGTAGAGCAGAGATCCGTCGATTGTCTTGTTCCACTCGCATGAACGATATTCAAACCTTATGCTCAGTGCCGGTAGCCAGTCAAAGTCTTGCGGACTGTTGGATGTATGCTGTACGCGGACTGACGACGACCTATCGGCTCTTGCTGCGTGCGATCCTGGCTGAGACGCTTCGGTGATGGAAGGAGGTCAGTCGCACCTCTATCATGCTGAATCTTCTTCTCTTACCTGACGAGAGCCTGATAGCTGTCTCGGACAATGCGATGTTGCAATGGTAGTCTTGCCACCATACGGGAAGCGCATCGAGCTGCACTTTGGCCTCAGGCGTCCAGCGCGGGATCGGCGCGCCTTGAGCTTGCGCGGGAAGCTTTGCTCGCTCTCGCTCGTAGATGTGTCGGAGGCGCTGCAGACGCGTGCGGAGATGAGAAGGCGAGGACTTTCTGTGAGGCCATGCCTGTCGACCGGCAGCCACAAGCTCGCTATCTGGGACCGTCTGTCTAACTTCAAGAAGCCAGCTGAGAATCTCCTCGTTCCCAGCGCAAGCAAGAATCAGCAGGCGGCTCTCTACCATGACCGAGCCTTGAGAGCGGAAACGCCGAGGACTGCGTGCTTGTTGCTGGCGTTTTCTCGGATTGCGTACGCGGAGCTCGGGCTCTTCAGGATCAGAACTCGTGGCGGACCCGCCGCTAGAAGCGTCGTAGGAGCTGTCGTCGCCAGAATCGGATGATAAGCACACGTCGACGTCACATTCGACCTTCGCTTCCGAGGACATGATGGAGAGCTAGAGGGTGAGGATGGTTTGGCTCAGCTGCGGGAGGTCGTGGAAGGAGGGTTGCGGCACGGTCTGTGATGGATGAGAAGACGGAGACCTCGCTGCAGGAGGCGTGTATCTGTGGTTCCGAAGCCAGTCATCACTGGCTCCTCCGGCGGCACCACGAAATATCGCCTCGATCCTGCTCTCCTTCAGGAAGTGCTGCGAGACAAATGAACGGCACGGCGGCAACTCGTACTGCTGCATCCTGGAAAGTGCACGCATCCCAGATGTGGCGAGGACGAAGGACGGGCCCTGCTGTGCGGCACCTGCACCGTGCGCGCCGAGCGAAATCATTTCCGTCAACATCGCCTCGTCCTGAGCAGCAGGGCGGAGACTGATTCCCTGACCGCTGTCCCTCCTTCTCAGATTGACACGGACACTTGAACGCAGAAGGCAGTCCCAATCTGATGTGGCAGCTGGTAGACTGTCTCTGCGCTGCATGTTCGCGGCGGCCATGCTCGCGGCAGGCGGCGAGGCTCATTCAAGCGCGGGGCAAGTGGCCCGCGAGGACAAAGGAGCACCGCCGGCACTTCGCTTTGTCCTCGCACGAACCACTGCCGGCTTAGCGCGGCAAGAGAGAGTGTTCCGCGACATGAAGCGTGCCTGCGACGGCGGCTCGCGACTGTGGGGCTTTGAGCTCTCATCATCGGCGGCGGCGCTCGGGCCTTCGGCGGACGGGCGCTAGCCGGGGGTCCGCCGCTCCGCACGTGCATGCGCCGCTCGCACAACGTCCGCATGCTGCGACCGCTCCTAGCTTGCGTCCTGACCATCACTCCTCTTTCCGCACACGAGCTCGACCAGAGACACCATGTCCGACCGGACCGGGTCGCCGCTCTCGCCTGTGCCGCCGTCTGCCACCGACGAAGATTACACTGATGGCGGAAGCGACGCTGCGGCTTCAACTGTGCGTACGTGGGCAAACGCCATTGCAGTGCATGCGCACCATACGAAGACTCTAGCTCACACAACGAAGCAGCGACCGAGCAGGCGGAGACGGGCCCGTGCTGGGTTCCAGCGGCGGCGCCCTCCTGCGTTCTGGAGCAACGAGCGCGATCACAAGCTCATCGTCAACTGTTCGGAGAATGCCGCGATGATCGCATGGCTGTTCGACCGCGATGCAGACAGGGTGCACAACGAAGAGTGGCTGGCCGCTGCACGCAGAGCGTGGCCGATGTTTCCACGCACAGCCGATGTCGTTCGCAAGCGTCTGGAATTCCTGCTCCGGCGCTTCTGCGAAGTGATGCAGAGCATTCCTCAGCACGTGCAGCAATCGCCGCTGGCTGAATGGCCTCTGAAGATGAAGCAAGAGCTGAGCGATCGACCTATCTGGTGGGAAGACTTTCACACGAGGCTCTGGCTGCGAAGACCTGAAAGCATCACGAGCTGCTGTATGTGCAACTCACTTTGACCTCGAAGCTCAGGACTGACTGATCATCTCGGCAGCTGATGTCTTGACGGATGCACGCAGGCGAAAGTCGGGGCGCCCGGCGCGTCATGCAGCGTCGTTCGTGCAAGTACAGCTGTCTCGCCAGGCACAGTCGTCTCGCCGAGCACACTCGTCCCGCCAAGTACCGTCGTCCGGTCCGGTCCTGTCCCGTCGTCAGGCGAGGTCAATTCGTCGAGCTCGACTGCCAGTCCAGAGTTCTTCGGCGCCTCAGATCCGTCGCGCTCCCAGTGCGCAGCAGATTGAGCCAACTACGGACTGGACGGCTGCTCGGAACTTTCCGGCTCCTAAGATCTGCTCGGAGCGCTGGACCGCAGCGATGGCAGAAGATCTTTTGCAAGCCGTTGCTGCGGATGACACACTCGCTGCGTGGATGCATGATCGGCGGCAGAACCGTGTCCCGGGAGTGTACGCCTCGCTGAGGTCGCTGGGCCTGCGTCTCTTCCCGGAGCAACACTTCAAAGGCGAGGATCTGCTGCGGCGCCTCAGGCTGTCGGACAGCTCCTGCAAGGCCTTCGCTGAGACTGTTCCCCGGCACGTCCTCGGCAAGCGACTGGCAGCGTGGCCGGACATCGACGTCGAGCAGCTGGCGCACTGCCAGACTCCGTTGGGCTGGAGGGCTTGGTACGATCGCATCGCCCTCTGGGGCGGCAACTGTCCCTCAAGCTGGATCTCTTCTTCGAGCGCTGATGCTCGCGACCCGGCGGCAAGCGCTCAGAACGAACCAGCCGCAGAGACTCACAGTGCCGCCCAAGCTCTCTCATCCGCTCAAGCTCGCGGCGATTCTCAAGCCCACGTGCGAGTGGGAGCTTCAGTCGCCGGCACGGCGCAAGCTCGCGGCGCAACAGCGAACCCTCTCGGCTCAGCACAAGCTTGCGGCGTGCCACCGATTGCAGTCGCCGCGGTGCCAGGGCGCAGCGCAACAGCAGACGCTCTCGGGACAGTGAAAGCTGACAACGCTGCTGCGAACGCTCTCCGCCCAGCAGAGCCTGGCGCTCCAACAGTACACTCTCTCGGCACGGCCCAAGTTTGCAATTCGGCGGCGAGTGCATGCGGGTCAGCTGAGAGCTTCGACGGCAAGTCACGCTTTCTGAGGCAGCATCCGCTCGTGAACGGCCTGGACGAGACGTTGCGCCTGATCCTGAAGCACGGCGACTTGCGAGAGTGGCTACTCTACGACCTCGCCTCTCCGATGCCTCGAGGCGAAGGCTTCAAGGCACTTCTCCTCGAGCTTGGCTCTCATCTCTCGTCCACGGATGTGTCTGAAGCTGTCGAGGGCTTTGTGCGCATGCTCGCCAGCAGCTACGCCGAAGATCGCACGGTCTTCGAAGCGGAAGCCCGTCGCTTGGCCACCGCGCAGTGGCCCGCTCGAGCCAAGCAGACGCTCGCCCTCTGTCCGAGCTGGGTTGCTCGCTGGCACGACAAGGTTGCTCTGGTTTCCAGCCGCACGCCGCAGCTATCCTCAAGGTCCCGCTCTTCCGTGTCAGGCGCATCAGCTTCGCTGCCAACTCAGCCGTCGATAGTGAACGATAGCTCTTCGTCGAAGCGAGTCATCGCGACATCAACTTCGGCGACGGACTCGGGGCGCCGGAGCACTCAGCCGTCGGGCAAAATTCCTTCCGTCGACGATGTCGGCGAAACTGTTCGGCAGAATGTTGACCGCAGCGAAGAGCCAGTGAAGGCTAGTGCTCCGAGCAGCCGAAGGCCGTCACTTGTCCGGCCCAACCTCGACACCCTCGCTGAGCGATCGGCCAAGCGACCGAGACTGACGCCGGATGCCTCGACGCCGGAAGCACAGCTGCCTTCAGAGTCAAGCGCACCATCGTCGCGCCCAGCCTTCTCGCACTCGTCGCCACTCAAGACTGCTGGTCGTCGTCCGAGTCTACGGCAAGACACGACCTCGCCGACCGCCGGCCGCTGCGCTCCACGGACGCAATCGGGCTCTTCGCCAGCAGCGCACTGCAGCACGGCCTCACCGTCGCGAAGCTCAAGCACGCTAGCTCTCGGCACGATCGCCGCAGCGTCATCATCAAGGGCCGGAACGGTGCCTGGCTCCTTTCCCCGCGACACGCCGCCGTCTCAGGCGCCTCAGACGCCGATTCCTCACGCTCAAGAGTCTCCAGACGTGCGCCGCGCCGGGTCTAGCAGTGCACACTCGGACGTCGCTGCCAGCAACAAGCGGTCGCTCATGAGTGAAGTCATACGTCGCGCCGAAAAGATGCCCGAGAAGCTGGAGCGAGACAGCCCGGCTTGGCCGTGCTACTGGGCTCTCTACTGCGTGAGTGAATTTCCTAGCGATGCTCGGGCGTCGTGCGCGCGACGCGCTGCGTCACTGCTCAAGGACCTGCTTCTTCTTCGCTGACGCCCTTCGCGCACAGGAACTGGGTCACGACGGTGTCCTCTTCAACAGCAACATCTCGGACGAGAAGGCCACAGCAACGATGCACAAGCTCCTGACGTTCACCATCACGCAAGTGCCCGACGGCAAGGCGTGGGACGAGCTGCGCAGCCTCTCGCTGGCTGCACAGCAGGCGTTGATGTCGTCGTAGGCCCTCCTGTCACGTGTACATAGCGCTTCTCGTCTACCTTGGAATTCAGCTTCCGTCGCACTCGAATCTGCATTGTGGGGCGGCTCTGCGTGAGATCCAGCGCTTGCACCAGCTCAGGCTCTCTCTCTGTATTTCGGCTCGATGCGCGCCTGGCGCGCTGCACTTCTCTCACGCGAGTCATCATGGGCTATTCAGCAGGGCATCTCCGAGTATTGTTACCGATGCTCTGGTACGGCGCTGCGAGATCGGCCGTCGATCAATCTGGCTGCAGAACCACTCAGCGGGAGTCTAGGAGCTCAAGCCGCCAGCATGCGCGTAGGCGCGGCGGCGGCGTGCGGACGCGGGCACAACCCAGGTCGTCTGGAACGCCGCTGGCGCTGCCGCTGTGCTCGCTCGCCGGCAGCCCTGCATGATGAAGAAGAGATGAGCTCGCCGCTGCCGTCGCAGGACCGCTGTCAGCTGCTGCTCTTTACCTCGAAGAGAGCACATGAGCGGCTCGTGCGTGTGCGGAGCAGCGAGGGGCTCGAGCGCGGCCCCTCGTACACGCGCCCCTCGCTTTCGGCACCGACCGCGCCGAGCTGCTTTGCTTCTTCTCCACTCCCTCCGTCGCGATTCAGTCCTGCCCCTCTTGGCATGTCGCACTCTTCCTCCGGCCGCTCACAGCGTCGACGTCTTGAGCTGTCGCCGCCTGCACGCTCGCGTGCCGCCTCCTCGTCGTCCTCGTCATCTTCGTCGTCGTCGTCCTCCTCGTCGTCGCCTTCAGTGCACGGCGAGGCTTATCCCTTTGGCGGCCCTTTAGAGCGATGGAGCGAGGATCTCAAGGCTGTCTGGATCCGCGCCATTGCAGAGCATTCCGGACCTGCCTGCTGGTTTGCTCATCCGTGGAGGCGAACGATGACCCCGGGCGACGGGCCAAAATTGGCGCACTGCGCACGCAAAGCCTGGCGTCGCTGCCCTCGCTCGCTCGAGTGTGTACGGCGCGATGCTCATGACCTGCGCGACGAGTTCTTCGCCTTCAAAGAGCAGGTGCCCGCGCATCTCTTCGGCACGCCATGCGCCGGCTGGCCAGCACACCTTCTCGATCATCTGCCGTCGTGGTGGGAGGAGTACTACCGCCTCCTCTACCTGCCGCACAGCGCCGATCAGGACGTCAAGCTCGAGCGCGGCTCGCAGGGCTCGAGGCGCAGCAGCGGCCATGCCTTCAACATGCACCAAGGCTTCTCTCTGGCGGGGCGCGGAATCGAGAGCGAGCCGTTCTTGGTGGAGGACTCCGAGGAGGATCACGCCAACTCGGACTACGAGATGGACGAGGTGGACACAAGCTCGGATCCGGGAGAAGAGGAAGAGTAAGAAGAGCAGAACGCATCGCCAAGCCCTGCTCCCGTGAGATCTCGTCTCGTCGCGGGCAGTCCCGGAAGCGTGGAGTTCTTCGAGCTCGTCACAGACTCAGACTCTGACGAGCAGTCTGACGCACCAGCGCCTGACAACGCGTCGAAACGGTCGGCAAGCACACCTGCGCGCAGCGCCACGCCACCTCCGCATCGAGACGGCATAGTCTCGCCGTCGAGAGCCGCCGCTCTCGCGCGTGCAAGACGAGAAGCGCGTCGCAGCCGAGACGTACGGAACTCGTCGTCGTCGTCCTGAGACCAACAGCCACGATGTCACTTCCGCTCGAGCCGCATTCGCATCCTTCTCTTACTCCACCTGTCCGTCCTCCTTCTGTCTATACTTACTCACCACCTCTCGCGTCTTTTGCTCGACCTCCTCTCTCGTTGTCTCCCGCCCACCGCTTCGCTTCCTCTTTCTTCTCCAGCCCTGTCGATCTCGCCTTCCGCCTCCGCCTCCCCTCCTGGCTCTCGTCTTCAGACCCGTGGTGAGGAATCGGAATCAATTGCCAGACCGTACCGTGTCGAGAGAGAGAGGCAGTAGAGACACGCCAAAGAGACCGCGCCGGGTCGGCTCAGTCCCTCAGGCGGTCCACACGCGCGCGATCAGCTCCGTCAGGCCGATGTCGTTGGTGTTGAACTCTGCGGCGAGAGAAGCGTGAGCACTGATGTAGAGGCGCGAGCGCAGAGCCACGCCGACGGCTGTGGAGCGCCCTCCGCTCGCGTGAAGGGCGGCTCGAGGCCGAGCGCAAGACGCAACAGGCTGCGCCTTGCACTGCAAGTGCAGAGGTAGCCCTGCGGCGCCGGACGGCCCATGACGCTCTGCGAGCAGCAGAGACGCCGCAGACACCCTGCGCGTCTCGCTCTCCTCGCCGACGTGCGAACGTCTTCTGCAAGGACCTCGTCGCACGCCTATCCGGTTCGGTGCAACGCGCGCGCTGCGCCGAGCGGACTGCGCAGCGAGAGAGGGCATGTGGATACGCCAGCTGTGCATTCTCCCGTTCCGAGCAACGCAAGGCGCGAGAGCGAGCAGGGACGAGCATCACAGCTCACCTCACCGCATGAATGCGGCCGAAGCCCGGACCAGCACGTCGGGATGTGGTGTCGCGGCTCTCTATCTCTTTCTCTCTCGTCGCCCTGTTCCCCTCGCCGAGAGGAAGAGAGCGACGAGAGGGAGAAAGAGACGGAGAGACTCAATGCCATAGCCCGACTGTGACACCGAGCTGAGGCGTCCACGGGTTCGCGGTTGCAAGCGCTAGCCACGTCTGCCGAGCGTCACATATCCCGCCTGCGCGTGTCTCACTGCGCTCGCGTCTCGCCAGCTGTCTCTCCCTTCTTTCTGATGGCGACGCCCTGCGCACTGACACAGATCGAGCAGCGCCACAGCTCTCTCCTAAACGCTCTGCTTCACGCGTCTCCCCTCTCCACACTGCACGCGCGCCCTTGACTCACCGTACAGGCCAACGAGCGACGCAACGGTAGCAGCGCGCAGCGTCCAGCTCGTCGCGGGGCCAATGACGGGGAACTTGCGCTTGTGCAGGTAGTCTGCGATGATGCAGTCGAAGCCGATGTGCGAGTGCACGACGAGCGAGAGCGCCAGGACGCCGTCGAGCACGCCCGACGCGCCGTGCTTGACGGCGCCGGCGGCGATGAGCGGCAGCAGCGCGACGGAGAGGCCACGCTCAAAGGCCCAGTGGTACGAGCCGTGCGCGGCAGACGGCGGCGGGTACGTCGTGGGGTCGTTGACCGTGCCCTTGATGTACGCTGCAACGGGGTGTGAGAGGGATAGCATGCGAGAGAGGGGAAGAGGTCACGCACAGGCGGAAGCGTCCGGCACGGCGGTGCGAGCCCGCGGGGCCGACGTGTGGATGCCAGCGGCGCGGCCTGCGACGGAAAAGTGAGCACTTGTGCAGCAGAGGCAGCATGTAGCGCTGTAGAGCGCTGGAGCAGCCTGGCTGCTGCGCCTCCTCGGCCAGCCAAACTGCTCTCATCGCTCCGCCTTGCGCATCACGCACCGGCGGAGAAGGCGCGAGCGCCCGACGCCATCATGCGCAGGTGCGGGCTGCCGGCAATGGCGCTGAGCCGGAGCGGCGCGGCCATGATGAATGTGTAGGAGAGGTGGGGGACGGGTGGTGAGGGTGCAAGCTGCGACAGCGATGCCTCGACGACGACGACGGCGCGGTGCTGACGGCCGGCCAAGGGTCGCAGCTGGCGCGCCCCGCATGCCAAAGCCACGCGCCCGAAGCCGGCACCGCGAGAGTCGCCCTCGCGCGCCGCCAGCCCAGCCGCCAGCCTCGGGCTCGCCCGCGTCCAGCCAGCGCGGCGCCATTGCGCTCCGCTCCGCCCCGACCGGGCAGGGCGGGCGTGCTGACATAAGCAAGGCGCAGCGCCGCGAAGCCCGTGCGCATCTGGCAGCGTGCACCCCGCATTCCCTCAAGCTCGCTCTTCCCCACCTCGACCCTCTCGCACGCAGCCAGCCATGTCCGCTCCTGCACCCTACCGCCGCATCGACACGGTGCGTGCTTCATCGCACGTCACTTCCGCACAATGCTGACCTCCTGCAGACGGACCCGCGGCGGCATGACCTCTCGCGCCCCTTCACGCTGCCCGGCGCCTGGGCCGACGACCGCGCCGTCCTGTACGACACGCTCCTCGCCTCGGGCACCGTGTTCAGCGGCGCCGCCATGCTGCTCAAGTCGCCCGTCATCGCGTACGCGGGCCTCATCGTCGCGCTCGCACATCTCGCCGGACAGCGCCCGCTGCAGAAGAAGCGCGAGAGCGGACAGGGCATGGCGGGGCCGGGCGGCAGCATCGTGTGAGTGGGCGAAGCGAGCGACAGGCAGCAGCGCGCATTCGCAGAGCATAGGAGCCAGCGCAAATGGGGGCCACAAGCTCTTGCTCTGCGTCAAGCCGTCGCAGGCTGTGCACACGACGTCTCGCTTTGGCGCTCTCTTCTGCTCGTCGCAGCGTAGCTATGGCCGTCGCAGCGGCCGCCTCCATCACGCTGACGCATCGCTCGCTTCGTCGGACAGCTTCTCGCTGCTGAGCGTCATCATGCTGGCTGTGCAAAAAGTGAGTCTCCCTGCGGCGCGGCGCTGGCTTCTAGCCTCGCTCGCTCCGCCAGTACGGCCTCAAGTACGCTGCTGACGCCTCACGCGCAGGCGATGGGCGCACCGAGCTTCGAACACGCGGTGGCGAAGGCAACGGGCAACGCCGTGTGATGCGTCACAGTGGAGCGGGAATCACACTCTCACATGACGATGGTCTCGCATCGTGGAACAGAGTGATTTGGGGCGTCGTAGCGAAGTGGAGTGGAGGGAGCTGGCGTATGGCCGTATGGGCGTGGTGGTGAACGGGACGAGGGGTGAGTTATGTGGCAGAGGGACTCCGCGCGGACGAGGCCGGGCGTGTGCACAGCGGCGAGGCTTCGAGACGCGAAGGTTCGCTCGCCGAGCTCAGGGTCGGAGCGACAGAGAGAGGAATAGAGAGCTCGCGAGTAGAGCGATGTGGACGAGGTGGGGCGGGACGCATGAGTCGAGACGGACGCGTCGGACGAGGCGGAGCCAGATGGCTGGTGATCTGAGTCGTCGTTTCCGACGGTATCGCCGATGAGCGGAGGAAGGTGAGGCTCGCGCCAGCTAGTCGTTTCTGGCTGGAGACGCTCTTCATCACATATCGTTCAGCACTCGCAGCCACGTGCGACGGAAACGGCGCAGACGGGCATCCGCCTTGCCTTCTGGCTGCTCCGCACCTGTCGGCACACGGGCCTGAATGGCAGTCGTCACGCTGGTAACGAGCTCGGACATCTCGTGCTTGTCGCGATAGCCCATCGTAGTGGCCTCGGCCTGCAGCTTCTACAGAGCGACAGGCTTCGTGTGAGCCACGAGCGGATGCATGGTAAGAGACGCATGCGAAGTAAGGAGAACAGGACTCACAGCGCACTCTTGAGTCCAGAACTCATAGGCAGCGTTGCTCTCCGCGTGTTCCGGCCCAGGCTCAGCAGCGAGCAGAGTGACCTCGCCAAGCAGCGTCAGAGCGTCCTTGTGGAAGTCCGCAAAGCTGGCCTCGTGCACCTGCGTCCGCTTTGGCGGCGGATTGACGGCCACCGGCGTGTCTTCTCTCGCAGCAGCACCCAACACAGGCGACAACGACCGTCGCTGGAGGTGGGCTACCTTCTGATCCTCGAGCTCGCTGCGCGGCGCAACAGGAAGAGGACGTCCGTGCACGCGCGTCTCCATGATGGCTTGATCAAAGTCTTGCCACCATGTCGGCACGGCGTCGCGTGCCCAGCGTGGCCAGGTGCTGTATGCCTCGTGCCGATGCTCGCTAGGCACTGAGAGAGAGAGTGCCCCAAAGTCCTTCTTCAGCCTGTGAACGTCGTCGCGCAGCAGGTCAAGGCTACGAGGACACTCTGGCCAAGCTTGAAGCGCAGCATGTTGGAAGGGACGGCCGTAGAAGCGTGGCATGGTGTGCTCGTCCATGCGACGGCACCATCGAGCAAGATCCTCCTCCTGCGCAATGTACAGAATCCATCTGCTCTTGGCGCTGTCAGTCCACGCAGACTGCTGTGCGCGGTACTTGGCTTTCTTCTCCATGGCGTTGAGTGAGTGCGGAAGGGATCGACGCTGAGGGCGAGAGGGAAGGAAGGACCCCAACGCCTCGCACGCTTGCCTGTACGCGCGCCCAGCTGCCAGCGCGCGGCGCGAGGGCCTCCGTGCACGAGCCCATTCTCGCGCGCGCGGCCCCACACTCACATGTCGCTTGCCACTTAGACTGGAATCAGGCACCACTTTGCACAGCAGGAACGATCATGCGCTCCTTCACCCAGCCACTGTAGATGCAGCCGCCGGCCGTGATGACGGCAACGGCGAGCGGAGGACCCCTAGCGACGCCATTCGCGGCGACACGGCAGCGCGCACGCTGGTGCAGCGTGCGCGCCGGCCTCATTCGCACGCTAAGCGCGCCGGCCCGCCGCTTCTGCTTCTTCGCGCCCGAGCGTCGAGCACTGCCGACTCATCTCACTCCACTCTACGGCGCTGCCCTGCTCTCCATGGTGCCTCTGCCGTCCTGCTGGAGATAACGACATGGAGGCGCTGCAGCCGCTACACGAGCCGGCCGACACTATGACTGGGTTCGCGACGCGCCAGCGACACTGCAACATCTGGCTCAGCTCCTCGCGTCCCGTTCCCACGCGCACGGATCGCACTCCTTTCTCCGTCGGCAGCGGCGCGCGCTCTTCTTCCTTCCCGGCTCTCTCTTCTTTGCTCTTAGCACCCCGCGCGTCGTGCGCTACGCGCAACGTGTGCGCGGTGCTTGGCGCTTAGCGGGTGGGACAAGGGAAGGACGCGACGCTCAGGCCTTCGCCGAGCGCAGCATGCACACCTTCGCTGCCTCATCGACGCATCAGTGCGTCACGCTTTGCAGCTGTCGCAGCCGCCTCTCCGACCCGTCGCATGCCGTTCGAAGCTCTCGTCTGTGCCTTTCTCACCTCCACACCACCACACGCCCGGCCAACATGGACATGAACGCCTATCGCGAGGGACACCGCGACACCTCTCACGTCCGGTCCTTCTGCAAGACCGAGCCCTGCACGCGATTCCACATTCACTGGGCTCATATCATCGAGACCGAGGTGCGTCACTCTTGTGCTGCTGATCAGGCATCAAAGCTGAGCCCCGCCTCCTTGCCAGTCGCAGTACGAGTGCTGCTATCACCTGCACGGTGTTCTTGACGGGCAGCAAGTGGTCAACGTCTTCACCGTGCGCTTCTTCAAGAACGCGAACCCGCAGCTGGATCTTTCCGACATCGATGTTGTGGACGAGCTGTACAAGCTCTCGAACGCCGTCTTCGACCAGGGAAGGGAGTCTATGATGGCCGAATTTTGGCCGAAGCTGATGGCAGCTCAGAAGGAGGAACAACCGGAGAAGCGCTTGTTCACCATTGAGCATCCGGTCAGACTTGCGCCGGTCGTCGAGCCAGCAAAAGCCCAGGAAGAGCAATGCTGCTCCGTCGTTGAGGCACGCGCTCATCTATAAGCTGCCGTCGGCACAAGGTGAGTTGCCGGGTCGTCCGGGCTGTCCCATCATTGCTCCTTCTCCCTGTAGTGTGAGACGTGCCATGTCTTCGGTCGTGCTGACGGTCATGCCACAGGCGAAGCAAGCCAATACACTCTCAGTTCGAGAGTCGACTTCTCTTTGCTCTCCTTTCCGCTCGTCCCTTCTCCTGCGCGCCGTCGCCTCCAGTAGTCGCCATGCCTCCATGTCTCCCGTACATGGCGCCGGCTTCGCGTCTCGTCTCTCAATAACCACTACTCTTCACTGTTCTGATGCCTCGTGACACATCGCTGCAAGGCCGACAGAGGCAGCACAAGAAGCGAGCACGGCGCTCGATGCTGCTCGGTGCGCTGCGCTGACAACCTCGTCGCCAGCGACTCCATGCTCTCCCTCGTCCTCGATCTCTCCGTCTCGGGCTTGTTCAGTCTAACTATCATTTTGCGCATGTCGTGTGGGCGCCATCTGGTGTTCGGCAAAGTATCGAGAACGAAGGGCAAATTGGAAAGGGTGTTCCACTCGTGCATGGCCAAGACGAAGCGGACGATGTCGATGGACGGCGAGGGCGCGGGAAGACGAATGCGAGGGCCGAAGGCGCCTTCGCATCTGAGACCTGCGTGGGCGAGGAGTCTCGAATTAGCCTGCGCCGTCTCTGTGCAGCGACGACACATTCGACGCACCAGCTGCTCCTCCCGTCCGTCTGGCGTTCTCTGCGTGTTTACTGCACCATGCCCTCGCCCTTGTAGCCCTCGCTGGAGATGCCGGTGATGGGGTTGAGCTTCTCCTCGCGTGCCCGCTCGTTGCTCTGCTCCTGCCACTCCTTGGTCATCGTCTTGGGCGGCGCCGGCGCTGCAGACACAAGACCGCGTCAGCACATCAACTCCAACACGCACGCGCGAGGCAGCGATGGGAAGAAGAGAATGAGACTCACCCTGGCTGCGGATGCCGAAGAAGACGGCGGCGGTGACGCCGATCAGGCCGACGGTGCCGAAGAAGGTGCGCATGCCCTGCCCCGGCTGCACGTGCGGCTTGCGCGGGCCGTGCGGGCCGAACGAGACAAAGTAGGCTGTGAAGCAAGGGCGAAGGCGTCAGCGTGCTGCGCAGTCGGTGGTGCGAGGAGTGGCACAGCGAGAGAAGGCATGGCCCGCGCCGGCGAGACCGGGTGCACGGACGTAGCTGCGTGCTGGACATCAAGCGACGTGCTCCACCTTCACGAAGAGAGCGCCGCTTGGATGAGGCAGCTGCGTGCGCACAGTCCCTTCTCGCTGTCAGGGCCCCGCCTTGCCCGTCAGCGGAGTCGCTAGGCCCCAGCTCACACGCGCGAACGCGAGCCAGGCTCGGCCGGCTGAGACGCTGTAGCTCTGAGTGCAGCGACACGCTGAGGAGAACAGCGACTAGGCTGCGACGCGCACGCGAGATGGACGCGCGAGCGAGACGGAGTCGAGGCACAGATGCCGCGGTCGGACGTCCATGCTTGCACGACCTGGCTCCGCCTCGCACATCCACTGCGCATCGTCCCCCGATCGCGATTTTATGCTGCGGGCGCTGCGCTCGCACAGATGTCGCGCTGTGACGACGCGATGGCGAGGGCACAGGCCCTTTCAGGCGCGAGTCCCGAGACGACGAGTGCACCTGACCAAGAGGTCCAGTGCGCCGGCCATGGAGGCTGTCGCTCTGCTCTGAGCGGCCGTGGATGCCGGAGCGCAGCGAAGCAGCCAGGACGCCCGCTTCCGCCGATAGGCACACCCACGTGCCAAGCTCGCGTGCCCCGAGCGCCTGAGCGCTAAACGAAGTCCAGGCTCGCCAGCTGTGCAAGCGCCAGCGCCAGCGACACCCCGACGCATCTGATGCGAATGCGACGAGAGCCGGGCAGAGGCAGCTGGAGAGCTCACCAGCTGTGCGCTGGCGTCCGATCTCGCTGCGAGAAGGCTGCTGTACCCTGCCGGACGGCAGAGGCTCTCGCTGCCCGGGTCCGCGTCGTCGCTCGGCCTCTGCTCTGCAGATGTCGGCAGCGAAGGCGGCGTGGCGCCCGTCTCAGAGACAGCGGAGCTTTCGCATCATCTGCTACATCTCGCGGTTCCGTCTGCACTTCCTCTCGCCTCTCCTGCACCCCATTGCCCACTTCTAGCACGCGTCACTCACCGGCCTTCTTCTGGTCCGTGCTGAGCTCCTTCCAGTCCTTGCGCTGCAGCTCCTCGAGCTGGCGGAAGACGGCGTACTGGTGCTCCTTGTCGAGCGCGGCCCAGCGCGCCTCGATGTTGGGCAGCGTCGAGGCGAGGTCGACGCTGGGCAGGCCGGCGGCGTCGATGGCGCGGATCTGCTGCGGCGTCCAGCGCTCGGCCTTGGTGACGAGCGAGCGCGAGGCGGCGCCGCGCGAGGCGCGCAGGACGGAGGGACGGGCGAGGGCGAGCATGCTGAGGCCGAGATGGGGAGAGGGTGGAGGGAAGGAGAGCGATGGATGGAGCAGCGGCAGACAGAGAATCGCGAATCAGCGCCGGCTGCAGCTGCGATGCGACCTTCCAGCGCCCGGCGCAGGGCTGGCGACGGCCGTCCGCCAGCGCAGCGCCCAGCCGACGTCAGCCAGGCACGGGCAGCCAGTGAATTCGCATTACACAGCACTACAACTGCTCGCTTGTATTCCGCGCGATTATTGCCGCGCCCAGCCATTTCCGGCCACGGCGCGGCGGCGGCGTCGCTCTCGCGCCCAGCGCCGGGCTGAGGATCGGCGCGGGCCGGATCTGGCCCTTGGCCGGCGGGGACGCTGGCCACGTGGCGTGGCTGCAGGCAACCCAAGAAGCGGGCGCTCTCTCGCGCGGGTGCCTGGCGCGGATCTGCGTGCATGGGCCACCTCCTCTCCGCCCCAGATGCAGCCTGCTGCTCGGCGAGCTCAGACCTCGCCTCTCATCCTGCACCTCTCCCCACGGCTCGTCCGCCACACATACCCTCTCGCGCCGGGCATACGCGTCTTGCTCTCTTGCATCTGTTTCGCGCCGGTCTCCAGCCCTCGGCAGCCTCTCTACTCTCGCTCTCTCTTCCGCACCTGCGCTCCTCGCGGGCGGCAGTTGCGGCCATGCCGGCGCCACCGGCCGTCGAGCTCTTCAGCACCTCCATCCTCTCCAACCACCGCGTGCGGCACCGGCATGAGCGCTACACGAGCGTGCTGCGCGTCAAGCAGGTGAGCTGCCTCTCCCGCCCTCCCTCCGCTCGCAGGCTGACCTGTCCTGGCTCAGATCCCCTTCATCTACCACGACCTCGCCTCTTCCGACGCCGCCAAGTCGCGCTGGCGAAGAAAGGCGCTCGATGCCAGCATTCCCGGTCTGCTCGTGAACAACGAGTGGCGCGGCACATTCGAGGAGTTTGAGGAGGCCGTCGAGTTCGGCGAGCTGGACCTCTTTCTGCGCGTCGAGGATGGCGAGCCGCTCGAGCTGCCCGACGAGCCAGCGGCGGAGGAGCAGGAGAGCGCAGCACCTGCGGCACCTGCGCCCGCAGCAGCCGCTCCTGCCGAGTCGAGTACACGCAGCACCTCGCACAGCACGCTGCAGCCGATGCGTGGCCTTGCACAGCCTCGTTCCATCTCGCACGCCGGGCCGGCTGCTGCGCCCTCAGTGCCTCTGCCGCACGCCCTGCCGCAACATGGCGCTCGTGCCGAGCCCAGCGCAGACGCCATCCTCGCCAAGCTGGCGCCTGCCGATCTCGAGCTCAACGACGACGACGTCGACGCCATGCTCGCCGAGATTGCCGCGCTGAGCGTGCGGGATCGCGAGCGCAAGAAGGAGGCGCCGCCGGTCGAGGAGAAGAAGGAGGAACGGCGGAAGGGCACATACCCAGACTTGGGCGCCGGCAACAAGCCAGCAGTGCCGCGCACGTACGTTCCCTCCGCTACCGCAGGCACTGCGCCGCTGCGGCTGGCGCGCATGGGCAGCGGCACCAGCATGGCTCGCGACGTCAGTGCTTCTTCCTCCTCGAGCAGCAGCAGCGCCGCCTCCTCGACGCCCTCTGCACCACGTGCGGCGCGCTACAACGCCTCGCAGATCTCCTCGCGCGCCCTTGCTGCCGAAGCAAGCGCCTCGGCAGCATCTCGAGCCCTCTCGACGAAGTCGCTCGCGCGCGCTGTCTCGGATGGCACAGATCTGCCCACTGCGCTGCAAGGCGCACGCAGCGAGGTGCTGGTAGGCCGAGAAGACCCAGATGCGCTTCTCGCCTCTCTCGGCCTCGGAGATCTGCAGTTGACAGAGGAGGAGGCAGAGGCGTTCCTCGAGTCGGGCATCATCCCTGAAGGAGCAGCAAGTGGTGGCGGGCGAGTGAAGAAGGGCAAGGAGGAGAAAGTGCGGGAAGAAACGGCAGCCAGAGAAGTGGCCAGCCGGGCGCGCTCCAAGGGATACACTGGCAGCCCGATGGAGCCGCGCAAGACGTCGTTTGCGAAGGAGCGCGATGGAGTGGAGGAGAAGGAGGACAAGCGCGAGGACAGCGCAGCATCGGCAGTGGGCCTCGGCCTCGAGACGCAGCCTGCGGAGCCGGAGGCAGCAGCGAAAGGCGAGCCAGATGTGCAAGCAACGACTGTCGTTGCTGCGGTCGGTGCCGAAAAGCAGCGGATCGACGAGAACGCAACTTCGCCAGAAGCCGCTGTCAAGAAGCCAGAAGCTGCATCGGATGCAGCAGCCAGCGAGACGAAGGGAGACACGTCTGCTCCGCCGACAAGCTCCACTGCAGCCGAGGCAGCGAGCACCGCAGAGAGCGGAGAGGCGGTGCTGCCGAGTCCAACGCCTGCCGTCAGCGCCGCCGCCGTCGTTGCGGACGTTGGCGTTGAAGACACGCCTCGCGCCGTCAACAAGGCTCTGCCGTCGCTGGAGGACGCGCCTGGCTCGGGCGAGGGCAGCACTGACACGATGTTGGCTAGCGCTCGTCCTGTCGCTTCTGCCGCTCCTGCTGTCGCTCGTGCTGCATCGGGTGTCCCAGAGCCCGTCAAGCCTGTCTCGCCGACGAAGGACGCTCCCGCTGCAGAGCCCTTCGATACTCTCGCCAAGAGCAGCAGCACCTCGTCAATCACGCCGCCAGCCGTGCCCGCCGCCGAGAAGCCCAGCGCATCCGCGCCGCAGACGCCGGAGCGAGCAGTCGAGGCGCCGCGCACGACGCCGTCAGCTCAGACGCCGGAGGATGCCGCCGCAATCGCCGCTGCTGCTGCAGCCGCTGCGGCAGCCGAGGCTGCAGCTGATGCGGACGCACGCGACACGATCAGGCTGCTGCTGCAAGGCACTGACTTCGGGGCAGACATCGACGACAAGCCTGTCGTTGACTCAAAGGCTGCTGATGCGGGTACCACCACGTCGACGTCGAGCATCAAGCCTGCCGCTCTAAGGCTCGAGCCATCGCCTCTCATCGCGCTCGCCTCTCCCGGTCCTTCCTCTTCTTCAGCATCACCTCCCTCGCCCAAGTCGCCCAAGTCACCTCTCTCGACGCGCTCTTCACGTTCGCCGCTTGTCTCTCGCTCGCCGATTTCTCCATTGAGCAACAACGCGACAGCACAGGTGCGGAGACAGCCCAGCGATCCGCGCTCGCCGGTGCTTTCGCCCTCTCGGCGAGGACTTGATGCTCGGCGTCGCGAGCCGGGCTCAGCAAGCATGACACCGTCAGGTAGCGCCAGCTCCTTCTCTTCCCTTGGCGCGCTGCACTCGCCCGTGGGCGCTTCGCCTCGCTCCGTCTCGTCGCCCGTCACCGGCATCGGCGGCATTTCCCGCAGCGCCTCGACGGAGTCGAAAGACTCCAAGAAGGGCCGATTCAGCCTCGCTGGCATGCTCAACAGCGCCAAGCTGGAGCGCACTTCCTCGGCGTCCTCCAACGCCGGTGGCTCGCCCGTCTCGATCCGCAGCATGGGCGCCCCGAAGAAGGAGGAGCGAGCGAGCAAGACGCTCAGCCAGATCCTGCGCGAGGCGGATGCGGCGATGGCCGAGGAGGAAGAGGAGGAGGAGATGATGGATGGCGATGATATGGCATGGGAGGGCGAGGATGTGAGAGAGGAGCTGCGCATTTGAGAATGCGGAGCCGGAGGCGAGCGAGAGAAGAAGGCCTTAATTTAGCGTATGTTGCACAAGCCTGCCGGGGCATGAGCTTGACTCTCTCTGCCCGTCGTGCAACGAGACGGCGAAGAGCTGCTCTCGAGGGTGCGAATGCTCCTGTAGCAGCCACCTCGCGTCGAGACGCTTCACTCTTGGTTCCACATCGTGCAGCTTCATGCATTCCTCCCTTTCTCGTTGCGCTCAAAGAGCACAAGCAACTGCGTCGCAGCGCGGGTCAGACTTTCTCCGTTTGACGCATAGCGAACTCAAGCCACTCACGTTCCCGGCAGGCATCTCGATGCGTTCCTTGAGCCGCATGCCGTGTTGCTGCGCTAGTGGCTCGAGCTCACGCTGAAGATCCCGTAGCCCGAACTCGGGGTTGCGAGTGCGCAGGTTTGCGTCGAACTGCGGTGTATCAGGTGACACAGGGAGAATCAGCTCTGCGGTCGACGGCCTGGTAGGACAGCGGGTGCGAGGCTTTCAAGGCTCGACTTGACTCAGAGCAAGAGGACACAACTCACAGCAGCATTGCCCTCGCTCGTGACCTTGCCGTTCTCATTGTACGCGCCGTACAACACCAGAGTGCCTCCCGGCTTCAGCACTTCTGCCACGCGCTCAAAGAGCGTCCGGACGAGCGGTGCTGGGATGATGTGTACCAGATTGAGCGCCAGCACTGCCTCGAATCCGTCCTCTTCCCGCGCCTGCAGTGCAGCCCAGTGCTCGCCTTGCTCGATCTCCAGCACGCGTGCCTCGGCGACGTTTGACAGGCCAGAGCACGCGTCGTTGATCAGCGAGCAGAGCGAAGCGTCTGCTTCACACGGCGAAAAGCGCAGCGTCGAGAAGGCGCGTGCTAAAGCAGAGACGTGTGTGCCTTGGCCCGAGGCCAGCTCCAGGACGCCAGGGGTGCGAGAGGAGGAGGCAGCGGAGGCGAGAGAGGAGAAGAGCGGCGTCAAGCCCTGGACGATGCCCGCTACGTTACGCGCCGCAGAGCCAGGCGCGGACTGCCGCTCGGGATAGCGTACGCTGCCCGAGCTGGCTGAGGCTGATGCGCTTGCTGATGGCGATGTAGCGAATTGTGAGGCCATCTTTCTCGATCGGCAGAGGCGGTGGGAGGAGGGAGATGTGGATGAGAGCCAGAATGAGGAGTGCCTGGAGTGGAGGTGCGGACAGGACGCTCCTCGGGAATCGGGCCGCTGCGCGAGCGGCTCGAGCACGTTGGCACCGCCTCGTCTTCTTTGTGCCGCCTCGCGCACCTTGCCTCACTCCACCACAACGCTGCAGCCGGGTCGCATGGCACACTCGTCCTGAGCGTCAAAGCGCGCCGCCCGTCATGTCTGCGCTTGCACTCGCAGAGCCCGCGTCGGCCAAGCGGCGGCGGCGAGGCGATGCGCCTGCCGCCTCGAAGCAGGGCGAGGGCGAGGTTGCGGTTGGCGGCTCGGGCTCTTCATCTGCTGCTGCCTCAGGCTCAGCCTCGAGATCCGCCTCGTCTCCAGCGCCCACCTCAGATGCCGCAGCGCCAACGCGCCTTGAGTCGCTCGGCGGCGCACTGACACGGGCGCTCATTGGCACGCTGGCCTTTGTCTTCCGCGCGCCCGTCCGCCTCTTCCGGCCCGTCAAGCGTGAGTGCCTGCCAGACTAGTGGCGTATGCAGAGGGTAGACACATACTGAAGATGTATGTCTGCTACAGTGAGCTCATGGACGCTGCTCGAGGCTATGGCCAAGCGCGAGGGACGGACGCTGAGCATGCGCTATCTGCGCATGCTCGTGCGGCGCGAGCAGGTGCGTCTTCTCTTCACGTCCCCTTGCGCCGGCTCCGCACTGACGGACGCGAAAATGATCAGGCCTCTTTTCTGCCACATCTGCTGCTCCCTCCGCTTCTCGCCAACACAGCCGTCGGCTTCACGCTCTTCGAAGCCTACACCTTGACCGAGTCTCGTCTACTCTCCAAACGCTTCGCCCCCAATTCCCGACCCGACTTCACGCCATTAAGCATCGTCGGTGTCGCAGGATTCGTCGCAGGCGCAGCTCAGTGTCTCGTCTCTGCACCGCTCGACAATGTCCGCCTCGTGCTCTCCTCGCGAAGACATTCGAGGCATAAAGGAGGAGCTATTGGCAAGGCTCTTTCCTGGCGCGCCGTCATTCAGGCCGCATTGCTGCCCTTCGCGCCTTCCAACACCCGGCAGAAGCTCGTCAAGGCCGTGCAAGCAGCCACGCCCACTCTCTCCACCTCTTCCTCGTCTACCTCAGCGAAGAGCCTCAGCGCACAGGAACGGCGCAAAGCTCTAGCTGCCCAACTAGCGCGCCTGCGGTCCGGCGTCCACGGCGCCGGGCTACTCATGAGTCTGGCACGCGACAGCATCGGCTTCGCCGCATTCTTTGTGGTCTTCGAGGTCTCGCGGAGAGTAGCATACCATGCTTCACGCGGCGTCGATCGCGGCATCGCACGCCTCAACGCCTCAGCTACACTGCCGATGCATCTGCCGTACGATGACGGACCCACTCGAGCGCAAGACGGCGAGATGACGACGCAGCAAGCGACAACGCCGGATCTGGCGCGCTCGAGAACTCGGAGTGCCCGCTTTGTCGCTGCGTTCGTGCTCGTGGTGGGCGGAGCCATTGGCGCAGCGATCTACGAGCTCGTCGGACGACCTGCAGAGCTCATGCGCGCGGTCATTTGGCAAGGACGCAAGGCGGCGGAGAGGGGAGAGGTGCAGAGCAAGGGAAGGAAAGGCGCGAGAGGAAGAGCGAGTGCGGAGAGGAAGGGAGAGTGGGAGAGATTGAGAGGTGGGAACAGGATGGGAGAGACGGGAACGAGAGTGCACACTTTGCTGGCGCATGCTCGGGCCACGACGACGCATCAGCACGCTGCTGCACAAGGCGGCGAGATGCTCAATGCGCACGCTGCTGCTGCTTCGATTGCCGCCTCGGCATCCGGTAGCTCTTCCTCTCAAGCTGTGCCCCACGCTCGGCATGTGCCGTCTGCGGCGCAACGCCGGACGCTGGGACCGATCAGTGCGCATCGTCGACGACGCCTCGGCCTCTCTCCTTCTGCTCCTTCCTCCGCGTCACCGCCTCCCGCCTCTGCCGCCTCTACCAGCAAGAAGGGCAGCACTTCGGCACCAGCACAGCAGCGCCCCAGCGCGTGGAGTCTGCTCGTGCAGCATGCGCGCCGCACCAGTCGGCTCTCGGACGTCGCAGTCGGCGTCGCAGCGAACGCTAGTCGGCAGGAACGCACGGCTGCCGCGGCAAGAGCGCCGCTCTGGCGAGTCATGGGCCACACGTACTTCATGTGCGTACATGCTGCTACCCTTTCCCGGCCGCACAGAAGCACGCCGCTGACGAGCTCGCTTCCACAGCGCGCCTTACGTGCCCGCTCCTCTCCGCGCTCCTGCTCCTCCGAAACCAAGCAGCAGCAAGGCTGCGACGCCAGTGCGCTCGATGCTGCTGCGTCTCCTCCCGCCACGCTTCCAGCCGGCGCCGAGCAGTCTGCGCACGCTGGCCGCTGCGCAGTCCTGGGGCCAGGGACGTGCTGCATGGGCGCTGCGCCGTCTTGCCAGCCCGTACGGCCTCGGCTTTCTTGCCTATGCGTGGCTCGCCGGCGATCTGGCGCCCTGAGAAGGCAGGAATAGAACAGCACTTCAGAGCGCGGGCGCGTGCGAGGTAGAAGAAGAGCTCGTCGTGGAGCGTAGTCAATTTTGGGTGGAGGGGAGTGTACAAGGTGCACGCACGGTCTTGCGGGCATGGACAGGGGACGGAAAGGGGGCGTGAAGAGATGCGGCATGAGTCAAGCGGAGGAGCGCGGTGTGCAGGTGGGAAGCCTCAGACGTCTAGTAGGGAGCACAGCCGCCGTCCGCGCGAAGCATAAGTGAGCCGGCGACCAGGACGATCAGAGGCCGCGCGCGCCAGGGGGCCTAGAGAGATGCAAGGGAGTCAGCGTCGAGAACAGCTGAGCATGGCATGAGGATGCACTCACCTGTAAGCGCCCGCACTCCGCTTCGGCACCTCCTGGAAGCCGTCTCCGCCCTGCGCGGCCGGTGCAGCAGCGGCCTGTGCCGGCGTCGGGGCCGCATCAGCGCCCTCGCCGCCAGCTGCGGCAGCGGCCTTCTTTGCCGCCTCGCGCTCGCGCCAGGACATGCCGGGAGCGCCGCCACGCGTGAACGTCGGCGGGCCCTGGCGTGCAGGGGCCGGAGCTGCAGCTGCGGGTGCGGGTGCGGCAGCAGCAGGAGGAGCACGGAGCGGCGAAGCCGTGCCGTTGGTCGGCTGCGGCGTGGCGCTGCCCGAGCTCGTCGGCGCAGCGGCAGCCGGAGGAGCCTCGCCATTGGCAAGAGCAGCCTTGCGAGCCGCCTCACGCTCGCGCCAGCCGCCGCCAGCCGCCGCGACGGGGGCGCGGTTGATGAGTGGCGGCGCGGGGCTTGCGTTGCGAGCATCGGCAATGGCACCAGCAGGCGCAGCCTTGCGCCACACGCTTGCGTCCTGCGCCGGCGCGGCAGGGGCAGCAGCGGCAGCAGGGGCGGCGGTGCGGGCGCGCAGGCGCTCCTCGACCTCGAGTTCGCGCTGGCGCTGCTTTTCGCCCTGCTCGCGCAGCCGGGCCTGGCGCGCCTCGATCTCGGCGCGCTTCTCGGCCTCGCGCTCGGCCTGCTTCTCCTGCTCGAGAGCGCGCTGCTCGGCCTGGCGTGCCTCCTCCTCCTCGCGCAGCTTGGCACGCTCGGCCTCCTCGGCAGCGCGCTGGCGCTCCTCCTCGGCCGCGCGCTCGGCCTCGGCCTTGTCGCGGTAGGCCTGCTCGCGGCGCTTCTGCTTCTCCTCCTCGATCTGCTCGTCGGCACGGCGCTTGCGCGCCTCCATCTCCTCCTTGCGCTTGCCCTCGATGACCTTGCGCAGCTCGATGTAGTCGGGCATGATGCGCTGCAGGCGCTTCTTGAGCTCGAGATCCGCGGCGTGCTTGGCCTTGGTCGTCTCGATGAGCGTGGTGCGCGCGGCAGAGTGGTAGGCCTTGTCCTCCTCCTTCTGGCGCTCGTAGTCGGCGGCGATGAGCGGCGTCTCCTCGCGCCGGTAGGCACGCTCGAGGTGGTCCATGCGGCGGTGGATGACACGCAGGCGCTCGGCGAGCTCCTTCTTCTCCTTCTCGATCTGCTCGACCTGCAGCTGCACGAGCTTCTCCGTGTCGAGCGTGGCGTACTCCTCCTCGCTGAGCTTGAGGCCGCCCTTCTCCTTCAGGTTTTGCGCCAGCTTCTTGGCCTCCTCGTGCTTGACGGCCTCCATCTCCTTGCGGATGCGCTCCAGCTCGCGGTTGCGCTTCTCGTCCTCCATGCGCTTCTGCTCCGCAGCCTGGGCCAGACGCTGGCGCTCGGCCTTTGCCGTCGCCTCGTCCTTCTCCTTGCGTGCCGCGCGCTCGTCGAGGAGCTCCTTGCGGCGGGCGAGGATGGCCTTGCGTGCGACGGCTGCCTTGTGCTCCTGCTCGGCGGCGGCGACGGCGCGGGCAAAGACGTCGCGCTTGGCGGCCTGGGCCGCCTCGATGACGCTGGGGTCGATGATCTTGACGGTCGTGTCGAGGCAGCTGGCGAGGCGGCCGAGCTGCGTGCGCACCAGCTCGCCGGGCGTCTGCTGCAGGCGCGTCACGTCGCCGGCCTCGCCGCCCGAGCCGCTGGCCACGGCGGCGGCGGGGTGCTGCTCGGCAGCGAAGACGTCGTCCTGGAACGTGATGGCCTGGCTGACGTGGTCGACGCGGATGTCGAGGTGGCCCTTCTTGCAGGCATTGAGCACAAACTTCTCAATGTCGGCGGCCGTGTAGTTGTACGGCGCCTGGAACGCGCCGACGAGCTCCATGACGCGTGCAAGCTTCACAGCATCGTACACCTGGCTCAGCTGCTGGAAGAGGCGCGTGAGGATGACGCTGTGCAGCGGCTTGACGTAGGGCACCATCTCGGGGTCCTGCGCCAGCTTGGCGATGATGGGCTCGATCTTGGCGCAGATGGAGAGCGGGTGGAACTCGACCTCGAGGATGTGGTAGAGCTCGCGCAGCTCGGGGCGCACGCGCTTCAGCACGTTGCGCGCCAGCGCCTCCTTGAGCAGGCCGGCGCGCGTCGGCGTGCGGCTGAGGCCCAGCAGGCTCGTCAGGCGGCCCGTGCGGCTGCGCGTCTCCTGGTCGCCGAGCAGGAAGTCGCTCTTGCTCTTGTTCATGTTGCCCGTGCCGGGCGCGCTGCTCGAGATGACGGGCACGGCAAGGGCGCTGAGCAGCACGAGGGAGCTCATGCGCGTGTGCTCCTCGTCGGTCTTGAGGCCGCCGCGCGCCAGCGAGTAGTAGCGGTTCCATGCCGCGGCGTGGAAGAGGTTGTTGTCGCTGACCATGAAGATGCGCGTAAGCTTCTCGTAGTAGTTGGCCATCATCGACGGGCGCGGCGCCTTCTTGGCCATGGTGAGCAGGTTGTGCACGTCCTCGACGCTGCGGAACGCCTCCTGCCACAGCTCCAGCTCGACGGCCGAGTTGAGCTGCGAGAAGCGCGTGTCGAGGTGGCGCTGCAGCGTGTCGGGCTCGGTGAGGTTGATGGCGTGCGTGTGGTGCGAGTAGCGCGCCACGTTCTGCAGGTGCGTGCGCAGCAGGTCGCACAGCCGCCGGAACTCCGTCTTGCGCTCGTACTGCATGCAGAACGCCAGCGCCTGGTTGGCGATTTGCTGTGGTGGAGGGTCAGCAGGAGCGCCACCTCTGCGGCGGCAGCAGTACGGCGAACGCGAGCACGGCCACGCGCCCGCACTCCGCCATGCGCCATGCTCCCGTCCTTGTCGTCTTGAGCATTCACTCGCGCCATCGCCATCGAAAGCCGCACCCTGCCATGCACCTGCACTCTCGCCACTCGTGGCCGCAGGTGACCCTGCCTCTCCTCCAGCTCGCCGGGCGCACTCACCTGGTACGGCACCTCGAGGCGTGCGTTGTTGCGCAGAATGTCGAGCGCCGTGCGGTAGCTCTCCCACAGGAACTTCAGCCACGGCGTGACGAGGGCGCGGTCCGTGCGGTCGCGGTTCTCCTCGCTCGTCACGGCGCCGAGCAGCATGGCCTCGGGCGTCTCGCTCTCCTCGAGGTCCTCGACGTCGGCCTCCTTGGCCGCGGCGGCCTCGTCGGCCTGCTTCTGCGCGTCGGCGACGCGGGCCTCGCTGATCTTGATGAGGTGGCGGATGACGACGTCGATGCTGGCGGGGTTGGTGTTCTGCGAGACGTTCTTGTACTGCAGCAGGCCGTCCTTGACGAGGCGGCCGCGGCGCATGTCGACGCAGAGGTCGGTGAAGCGCAGCATGATGGGCTCGAGGGCGGTGAGCGGCGTCTGCTTGAAGGAGCGCAGCGAGAAGATCTCGCTCAGCGCCGCCAGTGCGGCCGTCTGCTGCCCGACGCCGAGCAGCTCCTCGGCGCGCTTGAGCAGCGTCTCGGGACGCTGGAAGCGCGACATGCTGGGCAGGGGTCGCGCGCGGGTGGAGCGGGGTGGGTGGAGGAGGAGAGAGGAGAGGTAGCCGTCTGCAAGGCGAAGGGTTGGTGCAGAGAAGGCGGGGCGGAGGGGGTGGGAAGACAGCAGCCAGCGAGCAGCCACAGGCCGGAAGGTTGCGATGCGCTCGCCCTGGCGGAGCGGCGCGGCGGCAGCGTAGCGCGAGCACAAGGCACGGCAGCGAAGCTCTCGGCGCCGCGAGCGACTGCCGCGCCGCCGAAAATTGGCAGCCTGCTCCCACGCTGCTCGACGTGACGCTGAGGCGAAGCGCGCCCGGCACCGCTGCCATGGGCATAGCCCCAAGGCCAGCTAGCAGGCTCGGCTGCGTTGAGGTGCTCCAGCCAGAGCAGCGACAGCGTCTGTGAGCATGTTTTTGTCACTCTGCGTCAGTTGCGCGGTCCTGCGCTGAGACGGCTCTGAGCTTCGGCCTTGCTCTCTGGTGCGCGGCCACGTGGGTGCGCCGGCCGTGCGTGTCCCGTGCGAGAAGCGCCGCGCATCTCCAGCCCGCCCCGGCCGCCTCGCCTATGCCTCCGTCCACCACATCCTCGCCTTCTCCCAGCCATGCCCGCCATCGCGCTGCCGCCTAGCGTGCCCTCGGCCGCTGCCGGGCCCTCGTCGCATGCCAACGGCGCGCCCAACGGCGACGCCAAGGCCAAGAACGGGCCCAAGAGCAAGAACGCCAAGCGCAGAGCCAAGAGGAAGGACGAGCGCGCCGCGGTGAGTCGTGTGTCGGAGAGAGGGCAGGCATGCGATGCACCTTGGGCGAAGAGCGTGGCTGGCTGTGTCTGGAGGCGAACATGGCGACACAGCGGCCGGCTGGACCTGTAGCTAGCTGGCATGCTGCTGCCGGAGCAGCCTGGTCATGGTCGATCTCAGCCGGCGTGCGGCCCAGCAGCTTGCAGTGCCATTCGCGCATCAAGGGCCATGTGCTCTCGGCTCGCCACCCGCACTTCACACACCTGTGGACCGTGCTCACTCACTCCATACCGCAGTCCGAGACGCCTGCGCCCTCCGACGTCGAAAGCGATGCCGAGTCTGCCTCGTCTCGCAGCACCTCCGTCGCGCCCGCGCCTCCCTCTCTCGATCTCTCCTCTCTCTCCGCTCCCGCGCCCGACGATCCAGCATACGCCACTTGGCTGGCTGTCTCCTCCGCCTTCTCCTCCGCTAGCGGCGGCGTCGACCCTTCCGACCCAGCCGCTCCGTCCAAGGGCGACGTGATCTACTCAGATGATGATCAGCTCTCCGACTCCGACGCTGACGACGATGGCGCCCGGGAAGCGAAGGCGGCACTCTCGAAGCGCAAGCTGCGCCGCATGCAGCGCCTGACAGTGGCGGAGTTAAAGCAGATGGTGCCGAAACCCGAGCTGGTGGAGGGTGCAGATGTGACGGCAAACGACCCGAGACTGCTGCTGCAGCTCAAGGCGACGCGGAACGCAGTGCCGGTGCCGCCGCATTGGAGCCAGAAGAGAGCGTATCTGCAGAACAAGCGAGGTGTAGAGAAGCCGCCGTACTTGCTGCCTGGTGAGTCGAGACATGGAGCTGCTTGAATGAAGGGAGGAGAGGAGGAGAGGCGGCGCGGAAGAGGCAATGGCAGTGGCGCTGTGAAATGGCGGTGGCGGTGCGCGGGGCGTGGTGATGACGCACGACGTGCACCTCACAGCAGCCGGTTGCCCCTGTCACAAAGGTCTCTTTGCTGATAGCCATGTGTCTGCAGCCTACATTGCCGCGACCGGCATCGCCGAGATGAAGGATGCGCTCAAGGAGAAGGAGGCCGACCAGTCACTCAAGGCCAAGACGCGCGAGCGCGTGCAGCCCAAGATGGGCAAGATCGACATTGACTACCAGAAGCTGCACGACGCCTTCTTCCGCTTCCAGACGAAGCCTGAAAGCCTGACGCGCTACGGCGAGACGTACTACGAGGGCAAGGAGTTCGAGACCAAGTTCAAGGAGCGCCGGCCTGGCGATCTGAGCGAGGATCTCAAGGAGGCACTCTCGATCCCGCCACTGGCGCCGCCGCCGTGGCTCATTGCCATGCAGCGCTTCGGACCGCCGCCGAGCTACCCGCACCTGAAGATTGCTGGCCTAAATGCGCCCATCCCAGAGGGTGCGCAGTGGGGCTTCCACCCTGGAGGATGGGGCCGGCCGCCGATGGATGAGTTTGGGCGACCCATCTACGCCGAAGTGATGGGCACCGACGAGAGCGCGGCGGCACAGGCGCAGCAGGAGGCGCTCGGCGAGCCGATCAATCGCGAGCCGTGGGGCGAGCTTGAGCCGGAAGAGGAGGAGGAAGAGGAGGACGACGAAGAGGAGGAGGAGGAGCAAGATGAGGAGGAGCAGGACGACGGACCTGCCGATGGTCTCGAGACGCCTCTGCCTTCCGGCCTCGAGACTCCTGGCGGCTTCCAGTCCGTCACTTCGACAGTGCCCGGCGGCCTCGAGACGCCCGACTTCCTCGAGCTGCGCAAGGGCGCTCGCGGCGCGCCCAGCACGCGTGCAGGCACGGCCGAGACGGAGGACCGCGGACCGCGCAGCCTGTATCATGTTGTCCCGGAGATGCAGCGGCAGGGTGGAAGTGGGTTCATGCCCAGCGACAGAGGATACGACCTCTCGGGCATTGCGCGACAGGGCGCGCCTGTGCTGGGCGAGGAGCGCGGCGTCAAGGTGAGTTGTCCAACGTCATGTTGCCCCGTCGCGCTTTGCCTGACATCATCTCTCCTCACGCTTCCGCAGCGCAAGCAAGGCGACGTCGACCTTGCGCTTGCGCCCGAGGAGCTCGAGTCGCTCAGCAAGGAGGAGCTGGCGGCGCGCTACGACGCGGCGCGCGCCAAGAAGGACCGCTTCAAGTTCTGAGCGCGGCGCAGTCCTCTGGCCCCCTCTCACTCGTCCTACCATCCTCTGCTGTACTTCTACGTGCCTTCTCACACGCCACTCTTTGCACGAGAGAAATGAGAGGCAAGCACTGCATTCCTCCTCCTGCCCGCGCGCCCTTCACATGAGATCGTCGTCCGCGTCCGAGTCTGCCCCGATGCGCTCCTCGTTTTGCGGCTCAGCGGGCGGCGCCGTAGCCGTGGCCTTTGCAGCGACGAATGCCGGTCCTCCGGCGCGGCCGGCGGCGCGCTCGGCGGCGACGGCAGCCTCGGCCTGCGCCATGGGGTCTGCTGGGTCCGCTGCTGCTGCGCCCGCGGCCTCGCCGGAAGCAGCGGCGGCAGAGACGAGCGCGGCAGAGGCGGCAATGTAGGAGATGTCGGTGTTGAACTGCGCCTGCACGGCTCGCTTGACGCGCACTGCAGGAGCAAGACCATCAGCAGCTGCTCGGCATCGAGAGGAAGAGAGGGGCCCGAAGCGAACTCACGCATCTCGCGGAACGTCTCCTCGGAGCCCGTCTCGATCTCGAACGTGTTCCACTCCTTCCAGAAGGCGGCATTTGTCTGTAGCAGGAGAAAGCTGTCAGTCTATGCTGCCAGACTAGTGCGCTGAAGGAGTGGACTCACGCGCGGATCGCAGAACTGGCTCGCATGCTTGTAGATGGCGCGTGCGCGGTCGATCTCGCCGAGCTTGCGCTCGAGAGCAGCGAAGCGCAGGCACATCTCGGCCGTCTGACGGTCGGGCAGTGCCTCGATGGCGCGCTCGTAGATGGGGCGCGTGGCGGCAAGGCCGTAGTTCGACGTGGCCTTGGCGATGTAGAAAGTGAACATCTGCGCGTGGGAGAGTGTCAGCTTTGCGCCCTCGGCGAGGAGAGGCTAGGGGAAAACGCACGTCGAAGCGATCCTCGTCTGACACCTTGGTCGTAGCGCGCTCGTAGATGCCCATGGCACGCTTGGCCAGACCATGCTCCTCCTCGAGAGCGCCGTACTTGAGCAGCAACGGCTTTGCGAACTTGGCCGGGCAGCCCTCGAGGGCCTGCTCGAAGAGGTCGCGGGCACGCTCGATCTTTGTGCCGCCCTGTTTGCAGCACGTCAGCTGGCGCCAACACGGTAGCGGAACAGGGCACTCACGTAGCGCTTGACGAACTTGCTCAGATACACGTTCCACAGCTCAAACACCACGGGGTACGTGAAGGCCTCGACGCCGCGCTCGTACACCTTGAAGCTCTCCTCAAAGTACTTGTTCTCCTCCAAGAAGCTGGCGTAGTTGACAATGATCTGCGCGTTTGCAATCTTGAGCTCCAGGATGCGGTCGTATGCCGTCTTGGCGCCCTCGACGGAGCCGATGGACTCCTGCAGATCGACGTAGAAGGCGTGCAGCTTGGTGCTCTTGAACAGCCGCTTCTGCGGAGAGAGCTGCTCGTCGTGGTAGGAGATGTTCTTGCGCTCCAGCGCCGAGTTGGGCGGCTGCGTGGCGCGAGCGAGCACGCGCAGGGCCTCGTCGAAGTTGCCGGCGCGCACCTCCATCTCTGCCCACTCGCACCACACCTCCGCGAGATCATCGACTCGCCGGTACGGAATCTCCGTCGCGCGACGCAGCACCTGCCGGGCGCTCTCGAGATCGGGCGTGGAGGAGGAGCCGCCCTCCTCGTAGAACTTGGCGAAATTGAGCAGCAGCTGATGCAGGTTCGCAGTGGCCTTGCGAGGATTGATCGTGGCGATGGCCTCGTTGTACGTCTCCACCACCTTCTCCTCGTCCTCTCCGTGCAGCACCACTCGCTTCTCCCACTCCTGCACGTCGTCGGGGTTGCGGCGCAGCAGAACGTCGTTGACGAGGAAAGGTCGCCGCTCCATCAGCTCCTCAAAGTCGCGCATCTTGGCATCGAGGTCCTTCTCCTTCTCCTCCCGCTCGCCCTCCTCTTCCTCCTCGTCGTCCTCGGCCGAAAGCTCCTCCATGAGGAAGGACACGACGTTCTCGCTCGTCTCGGCGTACGCGTCGAAGATCTGCGTAAAGTCGCGCACGGTGACGACGGTGCGCATGCCCTCCTCGAAGACGTCGCGCGCCACATCGAGCTCGCCGCGCTTGATCCAGTAGGTCGCGAGGCCCGTCCAGAGACGCCCAGCCTGGTCGGGGAAGCGTGCAATGCCAAGCTCGCGCAGAATGCGGCCCACGGGCAGAGGTGCAGCAGAGAGCGAGTCGACGTCCGAAGCGCGGATCGCGGTCGAAGAGGCGGAGGCGGCGTCGCCGCTCTTGTTGCTCTTGCTGCCATTCTTGCCGCTGCTCGTCGCCGACTTCTTCGCCAACGTCTCCTCCTCCTCGGCAGGCATGCCGACGTCTTCTGCGTACTTCTCGCAGAGCTCCAGCCACTCCACGAGCAGCTGATACGGGCTCTTGCCCTCGGGACTCGTGTACTTGCCCTCTGCCGCATCGCGCGCCAGACGCAGCAGCAGCTTGGCCGCCTCGACGACACGGGCTCTCTTGCGCTGCGTCTCCTCCTCGCTCTCCTCCTCCTCCTCTTCCTCCTCGTCTGCATCCGACTCGCCGCGCAGACGAAGAAGCGTTGCGACGTATCGCTCCGTCAAGCTCGGATCGACGGAGAGGTATCGTCGCCAGACTCGCAGGCACGTCTCGCCGCCGCGCAGCTCGGCCCAGCGCAGGTACTCCTTCCACACGCGCAGGTGCAGCGCGTGGGGCAGCGTGCGCAGAGCGCGGTCGAAAGTGCGTCGCGCGTGCGTGTGCGAGAGAGACGACGGAGAGAGCGGATGAGAGAGGAGAGTGAAGTAGAGGAGCCAGAGACGCGGCATCTGAGCATGCACGTGTCAGCGACCACCACAGTAGCAGCACAGTGCGGTAAGGCTCACTCGCGGCAGGCACATCAAGGCGCGCTCGTACGTCGCAGCGAGGCTGTTCCACTCCTTGTATGCCACACGTCCATCCACACCACCTCCATTCCTCCACTCCCACTCGTCCGTCGCCTGTTCCTCCAGCAGTGTCGGTCCCGCATCGAGGTTGCGTCTGCCCTGCTCGATGCTGCGTTTCCGCCACGCCTCGACGCCGCCTGTGGGCTGGCCGCAGAGGAAGCTGGTGCGCAGCAGCAGGTAAGAGCGCCAGAGTGCGTACGACGTCGGGAAGCGTGCCAGCGCCCGCTCGTAGATGCTCGTGATGCGGCGCAGTGCGAGACGCGCGTCTGCGCCGGCCAGGGGGCCGAGCAGCGTGCGCTGCGGGGCGGACCAGTGCTCATCGGGCACCCAGCCGCCAGTGGGCGGCGAGGAGGAGGTGACGATGTGTGCGATGTAGCTCTGCCAGGCGCGCAGGTCGTCGGCGTGCAGCAGCAGGTCCTGCTCGAGCGCGACGTCGGCGGCGGGGATGAGAGTGTCGTCGGTGGACGGAGATGGGATGGGGTAGGTCAGAGGAAAGAGCTCCTGCATGGAGGAGACGGAGGCGGGGATGGAGGGCGCCATGCTGGGCAGAGCAGAGGGCGGGGATGGTGGAGAGGAGAGACGCGAGAGCGAGGCGAGCTTCGTGCGCATCTCCAGAGCGTCGGCGCAGCGCGGCCGCCGAGCGCCGACGTGCGCGCGTGAGGCCGTGCCGTGCGAAAGCGCGGCGGCCTGCCCGCTCTCAAGGGCGTTGCCACTCCCACTCTTGCGCCCATCTAAGCGTGCTTCTCGAAAGTGAGCATATGGCCTCAGTGGTGTGCTCCCGAAAAGCAGCATCGTGTCTGTCTGCGAGAGAGGGTCCGTGGCATGTGTGCCGGCTAGCAGCGCCGAGTTCGCAGGGCTGTGCTTTCGCTGCAGCAACGCGTCATCTGCGCAGCTTGTTCGCGGCGGCTCGGCGTCAGCGTGGCGCGAGAGCCAAGCCAGCGGAGCGCGGCATGCCAGAGGCCAGCCGAGGGACGCGGCCCGCGCTCAGCTGATGCGCCCAAGCTTCGCACGAGCCTCGCTGCGGCTTCTTCGTCCCATCCACCACCTCACCACCTCACGTCCCGTCCTCCTGCCATCGCTTCATCATGGTGCGTCTCCTTATCCCTCATGCTCATGCCCTGGCATCGCGCTGACCATGCTCCACAGGCACGTCCCGTCGCCTCCACGCCGCATCTCGTCTGGGCCGCCGGCCACTTCCTGACGTTCATCGCCGGCCTGCGCTTCCTCATCGGCACCTTTCTCTTCAGCAGCGCCGCGCTCGGCCGCTGGTACAGCGTCGCGTACCTCGGCGCCGTGGTGTCGTACGGCGTCGTGGTGTACAAGAGCTTCGGCGTGAGTTGCACGGCGCAGCGGGCAGAGGTGGAGGGGCGATAAGGCACAGGCGGAGCGGAGTGGATGCAAGTGCTGCAGCGTGCTGGGCAAAGAAGGACACGGCAGTGCAGTCGTCCTCCAGAGGCGGCAGGCGTAGCCCTCAGCAACGCTAGGCTGGAGGCAAGCGTGCCACCTCGGCCCGTGCGGCTGCTGCTTGCGGGCTTGGCCTAGGCCTCGGCAGAGGCGGATGAGCAGAGAAGAGCGCCACAGGCAGCGCAGCACAAGTGCGGCGCCTGTGCTGGCGTTGCTGCTTGGCTGCCGCGGAGAGCGTCGGACTGCTGGGTGCAGCTCTGCATGCGAGGAGGTGGAGGGACAGGATGGCGGAGGAGATGGCAGAGCGACGAAAGCAAGACGGCAACGCAGCGCTGCTAGTGCGCGCGCGGTTGCATGCCAGCTCTGCGGCTTCTCCTGCTTCCTGCGAAGAGCGAGAGCAGCGAGCACAGGTCAACAGCCTCTCGAGCTCTCCGGCGCGACGCAGGTGGAAGCGCGCATGCGCGGAGCGCAGCTGGCGCTAGCTGGCCCATCGAGGCTCGCTATGCTCCAGGCGCCAGCCTAGACTGCTCGCTGGCTTGCACGCCTTGCGATGCTGCACGGAGGAGCTCCGCGTGCTCAAGTAGCAGCCCGGAACTGCTGCGTGAAGGAAGCAGCTCTTTAGACTCTCGCGCGCTCTTCGCTTCCCCTTTGCCGCGCTACAGCAGAGCTCTGCTGACCGCCTCTGCGTACCCTCTTCAGGTGCCCCAGGTGAACAAGGCGTACCTGCAGCGCGCCGCGATGGATGAGAACGTGCAGTACCTCCTGCTGGCGCTCTACTGGTGGTTCAGCAAGCCGATCTTCAGTGCGTTCCTAGCCTCTCCTTCATGCGCGCACGTGCTGACGCGGCTCGCAGTCACCGTCGTGCCGTACACGACCTTCTCGCTCTTCCACGTCCTCACCTTCGTGCGCACCACCATCATCCCGATGGCCTTCCCCAGCGCCACTCCTGCGCCGCGTGCCGCTGCTGGCGCCGATGGCGCTGCCGCACCCGCTGCCGCGCCCGCATCGGCGCCGGCGCGCGCCAGCAAGTTCATCCAGAGCTGTGCGTGCCCCTCTCCTCCCTCTTCTTTGCTGCTGGCTGACACACATCGCTGCAGGGGTCAAGGCCAACTACGACCCCGCGATGCGCTTCGTCGCGTACGCCGAAGTCGCCATCTTCGCGCGCGTCCTCATTGGCGCCCTTCTCCTGCGCAACTCTCTCCTGGCGCCGCTCTTCTACGCACACTTCTGCCGCCTGCGCTTCTACATGAGCAGCTTTACGCGCGAGGCCTTCTCGCACGTCGGCGCTAAGCTGGACGAGGCTACGACGCACAACGCGTGCCCGCCGGTGGTGCGCAAGGCTTATGTGATGGGCACGGATGTGGTGAGTGCTTCTCTTCGCCCTTCCTGGTGCGCCGTCGATGCGAAGCTGACGCGTTCGGCAGATCTCGAGATACGCAAGCACTGTCCTCTCCGTGCAAGGCCAGGGCGCTCCCGCCGCCGGCGCCGCCGCTCCTGCCGCCGCAAACGGCGGTGCTGCACCCGCAGCTGCTGGCGCGCGCCGCTAAGTCTCGCACGATCTCTATGCTCGTGCTGCGATGCACTGAGCAGAGATGAGGCAGCGGCGGGCAGCGAGCAGATGGTGGATGGGGCGGGGAGACTCCAGACGGGCAGGACAGTGATGACTCCAGTGAGTGGCCGCAGCGAGGGCAGCGGCCACTTCTCTACTTCTCTTTCGACGCTCGACGAGAATCACGATGCAAATTCTTTCTTTGTACAAGAGCGAGATGGACCTCGCGAAAATGAATCGCTTCAGATGATGAGCGCGCGAGGGCTTGACGAGAGAGAACGTGTCGTGACGAGGACGGAGGCGAGCGGAGATGTTGAGTGAAGAGGCGCGAGGAGAGCTAGAGTGAGTCGTCGAGATCGAATAAGGCACGGAGCTGGGGTCGCGGAGACGGAGCTTGAGGAGGGCTTGGGTGAAAGCGATGACAGGCGCGGAGCGAGGCGATACGAGGCGCGAAGCAGGACGTGTGACGTGGAGGCGCTTGAGGCACGGTCGCGAGCGATCTGCCGCTCGAAGAAGAATGGGAGGGTTCCTGGAGCGCACGAGAGACGAGCCGTTCAGCGGAAGAGCTGAGGCTTGAGAGACGAGTCGCTTGACTTGAGATTAGCCGCCTCAGTAGTCGTCGCTGTCCTCGTCGCGCTCCGCGTCGCTGAAGAATGCGACGTCGCGGTCGTTGGCGGGCGGCGAGTACGGCGGCGGCGATCCGAGCGACGGCGATCCGAGCGAGCCCTGGCTGAAATTGGTGCCGACGCCGGCGCCGGTGCCAGCGGCTGTGCCAGCGCTGTGATGCAGCTGCGTACGCATGACGTGCACGTCGTATACCTGCCACCAGCAGGGCACTCTGCTCTTGAGATGGTACGGCCAGCGTGCATAGGGTGTCGAGCGCATGCCGCCCTCCAGCACGATGACAAGAAATGAGAAGAACTCATACTTCAGACGATGTATGTCGTGTCTGATGCGGTCGGCGCTGCGCGGAAGCCCTTCCCACACAACTTGCGCGACGGCGTGGAAGCGTAGGCCGTAGCGGTTCGGCAGGACGAAAGCGTCCGGCGTGCTGAGCCATATACGGAGCATGGTGTGGGCGGCACACTCTCTGATCCAGGCGCTCTTGCCTTCATCAGTCCAAGTGGGCAGACCGCCGTTCCACGGATGGCGGTCGAGCGAAAATGCGAGCGGCATGACTATCGGGAGTGGTGCGAGATGATGGTGGAGCGAAGCGGAGCGGAGACGTGCCTCGGAGATGAGCAGGGGTGGGGCAGTGGTCTGTGCGCTCATTTGCTTCCAGAGTCTCAAGCCCGGCGCTCATCAATCAACCAGATCTGTCTTAGGGAAGCAAAATCCAGGCCAGCACGTACGCTGAGAGGCAGCAGATTGCTCTCCCGCCGCCGCCGCTGATGAAGGCCTCCTGGACCGCGCCGCGCGTGCCTCGCCCGCTGACCGAGCAAAGCTCGAGATGCTCTAGCTCTGACTGAGGAGCCCTCTACCTATCACGGCGAGAACGAGTCGCAATCAAACACCAGCTCACGGAGTACGTGCCGTGCGCCAGGAGCTATGACGCTGACGCCGACGCAAAGAAGGAAGAGTGGTGGTTATTGCGAGGCAGAAAGCAAGGAGAATGGCCGCAGCGCGAAGCGAAGGTGCCGGAGGGGATTGCTGCCGTGACGCGCCCTGCATTGGAGTATGTGAGCATGAGCGTTGAGAAAAGATCAGAGGCAAGGATGAAGAGCCGAGGATGAAGGCGTGAGCGCCGACGCACCTCACATGCGACACTTGTTGTTGAGCTCGCGTAAGAGAGCTTCTTCTCGCTCTCGCTTTGCTCTCGCGATCATTGTCCTGATGTTCGCGTATCGCTGTGCAAGGACCGCGCAGGCTGCCGCAAAAAGGTCTGTCTGGGTACGAGGAGTGCCGGGTCCCTTGGGCACCGGACAGGCGATCTCGAATTCCCAACCGTGTCCGAGGAAGTGATACACATGATGGGACTGACCATCGCTCATTTCCGCTTTTTTTGTAACTCAGCAAGCTGGCAGACTCACCTCGGTTTCCCTCACAATGATTCGCTGCCAGCGCTCACCGGCGCATCGCGACCGATCCCACTGCGCCACGCCGCAGGTCGGAACGGGGCATGCGTACAAAATGTGCCAGACTCCGAGCGGCTGCCGAGGGAACGGGTCCCAGTCCATGGTGAAAAGCGTGCCCATCCAGTGGAGGTCCAGGTTTTCCTGCGTCCAATGCTGATGCTCGCCTGAAGGAAAACCGATGACACAGGCATCGGTCAAGCGGCGCCAGCTGGCGTAATCTTGTGGCGTGGGCCCGAACATGCTCGACTGTTGTGAGATGGTTGGAGTGGGAGAGCAAGGAGCGGCTTCGCTCTCGTGTGCGCTTATAAGCGGCGAAGCTGCGATCGGGAACGTGCCACGATGTACTCGTGTAGCGCCGACGAGCTGGCGAAGGCGTATGCGCGCCAAGCGAAAGGCCCGTGCCGTTGCTTTGTCGCGGCCTGCCGACGTTGATGCATTGTCCTGCTCCGCGCCACTGCTCGGGCCACGGCTGGGCAGCTGTGTGTTGACTCACTTACGCGGGGCCAGGGTCAGCCCAAGTCACGGTCTCACTGCTCCGAACAAGACTTCGTGTGCTCGTCAACGACTTCGCGAAAGTCTCGGCGAGCAACCAGTCCGAGGCCCGGTCGCTGACGCGACTTTTCAGGACGCACACACGATAAGGGAAGAGTGGTGGACATTGGGAGGCAGAGAACGGTAGGGACATAGACAGCAGGAGTCGTGACCGACGCGAGGTATGTCACGGCAGACTCAAGCTGGAGAGCGAAGCTCGCGCCAGAAGGAGAGGCAGAGCGCAGGCGGGCGCTACGGAGGGTCGGGGGTGAAGCGGCATAGAGTGGAGCGGCGTGGAACGACCTGGAACCAGACGCATCGAATAGACAGGCATCAAAGAGAAGGGGTGGAGCGGGAAAGACATTCTCGTCGCAAGAGCGTCACCTCTCTATCTCCTGCGGCCAAAGAGGTGAGGACGAGCGGCGCGAGGAGGAGGACGCCGCTAGAATCGGGATAACGGAGATGGAGGCGTTGCCGCAACTCACCTTCTGCCTCGCACGCAGCTTACTTGTCTTGTTGCTCCCGCAGACGTCTGAATTCCTTCATCCGTGCCATCATCGCGCCTCGATAAGCGTTCATAGTTCCGAATGCCTGCTCGAGGAGGAGAGACTTGTCTTGAGGTGCGTTGGGTCCCTTCTTGATCTCGGCCCAGAAAGGGAAGCACCCATGGCCCTCGAAGATGTAGTAATTGTGATGGAACTGGCGGACGAACGCTGCTCAGCTGCGGCGTTTGCGACCCATCAACGCCTTGTCGAGTCCGAGAACTCACTTCGGTCTCGACGACGGTGATCTTCTCGACAGGATGCGGGTAAGGGCAGCGCGGAATGGGGCACGAGTACAAGGTGTATACGACTCCCAGCTTCCTGTGAGGATACGGATCACCACGGAGCTGTCGGACCTCGAGCGCGCGGTGCAAGTCGTGCTCCGCCTTCGTCCACTGCTGAGGCTCGCGGGATTTGAGGTGCGCACGCAGGCGTTCGATTTCCGGGCCGGAAAAGGACATGTTGAGTCTGTATGTGGTGGTGAGACGAAGGGAACGGCGTGGTGATGAGTGGTGGTGAGTGGTGGTGAGAGGCGAAGGCAAAGGCATGCGCCGACGAGCGGGCGAAGGCGTGTGCGCGGGGAGGCCCGTGCCGGTGCTTTGTCGCGCCGCCTGCGCGTCGCGACCTTTGTCCCCGCCGAGCCGCTCGGCCTGCGCGTGCGCAGCGGCGGAGAGCACACCGCGACACGAGTAGCGTCCGCTCAGTTGTAGAACGCTACAGCAACGCTTCAGCAACTCAGCTGCATGCCTTTGTCTGCAGCGCGCCCTGGCGCTGCGCCGCCGAGTGGGCGCAGCGGTCGACACGCACCGTCAAACGCGCGCACGCGGCGCGGCGCGTGCTAAGCACACTGGAACAGGCACCGCCGAGCTCAGCGACAAAGGACCGCGAGGCTGTGCGCATCACATGCAGAGACTGGCGTATGAAAAGTCATAGCATTTCACTCGTGACAGAGAGCCTTGAGAGGGAGGCGAGAACGGCCTGGGCGAGATAGAAGCGAGAACGGGTCGAGCGAAGTAGTGAAGGATCGGCTTGAGCGAGAGGGAGGCGAAAACGACTCGGGCGTCGGAGAGGCGAGAACGACTCGAGAGACAGAGAGGATGATCGGATTGAGCGAGAGGGAGGGCAATTCGAGAGAGCTCGCAAGTCGAGGAGAACAGATCGAGACACGCTTAGCCAGCTGCGGTCACGTTGGGCAATGGATGATCGACGCTTCGCGAGAGTGGATGCGCGTTGCGGTAGGCTCTTGATGTGGGCCGGGAGCGAACAAAGTCGGAAGCGGAGCACTTCGTGAGCGATTGGATGGAGAACGAGAGAGCGTCGATAGCGAGAGCACGATGTGCGAGCTGAGAGGTGCACTAGTGAGAGTTGGACAGGTCGTCGCGCGGAGAAGTGAGGAGTCTGTCGATGAGAGCTATGGCCGTGGCAGATGCCGATGATGATGCAGCTTTGGTGCTGCTCTCACTCGTCGTCGACCTCGTCGCCGTTCTGCATGCTTGCGCGATCAGGCTCCTCCAGGCGGCGAGGCGTACGCATGATGTGTCTGTCCCACTCGGCCCACCAGCGAGGAACATTGGCGCGCTGCTCCGCAGGCCATTCGTCGTACGGCAGGCCGCGTGTGCCGGGATCGACGATCTTCTCGAAGCCGAGGAAGCGATGCTTGAGGCGGTGCACGTCTTTGCGGCAGAGAGAGCGCGTGCGAGGGCAGCCAGGCCACGCAAGCTGCGCCGAGGCGTGGAAATATACTCCCATGCGCCAACGCATCTTGAACGCCACCGGATCTGCACAGAAGTGGCGCAGCTTTGGGATGGCGCCCATTTGACGGATCCATGCGCACCGCGCCGGCTCGCGCCAGCGGGGTACCGTCTTCGTCCAGGGATAGCCCCGTCTTTCAGGCACGATTGGCGGTGTCGGTGGCATGGCGAGCGAGGCAAGGCGCTGCGCGGAGGCCAGCAAGGAGAGGTGAAGGTGATGAGACAAGAGAGAATGGCCGATGGGGTTCCGTGGCGCCCTTTGCCTCTCTGTGCTGCTTCGAAACCGAGTCTCACTCTGACTAGACCATGCTCATCAGGACTAGCAGAAGCGGAGCCGCGGGCGGCGGGCCGGCAGCGGCGCATACCCCTGAGCCCATCGCGCGCGGCGCGCGGTGCGCCTCCGTGCCGCCTGTGATTGAGGCTGTCGAGGCAGCGGAGCAGACGCTGTGCTGCCCTGTGGCTGTCACAGTGGCAGCAAGCACTTCACCAATCCTACGTCGCGGTCACCGATCCTACGCCGCCGTCACCGATAACATCTGAGAGCAAGCAAGAAGCGAATGGGCAGCCTGGCACCTGCGTGCTGCGCGGCCGTCCCGTAGACCTTGCAGCCCGCCGCCGCGTCCCACCACAATCTCATCAGCTCGGACTACACTGAGCGCATGTCATGAGAGCTTCGAGAGACAGAAGCAACTTCATCACATTGGGGTATACGGAGACGGCGGCAGACGTAGCTGGGCTGCACCGCACGCGGCTAAGAAGTTGAGGCTGCCGAAGACGAGGCAGCGGCACGGCATCTCTGATACCGCAGCGACGCAGCAGTGATCTCTTGAGCATAGGCGGAGAGGATCTCAGTAGCCTCGTCGCTCAGAGCTGCACCCAAGGTACGCCTCTGCTCTACGTCTCTTGCAATGTTCAGCAGATGTTGCTCAAGCTCTGGCGCCGTCAAGCCCTCGTTGAATGCCCCGGCCTGACGAAACATCTGTGCAGCACCTTGCCTCAGCTGCTTGCGTGGCGGAGAAGCCTACAGCTCTCACTCACCCGCAGCTTGCCGGACCAGAACACCGAGGCGTGCTTGTCCTCGCGCCGCTGTGTGCACTTTGCCAGAAGACGCAGACGCTTCTCAATCTGTCGAGCTTTGCCGAGCAGCTTCTCGAGCTGAGCCTTGCGCAGCTCGAGCTCATTTGGAACGGCAGGAGTCGCAATGCCAGAGGTGAAAGCGGACGATCCGGTGGGTGCTGCTTCTTGATGGAGACCCGGCGCGCCAACATCTCCGGCGCTCTGACCACGGCCACCGCCCTCCATGATCTGCTCAAAGTACACTGCCCACCAGCACGGGATCCGAGTGCGGTTGCTGAGAGGCCACAGCGCCCACGGCTTTGACAGCAGCTCGCCCGGCACTTCGAAGAAGAGGCGGAAGAATGTGTTCTTGAGCCAGTGAGCATCGCGCCGGAGATTCTCATCGCCTCTGTTGACGCCCACCTCTCGAGCAAGGCAGTCGAGCTGAGCGCCGGCTCGGTCTGGCAGGCGCGATCTGCTCGTGTCGGCGAACCATTGCTTGAGCGATTCCCACGTCGAGATGGCGCGGATGAGGTCGCAGAGCTGCTCATCTTTCCACTTGTCGACACCATCATGGCCCGCTTCCTCGTTGTCAGAGTCGTCGCGGCCGGTATCGGCGTCCGAGAGGCTGTCCTGTACGTCCATGTCCACGTCGTCTCGGGGCGGCGGCGTGCCGCTCTGTGTGCTTGCTTCGTATGAAGAGCTGGCAGAGCTCATGGTGATGGAATTATGCTTTGCGGCGTCATGTGAGTCAGGGAGTAGACACCGGCAAGACGACGCTCACTGTGGTCGAAGCGTAGCGAGGGAGGAGGAGAGGCTTGGCTGATGTGGAGTGAAGGTGAAGAGCGTAGCGCACAGCCGAGCGGCGGAAGCCGCTGTAGATGAGCAGCCGATGATGAGCTCGACGGCGCCGCAAGGCCCAGAGGCCTCCACATCAGCTCCTCGTCTCCCGAAGGAAAGAGAGTGAGGCAGGTCAGCACTATCCCTGTGTGCTTCAGTGCTAATGTGGCAATCGAGACATTTTACGCTAGAGCGGCGAATCGGACGGGCGATGTCACGAGCTGGTGGACAGTGACAGACAGGAGCAGAAGTAGCGGAGCAGCTATCTTGAGGCAAGCACGGGCACAGCGCTGCTGAAGCCCCAGGACATGATGACGAGGGAGAAGCGAGAGGGGGAGCCTAGAGCGCGTTGTTGTGCTTTATCTCCAGCAGCGGTTAGCACGGCGGGCACGCCCGGCTTTCGATGCCCGAGGTCATGCTCATCATGCCTAACCCATCTGCCCCACACAGCGGTTGAGCTCGACGTGTGCCGCGCGCCGCTCTGTCTGCATGCGCCTTCTCTTCATCCTCTCAGTCTCTGCCTCACACGGCCGCACGGAATCACGCGTTCAGAGGACTCAACGAAAGCATTCATTTGTCGCGGACGGCGCGACGGCGGAGGGAGAAGCTAAGTGCATGCCGCTCCGTGCCGCCGCTAGCTCATCGCGTGTGTGTGAATGCCTCGACTGCCGGAAAAGGCAGACGCTTAGGCCTTCTTGGGGGCCATGACGATCTGGGAGAGGGCGCAGAGGGAGTCAGTAGGCGCTCGTGCCTTCTGCAGCTGGATCGCGATGGCACAGCGGATCGACAGCGAGGGCAATCGAGGAGACAGACAACCCTCGTGCGCGGTGCGGCAGCGTCTTCCCTGCCCTCGCCGCCGCTTATCGGCATCGCTGAGGTCCGCGAGCGGACAAGCTCTTACCGCTAGAGCGCGGATTGCCCCTGAGCTCCACGCTCACCGCCGCCGCCGCCGCATCTCAGCACCTTCGGCTAAGAGCTCCGCTCGGCCGTCCAGTCTCTCTGGCCTGGCCGACTCAAGTGCTTGCCGGCCGAGACAGAAGCCCCTTTGAGCTCAGGGCATACGCCATGCTGGCCTGGAAGCTCGGACAACGGGCAGCCCACCGACCCGCACGAGAGCGTCGCATCCTCGCCATATCGCCCTCCTTCCCGTCCGCCTTTCGACGCTCACCACTCGCAGACGACGCCGAGCAGCATCTCGCACGCCTTTCGCACGAGGATTCGCCTCTTTGTCCGCCTTCGCCATGCGAGGCCACACTGTGCCTCTTCCTGCACGCTGCTCCCAAGCCCTTCCTCTGCCTGCCAGGTCCCTGCGCGCTACTCACGTGGTCGCCGGCCTTGCCGTCCTTCCACTCCTGGTAGCGCAGGCTGAGCTCGCCCCGGCGCTCGGCCTTGACACGCTCCTCCTCCTTGAGAGCCTGGCGCGTGGCGCGGGCGGCGATGGAGGTGAACTTGTTGTAGCTGTGCGCAGGGGGACGGCAGTCAGCAGCGGCGGAGTGCGACGGGCTGCGAGCAAGCGCGCGAGATAGCAGACGACACTCACGAGAAGAACTGACGCCACGAAGCAGCCATGATGGGCGATGTGTAGAGGTGGTGAGGCGAGGCGGGTGTCGAGGAGTGAGGTGCTGAGAAGGAAGCCTGGCCGCGGCGCCGGTGCGCTGCATGTGCGATGCGCCGCGCGCGCCTCGCTGCTGCCGTGCCTGCTGGGCACGGCGCCGGCACCAGCCGGACGGCCAGCGCAGCGCCAGGGCGCGCGTCACGTGCCGCATGGCTGTGCGCAATGTCCAGGCTGCGCTCGCTCTACCTTCTCCACCACCCCACCCCCACACTCATCATCATGGCCACCCGCGTGCTCGAGCGCGCCCTGCCCGACCTCGACGAGCCCATCGTCGAGTATCTCGCCGGCTACGTCGATGCGCCCGAGGATCCGCGCGACGATGTGCTCGACCTCGTGCGCGCTATCCTCGAGTCCGCCACGGCGTCGGACCCCAAGGCGTCGGCGAGCGTAGACGATGTGCTGCGCGAGCTGGCGGCCCTGCTGCCCGAGTCTTCCACCGCTGAAGGGCCGCTGCTGCGCCTCGACCGCGTTGTCGACATGGGTCGCACCGAGCTGAGCCGCACCGCCGGCTTTGACCAGGCCGGCGGCGTTGATCTGGCGCTCGGTGGCACCACCAAGGCGCGCAGTGCCGTCGACGTCAAGAAGCTCGAGAAGCAGGAGGAGAAGACGCGCGCCAAGCTGCAGAAGCGTGCGCAGCGCGACCTATACGAGAGCAGCAAGCTCGTGGAGAATGCACGCAAGCAGGAGACGTACGAGGAGATGTTCCTCAAGGTCAACCCGCTCGAGAACGCGGCCAACAAGAGCAAGAACAAGGACGTGCACCTGCCGAACATCGACCTGTCATTTGGCTCGAACCGCCTGCTCTCGGGCGCGTCACTCACGCTGGCGCAGGGGCGGAGATACGGCCTCATCGGGCGGAATGGTGAGTCACGCCCTGCTGCTCACCTGGAGGCAGTGCTGATTGTAGCGCTCAGGCACGGGCAAGAGTACGCTGCTGCGCAACATGGCGCTGCGCGAGGTGCCGATCCCGACGCACATTTCCATTCTGTACGTCGAGCAGGAAGTCACAGGCGACAACATCAGCGCCATCGAGGCCGTGCTCAAGGCCGACGTGTGGCGCGACAAGCTCATGTCCGAGGAGGCGGCGCTCAACGCTGAGCTGGCTGCACTCGAGGCAGCAGCGGCGGCCAGCGTGAAGGCAGCGAACGAGGCGGCAGCGGCAGCAAAGGCAGAGGGCAGTGCGCCGGCCGGAGGCGCGGTCGACATGCCGACGCGGCAACGAGAGATTCGCCGTGATGAGCTCACGGCTCGGCTGGGAGAGGTGCAGGCCAAGCTGGTGGACATGGAGGCGGAGACGGGCCCGAGCAGAGCTGCAGCACTGCTCAGCGGTCTCGGCATCTTGGACAAAGACCAGTCCAAGCCGACTTCGGGTGAGTGCTCAGAGCTGGAGCGCGGGCGAGAGCGTGGGCGGCTGCTCCAAGTGCCAGCTCAACCGCAATGGCGTGCGACGCTGACCTCTCGCCGCTCGCAGCCTTCAGTGGTGGCTGGCGCATGCGCATCGCGCTCGCACGTGCGCTCTTCTGCAAGCCTGACCTGCTCATGCTTGATGAGCCGTCGAATAGTGAGCAGCACCAGCATCAGGCCGAGACATGCTGCATGCTGACCCGCCGCAGTGCTCGACCTCAACGCCATCGCTTGGCTCGAGGACTACCTCGTCAACGAGTGGCCTGGTGAGTCGGCTGCGTGCGGGCGTCTTCGCCTGCCTCTGACGCTCTGCGACAGGCACGCTGCTCGTCGTCAGTCACGACCGATCCTTCCTCGACACTGTCGCGACGGACATCGTGCACCTGCACTCTGAGCGGCTCGACTACGTGAGTCTGCTCTTCACTCATCTGCAGCTCACCACGCTCATCTCTGCCTCAGTACAAGGGCAACTTCACGCAGTTCTACGAGACGCGGACGGAGCGGCGCAAGAACCAGCTGCGCGAGTACGAGGCGTCGGTGGCGAAGCGGGCGCATCTGCAGGCCTTCATCGACCGCTGGCGCTACAATGCCAACCGTGCGGCGCAGGCACAGAGCAAGATCAAGGAGCTCGAGCGCATGCCGGAGGTCGAGGAGCCGGAGAAGGACGAGGTGGTGCGCTTCAAGCTGCCCGAGACGGAGAAGCTTGCGCCGCCGCTGCTGCAGGTGAGCATGAGCGAGGGGTGTGCTGCGCTGCGGCTGCTGATGCGCTGTGCTCCAGCTCGACAACGTCACGTTCGGCTACACGGCCGACAAGATTCTGCTGCGCGACGTCAAGTGAGTTCTCGCAATGCACTGCGCAACTGTGCCCATGCTCACGCCATCTACAGCTTCGATGTGACGATGGAATCTCGCATCGCCGTCGTTGGCTCGAACGGTGCAGGTGAGCAGCTCAGGACCAGCTATGCTTCGCTCATCGGCTGACGCCCCGCTCGCCAGGCAAATCGACGCTGATGAAGGTGCGACTGCTGCTGCGTCGCTGCCGCGAATTGACCTCACTGACGCTCCGTCGCAGCTGCTCATGGGCCACATCAACCCGCTCACCGGCGACCAGAAGCGCAACAGCCGCTTGCGCGTGGGCTTCTTCTCGCAGCACCACATCGACCAGGTGCGTCCAAGCGCTCCACTAGGCGTCGCACGACACTGACGCGCTCTGTTCCGCCAGCTCGACCTCACGGTCAGCCCTGTCGCCTTCCTTGCCGCCAAGTTCCCGGGCAAGAGCGTCGAGGAGTACCGCTCGCATCTGTGCGTCGTCCGTACGCCTCTCGGCGGCGTTCATCTGCTGACCTGCTTCTTCTAGTGGCGCGTTCGGCATCAAGGGCCCGACGGGCCTGCAGATCATCGCCACGCTCTCAGGAGGACAGAAGTCGCGCGTGGCCTTCGCGCAGCTCAGTCTCATGCGGCCGCACGTGCTTCTGCTCGACGAACCGACGAACCACCTGGACATCGAGGGTCTCGACGCGCTCATTGACGCCATCAAGGCGTGGAACGGCGGCGTCATCGCCATCAGCCACGACCAGCGCTTCATCCAGGCATGCATGGAGCAGCTCTGGGTCACCGACCAGGGCTCGCTGCGCAAGTTCCACGGCGACGTCGACGCGTACAAGCGCATCATCATCGAGATGAACAAGAAGCAGCAGACGGCGATGTAGAGCGCGCCGCCTCGCGTCGACGAGGCGCCGACGTGCCTGCGATGGGAGCATACGCGCGCCGGCATGTCTTCTTCGACACGAGACCGGCGTGCCTTCGCGAGACGAGCATGAGCGGTGCGACCCCTTTCCCCCTTTCGTCGCAGCCCCTCTCTTTGCACGCAATGCGATGCTTCTCGCTGAGAAACCCTCACGCGACGCGTCGCACTGTGTGCCTGGCTGCGTCCCAAGGTAGCGGAGCACTTGGCCAGCGTGACAGCGCTGCGCTCTCTCTTCCACTCACCACCATCTCAGCTCTTTGCCATGCAGCCTGAGGACATACTGCCGCAGACGCAGGCCGCAACGCAGGCCGCGACGCAGGCCGCAACGCAGGACGAGCAGCCCACCATGCCGGCGCGTGGCCGTCGTTCCCATCGATACGTTGTGCTCTCACCAGAGCCCTCGCCGCCTGAAGTCAAAACCAGGCCAAAGCCACGGCCGAGCGCCTCCTCGCAGAGCAAGAAGGACGGTCCGCATGCGCAGCAAGCTGAACAGCCTCATCGAGCCCTGCGGGCTGAGTGCGAGCCGCCGTCGCCTCGCGAGCAGTCACCCCAGCCTCAGGCTCGCACGGCGTCTTGCCCTCGCCCTCGTCCGTCCTCGCCTCCCTGTCCCAAGACTGTGCCGCGGGAGTGGACGCCGCAAGAGCATCTCATCATGCTACAGCAGCTCTTACACGTCACGCGCGGCAAGCACAGCGTACACGAGTCCGACGTGCGGACCTGGGCAGCAACTCGAGGACGTCGTCCGGCTAGTCTCAGCAGCAGCGACCTAGACAAGCTCTGCAGCGACGTGATGAGCACATGCCTGCCGTACATCCCGACTATGAAGCCAAGCTCGCTGGCTGCTGCGGTCAAGAGGATGTGGGAGCGCTACGAGCAAGCCATGCGTGACGTACACCAGGCACTTCAGCAGGCGCCGCCGCAGCCATGGACACGCTGCGCGTATGCAGAGCTGCCTCGCGACGTGATCCACTGGCTCAGCACCGACAAATATGCTGCCTGGCTGCCGCTCTGGCATGATGAAATTGCTCTGCACTCCTCAAGGACGGTGTCGGCTGCTCAAAGCAACTCTTCAGCAGCGCCTCCAGCTCCCAGCTCAGTCCCTCTATCTGCGTCGACGCCCTCGACCTCCGCCAGCAAGCCGCTGCTTCTCTCTGCGCAACTCACCGCACGTGTCAACTCCTTCCTCTCTGCGCTGCCGCTGCGCCTTCTCTCCATCAGCCTCGGGTATCCCACCAAGGCGCAGCTGAAGGGCAAGGGCAGCGCAGAGCTCGAGAGCTTCCGCAGCACCATGCGCAGCATCTGCGACGCGCGAGCTGCGCAGCCAGAGACAGCAGACCACCGCACGCAGGTGATGCAGCAGCGCCAGTGTCTGTCAAAGCTTGTACAGCACGGCTACTCGATTTTTGACGACGGCGCTGAGACGTCAGAGCGTGCGGCGTGCGAGAGGATCAAGGATCTCGCGCGCGAGGCGCACGCGGTGCTGCACGAGCTCAACGAGGAGCTCCTAAACACTCTCTTGTAGTTCAGCCGTGGCAATGGCATCGAGTGCGAGAGAGAGGTGTACATGCTTGAAGGTTCTCTGTAGGAGTGAGTGGATGCATGGGAGCAGCTGTGACAAGATGGAGGTGAGAAGGGAGCTCAGAGGAGGCGCGACACGTGCGCGGCCGTGCCCCTATGATCACGCGGCCCAAGCGCTGGCGCGCACAGCAGCGCGCATCCTTTCTTCCTGCCTCTCAACTCCCACTCCTCTCTCTTCCTCATATATTCTTCCTCTCCTCCCTTCGCTTTCCTTAACCTCCTCAGCCGCTCCTATTGCAAAGCTGCTCACTGCGCCGCATCGCATTGCCATTTCCGGCCACGCGCGCCGTCCTCTCGCACACGCGCTGCGCACGCGCCTTCCACGATGCCGCGCGCCACTGCGCCTCGTCCCAGACCCAAGGCCGGCACCACCTACTGGCATGAGCAGCCCGCAGTGCCGCAGGCTCAGCGCGCAGCCTCTGCCATGCCGCAGAGCACAGCTCTGAGCGCCAGCACCAGCACTGCGCAGGCTCATGCCGACGCGTCGCACGGACCGGCAGCGAGCACGCCGCGCAGCTCAAGCGTGGCCACCGGCGCCGCGGCCAGCGCGGCAGCAGCACAGACGGCGCAGATGGCGCAGAGCCACGGTGCGCCGAGCTCAAGTGCTGTCGCCACGCCGGGAGCGCAGCAAGCGCCGTTCTCCACTGCCGACGCCAAAGCCATCTTTGGCGAGCCGCAAGCAAGCACGCTAGGTGCGACGCAGCCCCGCCGCTCGCCTGCCCAGGCAATGCAGGCCCAGAGCAAGGCGATTGCGACAGGTGCCTTGGGCGGGCCTTCCACGAGCGCACCGTATGCTGGAGCTCCTCCGCCTGTGCCGCTGCAGGGCGACGGCGCTACTGAGGCAGACCGTTTCATTGCTGGGCTCATGTCTGGTGGATACGGCGCTGCGACGGCTAGCACAACAAGCGCCACGCAGCTCCAACGCACTCCTGGACGCCAGCCAGCTACGACGCCAACTGGAGCACCACTCCTGCCCGAGCAGCAGCAACCTTTCGTCATTCCTCCGCCGAGCCCAATCGCGACGGACGACGATGGCGACGCAGAGATGGGAGATGAGAAGGATGCAGAGGGAGAGGATGATGATGAACAGGATGGAGAAGAGGAGGAAGGCAATGAGGAAGATGCTGAAGGAGAGGATGACGATGGAGAGGGCGAAGACGAGGATGAGTCAATGGACGACTCGACGCGCACCGACGCGGAGCGCTCGCAGGCCTCCACTCTGCGCCACGCATCCGAGAGCGAGGCGATGCAGCCGGCAGCATCGGCGCCTGCGCCTCAGCTTTGCGCAGCGGCACCACCTGCACCAGCCGCTGCGTCTACGCAACCAGTAGCCTCAGTGCCGGCGCCTCGTCTCGGCACGGTAGCTTCTCGCTTGCAACCAAAGCAGCCAACAGCGAAGCCGCGACCATCGAAGCGCGTCGCTGTAGCATCTGCAGACAGCACTCCAGCGCCAGACGCCGCACCGGGCTCGGCAGTAGCGGCAGTGCCTATCACGGCTCCCCGCATCCCGGCTGCGCTGCCGGAGAGCGTCACGGACGTGCTCAACCTGCGTCGTCTGCTGCGTCTCGCCTGCCAGATTCCGCGCGACGGCGAAGGCAGTCAAGGCCTCGACGACTTCCTGCGCACAGTCACGCAGCTAGATGATGAGGGCCTCCTCGACGACCTCAACGGACCGCAGAAGCGCGAGCCTGCAGGCGTGCACAAGCGCGCCAAGCTGGCGCTCTTCAAGCTCGTCGAGGTGGGCTTCCGCGTGGCCTTTGATCACAGCGCGAGAAAGGAGGACGAGCTTGACTCAACGGAGATGGCGGTCGATCGCATCCGTGAAGTCGGAGAGGATGCGCTCAAGGCGCTGCAGGAGTTCCTCTGATCGCGAGGCGCGTCGTGAAGCGCAATCGACGTGCAGCGTGCGTCCGTCGCCTACATGTCGCTCGCAAGCGCGAGCCGTGCTCGAGCGTCGATGTCACCTGGCCAGGCTTGAGGCAATCATATCATAGCTGAGACCCGCTGTAGTATCGAGAGTGCAGTCTCTTGCAGCTTCGCACTGACGGACACGCCGCTGAGGCGTCCACATGCGGGAGGGCTGCGGCCGCTGGGCACACGCCGCGCGCGTCGCTCGTCAGGGGGCAAAACATGCGTCGCGCGAGCCTCCGAGCCCCTGAGCGTGATCACTGAAGAGGGCGTGAAGCTCGTTTAGAGTCGCGTCGCGTCGACGAGCTCTCTCCTTGTGATCAAGAGCACTTTGCTCTGGCCGCGCGCTCCCTTCGCCGACCCTAGCGATAAGGCGCTGCTGTGTGCAGGGCTGGTACGGTGCGACGCGCTGCTCTCGTCTCAGCACCATCACTACCCTGCCTCCTCGCGACTGCTCTCTTTCTCTCACTTCCTCTACGTCGTTCCGCTCTTTCCAGACATCGAAGTGCGCACTGCCACTCGAAGTGCGCACTGCCACACTCCACCGACAGCGCAGTAGCCCTCGACCTCTGCCAAGCTCGAGATGCCCAAGAAGCTCGGCCCAGCCGACTGCCGGCGTCGCTCTTACGGTCCGCGACAGCTTCGCGTCCTTCTCGAGAAGACCATTCCTCACGCATGCATCATACGATGGGCTGAGTGGGGCGGCCGCACCAAAGGAGGCCTGCGCGCTTTTGATGATGCTTTATGGGACGCCAATCGCGCCTGGCTGAAGGCGGGAGGCCCTTCGCTGGCCGAGCATACCGTTGAGGTGGTCATCACTGACATGAGGGGATGGTACATGGAGGCGATGCGCAAGATCAAGGTCTTGGACGGCTGCGTCAAAGTGTGGAGCACGCCGTTTGCCGAGTGGCCAAGCCAAGCTCGCGAGGCACTCGCCCGCGACCCGTGCGCGCCGTGGCTGCCGTTGTGGCACGACCACATCCGCCTCAAGCTCGTCTTCGTGCCGCCCAGCGAGCCTGTGATCTCTTCGACGGCCGCTGGCCGCGCTGCCCTCGCCACGTCTTCCGCGGCCGCTCTTCTCCCGCCGACCAAGCAGATTGCCGCGCTGCCTGCAGCGCTCAAGGCTCCGCGTACGCTCATCAAGTCCTCGCCATGCGCTTCGCTCGTTAAGCTTCCAGCGCTGAACTCTCAGGGCGAGGAGATCGGTCGAGCAGCCGCATCCGAGATGGCTGCGTCCGAGGCAGTGGCGCAGGAGCAGGACGTCGCCGAGGAGGCTGCATTGGAGGAGGAGGGGCCCGAGGCGAGTCCTGGAGCATACGATCAGCTGCTAGAGCTCGAGGCGGATGCATCGCGGGCCACGCAGGAGTGGGTGCTCGAGCAGCAGCGCTCTGCATCTGCCGCCACTCGTCCTGCGTCCGGCGCTGCCGTCGCCGTCATGCCCGCCAAGCGACCTCGCACCGAGGCCGAGCCGCCCGTCCGCGCTGTCGCCTCGTCAAGCCGTGCGCCATCCACTGCTGCGCCCACTTCCGAGGACCCGTCGCTCCCGACGAGCGTCTCCGCCATCCTCAACCACAAGCGCCTCTTTCAGCTCTCGTGCCGCATTCCTCGCGGCGACGGCGGCAGCGACAAGCTCGATGAGTTCCTGCTCTTTCTCTCTTCGCTCGAGGAGGACGGCGTGCTAGAGCCGACGAAGTGCTCGTACAAGCGCGCCAAGAAGGCGCTGTACCGCTTCGTCGAGCTCGCATTCGAGGTGTCGCTCGACCTCGGATCCGCCGAGTCGGACACCTACGAGCTCATCCACGCTCTCGGTCAGGACGCTCTCGCTGCTATGAAGGATCTCGACTGAGGCGCAAAGCTCGCTCTCCGACTGAGGCGGCTCGCTCTCGCCCGCGCGCTGCTCATAAATCGCGCTTCGTCGACCTGCAATGAGACCATGCGAGCCCGCCGCGAGCAGTGCCAGAGACGTGATGACGATCAGAACGCGGGAATATGTGTCATGGCGGCGTCGTGAGTAAGATACTGTACAAGGGTCGTGAGGGCGCAGGAGGGATGCGCAAAGAGACTGCTCAGAGAGTGATGACGGCGCGGCTGTCCTCGGCCGCGGCCTCCTCGTCTGCGTTGACGGAGAGGTGCTGCAGCACGAGCGGCCAGACTGGTGACGAGCGCGCGTCAGTCGTGCGAGCGAGGGATGGTGCGAGCAGAACGCACCATATGCCAGACCCGGATGCGCAGTGGGACGCGTGAAGATCGTCTGCATCACCGTCGCCTTCTTGACGGAGGCCCAGTGCTTGAGCAGGAAGTCGATCTCCATCTGCCAAGCGCCAAGTATCAGCGGGGCAGCGCCGCTGCGGTGTGCGAGAGGCATGTACGCACGTGCATGATGTCCGGGTACTGTGCGTTGAAGCCGGAGAAGGCCTCCCAGACGATGTTCTGATGGCGACAAGGGGTCAGCAAGCGCATGCTGCCGTGAGAGCAGAGACACGCACCTGCACGGTCAGGCTGCTGGCAATGTGCTCCTGCGCGCGCTTCTTGAGGTCTTCGATCTGCAGCTTGTCCGCCTGCCGCACTCGCGTCAGCAGTGCATGACGCAATCAGCTTTTGCGCGTCAAGCACTGACCAGCTTGTACATCGCCTTTGCCGAGCACGGCGCCGGCTTGTCAGGGTGTTCGGCGCAGTACTGATCGATGACCATCTGGCGCCTCATCGACGTGAAACGAGTATCAGCAGCAGGTCGACGTCGCTCGGGCACTCAGCACCACTCACTTCTTGTGTGCGCGCACGATCTCCTCGAGAAAGCCGCCGCGGCTCGACGCCTCGCGCCCAGCTAGTAGCGCCGGCGTGTTGTCGCTCGAGGCGTCATCCGAGACGTCGGGCGGCAGGAAGGACGATGTGAGGGGCGCAAACTCGATGGCGTTGGTGTAGAGGAAGACTACGCGCGAGCAATCATTGAGCCGCTGCGGCGACGATGGGACAGGGAAGAGACACTCACAGAGCAGAGCCTTGAACGTGGCGTAGGAAGAGTCGCGCACGACCTGCACGTGTCGGAAACGCACGGGAGAAGAGGCAGCGTCGCGCTAGATGTAAGTCACGGCGCGCGGCGAGAGTCGAAGAGGAGCAAAGGGGAGAGGGGCAAGGGGGGGAAGAAGAGGCAGTGTGGGCGACAGCACGCTCGACGCAAGAAAGGAAGGGGGAGAGCGGAGCGGAAGGGGACGAGCACCACTCACCACCTTGCGACGCTTCCGTCTATCCGAGGCCGAGCGATTGCGCGTCGTTGCGACATCCGGCCGATCACGCTTGGCGCTGCCGCTCTGCAGCAGTGCACGCGTGACGCCCTCGGCGTGTGCCGACGACGAAGCGACGGCGGGGCGCGAGGGCGTGACGTTGCCGGACATGGAGCGATCGCCCGTCACTTGCAGTGCCGTCGATGCGAGGCGCTGCTGCTTGGCCGGCGTGCGTCCGCCAGACGTCGACGCTGTGCCTTCTGCCGTGCCGCCGGCAGGCCAATTGGCACTGCGGCCCTGGTCACTGCTGACTACCTCTCCATCGGCACCGCCGAGCGGCGAGTGCATGTTGCTGCTGATGCCCGCATCGCCTCCGCCGCTCGTGCTCTTGCCTGCGCCAAACTGGATCACGTCGTCCTCGACTGGACGATCGTCGTCGACCTCATCATCCTCGTCCTCCTCACTCATGTCGCCCGACTTGTGTCCGCCGTCGCCCGACGCCGGCGCCGCGGGGGCGCCGCCCATCATCGAAGAGGCCGGCGGCGGCGTGGCGAGCGACCAGCAGTCTGCATCGTCATCGAGCTCCTCGTCCGAGTCTTCCAGAAGCGCCTCGGGCCCACGCTCGTAGTCGTCCGCCTCCACCTCGCCCGCACGCTCGCCATACTGCGCACTCGAAGCGCCTCTGCCAAACTCCGGCGCGCCCTGCGGATGCGCCGGCGCATTGTCGAGCGGCGAGCGAGAGCGCAGCAGCAGGCCGGCATCCTCCATCTCCTCCTCGGAGTCCTCGGCACGCTCGGCTTCCGCAAAGCCGCCATTGAACATGTCGGCGAAGTACTCGCTGCGCGACGCCAGGATCTTCTTGATGGCGTAGATCTTCTTGGGCGCTGTGCGGCGCCCACTGCGGCCGCGCGGCTGGGCGATGTGGAAGACGACGTCGCTGGCACAGGAATGCATCAGCAGCAGGTGGGAGCGATAGCGCGGCACGTCTGACTCACCTGTGCTCGGGATCATCAAGCAGCGAGCCCATGGCCGAGATGAGCACGGGCGGCACGGTGTGATACACGGGCGCACGCGGACGTGGCCGCTCGGCGTTGGCCGTGATGGTGACGGAGATGAGAAAGCCGTCGGCCTGCTTCACCTGCGGCTGGCTATAGTAGACCGTGTCGCGCTTGGCGAACTGGGCCCAGCCCCAGTTGCTCGTCTTGTGCGAGAAGGCATGGTCGTGCGCCTCTGCAGCACGTAAGGTGCTCAGCGGCTGCTGCTGCGGTAGGTGCAGATCCAGCGGACTCACCCTTGGTGCCGAGCTTCGTCGCGCCCGACTTGTCCAGCGGCTGAATCTCAAACGTAAAGCGGAACAGGCCCTCGCGCGACCACTTGTCGTCGCCGTCGCTGCCGCTCTTGCTCTTGCCGCCGCCGCTGCCGCTCGCCTCGCGCGCCTCGTTCATGGCGGGCGACTGCACACCGGCGATGAGCGGACGCACACGCTCGTGCGCCAGTGGCTCGGCGTTGAGGTACAGCGAGCAGAACTGCAGGGACTAAAGTCAGCGGCATGAAGCCCGAGCGCGGCGCATCTGCCTACGTGCGCCGCCGCTTTCGAGACGGGCCAGCCTCAGCATTGCTGCTGCGCCGCCAGCCACAGCTCGGCCCTACGCACTGCTGCGGGCCTCGGCATGGCGCAAGCCGGAGTGCTGCCAATGCTCAGCCCTGCCGCCTCTGCGCCTGCCAGCCTCATCACTGTCCTCAGCCCTGCCGCCTCTGCGCCTGCCAGTCTCGTCACTGTCCTCAGCCTTGCATCACTCAAGGGCCCGCCTCGTACCCACCAGTCCCACCCTAGCCTTCCTCCTGCGCATGCGCTCACCTGTTCGTGTCCCGACTGCGCATAGAACAGCACCGTCCACCTGCCGCCGCCGAAGGGCACGCTCTTGACGACCTTGCTCTTGGTGTCGCTCTTTGAGCCGTCGAACATCTGGCGCAGGCCAAAGAGCGGCCACTCGAAGACGAGGCTGCGCGTCTCGCTCGGCTCCGAGGGCGGGCCGTCGGCCTTCTTGCGCGCCGAGGTGCGCTCGGACGGCGCCGAGGCACTCATGGCTGCTGAGAGATGGAGAGGCAGAGGCGAGGTGGCGCCTGCTGGGGCGAGGGACGCGCAGGTGGAAGGGGCAGGGGCCGAGCAGACAGAGCGGAGAGAAGGTGCGAGTGACAGCGACTCGGCCGCGAGGTGGGTAGGAGCGGGAGGTGATGGTGCAAAGGCAAGCCTGAGCGCGGCGAGGCGGCGCGACCCCGCACTCGCGCGCCGCGCGCGGCGCGGCGTGCGCCAGAGAGAAGCACGCCGCGAGCAACACTCCACCTTGACGCTGGCTCGCAATCTCTCGCCATGCATCACTACAGTCAGCCACAACGCTCTGCATAGCAGGGGCTGAGTGCTTCCATTCTCCGCTTGCGCAGCCCGGTTCTTTCTGATGTGCGCTGGCTGCGAGCGTGGGCCGAGAGCAACAGCTGCGCCTCTCGAGGCGCAGCGGCCTGCTGGCGGGTCTGGGCGCGCGGTGCGTCACGTGCGCGCGCGGCAGCCCATGCACGCTGCTCCACTCCACTTGCCTCCATCCTCTTCCCTCCCCTCACACCCTCGGCGCTCTCACCATGTCTTCCTCCACTGCCCGCCTCGACGTCGAGGCGACCATCTTCAAGCGTCTGCATCCGCACATCTTTCTCTCTCGCTTCCTCGCCTCCACGCCCTCCATCCGCGACGACGGCCGGTCGCCCTCTTCCTCGCGCGCCGTGTCTGCCGTGCTTGGCTCGCTCGCCTCGGCGCGCGGCTCCTGCCTCGTGCGCCTGGGACGCACCACCGTCGTCGCGGCCGTCAGCGCCGAGGTGGCACGTCCGCGAGACGAGGCGCCCGAATGTGGCTTCGTGGTGCCGAGCATCGACATGAGCCCGCTCTGCTCGCCGCGCTTCAGGCCCGGCCCGCCGGGAGAGGAGGCGCAGGTGGTGCTGGATCGCATCATGGCCGTGCTGGATGCGTGAGTGTGCGCCTTGCTGTGGCTCTGGCGAGGCGAGAGTGGGAGGGCGCGCATTGGGCAGAGAGGAGACAGCATGCGCGAAACAGCGAGCGCAAGAGGTGCGATCCTGCGGCACTTGCCCGCCCTGCAGACCGTGTTGATGCGAAGGCTGTGCCTCGCTGTGCACCTCGCGCAAAGACTGGGCCTCGAAGGGCGTTGCATGGAGCATCGGCCTGAGAGAAGGGAAGCCTAAGAGAGGGGAAGCCGGAGAGAGAAGCCAAGCCTCAGCCTGACAGAGCGGAAGCCGGAGAGAGAAGCCAAGCCTCAGCCTGGGAGAGGCCAAGCCAGAGAGGAGAGCAGGCCTCGGCGTGACCATGCGGCACTTGGCCGTTTCATTTCGCGCTCCAATCTCTCCCCTGCCTTGTCGGGTGCCTCTCTCTCTCATCTCCGTCCTCTCCGCACGACCTGCCTACACCTCACTAACGCCCCTCCGCTCCGTTTCCTCTTCTCAAGCTCTCCGCCAATCGATCTCTCCGCGCTCTGCATCGAGTACGGCGAGGCCGTCTGGTGTCTCTACATCGATCTCGTCTGCATCTCGTACGATGGCAACGTCTTGGATGCCTCTATGCTCGCGATCTGCGGCGCGCTTTCAGACGGTGAGTCGCACTTTCGCTGCCTATCGCCTTCAGCGGGCTAGACGCTAAAGCTCCCATCGTCGCTCTCTCCCTCGAAACAGCGAAGATTCCCGGCGCCAAGTGGGACGCCGATGCCTCGCAGGTCATCTGCTCGCCAAATCCAACGGACGAACAGCGTCTGCACTTGCAAAGCCTGCCTCTCTCATGCAGCTTCGGCGGATACAAGGGGTGCGTGTCCGGCATTTCCTTTCCCCTGGGCGCTGCCACATGCTGACACACGAGAGCCGAGCAGCGCACATCTCCTTGCAGACCCCACGGCTTTCGAGTCGGCACTGCTCGACTCCAGTCTCGTTCTCGCTCTCTCGTCGTCTTCTTCCGCCGGCGCCTCTGCCGACTCCGCTGCGCAAGCAAAGCTGGTGCTGCTTCAACAACAAGGCGTCTGCTCCACCATCGCGCGCGCAGACGCCGAAGCTCCTGCCACGCACCCGGAGGGGACGCGACTGGACGATGAGCAGACGCTCGAGTTCGCGCTGGGCATTGCGAGGAGGAGGTATGAGGTGCTCAGAGAGGCGCTCCGGGAGGCTTCGGAGGCGAAGGAGACACAATGATACATCGTTGCGGTGTCCTTCAACGCGTGCCCTGCGCTGGCCCCCCGAACAGAGAGCCTCTCCCCCGCTCTTGCGACTGCCTCCCTGCCTACCCTTCTCCCTTTCCCTTCCTTGCCCCCACTGTCCTCCTCTTCCACCCGTTCCCGCCTTCTACTCGCTAAGCAGTTCCCGCGTCCCCTCAAAGTACGCGCTGTCCCCCTTGAGGCGCTCCTCGACCTCGGCGCGCGTCAGCCACGCATACTCGGCCTTGGTGGAGGAGGAGGCTTGGCCGGCGAGGATGTGGGCGCGGAGGAAGTAGGTCTGCGCGGAGCGGGCAGGTGGGCATCAGCGGGGATGCCTGTGTTGTGCAGACTGAGGGCCGAGAGCGGCGAGACGTTGCAAGGTTCCGTGTGCAAGGGCACAGGCAAGCGATGTGCGAATGCTGCTTCGAGCAGCAGAGCTGGTTGCCCTGGTCTACTGCCCCCCCCCCCCCCCCCGCTCTCTTCTTCACGCCCGATCTGCTTTTCCCCTCGTCTGCCAGACTTCTCGTCGATCATGTCTGCGCCGTGGAGATACTCACCTTCTCTGCGCCAGACGGCAGCACCGCAATGGGCAAGTTGGAGACGAGCCAGATGTCCATGTCCTCGCCCAAGGGCTCGTGCACCGCTCTTGGTGCCACGCGATGCAGCGGCTCCTCGTCGCCCCTCAGCGGCGTCGTGGGGAAGCGCCAGCGGCCCTGCGTGTCCTTGATGAGCAGAAAGAGCGTCTTGTCGAGGGCGCGCTGCAGGCTCGTCGTGTCGTTGTGCTCATCTGCCTCTGTGCGGCGCGGGCTTGTGGCGTAGAGATCCGCCTCGTGCTCCGACGTTGTCGTCGTCGGTGCACTCGGCTGCGGCGGCTCAGCCTTCGCGTTGCCCCCTTTGCCTGCCTCTGCGTGCGTCTGCGGCGCCAGGGCCGCCGCACGCGCCTTCTCCTCGTCGTCGAAGCGCTGCTCGGCGGCACTGCCCTTTTGGAAGTAGAAGTCCTTTGGGAAGGGCTGTGCGAGTGCGCGCGCCACCTTGGCGTTGTAGGTAAAGTAGGCCGCCTCAAAGGCACTCGGCTCGCGCAGAATCGTCGGCGGCCGCGAGAGGAGGAGCGCGGTGGAGAGGGAGCTGCTGGCGGCGGGCGAGGCCTGGGCGCGCACCGAGGAGGAGCAGAAGGAGCGAGGTGCGGAGCCGAAGGCGCGGCGCACCAGTGCGGACGCGCTGCGCGAGCTGCCGGCGAGCGCGGAGGCCGACGTGCCAGCGAGGTGCGCCATGGCGAGGGAGGAGGGAGGAGGGGGAGTGGTGGAGGGAAGCCGCTCCGCTCGCCGGGGCGGCGGCCTTGCGAAAGGGCGCGGCGTGAAGCGGCACGTGATCAGGGCCGTGGGAGCACTTGCGTGGTCCGGCTGCAGCGCCCGTGCGCGCGCCTGGGCCAGGGGCGAGGCACGCGGGCAGTCTCTGCGCAGCGGTGTTGCGGTCGGCGGGCGGCGGCGCTGCGCACCCTGCAGCGCGGCGCGGTGAGGGCTCAGGCTGCGCACTACGCGGCCTCGCTCGCTGTGGGGCCAATCTCGCGCGCCCTGCTGCTCCACTACCATCACCCCGCCTCGACTCACCGCCACACCTCCTGCACTGCCTCTGCACATCCGCGCCAGCCCACAGCGCCCTTCCTCTCTTCGCGTGCCGCCGCGCGCATCGCTCTCCCACCCGCTTCGCGCGCCGTATCGCCCTTGCTGCGCACTCCTGCTGCGCCGCTCCACTTCGCTCTCTCTCGAGGCGCACACTCTCCTCGTCTAGCTCAGCATGCGCTCCAAGTTCAAGGACGAGCACCCGTTTGGTGCGTTCCCTCTCCACCCTCCTCGCTTCGCGACACAGGCAGGCTGACGGTCGAGCCCTGTCTCCCTCTCCTGCTTCCTTGACGAGCAGAGAAGCGCAAGGCAGAGGCCGAGCGCATCCGGCAGAAGTATCCCGACAGGATCCCGGTGCGTATGGGGACGGCGCGTGCACACGAGTGGTGCGGGCCACGAAGCGCGCGCGCGGCGGCGACGTGATGAAGGCCCAGTCGCAGAGAGGGTGCTGGCGGTGCGGGGGTTGATAAGGCGGCATGCGCAGGGCTGGGGAGCAGAGAGGAGAGAGGCCCGCAGGGGGAGGCTTGCATGAGAGCAGAGGTGGTGCGGCTGTGCGAGAGATGATCGGTGCATGAGCTTGCGCAGAGATACGGCTGCAGCGCGGGGCCGCGCATCTCTGCTGCCTTCGCTCTAGAGCTGGTCGCAATGAGTGCGCGCTGGGACATGCGGTGCCAGGGCTGGAGTTTGGAGGCACAGCTTGTGCCACCGTGATCCCTTCGCTGGAATGGCTGTGCTGCCCACCCTATCGCTCGTGCGACTTCTCGTATTGAAGGCGGGGCGCCGCGCGGACGACTTCATGCACATCACGCTATGCCTGCTGACGCCTCTTCGCCCCTCAACAGGTCATCTGCGAGAAAGCAGACCGCACCGACATTCCGACGATTGACAAGAAGAAGTATCTGGTGCCTTCTGTGCGTAGTCTACACTTGCTACTCTCTCTCTCTCTCTCTGCACACACACACGCAGCAGCGTCGGTATCCTCTCGCTGACACGCTGCGATCGGCCTTTTCTCTGCAGGACCTGACGGTGGGACAGTTCGTCTACGTGATTCGCAAGCGCATCAAGGTGCGTTGCCTCTTTCCTCGCGATCGCAGCACCAGCACCGGCTCTAGTCATGCTGACGTCTGTGTGTTGCTTGCACTACGGAGCAGCTGGCGCCCGAGAAGGCCATCTTCATCTTCGTCGACGAGGTGCTGCCCGCCACGGCGGCGCTCATGAGCGCCATCTACGAGGAGCACAAAGATGAGGATGGGTGAGTTGCGCTCTCGCTCGCTCAGCCCTGCCCATCATGCACTGGCTTGAGGTAGGGCAAGAGAGAGGGAGATCATCTGGCTGACACAGACGGTGTGGCGCCAGATTCTTGTACATCCAGTACAGCGGCGAGAATACGTTTGGCGCATGAAGCTCAACTTCCCTGCAAGCTCCTCTTCCTCACGCCATTTCACTCCTGCGTCTCTGCTACCACACATGCGCAACCCCTCTTCTCATCCGCTCCGCCGCGGCGGCCGCCATCTCGGCTCCTTCTCGACACGCCAACATGCCATCGCTCGCTCTGCCTTCTTTCCTACGTTCAATCATTACGCCCACTACTCTCTCTTTCTTCCCTTCGCCCACGTTCGTTCCCCAGCTGTACTCTATGCCCGTCCCTTGAACCTGTTCGTGTCTTGATCTTTGCGTGTGCTCCCGCGCCCGTCTGGCGCCTGACACGGCGTTCAGGGGCTTGTCATGCTGACCGAGCGCCGAGACGCCGTCTCATGTGCACAAGCAGCAAAGACACCTCATCAGATTGCCGAGTGGACTTGCCAGAGCAGCCAGGCAAGTCCGCGCAGCGGGACCAATGCAGTCACTGACCCACGCGGCGGCGCTCATCGTCGTCAGACGCGTCTGCGTCGGGGCGCAGCGGGCGCATGGAGGCGAGAGCTAGAGAGCCGACGGAACGGGAGGTGCGTAACAGGAGAGACTGATCACGACTTGCCAGGTCCCGCTGCGCACTCTCTGCTCCTCTGACTCTGCCGAGCAGAGGCAGAGAGACAGATGGACTCTGACTGCTTGGGCAGCTGCTTGCATCCCTACGTCGCTGCCACCTGCAGCTCTACATGTGTTGGTTGGCCCCTCGTGTGCCTCAGCTCGCCTTCGTCGCGGGCCCAGAGCGTTGCCGCTCTGCCTAGAAGCGCTTCGCAAAGCGAGCTGGCGTCGCTTCGCCCCCCGGGCTTTCTATTTCTCTGTTTTCTCGCCCGCCAGGTTTGTCTTTGCTTGGTTCTGCCTGAACACTCATGCGACTCGCACGTCGAGCCGAGAGAGAGAGTGGATGAGATTTAGCCGGCAGCTGCAGGAAGCCTCGGCACGGCAGGCCAGACGTCCCGACGGGAAACGGCGGGCAGAAAACCGCCGAGCGGCAGTCACGGCAGCCCACGACGGCGAGCTCTCGCGTCGAGCAGCGTTCGGACTGCGCATCGTTCAGAACAAGCTGCCTTTGCGAGGTCCATCGCTTCTGCCGCCGGTCTAGACGTCGCCATCGCTCGCATGCTGCAGCAGTGCAGCATGCACTGCGTTTGTGGCTGCGCCGCGGCCCACATCCGCATGCGCCCTTGACGCGCGTGTGGCGCCCGGCGGTGCCGCCGCCGCGGCTGTCTCACGGTCGATAGCAAGGCGCGGTTAAGGCGTCGGCATGAGGGCCGAATGCAGCGCAGCCGTCATTTCGGATGCAGCACAGTCGAGTTCTCGGCGCCGCGCGATGTGCTGAAGGGAAGAGCCGGGCTGATCCTAGTCCAGGCGCCTCGGCGCGAGAGGCGAGGAGGCAAAGTGCGAAGGCCAAGACGGCTGTACGGCCGGCCGGCGGCAGTGCCCAGCCACGCCGCGGCACTCTGCGGAGCCGGAGGGGGGGTAGCTGTGCTCGGCGCGGCTCGCCCCAACGTCGGCAGGAGGCTGGAAAGAGGCGCGCTCGGCAAAGACGAAGACACTCGATGGAGCCGCTCTGAGGAGCGTGCACAGGGCAGAGAGGCAGACAGCCTCGCAGCGCAGCAAGAGCGGGCCGGCGGAGCGCCAGGCGGCAATCAAGCCCGCAGCGCCGCGTGCCTCGCCGGAGCCGGCGACGGCCGCCGCCCTACGCCGCCGCCGCCTGCCACGCGCGCACCGCCGGCCGGCCGCCTGCAGCTGCTGCTGTGCCCCGCCCGCACGGCGCCGGCTCGGAATAGCGACACTTCGGCACCGCGCGCTCTCTCTTCCCCTCCCTCACCCTCCTCTTCCCACTTCGGCAGCTCGTGCTTGGCGCTCCACGGCGGCGCCCACGTGTCTTCTTCGCCTTGCTTCTGCGCCTCGTGCCTCTTCTTTCTGCTCCTCATCCCTCGCGCCGCCGCATCCTCAGCGCATCACCCTCTCGCCCTCGCCCCCATGTCGCGCGCTCCGCCGCCGCCCGGCGTGCGGCCTCCTCGCCTGGCGCCCGTGTCGCCCAAGACGCCGCTGCGTGCCTCGGCGGCTGCCTCTGCGTCCGCCGCTGCATCGTCCTCCTCCTCCTCCTTCTCTCCCGCCGCGCCGCCTACACCCGCCGCGGCCTCGCCCGCGCCTGCGCCCGTGCCCGTGCCCGGCTCAGGCTATCGCTCCGAACGGCGCCCCTCCACCGCGCCTTCGGAGCCGCAGGCTCGCGAGTCGCTCGGCTCGGGCTCGGGTGCGGGTGCAGACTCGATGCATCTGAGCCTGGTGCCCCAAGGCAAGGCTGCCGGATTCACGTGGATCTGCCTAGGTGTGGGCGGCGGACCGCTGGAGGGCGACTGCAGCTGCTACATTGTCAAGCCGCACGAACAGGAGTGGGAGGAGGGATATGCCGTTGTAGAGGGCGGTGAGTAGGCGCGCGAGAGGGAGCAGAGTAGGGCAAGAATGGCTCGGCAAGGAACTTGGGTCGGCAAGGGCCGGGATGGCGAAGAGCAGGCAGCGGGGCAGGAAGCATCGTACGAGCATGCGCACCGTTTGCGGGGGCAGAAGACGCCGGCGCGCGCGGAAGTGCTCTTTGTGTGGCGGCGCAGACTCGGGCTGTTCATTGCCGGCGGCGTCTCTCTAGCCCAACAGCCGTCCTTCTAGGCGGTCCAGCTCGTAACGGCGAGCCGCTTGACGTACCGCCGGCCCAGGCACATAGTGTCTGCCGAGATCTTGCTCACACTGCTCTGGCAGGTTCCTGGCTCGGAGCGCTCACGCGCGTGCTGGAGGATTCCTCCTCCTCCTCGGCCTTTGCCAGCACGGCCTTCCCGCATGCCTCCGCGGCGTTGCGAGCGGGCTACATCGGCTCCTTCGCCTCCTGTTTCCTCATCACGCATGCGCATCTCGACCACATCCTCGGCCTCGTGCTCGGCAGCGCCAGCCTGCCCGGCAAACGTGCCGTGTGGGGCCTGCGCGCCACGCTGGAGAATCTGCTCGAGGTGTTCAATGGCAAGATCTGGCCGAAGCTGGCGAGCTTCAAGGAGGATGAGCCGCATACGGTATATCACTTGCGCAGGTGAGTCTCTGGCCCTTCGGCAGCCACGCTCCTAGCTGCAGGTGGATGGCAACTGATCACTGGCGAGCAAAGTCTGGAGAGTCAAAGCATCACGCCGCTCTCGCCCGGCCTCTCTGTCCTGCCGTTCGCACTGTCCCACGGCCTCAACCCCGCACAGCCTCCCGCGCCGCCGACGCCCACGCAGCACATGGCGCCCCGCCCGCCTTCCTACTTCAACAAGCGCTTCTCTCTGCCTCTCTCTGCGCCGCACTTCTCGGGCTGGGGTCCCATGCATTCTGCGCTCCCACCTGCGACGGCAGGAGGCGAGCGACCGACGTTTACGTCGCCGTTCGCCCCCGAACGCGAGGCGCTGTCGAACGCCACATTCACGGGCGCGACGCTGCGCGACCATGTGTCGGAGGAGAGCTGGAGCGAGAGTGGGAGTGCGGTGCCCGACTCTGCGGGTCCGCTGAGCGCCAGCAACAGCGCTGGCGCCAGTGCCGCAGCCGGACCTTCTTCCGACTCGCGGCCCGGCTCCGGCAAGTCGACTCCCGCGCCGCTCGAGTCGCCCACCGAGCACGGCGGTGCACTCGCGCCATTGCCAGGACAAAGCACCCTGCCTCTGCGGCGCGTCGGCAATGGCCCGCCACGCGCGCGGCGACCTCGCACCGCGCAAGGCGCCGAACGTCACATGGAGGCCAAGGCCGCGCACTCGGACGCACTGCAGAGCGAGACGCCCGCTTCTTCGCGTGCGCCGCCTCCGAGACGCGTGAGCATTGATCGGTCTCCTCCCGCGCTCGACTCGACGGCATTCTTCATCAGCAACCGCGCCACGGGCTCCGACGTGCTCTTCTTTGGCGATGTCGAGCCGGACAGCATCTCGCAGTCGCCGCGCAACAAGCGCGTCTGGCAACATGCAGCCTCGCGCTTCGTCGTCGATCAGCTGCACGCCGTCTTTCTGGAGTGCAGCTTCCCCGCCTCGCATCCGACGGCGTTCCTGTATGGCCATCTCAACGTCAGTCATCTCTTCGACGAACTGCGATCGCTGGCGCGCTGCGTCGTGGCCGAACGCAGAAGGAGAGACACGCTGAAGCGCAGCGGTGCATTCGATGCGACAAGCTCCGCTGCCGCACCGCCTCTCTCCGCCGAATCCTCGCCATCACGCAGCGGCATGCAGCGCACCCGTGTGCCACCTCCGCTGCCCATGGCGCCCGCCGCGCCAGCCTTCATCGCCGAAGCCGAGCTGCGCGGCTCGCTCCAAGGCCTGACATTCATCATCATCCACGTCAAGACGGCCCTGTTCCCCTCGTTCCAGGCGGCCGAGAGCGTCGACGAGAGCGCCGGCGCGGCGCCAAGGCCGCGCATCATCGATCCCAGAACGATGAGGGAGCGCATCTTGGAGGAGCTGAGGGAGATGGAGGAGGAGATGCAGCTGGGCGCGCGGTTCGAAATGGCCCAGTCGGGCATGCGCATCGGTGAGTGCCAGCCAGTTCCCGCCGTGCCTCTGCCTCAGCTGACGCGATCGCCTGCGCAGAATGCTGAGCATCTCTCTTCCTCCTTCTGCTGGACCTGTCGCTTCTGTTTCTTCCCACCGTCACCGGCTCCTCATTCTCTGCCTCTCTCGCGGCCGTGCTCAGCCGTGCTGCGCACCTGATCGGCTCGCGCTTCCTGCTGCTTTGTTCACCCGCCCTGCGCACACGTTCATCCCCTCTGCTTGCCCTCTCGCATGTCTCGCACCAGCATCACTCCGCTCCGCTCTGCTGTCAGGCGATAAGTAGTTGCAATTGAGCTCTCGCTCGATGTATCTCATACAGCTTGCCCTCCGGCTGCACCGGCCTCAGGTGCGGCCGCTGCCGTCTCGGGCATTCTTATTGGCGCAGCGCCGAAGAGCTCGTCGAGCAGGCCCGGCAGGAACTGCGCCAGCCGCTCGGCCGTCAGCGCCCACAGCGCCACCTGCTCGCCGCTGCGCTGCTCTGGCGCTCCGGGTGCCGGCGGCGGCAGCAGCACCTCCGAGGCATTCATCACCAGCAGCACGTTCTTCGTCAGCTCCGGTATCGACTCCTGCGAACGAGGAGCAGTCAGCAGAGGGCGAGTCACATCTGCGGCGAGGGTGCTCACATGCTGGTGCTTGCTCGCACGCAGGTCTGCAGCCCGGGGCGTCAGCGGTCAGGAGCACAGAGCAGCACACGCCGCGACTCACAGCGCTCAAGGTTGTCCAGCACCTGCATCCACAGCCGCTGGAACGGCTCGTCGGCCGGCGAGGCAAGCTGCGGCAGGTAGTGCAGGTACACCTTGGATAGCAGCGCGCACATGCGGATGCGCGCCTCGAGGATGCCCTCGGCGTCGGCCTTGAACACCTCGGGCTTGAGCAGCTCGTCGAGCGTGGAGAACACGACGGCGGTGAAGATGTAGACGAGCGTGCTGCGCTGCGGCAGCGACGCGGCCGTGCCGGAGAGAATCTCGGACGCAAGCAGCGTGCGCTGCAGATGCGTGATGGCCGCCTCGCGCGCAGGCCGGTGCCGGTTGGCGCACTGCTCCGACAGCGCCGTCATGAGCGGCAGCCAGAACTGTGTCCACGCTGCGGCAAGCGCGTCAGCTGACTGTGAGGATGCACAACGACGCCACGACTCACCATCGGCAGCTGCTAATCCCGAGGCGTCGACCAGGCGCGGGATCGAGCCCTTCATGCCCTCCAGCGCCACGATGGCCTCCACGCCTCGCTGCTGGCACTGCGTCTCGTAGTCCGCCAGCTCCTTCTTCTCCGTGAGCGTGCGGCGCTGTCCTTGCCGTTGCTCCTCGGCACGCCAGCCGGAGCAGTCGGCGCCAGCAGCAAAGCTGCGCAGTAGCGACACGACGCCGGCGAAGTTGTCGCTTGTCAGCCGTTGCTGCGCGATCTGCCGCACTGCATCCGAGGCCAGCGCCGCAGCGCGTGCGTTGCGCGTCACAGAGTGGTCTGCGATGAGGGCCAGCACGAGACCCCACTCGGTCTGCGAGCGGGCAAAGCCAGGGTCCGTGCGGATGATCTGCGTCAGGCCCGCCACGAGCTGAGGGCTGATCGAGGAGCGCAGCTCGGCCGGGATGCTGCGCAGCAAGTCGAGCGCCACGAAGATCTGGTCGCGCAGAGCGCCTTCGGCCGACGGCGAGATCTTCTCTGCCAGCCGCAGCAGCGAGGCGACTGCGCGCTCGATGTGCATGGGGTGCATGAGCCGCGGCATCTTGAGCACGTCGATGAGGTGCTCCGAGGCGACGTTCCATGCCTCGGCCGTCGAGACTGCCGTGGAAGAGCACGCCACGGACGTGAGCAGCTCCATTGCGAAGATCGCCGTCGGGTCGTAGTGCAGCGGCGAACGCGCACCGGCAAGGCTGGAGCCAGGGTTCGTCGGCGTAGAGCGACCTGAGCTGGAAGCTTCGCGATCCTGCACGAGTCGGTGCTGCTCGTGGACCGGCGCAGTAACACGCTCGACACTGCAGCGGTCGGCAAGCGCCTTGAGAGCACGCAGCGCCGGCAGCAGCGCTTCCTCGTTGAGCTCGAGGACCTGCGCGTACAGCTCGTCCAGTCGGCAGCTCGTGATGCAGTCCACTGTGCACAGGCTCGACTCGACGTCCTCGGCAATCACCTCGGGCGCAGCGGGCTCGTTGGCGGCCGAGTACGGCGACAGCAGGTAGGACGAGAGCGTGCTGAACAGGCCTCCGCCTTGGGCACGCGGATCCTGCGGCGGCGGTCCAGGCGCCTTGCGCGGCTTCAGCGGGATCGGGATCAGCCCGTCGGGCGTCGCCGCCTCGCTGCCGTCCTTGGCAAAGTCATGCATGTGCGAGAGCGGCGCGGGCAGCAGCGAGCTGACGAAGAGGTTCTTGAAGATCTCGAAGATCGGCGCCCAGCCCGCCCGGATGGCATTGCCGTTGCCGTTGGTGATGGTGAACAGCACGACGGCGGCGAGCTGGCCCTTGAAGTTGGCGCCGAAGCGCACCGACAGCGGCGAGACTGTGATGCTCTGGCCATCAACATCGACGACTGCGTTGTTTGTCAACGCACCGCCGCCCGGCACGCGGTCGTCGAGTAGGCCCGTGGCGCCTGCGAGGCCTTGGATCATGTAGTCGAACAGCTCGTACATGCCGAAGCGGCTGGCGAGGATCGCGCACTGGCGGAAGCCGCCAATGGCGCGCTCCAGCAGGTGCTCGTCGCGGTACGACGAGAAGGCATGCGCGATGCTGGCGACGACGGGCCGCCAGCAGCTCTCGAACACGGCGCGGTCAAAGACGGCCGTGTGCGGCAGCAGCAGCGGGCCGGCCTTGCGCGAGCGCCGCAGCAGCTCCTTCCAGGCATAGTCGAAGCCCAGCTGCCCGACGTGCTCCTCGGGCATGACGATCTCGCGCTTGCGGATGACGTCGTAGATGGCGCCGAGGTACTCGGGGTCGAAGTCCTTGCCGTCGTTGACGCCGCGCAGGTTGCGGCGATAGTCCTCGACGCTCATGCGCCGCTTGTTCTGCGGGTTGTGCAGGTCCGTGTTGAGCATGATGACCGAGTATGCGAGCACGTAGACAGCGTCCTCGTTGCGGATCTCGGCTGGCCCGACGGCAAAGTAGGCCGAGGCGAATGTCTCGGTGATGCGCGAGATTTGCTGCGACTCGCCGGGCAGGCGGAACGTCTCGAGCAGCTCGCGCAGCGCCTCGGCAATGGACTTGTCGCGGAAGTCGAAGAGATTGATGAATGCCACAAGCACCTCGAGGTTGTCTGGCCGGCTGATGTAGTCGCCGAGCAGCTTCTTGTCGAGGCGCGGGCAGTCCTTGAGGAACTTGGCGATGCTCTGGGCGCGCGTTTCGCCGTTCTTCCCAGATGCATCGATGAAGCCCTGCGCCTCGAGGAAGGCGAGGCCGTCCTTTGGCTTGGCGTTGAAGCGTGCAGCGCCAGCCAGGATCGCCGCCTTCTGGCCCTTTTGCGCGGCCAGGCCGTCGGCGTTGTCGATCGTCGCGTCCTCGATGTCCGATGCGCCATTCAGCCCTTCTTGCCGCGCCGTCATCATGCCGACGAAGTTGAGCAGTGCGTCAAGCGCCAGCACCTGCGTGCTGTCCTGCTGCAACGGAAACTGCGGGTTGCTGGCGTACACGCTGCGGCAGAGGAAGTGGATGAAGCGCTCAAACATGTTCTCGCAGTCGACGTCGCAGTCGAAGTTGACGTAGAGCTGGACCAGCGCGTCGGAGCTGCCAGGCCGCTGGCCCTCGTACGTGCGCAAGAGCAGGCTGAGCGTCTCGAGCATCACCTCGCGCGTCTCGCCCGTTGCTGGCGCGCGGTCGGACGTCTTCGGGTGCGGCGGTGGCGGCGGAGGCGGCGGCGGCGGTGCGCCCTTGGCAGCTGGCTCCGGAGTGCCTGTCCGCGAAGGCCCGTCGCTGAGCTTCGCCCGCTTGGCAGCGACAGCGCCCTGCGTCTCGTCGTTCCACGGCTCGAGCGCGATGGGGAAGTTCGGCGCAAGGCGGTCGAGCATGAAGGTGAGGAAGAGCTCGTACTGCAGCTTGAGATGCTCGCGCATCGTCTCGAACAGGATGGCAATCGCCCGCAGCGCCAGCGCCAGGATGCGCGAGTGCTCAGAGCGCGCCAGCTGGAAGAGGTGCTTGCACGCCGAGTCCTGGATGATGGCGCGCAGAGAGGGGAAGCGAGCAATCGAGTGGCTCGCAAGCTCGAGGATGGACGACAGCATGGCCAGGCCGAGCAGCCGCATGGCTTCGGTGTGCTGCGTCGTTTGTGGGTCGAGCAGCGAGACGACGACGCGCAGGATCTCCTTGATCGCCGGCAGGCCATATGGCTCGACAGCCAGAGCTGCAGCTGTCTGCTGCTGCCGCTCGAAGACGCTACTCTCGTGCGCCGAGACAGCGCTTGGCTGCGAGGGCTGTGCAGTGCTGTCGCTATGCGGCTTCTCGCTCAGCTTCGCGTCTTGCTCGCTGCTGGCGTCTGGCTCGGCGGGCTCTGGCGCAACGACCCCCTCTGTGCCGCTTGCGTCTGCTGCAGCAGCCTCTCCCTCCTGCTCTTCCTGCTCCTCTGCCTCGCCGATGGCCTTCAGCTCCTGCAGCGCCGCAGCCGCAGCTGCAGGCACCTCGCTGCTCTTCGGATCCGGCATCGTCATGCGCCGCAGCCGGCGCTCGTCGTCCTGGCCGTCCGTGCCCACCGGCTCGGCCGCCAGCGTGGCATGCTCGGGCTCGGCAGTCGGGTCGTTCGGGTCAGACGACCATGCCTCATCGTCTGATGTCGGCAGCTGCGCCAAACGCGAGAAGAGCTTGCGCGCCATGGCGATCATCGACTGCTCGGCAGTGCGGCGCAGCAAATCTGTACGCAGCTCAGTGTCAGCTCTGCCGCGAAGCGTCGGCGCCTGTATAGGACGCTGCCGCTTCACTCACCGCTGAGGCGCATCTGGCAGCACATGCTCAGGCCCGTCTCGACCATCTCGCAGATGCTCTCGTCGCCTAACCGATTCGCCAGCGGCTCTCTGCCCTCCGCCTCGCCTCCGTCGGCGCAGACAAGCTCGCGCATCACGGCGAGGATGCGAAGCAGCACCAGCTCGTCTGTAGCAGCATCGCTTGCCTCGAAGCGGCAGTGCGAGACGGCGTGCGCCACCTCTGCCACGGCCAGCAGCGCGCTCTGGGGGTCCGCGGCGTAGCCGTGCTCGCCGGTCGCTGCCGGCACCTTGACGACGCCGTGGATGAGAATCTTGTGGAGCGACTGCAGCGCAGCAGACGTCACTGGACCAGTGACGCGAGGCGAGAGAATGACGCGCAAGAATGGCGAGAGCAGGACCGGCAGCGGGAAGGTGCTCAGGTCTGTCACCGGCATGTCAGTGGCTCGCCTCCTGCTCACGACTCGCGGCGCACTCACCAGGCTGCTCGCGCAGCTGCGCCCGCAGGACAGTGAAGCCATTCAAGAGGCCAGCCATGCCCTCGTCACGCTCGCCTGGGTATGCCGGCGCGCGCCGTCCGGCCTGCGCCGCCCGCGAGCCAGATGCCACGGCCGAGGCGCCAGGCGTGCGCAGGCCGAGGCTCGAGCCGAGATCTGAGGCAGCTCCGTTGAGCGCAGGCGTCGCCTCTGTTGGAGGCGGCGCAAAGCTGGCGGCAGCAGCCGCAACTGCAGCGCGAGTGAGACTAGCGGCAGTGGTGCCAGCACCGACGGCCAGATTGCCGCTGGAGCCGGAGCCGCCGCCGAGGAAGGACGACGAGGCACTGATGAAGAGCTGCTTGCGCATCGCCGACGTCACGGCCGTGATCTCGCCGTGCACGAGGTGCAGCGCCGACAGGCGCGGCTGAGCGCCGCGCTCGAGAGCCTCGCTCCTCGCCGGCCCGGACATGCTTGAGCAGCGATGGATCGTCGAGGCGCTCTAGTCACTGGACAGCGGCCGAGCCGAATCAGGGTGTGCGCAAGGTCGCTCGGCGAGCACGGTAGTGCGGCGCCGTCGTTGTCTCCGAGAGTGCAAGGGCCAGTGAGACAGTGAGTGAGGGTGGGCCGCGCTTTGTCTAGGCAAGGAGGAGGTGGTTGAGAAGCTGGAGCAGAGCAACACCCGGCGCTCCCTTCTGCCGCGCTTGCTGCACGGAGGCGCGCGCGATGCGCGCGCCGTGCGCGCAAGCGGGGAGGCGTCTCCACGTCACCGCGACGCGACTCCTCTTCAGTGCGAATCAGCGAGCACGGGTGCCCAGGCTAGGCTTCACTTTGCGAGCCAGGCATTAGCAGGCTCATCCGCCACAAGGTGATGTGGTCCTGACTTCGTAGCAGAGCCTCAGACGGGGGTCGAGCGGAGAGGGGCGTTGGCCGAGCGAGAGGGCGTGGGAAGTGACGCGCCGGCCCTGCACGTGCCGCCGCGGATCTTCTCGCCGACTCGAGCGCGAGGCGAAAGGCGGAGCTCGCCGTGTGTCTCTGTCGCTCCTTGCTCTCTCCCACCATCCTTTTCTCCTCAGCCGCAGCCCATCTCTATCATGCAGCACTGAGCCGCGTCGCAGTGCCTCACCAACAGCTCCGACACCCCTTTCCCACTTCTCCTCCGCCGCGTCTCGCGCTCTCGCGAGATGACTCTCTCTCCTCCTCTCGGCGCCGCGTCGCCCGCCGCGACGTCGACCGCGCTCTCGTTGGGCGAGCTGCTTCCCGCTCTGCCGCCGCCGGTCGGGCGAGAGGCAGAGAGCGGCACCCCCAGCGCCGAGCATCTCGCAGCTGCGAGCCATGTGCGCTCGGCGCTGCGCGTGCCGAGGGACCGCGCTCTACTCTTGCGCACGGAAGAGGAGTGGAGACGGGCTAGTGCTGCGCCGAGGTGAGTATCTCGGACGGAACAGCGCGGACTCGACGTCAGGCCTCTTGTCTGAGCGCGAGCATCGGCTCTCGGCTCCGCTCGATCACAGCGAAGCCGGCGCTGCTTTTGATCGAACTCGTCGGGCCATTCATGAGCTCTTTCTCGCAATGCGCGAGCCGACTTTCCGAGGCTGTCTTTGTGCCGCGCATGCGATGCATTCAAACGATGAGGGAGAGGCTGACGTATGCTTCCACAGTTGGTCGCACCCGCCAAGCCCTGCACATGAGCGAGCCCTGCTCACGTCGCTTGCGACGCTCATGCGTCTGAGGGCTTCCGAGAGCAACGGAGATTCCACACTGCTCATCTCGCGGACGACGGCTGCACTGTGCGTAGGGTGAGCCCTCATGAGTCGCAGCACACACTCATACTGTCCTCGCAGGAACCCGACGCCCGTCATCGAGATGTTCGCGCCGCCGTCGCCGCCTGCTATGCGGCTTCTGCCGCGCCCAGGAGCCAGCAGCGATGCGCCGGCTGCACCAGGCCCATCGACCGCTATCAGTGCAGGCGCACCACTGCAGATCATGCGTCGTGCACCTGCTTCCTCCTCGTCGCGTACGTCAAGTACCGCGTCTCGTCCCGCGCCGCCAAGCATTAGCGAGCGCGAAGCCGCATACCGAGCAGCGCGCGAGCGCATCTTTGGCGCGCCGAGCGCCGAGGATGCCGAGACTGCCGCAGCGAGTGGCAGCAGCAGCGTGCGCAAGGAAGCTCGCGCCGCTCGCGCATCGCCGCAACCATCTACGCAGAGTCAAGGCGAGCTGTCACACGAAGCGAGCGCATGGACTGGCTACCCGCTGGCTGCGACTGGCGATGTGCGCGCCTCGGGCGACACCGATGCTTTCTCGCCCTTTGCGCCATCAGCGCCGACATCGCGTAGCGCTAGTGCCGAGAGCTCTGGGCTGGCTCCGAGCGCTGGCGCGGCAGCTGAGGCGTATCCAGACGCGCGGATACAGCACTACGACCCTTCGTTCGGGGACACTCGACAGTCGTACGGCGCTGCGCACCCAGGCTACGGGCCTGCTGGCACGTACTGGCCGCCGCCAGGCGCCACTGCTCCCCACGCAGGAGCGCAAGGCGCACCGCAGAACGGAAGCCAGTGGAGCTCCGAGCGACATGCGCCGTGGGGCGTCCCGCCGCCTCATATGCAGCCAGGTGGCTGGAGCGGCGGCGCAGGGCCGTCGCGACCACCGCCAACATCGATGGGCGTGGCGTATGGCGACGCGCAGCAGCCGACGCCTGCTTCGCGTCTCGACCTGCCGGGCGCGCTCGGCAGACGGCAGCAGGCTGGCGCTGGCCGGCTGTACGACCCGAATTCGAGCGGCGGCGACTCGCAAAGCCGCACAGGTCTGTCTGGCAGACTGGTGAGTCGCGCGAGAAGCTGACTTTGAGGATCGCTGCTGACGCCAGGCTTGACAGACCGCTGCGAGCTCGGCCAACACTTCCGGCAATGCATCGCCAGCTCTGCGCCCGGCACACGTCTCCGGACCAGTGATGCGCACGCTGCCGCCGACGTTCGTCATGCCCTCAACGCCAGCGAGCGCGGGCAGCAGCAGCAGCAACACCAGTCCCGGCGCCGCGAGTCCGTCGAGCAGTCAGGGTCGCCGCTCGAAGGTGCTGCCGCATCCCTCGCTTCCAGCTCGGCCCGACTGGGTCACGGTCACGCCGCCGACGGCTAGTGCGGCGCCCAGCATCTCGACGCCGGGCTCGTCGAGCAGCGGCAGCAGCAGCACAGGGCCGACTAGCAGAGATGGCGCGTCGGCTGCGAGCGGCGCATCAGTAGCCAGCGGCGCGAGATCAGGGCGCTCGACGCCGTCTGGCGTCAGCAGCCTACCTCGGCCGCCGCACATGCCACATCCGCCGCATCACTCCAGCTCGGGCTCGACATCATCGAGCACGGCAGCCGCAGCCGCAGCGCATCTGCCGCCGAATCCGACGCTGACGTGGGATGCGCCCGTGGCGCCTTCGCCCGCGCCTCACGTTCGTCGTCCGACAGGCGAGCGCAGCTCGCCGTCGTCGCTGCCTCGCCCGCCAGCGAGCGCTTCGCTACCGCCGACGCCGCGAACTGTCTCATCGAACGGCCCGCCGTCGCGCTCGAGCGCCGACTTTCCGCCGCTCGGAGGCGCCTCGTGAGCGTCGTCGACACGACGTTCTCAACTTCTCGTCCTCGCCGTGCGGCGCGACAGCATCGCGTGCGCAAGCAATGGCATTATTCCTCCTCCTCCTCCTCCTCGAACGTGCTGAGCGCTTCGAGCGCTAAGCTGCGGATCCTGTCGCAGCCCGCACTTTCCGCTACGGTCAGCTTGAGGCCAGTCTTGCCTAGCTTGACCATGGCGAGGGTTGCTTGTTTGATACTGACGTCAGCAGCAAAGGCGTCGAGGTCGATGAGCTCCTGCAGGCAGCGGCGTCAGGACATGCAAAGCACGCCGCCTCTTCGCGAGCGACGCCAGCTCTTCGCAGCGACTCACCGACGAGAGCGAGAGCATCGCCTGACTCGCAGTCTTGTCCGCGCTGCTGCTCGTGAGGAGCGACTGCGTCAAGCTCTGCACTTTGCGAAGCACCTGCTGCATGCGGTCGAGCCTGACTGCTGACGTCGGAGACATCGCACGGCTTGACGTCGTCTGCGCTGCGCCTTTCGCGTTCGAAGGTCCTGCGATGGGCGGCGCCGACCTCTGATAATAGACGCCGCCGGGCACCAGCGCAAACAGGCGCTGGAAGTCTTCCCACCACGGAAGGAGGTGCTTCACCATGATCTCGCGCATCTCGCGCTGCTCGCGCTTTGGCCACTCTTTCAGCGGGCGAGAGAGCAGATGGATGCCGAAGCGCCCCCCGAACGCAAAGAAGCGAGTGGCTATGCGGTAGCGCAGTCGGTACGCCGGCCCATGTGGCTTGCTGACTCTCTCGGGCCACGTCTTCTGCTCGATGCGGTGGATCTTCTGGCGGATCTCCGCAGTCATCGGCTCGTTGCGGTTGTTGATGAAGCGAACGAGCTCGGGGTGCTTTCCGACGGCCTTGACGAGCAGATGAGCCTTCTCGGGCGGATACGGCTTTGCTGCTGGCTTCTTGCCGTTAGATGGCTGTACGGAGCTGCCGCCGTCGTCGTCGTCGGTGCCGTCTTCTTCGGCTGAGTCTCCTCTGCGTCTGCTGTTGCGGTGTCAGCTGTGCGACTGTAGCAGAGTCGGTCTTCTCTGCCTCACCAGCAGCAGCGACGCCGTCGTCGTCCGTCTCGGAGAGCAGCCTCTCCTCGTCCCACCCCTCGTCAAACTCGGCAACTTCGGCTTTCATCCGCTGTTGCTCTGCGGGCCCCGGCTTCCGCTTCAGTGCTGCCGCGGGCGGCGGCGCTGCCTCGTTGCCGCTGTCCTTGAGCTCGTCCTCTTCCTCGTCAGACAGCGGCTGAATGATGGAATTTGTCGAGCGACGCGAGCGACGCAGCTGCCTTTGCCGTCGTTTTGGCGCAGGCGTCTCGTCATTCGTGTAGCTGCCGTCGCTGCTGCTGGCTCTCGAGCGCTGTCGCTTCTTGCCGTGTGCCGTCGCTGACGGCTTCACATCCTCAGGCTCGTCGTCGTCGAGCAAGCTGATGACGGAGATCTCGCGCTGCGAGTGACGAGCGCGATGAGAGCGACGCACAGGCGGCGGCGGCGGCGCAATCACCACTGGCGTTGGTGCCCGTGATCCGGACTTCTTGACGCTGGGCGAGGCCAATGGCGAGCTGGAGGCAGGGCCGATGACAGCCGTAGGCAGCAGCGGCGAGCTTGCGCCTGACCGGGGCGCGGCTGACGGCGACCGTGCCCCTGACGGAGCAGCCGACGACGCCCGTGCAAGCGCTGGCAATGCGGCGCCAACATCTGACGGCGCAGCGCTCTCGTCTCGCTTGCAGAGCCGCGCCGCAGCGCTCTCGGCGCGCTCCGACGCTGCGGCGCTCTCTTTGCGCTCCGCGCGCTTGGGCAGCGATGCCGAGCTCAGCTCAGAGCGACATGAGTGCGCAGAGACGGAAGAGCGTGACGCCGTTGCCGCCGCGTGCGACGGAGCAGCGCTGCTGCGTGCGGGCGACGGGCTTGGCTTGATGGGCATCGCAGATGCTGCCGGAGCGGCGGTAGTCGTGGTTGGGAAGCAGGCCCAAGCGCCGCGCCGCGCCGCGCAGACGGCCTTTCCCCGCGCAGGTAGGCGCGAGCTCGCGGCGGCACCTCGATGCCGGCGCAGGCGCCCACGGCGCGCAGCAGCGCCAGTCGCAGCTGAATGGTCGACAGCGATGCTGAAGAGCAGCACTCTGTGCCTGACAGAGCGTCAGGAGCTCTTCGACACGCGTGCCGCGCGGGCGAGCCCCTGGAGCGCGTCTGCTCCTCTGGGGGTGAGGCGCGCGCTGCGCTGCACCGCGCCTCATCGTAGAGGGCTCGAGCCAGCCACTCGCAGCCACGTTCACTTCGCTACACGCTGTCGTCGTTCACAAGCGACTCGCGCAAATGTCATGCATAACGAATGTATGGTCCAAGGTCGAGACGTATGAACAATTGAGGCCGAGTCGGTGACAGAAGACGCGAGCTGAGGATCCAGCCAGCCGGCGCCTCCCGCTCGTCGTGTTATTGCGGTGCGGCCGCGTGCTGCGGCTGGTCTGTGGAGACGCTGCTCTTTGGTGCAGTCGTCGGCGCTGCAGCAGCGGAGGCACGGCTAGGGCCGGACTCGTCCGAGTGGCTGCTGTGCGAGGGCTGTGCAAGCGAGAGAGTGAGCACAGATGCAGGGCATGGCGCGCGCGACACTCACGTTGCTAGGGTCGAGCGCCGTCGAGCCGGCGTCGAGGTGCGGCACATCGAGCTCGCCTGCCGCGCCTTTGCTCTTCGGCGCGCTGCTGTGGCCTGAAGCCGAGCTGCTCTCGCCCGTCATACTGTCCGGGCTGTCCGAGCGGCGGATACGCATGCTGGTGTCTTGCGACTGCTGCTGCTCCGAGTAGCTGCCGAGCTGCTGCGCCGAGGCGCTGCCGGTGCCCGCAGGCGTGCCGGACGGCGTGCCTTCCTTGATCGGCGCGAGGCCCTGCGTAAACGGGCTGACGTCGGGGTAGCCAGCGTACTGCCCTGTCTCGCCGTCGTCCTTCTCGTCGAAACGGAAGGCGCCGCCCGTCGATGTGCGCGTGAGCGGCATGCCGATGCCAGTGCTGGCGCGCATGCTGTTGGTGCCATAGCCGGTGCTGGCGAGCATGTCGTCGTCGCCGTTGCTCGTGGGTGCACGGCCAGCGTCCTCGATCTCGAGCTCGCTCGGCAGCAGCACGGCGCGGTCGATGGCGACGGGCAGGCCACGGTGGCGGCCACGCAGCATGACGGCGCAGACGACGAGCTTCGAGAGCGTGCGGAAGCGGCCCGAGAGCGAGAAGTTGTCAACGGGCGTGCCGGTGCTCAGGCCGACGGTGCCGTACGCGCTCGTCAGCTCGAACAGGCACGAGAAGATGGTGAACCAGCCATTGGTCGCTGGGTCCTCGATGTTCGTCTTCTCGATGATCGTGATGAGCCACAGCGCGAAGCCGAGCCACCAGATGTCGAACGCCAGCTGGCGGCGCGCGTGCGCGGCGAGGTACGTGCCCCACACCTTGGCGCCGCCGCGCGTCGGCGCGTCGTCGTCGTCGTCGGGCTCCTCGTCGTAAACACCGAGCGCACGCTCCTCGTAGACGTTGGTGTTGCGCACCGACATGGCGCTGCAGGCGGCGTCAGCTGTGGGCGGGCTGCAGCAGCACGGCACTCACATCGGGTAGGCGGAGATGTACATCATGATGACGTAGAGATACTGCACCGAGGGCGCGAGCGAGAGCAGCGACACGACCTGGAAGCCGGCAGCGCGCACGGCAATCGACTGGAAGAGGCCGTCGAAGACGCGCTGGCCCGTCGGAATCGCCTGGATGACGGGGTTCGTGATGTCGAGCACGAGGAACGCGATCCAGTCGGTGCAGCTGCAGGGCGTCAGCGGGGCAGGGCGAGGCTGCATCGGCCGACTCACTTGAGCACGACGAGCACAAAGAGCAGGAACCACGTCTGCGCGCTAGGAAAGAGATACACGAAGCAGCGGCGCGGGTGGTCGAGGAGAAAGTGCAGCGTCTCATATGAGCGGCCGCCGCGCGGCACGATCTTGGAGAGCGTCCAGATGAAGAAGCGCAGGATGATGGGAAAGGCCGTGTTGCCGGCCATGATGAGCGTGCCGATGGGTATCAGCATAAAGTACTGGTCTGCCAGCTGGATCATGCTCGTGTCGATGAGCGAGAGGCCCGTGTTGGTGTAGGCCGAGACGACCTGGAAGAACCAGAACCACGTCGAGTTGGGCGTGTGCGGCGCCTGCGTCTCGCGCACGGCGTAGAAGTTCTGCGCGGCCGAGGGCGTGGCGAGCCAGGGCGCGACGAGGATGATGAAGAAGAAGTTCATCAGCAGCCAGTACGCCGGCACGAGCCAGCAGAGCCTGCAAGGGGTCAGCATTTGCAGTGCGCACGCCTCTCGCCTCACTCACATGTCGATGGCGCGGTACTCGACGCCGCCGAGCTCCTCGCGCTGCGCCTCGCTCAGCTCGTGGAAGCGCGAGTTGCGGCTCACCGTCACGTCGAAGCTGAGATACGGCGCACTGCGCACGCCGGCGTCGGTGGCGCCGCCGCCGGACTGCATCGAGGCAATGGTGCTTGTGCGCGGCATCGTCATGGAGCGCGTCATGGTGCGCTGCACCGACGGCGCCACGCGCTTGATCAGCGAGCCGGCCAGCTCGATGGGCGTCGGGAAGCCGCCGAAGCCGCGCTCCTTCGACGCCGTGGGCACGCGTGCCAGCGCCGAGCCGCCGACGGAGCTGCGCCGGCCGTACGAGCGGTTCGTGTACATCGTCTGTGCTGTGCGGGGGGTCAGTAGGCGACCAACGGCAATACAGCTGGGTCTGCTCACTCCTCTCAAACTCCAGGCCGGTGCCGCGGTAGCGCAGGCCCTGCGTGTTCGGCGAGAAGGCCGTCGTGGCAGCGCGCTCGGGCGCCGTCGGCGTGCGGTCAGCGCGCGGCGGATCGGCAAACTCGACGGTCTGCGAGCGCGGAAAGTCGGGCGCGGGCGGACGCAGGCCGCGGTGTGCGTTGGCCAGTGCGCCGTCAGAGCCGCGGCGCATGCGGCTGCCTGCGTGCTCAGGCGGGTCGGAGAGACGGCGCCGACGCATGGCGGGCTCGTCGAAGCGTGTGCGCAGGCCGTCGCCGCTAGGCGGCCCGTTCTCGCCAAAGGTGCGTCGGCCAGCGGACAGCGGCGGCAGCGCGCGGCCATCCTGGTCAGACAGAGCGCTGCCGTTGTCGAGCCCCTCGCGGCTCTCGATCTCTGCAGGCGACTCGACGATGATGGGCCCGCGCAGGAAGCGCGTCGGCTCGGCGATGCGGATGCTGCCGGTATTGGCATTGTTCGGCGAGTCTTCTGCGCCGGAGCTGAGGATGCCGCGAGGCGTCGCTTCCTCAGCGGAAGGAGGCGCCTCGTTCGCTCGGTTGGCCTCGCGCGAGTCGTAGTGCGCGATTGAGGGCATGCCCATCGGATTGACGAGCACGGCCGGCTCGTCGACGCGGCGGATCATGTCGAGCGTGAGCGGGCCCTTGCGCTTGGCCGAGTGCTTGTGCGCCGGGTGAGGCCTGCGCGGCGACGTGGCGCCCGAGGGCACAAAGTCGTCGGTGCTGCCCGAGCTGCCGCCGAGCGACTTCTCTCCAGTCTCGCCCTCTTGCATGTGGAGCAGGCGCTTGACCTTGCCGAGCGTGCCTCCTGCGCGGCGCTCGGCGTCTTCCACATCGCGCATGCGCTTGCGTGCGCGCGAGGAGCGCGCAACGACGTCCTCAAACTTGCGACGGAAGAACCGGCGCCGCGTCCACACCATCGTCGCGCTCACGGCCGTCAGGTTGCCGATGCACATCAGGAAGAAGAGGATGAACTGCTGGAACGTCGTCGTCGTGCTGATGTTGATCGTCGCGAGGCCGGTAACCGTCATGGCCGAGACGCAGACGAAGAGGCAGTCGATGTACGGCACGCGCACGTCTTCGTTGGCGGCGTAGAAGATGCCCGACGCAATGAGCGGCGTGAAGACGAAGTAGAGGACGTGCACGCGCTGGGCGGAGGAGTTAGCTGTGCGGCAAGAGCAGCGCTCGATTGGCAGCCAGTCCAGCTTGACCTGCCACCGGCAGCGTCCGTATCGGTGCACCTCGGCCTACCGCCGGCACCTGACGTCTCGCGTCTCCCATGCGCTCCTCAAGACACTCACGTAAAAGTTCAGATGCTTTGCAGCCCACCGACTGAAGCGCGCACGCAGCGGCGAGCCCGAAGGGCGCAGGAAGTGCGGCACCGACATGGAGCCGCTGACGCTGAGTGTGCGCACGCGGCCGCGGCGCATGCCTTCGCCCGACGTGCCCGACTGCGGCTGCTGTGTGGCGCTGGCCGGTAGCGGTCCGCCTGAGCGCGGCGCCACGTTGGACGAGGCGCTCGAGGAGCGCGAGCGGGAGCGCACGCCGGCGGACATTGGAGGGCCAGGCAGGCCGGTGAGCGTCGGCGCCATGCCGAGTGTCGCAGGAGACGGTGCGAGTGCGATGTGTCCTGCACGCAGTAGGAGGAGGGTACGCGACAGGTAGCAGGCGCAGCAGCAGCGCTCAGGGTCGCAGCGTGCGGGCGAGCAGAGAGCGACGCGGCGGGCGCGCGCCTGCTGCCGGCGCCGAGGCAGGAGCAGCGGCCAGTGCCGAGAGGCGAAGGCTTGCCTGGCAGGCGCGACGGCGAGGCGGATGAGCAAGCGAGCGGGTGGGGGTGGTGGAGAAGCTGGCGGCAGCGGGACCTGCCGGCATCCGACACATCGACACGCCGCCGCCGCCGCAGCCGGCGGGCCAGACGCACTTCTCGCCTCTCGCCTCGCGCGGCCTCTCCTCTCCGCGCAGCCGAGCAGAGCGCACGTCGCGCCTTGGCCCCTGCCGCGCTGGGGCCGCTGGCGCAGCAGCGCCTCACGCCTGCTGGCCCGATTTGAAGGCCTCGCGCAGGTCGCATAATCCGCAGACGCTCGCTGAGCGCCGCAACGTACAGAACATGGGCAGCGTTCGGCGTGCGGGGTGAGGCCAGCGCCGCGGCGCATGGAGAGCAAGAAGCGGAGACGAGGGCGGCTCCTTCCCACGTCGGCGTCCGGCGTGGTGCTAAGACGGGCTGACGCAGGCACAGAGAGCGGCAGCATCCGCCTCGTCTGCTTCGTGGCTAGCCGACCGCCGGCAGCTGCGGCGATGCTGGCGGCCGCGGCTCGCAGCAGCAGCAGCTCTTGCCTGAGAGGTGCGGCCTGCGCTCTGCCGCTCTCAGAGCTGGCTGCCAGTGCCATCGGCAGCCCGGAGCGCACTGATTGGCCTGCGCAAAGCCTCAGTGACAGGTGGGAAGCTGACGTCCAGCAGAGCTCGCGCAGCAGCAGGCCGTCGAGCGCCTCGATGCACACCATTCTCGCACTTCAGTCCTGCTCTTCGTCGCCCTGCTCACAGCTCCAGCTAGCCTAGCATGCTTGTCAGTCTGCAGGGCCTGGTGCCAGCGTCAAGCACCACAGGACGCACACATCGAGGATGCGCGGCGGTCAAGCCTCTACATAGGCATCGGCGGCGAGCGAGCAGGCCGCGAGGGTGCTTGGTACGCTGGGAGAGCACGTGCGAAGGCGGATGGCCTGGACGCGAGGCGCTCCCAGCGCAGCCGGCAACTCGGCAAGCGCAGCACTCAAGGATGCCCGTCTTGACGGCGCGGGCCAAAGGCCTCTCGCTGCGCTCTGCTGGGATGCAGCCACAGCGCGAGAGGATCGGCGAGGCGCATACACGCTGCCGCAAATCTCGCAGGTGCGCTGCTGCAGCGCCGGCGCCCGCACATGCGGATGATGCGCGGCTGCAGCCGACCCCATGGCAGACGCCGCTTCGGGCGCGGTGCCGCACACCCAAATCTAGGTCCCGCCGCTTCGCTCCGTCCCCGCACTCAAGGGCTCTGGTGCCGACGCTTGGCAGCTCCGCACGCCGGCGCGGGCCCGTGTCTCTTGTCTTAGAGTGCTTCGCAGCGCACAGCGCTTCCTTTACCACCACCACGACCTCGCCGCAAGCATGACGCTCATCGACATTGCCGCGGCGCTCTCCGAGGGTGCGCTGCCGACCAACGCGCAGGCACATCGGGCGCTGCAGGTGCTGCTCTCCACGTCGCTGCTCGAGACGCAGCTCCTCTCGCCGTCGGGCGCCACGCTGATCGCCGACGTGCGGCATCTTGTCGAGCTGACGGACCGCATCGTGCTGGAGCGCAACGGCGGCGAAGAGGCGCAGGAGTTCTGGTGGAAGAGCCGCGGCGTCGTGCGGGCGGCGGGCGCCGCCGGCATCACCGCAGCGGTGGGAGAGGAGGCGGAGCGGAAACTGCAGGAGAAGCTGGCGAAGAAGGAGCAGGGCACGGCGCCAAACAAGAAGCAGAAGGCTGCCTCGCTGTCTCGCAGCACGGCCAAGGCGGCGCAGGTGGTCACCAGGGACGGCAACCAGGGTGAGCCCCCACGACATGCGCCACAGTGACGGAGCGGCTGACGCCATACACTAGCCTTCAAGCATCTGCGCACGCTCGCGCGTCTGCTGCTCGTGCAGCCCGAGCTGCGGCATATCCTGTCTGATGGCGGCCTGCTGCTGGCAGAGGTGCTGGACAAGACGGCCGGCTCGACGCTCGACGATGCGCGCGGCACGATGGGCCAGGTCAAGTCGGCCACTGGCACGTTTCAGAACGTCGCTGCACGAGCGCTGGCGGCGGCGAAGGCCGCCCGACAGGACGTGCCGCAGGGCATCGAGGCGGTGCAGGGCGGCAAGGAGGCGCTGCGGCAGCTCGGCGAGGGCGCCACGAAGGGCATGCCGGCGCTCGATGCGCTGCGCACGCAGCTGAAGCTCACGGCCAAGAGCGGCCTGCCAAGCAAGGAGGTCATCGAGGCCGAGCTGGCCAACAAGGATGCCGTGCCGCGGCTCAAGGACCTGCAGGCGCAAATACACGCCGCCTCTGCCGAGATTGCGACGTCGCCGGCGCAGCTGGAGCGGCTGAAGGGAGAAGCGATGAATGGCGGCATCCCCGACGAGCTGCGGACTGCTCTGCTGGGCAAGCCGGGCGAGGCGGGCGCCATCGATCCCACGGATCTCGTTGATGCAGTGCAGATGCTGGCCGTTGCGAACCCGTCGCTGCATCTGACGGAGACGGCGAAGCTCAAGGAAGTGGTCGGGCAGGCGGCGAAAGACGCCAAGAAGAACGCCGAGGATGCCTGGACCGATGAGCGGCGCGCCAAGTTGATCCGGCGCCTGCGAAAGGTGCGTGGCGTAACAGGCCGAGACCGGCATGTGCTGACTGCTTCACAGCTTGCGGTGGACTGCCAAAGCAACGCAGAGTACAAGGACGCGCTCGAGTGGTTCATCACGCGCACCGAGACGCTCGTGCAGACGACGCAGCGGAACCTCGAGAAGCCAAGCACGTCGCTCGACGGCGCGCTGGACGAGGCCGTCGTGCCGCTGCTGCGTCTGCTGGAGAACGTGAGTGGTGCAGACAGCAGTCCTCTGCTTGTGCTGACTGGCTCGGCAGTTCGCTGGCGGGCGGCAACTGCGGCCGATCCTCGAGCTTGCTCGTTCGCTCTCCCTCGGCGCCAAGGACAATCCCGAGCTGCTGGCCATCTGGCGCGACGCCGACGCGCTCCTGCGACGCTCCTTGCTCGAAGAGGGCTACGCCATGGAGGCCGCGTGCGAGCAGGCCTGGCGCGACATGCTCAAGCGTTTCGAGGCCATGGACGCCGCGTACCGGCAGAGCGTTGCACGGCTGGTGGCCGACGCCACGGCCTTTATGCAGGCGCTGGCCCAAGATCCGCTGCTCAAGGAGCTCAGCCGCACACTGAAAGCGCTGCTCAAGGACGTCAGCATCGGTCGAGAGGGCAACATGCTCCCGTCAAGAGCGCTCTGGCAGGACCTGCGCATGACGATTCTGCCGGCCGTGTTTGCGCGCGTCGGCGTGCTGCCGGTGCCGCGCATCAAGTACACGCACCCGGACTTTGACCTGGTCGTGGAGAACATCGCCATCGGTGCGTCTTCCCGCACGTCAGGCTGTGACACATGCTGACTATCGCCGCAGAGCTCAAGAATCTGCTGCCCAAGATGGTCGGCTTCCACATGTCCAACGACGTCGAGTGGGATTTTGAAAAGACGAAGAGCTCGTCGCACTGCCACTCGGTGAAGATCAAGATCAAGGGCATGAGCCTCCGCGTGCACAAGCTGGCCTTTGCACTGAAGCTCAAGAAGGGCCTGCCGTTCAAGGACCGCGGCATTGCGGATCTGCTGGTCGGCGACTTTGGCGTCTCGATCCGGCTGGACGTGCCCAAGGACCCCGGGCCGCACTACTTCATCGTCAAGAAGGTCAAGGCGAAGCTCGGCACGCTGCAGGTCAAGGTGCACAAGAGCAACCACCGCATCATGCACCACATTGCCGGCGCGCTGGCGAACAGCTACCTGACGAAGCGCATCTGTGAGCCGACTTCCCAGCACTGGAGGTGCTGCGCTGACACGCCCTGCAGTGCGCCACCTCATTGCCATGGGCGTGACCATCGGGCTGAAGCAGCTCGACGTCGCGCTGATGGCGTCGCGCCTCGAGCGGCAGGAGGACCAGTGAGTGGCGTGCCGGCGTGCTATGCCGCAGCTGCTGACGTCCACCCAGGGGCGACATCAGCCTGCAGGAGATGCGCAAGAAGATGGCCGAGCTGTGCGTGTGCCGGCCGCACTGTGCTGCCCATACTGACCCTCTCTCAGGCGCGACCTGCTGCGCAAATACAACGAGATGGCGGGCACTCTCGAGCTCGACTTCACGCGGGAGGAGGACCCGCAGAACGAAAAGGGCTGGGAAGACGCGCATGCCGTCAAGTGGGTCAAGGGCCAGGTGCTCGAGACGGGCAAGCGGCCCGTCGTGCGGCACGAGTGGCGCTCGACGGCGTTCGACAAGATCGGCGAGGAGACGGTGCAAGCGCCGCCAACGCCGCCGCCGGAGGACGCCGAGCAGGTCGAGGAGACGCCGCAAGAGGCGGCGTACCGAGGCAAGCCGGACGGGCCCACGACGCTCGCTACCGTCGAGCAGGCAGAGGCCGACCTGCAGCAAGTCGAGGCGCAGCGTGCGCAAGAGGCAACGCAGGCCATGGAGTCGGAGGCCGGCGCGCAGGCCATGCGCCGCGACAGCTCGACGAGCGACCAGGTCGAGCGCCTCGAGCGCGCCGTCGACCGACATGAGGCCTAGCGAGCTGCACATCGTCTCCCTTTCTCTGTGGTCCTGCTAGATACCGGACGTGTGCAATCATACTCTGCTTTCATCGCACCTCGCCACATGCGCGCAGCAGCACGGACCTCGTGCGCGGCCGCTGCAGAGCGCGGCGCAGCGCGCAGTGCCGCCGCGCGGCGCGCGTGACGCGTCTCGCGGACCTCCTCGCGCACCACCCTCCCTGAGCCCTTTCCTCACAGCCATCACCTAAATTGTACATTGTGCTGTGCGGAAAGCCTTGTCTAGACGTGAAGAAGCCGCGCCTAGAGCTTCGAGCTGCCGATCTCGGCCGGCGGGAGGCTGTAGAGGTGCTGGAGCTCCTTTGCCAGGATGACCTTCGCCTTGTGCCTCTACAAGACGTGTCAGCGCTCTCTCCAGGCTCCAAGAGAGACGAATAACGCACCTGCAGCTTGAAAGTTGGCGTGATGAGCTGGTTCTCCACGGTGAACGGCTCCATGCGAAGGAGAAGCGCGCGAGGGAACTCAAAGCCCTTGAGGCCGGCTTCGCGGCCGACGCGCACCAGATCGAGGAGGAATGCCTTGACGACGGCCGGGTCCTGGCATGCTGTCTCGAGCGCGGCGACGTCCGTGGGTGCAAGAGCCTTGCCGACGATCTTCGACGCCCACGGGGCGAAGGTCTCGGGGTCTGGCACGGCGATCGCAACAAGGTGCGCTGCGGAAATATTTGTGAGACGCGTACGCGTCCGCGCGGCGCGCCCAACTCACATTCCGTCGAGTCGCCGTACAGCCAGAGCTGCGCCACGAGCTTCGAGCTCGAGAACAGCTGCTCGACGTTTTCCAGAGCAATGTACTCGCCTCCGATTGAAAGGCTGACGTCAGATGGGGAGAGAAGTTCTGTCGCCCAGAGAAGACACACCCTGGCTCAGCTTCACGAGGTTCTTCACGCGGTCAATGATCTTGACGCGGCCGAACTCGTCGATGAGGCCGATGTCACCGGTCCGCAGGAAGCCGTCCTCCGTGAGCGCCTCGTGCGTCTTCTCCTCGTCCTTGTAGTAGCCGGGCGTGTTGGCCATCGACTTGGAGAGGATCTCTCCGCGGCGGAACGGCTTGTCGGCCGACGTGTAGCCCTGCGAAGACGCCGGGGTCAGCTAACGCACGAGGAGGAAGAGGTGATACACACCAGCTCAGGGACATCGCGCAGCTTTAGCGCGGTGCCAGGCACTGGAGGACCACATCTGAAGGGAATGGAGGGCTCAGCGTCTCCCCGATCCTCCCCTCTTTCCACCTTGACTCACGAGCCGAGGTTCTTATCGCCGGGGAACATGATCAGGCACGAGCCGGCGTTCTCCGTCTCTGCATCACGGGTCAGCGACGAGCCATCGAAGAACAGAGGACGACTCACGTCCGTAGCCTTCGCGAATGTCCGCCGAGAAGGCGACGCGCAGCAGTTTGAGGACGTTGGGGCGTATCGGGGCCGAGCCGCTGACCATGAACTCGACGCGGCCGCCGAGGACGGCGCGGACCTTGCGGAAGACGAGGCGGTCGTAGAAGGCGTGCGTGACCTCGCCGGTCTTGTCGTGCCAGTCGATCTTGGCGTTGAGGGCCGTGGTGAGGAGCTTGCCCTTGAGGCCCGGGCCGTCGGCCTGCGCCTGGATCTGCGCGGCGATGCGGTTGAAGACGCGCGGCACGCCGGGGAAGATTTCGGGCTTGAGCACCTGGGCATCCTCCATGAGGCGCAGCACGTCGCCGCTGAAGTAGCCGATGGCGCCGCCGAGACGCGTGATGAGACACTCGAGCACGCGCTCGTAGATGTGCGCCAGCGGCAGGTACGAGATCATCACCTTGGGGTCCTTGAAGAAGAGCGACGTCGACGCGGCGGCGATGGCGACCTGGCGGTGCGCCACGAGCGCGCCCTTGGGCTTGCCCTGCAGAGCGTGTCAGCAGCGGCAGTGCTGATATACGGCAGCTCCCCACATCGCCATTCGCCATCGCACCATCGCTTCGACTCACCGTCGTGCCGCTGGTGTAGCAGAAGCCGAGGATCTCCTCGTTGGACTTGGGCGGGTTGTGCGCCGTGAGGTGCGCACGGCCGTACGCCAGCGTCTCGTCCCACGTCGACAGCGTGATGCCCTTCGACTTGGCCCACTGCAGCAGCAGCTGGTCGCGGCTCAGCTCGCCGGGGCCCGTGGCCGGGCCCGAGGGCGCGTCGAGCAGCACGATGAGCTTGACCTTGGGAATCTCCTCGGCGCCCGAGAGCAGCGCGGGCACGTGCGACGACGTCGTGAACACGACCTGTGCAGGGGGTCAGGGGTGCGTCATGCGAAGAGACCGGCAGTTCTACTCACGCGAGCGTCCGAGTGCTCCAGCACGTAGAGCGCCGTCTCCTTGTCGTACGACTCGTACAGGCCGACGGTGCGGCGCGAGTACGCTGCAGCGGCGTGCTCCACGATTTGGAACTCTAGGCAGAGTGTGAGTGGCTGTCCTTGCCTGCACAATGCCAGACCAGGCCATGCACCCCCCACTGCACTTGCACTCACCCGGGCGGTTCTGGATCCACGTGGCCAGCGTCCAGTCGGTGGCCGGGAAGCCGTCGCCCAGCACGCCGTCCTTCTGCAGCTGGCTCATGGCGCTGCCGAGGGCCGTGCGCTGCTCCTCGACCTGCGCATAGGTGAGCCACTCGAAGTGGGGCGCAAAGTCGCGCTTCGCCGCGTCCCAGGGGCGCCGGCCGAGGTAGTGGGCGCTGGGGTTGCGGTCGCGGCCGATGGCAAAGAGGTCGTAGAACGTCTCGGTCGTCGTCAGCTCGGGCACGACGGCATTGCGGATGATGGGCGAGAAGCCGGGCTGCTGCGAGCCGGGCACCTCGACGGACTGCTGCTGCAGCGGCCAGCTGCGAGACGGGTGAGCGGCCTGCACGGGAGCGCGCGCGCGTCGCACCACTCACACCTCCGGCATGTCGGGAAAGTGCGCAGTCATGGTGAGCGATGAGGGGTGCTGGGATGGTGGAGCTGAGCAGAGCAACGCTGGCGGGCGCGAGGATGAGGCGGGCGCCGCGAAGCGAGGCGTGCTCGAGCTCGCAGCTCTCCGCATCGAGGCACGCCGGCACGCTGCCTGTGTGCGGGGGAGCGCGTGTTGGCTGGCTGGCTGGCGTGAGGCACAACGCCAGCACAAGGGTCAACGCACGGCCACCGGCGCCGGCCCGCGCGAGCCGGACGCGCGCTGCGAGCTCTCGGCACCGGCGAGTCGCTCTCCGCACCGCAGCGCTGCCGCCGACGACTTCCCGCTGGGCCGATCTCAGCGCCTCACAGCTCTGCGCACCCTCGAGCAGCTGAGCTCAAGGCATGGCCTCAACCCGTATCTCGACTCGCTGCTGGCTGAGCCGGCGTGAGCCGTGCCCGTTGCTGCAGCGTCGGGCGTGGGAAGCGACACGCTGGCACGCAGCCTTGGCGCCCTCATGCGGCGGCGCGCTGGTGTGAAAGCGAGGCGCCACGCGCCGCCCGGCGTACCGTCAAGCGAGTCGAGTCGCGGTGAGCAGCAACTGCGACGTGCGATGCGACGTGCACAAGCCAGACAGCATAGTCGCGGTGCTCCAGCTCCTATCTCCTGGCTACAGAAGGCACCTGCCGGAGCTCTCGAGAGGCGCCGTGCTCATTCTGCCCGGCCACAGAAGGCCCGGTGATGCGCAATTCGCGCCCCTATGGAAGCCAGAGGAGTATAGCTGTCCAGCGCATCGGTGATTGCTACGCCCCCCCCCCCCCGACATCACTGCGCTGGGCCAGCCTGAAACATGCCCTTGGAGAACATGCGTGCCACCGCATCGAAGCCGTCGTCGGCCTCCTCGACCTCTTGCATGAAGCTGCGAAGCACGGACATGGTCAGCCTGCGCGCGTCACATCTGCGGCACCTTCGACTCACAGCTCATGCCGATCCGCAAGCGCCTCGTTGTTCCTGCGAATCTCGCGCACCACGCCATGCGAGCGCGCACAGCTGGGGCACTCGGCCTCGTTGTCGCCCAGACAGCGCTGGTGGTAGCTGTGCTTGCACATAAAGTGCACGCTCGGCAGGTCGAGCTGGCCGCCACAGGCGCTGCAGCGCGTCAGCTGGAAGACGCGCGGCGCATCGGCGTCGCTCAGCTCGGCCACCTCGGCCAGCTTCTTGGCCGTCTCGCCGCGGTACGAGTCGATGAGCCGGCGGTCCTGCAGAGCATGTATCAGGCACAGCACATATGCAGGCACTGCCCTGCACACTCACGGCTTCGATCTCTTCGCGCTCCTGCAGAACTGCGCGCGTCAGATGCTCGCGCACGATGCCCACGCTCGCGACGCCAGTGCGGCCGAGCGCCTGGACGACCTCGAGCGGGCCCATGAGGCCCTCATCCTCGATGTGCTTGAGCACCTTTGCGACATCGGCGTGGTGGCGCTCCAGGATCGCCTCCGACGAGACGAGGTAGCGCAGCACCATGGGGTACAGCTGCGGACTCGACGGGCCATAGCGCCAGAGCGCAGCCATGACCTTGGCGCTGGCCTCGTCGCGGGCGCCTGCGGCCGTGCTGGCGTCCATCCAGAAGCGCAGCACATCCTCGTACATGCCCATGCGCTCGTACAGCAGCACGAGACCCTCGGTGAAGCTCTCCATGGAGCACAGCACCAGGGCCTGCGTAATGTCGTACGGCAGCTGCTCGTGCTGCTCGAGCAGGTGCAGCGCACGCTCGCGCCGCTCGCCTCGCTGAGCGCCGTCAAGGCCGTGCTCGACGTGCAGCAGCAATGCGGCCGGCGCGTCGGGGTCGGCGTTGCTGTCGCGCGCAGAGGCGAGGTACAGCTCGAGCAGCGTGTTCCAGATGGCGCACTGGTCCTTGTGGTCCTCATCGACAAAGACGTCGTCGCTCGGCTCCATGCCCAGCTCGCGCAGCGCACGCTCGACCTCGTCATCGCTGCCCGCCGTGGCAGCCAGCGGCGCCAGTGCGCCGGCCGAGAGCGGCTCGTGTGACGCAGCGTGCGTGTCCATGTCCACCCTCTGCCCCCAGCGCGCCAGGGCGACCGTCTCGAGGAAGCGCACAAAGTGCGCCGGATGCCGGATGAAGTGCGCAAAGAACGTGCGCGGCGACGGCGTGTGGTACGCGTCGGCTGGCGCCTGAGCGCCGTTGCTCTCCGCCACGCCGTCGAGGTGGTACGGCTCAATGGCCAGCGAGGTTCTCTCCGACGTGTGCGCGGGCATGCTTGGCGTCGACGCACTGGTCCCGGCGCCGCCTGTGGCCTCTTGCTGCGCCGAGGCATTTGCTGGCTTGCCATAGTGCCCGACCTGCAGATAGGAGAGGTACGCCGCAGCGACCGAGCGCTCTTGCGCTGCTGCGATGCCCGCGCCGACGGCAATGGGCTTGGGGCTAAAGAGACCAGAGCAGAGCTCGATGAGCAAGTCCGTCGTGGCGTCCGGCAGCTCGGCGAGGAGCAGCTTGCCGTAGCGCTGCAGGTACAGCTCTGCATCGGCCGCACGCAGGCTGCGCACATAGCCTAGCGCGTCCTCAAAGTCATGTGCGTCCTCGAGCTGGATACGCATGTACTCGTCGTGCTCGTGGTAGCGCTTGGCCAGGTATGCCGCGTGGCCGTGGTAGCCCGCCTGCCGACACACGCGGATCGCCGTGGCGAGGTCGAACGGCAGCTCCTCGCGCGGCGTCTCGCCGTCGGCATCCACCTCGTGCGGCCCATGCTCGTGGCCGCCTGCGCTGCCGGGCATGGGACGCTTGATGAAGCGATCGAGCGATGCTACGTCCTTGAGCTTGGTGAAGCAGTTCAGCAGGAGCGTCGTGTGGTCCGAGTTCGCCAGGCCGCGCGCGTGCAGCTCCTGCAGGTACGTCGTGAGGTTGTTGATGCGCTGAGCGTCGAGGAACTGCGCCGGTAATGGCATGTCAGTTGCAGCGCCTGGCTCCGCAGTGCGCCACGCACCTTGCGGATGACATACGACGGCTGCGTGACGCCAATCGTCTTGACGAACTGCGCCATGGCGCCGTCAAAGTCGCCCTTGGTGTACAGGTGGTCGCCGTAGCGCCGGAAGATGTCGCCGAGCAGCGCATCGATCGGCGGCGCCTCGCCATTCGGCGCCGACGCGGCGCTGCGGGCCGCGTGCGAGCGCGCCACGCTGACGGCGACGAGGAAGAGCGACTTGCGGAACAGCAGGTCGAGCTTGGCGCGCAGCGCCTTCTCCTCCAGCCGCGTGAGCTGTCAGAGACGTGTCAGCGCGGGTGTCTGCAGCAGCGGAGCTCCAGACTCACAGTGCCATCGTCGCCGAGCACGAGCACCTCGCCGTTCTCGCCCGTCCAGGCGAGCCTCACGCCGCCCTCAAACGTGCCGCTGTACGCAACGAGCTTGTTGTCCAGGTCAAAGACGGTGACCTTGGCGACCTCGCTCGGCGCCGCACTGCCTCGCCGGCCGGCAGCACCGTTGAGCGGCGGCGGTCGGCCCGCTGGCGACACGCCGAGCGGAGAGTTGTGACCCTGCCGATCCCGTGCATTGACGTGGTTGCGCACCGTTGCTGATGCCGAGGCGGCCGAGGCCGCCATGGGAGGCGAGACGATGACCAGCTGCGTGTTGTTGAGGTGTATTGACGACTTGGGGCCTGTGCTGAAGTCAGCAGGGTGCGGCTGCCGTGACTCCCGCGGCACTCACCCTCATAGGCCAGGCAGACCTCTCGCCCGTCAGGGCCAACGACATAGATCGCCTCCTCGCGCGCGACGACCATCTTGCCAGCCAGCTCCGATGCCGCAGCGGACGCGCCAGGCACGACGGCGCCGCAGCCCAGCGCGCAGCCGACGTCGTCGATGACAGCGGCGGGACTGCCAGCGCCGCTGCCAAGGACGTTGTAGCGCAGTGTACGCGTGAGCGTGACGATGAAGAGCTGCACTGCAATGGCAGCTGTTGGTGGAGCGGCAGACGCCGATGGCGGAGCTGCACGGGCTGGCCGACGCCGCGAGGAGGCTTCGCGCGGACGCCGTGGGGCCTCGGCGGGAGCGGCAGCCGGCAGAGTCTCGGAGAAGCCGAGCGCAGTCACGGGCTCAGTGCCGCCCGCCGACGAGCCGCTCGAGGGCTGGTAGACGACCTTGAACTTGGGCAGTGGCGCGACGGGCGCTTGCGCACCGCCGGGTGCCGCTGTCGTGGCCGTCTGGAGCACGGCGTCGAGCGAGCGCAGGAGCAGCACCGAGCCGTCGGCCAGCGCCAGCGAGAGGTACGAGAGCGAGGGTGTGTGCGCGAGCGCCGCGACCTGCGCAGCGAGCAGAGTCAGCCGCGGGTGTGTCTCGCCCGGCGCTGGGCAGCACAACGCTGCCTAACGCCCTGCCTGCCCGCCTCTGCACTCACCGGATGCGGTCTGCTGCCATGCTGAACCTTTCCTTCGCACAACAGACGCGGCGCCCACTCGGGACCGCTCTGCAGCACCCGCAGGTCCCAGATCCGCAGCACCGGGAAGCGCACGCCGTCCTCCTCGCCGAGCGTGACGACACGCCCACGCGCATCGGCACTGAGGTGCGTCACGCGCCCGTGTGCGTAGGCGCTCCAGCGCGCCAGCGGGGCGTACGTGGCCGGATGGAGCACATGCACGTCGCCCGAGATGTCGGCCAGCAGCACTGCGGCGGTGGGCGGTGCGGCGTTCGGCTGGGCCTCGGGCGCACCCGAGCCTGAAGCCTCAGCTGCAGGCACTGGCGCGGGCGGCAGCGGCGGGCAGACGGGCGCACGACAGAGCGCAGCGATGAGGTTGGGCTGGCGCAGCGCAGCGGGCGGGCGCGCCAGGTCGGCGGCATCGCGGATGCGAGCGGGCTCGTAGAACTGCAGCTGTCGGTATGCCGGTGCGCCAGACGAGGAGCCGGCTGGCGCGGCGGCGTGCGCCGCATCGCTGCCGCCGGCACTGCTGCCGCCGTTGGCGACGGGCATGACGGGAGAGCGTGCGAGTGGAAGCAGCGAAAGGGACAGCAGGCCGAGATGGCGCTGGAAGATGTGGAGCGAGGGCAAGGCTGCTCGAGCGGCGCGCGGCGGTGCGCACAGACCGAGCGGACGAGGCGCTCCTTTCCCACGCTCTCCATCCGCGCTCGCGCGCCCCTCCACGCCAAGGCAGAGCGCAGCGTCTCGCTCGAGTCTGTAGCATGACAGCGGGCAGCACGAAAGAAGAATGCATCACTATTCGAGCTTCGTGTGGAGGAAGCAGTTGAGACAGGGGAGGGAGCCGAGCCGTGTACGATGAGGCTGCTGCGAGCGAAGATCTGGGCTGGCGTGAGCGGGCACTGCGTGCTGGTTTCTTTCTTGATCACGCACTCTGCTTGCTGGCCTCGAGAGACGATGGCATCCGTCCGCGGGGAATGGCACGGGCGCGAGCAAGCTTCTGACCGGAAGAGATGACGGTTGCTGTGCTCGGTGCTGTCAGCTCTCTGTTCAAAGCGCTGCGAAATGTGAAGCTCACCTGCTCGCCGCCGTAGCGAATGGCGACGCAAACGGTCTTGCGAGTCGGCACGTGTCGAAGACCGTACAGAAGACCAACGCGTACGAGGCGAGTTTTGATGACGCGCTCGGATGAGACCGAACATGAGTCGAAGAAAGCAGCGAAGGAAGCTTGCCGGGCGTGCGAAGGCCGATGAGTCGACCATCGCAACGCCGGCATGCTCTCCTTGCCGCGATCTTGAACAGAGGGCTGGGCGACATCCGATGCGGCACCGGCAGCGAAGCTGAGCTCGAGGTCGACGTGATTTTCTCTGCCTCTCGGCGGCGTCGAGACAGTCTGCACTGTAGCAAGAAGAAGGCGATCCTCCGCTGAGAAGAGACGCCTGGAGTCCAGACCTCTCTGTCCAGCGATGGATGACAAAATTCTTTCTACAGTGCACTCTGCCACTACGTCACAGGCCGCTGCCGGTGCTGCACGAGCGTCAGCGGTCGGGTCACTGTGCAGCTCAGCCTGATGATGCAGAGCTCACTTTCGTGCAGCGCCGAGCCAGTCGTCCTCGAGCGCCAGAAGACTCCGTCGAGGCGGCGACGGCGACGAAGACAAAGTCCGGCGAGTTGGGCCTTGGCGTCGCGCCGGCGGAGATTGAAGACAAACTCTCATCCCGAGGAAAAAGCAAACGCCGACGTGGCGACGCTTGCGTGGTCCTCGAATGGGAGGACGAAGTCAATCTCAGCCGGAGCAGCGCCGGGCGATAGCGAGCTCCAGAGCGATGCACAGCGTCGAGTCGATGAGCGAGGACTCGATGAAGGCGATCGTAGCAGCGCCTGTCCACAGCGGCCGCTCCACGCATGACACCGACGAAGAGTGGCTCAGAACCGGAAGAAGCAACGGCTGGGCGCTCAGCAGCCACGTGAAAACGTGACTGCTAGGCGGCCAAGCGCTGGTCTACCGAGTCTGCACCAAAGTTCGACGGCCGCATGCGTCTAGTGGCTCTCGTACAGGCGCAGCGACGTCGAGGAGCCGGTCTTGTGTTGCTGGCAGTCGGCCTGCTTGACGGCGATGAGCTTGCCCGAGAGGTCTGCAATGAGCTACAACCCGACAGAGATGAGGCGAACACGGTCTCGGCTCGTGCTCGTTCGTCTCTGTCGAGATGCAGCCATCGCAGACAAGCAGCGCAAACTGACGTCCTGAAGCAGACGGCTCGGCGGTCGAAGAGCGCTCGTTGTCGTCGTATTCGGCGCTGACGGAGAGAGTCAGCGACGGTCACACGAGCTACGCGCATGTCCGAGGCATTGTGCTCACCGTCAGCGACGTCGCGTCTTCCTCTCCTCGCTGCTCTCGACCGGCTTGCATGGCGGAGTGAAGCACTGCGAGATGATCGCGACGGTCACAGGTCAAGTCTTGGGCGTGACACACGCTTGTGTGTAGAACCACCTCGACTTGACACGCGCTCAACATCGTACACCTCGACGTGTGTCCACTCCGCGACGACCTCCGGCGAGTCAGCTTGGCGGCGGAGAGCTCGAAGTGGACGGTGAGGTTGAGCCTGCGCCGCTGAGTAGTGTCAGCTAGGGGCACCTTTGCTACCTCAAAAGCACGGCTCTCACCTTGCGCGATGCAGCATCCTCCACCCGTTGCACGCCTTGCTCGGCTTGCGTGGCGGCGACGTTCATGTCCAAGACGACTGCAGCGAACCCCGGCAACTCATGGATCCATTGAGCACGAGCACGGCTCGCGAGCAATGCACCCATAGCTGCAGGTCGCCGCTGCAGTCACTCTCGGTCACCATATCTACGCGACGATGTCCGAGTGTCGGCCGGCTTGACGACGAAGAGAGACTCGCGGGCGGGCGAGTCGAACCTGACGATGATTGAGAGTGTCAGCAAAAAGGTCGCTGCGCCATCGACTGCGACTCCTTCCTTACCTTTGATGCTGCATCACTTCGCGCTCCTCGCGGCCGATGATGACGACAAAGACGACGACGGCATGTCGGAGGCGACGACGAAGAGCCGAAGTCGACGATGGGCACAGCGATGGATCCGCTCAAACGATCGCGAAGCGCAGGACGAGAAGGGGTCTCGCATTATCATCCCCGCTGGGGGGATGTGCTGACAACGCTTGTAATGCGCTGTTACATGTGTGTGGTGTGTGGTGGCGGGGGGCAGAGGCAAAGGAGCGTGTGAAGTGAGATTGGGGGTGGAGTGAAGTAGCGTGCGACGTGCGCGGACGGCGAGCTGAGGCAGGGAGGGTCAGCGATGCGCTCGTGGCATGTTGCGAGCAGCAGCGGCGCACACTCAGCGCGGGGCGCGATGGCCACGGCACGAGACATCCAGCGCCGGACCTGATGAGGGGCAGGTAGTCAGCACTGCAGCAGGAGGCGACAGGTGCCACGGCGACGCACGTGGCAGCGTGGGATGGGGTGGGGGCGAGGAGCGATCAACGGCAGCGGCAGGGCGGTGCGTGGCAGTGGACAGAGCGTAGGTGCCAGCGGCTGGGCGCGGGAGAGAGGAGAAGGGGGCCGGGGGCAGGCGTCAGTCAAGTGCAGCGCATGCGCAGTCGCGGCCGTGCTCACAACAGGCGCCACCCGAGCAGCGACGACGACGGCGGCGACGACGACGGCGGCGACGACGGCCTCCAGGCGCTGGAGCGAGGAGGCTGAGGTGCAGGCATCAGTTCAGCGCAGCTCGGGCGGGCGCTGTGTTGCCTCTGCTCACCCTGCACGACACGGCCGAGGCGGAGCGCCGCAGGGGAGCGGGAGAGGGTGGTGGCGGGAGGCAGGGGGCAGCGCCGGGGGCGCAGCCTTTATACGGTGCGCAGCAGGCCGGGCGGGGCTGTGCTGGCGTGCCGCAGCAGAGCCGCGGCAGCAGGCAGGTGCGGCGAAGCAGCGGGGCGCGGCGGGGCTCCCTTTTGACGGGCAGGCGACACGGGTCGAGTCAGGGCACGCGAGCCGTGTCGCGCTTGCTCGACCCTTCGGCGCTGCTCAAAGCAAGCTTCAGCAGCGCCCATCAGAGGGAGAGACTCTCCGCCTGCGTAACGGTCGTCGGCCCGCGGAGACAGGCCGCCGACCGCAGCGGTCGGCCACTCAAGGAGGTGACGCAGCCGAGGCCGAGGCGGCCAGACCCCTAACACGACGCGCGCTCGAGCGTGTCCTTCGGACGTCGTCAGACGGGCGTTGCGCCCAGAAATTGCAGAGACGTCCTCTCGCTTCCGCTTCTTTCGCATCGTGTGCATCGTGAGCCTGCGCATCTTCTGCGCTAGTTGAAGAGTTGTGCTGCTCGCACGAAAGCGTCGCGAGCGCCCTCTGGAGATGCGGCTTCGCGTCGGACGGCCGACGTGCGTGGGAAACGGCCGCTGCTGCTGCTGGCAGAGCGTCGTCGCGGCGAGGCGCCGGCTCGTGCGCCGCGCCAGGAGCTGCAGCAGGTGAGCAGGTGCGCACGCACACGCCAGCTGTTGATCGCAGAGCGTACATCCTCATTCTGAGCCTCTCTGCATGCGATGCTGCAAGGCCTCTGGCGCAGTGCGAGCAGCGAAGGAGCGAGGCGGGAGGAGTCAGCGTGGGAGCAGCGCGCGAGGCAGGCGATCGAGATCTGGCGCCGCGCGGCGGCAGCGGCGAGGTGACATCACCGCCTCGAGCGCGGCGGCGCGCGGGCTGCTGCGCTCCTCGCCGCCGCCTCGCCTTCCCCCCTCCTCCTCGCCGCAGTCGCGCAGCGAGTGAGCATGTTTCGCGAGCATGAAGCAGTAGACAGTGAGGCAGCAAATGCTGATGCCTGTGCTGCGTCGGCGGCCTGGCTGAGCGGTGAGCGGTGCATGTCGCGCGCCTGGCGCGGGCAGCGGCGGCGGCGTGTGGAGCTTGTGCGGCGGGCCATGCGGGTGCAGATCGACGCGGCGGCGGCGGCGCGGCGGAGCGGGTGCGTTTGGCATGCCTCGGCTGCGCGCCTCTCTCTTGCCTTCTCACCACATCCACCTTCCTCCATGTCTCGTCCCTCGTCTCGCTTCGCCGACCACGTCTACCGTCCTGTGCAGGGCGATCCCGGCATGCCTGCGCCCGCGCCCGTCGTGTCGGCGGCGGCCATGACGCGCGTGCAGGTGCTCACGCCGCTCAGCATCCTCGTCAGCGCCGGCACGCTCATCGTCACGAGCATCCTCACGCGCCCGCGCCTCAACGACGTCAGCGAGGCACACCCCACCTACCTCACGCCCAACGCAAAGTGGCTCATGGCCTACTGGAGCGTCATCTACCTCTGCCAGATTGGCTTTGCGCTGCTCTGTGTCGTGGGCCAGAAGCCCGAGACCAAGGTGAGCAAGGACCCAACGCACGGCAGGGCAGTGGTGGGGTAAGAGGAAAGACCCAATTGGTGGGATGACGCTAGCAGAGGCGAGCGCGTGGACACCTGGCACAGAGTGGCGGCGCTGCTGATGGCGCTGCTTGCCGGGCAGCCGGTGGGTGGAGTGCCGAGTCGCACGCAGCCGGAGCGGATGCCTGGTAGCGCGCGGCCGTTGCGCCCGCAGCGTGGAGTCGCGCCAGAGGTCCTGGACGCCCAGCAGAGCTTGGCCGCGCATCGATGGCCGAAGGCGGGCTGTCGCCCAGAGGTCCGTGCAGCGCGGTGCCTCGCAGCTGTCGCCGATCTCCACGCCGAGCTGGCCCTCTTACTGACCCTCCTTTCCGAGCAGAAGCTGCTGGCGTCCGGCGTCGGAGTGCGTCTTGCGCTGTGAGTGGTGCCTGCGCAGCCGCCGCACTTGCCCGTCGCTCACCCCTCCGCAGCGTCAACTTCCTGCTCGCCGGCTGGGCCGTGTCGTGGATCATCAATACGCACGTGTCGTTCATCGTCGGCACGTCGCTGCTCGGAGCCATCACGCTCGTGCTGCTCATTACCGCCGGGCTGCTGGCCTTCTGGCTGCCCGCCGACTCGCGCCACCCGTGAGTGGCCAGGGCCTGGCCAGTGTTGCCGAGCTGACGCAGGCCCTTGCAGCCTCGACTGGCTCTTTGTGCACGTGCCGATCAAGATGCTGCTCGTGAGCATGATTGCCGTCGACTTTGGGCAGCAGCTCTTCATGGCGCTCGAGTGGGACGGCGGCAAGGGGCACGACCTCGACGCGTCCGTCTGGCCGACATTCTACACGCTCATGGGCGTCGGCGCCTTCAATTCGCTCTGGATCTTCACCTTCAGCGACCTGACATGGGCAGCGTCGGGCATTGTGCTCAACCTCGCCCTGCTGGCGCACCCCAAGATTCCGCGGCATGCGCGGCCCGCCGAGGTGTGAGTGGCGCAAGGAAACACCTAGCTGCGGCAAGCGCATGGCTGACCTCGCAATGCAGCACCGCGGCGATCATCTGCAGCATCGCACTGCAGGGCACGGCGCTGCTCGGCTCGTATGCGCACAAGTACATTGCGCACCAGCGCGAGCAGCGGCGCATCCGTCTCGGCTCGGAGGATGATGCGGCAGCGCGGCTGCAGGAGGCCGAGGCCGAGGCTGGTGAGTCTGCAGCGAGTGCTAGGCTCCAGCTGCTGCCGTGCTGACGCTGGCATCCGCTCTAGCAGCGGCCCGCGCACGCGCAGACGCCTACGCCGCGCAGCAAAACGGCGGCCGTCTGCCGCACGCTGGCGAGGACGAGGAGCAGGGGGGCGTGGGAGTGACGCGCCACCTCGGCAGCTCCGGCTCCAGCGCGTAAGTCGCGAGCGTCAGTCGAACGCGACTGTTCGCCGAGTGCTTCTGTGCATGCCTATGCCTCTCTCCCAAATACCAAATGCGCCTCTGCGCGCTGTACATAGCTCCCCACCCGTCTCAACCGCATCAATGCCACGCTGTCAATGCTCTGCACCCCCCCCCCCTCTCACACACAGTAGTCGAGAAAGCATGCCATTGCCGAGCACCGCGCCACGCCGCGCCGCGCCTCGCCTCGCCATGCGCACTCAGAAGGCAAAGAGCGCTCCGCCCTTCTTGCGGCCGACGGAGTAGACGACGAGCGCGGACATGAAGAGCCCGACAGTGATGCCGATGGCGACCTGTGGGGCAAGGGGTGAGTCGCAGCTCTGCAGCCGTGGGCCTCTGCTCGACTCACCTGCACCATGCGCAGCGCAAAGCTCAGGCCGTTGGAGTACAGGTCGCCGTCGGAGCCCTTGTACGTCATGGCCAGACCGCCGGCCATGGCCATGCCCGAGGGCACGAGGAAGAGCACGGCGACGGCCGTCGCGGTGAAGGCGGTGCCGCGGAAGACGCGCGAGTAGACGTTGCCGAGGATGCCGATGACAAACGAGCCGATGGCACTGACGACGTCGGAGCGGTTGAAGACGAAGTGGTTCGCCGCCATGTTGGCCGTCCAGCCGGCACAGGCGATGAAGACCATGACGGGCAGGTCCCAGCTGCGCATCGGCTGCAGCAGGTTGAAGCAGGAGAGCAGCGAGAACGTCGGCACAAAGAGGAAGTTGAACCACGGCGACACGGGCTGCCGGTACCACGGCCACTCGGGCAGGCGCTCGCAGTTGATCGTGCCGGCGTTGAGCGCGTTGCTCGTGCCGTTGGTGAAGGTGAAGCTGCCCGTCCACAGCGGCAGCGTCTGGTTGGCGAGGATGAAGCTGCCGTCGACCTTGGTGGAGGACTCGAGCGGCACGTACATCGACTGCCGCGACGCCGGATCCAGCAGGAACCACACGTCGGACCCGATGGCAATGCCAAAGCCGAGGAACAGCGAGTAGATGATGGCGTAGACCATGCGCACCGAGCCGGCGATCATGTTCTTCGACGCGAGCTCCAGCGAGCCGCACACTGGAGGGGAGGGAGGGGGGAGAGGGGGCAAGGAGAGAAAGGTCAGCGATGCAGCACCACGACATGGAACACTCGGCACGCACAAATGATGTAGCCGGGCAGCACGAGGATCAGGCCCGACGACGCAATCGACTGGTAGCAGAACAGGCCCGTCGTGCTGAGGCCGCGCGCCACAAACGAGATCATGATGGCCGTCGAGATCTCAAACACGTTGGAGTACATGGCGTTCTTGCGCGTGACGCGCAGCTGCAGGAATGTCAGCATGGCGCCAAAGGCGGCGGCGACAAAGGCGTCGATGAAGCTGCCGCCAAAGGACATGGGCGCCATGAGCCAGCAGCGGATGGCGGCAAAGCCGATGCGGCTCCACTCGCTCCAGCACGCCTCGGCGCGCAGCAGGCGGTTCAGCTCCTCGGTGCCCTCCTCGACGCCAATCTCGTCGTGCACGACGCGGCGGTAGACGATGTGCACGTCGTGCAGCGGGCCGAGGGCCAGGTCCGACTTGCTCTTGACAAAGTGCGTCTCGGACGTGTGCTTGTCGACGTCGCCAAACGAGGCAATGACGAGTCCGGGAAAGTGGATGAACTGCGCGTCGACCTCGAGCACGTTTGCCGTGGCGTTGAGCTGCGACTCGATGCGGTGCGACGGCGCGCCAAAGAGCATCAGTGCCTTGGCGAGCTTGAGGATGAACTTCTGGCGATGCATGACGTGCGCCGTGTTGGCCGTGATCGTCGTGGTGCTCTTGCGGCGGTCAAACGACTTGCGGCGCGGCTTCGCATAGCCCTCCTCGCCGTTGTTCTCGGCGCCGCCGCCGCCGCCGTTGGCAAAGTCGCGGATCGACGCAAAGCTCAGGCGGCGCGGCGCCGCGGGGCGCCGGCGCATGGGCACGTCGGGGTCGCCCGTCTCGGACGACCAGCTGGAGCGGCGGTGCGTGTACTGCGCCTCGCGCTTGAGCTGCATGCTCTTGCGGATCTTGCCCGTGAGGCGCGGGTCGTCGGGATCCAGCTCCGTCTCGTCCTCGCCCAGCGTCCACGCCATGCTCTGCCGCCGCGCCACGGCAAACGGCGCGTTGGCGGAGAGCGACATGAGACGCTCGGTGCGCGGCACGCCGCGCTCGACGGAGTCGGCCGAGGCGCGCTTCTCCTTGGCGTACGTGGCCCCCTCGTCGTCGTCGTCGTCGCCGCGCAGCGTGTCGCCGCCGAGGCTCTGGCTGCTGGCGCGCTCGCGCAGCGTCGGGTGCTGCAGGCCTGCGCGCTCCGTGCCGTCGCCGGGCGCGGTGACGGCGCCGTAGAGGCCGACGAGCGCCTTTGTGAAGCCGCCCTGGCCGCTGTAGATGCGGCGCACGTCCTGCGCGTCCGTCTCGCGCACCACGCCGCGCTCGCACGGGTCGCCGGCGTCGGCGGCGCGGAAGTTCTCCACGCTCTGCTCGCGCCGGATGAGCGCCGGCTTGAGGCCGGGCGACTTGATGCTGCCGCTCGAGAGCACGCGCGGCGAAAAGGGCTGCACCATCGACGGCGACGAGAAGGGGTCGTAGCGCTGGATGTGCGGCGTCGAGGCGCTGGGCGGCGAGCCGGGCGGCGCCTGCCAGTGCTGTGCGCCGCCGCCGCCGCCGCTGGGCCGAGGCGAGAAGGGCCCGCCCAGAGGCCGCGGCGAGAAGTTGTGCGCCGGCTGGTGCAGGTGCGCCACCGTCGCCGTGGGAGGCGGGCGCTGCGGCATGTGCTGCTGCTGCTGCTGCGGCGCCGTCGACGACGGGTGGTGGCCGAGGCCGAGGCCGATCGGCGCCTTGTGGCCCTTGGGCGGCGCCTGCAGGCTCGTGTGCTGGCCGCTGTGTGCCGACTGCCATGTGCCGTGCTGCGGCGTTTGCTGCGGGCCGAAGGGCGTGTCGATGAAGGCGGCCGTGGAGCGGCGGCCCTTGCACGACTGCCAGTTGTGCACGCCCTCGCCGTCCGACGTCGCCTCGGCCTCGTCGTCGTCGCCGATCTGGAAGTGCGCCGCCGCCGCGCGCGCCGTCGTGGCGGGCACGGGCTCGAGCGGACTGACGTCCTGCGCCATGAGGCTGCGGCGCGAGCGCTCCGCATCGCCGCTCGCCGCGAGCGAGTAGCCGGGGGCAAACGGCGAGCTGGCATTGAAGGCCACGCCGGGCTGCTCTGGGGCGCTCTTGGCAGAAGCAGCAGCAGCCGCCGCCCCGCTGCCACGAGGCGTGCTGCTTGCCTTTGCCATCGTCGGCGGGCCTGCGGCGGCCGAGAGACGCTGCTGCTGCGCCTGCGCCTGCTGCTGCGAGTCGCGCTGCACCTTGGCCTGCGACTCGAAGGCGGCGCGCATCAGCTCGTGGTCCAGGCCGCCGGCGGGCAGCGGCAGCGGCGGCGGCGGCGAGTCCTCCTCGTCGAAGCGCGCGCGGCGCGGCGAGGCAGTGGCACTGCTGTTGTTGCGAGGCTGCATGTCGATGCTGGGGGCGGAGGCTATGCTCTTCAAGAGCTAAGGGGAACAGTAAGTAGAGAGTGTGGATGGCCTGCTGGCGAGAGCGAAGGAAAGTGAAGGCCAGGCGGCGGTAAGAAAAGGTAAAGGAGAATGCGGATGCGGTCTGTCGAGCCAGTCGACAGGTGAGGATCCGAGCGGGGGGAAGATGCCCCAATGTGTGGAGAAGGGTTAAGAAAGAAGTAGAGAGGGTGCCGGGAACAAGAGAAGGGAGAAGTGGTGGTAGGACAGAAAGCCGGGAGGGGGCCAGGAGCGGCACAAGCAGGCAGCGGCCTATGTAGTCTGGGCTGGCACAAAGCAGCAGCTGAGCGGGCTGGCGCACACACATGTGATGCACGCCGAGTGGGACGACCAACTCCAAGGGCCGGCCGCGCCTCCAACGGTCGACGGGCATGGCGCGGCGGCGGCGGCGGCTCGGCGCCCGCTGCGCGCGTTTGTGTGTGCCGCGGCTGCGTCGCCCGCCTCAGCGCCGGTGGGGCCCTGCGGGGGATGGCCAGCACTTCCCAATGCGGCCATTTGGCTTGGCTCTGCAGGCCGAGGAGGGCTGATCAAGCCTGCTCTCGGCGAGGGTCAACGCCGGATGTTGTTCTTCCAGCTGCAGCTGGCAGAGACGGGGCTCGGTACGACAAGCCAGGCGCCCCTCCCGCCTGCATGGGGACCGCTCGGCACCACGCGCGAGCGGCTCTCCTGCTTAGCCACAGCCGCCCAGAGCGCTCACGGGTCCTCGGAGGGGGCAGAGCAAACTACATACAAACATACGCCACGTCACCGGCTGCGGCCTTTGGACCCCTTTGGCTTCAGCCAGAGCAAGTTGTGGGCGTGGTCGCCTGCTCGGCGAGTTTACGTAGCAGAGGCGCAAGGGCCTGCGTCGACTTCGGCGCGCCCGCGCGTGGCACGCGCTTGAACCCTGAGCGGACGGACGACAGCTGCGCAAGCTACGGCTCCAGCATCACAGGCCCTCAGAGGAGGAGAGTCGCGAGACCTCTTTGCGAAAGGCAAGAAGTTGCCTTCGCCGAGCGGCCCCACGCAGCTTGGTACCTGCCGGCACAGCGGCGCCCGCTGACCTTACCACGGCGTGCGGGCATAACCCACGCGCGCGCGCGCGCCGTGCGTTCCTTGTGCTGAGTCTGAACGCCGACGGTCCGCAACTTCACGACGCAACGCGCATCTGCATGCTGCTCTCCTCAACAGCCTAGTGGGACGAGCAACTCTTGGGAGCACCGCAAGACGAGACGCGCAACGGGCGGGGCCAGCGACGCGCGCGCGCCGGCAGCAGCCGGGTGCGGCATGCCCCCGCTTGACCCGGCGTCCGCCTCGGCCTGGCAAGCCGAGCGCGCGGCTGGCAGAGACAAGTGACCAAGAACCCGATCGCAGGCCGCGTCATGAAGGAACACCTCCAGTGCGGGGGGCCAAAGGAAGGAATGCTCAGCAGGGTGCACGGCACATGGCCGAGCAGACGCACAGCTCGGAGGCCCCCCCTCGCGCGCCTCACGCTGCACGCGCGCGCCGAGCCGTTAGCGACCGCTGCTCTGGGCGCGCGTGGCCCGGGCGTTGGGGCCCTCATCTTCGGCGTTTGCAGGTGCAGTGTGAGTGAGGTAGCAGAATGTGCATGGCGGTGTGGCCAAGCTTGGCTCCCCGTCGGCAGCACCACCTTGCGCTGTGTGGCCCCATGTGCGCGGCCCGACGCGGCTCGGTGCGAGATGGCGCGCCGGCGGGCGCAAGGCCTGACCGCTCCAGACATGACGTCGCCACACAGATCAGAGCCTGAGCTCTAAGATCCAGCTCGAAACAGAGGCTATACAGAAAAAGGCACTGCCAACGCCGAGAGAAGGGGTCCATGCCACTGCCGCCCCCGTGCGGACGTTGCTCGTCGGAGGCCCCCCCGCCCGCCGGCTTCTTGCACTAAGACTCTTACTGCTCAAGGGGCCTCCGCCGCGCGGCGCGCGCGCGCATCATGCTGACATAAGCATCGCGCCGCGCCAGATGTGTCCCACGCGCCATTGTCAGATCGCGCGGAGCGCAGCACGGACGAAGCTTGCTTGCTGTCCTCCATCATCATCATCCATCCCACCTCTTCCCCATCCTTGCACCACTACCCAACTGCTTCGCTCCTGGCGCTCGCGCACGTCCACTCGCGAGACTGAGCGTGTGTGTGTGGGGCCACTCGCTTGCGTCCGTCTGCCCGTCTACGCCGTCGCTACGCGCGCTCTCGCACGTGTGGCGCTCCGAGCCCAGAGAGTAGGCGCGCCAATCTCTCTCTCTCTCTCTCTCTCTCTCTCCGGCCATGGCCGCCGCCTCTGCGCAGCAGCAGCCGCAGTCCGACGCGCAGGCCGAGCAGCGCACGCTCGTCGAGTTCGCCTGCAAGGCGGCAGAGACGTTCGTCGCCGCCTACTACGCCGCCGCCGATGCGCCGGGGCGCGGCAGTGTGAGTGTTGTGTGTTGTTGTTGTTGTTGTTGCCGGTCTTGCCCCTTGCTGGGTTGGCTGTTTGGCTGTGCGCTGTGGGGCTGTG